ACATGGTGTCTGCGCGTCTTTCGGGAGACACAAGGGAGTATCTCTCCAATGATTCGCTGGAGGGAGTTGCGGACCCGAATATGTTTGAGCAAGAGTTCTTGAACTCGCTGAACTTTTCTGGCATTCCACCGCACAGGATAGTTCTAAAGGTTGGCGCTCCCATCATCATGATTCGAAACCTGAACAGCGATGCTGGGTTGTGCAACGGAACACGGCTTCGCGTGTTGTCTCTGCGCGAGAAAAGCATCGAAGCAATTATAATGTCGGGACCTTTCAAGGGGAAAAAGGTCTTCATTCCGCGAATCATCTTCTACACAGAGGATGACGATAGACAGTTCCCGTTCAAGCTCAAGCGCAAGCAATTTCCAGTTGTACCAGCTTTTGCGATGACTATTAACAAGGCCCAAGGACAGTCTATCCATCACGCGGGAATTTACTTAGAGTCACCCGTCTTTGCTCACGGACAACTCTACGTGGCGCTGTCGAGAGTTACATCAAGGAAGGCGATCAAGATTGCAGTGGACCCGGAGGCTATCGACGAGGATGGGAATATTCAAGATATTTGAGACGCAGAATTAACTCAAATACATGTTACTGGTCTGAGAAATAGCAAGTGAGTACACGAGTAAGTATATAAAAGTTTGGCCGTGTAGATAAGTAAATAAACTCCAAATGAGTCAAAAAACCAAAGACGCCCCGCCGCAGCGAAGCGGAGGCGGGCAATCTAACAAACCAAGCCTTAGCGTCCGCGTAGCGGGCGCCTAGAGCGCTACTGGCTCTGGCTCTAAGATGCACGCTATCCGTAAGTGGCATGTTTCCGGTCACTGCGCGTTTCCGGTCAAGCCAAACGCTATATTAAGGGACAATTTTTGCACCAACCTACTAAACCCAATATTGCTTCGATTTCATTCAAATCTTCAGAGCTTGCTAACCCGATGATTAGCTATATTTTGGTATGTTCTGGGTTAGTTTTCACTGCGAATTGGCTCTAATACAGTGGAAAGCATTTTAGCCCTACCGGCTCCAGTCATGACAGCATCTGGAGGTACATAGAAAGGGTAATTTGGCTAGCGCTGCCATGGCTGGAATGGCAAGCTCCTTGCTCGGCCAAGTGGAAGTCTAGCGGCGCCCGAAGCTTGCCCTACACCTTCCCTGGACCTTCTAGTGTTGATAGCGACAGCATAGAATAACAGGATCGCGTCCTTTACGGCGTCAGAGCACGATGCTGGAGGCATCTTTTTATATAGAAATTTGTATGGAGAGCTCACTTTGACTTATTTTTGTATGGTGACCAGATGACCGGTAATATGATGCATGAACGGAAATACACCCCCTCCTTTTCTTGATTTTTGTATGAGTCCTTAAGTGACCGGAAATACGTATTTCACGGATAGAGCTCGCGTATTCATGGCAAAAGACGTTCAGGCCGCTAGTTTCTTTTAGCGCATGACAGGTGAAAGCTATTAGCCCTTCGATAGGCAAATAAAAATAGGCTTTAAAAAGCCTACTCGCCTTCAATGTCTAAGCATTTTGGGTGCCGCGTCACGGCAGATATCCAATCCGCTATACTTGTATGTATGTCCAATTGCTTGGTGACCGCACACAATGTGTATTATTAATACTTAAGTTGTTGTCGATCATGGACTGATACACAGCGGGTGCACAGGGTGTTTGAGCAGAGCAACTTGGGGGCGCATCCGTCACTCTCGTCACTACCATGCTCGCCGTGTTGCTGTTCGACGTTGGCCTTACGTTTGGCAGCAAAGGACTTGCCGTAGATCCACTTGTACTCCCCAGAGGATCTTCGTTTTTCTTATCACCCTTGCACTTGGCCGCCCGTGACGGCGGCTGCCATCCGCATATTCCCGTCTGATGGAGCCGTCCACTGTGACCTGCGACTTCGAACGCGGCCTCATGAACGCGGTCTCATGAACGCGGTGACGGAGCAGATTCCTCTGGTTGAGATCGGCGGGTGACTATTTCATTGGAAACAGGCACTTATCGCGCAAAATGCTTGCTCTGCGCATTCCCCTCGACCCACGGCCTAAACGAACCTGGGACAAGCGAACAGTAAGCACCGAGTCGATTTCTAGTGGCGCAAAGTGGCATCTGTTGCTGAGAAGGCTGCGCTGAGAAGGCTATTAGCGAGTACCAGTCACGTGCACGAAGCAGCTAGTGTACGTGATGACCACCGTCAAAGTGCAACGAGCGACGCGCAGCAACTGTAGCCAAGGCTCTGAGTGCCAGGATGCTTCCAAGGACCAACAGAGCTTCAAGGAGAGACGACCCAGCAGCAAGGACTACAACAGGAACAGGATCGAGGACGGACGACGCAAGGAGGGTACGCAAGTACTGGTAAAGATATCCGAAGCGGCGGCGAAAGATAGCGAGCAGCAGTCAAGACGGCGGCGGCGACGGGGTGAACAAGCGGAGGAAGAGTCGAAGAGAGCATGACATCGAGGATAGCACACAAGGGGCGTGGAAGAACGAAGGGGTGAGCGAGGCAACGCTGGAAACTCGCCGACGTGCCACCTCACCCAAGGCAACGACCAAGACCGACGATTGGCCAAGGTGTGCTGGTCAGAAGCCGTTGGCTGGTACCCATGGCGCCCACGCCACCAAGTGATGGCAGTAAAAGTGTAGTCAGTATCGAAATAGCGCTGTAGGGTACAGATCAACCCATACAGTAGAGCCAAGCAGAGTGTAACGTCAATACACGAAGCAGTTGGTCGTAGCAAGTCGACTAAGGCCAAGTGCAGTCGAAGTGAAGAGCCCGGTCCGAGGTGACGAGCAGCGTGCACACAGAGTCACAGTGCACACGTGCGTCCATCGACGACCAGTACCCCGCGGACACATCCGCCGGAAGGGAGAACCCGCGAGTTGTGCGCGCACGTGGGCACAGTTCACAGAGGGACAGCTCCAGTCAGCTATCGCCTACCTGGGCCCGATAAGAAGCGGAGGGGTCGAGGATCACGTGCGAGCACCTGGGATTGGCGACGTACAAGGCGTTGTGCGTGTTGGATATCGCGTGGAGCGGTGTATATTTGTATAGGCGACGAATTGGCGTTGCTAGCCGCCGAGGACCCCGGCGCTGCAGAGCCGCGGACTCGGACAAGGTGCGGACGGTAGCTGCAGAAGGGCAGATCGCTTACTGAACCTCGGTAAACCGGTAAAGCCGGCTTGTTTGAGCGGCTGTCCGTTTTGTGGGTTCGGTATATAGTGCCATATCATTTTTGTAATTAATTGTGAATCTTTCCAACGAATGTTTTGCGTCGAGGTTTGTTTCCCGGCTTCGGGATTGGGCCAAGAGTTTGGGGTGCCCAGCGATGCCAGTCACACGCGTATCCCATCGCTAATAGCCGCTAGACAGCGGTCGTAGCGCCAATCTGTCAGCCTTAAACTGCACGCTCTTGCAAACTATCTCGCGTGACGCACGTGACGCAGCTACGCGGGATATTTGATCATTGTAGCACGAGCCTCACGCGTAAGCTCGCCGATATTATAGTTTGAATGGCTGTACAGCTTACCGAATCGAAGCAAAGTGATGGCGCCCTGCGTACGTATCAATGTTCGTAAAACAGCGTATCCTCTGCTTGAGGACAGCCCCATGCGCGTGCGAAGGGCAGTATCTTGAAAAGACGTAGAGCTACATGAATACACATATGAGGAACATGAAAATGCACCCGAGGACAGGCGTCGGAAGAGATTCGCTAAGCAGGCGGGGGTTGGCTGCAGTAGACAACACAATCCATTTCCCCCCTTGGTCGCAGCAAGCCACACACACTTCCTGAACCAACCTCATTTGAGTGCCAAGAGCGAATTCCAGCACGCGACAAGTTCAAGACACTCACTGCCTTGAGCCGATGAGATCACCAGCAATCGACCAAGCAGTTGGCAGTCGCTCAGTGGTATCAACTACATTTCCCGACAACTACGAATCCGGGCCGGATGATACCCAGTCAGCCTGCTTTGTTGGCGCAGCTGAGGTACAACCGTCACCTATCTGGGAGAACCGCGCTCCTTCGTCAACAGTGACATCTCCTCGAACGACGGCACGAATTGTTGACATGAACCTCGGCTCAGTGCTTGCAGGATGGAGCAATACTGCTGGTTACGCGAAGCGCATAACACACCCCAAGCAGCCCCTGGCGGACGGGCAAGTCAGCCAACTTCTGCAGCGACGCAATGGCTACAAGCGGGTCCAAGCTTATCAACGGGGCGGGTTGGGCCTTCATCGCCCCTGTATGACGAAGTGGATCTGTCGACAGTGCCCGCGTGTGTTCGAGAGGCTGTGCTTTCTCATCGACCTCTACCTGGATGCATTATCGTACCGAAAGGGCCACGAGAGAGATCGGTAATTTTCAAGTATGGAGTGCGTCTTCAAACTGAGGTAGACGGTTCAACAATATTGTGCTGGATGTGCTTGGCCAGTCCGGCATGTCGTGACGATTGTCAGCTGGTATCGTTGGTGAGGGGATCCACTTCGAAGGCGACGCACCACTTGAGCACTATTCACAATGTGAACTCGGACAAGACGGTCTTGGAAACTGATCACAAGCATTCGCGGGACATGGAGATAGCTCGAATTCTCGCGTCGAAGCTGTGTCGAGCTGACACTAAACGACTGGCTTTGTTACTGGAAATACAGCGTATCGTGAACCATAACCTTCCCTTTTGCTTCGGCGAGTGCCAGGAGTCGCATATCATCAAAGCAATCTGCACAAAAGCTGAATTTCAACCGGCTTTGAACTCGCATTCAGTGGCACACGCGACTGTGGAGCTTTATGCGTCCGGGAGGGGAGAGGTGATTGGATATCTGCGCGATCAGCGTGTTGGACCGATAGCGTGTTTCACGGCGGTAGCTGACTTTTTGAGCTCGAAGCATCAGGGCGAAAAGTATCTGGGGCTTCGCCTTTATCTCATTGATGCCCAGTTCAGATTTAAGTCCCTGTGATAACTTTCGTCCAATGTATGGGGAACGAGATCAAGGAATACGAGAGTCATTTCGTCGCTATCCTGTCTGACTTCACCCTCGCCACTAAAGATTTGTTCGGGGCAACGACGGACGCAGGGTCAGATGTGAAATGGATGATGGCGGAGGGCCTCAAGCTCAAGTGGGAGTGGTGCATCCCGCACATGGTGAATGCGGCTACTAAGAAGGCTTGCGGGATGAACCAAAACAGCAAAAATCAGAGATTTCGGAGCTTATCAACAGAATCTCGCTGACCATTCACCAGACCTACAAAAACGAAAAGATGGGAGACTTGATGCCGGCATTGATGTGCTGAGCCAGGACAACGCAAAAAAGCTTGTTGCGTACAAGCCACATCACTTCATGGGGCTGGCGATGAGTATCCGACGAATTTTAGCGAAGTGGGAGGTGCTGGTATGCTGGTTCAGGGAGCGCACGGCGAAAGCCATACGTGATAAAGCCAAGGATATACCTGCTGGCTTCCCGTTGACGAAGGTCAAGCAAACCGTGGAGCAGATTTTGTCACTTCTTGCGCCGATTGAAACCGTGAACAAGTTGGCTCAATGTGAAGGTGCAAATCAGGTTGACGTTCTTGTCCAGCTGTATACTCTTCGAACCGGAATTCTAAACCTCGACGCACCGATCAAACATTTTGCATCTCGGAAAGACCATCTGATGATGATCGAGCCAACAGATCTGACTCCAACCGCCAAAAACACTCGTGTCCTCCTTCAGCAGGCTCTCTACAAGAATTTTTTCAAGAGCTACGTTGATCGAAAGTGCATTGCGAATGGAGCCTTTATTTTTGAGATACAACAGCTTCTTCATCCTGCTGTCAAGCACGTTGGAGGTCCCATGGATGAAATAATTGCTGCTGTTGCGCGGCAGCAACACGTAAAACAAGAGGAGATTCCTCGCCACGTGGTCCGAGTGCGTGGTGCGGTCATTGGTCGGATCAAGAAGTTGATGATGGTGGTAGCGAAGTGGCAAGCTGAATCAAGCGGCGCTCAAGATCCACAAGTCACTGAGACTAATTCATCGCGCGAAGCAATGACGAATATTTTTAACGCCGATGTGATGAGTTCATTCAACATTCGCCAGGCACCACCTCCGGTCACAGCCCAGACTTTATTGGAGCAACGCATTGACGAAGAAATTGACAACTGGTTCCAAGATCCAAGCGTTCTAGGAGCTCACGATGGGATGCCGGAGTCCATGCTGCAGTACTGGCAGCACCAGTACAAAGAGAAAACCTATCGCTACTTACCTCAGGTCGCTCGCATCGTTTTCTCCACACCAACGTCATCGGCGCAAATCGAGCGCACTTCGGGAATTGTGTTTAAATGGTCACCTCGCTCCGTGGTTCTACAAGCTCAGCCAACATGAACATGTGCAGTTTTCTTAGTCAGAATCGCCATTTTGTCGATGTGTGCCAATGCCCCAAAATTGCGAAGGACACCCTCCAAGAACATATTCCAAGTAATGTGAAGATGTGTCTGGAACCTGAAGCACAGGTGCGGGTAGAATGGGGGGTGATAAACCAGGAGTGCTTTTCGAGATCTCTCTCAGACGACGAAGAGGATGCTGATTGAGAGAGAAGATGAAGGTCAATCGGCACTAAGCGCAGCGCAAACTCGTCTGCAAGATTAATACATGTTTGCCTTATAGTTTATTTAGCTAGTGAGATGATCTCAAGATCAATCGGTACTAAGTGCAGCGCACACTCGTCTGCGCGGTAAGTGTATGTTCTTCGGTCCGGTGATTAAACAATTAGTCAACTTGGTGTGTACTCCAAGCATGTGGTTTTTGCCTGTTTACTTTCCATAGACCCGTGGAGAAAGCGCTGGCACAGATCAAATCGAACACGCAGTAACATTCAAATCGGAAATGTCCTGTGAGCAAAGCAATACACCTTTCGTCGAACTATCAGCATCGTTTCCTCGCGTTGATATCTACGCTTTTCTGGCATCATCAGTCTTAAGTAGATGCGCTGTTCGCATTCCAATGCGTTGTTGAAGATGCTCCAAAGCTTCTGCTCGCGCTCTCACCAGGGAAGACACCGGTTGAGGAGATGAAGCCATTTGGTTGCCTCGGAGACAGACTTGTCCATTTCGTTTGGCTTTTTGGGTAGCTGCAAGGGGTTTCAGTCGTTTAGCCGCTAAAGCAGCTCTGGCTGCGTACTTCGCCTTCTCTGCTGATGTAAACCCTCCGTTAATGCTAAGCCCAGACGATTTTTTCCTGCTGGCTTGTTCACGAAGATTCTTTGCAGCTATGACAGCACGCGCTTCATACGGTAAGAACGCAGTTGGTGGCGTGGGTACGTCTTCGCACGCAGCGGACTCTGTAGTAGTCGGTCCAATTGGGCGAATGCGTTCGGACATGCTGGGCGCTATCCCTCCAAGAGTATCGTCTTCGGTCGCAGTCGTGACTGTCATTTCACAACTTTGGTTGCAAGATGCAGGATGGCGTGCAACAACAGCTGCTTCACGGCGGTGAATTAGACCGGGAACGGACGAAAGCGCTCTTGCAACTTCATCCCGAACAAATTGCACCACTTTCTTGTTGTTCTCAGAAATTTCCTTGACCGTAACATTCCTTGCCAGCGTTTCAACTCGAGAGATAATACCTTCGATAGTCTGCTCCAGACAGCGTTGGTTTTGGTGTGCCATGTTAGCCTCGATCCCAGCTTGAGCCGCTACTAGTTTCTCTTGGATGCGTTTCTCCACGTTTGCCATGTGAGTTTGACCCTGTGATTCGACCGACTGATGTACCATGAGCTTGATTCGCTGAGCTTGATTATCTTCATGCTGATTGATGTAGCCACGAACGTCTTCTGCCGACTCCCTCTTAATGTTTTCAAGTTGCGCCCAGAACTTGTTTCGATCATCTTGAATACTTCGTTCGGACTCTTGTATTTTTTCATCCACACGCGCTTCAATTCCGCTCGCGAGCTGGGCAGTCTCATTTTCAGCAGGATACGTGTTTCACGAAGCTCACATGCTCTTGCTGCTTGAAATCGCTCTTGTAGTCGCTTCTCAATGCGTTCTTCGTGGGGAATCTGGTTGCGTTCGAGTACATGCTTGAGGTCGGCGTGAATACTATCAGCACGAGTTTCACAATCAGCCCTTATTGCATTTTCCAGGGTTTGCTGCAGCTGCACTAACTCCTGCTGTAAGCTTTCTTGGACCACGGCTTCGTGTTCGGTGACAGCTTTCTGCGCTGCTACAATGACGGACAATACTGAGCTTTGGGCAGTGGATTCTAACTCCGAGCTGACAGCAGCAGCATGGACTTGGTGCATAGCAATCAGCTGACCGTGCGACTCCCGGATTGCTGCTTGCATGTGATGTTGCTGAGCGACGTGAACTTGTGCTTGCGCTTGAGATTCGGCAAAAGCTTTTGCGGCAAATAGTTGCTGAAACTTGGCCTCCGTGTTGGGTTTCGTGCTGCAAACATGGTCGTGGGTGTAGTGAAGCAGCTGCTGCATCCGCTCTTCCAATACGATGCTTTTTCCTCGCTGCGTCGTAGACTTTCGTGAACGGCCCGGGCGAGCAGATCATTTTCTCGACTTTCGCGCACGAGAACAATGTCTTCACTGAGCGAGATCTGTCGATTTCGCCAAATAACGTGTGGTGATGCCGGCAACCGGGACTCGATCAGGTCTGATGCGAGCTCCTGTCGAGGTTCTTCTACAATTGGCGCTATTTGGTCAGCCATCGTTGCTGCGAATGCCGACAAACTCAAACTGACCAATGTACATCTAGTGGGTTCCTGGTGCATGACTCTCGCCCAATGTCCTTTGAAGATACGCTGGTGCTGCAGATTTTCCTGGCCTTGAAGCTCAACGGAGACCTCAGCTGGACGCTCGTGGAGGTGCTGACCCCGTACTTCGTGTACGACGGGCTCAACCTGCTCGAGGGGCTAGCGGCTGGAGTGTTGGGCTACAACATAGAAAGAGCCGCAGCCCCCACGACGGCGTTTCACCGTACCTCTTAGCCGACCATCCGAGTCTCGCAATTCGAACCGCCCGTTACGCAGGTTCAGGTTCACTCTGGTTTGGTTTCGCTTAGTTTAACGGAGTCTGAACCATTAAAACCTCACGAACCGCGTACTATAGTTTTTTTTGTTCACAGTTATTCTTTCCAACCCTGGTTCACTTCTGGCTCGTTCAGGCCGTGCCTCGACCAGATTGCTGCAGCCCTCGCGACCGATGTGCATAATGGCCTTACAGCCATCCCCGTTAGCGAAATCCCTGAGAAGGTACATTATTTTTAAAGTCCTAAATTTGAAAATGTATGTGCTAATTTTGATTTGTTCTAAAATTTATTTTAAATACAGGGTATTCGTTACGTGCGCAGCCTGGTGATGAGACTGGTGCTAAGACGAAGTGGGACGCCTAATGGCGTTATTTCATAAGTACATGGCTGAACAGCTGCGGCGTGGACCTGTGGAACGTGAACAGCATGGCGGACACGGGGATCGATATCCAAAATCGCGCGAACAACACCCTCAAACGCTATAACCCCGCGTTCCAGGAGCTGTTCTCTGTGGCGCACCCAAGCCGGTTCGTGTTTGTGGAGACGGCGAAGGCGGACCCGCCGCTACGTCCAAATGATCGACGACATCAATCACCATCGTCGTGACCCGCCTCAGCACGCTCTGCCGTTTATTGTATTGTCCTAATTTTTGCTCTCATTTCACTGCAGTTGTGTTCTAGCCTGCGTCCTAAAAACCGTAAGATACTGCAGTATCTAATATTGTGCCTTTCACGTATTTTGGCGGGTGACCTGTTAATTCAGGCGGAATTAGAGTCATAAAAGGGCGATCAACGCTTATTTAGTGCTAATTCTGCCTAAGATTGTGAGCGCTTCCCCTAACATCCGCGATCAGCATTTGAGAGCCAATCGACGGAGATAAGAGCAGAATGGCATGGATTGGCGGGTAGGAAACCGCCAATCGCTCTGTTTGCGCCTAATGCAGGCTGGATTAGCTTATTCCGCCTTAACTCGGCCGCTCCTAATTCGGCCACGGAGGGACGACCCGGAATTAACATGGAAATTAGCGAACTCGGGGCATAATTAAGGTCGATAAGGGATTAGAGTTATGCCACGGCAGAATAAGTGAAAGGCACAATATATATATATATATTAGGAAAATTATAGGTGTTTTAGAACACCTTTTAGGTACGTTTTAATCAGCACCGGAAATGCACGTGAGTTCATGTGAGCTACTGCTGCTACTAGTATGCAGCGTATGCAACACGGAGGTTACGCCTGATGTAATCTATGATATGGTTTACGGTATGGTTATCCTGGATGGTTACGGTACGTTGGTTACGTTTTGAGTTTTTACTGAGATAGCTAGTCGCTCACGATGTGGCAGTATTTTGACAAAGTTGAGATTGCCTTCAATAGGACAGGTTTGGATAGCTTTGTTTACAGCGCTGTCAAGCAACTTACACCTATACTGGTTGTAAAGATGAAGGCGTTGCCCAGACTCCTGGTATTAGTCTCCGATGCGTATCTACCGGAAAAGTCGTATTGATAGAGCACCCGGAAAGGTAGAGCACCTAGCACATTGTCTTAGTAAATAGTTCAAGGCCATATTATGCACGGACGAGGTCACGACAGGACGCAATGTAGGGAAAATGTACATCGTATTAAAACACGGTGAGGTGCTTACACAGTGCTTACACAGTTACCTCTTCTACAATGTCCGTGTAGTCTAGATGGCTGCTGCGCTTGGGGGCAGGCGCGCTGGCAGTATTATTTGGAGGCCCATACGGCAGGAAAGGGCCCAGTACAGAGACGTCTGGTCCATATTGAACAGTGCACGTGCAACCGTGAGGCTAGTAATAGGGTCAAAGATACAATGCTGCGTCGCTACCTCAGTCACTTCCTCGACAAATGGCAGCCGCAGAGCTTCCAGCTCTTCTCGAGTCTTGCGGCCTGAGTGGCAGATCCGTCGAATGGTGAGGTGGTGCCGGCGCAGGAAGCGCTGGCACCAGGACTTCTTGACGTCCGGGCTTTTGCCTCCGGCATGAGCTCTGTAGTCATGTCGATGATGAAATCAACCGTTACGGTGTGCTCCAGCCGCTGCTCATCCTTGATAAACACGCACAATGTGTCCTCGATCGGGGCCGTGTCGGGCTTGCGGCCGCTGCCGCTGAGCGTGAGGCGGGAGGCACGGGAGGGAACCGGAGGGAGGGAGGGGCTGGCTCGAGGCTGACGCTGGGACTCTTGGGCCAGGCGGGGATACTTGGGCCCCCAGTTCTGCAGCGAAGGGCGGGGAAAGCCACTTGACTCGGCAAACGCTCTGTGGCTCGTGCCGCTAGCGCGTGCAGCACGCCAGTCTTCAACGGCGCGCGCTTTGAGGCGGTTGGTGTAGTGGGTAGGGATGCGGTCGCGGGGCATGCTGCTACTGGTTTGGAAGTCGGGCTTGTGCTGCTGCTGGAGGTTTGCGTTGTGTGCTTGCCGTCTCGGAGAAGCCGAACAGTTCACGGTGCACGTCGATCAGTCATTTTCTACCTTGTTTTATAAAATGATGTAAATGCTACCGTCTTTTATAGCAATTTTCGCCTTGTCGCAGTACTACCACAATTATCGGAATGATAGAGCACAGCGCAACCCGCAATAGAAAATTGGGGCTCTATCAATACGACTTTTCCGGTAGTATACTTCCCATGATAACTACCGGTCAACTTCCTCATTATGTCTACTGGGCATGAAGAGCTCAAAACCGGCATATACATGTATCGATCTAGTGTTAGTCGTAGGAGGAATGGATAACTTCACTTATTGACATTAGGGCGATATTTTATATGCAACTAAGTTCAATGGTGAAGAGGTTTTGCGTCCACCCTCGACTTAGGTACGACCTACGAATTCTCATCTGATCGAGAGAGATGAGCTTTGTTAATAATGTTTTGAGGTATTCTTATTTTCCTGGATTTCGAGAGGCAGCCAGCCAAGCGTCATGTTCGCGCAGACGTGCCAGTCAGGCTTCATATCGCTCCTGTACAGCGTCGGGTGCGTACGCGACGCCCAGGGCTGTCTTCAATAACATGCCTTACACCTGCAATCGCCTGTCATTAGACTGAACTAACGCTTGCAATCACCGCAGTCCGCGACCGCTGCAGCTCTGCGAGAAGCACGAGGAGGCTCCCGGGTGCGTGCGGCGCGTACTGGATGAAGACGTGCAGTCGTCTGTAGTCGAGCTCTCGGCCGATAACCTCGTGCGCACGTGGCTGCGGTTCCCTTTTGGAGCGGAAGAACAGCACCAAGAGCAAACCCTCTCGGCCTCGCTGCACATTCGGCTGCGGCACCTGGTGCTAGTGCTCAAGAACCTGGAGCAGCACGTATCCGTCGAGGTGCATGTGGCCGACGACCGCGGCTCAAGGAGACGCTTCCGCTTCTCCACGTTCCAGAAGAAGAGCGCCGTCCACTCTCAGATCGCTCTGCTACCGCTGCGGTTGGACAGCGGATGGAACCAACTGCAGCTCGATTTAATGGAGCTCATGCACACCTGCTACAACGCGCGATATGCGCACACCATCAGCGTGCAGCTCCACGCGAGCTGTCGAGTGCGACGGGTTTACTTTGCAGATCAAATGTTTTCGGAAGCACAACTACCTGCCGAGTTTCGTCTGTTCAAGCGGCTCACCAAGCAGCAAACGCCGCAGTACCAGGATCAAGATCGTAGGCGTGAGCTCCAGAGTACCCAAGACGCAGTGTGATCAACGAATACAGCACGCTACAGTTGTTTGTTTTCAAGTGGTTTGCTATTTCTTAACTTGCTAACGCTCGATGGTGGTGGAGCTGACTTATTACAAAGCAACTAACGACATGCAAGATGAATCCAAGCGCAGCCCAGCCACCACAAGGGGCAGAGAGTAATGAAGACGCCATCCCCCTTAAGTGATAACGGTGGGGGCCTTGCGGCCGGTCTTCTTCTCCAGGTCCGACAGCTTCAGGCCCACCTCGATCAGCTTCTCCAGAGCAGCAGCGGCGTTCTGGTCCAGGTTGCCAGTCGGCTCCTCGTACTTCTCGACGTACATACGAATGGTGGCGCCAGCAACGCCCGTGCCCGACAGTCGGAAGACCACACGCGAGCCGCCCTCGAACAGGAAACGGATGCCCTGGTGCGACGACACGCTGCCGTCCACGGGGTCCACGTACTCGAACTCGTCGGCCTTCTCGACCTTGAAGCCGTTGATCTCCTTGCCCACAACAACGTCGAACTTGGTCATCTCCGCGAACATGCCCTCGGCCGCGGCCTTGTCCACGTTCTCGTAGTCGTAACGGCAGTAGTAGTTACGGCCGTACTTCTTCCAGTGGTCACGCACAATGTCCTCCACCGTCACCAGCGGGGCGCCGTCCACCTGCTTCGAAGCCAGGATCGACAGCCAAGCCAGCACGGCCCACATGCCGTCCTTCTCACGAATGTGGTTCGAGCCCGTACCAAAGCTCTCCTCACCGCAGATGAACGGAGTGTAGTCCTCCTTGCCGAACACCACGTGCGAGTCCATCAGGTTGCCGAAGAACTTCCAGCCAGTGGGCACCTCGAAGAAAGGCACGTTCAGCTTCTTGGCGACAAGGTCCACAGCACCACTGGTAGGCATCGAGCGGGCCACACCGCGCAGGCCGTTCTTGAAGAACGGGATCACCGTGCAGTTAGCCGCGATGATGGCAAGCGAGTCCGAAGGCGTGACGAAGAAGCGCGAGCCCAGGATCATGTTACGGTCAGCGTCGCCATCCCAGGCGGCACCGAACGAAGGCGGCTCCTGCTCCTGGCCAGTCACGGGCAGACCCTTGGCGTCCACGCCCATGACCTTGATCAGGGCCTTGGCGTACGTCAGGTTCGGGTCAGCGTGGCCTCCACCGAAGTCCTCCAGAGGACTGGCGTTCTGCAGGCACGACTCGTTGCAGCCCAGCTCCTCCACGAACACGCGGCGGGCGTACGGACCGTTCACGCCGGACATGGCGTCCACCACGAAGGTGAAGTCCTCACGAGACACGAGCTTCTTGATAGCGTGAAAGTCGAAGATCTGCTTCAGCAGGTCCACGTGGTGCTCAGCCGAGTCAAACACCTCAACCGTGATGGTACGGCTGCCATCGTCCGAGGCGACGGAGGTCGTGCCGATCTTGGTCACGTCAACCGTGGGGAAGTCGGCGGCGATCTTGTACGACGTGATGACCTTGGACAGGGCGAAGATCTCGTTCGTGACCTTCTCGGGGGCGGGGCCGCCGTTCTCGCAGTTGTACTTGATGCCGAAGTCCTCGTTCGGGCCACCAGGGTTGTGGCTGGCCGAAAGGATGAATGCACCGAAGGCGACGCTGCCACCCTCGCGCTCACGCACGACAGCCGACACGCACGGCGTGCTGAGCAGACCGTCCTTGCCGATCCACAGACGGTCGACACCGTAGGCGACGGCCATCTTAATGATGATCTGGATGGCCTCCTTGTTGAAGTAACGGCCATCGCCGGACACAACCAGGGTGCCACCATTCAGGTCCTTGGCGGGGAGCGCCTCGAACACTGAAGCCACGAAGTTCTGGAGGTAGTTGTCGCTCATGAACGTCTTGGTCTTCTTACGCAGACCCGAGGTACCGGGCTTCTGGTCCTGGAACGGCGACGTCTTGACCGTGGTCACCTTGAGCTTTCCCAGACCCTTCTGCTCGGTCAGGTCCACCGTGGTGTCCTTGTACGTGCCGGCCAGCACGGTCTTCTGCTCAGAGCTCTTGTTGACGACCTCCACGCTGCCGTCGAACACAACACCAGGCGCGAAGCCGACGTTGCCGACGATCTTCAGGCGGTCGCACTTGATCAGCGACGGCACGTTGCCACGCACCGCAGCCTCGAGCTGCTGCACCAGCTTAAAGTTCTTCGAGTCCAGGGACACGATGGGGGCCACACCCTCGCGCTCAGGGGCGATCACGGGGCGGTAGTCCTCCGTGATGACGTACGCGTCCGAACGCAGAAGGATCAGGTCATCGCACTTCTTCACGGGGGCGAAACGCGTGCGCGGCACGCACACGGCGCCAGCGCCGTCGAAGCACTCGATGGCGGCACCCATGGCCGTCTCCAGCTGGAACACGGGGGTCGAGCTCGAGTCCTTGGGGTCCACGGTCTTCGAGTTCTTGATCATGGGCAGGCGGATGACGCCGCCCTGCTTCTTCAGCTCCTCCTGCAGCTTGTCCAGACGGATCCACAGATTGTTCGTGTTGAAGTAACGGTGCTTGGTGATGTTCTGGAACTCCTTCTCGTCCTCGTCAGCGCACTGAGCGGACTCACGGAGGATGAGGCGACCGTCGGCCGTGCGCTCGGCCAGGTGGCCACCCTTCTTGTCGTTCTCCGTGCGCTCGCAGCACTCCATGAGGAAAGGCTTGCCAGACTGCGCGAAGTACGTCAGCAGGTCCAGGTCCAGGGTGGCGCCCAGGTTGTCCGAGTTTGACACGAACATGTACTTGACGCCCTCGGCCACGAGCTTGTCGAGCTTGCCGGAGCCGGCCAGAGACGCGTACAGGTCGCCGTGTCCGGGCGGGCACCACTCCTTGGCGGGGTTGGCCGCGTACGTGGCCGGCTCCATGGTGGCGGCGTTCACCTTGGGCACCTTGTTCTGGAGCAGCTCCAGGGCCTCGTCCTCGACGAGCTCCGGGTACTTCTGCAGGTACTCGAGGGTGTCGGCGCTCGTGCTGAAGCTGTTCATGAGCACGAACCGCACGTTCGACTTGTGGGTGGCGCGCAGCTCCGTCACCTGCTTGGCCATGATGTCCAGGAAGGTGTCGTCGCCCTTGACCGTCAGCAGCGACTTGGCCTTGTCCAGGCCCATGCTGGTGCCCAGGCCGCCGTTCAGCTTGAGCACGACGGTCTCCTTGAGCAGCTCCGGGTCGGCCTTGACGGACTCGCGGATGCTGCCCTCCTTGTTCTCGAGGTAGGGCAGGTTGTCCGCAGGCTTGATCGAGTCCTCGGCGATCATGCCCGTCTCGCCGCTCACCAGGGCGTCGTACGAGTACTCGAACGCCTTGATGGCCTCGGTCGAGAGGCCCGCGGCCTGCATCTTGGCGCGGTACGCGTCAAACGGAGCCATGTTGCTGTTGCTGGGGTTAGGACGGCCGCGCAGCGCCGGTAAAGGGAACTTCCAGCCGAAGATCTTCGTCTTTGCGCTCGATGTTCCAAAAGAGGAATGAGCCGAGGGGGAGCAGGATCGCGGCGGGTGCGACATGATTAGTGACATACTTGCCCTTTGTATGATGTTTTATGATGGGTTGTACCCCGCGACAGTGACGAAGCGGGATTTAATCCCGCCCGCGACGCACGCACGCTCGAGTGAATCAGGTTTTTGCTGGTACCTGCAGGCAGGTGCATTGGCGGCCACCTTTTGCGGGAGCTCTGCTCTGCTTGGTCGAGCACGTGAGACAATTGGCTGGCTGCGGCGGGCGTACCGCGGTTGAAAAGAAAAAGCTGACGAGGTCGGAAGGAATCCGAGCCGGTGGCGGCGCGGCTTCCCCCAGCCTTGACGAGCTTTCTGTTTGGCCTTCGCGGACACCGCCACGGTGTCTTGACACTTGCGCATGGGGCGAGAAACGAGGCCTCGTGTTGTCGAGTGCTTCCACGTGGCTGGCCAAAAACGTTAAGGAATCGCGATGCGAGACTTGGGCAACTATTATGCGGTATCAGAGGTCGGTCGTCGCGTCGCCGAGACTTGATTTTTGCATGGACCCGGCTAAGTGCGGAAATCAGGAATCTTGCCACCCAAGCGGCGGCGGTCCAAGCGGCGGTCCACGTGCGTGGCGGATCGGCGAGCGCAACCAACATGAGCTCGGCATTTGCTTGATGTGAGCTCGGTGGAGCTCCGTGTGATGAAGCGCCTTGGCGGCGAGCGCTGCTGCGCTGCAGGACACCTTGCGATCGCAGGCTGTCATGCTGGATTGTTGAAGCTGTAGGCATTTACGATGGGGAGAAAAAGATCGGCGAACGCTGCTCTGCATTTTTACCGAGCTGCATAGAGTGCGTTGGCAAGGACGCTTCTCGGGGCGTCGTTGTGCCGCAGCGCTCGACAAGGCGCAGCGCCAGAGAGATCTAACATAGCATGCCGCTCGACTGCAAAATGCAGGCGCTCTATCTGTACGTTCGGCCGACGATGCCCGGCGATATTCGGGCGCGGCGCTGGCGATTGACGATTTCGCTGTGGTTCCGCTGCCGCCGCTGGGAAGTTGTTACTCGTCCGCTGCGGAGGAGTTTAAACGCTCCTGCAAGGCAGAGCTATCTGCATCCTCGTATCGCGCTGGCTGATGCGACGAGTACCATCCGAGCTTGCGCTGATCTGCATTCAAGACGAGGGTATCAGCTCAGGTTCCGCTGCATCATCGCTACTGTAGCCAACACAGCTGCACAGGAAGCTGTTACGACACACACACTCACAGCTTCGCTTCAAGCACACTTGCCGCTTGCAATACAGCAGGTTTGTTTTCTCGCAATCGACGAGGTTGCTGGAGTACCCGCTTGAGCCGTAGACGTCGCTCACACAAGCGAAACGTAGTGAGAGGAGCGCCACGAGTCGTCCAGTAAAGGCAATCCAATCACAAATTCTTGCCTGCACGCAGCCTACCTGTCCTCGTGACGCCAATGCTGCGCAAGCCTCGCCAGCGCCGTCCGCCAGCGCGAATTGGAAGTGAGCCCCGGGTCTCCTTTGGGTATCTTGAAAGATCGCTGCACCCACCGAGTGTCGAATCTGACGTCAGCACAGCTGGAAGGAATCGAAGGTTAGTGGTCTGGGACACGTCGTCCGAGTCACTCCTCGGGTGTGGGCCACACGAGCCTATTACCAGGCATATTCAGAACTACTATAAAGCATTAACTTCAACTTGCTGGATCTTCCAGGTGGAAAGCACCCATAGCGCCGCCACGTTCGTCGTGCAGCTATCCGATGGCAGCATTCTGCTGCCGCCATCTGCAAGTATGCCGGTATTGCCTAGCGCATTTGTGTCCACCAGTGCAAAGTCAAGTCCCTGGTCTTGAAATAACCTACCGGATACCTAAGCAGAACACTTCGGAGTACAGTGAAGAGCAGCGCAGGAGACCGGGTTCCTGCCCACGATGTAAACTAGAAGACGAGGAAACTCCAAAACCCGCACATTTGAGTTACAACCGGCATACCACTACAAAATCTGCATGATTCGAGGCTCAAATCAATGCACACTGAAGTAAATATAGCACGAAGCTAGCGCAGCGAGCCGCGCGCTAGGGCTTATTTCCTTGACAGCAAGGGTTTTTTTAAGCTCGCGTGTAGGGTGATAGTTTTATTGGTGTTTGGAAATGCTTCTCCTGCTGAAGACAATGCTTCGACGCCGTTTATGAGCCGAGTGCACAGAGTGCTTAGTAAACCCAGTACAAACCACGTCGAGCTCACACGAGCATTGGCGAATGTAGCGTTCGTGCGCACCGCTGATCCGGTTATTCATCTATGATTCAGGCGCTGGTATGCAGGTTTTGCAGTGGTATGCGGGTTTTGGAATATCCTCGCAGTGTTGGTAGCACAGCTCATTTTTTTTCGGAGAGTAGCCTCTCGACTTGTTACGAAATGCCAGAATATGCACGATTCCAGTCAAGAAACGCCTTCATATCGTGGTTACGTTGAGAGGGTCGTTAGTAGTGGGTCATGGAACATTACGCCGGCAGTTTTTTTCCTTACCGTAATTTACCACCGAGAACATTCCTGAAACCTTCTTTCGGGACAGCAGCGATTTCAACGACGACCCCTCTCGACCACTAGCCACGTCTTTTCGATATGAGGGTAGTTTTAGAACGCTCAAGTACTGAGATCTAGCAGCTGCTATTTTGACGACGCAACCTCTCGACCGCCTTATAGCGAGAGCCACGTCTTTTGTTTCTTAGGGCATTTCGGGACCGCTCGACCGACAACGTTCTAACTACATTGATAAAAAAGCAATAGCCAAGGACCAGCGCGACGTGGCGTCTCATCATTGGTTGAAAATCTATGTCACACACCTTCATGTCCGCTTAAGTACGCCAGAAATTCTCCCTCCCTTCTTCCTTCTTCCTTCTTCCTCATTCCCGGCTCGAGGAAAGATGGTGATGCTGTTCTGTGCGATCGTCGGCGCTGGGGGAAGCCCATTCCCTGTGGACATTGACGAGGAGAAGTCGGTGGGCCACTTGAAGGACGCGATCAAGGCGAAGAAGCCGAACGACTTCAAGGACGTCGACGCAGACAAGCTGCAGCTCTTCCTGGCGAAGACGGCGGACGGCGCGTGGCTCTCATCGAAGGACCCTGATGTGATTTCTATGCGAAGTGGAGGCATTCCTGAACAAGTGAAGACACTGCTGAACGTGGAAATGGACCCAGCAGATGAGATTGGCGACGTGTTTGAAGGTGCTCCAACGAAGAAGACGATTCACGTGCTGGTGGTGGTTCCGGAGCAAGAACACGCACAAACTGGATTGTGGCTTGTCACTGGATCCGTTGACAACGCGCTGAACACGAAAGGGATTCGCTGCAAACTGTACTGGATGGCGACGTTACGCATTGGATACTACGATCCTACGCGCTGCATCGGCAACAAGAATGTCGCGTTTTGGTATGAAGACAAGAAATTGTGTTTTCATGTTTTATTCGAGACAAGTACGTGCTTCTATATGCTGTCGCTGCATCGTAATACTGCTTCATTGAGGGCTAACTCTGTTTCTTTTATAGAAAATGCTGCTTTGCTGTTCGAAACTGACTTAAGGACTGGGCCACAAACGCTGGGCTCTCCGTTAACTAACCAGGTTGTTGAGACGCGTGTTGCACCAGCTAACGCTGTGTCTACTGATCTCCAGCGCGTCTTCTACTGCGACTACGTTCCAGACGATTCGGAATCTCCTCAAAACACAGTTTCATCGATATCGTTGACTACAAGCGTTTCGAATCTGGACCCATCGACTGACGAGTTTCGTTTTCAGCGGATTGAGGACGAGAAGTTCTTCCTACCGTACGGCAAGGCAGAAAGCTGCCATTTGGTGTCGAGAAAGCAAAGCAGAGACCACAAACGGGAATTCGCCAAGTACGATCGCGACTCAAACAACAGGCTTGCGCTTTCTCGCGAAATGCATGGTTGGTTCGACGGTATGAGCATTGAGGTTCCCATCGTCAACATGCTACCCGGATCTGTTGAAGAGAATCAATCCATTGGCAACAGACGCAAGGTACTGTGTGAGCGCGTAGTTCTGGTGTGTGTAAGTTTACTGACATTTGCGTGTAGGTCGAGGTCTTCGTGAAGGTTCTGGATGCTCAGTGCACAGATCGCGTTTTCAGTCGTTTGAAAGGAGGATCAACCAGGACGGACGATCCGCTCATGATGAAGACGTTTGTTCACGTGGAGGATCCAGAAACATTTTGTTTGTGCATGAGGTGGAAGCACGACGATAATGCGGAGCGTTGGAGAAGCTTTTGGGATATGACTCCTGCGGTCGATTGAATGGAATAATGTGGCTCCCGAGTTAAATACTTCGAAGTAGTATTTGATTTCTTGACATACTTTGATCCTGATAAATATAAAGTTAGTAATATACAAAGATGGCGTACTCTCCTGAGCAATACCAAGCTAGCAAGGAACGAATCAAAGCAGCGCAGAAGCGCTACTACCAGCGCACACGCGAAGCCCGTTTATCTTATCAAAAAGACAACGATGACAAGAACAGAGACCAGATTCGAGCTCGCAAGCGTAAACCCAAAACCGAACTTATTGATGGTGAAGTCGAACTTAATAATGAAACCGAACTTAATTAATTAATTAATTTTTTTCCTCGGATAAAAAGTCGCCTATGATATAAAGTCAATCCTGATACAAGACCCAATATTATAAAGTCGTTTTTTCGGAGAATAATATAGCCACCGATATATAGCAATGTTCGCATACGAGCTTGAAGGTCTTAAGAGATTAAATATTAACCCAATCCGATGGGGTAGCAGCTACCGTATTAAGGTACGTGGCAAGACGGGGCGCATGGTATACATTAGCAACATTTCCCACCCCATCAACCAAAAATTGGTAGCGAAGCAGTACAAGATCAGTCTAGGCAAGCTCCAAAAGAATTTGGCTGCTGATTTCAAGGAAGACAGTAAGTACCGCTTCTACCAAGGCAAACACATGGAGTCGCACCTATATGAGGGAATCCAGCCTGCTGACTTCTACGACAAGCTTGAGAACGTGCTTGCAACCCAGAAGTCTGCCTTCAAGGTCAACATCGCTCTTGGATACAAGCTTGTCAGCAGAACCGATGACAGCGAGACTCGCTACTTCCACCCCAATATTAGCAACACATCTGTATTTAGCACTCCTGTGGCTATCAACAGCAAGGCTGATATTCGTAAGAAGGTGATCTCGGAGATTCGCTCCATGGAGTTGGCTGACAAGCTCAACTACCCCAGATCCAGGTACATGGTGAAGGGTATTACTGGCTTCAAAATCTATATCTACCAGCGCGACCATGCGCTGGGCGATAGTGAGGCTGTCATTCCTAAGGTGATCCGCGATAACAAGCACGTCATCAACTTCCCCAAGACGAATAACAAGCGTGTCTTCCACTGCATTGCTTATCACAAGCAGGAGGGAGCCAAGAAGGATCCTCGCAGAATCCAGGCTCTGGTGAAACAAGCCTTCAAGCAGTACTGTTCGTACAAGGAGATCACCTACACTCTGGGTCTGTTCCGCAATTTCAAGCTATCGACATTCTCCAATTCGATGAGCTTGAGGAGTGCTTCAAACTGAACATCAACGTCTTCAACATGGATGTTGAGACGGGCAAGGTTGAATGCATTCGCTGCTCGGACAAGGACTATGATTCGATCAACATCCTGTCGCACGAGAATCACGCTCTCTACATCACGAACGTTGGTATGCTCCAGCAGAAGTACCAATGCTCTATGTGTGAGATGGTGTTTGTTAGCTCTGATAAGCTACGCAACCACACTAAGAACCAATGCGAACTCGTGAACATCGAATCGTTCCCAGCTCAGCCAACCATCTACCAACCCGCTCCGAACAGCATTTGTTCCATGCTGACTAAGTACTCCATCAAGGATGCTGACCATTACATCGATCACTTCATTGTCTATGATTTTGAGGCTATCCTCAAGCCTACGGGTGTCAAAAACGAAGAGAATACTATCTTCACAAACGAACACATTCCTGTGTCTGTTTCCGTGGCCGACAGCTTGACTGAGGAGGTGCGATGCTTTGTCAGCGATGACCCGAAGGAGTTGCTCAAGGATATGTTCCAGTACATCAAGGAAGTTGCGGCTAAGATTCAGCAGTACAACGTCTCGAAGTATGAGTCTTTGCTCCGCAAAATCATCAACGTCCATGGTTTGATTGACGCTGAGGTTCCTGGTCTAGACTTGGGTAAGACGTACAAGATGGATGATGTCAATGCTTGGATTCAGAACGGGGAGTTTGCTTGTTTTTTCGATTTCCACAGCAAGCTCACATTCGGTAAGAAGCGCTCGGATTATGGCAAGCTGAAGCAGTGCATTCATTGGTCAGGTACCAGGATTCGGATTCAACTCTGGACGCTACGACATCAACCTTATCAAGGCGGACCTGTTTGCAGTCATCGGTACTGACAACATCACATCAGTCATCAAGAACCCTAGCTACATGTGCATCGCCACGTCAGACATGAAAATGCTTGACATTAGCAACTATGTTCCGGCAGGCAGCAGCTATGCAAAGTACTTGTCGACATATCTCGGTGAGTACAAGTGTGATGACAAGATTCGATGCGTCTGTGGCCTAGGAAAAGGCATCTTCCCGTACGAGTACATTACTTCATTTGACGTACTCAGTCAGCCGGAAGTCCCTCCTAAGTCGGCGTTCGACAGTGCTCTTCGTAGCACTAGCATCAGCGATGAGGACTATGTGCGGGTACACTTCGTCTGGGAACACTATGGCATGAAGTCAATCAAGGATCTACTCATTTGGTACAACAACCTCGATGTAGTACCCTTCATCAAGGCCATCAAAGCCCAGCGAGAACTATTCAAACGTTTCGAACTTGATATGTTCACTGATGGTGTGTCGCTACCTGGTCTCTCTGAGAAAGTCATGTATCAGACGTGCTTCAACAACCTCCAGCAACCAAGTAAGGAGCCTGCTGAAGCGTTTGACTTTCCCGCTAGTCGCTTAAGTGGATATAAGACCCAGGATGCTGATGCCGATCGTGAATTCAATATGACGCTAGAACACCTCAACGACTTGCTAGAGCGACAAAAGTACCTGTGTGGGCTATGCTACAAGCAACGCACAGCTGATACTGCCTCGGCTGACCGAATCAATAACAAGCTCGGACCCATCGATGGTAATATCTTGATCAGCTGTGTGGGATGCAACGTTGCTCGCAAGAACATGTCGCTAAAGGGCTTCCGCCACAAGAAGCTACTTGAATTCAACTCAGACAGGTTGGTGTACAGTGTCGATAGAGAGGAGAAGGACATCAACACCAAGATGAAGGCGAACATTGCTGGTGGTCCTTCTATCATCTTCAACAGATACGCGAAACGCAACGAGACCAAGATTCGAGGGGGTAGGTTCTGCAAAAAGATCATCGGCTACGATGCTAATGCTCTGTATTTGTGGGCTCTTGGTAATGAGATGCCATGTGGACGGTTGACTACCATCGAATCATACACAGGGATCGTCGATGATATTGTAAATGACAAGATCTTTGGCTTCCTCGAGTGTGATATCCGTACACCAGAGCACCTCAAACCCTACTTCAGTGAAATGACCCCAATTTTCAAGAACACCCTTATCGACCGCAGCGATCGGAGTGTCATCGGTCAGCACATGTTCGAGTACAACGAGGAGCGCAAGCAAAGCCGAGCAAAGCCACCTCGCAAACTCATCGGGAGCTACTTTGGTGAGAAGATCCTCATTTATGCACCGCTACTCAAATGGTGCATTTCTCATGGTATGGAGATCACCAAGACTTACAGCTTCATCAAGGCTAGCTCCCACAAGGCATTTGTACCATTCATGGAAGCCGTATCGAGCGCGCGACGAGAGGGTGATGAAAATGTTAAATCCATCTGTAAGATCATTATTGAGAAGGTATCTGACTCTGATATGGATGATTTAGTCCAAGAGTTGAAAAAAATCATTACGAACCCTAAATCATTTGATGCGCTCATTATCGATAGATTCATGAATGAATCGACAACCAATCCTAAGATTCATTTGGTCCTAGACTTGTTGACTAAGCTGAAAACGCTTAGTGAGGGTAGCAATAATAAGGCTATGATTGCTGAGATGATGAAACTGGTTGGTAATAGTGCGTTTGGTCGATCTGGCATGGACATGAGCAAGCACAAGGAGGTCAGGTATGAGTCGGACGATAAGGCAATCAAGGCCAAGATTGAGCACTTCACCTTCCATGGAATGGAAGAGCTGAATGATTCATGTGAATTCACTATGAAGAAGCGAAGGCTCAACAAGAAGAACCCAATTCATCTATCGATTGCAATCTATCAGCTCGCTAAGCTCCGTATGTTGCAATTCTACTATGATTGCATTGACTTCTACTTCGACCGTTCCGAATTTCAGTACCAAGAAATAGACACAGACTCGGCTTATATTGCGTTTAGCTGTGAGAAGCCATTCGTTGAGTGTATCAAGCCCGAGCTTCATGAGCATTTTCAGCAGCATAAGTACGAGTGCTTCCCACGTGATTATAGCGAAGAGATGGCTCAGTTTGATCGCCGAACGCCAGGTTTGTTCAAGGATGAGTGGTCTGGTGATGCTATGGTAACATTGTCCTCTAAGAACTACATTTGCTACCTACCAGACGAATCTTACAAGGTCAAGGTTTCCGCGAAGGGAGTGCAGCAGAATGGTGGTCGAAACGGTAATATCCTCAGCCCAGATGGCTTTGAATCAGTTGTTCGCGGTCGCATCACGCTACAGGGCACTAACAAGGGGTTTAGACTTAGTAAGGAGAGTAAGTCAATCATTACGTACACCCAGATTAAAACAGCTCTAAACTACTACTACGACAAGCGTCGTGTACTTGCGGATGGTATCACCACCGAACCGCTAGACATATAAGCAACTACCTGGCAGGGTTTTTTTTTGTTTTATAACCATATAGAGCGATGGACCAGCTGTTGTCCAAAATATACTATGACCCCAAAACGGGCTATGTGGGTGCCCAAGCCTTGTACCAGAAGGCTAAAGAACTGGAGCCGAAGATTACGATGAAAATCGTCAAGGAATGGTACTCAAACCAGAACGATATTCAGCGATTTCAGGAGCAGAAGAAGCGATACGATGGGTTCAAAATCGCATCGACTAACCCCAATTCGTGGCAGATGGACTTGGCGTTTTGGGAGAAAAGACCAATCTTGACTGCGATCAACATCAACTCTCGCCTAGGCTACGCAAAACTACTAACCAACAAAACTGGCCCGACCGTACTAGCAGTAATTAGGGTTTTTGTCCGCCTCCATAAGGTTGACATTCCCCAAAATTAGTACGACAATGTGGTCCACATTGAGACTTTGGTTAGACACAAGGTCAGACATTTTCCGTGGTCTCAATTCGTCTCCCTGTTTGAGTGTGTGACCAGGGAGCAAACCGCAATTCGCACAGAAGAAGTCAGATACTTGTCGAACCAGAATGGAAGGCCATGATTGGGAGAAGTTAGAGCGCACCGTGCGCGAGATTCGCGACAATACCGTCACCGCACGCTCACGCGCCACGTACCAGAACTCGTACTGCCGTTTCCTTGCTTGGCTTGTCCGCAACAAGCCGCACCTCGCACCCCAGCCATTTCTCGAAGCCCTCGGTAATACGGCTGACGGAAGCCTGCAGCAGCTGCGCACTACGATCAAGGCCCTCGTCACCCAGGATCGCCGTATTGTCCCTCAGGACTTTGCGGCAGTAGCGAAGCTACGCAGCTTGATACTGTCCAGGACATCATATCAGAGCTGGAGAAGAGGGCTATCGGAGCAGGGACAGTTACTTACGACGGGCTGAATGACGCTATTAGGGCATGCCTTCGCGATACCGGTGTTGCTGGCCTTGTTGAGAAGCTAGCAAGTGCGCAGGAGCCGGTCGTCGAGGCGAGTGGTGCAGAGGCCGAGCGCCAGATGTGCCACTTCTGGGGTGGCAAATTCCGTCGCGTGTCTGCTGAATTTGGGATCCCTGACTGCTCTGTTCGTCATGCATGGGTGCTTTGGATGTGTGGAAATAAGGCCAAGCAAATTCCACCTCTCCGCCTTCTCGACGGCCGCGATATGCCTAGTCGAATGCTACAAAAGCCCCTAAGCCAGCTCCGCTTTCTCATGCGCAAGATCGAGAATGATGAGCATCTAAAAATCTGCTTCAACTTGGCCAGTCCATCGACGCAGCGACTCAAGTCTTCTTAGCCTGTGCGGATAGCGTCACCGTGGACGATATTACGGAACGCTCACGAAACGCCGTCGTGGGCAACTCAGCTGGGCGACAGTAGAAAAGCTACTGCGAAAAAAAGCAAAAAGAACAGTCAACTAATGATGATCCATAGCAATGAGAACAATCATGACGCGCTTATGAGAACCACGTTATTTGCATTTGATATTACCAACTGCTCATTGCTGCTCAGCTCGTGTATAGCCTCGTTGATTGCTGAATAGGGGCATGGGGAGCAATGATAACTCGGTCTTGACCAGCGCGCCCTTGAGCCCCACGATGTCCGAGCGTGTGGTGCTCTTCGGAGGTGATCGTGAACACGAGCAGCTCTTGTGCCACGCGCAGCTTGAGGTCCTCAATGTGCACATTCTTGTGGCTGCGCTAGCCGTCCTTGTCCTGTTCTCCTGAGCGAGCCGTGGTCTTGATGGGCGCGAAGTGGCGCGCGTGTTTGGGCTATCGATGATGATGGTGCTGGCCTAGTCGTCCTGCAAGTTCATGAGCTCGTTGACCATCAGGTGCTTGCGGTTCACGACCTTGCCCATGGTGCCGCCGACCCTGATGAGCTCGCCGACTTCCCTGAGATTAAAGGTCATTGAGAGCTTACCTGGCAAACGTTGCTGAAGTAACTGCGCGGGCGCGGCGCGGTCGCCACCAGCAGCATCTTGCACGTCGCCGGGGCCATGACTCCAGAAGGAGCTTGCACGTCGCCGGGGCCTAGCACATGTCGGCACTTGCAATCAGTAGGGGAAGCGCCGAAGAGCTCTGTGTCTTGCGCCGAACGTTCGCTAATGCGACCAACAGAGCCTGCCAAAACGCCTTTGCTCAACACTACCTATCAAACATAATATATATTCTGCTGTCTGACATTTGTCTAACGAGTTCCGTCTAAGAATCATTCTCACAACCGATAATGGTTCAGAATTCATGAACCAACAGGCTCAGAAATTATTCAAAACTAAGAAAATTGACCATTTCAACAATGAGCCTGGAGATGACGCCAAAATGGGTAAAATTGAACGCTTCAATAGAACTCTGAAGCAGCGCCTTGTCAAAATCGAACCAAAGCGACTAACCCAGAAGCTCATAGCTGCTGTTATTGAGAGCTACAATAGCACGACCCATCGGACGATTGGTGTGACCCCCAACGAAGCTAAAGGTAAGGTAATTGAATCTGAACTAGTCCACAACCAGGCTGAAGCCGAGAGGGTTGAAAACGAGTTCGAGGTCGGTGAAAAGGTTTTGTATCGACTAAAAACTAAAACATTTGATAAAGAAGCAGCAAGATGGTCTAAGGCTGTGTATTCGGTGGTAGGTATTGATGGCTACCGCATCCAAATCAAGTCGAAAAACGGACACACTCTTTACAAGGGGCCAAACGATCTAAAAATTGTTAAAGCAGAAACATCTGAAGCTACTATCAACAGAGGTGATATTTTAGCGGTGGAGAAGATCTTAGACCACAAAAAGATGCGATCCCGCAAGTACAAGTATCTCGTTCAGTGGGTCGGTAATGAACTTGAATCCTGGGAGCCACAAGATAATCTTAGATTAGTCAATAAGAACAAGAGATCAACCTTAGAGAATGAGTACTGGAAGTCGATAAAAAATGAGTCGAACTAGCTTCGAAATAAGTTTAATAGAGCAATCTTCTGTAAGCGTTGACTCGTCTATATCTATCAATCTATTTTCCAAAAATAATGCTTAAAAATATATGACTTCATATATAGAATGTGTTGCAACTGCGTAGAGAATCAACGTGAGCTTGTACAGCTCCGAAGAAAGCTGTGGATAATTCAAGAGGTTAGTCGAATCAAAAATGAACCAGAGATTTAGACCCAGTAGCCAATTTCCGGAAACTGTGTGCAATCTACAGTACCGCGACCAGTTAGAAACGATATTTGGTGTGCCGTTTCATTACGTCAAGGATCGATACATCAATCTCCTCAATGAGCGAAACCGTATCTGTCATACGTATCAACCATTTAGGCATGACTCCGTTATGCCAAGCTATTGGTGAGTATGTATTTAATCGATGCTAATATTTTTTTATGACTACCATGATATAGTTAGACGATGTTTCCCAACTTTACATCCCTCGCTCAACGAGAGCAAAAGCGGCAGGAGCTACTCGAACGAGCTGAGCGCCGAGTTCGTCAAGCCAAGTCCGAGCGCCTTATGTACGAAGGTGCATCATGGGCTAGCGATATCGCGAATGGTATCACTACTGTTCCAAAGAAATCAACACAATCCGCTCAGTCTGATATTTCGGTTGGCCCTGACGAGGCTACGCCGGAAGAGTTAAAAAAAGTCTGAATATTGAAAACTCCCAAAAAAAACCTGAGTCCTCAACAATGATAGATGCTGAAGTTAATGCAACACCTGAAATGAACGATGCATCGACTACTGCAAAGCCTCAGTCCGTTGATGTTTCCAGTACTGCTAAGCCCAAAACCAGTGATGGTTGGGTCCACGTGAGCCCCGATATGACTGATGTTGGAGTTGATAATAGTGCAAGAATGACAGATGCTGGTGTTGGCCCTGATAGTCCACTGCCGCAAAAGCCCGTCGAAGAAGATTTGTTCGACGAAGGCAATGCTGAGATGAAAAATCAAACAAAGTCAAAGGAAGCGGTCGCTAAAATCTTCGAGGTTTACCCCATCCTTGCAGAACTAAATATTCACCCTATTGCTTCCAACGGCCGGCAGCTTACTAAGTATTATATTGGGATGGATGCTAAGGTGTACAGTATTAAACTGAGAAAATATGTACTAGTTCCGAGCATTGATTGGTCTGAGACGTATGACCATATTGGTGAGGTATTAATTAATGATGTCAGATTCCTCGCATACGTCAATGAGAAGGAGCGACGTAATGAGATGGGTAAAGAGGACAAAAATAGCCCATACCAGGTTTGGCAAAATATTGGCTCAAAAAGAAAAAGAATCAATGCCTCAGAAGGAGATTATTCAAACCGCTCTAAGCAGAGACTTGACGACAGTTTTGTGTTCGATACTGGAACATCCACAAGATCCGATCAAATGGACAGCAAGCTCAAATTATTTTGGACAATTAGCAAAAATAGGGAAGTCCTTGAATCTAACGGATTGATAAAGAAGATTGTACCAATTCTTAATGGTTCCGCAAAATCTTCTCCTATTGACAAAGATGGCTATGTTTGGATCAATGGCAATAGCATTAGCGTTTACGGGAAAGATAGCGATCGTGTGAAGCAAGCAATCACTCAGAAAGTGAACTGGATAATGACATTCCAATCTTTTATTAATATGACTAAAGCCAGGGGCCTCGAGTTAGAACTAGTTGGTAGCAATGAAACCAAACACATAAATGATTTTACCCCAGCTAATGGTGAAGCTCAGCATGGGTTAATGAGTGGTATTGATGAAGACATGGACCCAAGCCTATCAAACGCTGATAACGACGCCAAGAATATCTTAACTGATTACTACAGCCAGTTGCACGGTAATAGTAATATTCCATTTCGGCTACAACCAATCGTGATAATCAACGGTGTTGTTAAGTCCCATCCATCATACTACTTTGGGCAGCCATCGGGGTCTAGACCCCTAAATATTTTAAATCGTGAAAACAAATCACACAAGCAGGTGAGTGGTGTAGCTTGGAAGGGGCTAATGAAGAATATCATGTGGATGGATACCTTTTCGTCCCTACTCAACGGGGTTGAGGACTTGGACCGCTATCTTAATGAGGTTGAATACCCCTTCCCATCGAGCGATGAAGAAGCAGCTAAGATACTTGAAGAAAAGGAGCTTGATAAGAAAGGACGTAAAAACCTGGATGCTATTGAAATATTGAATGAGGCTATTCTAAAGTCTGTACACGATATTAGACAGCAAAGCGTTGAAGAGTATGAATACGATGACAGCTTGCAAAAGCTTCATGATGAGTCAGAAGCAGCTTTTCAGACATACCGCGAGGCTCAGAAACGCTATGAAGAAGCAAAAGAGGCTGTTATGGGGAATAACTCAAAAGCAGCGAGATCGGTGTTGAAGGCAGCTACATCAGCTATGAAGGCGACAAAATCGATATATCAAACGAAGGCTAAGCGATACGCCGAGGCAAGCGAGGTATCCGGCAGTGGCGTTAAACGAAAGCTTCAAGGTCGAGGATTGCGCGGTGCAGGTGTTGCCCCGCTGGAAGGTGTAGTTCGCCGAGGCCGTACCTACAATCTCAATGAGATCCAAGGATTAGCAACGCCGTCAGCCTACACATACAAGCAGATCGGAAGCAAGTATATTCGTATCCCCGACCTTGATGCTAAAAAGCTCGTGATCGTTCAGCCGAATCGGCGTTAATGTGGTCCTAAGTGGGAAATCAGTGATAGCCTCCAAGCCATGATGAAGGCACTTGTCTATAAGAACCGTATCGATCAATCCGCTTACGATAAGCTCAGCGTTGAAGATAAGAAACTGTTCAAGGAGGTTCTATTGATTACTCATCTCCAATACAGCTTCCACGATAAGTTAGAGGATCCTCTAGATACGCTTAGGGCTGAATACGATAAGCTAAAAGGAGAGCTACAACTCCGAAATGACAACCCCAGTATCGTCAAGCAGCTCAAGTCTCTCACAGTGGATATGTACAGCAATCGACTAATTGATGATAAAGAGTTCAAAGATATTATCACCCGTTTATTATAAAACCATGTTCTTCTTCAACTCGCGCATTATATCCAGTTCCGGAGGCACCTATGGTGACAATAGCGACCTCAACGTCGCTGAGTTGAAAGCTATCATGAAGAACCTCATCATTCATGATCGTCCCCAGAAGACCCAAGCCGCTGTGTGGGCTACTGACCTCGACAAGTCGACCAAGAAGGTGGAGGCATCTACCCAAACGGAAGGCGGCCGAGTCTGGGCTTACCAGCCAAAAAACAGTCAAAGTCTGTGAAGACATTTGCTCTATAGAGCAGAGCGGATATACTTAGATGTCTACGTCTGTTTTCTACTCGCGAAAGAGTCTGATTTTTTTATCTCCGATATCGATAGCCATGACAGCATTCTTGCCACTATGTACGTTGTACATTGGGATATAAGCATTATTCCCTATCGAAACCACTCCAGCGTGCATCGTTATTGAACCGATGACTTGGCCAGTTTCAGGGTTAGTCAGGTTCTTTTTGATCGTTTTACTTGGTCCACAGCCCATGATACTCTATTACAACGAAGTACTCAAGATCGGCTCTATATTTATCGGTGCGAAATTATCCCTGAGCCAATACCATATATAACCCTCTCGTGGAATTCGACAATTCGATCACATTGTAGTTGATCAGTATCAACGACATTAGCGTTAGTAGTCTGAGGGCAAGCGGTCTTCGCCACGAACTGGGTTTGACAGATACCATTCTATATTTACTCAGACATAATCGCTCTCAACTCATTGAGTTCAGCTTTGATATTATTGATTTGGCCTTGCTGTTCTTGGATAAATTTACACAGTACCGAGGTTAAACTGGCGAGATCGATTCCCCATGGATTCACTGGAAACCCATCCGGAATAAGCTCATCGTTTGCTCCGATATCTACTGCTTCTGGTATGACCTTATACAGCTCCTGCGTGATATAGCCAACATGGACAGTCTGCTCTTGAACCATCCTGAATTTTCTAGGTCTCATTCTCATAAGGCTTGCCAAACCATAGGGACAGTCTACAATGTCCGCCTTCAACCTCTCATCGCTTGCATTGGTATAGCATCCTCCACGCACCGGGACATAGGCTGTCCACGCGTAATTAGCATCGCATTTCCCAACCTGATAGCTCCTACGGTTGAATCAGTACCAATCGCTGGATAGTCAGTCTGAGACCAATTGAATCGATACCTAGCAAATCCATCGCTGCCTCCCTCTACGTGCATGAAATTATTCGCCAATACCTCTCCGCCTGAGTGAATGGTTGCTTCTGGCGACCACGTACTCATACCAACTCCCAGTCTTCCTGAGCTGTTTAGATAAGCTTGAGTTGTGTTTCCAACCATGAACCTTAGCGGGTCGCTCGTAGTGGTGCCTAGAGCTACACCTCTACTTCCTCCCGCGACATCGTTGTATACCTGAATTTCAATTTCGATTGGAGTAGTAGCATCGTTGGCTATACGCATTGCGCGTTGCCAAGACCCGCTTAGTAAATTCGCGCTCGAAACTATATCTATTTTTGCAGTACTGGTAGCTGATCCAAAGCGAATGTATCCTGCTTGAGTGATTCTCATACGTTCAGTCATTGGTGATAATGGATTAGCTCCTGACCGTGTACTGATTGCAAAATCAGCCATTGAATATTGCGTAGCGGTTCTAGTACAATATAGATTAACGCTAGGGGTGTACGTTGTCATATCACTAGTACCTTCAATCGTGAACGATAATCCGGCCTGAGCGCCAACCGTATTGCTTTGATTACGAATCATGAGATTAAAATCAGAGGCACGCGTTGTTGATGTAAATGATGTCCCGACCGCAATCTGACATTGGGTAGAAGTAGTGGATATCAGATTGGTTGACGTTAGAGATGAGATACCTGATGAGATGCTACTATTAGAGTCTAGTACAAGAGCCTTTGATGCTTCTACAGTTCCTGCTCCGGTGGTAAGATCTAGATAGTTCAGCTGAACGGTAGATGCTGTGCATCCAGCAAGCTTGTTCAGCTCCGCACCTGTAGCATTGAGAGTATCTCCCCTGAGTTGAAGCGTAGTAGGATTGATATTCAAGGTCGGTGCATTCATAGTTTGAGTACCTGACTTACTAATCGTATCACATGTGATCGTAGGCGATGATATTGAAGTCGAAGCTATAAAGTTTCGTGATATGGTTAGATCGCGAATGCCTCAGTAATCTTTCGTACTATTGAGAACCACAACGCTACTGGCTGAAGCGCCCCCTTCGATAACATTGAGAAAGTAAGCATGATTGAAATTTATCCAAGAACTGACTCCATCCCAAAATTTCAGATTCGGAATGAATAAACCGGTTCCACCGGCGCTAAGGGTTAGATTGCTAAGCGTACCTAGACTAGTAATATTAGGCTGAGCAGCGGTTTGCAGCGTTCCTGTTATCGACGTCGCTGTGAGAGAGCTCAGGGTTCCTAGGCTGGTAATGTTGGGCTGGGCAGTTGTTGTTAGCGTACCCGATACATTGCCCGAGCAATTTACAGCGGTTAGAGTACCTAACGATGTTATATTAGGCTGATCAGCAGTCTGTAGCGTACCAGTAATGTTAGTTGCAGTTAGCGAGCTAAGACCTGTAATGGATCGACTTGCACCAGTAAAGGTTAAACTGCCTCCTATAGTCAATCCAGTAAGCGTACCTAAGCTGGTGATATTTGGTTGAGCAGCCGTCGCTAGCGTTCCATTGATGTTTCCACTCACGGTGAGCGACGAGAGTGTCCCTACACTAGTTACGTTGGTCTGAGCAGCAGTTGCCAATGTATCAGATATGTTTCCACTCACGGTGAGGGACGATAGCGTGCCTAAGCTAGTAATATTAGGCTGAGCTGCTGTCTGCAGCGCCAGTAATCGACGTTGCCGTCAAACTACTAATAGTAGCAATTTCACCTGATGCACCAAGCACCAGAGCTTTGTTGATAGCGGCAGTACCTGGAGTAATATCAGCTACATACGTTGGTACGCCTGAAACGGAAGCACCATTAACAGTTAGGCTACTACAGCTTAGTGCTCCAAGACCGCTGATGTTCCCACCACTTCCAGGGACAAGAGCTACACCAGGTGATGCTACGCCTTGAGAGACACCGGTAATGTACGTCAAGCGATAGTCATACTTGTTCAGATAAAGAGTCTGAGCATAGTCATACGTTAGAAACCCGCTGGCATCCAATTGGAGAAAGATGCCGGATTATAAATCGGCGATGTGAATATCGGGCTAGGATAAGAAATACCTGAACTCATCTTTGTTTGATCCTATATAGTTTAGACGATAATCATGAGCGGTATTCCAGATTTCGGAGCTTCAATCCCTAAAAAATTCAAAGGCGCCTCTATGGGTGATATTCCAGCACGTGACATCAAAGCGTTGTTTAGAATGGTGGTTCTGGGTCCATCGTTCTCAGGGAAGAACAACTTATGTATGTTCACCCTCAAGCATTCTCCTCACGTATTTGCTCATCTAACGATCATTGCTCGTAATCCTCACCAGGAGTTATATGAGTATCTTCGTGATAAGCTTGATGGCTTTATCACATTCGCCGACCCTGACTCGCCTCCGAGTGTTGAACGGGTACGTCATACACCAATTAATTCCAATAAGCCTGAGCTCGTCATCATCGATGACTACAGCAACGATAAGCTTCTTCAGAAGAATTTGTTCTCACATTACTTCACTAGAGGGCGTCACTTCAGGCTATCAACCATCTTCTTGAGCCACAGCTACTTCGCAACGGACAAGATGATCAGATTGAACTCAGAGTACGTAGCGATCCTGAAAGCTAATTCTAAGCGAGACCTCCAGATGGTTGTGAAAGATTTTAATATCAAGGGAGTAGATGAGCGTTCAATCGTCTATTATTACAACAAAGCCACGGAGCGAAAGGGCCAAATGCTCTTCATTGATTCGGTCAAGGGTCAGATCAGGTATAACTTCGATAGACCGATTCGTATCGAGGACTAATTCCAATTTATCAAACAAAAATATGCCTACAAACATATAATCAATATGTCCAGCTTTATCAAACTCGACAGCTCCAATCTGGTACAAGATGGAACCAATTCAACCTGGAAATACTCCTTTCCCGGATCGGCGGCTGACTTCCGCGATGTAGTATGTGCCATTCAATCAATTTCGATGTATAACAGCGAGTATAACATTGATTCAATGCAATTTCAGAACACAACGTTCAAAATCGAAGTACCTACCGCTGCAACTACATCCACAATCAGTGTATCCCTCCCTGATGGTATTTATTCGTATGACGATATCAACCGAAGCATTCAGACTGCTCTTGTCCATGCTGGGGCGTATCTAATCGATCCGTCGGGGAATAACGTATTTTATATCAAAATGAGTGCTAACAGTGTCTATTACGCTTGTCAGCTTGATTTCTCTCCTACGCCTACAACTCTACCAACTACCGGTGGAACATGGACCAGACCTACCTCCGGTTTATACTCCTCTGGTGGTACTGGATTGCCGACTACTACTCGCGTTCCTCGACTGATCATCGATAATGCTGAATTCGGTAAAGTAGTTGGTCTCACAGCGGTTACATACCCCTCCACATCAGCTACTGTTGCAAGTGCTCAGCTATCGAACATCATTCCTCAGATTCACCCGACCAGTTCTTACATCGTTCGTTGCGATCTGATCAAAAACGAATACGTGGCTTCTGGTGATATTGTCAGCGCTTTTGATAGAGGTGATGCCGCTATTGGAAAGGTCATTTCATACAAACCGAGCCAGTATGCGTGGATGAACTGTCACAATGGCGCTCGAGGTAGTATTACACTCAGTATCTATAACGGAAATGATAAAAAAGTGATTTTCAGAGATACGTCGGTATCCATCATGCTTCTGATTTGTCCAAAAAAATAAGACATCCAGAGTATTTTTTAGGGTGGCTACAACGTAAACGAACCACCAGTCTTACGACGTGCCCTGAGCGCAGCCATCTTAGCCTTCATCTCTGGCGAACCCTTCGCTAGACGTTTCTTTGCTACGCCTACACCATAGCGGCGACGAATCTCCTTTCGCACAGATCTGATTAGATCCTCATGTTCCGGCTTGGTAGCTTTTGATAGTAGGAACTGCTCTCCAGCATCGACCGCGTCGGTGATGACCCCCTTGCGCTTCGTGTATGCAAGAGCATTCTTTGCAGCCTTCTTTACGTCAGCCATTGATACGCGACCTCCTTCCTTGTCGCTATCGGAATCATAAATACCAATGCCGGTTAGGGACTTGATTGCAGCTCTGGCTGGAACAGCAGCCGTTGGCTGACCAGCATAAGTAGCTAAAGCAGGAACCGCCGCATCAACGGCTCTGGATAGTAGACCTGAATCCTTAGCAAATTTGTATGCAGACTTGATCCCTCCCCATACTTTGGACCAGATGCTCGAACCATACATGCCACCTCCTTGCATATGCTTAAACGGGTAGCCAATCTCCTTTTTTGTGATGGCCAAACGTGTTCCTTTACCAGATTTGCGAGCCCGAAGAGCTTTCGCATATGACTCTGGGTGAAGTGTAGCTCCAGAACCACTTAGCTCATCTTTAGATAATGATAATGTCCCTGTCTTGAATGCTCTCTCGAGCTTCGACTCGGGAACAGATACGGATACTTCTAACTCTTTGAAAGTCATGATTATATTTACCCTCTTGAGATAGAATCTGAATTATATTTAATCCTGAATGAAGTCTGCTATGATATAAATATAAACGTACATTTGTACTAATCATGATCGGCCACATTTATCGTATCATTCATCTGGAGAGCGACGTTCAATATGTAGGTTCGACTTTCAATGAGCCTCGTAAGCGTTGGCAGCAACACAAAAATGATTACAATAAGTGGCTAAGTGGAAATTATGATAATATTGCTATATACGAATACTTTAAAGATCATGGAATCGAAAACTTTAAGCTAATACCAATTAAGAATTATGAAGTAGTTGATCGCAAGCATCTCGAAGCATATGAACAGTTATGGATGTCCAAACTTAGATGCGTTAACAAAAATCATTCTTTTCAAATAAAAAGGCTTGCTCAGAGACAATATTACCAGGAAAATAAGGCTGATCTCCAGGCCTATCATAATAACTATGATCGAAACAGACGCGTGCGACCCGATAACCATAAGGCCACAATCGAATGTCAATGCGGTGGAAAGTATCAAACATGTTCGAAAGCACTCCACTTCAGAAGCGAGCGCCATCTACAATGGATTCATAATGGAGTATCAAACAAAGGATCTACCAGTATCAAGATTCAGTGCCAATGCGGTGGACAATACGTTAAGAAACATAAAGGCGCACATCAAAGATCTCTGAAACATCAGCATTGGCTAGCTCAAAATAGTCAAGTTTAAGTCTTTAAATCGATCTAGCCGATCCATTCTCTTTTTTTGCTTGCAATATAGCCAAAGTAAGCACCATATTCCACAGTAATCGCCATAGGTTCCTTGGTATTGCTTGGGGTTGTATCGATCGATACCATACTTCTTTGGTGGTCCCTCACCCATACTATCAAAGTATTCACCATTATGAACCGCCGTCCAGTGTCCTACCTCAAGATTAGGAGGGCGAAGTAGAATCAGAAATGACCCTCTCTTGGGGAGAGGGGACTTTATCTCATTTGATTCGAATATATTATCGAGTTGAACGTTCATTTTCTCAGCGAGTTCGATGAGATCATGATCTGAGGTGATTGGCTTGATGAGGTGCGACATAATATTTAATTTTATCAAACAATATTAGGATCCATATAGATTCAACGATGAGCGAAACTCAACTATCCGATCAGTACTTGTACCAGAGCTCGCTTAAGAGCGACCCGGAGATCAAGGTATCTTCGAGCAAGCGTGTACCGCACGTAATTGACCTAAATCAGGGTTCGTACCAGAATGGTGTCATCACTATCGATGCTACGGCTCAGCTTAACGGTTCCGAGGGCTTCGCAAGCCTTCGTGATGCCTACATAATGCTTCCCTACAAGGTCTCAATGAAGAATGGTGGCACTGCTCAAACTGCCGCTGCCAATCGTCTATGTGCTACTCTAAAATGCGGTAATTGGAACGTTATTGATAGACTGAGTCTGGAACTAAACGGAAAGAATATCATCTCTATGGCTGACTACAAGCTCTTTTGGAACAACGTTCGTGCTCAGACTGGCTACAGCCCTCATTACGTTGAAAAGCACGGAGCTGAATCGTTCTTGTACCCTGACGCTGCTCAGTCGGTATCATACAGTTCTGGATCCGCATCTACCAGTGGTGATGGATATTCAAACACCATGGCATTCTCGACTTCCTTTGCTGTCTCGGCTCCTCCTGGTGGTGCAACTATTCCTAATGATGGTTTCGTTAAGCGCCTTCTATCGAATCCTCCAGCTGGCGCTGACTTCTCCAGCTCGTGGCCGTCGGTAGGTGGTGCTGCTGCATCGACTACCATTCCTAACCAGACTTCGCGTGGAGCTTTCGTACCTGGTGGTACTGCTGCTAACGCAATCATGGGAACGTGGAACTACATGCTTAAGATTAAGCTCACCAATCTGCATCCTATCTTCCGTGAGCTTGACTTGATGGCTAACCCTCAAACTCGCTTGCGTTTCCGTGTGAATCAGGGAACGGCTGTAGTCGCGGTAGATGCTTCAAAGGGTATGTCGCTAACCTCTACTACTCTATCGTCTGGTAATAGTTGTCCGGTCATGATTGCCGCTTCTGCTACCGGTAATCCGATGAGTGGTGTGCTTGCCGCATCTGCTGGCTTTAGTGTTGCTTGGGGAGCGGTTGTAAATGCTCTTGAACCTACCATCGATGGTACATACATGCCTTTCACTACTGCTCGTTTGTATGTTCCTTTCGTCCATCTTGAGAACCCTCAAGCTATTATCTCTAGGCCGGTTAAGAAGGTACGCTACAACGATTGCTACGCTCAGTGGTTTTACCAGCGCGCCGGCATTGGTAAGTCCTCGTCTCAACTAAATGCTTCTTTCAATCTACAGCTATCGGCAAGTGTTAAGAATGCTAAGTACGTAGTTCTTCTCCCATTCGCGGAACAGACAAACAACTTTGCTTCTGCTACTGTTCAGCAGTTCCAGAGCCCCTTCGATAGCGCCCCATACACGCTTCAGCCCGGGTCGTCGATTCGCAACTTTAACGTTCGTATTGGCTCGACTCAGGTGTTCGATATCAGTCATGACTATGATTTCCACCACTTCACTAATGAGATTGCTAAAATCTCTTCGATCAATGGTGACCTGACTCCTGAGCTTGTCAATGGTCTACTTGACTATCAGACGTGGTCGCTCACAAACCGCATGCTTATTGCCGATGTCAGTCGCCTGACTGAGCGCGATGTACCCCAGGCTATTCAGATCCAAGGTACGAACGCCGGATGCCAAGGTGTGAATATGCTGATCCTCGTAATTAGCGAACAGGAACTAACGTTCGATAGACTAACCGGAGAGGTTCTAGACTTCACTACAGCGTAAGTTAAAAAAAAAAAGATATTTTTAGTTCAGTTCCTTGAGTAGCTTTGGACACTTGTCAATCGCGAATTGACTTTTTCTTAGCCAATCGAGATAGCCTGGATCCAATTTACTGATCTGCTGTAAAGATCTGCCTCGATACTTACCCCACGTCATCATAGAGGAGTTATCGTTATTTAGGAATCTTGAGTGAAGAAAGATTTTTGTTTTCTCGCTAATGTTGAGACTGGGTTGGTTGTGAATCCAACGACAGTATCCAGGATCATTCTTGAATACATCCTCAATGGATTGACCTTTGTATTTTCCGAAAGATAGTTCGATCGTCATGTTGTATGTGTGGGTATCTATATACATAGCCTCTTAATTTTTTTGAAAAAAAATAAATTAATGTTGGAGCACCGTTTGCTATAGTCCGGGCCCCACCATGCGAGATCTTTTGGATATGGCATTGACTCGATCCACTTCGAATGTTTTTCTTTATTGCAGTGTTTCGCGAAGTTCCATCTTTCCATCGATGACCCGCACAAGCAGGTAATTCGTTCACCCATCGGAGCTGAAACTATTTTCTTCATCATGTCCTCACTCGCTTCAGGTGAGTATACTCCTACGGATGGGAACTTTGAAAATGGGTGTCTCCCACAACGATCTTGGGCTGGCTTCGCCTTACACGTTGCTCCACTTTCCAAGATGTAGTTGCACATTGTGATTACTAGTAGTAGCTATTATATATCTATAATATTTACATATCAGGATCAAATGAATTTTCTATCAATTTCATAAAATTGACGTCGTAATGTGCCAGTAATTATTGCGAGTCGAGCTGATTCAAATTCGAGATGAAGACTGAATGGGGTTCGTTCTGATAGCTTAAAGCTCTTTAAGCAATATGGAGCTATCTAGAGGTGCTGTCGATTTATTTACTAATTTTATGAAGGTGTGCTCTAGAACGAGTCTAGTTAGTAAATTACGGTAAGAAATGGGGAAAATAAAAAACTGCCGGAGTAATGTGCCGCGAAGCGACGCCGGTTCCTCTTTTCCTAACTTCTAACCCCACCAGGTCACCCGCGCGAAGTTGCAGTCTATCCATAATTGGGTGTTGCCGCGGTCATTGAACGTACCTTCTACTTTGCCTGGAACTGCACACGATTCCCGTTTGTCTGCGTAATGATCGACTCAAATATAAAGTGTCGATAACCGTCTTCTGCCATGGGCTTTGTTAATTTAAGTTATGAGTAGGATCAAAAGTATTTTGAGGTTTGCGAATGCTACACCACGGTTGCTCTTACCAACCGCGGGAACGTAAAAGCAGACGCCGATGCAAGAAGAAAGCACAAGATTCCATTCTACACTGGGACCACCAACGAGTTTGGAGCTCTACACAAGTCTTCAATTGATAAAAACCCAGAACAGCAGCATCAAACGCACCCTTACAGCACATTTCGGTACGCCGACAGGAGCACAGTGTTTGCATGCGCGGTATATGGCAGGAGTATTGTAGTGCTGCTCACTGTCACTCATCGGGGACGAAGTCCCCCCAAACATTGATGCACTCACTTTTACTTAGCTTTTTCAAGGGTCCATACCCGCATTTACTTACGTGATATCCGTTTAGAAGAAACGGGTTAGCGGCCCAGGGCCATTTTTGACCACAAAATAAGATTGGACAGACTATCGCTTCAAGTTCGTGCCAACCAGTGGAGCTTCACTGTGGGCGGTCAACTTCAACAAAGAAGTGGTCTACACTGGACCTCCCATAACAAATACACAGACCTTCCAAACCACATAGTCTCTAGTTTGTCCCCCCACAATTGCTTGAGAAGCCGAGGTCCAAGCAGCCCGCCTTCCTGCCGCCTTGCTAGTCGCGCTCCCTCGCTCCTCCGCAGCCATGTCCAAGCGCGCGCACTCCAAGATCTCGTCGGGCGGCGTGCTCAACAGCATGCTCAGCTCGCTGTCGCGCACGAACGAGTCGGCGCTCACGGCCAAGAAGGCGGAGGCGCAGGTGGCCAAGCTCACGGCCGGCCGCGGCCAGACCATCGCCGTGGACGACAACTCGGCCGCGCCCGACGCCGCCATCGCCCAGTTCCTTCAGGACATGCGCGCGCTCATCGACGAGAAGGGCTTCGGCGCCAACGTGGAGGTGGAGCTGCGGCTCGGCCGCATCACGTCGTGTCTGCAGGAGGCGCGCTGCCGCCCGTCCCAGGAGGGCGTGGACGCCGCCGTGGTGCTCTCGGACGCGCAGATGAAGGCCGTGGGCGCCAAGTTCGTCCCCGGCGTGGCCGAGCTGGACTACAAGGGCTTCGTGCGCGGCGTGGAGGGCATGCTGCGCGGAGACGCCTACTCGGAGCACAAGGAGAAGCAGGTGGTGCACAACATGGCGCAGTCCAAGCGCGTGGTGCAGGACGTGGACCCGCAGAGCAACATGCGCGGCAAGCCCATGGTGCAGGTGAAGGAGCGCCTCGGTTCCATCGACATCTTCATGCCGCACTGCCAGTACGACTGCCGCGTGTCTATCTCGTGCGAGTTCCCTATGCGGGAGCTGGAGGGAGACATGAGCGAGATGCCGGCGGCCGAGAACATCCGCCACAAGGACCGCGTCTCAGCCGTCGGACGGGACCTGCGTGTCGACCTCACCAAGGTGCTCGAGGAGAGCACGAACAAGAAGTCGTACGAGGTGGAGGTGGAGCTCAGCGAGCCGGCGGTGAACGGGTGGCTCAGCCAGCCCGATGAAAACGGACAGAGCTGGAAGAGCGCGATCGAGACGTCGTCCTTGCTGTGGAAGATGGTGAAGTACTTCATGCCGAACTCTGGCCAGGCGTTCAAGCGCCACTGGGACTTCCCAGGCGCCACTGAGGTGCAAAACGCCTACCAGGGCCGTCTGGGCATCCGCGGCAAATTCAGTGGCACGATGCCCGTGGGCTTCGCGCGTTGGCATATTCCACTTGTGCAGAGTCGCGAGTACTTCGTTTCCGAGAAGACGGACGGCGTTCGCTATTTCCTGGTTGTAGCCGGAGGCACTACAGTGCTGGTAGACCGCTCCAACTCCCCTTTTGCCGCATCGGGCTTGGACTTGTTGAAGTTGGTGCTGCCTGAAGGCACGGTGCTCGATGGCGAACTTGTGGTAAGCTCCGCTGCATGGACTGAATTTTTATCGGTATTCTAATGCGTTTGGTTACACGTTGCAGTTCCACCAGAAGGACAAGCGCTACGTGTTCATCGCTTTCGACATAATCGCGACAGGTCCTTCGGCAGAGGACTCTCACGTGGACAAGCCGTTCGTCGAGCGTCTCAGGATATTGAACGATTTCCTGTCGGAAGAGTGCGTTTTACATGTCTGAGCATTGGTGTCCCTATTGTGCTGTTACTTACTGCTTCTGGGTTTGCATTATTAATGCAGGGGCCCTTATGCTTCGGGCATTCGTAACCTGGACATCAACCGGCACGCGATCATGCTGATCTTGCGCAAGAAGTGGGTGCCGCACCGCCACATCATGGAGGTGTTCCGTCAGATCCAGCGAGTCCAGAAGCGCGACCACAGCATGGCGCGCATCTACAGTGACGACAAGCGTGTGCACTACACGGATGGTGTGGTGTTCTGCCCCAACACGAAATACGTGACCAACACGCACCAGGAATACCTGAAGTGGAAGTGGTCTGACCTGATCACTGTGGACTTTATGGCCACGTTGAACCAGGCAGGCGACGGCGTTCAGCTGTCGTGCGGTGGCCCTCGCAACACGCACATTGAGCTGGATTCGATTGTGCGGCTGGACCCCAAGGACGTGCCCATCGTGGAGAAGCTGGTTTCAAGGACGCCCAACCGCCAAGCAGTGCTCGAGTTTGCTTTTAACGCAGACAAGGGTCTGTGGAACTACAAGTGCGCGCGCCCTGACAAGGACTGCGCCAACTACATCCGTACGGTGCTCGGTTCGCTTGTAAATATGGCTGAAGGTATCTCAGAGGAAGAGCTGCAGTACCGACTTACGAACCCGAACGGCCAGGAATGGAACAGCCACATGAAGCGCATGCGCCGTTCACTGCTGGAGCAGCACAAGTAACTATAACTCGGAACCGGGCTCTTCCTGGCCGTCCGGAATGGGGGGCGCCGATGCGGCGTTAGCGATGCCAACTTGGCATTTTAAAAGAAAAATAAACTTGCAGCTGAAGTGTGAGATTGTCCACAATGATACATTCTTGCCCTGCTCCTCGACTAAGCTGCAAATTTTGCGGGCTGGGGGATGTCACTCAAGCTTCAACGCGGAGTCAATCAATGAACACCGGTTCACCAGGCTGGCTTGTGTATTGCAAGTCATTTGCTGCTAACACAATTTCAAGGTCAAATTAGGGGAGTCGAACCTTAAAAATGGCGACAAAAATATCAACAGAGACGGGGCCGAATAATCAGCAACGTTCTGCCCCAAAAATCAACAAGTAGGGTACTCACTCTCAGTTTTCGCATGTAGTTGGTGAAACAGCGAATTATCACTTCCTTTTTCGCCAGCACGCGCAGGCTCTTGCTTAGTGCATATACATCTTCTTATATTCAGCTTTATACCTAGCAATGGCCGACTCCAGCGTAACACTGTCCAGCAGCTCACAATGTCTCCATCATCACGAGTTGACATCTAAAACTTGTTTATAGTGATAGTGAACATGTTTATTTGGAGAGGATTCGTGTGAAAACTCGCCTAAACACATGCACAACAATTTCTAGTTAAGGAGGGACTTCAAAAACAGCTGAAATTGTATCAGAGGTCGAGGAGGGAACAGCAAGCGGTACCACTTGAAGTTCGAAATCATCATGATGATTTTTCAAATCAACAAGATTTCGCCGAAATAACCAACATCAAATCGCCCTAAAAATCAGCACTTTTTTGCCAGGTTCGACTCGAGGAATCGCGGTTCAAATTGAGAGCCGCCAAAATCAAAATCGAAATACTTCAAGTTTACGTTCGGTTGTCCTCGAGGCAAACACTCCCGCTGTAACTTGTCAGAACTTCGAGATTTAGAAGTCGAAGCTCCACTGTCATTGTGACGTACTGCCGTATTGATTATCGACGCGTGAGTTATCGTTTTTGTCACTTTCGGTAGCACCAATAGCAAGTCGCACCCTCAACTCCAGCCTTTAGGTTACACTTTCAGTAGGCCATCCCAATCAGACCAAGCCAGACAAAAGCAAAACGCATCAAGTTGCAAAAAGTAAACCTTACTTTACACCGAAGAATCTGACACCTCATTCTTCCCAGCAAAGAACGACACTAAGCACCAGCGTGGGCGGGGCTTGCCCAGCAGCGACGACGAGAGGCGAAAAAGAAAAAGCCCCATGATGACCACTTTCCCGTCTATCCACCCATAAACCACACAAGATGCTTGAGTGCCTTGTCCTCCAGCTTCGTCGGTGCTTCCGCGTATCTTGTCCTCCAGTTTCTGCATACGCTCTTCCTTCTAGTCCAAGACTTGATCCGTCCCGCCAGGATATCCACCCTAGCTCTTGTCAATAGGTAGGGGTGATGAGCAACCCTCTCACGAATATGTGCAACTTCCAACAATCTGCGGCTGGTGTTGAGTAAGTAACCAGCCGCAGCAAAGACGATTCTCTCTCTCGGCGTGCTCATAGCACACTCCGCCACAGCTTGTTCAGCAGGTGCATGCACGCCTGGTTGTTGGTCACCCACACAATAAACTGCAGAACACAACAAGAGTAAGTATGGGGCCAAAAAGGAACAACTCGCAATCCCGACACAGTAAACTCACCTTGGCGCGTTGGGTGGGGGTCAGAATGTTCTGCAGCTTGTCCATCTCCATATCTAAGGTGGAGTTTTTGTTGGTCACCTCGGTCTTGAGCTCCGCTAGCAGGCCCAGCGCACTCTTAAGGTTCTCACAGATGAGCGAGATCGACCCCCGCTGCTGCTGGATCTTCTTCTTCTGGTCCTCGCTCAGCCCGAGCTCCTTGGCCAGGATGACCGGCAGGCTTGTCTCGTCCTCCTCGTCTTGCCAGAAGCTGTCGTCCTGGCGCAGCGCCCAAATGCACATCTTGGTCACCTGCGTGGGCAGCAGCAGTCGCTCAATCTGGTGGAGGTGGTAGCTCAGCGCCGAGCGGCGGCCGTGGCCGTAGTCCGAGTACTGCTCCTTGAAATTGTCGATCTTCTCGGCGAGCTCCTTCTCCGAGGCGCCGCGCTGGATCATCTTCTCCAGCTCCTCGCACACGCGGTTCTTCTCCTTCTCCTCCTGGCGGATGGCCTCTTTGCCCGCCTTCAGTTGGCCGCGCAGCTCCATGTTCTCGCGCTCCAGCTGGCGGCACCGCTCCTCGACGCCCAGAATGTGCTCGCGCTTGCGGCGTCTGCACTCGCGCGCCGACTCGCGGTTGCGCTCGAGCTTGAGCTTGCGCTGCAGACTCGTGAGGTCTCCGTTGTTGTCGCTGCCGCTGCTGGACGGGGGCGCCTTCTCTGTCTTGGGCGACTTGACGGCGGGGGCGGCGACCGCAGCAGCCGCAGCCACCGCCGCGCCCGGGCCGCTGTGCACCGCCTGGCGCTTCTGCACGAGCGCGTTGTTGGCGCTCTCGAGGTGGCGCAGCAGGCCCTCGGTGTTGGTCAGCGGCTTGCCGTGCAGGTCTCTGGCCACGTCCGCCGCCGCCTCGGCGGCCGAGCGCTTCTTGCCGCGCTGCGTCGGCGCGGGCTTGGTGGGCGCCGCCATCGTGGCCGGGGCCGTCGTGGTGGCGGGCGTCGAGGCCGGCAGCGCCACGGTCAGCGCGCCGGTCTGGATGAGCGGCGCGGAAGTCGTCGGGTGCAGCGCGAGCGGCAGGCTGGTGTCGTCGCCGGGGCCCAGCATGCGGAACGGGTCGTCCAGCGCCATGGACGTGGCCAGCGTGTGCGCGTGGTCCATGCCGGCGGGCGGGTGGACGCCCGCGGGCGCCGTCATGTTCTCCGAGTTGAAGAGCAGCCACGAGAACATGTCGCGGTTGGTGGCGCCCATGAGCTCCATGTCGGCCGTCACGTCCGCGGCCGGCGGCGGCGCCGCGGCGGCGGCCATCGTGGGCGTGCGGGGCAGCGAAGCGACCTCCTTCATCCTGGTGCTCTCGGCTCGGGGCGGCTCGGAAGGGAAGTGGTGGTGACGCGGCGAACTCACGGAAGTGGTTCGCTTCTCGGTATGAACCAGGCGGCGTGCCGAACGCCAGGTGCGGCGCTTGCGCCACCGGACGCGCTCCAGTCGGTGGCGCGCGGCCGCTGGTCGGGCCGCCGAAGTGTACTCACCTACCCCCCTGGAATCCTTCTCAGCGGTTGACTTGGATTCAGTATGCCGAGATCGCGTGATACTGGCGACGTCGACGGGGGATGGGGAAGGAATCTCAACTCCGACTAAGTACGCATCGGAAGCTCTTGGAGCTGAGCTCCAGGCGCATGCGCGGAGACTGCCGCCCCGGAGGGCTTGCTGGCGGGCGTGTAGGTGCTGCTCGCATTGGCGTTGGGCCTTTTACGCTGTTTCTCCGAGCTCGTGGATCGAGCCACGCGTTCTGGCGGTCAGTCAGTGCGAGCTGAGCGGCGCTGGACGCGCGCAATCACTCTGGTCCACCTCGCTCGGAGCTCGGCTCGCGGTGATGTCATCAGCCAGGAAGTGATGACAGCGCTGTGCGGCGGTGCAGAAGGCGGGCCGCTCGAGCGAGAGTTGAAGCCCCGGGGCTGAGTCTGGCGCAGCAGTCGAGTGAAGGCTGCCTGGCGCCACCAGTTCCGTCAAACAGTGCTGCTGCCGCCGCCACCACCACCTGCGAGGTTTTCCGCCGGACGGGAAGCTTCCTGTGCGATAGGCACCGTCAACCTGGCCGCCGTGAGTGGCGGTGGGGCCATGAAAGCCAAGCATGACTAAGGCCGATCGCGGGGGCTGCATCTCCGCACCGAAATGCCCACACAAGGCTAGTTGAAGTGGGGGTGACGCGCCCCTCTGACGTGGCGCCAAAACTGAAGTTAAACGAAAGCGCTGAATACCATCCGCGGCCGACTCGTCTCGGGTGGCTTGGGCCGGCCTCGAGTACCGAGGCAGGGCGCTGAAGGGTACATTGGGACTAGAGACGCCAGCTCTGCTAGCGCGGGCTGCTGCCGAGGGCGCCATAAAACTTTTTACCGTCGCTGGTGCTACGTTCGTCGGTTCGCCAAACCTAAATAAATTTTGTGCGGATGAGATAGGGGTGGTGCAGTCTGAGGCCCGGCTCGGCAGCGGCGGCGCGCCAAAGCACGAGACGTTGTGGTGGTCGACTCCGTCGCCCGCACGGACTGGAGGGTCCACCGAGAGGACCAAACATCTCCGCTAGCCATCAGGGGCACTCCAAGACTTGAGCTCGAACCGAAGGCAATGGTCTGCGGAATGCTGCAGACCGCTTTGACCTCGCTTGCCGGAGCTCCGCCGGCCTCACCGTTTTGTTCGCAGCAAGAGCAACATGCGTGGGGCACGACGCTGCCGTCCGAGTGAGTAACAACCGCCGGCACTGCCAGAGGCTCGCCATGATGGCGGCCATCGTCTCGACTAAGTGCGGCAGTCGGTTTATTGTCTTGGAGTTTGTATGCGATACAAACTTCAAGTTGATTGACCGGTTCGCACTTAGCATGGGCGACACGCGGCCCCGGTTCTGCTCGGCGAGCGCACGACGGAACCGGCTGCTTAGGTGACGCGAAGGTAGCGCTCTGACCCGTCCTGCCTGTCTCTTCGAGGTCGGTCGGTCGGAACTCCTTACAGTTTCAAAGGCAAACGGGCGGTCGGTCGCGCAGGTTGCGCGTATAAGAAAGCGAGGCAAGCGTCAGATTGCGAGCCCTGTCGTCTTGCCGCGGGGTGGAAAAGGAAGGAGCCGCCGCAGCAGTCCACAATTGCCGCGCGTAAAGGAAAGGTCGAGAGGTACGTCTGATAGCGATACGTGTCCCCCCCCCCGTATAGAGCTGCTCTCTAGCTCCGTTGTCAGTTGTGCGTTGCTCCTCGTGCTCATTCGCGTATCACTCGTCCATCGGCACTGGTCAGTTCCGATACTTTTCCCCCTTCCTTCGTCTCCCCCACAGTAGAGCAGCATGGGCAACAAGGGATCCAAGGGCGCCAAGAGCATGCGCCCGCCCATTAAGAGCGACTCGCGCGGCTTCAAGTTCGCCAACTACGCCAACGGCGGCCGCGACGCCGGCAAGAGCGCGCCCGCCGCGCCCTCGTACCCGTCGGACGGCCCCCCGCCGGCCCCCGGCCACGCGCAGGCCCCGCCGTCGCAGCAGCAGCAGCAGTCATCACAGAATGAGGAAGAGTGTAAGTACTGGGGCTTCTGCAGCTTACTATGGACTAGTAGCGTAGACTGACGGTGGTCACTGTCTCGCTATTGTTGTTGCAGCCGACCTCGAGGACGACGACTCGGGCCCGATCGAGCAGATCGCGATCGAGGACATGGACGGCCCCGCTCGCCCGCAGACCAAGGTGAACGTGGAGGACTTCGACCTGCTCAAGGTGCTGGGCAAGGGCAGCTTCGGCAAGGTCATGATGGTGCGCAAGAAGGACACCAAGATGATCTACGCCATGAAGACGCTGCGCAAGGCCGCGCTGGTCAAGCGCAACCAGCTGCTGCACACCAAGACGGAGCGCAGCATCCTGCAGAGCATCAAGCACCCGTACCTCACGAGCCTGACGTACGCCTTCCAGACGCCCGACAAGCTCTACCTCGTCATGGACTACTGCGGCGGTGGCGAGCTCTTCTTCTGGCTCAAGAAGGACCGCCGCTTCTCGCAGCAGAAGGCGCGTCTGTTTGCCGCCGAGATCATCCTCGCGCTCCAGGAGCTGCACAAGCACGACATCATCTACCGTGACTTGAAGCCCGAGAACATCCTGCTGGACCTGGAGGGCCACATCCGTCTGACCGACTTCGGTCTCTCCAAGGAGGCCGTCACGGGCGCTGGCGCCGTCGGCGGCACCAAGACGTTCTGCGGTACGCCCGAGTACCTGGCTCCCGAGATTCTGGAGAACAAGGGCCACGGCAAGGCTGTGGACTGGTGGAGCCTCGGTACGCTTATCTACGAGATGCTCACGGGCCTTCCGCCCTTCTACGACCAGAACATGCAGCGCATGTACGACAAGATCCTGAACGCGCCGCTGCGCTTCCCTTCGTTCATGTCGGCCGAGGCCAAGGACCTGCTCACTGGCCTGCTGACGCGTAAGGTGTCGGACCGTCTTGGAAGCGGCCCCACCGACGCTGAGGAGATCAAGTCGCACCCGTTCTTCAAGGGCATTGACTGGGAAGCCGTGCTGCGCAAGGAGGTGCAGCCCGAATTCAAGCCGCCTAACCGGTTGGGCTCCATGGACACGAGCAACTTCGACGTCGAGTTCACTGCTGAGAAGCCCGTGGACTCGGTCGTGACCACGACGATGAGCGAGACGCAGCGTAACAAGGCGCAGTTCCCTGGCTTCACGTACAACGCGGATACTATGGATGAAGACCACAAGGGCAACTAAGCCCGTCGTTGCTGATTTTGCCGTCAGGCACTTAGACAAGAGAGATTGGAATGGAAGCAATCCCAACAAGGAGACTTGGCGGACGCAGACGCGAAGACAGGCAAACACCCCGTCTTCTCCTCTGCAAGTGGTGGTCGAGCGGCGAGGCAGTGTTCCTTTTTCATAGTGTGTGGCCTCGCCTCTCGACCATTTCAGTCCGTTGACCCTGTGTACATGCAACACCGCAGAACTAGCTAAGAACTCAAAAAAATCAATGGACGAATGAACGGATCGATTGGTGAAACTTGGTTGAAGTTGTAGGTGTACATATCAACATGCTCAGGATAGTAGCCACTGATTGTTTGAATTGTCATGTGAAGCTAACGATTGTTGAGTGAAGATATCTATCCGGGCGTGCTTACGATCTACGGTTCTTCTTCTTGCCACCTGAGTTAATGTGAACACCGGAAAACCCACCAGGCAGGTCCGAGTCCTCGTACGGGTTTTTGTCACGGCCCTTGCGGCCCTTACGGCCGTGCTTCTTGAGACGCTTGCTGACTGCTTGCTTGTCCTCAACAGTGGTGTCGAACTCCAGGACTTCCTCCGCGTCCGCGTCAGCAGCTGCTTTAGTCTCGTCGTTGGCGTTGGCGTTGTCGTCTTCAGTGATTTCAGGGACAGCAGGCTCCGCGATGTCGGGGAATTGAGCCTTCGCCAGGACGTGAATGTCGAAGATGTTGGGGTCCGAGACGTTCGGCGGCGGGTGGCAATACAGCAGACGGCCATTCACGTAGTGGCGGAGGATGTCACGTGCTGCGCGGGAGGTGTCGGGGCCACCCTTACCGGTCGTCGTGTAGCCGCGGTTGCGAGCGTAAGACTGCAACCAAAAAGAGATACGTTAGCTACTAGAACCACGCATGCATCTACGCGCGTGTCGATTTACTTACCTCCAGGAGCGCGTAGATTCCAACGGGGTCCGTTTCCTTTGCCGTCTTCGAAGTGGGGATCTTGATTCCGTAAGTACGCTCGAACACACGCTTCGGGATACGGTGGCATAGGAGTTGGCAGGGCGCTGCGCAGAATTGAGGATCACCCCGTTGTTAAACACAAGCAACAGTAGGCCATGCAAGGGGGAGTGGACGTACAAATGTGGTCACGCAGCTGGGAAAGAGGGAGCACACCGCAGCAGTACATCTCAGCCTTGGAGTTCACGAAGCTGGGGAACACGAGACCAGGGCAGTCACACAGCATAATCTTGTCGGACAGAATCATGGTCTACACAATCGGTCACGACAGAAAAAAAGTTAGTTATGCTATCACGACAACCAACTTCAAAGTTATTCTCCTTACCTGGAAGTGCTTGGTCTTTCCGGGAGTAGCACCGACAGCCACACGCTGGGTCTTGTGTGAATACGTCGAGGCACCCAGCAGCGCGTTGATCACGGAACTCTTTCCGACGTTCGGGAAGCCGACCATACCAAATTTGATCAATCCCTTGTCCTTCACTCGCACGCCAACCTCGCCCAGCACCTCCGTGGCGATCTTCGTTACGTACTCGAGCAGTTCAATACGAGAAAGCACAGGGTACGGGCTGCGCTCCTCCTTAGTGGGAGCCGAGTCGTCCACAACCTGCGACGGGGCATCCGCGGGCTTCGCCTCGTCGTACTCGTCGTGGCTCTCGGCATTTCTCGCTTCTTGGCGCAACTTCTTCGCCTCCTCGTCAATCTCATCCTGAGCCTCCTTGGCCGAAAAGAACACGTAGTCAATGTTTTCAGCCTTGAAGTGCTCTCCCCAGGCCGTTCTGCGATAATACATAACGTTAGAGGGCGCTCCAAGACAACGTCAAGCCACGAAATCCAAAGCTAACTGACCGCTGACCCTCGCTGAGGAAGTCGGACTTGTTCACAATCAAGAGCGTACGGCGGGGCGTCTCGCCCTCCTTAGCGTACGCGTCCAGATCCGTCGAGCTGCAACATATCCAAACAGACGTCAGTACCCAACATGCCACCACATTAAGTGCAAGAAAGCCCGTACCGATAGAAGAGTGGGTTGCGAGCGTCCACAATCTGCACCATGATGTCACTTCGCTCACGGACGTGCCACAGCTGACGCCACACCTCCAGGTTCTTTTCGAACGGGGTCACCTCCAAATGGTCCGACGACGCCTCCAGCCTGCACCACAACAAAACGCAGCAGTAGTCAGCATTGCTTGCCTCCTCTCGGCAATACACTTAGCCCATCAGCTATCACTCACAGGGCAATGTCGCGACGCCACTCGAGGAAGCTCTCCTTCTCCAGTCGGTTGAGCTCTTCAGCCGTCGTGGACGTGGTCCACTGGGGACGACGAGGCACCTTCATCTCGGCGAACGTCATCTCGGGCATCACATGCTTCTCCCGCCTGCACTCGGCCACCACAAGACACACAAAGACAACAGATGAGCCGACCATCATCGATGCATAGCATAGCACTGGCGTCCTGCACGCACTCGATGAGCTGCGGGCCGGCGTCCGCCTCCTCCATGAGCACGATGCTCTCCTTCACGGCCGTGAACTCGCGGTTGGCCAGCACGGCGCTGGCCAGGAAGTCGTCCTGCAATACATTATACAGTAAGTGCAATTGCAACCGTTAGAGCTGAGGCCTCCACGAGCCATTGGGGGCCTTGGGAAGCGGGAAGCGGAGCGCACCAGGGACGAGCCTTCCAGGTACGAGGCCAGCGCCACGGACGCGTCGCCGCCGTCGCGCTCGGACACGTGCTTGCCGGCGCTGGACGCCACGTCCTTCGTGTTGATGGCCGACGTCTTCTTCTGCGTGCGCAGCAGGGCGTTGCCCAGCCCGCCCTTCTTCACCTTGGCGCCCGTGCGACCCATTTTAGCGTTCCTTCCTCGTGTCAACTGCGGCTGCCTGACGCTAATCACTGGAGGGCAACACAAACGTCGCCGACCCAAAATACAACTTTGGGTACCGCGGATTTCTTACTTTGGTGCAAATGTGTACCCATGAGCTCACTTCAACATGCACATCCATGGCTGGCAGCGCAGTGGAGACCTATGGAGGAGAGCACTAGCCAATCCACTCTGCGTTGGCTTTGAGACCATCAAACTGGTTGTGTTGACAGTTCGTCTTAGAATAAATGGGATTGGAGCCCTCAAGAGTCGCGTGAACGGAGTTTCTCGGTGTTGTGCTGCCGACGGAACTGCCGGCCGAGCCATGCAGCGGGAGGCAGACCCGGTGCGAGTTGAGGACGATGTGACATTGGCGCTACGTGGAGAGCGAATCCCGCTTCGGAACGCGGTGTCGTCCGCGTACAACCGCCCGCGGCAAGAGCTGCTGGTCGCCACACCGGCCGCTCTCTTCCTGTACGGGAAAATGCTAACGGCGGGTGGTGACCTGCTCGCTACTCTATCAGCCGAGGAGAATGCCTACTTCCAGTTTGTCGTGTATCTTCCTTGGGTAAGTAGCTCGTTGCAGGCTTACTCAGTTGATCACAGCAGCGCGCTGACTAGGAGTTTGACTGCTGAAGCTGGACGCGTACTCCGTCATCGTCTCCCACGCAAGCGGGAAAGTCGACCACCGCATTGTCAGGCAAGAAAGCGAGATGTTGCACTGTACTAAGAAGTCGTGGTCACTCACATTAGGGCTTTGGTGGCATTGCAGCTCCGACCTCAAGACATCGCTGACGTCGCACACGCTGTTGGATCAAGGGGGTCAGTTTTACACGGCGCTGGCGAACCCATACCGACGAGAGCTCATTACGGCGGACACGGACGGAGGCATCAGAGTGTGGGCGTTGCGTGTCATCGCCACTGCACACAACGATGGGGGCTTCAAGGGGGTCCTGCGCGTTCACACAGCTGCGAACTCGGTACGCTCTGCTTACTGCTGCGTGTGGAAAAAACGACGGTTTATAACGTTCTCTTCATCATGCAAAACAAAACTCCTTGAGCAGACGAAGAAACCATACTATCGTCACCTTCGGATGAGCTTCGACGGCAACAAGATATTCGCAGCGACGACCACGAAAGTTTACGTTTTCGATGCCGCCTCGTGCCATCGATTGCCCTGTTGTCTACGTGAAGATCGCCGAACCATTTTCAGCATAGACTGCGGTAACCGAGATAATAGCGTCTATATCGTGTTCAGGATGAACCTGAGGTAGCAGGAAGCGTCTATTGAGATCGATGGCATTCCGCGTACTAACGTTGCTGTTGTTGATAATTTTTTCTTACAGGAAAATCTCAAAGTACTCGTTCGTCGTGAAGAAGGGCGCCCCTCAGTTCCGTAAAGTTGGCGAACACGAGCACGACCAAGAGCTCGCGGCGTTTATCGAGAATGATAATCGAACTGCGAGTTGTGGAAATGGGGTCGTGATGATTGATTCTTACGGAAGGTTTACCACGACGGAGTTCATGGATTCAACACGAGGTGGTAACGATTCAACCCCGCAGCTTCGTCGCAGCCAATCCGCCGTCCCGCTGCCCTATAACCCTCCGTCGGAGCGCTATAACGCTCTTCATGTGGACACGTTCGCTGAAGATCGAAACTTTGCCTTTGCCGTTTGGTCGACGGGTTTTTGCATCGTGGAGCTCTTCTTCGCGGATGCCCAGGGGCGGCTTCTCTGCGATGCGTTCAACGGTGAACAACTCAAGAGGCTAGATGGCTTACCTGGCGATGGCACCATTTCCATTTATCAGTCGCAACCCTCAGCGCAAGTGGTGATGTTTGAGGAAGGGGTCGCAAGTTTTCGTTTTGCAGCCCTTCCGAAGGTGCCGGACCCTAGTATTACGGAGGAGGGAGCAGAAAAGTCCCTACCGATTGTCGATTATGTTGTGGCAGCGGATGCCGTTATCGCGCTGTGGCCTCACGGGTTGGTGGAGAAGCACAACTTGTCTGATAATCGAGTGTTCACCATCGCAGAACCTTTTGAATCTGTTGCTACGACGATAATAAGTCTATCTTTTGGGCAAACAGACTGCGTCGCAGTTGGGGACTCGACGGGAGCTATCAGCATTTTCCCCTTGGCCAACAGTGACACTGCGTGTCAAGAGCTGGTAACGCGGAAGCCAGCCCATGCGAACGACAGGTAGAAATGCTTTCTCATTGATGAGAATTGCTGTCATAACTAATCTATGCGTGTGTGTCAACAGTGTTTCGACAATTCTTGATCTTGACAAAAGCAAACCCGCCGCGATCCAAGACGGGCATTCGCTTCTTTCTGTCGGCCATGGGGGTGAAGTGAAGCGCTGGTTGGTCAGACGAGTGACTCAGTCGCCAGCCCATGATACTGTTCCCGATTTTGTGTGGGAGCTGGTGGCGTGCTTCCGCACTTACTCCCCGGACGTCTCGATAGCAACATTTGAAGCTCCAGAGTTCCTGTTCTGTGGGTTTGATGGCGGTAGCTTCGAATGCTGGAGGCTGCCGTCCACTTCAGAAAAATCCCCTTCAAGGGGTTTACGCAGCCGAGCACAAACTCCCGGACGTATTTCAGTCGTCAAGCGAGCGCTCCACGCCATCGACTTGCACTTGGCGCCTGTGCGCAGTATATTGTGTGAATCGGGGGCCGGAAACTCAGTCGCCGCTAGCCCGCAGCCAGTCGCCGACAACTTCTCGTGGGTCTTCTCGTACGACGAAGATGCGATTGTCCTTGTCTGGTGTTTCTCTCTCGACTTCTTCTTCCCCCATCGACGAATCAAAGTCCACGAGTGCATCAAAGGCATCTACATTTCCCCATCAAGCGGGTAGGTGCCCACGGCTGCAGAAAGAAAGATATCCCTGTAGATGTAGTGCGGCTGATCTGACGATGCTTATTGTTCATGGACCATCTAGCAGCTACCTGGATCTGTTTGCGTACATTGATCGCTGCATCGATCGGATTGATCACCTCGGGCCTGGAGACAAAGAGGCGGTGAGACTGCGTCTCCGACGAGGGCGAGAGCTCTCAGCTCAGCGTGATCTGAACAAACTGGAAGAAGCAAGTGGCCAAACCAAGCGAGAAGAAGGTCGTCGCGTGCATACGGCGTCCAGCTTCAGGTCTCGCCTAGCTGCCCCAACTGCTTACGACCAAAGCAGCTTCGGGGTTCCGTCCGTTCGGATCAACATCACGTTGCCCGCTGTCGAGCAGAAGGTGAAAGTCGTGCGCAAGTCTTCGGCAGGAGCTTCGCCCGTCAAACCGGTGGTTGACGAGGTAAAACTCGTCCAGCCTCAATCTGTGGACAAGCCAGCTATGGACAAAACTCTTGACACAAAAGAAGCCACTCGAGAGGAGAAGAATCTCCAAAATGTTCTCAGCGCGTCCCCCACGCGGATACTGGATCGGCCGCCGTCTAAGGCGAAACCTCGCTCTCCAGTGCTCCGTCGAAACCATTCGCCTCAACGAAAGAAGCGCAGTAAGAAGAAGTCGCCAAGGAAAAATAAGGCTAGAGACGCCAACGCAAGTTTCCTGCCGGGACAGAACTCGCTCCCTAGCAGCTTCCAGCAAACCAAGCCCCGCGTGTACCGGAAGGCTGTAAAACCGCTGGATTCGCTGTCGTCTCAGGCTCGCTGCGCTGTAATTACTGCTGGGAGTGCCTATTCATCATCCTCATCTTCGTCTTCGTCCTCGGAAGAAGAGGATGATCCAGCCGCAGCTGATGCTGTCGAGCAGGCGAAACACATCGTCCGATCGACCAGCGCGATCACTTTGGACTTCGGTCTGCAAGAAAAGGTGTCGGTGGTTTCTCTCGTGGAAGACGAAGTCGAATCCATCTTGTTGCTGGACTATCGACCAGGAAGCCGTCGGCCGCGATCCCGGCGTTCAAAGCAGCCTATCGATGAGGACAACTACGAAGCCCCGAGAGCTTCGTTTGAGATTCCTTTCCTGCCTTGGGACCGGATGTCGGAGCATGACCGCAGAGTCGAGCTCATGGCCGCGAGCAAGTCCAAGTGCATCCAGGAAGGCGCTGAAAGGGACGAAGTCTTCGTACCCCCCGTGGAGGACTTCGAGAGTGTCGAGATCTCAGTCCAGCTGGGAATCCGAGCGTTCACGAGGTGGTTCGCAGCTACGCATCGCCACCACCAGCGGATACGAGAGCGCTTCCTCGCGGAGGAGGTACTCTTCGCTGCGGTAGACCCCGTCATCCACCAAAAACTTGCAGACATGGGGCTGTCACCTCCCCCGAAACAGCAAGTCGGCCTCTCCACTTCGACCGCGTGGCAAGAGTTTGTGTCCTGGTACTGCTTGGGTCTCACGACGCGCCACCAGACCATCCCGCCCGAAGTACTGCAAAGAGAGCGCTTGAAGGCGCGGACGGAGTATCTGGAGTTGAGACTGCGCATGGTTGCTCAGTCGGAGTTGGAGGTTCAAGAGGAAGAGGAGAGAGCGGGGCCGTGTGAAGAGGAGTGCGAGCCCCCACAGCGCGTGTACATCTTCGAGCACTTCGTCAAGCGCTCGCTGAGCGATAATGACAGCCCGACGTCGTGGGAGAACACGAGTCCGGAGAACCGCCAGAAGGAAATCACGCTAGCGTTGATGGATCCTGCGGTTCAGATCGCAGCGATGAGGAACGATATCGAGCTTCCCGACGTGTCTGGGTCGTGCATGGAGGACTTTGACATGCTTCAGCTAGCTGGCAAGTTCATCCCGTGGTGGCGCGCCAGTCGAAACATCCACCGCCGAGACTTCCTCAACCGAGAGGTCCACGAAGCCTCCACCAGCAAAGCCATACTGGAACTGCTGTCCAAAGAGCAGCACGCCGACGGCGAAACAATCAACCGGAACCAGGCGATCAAAGACTTCTTCGAGTCGTACTTCCGCTCGGACAAGGCGCGCCACACGTTCCTCAAGAAGAAGCTGTTCTACCTCAAGCGCAAGAGCCGAATCGCCAGCGTCGCTCGGTACGGGAAGCTCCCCGCTCCTCTTGTCGTCGAGACTCTTCCGCTTCCACTTGTGAGCTCCTTCGAGTTCGTCGAGAGGGAAATCGTCGAGGAAGTCGAGACTGAAGAGTTCGTGGAGCCTGTGGAAGAAGAGGAGGGGCCGGTCGAGCCTGAAGAAGTTGTCGGGACTGATGAACAGCCCAAGGCCATCTCCATCGATAACCAGCGGGAGCAAGAGGAGGAGGAGCTTCGCAGGCTGGAAGGAGAGAAGGCCAAGATCACACTCGAACTCATCTATATGGCGCGAGAAGACGCTCTGTCGCGCGAGTACAACAACAGCTTCGTCGATAGCGATGAAGAAGTCGAGGAATCCTCCTTGGTCGTCCCCAAACGGACAGACTTCTCGCGGTCGTACTTCTTCGGCAACCTCCCGATGCACTACCGAAAAGTGGCGTCGTCTGGCTGGCGGGCTGGTAGTGGCGTTGACAACGGGGACGAGGAGCACGAAGAAGAGGAACAGTTGGAGCGCGAACGCGAGCGTCAGCGACTTCTGGACGAGCAAGAAGCCGAAAGGCTCCTGGAGCTGGAGCGGCAGGCCGAGCGAGCTCGTATCGAGAAGGAGCGAGAGGAGAAAGCGTTCCAGTTCCGCCGGGTCCGACAAGCAGAGCTCAAGAAGGTCCTCGTGCATCAAGCTGAGCTCGAGGCCCAACGCAAAGCCGATCTTGAGATTGCGCGCGAGATGATGGAGCAACGCCTCATGCAGCGGGAAGACGAGCATTCGTGCTGGCACCGCGACCAACTCTTGCGAGACCAAACCGGGATGCAGCTGGAAGACCAGCTAGCGTTCCAGATCAGGAAGGAGCTGCGTGAAGCTGCTGTCGCGAGGCTGCGTCTGCTACTGCACGAGCAGGCCTGTATGTCAGCAGAAGACCAACGATCCTTCCTGGTCGGCAAAGAGTTTACGGCGTTGGAACACCAGCGAGCTGTACGGCGCGCCTTCTTGTCGGAGCTCTACACCCCATTCCATCCGTTTTACAACGGCTCAGCAGAGGCGTCCGAGTCCTTCCTGCCTCGGATTCAGTGGAGACTGGAGCAGGAGCAACTGCGACGAACTCCGGTGAAATCAGCAGTCGGGTATACGATTCCTCTGCAAGACGCGCTGGTTCTGGACGAGCTGGATCAAGAACCGTATCTTGCACGAGACTCGCGCAAGTTCAAACTGCTCATGGGACTGCCTCTGAGAACTCCAAGCAGCCAAAAGCGCCCTCGAATACCAACGGCAGACGCCATCATCGCCATGCAGCAGCAGCAACGCCAGCTTGTTGATCTCGATGAAGAGCGCCATGAATCATCTTGTAGCACGGGGAAGCACGCACCATTACCTCATAAGGTTAGACCGCACAGTCGTACCAAGACCACGGATGAGCGGAGTCGTTTGCCGGAGATTATGCCCAAGATCCGCTCTGTTAGCAGTCTCACTGACCTGAAGGAAGCCTGCAGGAAACAGGACTCCCAGTCCCCTACAAAACGCAAGACAAGTAAAAGCAACCAGCAGCAGCAACAACAGCAGAATCAGCAAAATCAGTCGCTGCCATTCTTCCGCGGAAATATGCTCGTACAAGGCCATGGCCAGCCACGATCAAAGGACTATGCCTAGTAGTCCCCATCCCTTAGCATAGACGAAGAATAAATACTGTTCACCGAGTCATCGCTCTATCCTTCCATCTCAACCTCCGTGGTGGCAACTTGGGCTGCCTATCAGCCCACACCAGTAAACACAAAGGTAAGCAAACTCTTACATGAAATACCGAGGAGTATCGCGGAATGCTTACCTCCAAAATCCGCTCAATCGGTACGCCTTCCGACCTCGCGTTGTACTGGAACAAAATTTTAGTCCAGCTATCCGGAAGGGCTCGTTGCGGCGAGCAGCGCTTCTCAAACGTCAGGCCGGTGAGATGCGGGGTCCGATTCTCGTCCACTTCGTGTTGCTCGAACGAAAAGCTCGCAAGGTCTCCTTCGGTCAGCTAAAACAAAATGCAAGTACGAAGTTAGTACGCTGAGCACACAAGACATTGCTCAGGAGACATTGCACTCGAACCTCGTGCTGCTGGATAAAGTCCTGGCCGGCAGTGAAGAGAACGATGCCCTCTAGCGTGGCGAACTCGTTGTCACCTTCGAGACGTAGCACAATGGAGGGCTTCGCCGAGTAGACGTAGAAACGGCTTGTGTTGGCATCCTTCCAGACCAGCGCAAGCGGGGACAGCCCCATTTCGTAGTGACCAGCCTTCATGTAGAACAGGAGTCCGTCTCTACAAAAATACACAATCAACTGGCAAGATAATGAAGAGGTACCTATCAAGACGCTTATCAGCGCACGCCACGTACTTGAGAAACGGATAGGTAGTCGAGTACGCCGCCATGATCCCTGCCGGGTCGCTCTCATAGCACGGAATAGGCTGCCCACATACAAAGTCAAACGGGTCAGTATAAGTAATACGTCACTCACAGTCACACACTCGACGTCCGCCACCATACCAAGAACCGGAACGGGTTGGCTGGCGTGACCGTCGCCGTCGCTCCCTCCGAGAGCTTGTCCCGCATCCAGTAAAGCCGAAACTCGGTGGTGCAGTTATAGAGCAGGTAGCCCTTCCAGCACATGACGTCCAGCACGTAGAAGGTGGCGTCCTGCTCCTGGAAGATGCAGTCCAAGATGCAGTAGCCGTCGCTCGACTTGTTGGTCTTGTGCGAGCCGCAGGGCAGCGCCGACGGGAACTTCTTCAGGATCCCCCCAGACGGAATCCTCGCCACCGTGTTACCTCTGCACCGTCATAGACCACCAACCATAAGCACCTTTGCCTTCAACTGTAGCCAACACACAGAGGCAGCCAGATACGCACCCGTTGGCCACCACGAGGCAGCGCTTGCCCTCGGGCCTCGGCAGCACGTACCAGCCCTCGCCCAGCGCGCTGCCGCTGCCGTTGAGGTCCTTGGGCACGTCGATGAGCCACTCGGGCGTCATCAGCTGCTTGGAGAAGTGCTCGCGGCGCTGCTTGACGCGCTCCTCGCGGGTGCGGCGCTTGGTCTGAGCTGCAGATGATGATGACACGTCCATGGGCGCGGGCCCCGAGGGCGACGGCGGCTCCTGCTGCTGCGCCAGCTGCCGCGCGTGCGCCGTGAGGTCCCTCCTGGCCTGCCGCTGCTGCGCCAGCGTCTCCCGGCGCCGCGCCGCCGCGTCCTTGGTCCATGGCTGCCGCTTGATGGCCGTGCGCCGCTGCATGTCGTCTCGCCCAAAGTGTAGCCATGTCAACTTAACTGAGCTCTACTTGGTGTGGCGCACACGAGACAATAGTGCATACAATCCGCCAGTCACTTTTTGATCAGCAGCAGCAGCAGCATCATGGCCGAGGCGACGACGGCGACGACCGAGGTGGTGCTGGCGCGCGAGAGCGAGTACCGCGTGGAGGTGCCGCCCCAGACGGAGGTGGGCGTGCGCCTGAAGAGCGGCTCGGCCGAGCTCTTCGGCGTGGAGCTGGCCATAGGCCGCGAGTACGTCTTCCGCGACCGCAAGCTGGCCATCTTCACGTGGTACGGCTGCGCGCTCGAGGTGCGCGGCGCGCCCGAGGTGGCCTACACGTCCGAGGAGACGCCCATGGACAGCTACCTCAACATCCACGCGCAGCTGCAGCGCCGCCGGGAGCTGGCCAAGGCCAAGCACGCCGCCGGCCCGCGCGTGCTCGTGTGCGGACCCGTGGACAGCGGCAAGTCGACGCTCACGCAGATCCTCGTCAACTACGCGCTGCGCCTGGGCGAGAAGCCCACGCTCGTGGAGCTGGACGTGGGCCACGGCTGCCTCAGCGTGCCCGGCACGCTGTCGGCCTCGCCGCTGGACATGAACTCGCTCAGCGTCGAGGAGGACTTCATCCTGACCAACCCGCTGGCCTTCTTCTACGGCCACGCGGCCTCCTCCGAGAACGTCGAGCTCTTCCGCTACCAGCAGCAGCAGCTGGCCAAGGCCGTCAAACGGCGCCTGGCCAACGACGAGGAGGTGAACGCGTCCGGCTGCGTGGTCAACACGTGCGGCTGGGTGGACGGCATGGGCTTCGACCTGTTGGTGCAGGCCATCAAGGACTTCGACGTGGACGTGGTGCTCGTGATCGGCCAGGACCGACTCTACAGCCGCCTGCAGAGCACGCTCGCGGGCGCCAACGCCAACGGAGTGGACCGGTCCATCGTCAAGCTGGCGAGGTCGGGAGGCGTCGTCCCGCTCAACAGCAAGCTGCGCTCGGCTGCGCGCATCAGCTGCATCCGAGAGTACTTCTACGGCGCGCACTCGCTCAGCGTGGCGATCCCCACGCTGTCGCCCTGCATCAACGAGTTCTCATTCGAGGACGTGTCCTTCTACGCCATTAAAGGTACGCACGGATAGGTGTCTGAGCACTTGGTGATTGTTAGTAGTCTTGCCACTTACGTCGTGTGCTTTGCTATTGTATTGCAGACATGAAGGTGTCCGATGTGATGCTTCCGGTAGGCCAGGTAGAGACGCAGACCGACCGCCTGCGGGTAGTGCCCGTCGAGAAGACGGCCGACCTAGGGCACTCGTTGGCTGCAGTGGCGCACCCAAGGCCCGGCCAGGACTCGTCCTCTTTGTCGTCAACAGACCTCTCGTGGCTTCTCGGTGCCCCCGCTGCAGGATTCGTGTTCATGTACGTCTGCGAATGTCAAGTGCTTCAACTGGAGCGTATTGCTAATGTTGTGTGTTTTCGTGTGTGCAGTAAGGAGGTTCGGGTGGCAGAACAGAAGCTGGTGCTCCTGGTGCCTTCACCGGGCCCGCTGCCCTCGCGGAACTTGCTGGTGGGCTCGATCAAGTGGATGGAATAATTGCAGTGCAAGGTTAACCCCCATAAAGTTAGTTTTAGTAGACGATTTCTTCAGCATTGTTACGCGCCACCCGCAGTAGATGAGGATGGATCCAAAAGCTAACAACTTCTACACAGACTATCAAAGAACTCGCGAGTAATCAAAGAACTCGCGAGTAATCTCATCTCTACGCGGTTGGACTTGGTTGCCGCCGAATGCAAAACTTGCTCACACTCTGAGCCCATCTTACAGTCCCCAGCCCTTGTCAGGCCGGTTCTGACGGTACCATTGCCCTCCACCCACGTCCAGAGCGCGGTCAAACTCGCCGGCGCTAGCGACAATCTTCACGATGTGCTTGTACATCTCCACATTCGTGTCTTCGTCCAGCTTCCCGGTCATCTCGTCATACATCGTGACAGCAGCTCGCCAGTCTCCCTCGCGCTCGCACGACGAGATGGCCAACACGAGCAGCTCCGTACGAACCGCCATGGACATCGTGGTGGGCAGGTCGCCGTAGATGGCAAGCGCAGTCTCGTGATCCTGCAGCTCCACAGCCGAGCGCATTGTCAGAATGTAGATTGCGTCCGTCGGGTAGTGCAGCAGCGGGTTCTGTCCCTTAGAGGAAGTCTCACGCGTCTCCAGGTACAGATCAAACATCGCCAGCACGTCCGAGTGGCGCTTGTTCTTGGCCAGGTACTTGATCAGCACTGTGAACGAGAATGTGGACACCAAGCCGTCCACCTCTAGCATCTTGTGCAGATACGCCGACGCAGCATTGTACTTGTCGGCGGCGAGAAATACCTCCAGCATGTGGTGGTGCGTAATTGATGACAGGGGCTGCCCACGGTCGGCAAACTCAGCGAGGATCGCCACCGCCGTCTTGTCGTCCTTGAGGCCTTCACATGCGCGGATCAAGAAGTTGAGTGACTTGGAGCTCTTGGCGCGGCGGCGACAGAGCCTGTCGTTCTGCCACAGATCAATGGTGGCCTTATAGTCCTTGGCCGCGAAGTAAACGCCCATGAGCGTCTCGTAGTGTGCACGGTCCAGGGTGACATTCTGTTTGGTTGTTTTGTCCTCCGCCGATTCATCCGAGCCGGATTGGTTTCCTTGTGTCGCCTCTGACCAGTAATGCCTGGCCATTTCGCTGTCACCAGTCAACGTGCAGCCTTCCAGCAGAATGTTCAACGTGTATGCGTCCCACTTGAGTTCGGCCTCGCTCATCAGCGACAAGATATTGGGGAACATGTCCACCTTCCGCGAGCGCACCGCTGCGAGTAGCAGGGTGTTGTACGTCACGACGTCCGGGGTGGCGGTAGATTCCTTGCGCATGGTCTCAAAGATTTGCATCGCCTCGTCCATCTTGCAAGCATTGCCAAACGCCGAGATCATGCAGTTGAAGGAGTATATCGACGGTGTAGTATGCCGCTCGACCAGCTTGTAGATGCGGCGAAGCTGCGTCAAGTCGGATGTCCGCGCGCAGGAGCTCAGCGTGGCGTTGCAAACATTATCACCCGGATAGACGCCATCCTCCAGCAGCAACTCGAAGAGCCGAGACGCGTAGTGGTGTTGCCGGTTGCGCGCGCACGAGATAATAGCGCACGTGAACACTTCCGTCTTGTGCGCGTCGTCCTTGTACTGGATGGAGCTCACCAGCTCCTCGATTTCCTCCCAGCGCTGCAGCCTCGCATAGGCCAAGATAGCTGCGCCGTACGTGCGCGCATTCGGCTTGACGCCAACGGAGATCATCTCGTTCAGCAAGTTCAGGGCCACCGGGATGTCGTACTTGCCGCCACGGGCGCAGGCGTGGATGGCGCTGGTGAACGTGACCACATCCGGCACCATGTTGAAGTGGTTGGTGATCTCCAGCACGCCCAGAGCCACCTGCGCGTTGCCCAGTCTGGCGCTGGCCGCCGCAACGCGGTTCAGGCGGTCGCGGTTGGGCTCCTTGATCTGATTGCGCAGCACCTCCAGCGCCATCTCGCTGCGGTTCATCTTGATGAGCGCGCACACGATCATCACGAGCTCCTGGTCGGACCAGTTGTTGTTCAGGATCGGGAACTCGTCCATATACTGCAGCGCACACAGGAAACAAGCAGAACAGCGTCAGTCTCCAAGGCATACAACCAGCCACCCACCCACAGCAGCTTCTCCATACCTTGCGCAGCACGGACGAGACCTTGCTGGAGCCCATCTCCTCCGTCAGCAGCATGCGGAAGGACACGCGGTCCATGTCCGCCCACCACTTGCTCTTGCTGTAGCCGCCGCTCTTCTTGCGGCGGTGCTTGTCCTTCGTAGCCGCCGCCGCCGCCGACCGCTTCCACGCTGAGTCGCCGTCGGCCGCCACCGCCGAGTGCGGACTCATGAGGTTGAAGCCCTTGCTGCTGGTCGTGGCCCGGCGCGTCTGGATCGGCTGCTGCTCGCCGTCTTTTTCGGTCGCGTCGCTCGAGGCGGAGGACACCGCGTGGGTGGACACGCTGGGCGCCTGCGACGCCGCGCTGTGCGCCAGCCGCGACGACTGCCACCGAGTCGCGCGCCACAGCGAGCGCCGCACCTGCTGCTGCACCGCCGTCGAGTTCATGGCCTGCGCGCAGCGAGTCTCACCGGAATGTGGGGCCGGCGCGGATCGGCAACAACGGCGACGTCGACCACCCGCCCTTGCGTGTCTTTGTGCGTACGGTGGTGGCAATGTGCGGTAACGGCACAGATGGGTTGTGACAGCATCCAACGGAGTACTATAGCACTATGGGTTACAATGAATGAATTCCTATAATATGCTATAGTATTGTATGACATCTAATCAGAAAATAATAACAATAATGTTAAATAGTAATCGCCGCCCCTCCGCTTATATCCGACCCCGAATGTTGCTGGAAAGTATGACAATACGACTTTCTGGTTTCTGCAGATAGAGAAGCAGGGCACACGTGGCCAGTCAAAATGCCCACACAAAAAAGGCTCTGTTTGGGGGCGCGAGGACAAGATGCGCAGTACTTCCGGTCCGCTAAAGAATTAGCAGTTCTCTAATCAGACTGTATCTTGCGTTCTACTGCTCCGACAGAGCTGTAGCTGCCCTTAAATTTAAGCTCTGGATCCGGTGTATCACGCAGTATTTTTGATAAATCCATTTTCTCGCCCTTTATCGGGCCGTTTAAATAATCGGTTTCCACAGGTGTGAGGTTTAAATTCGCTGCACCATCAAAAATGATCAAATTAGAACTTGGAAATACACATGAGAAAGCGGAAAGAGAGCTTATTTCTGTGATATAATGTCGTAAACAAGAAGTCAGCAGCATGCTGATGATCGGTTCCTGCTAACATACATTGCAGCGTCAGAGACCCAGCGATGGTCACGCAACAGGAAGCCAGCTCTCAACGCGCTGGCGTGGCCAGCCCCGGCTGCTGGGCAAGTGTCTGCTCCTATAGACATGGGCATCCAAATTTACTAAGCCCTAAGTGAAACGAACAGCTGCCGCGGCTGCGAAGCTGGCGGAGGAGATGCGTTAGGTCGGCTTCGAGAAGATTTATAAAAAAAGAAGTAGTGTACACAGCGCACGACCTTTATAAGTACGATTTTCCAACCCCCCTTGCCAGCGAGTCTTCCCCACGTCGCTGGTGCAGCAGGTATTTTCTTGATTCAAGTCCCTTGTTTTGGCTTTTAAATCATATCGTACACGTAAGTTTATTGTTCTCATCATTTACCCTGCCGGTTTGCGTAGACATTGATATGCCCGGGCGAATAGTTTGAAAGGAATTGGTTACAAAGTCGGGAAGGCGTGTAAAGTAACCCGTATATGCCGCGTCGAGTAACCCATGTAGTATCGATTAATCCGTATATGTGCTGAATAACCTGTACAACTCGTCGTGTGTGTCGTGTCGTAACCGGTGTAGGTGTCGAGCAACCCGTGCGAAGTATGAATACAAACTCTTGCTTATCGAACCCCAGCACGTTGGTGTGCTCAGACTTTGGGACATCGCACTTACGAACCTGCCTTCCCTTTAGGTAAGGTGACTTTGCTCTACCGTCCTAGGAAACCTACATACTTAAGTAGGGATATCGTTTTGGTCGATTCGCTAATATCGAAGTAATATCGCTTCAAGCTTTTAGCTACTATACTATGTTATCAGTATGTTTATTTCCGCGTTATTGTATTCATACACATGCATATATTAGAATATTCGTATGTACGACGACACAATTTCTACTATGTAGCCATAATACAAAATATTTTTCATCGAAAATTGTGTCCACTATTATTTTCCACCATCGCCATCGCCATCCAAACCTCGGCGGCAATCACTTCGACGCCGATGTCGCCGCGGCCGTCCTCGGGCTCCTGCGCGCGCGTGCGGCCGCCTCGCGAGCTGGTGGCCGCGTGCATGGACCACATCGCGCTCGAAGGCAGCGCCGGCCTGTCGGTGGCGTCGCTCTTCTCCAGCGTGGACCCGGCCGATGACGCGCACGTGCGGCGCCAGGTGTGGCGGCTGCTGCGCTCGAGCCACGGCGTCTTGCGCTTCTTCCGGGGCGCCGCCGCCCGCGCCAGCTCCACAGAAACGCCCAGCAAGAAGCACAAGCGGCCCGGACCCGCTGCCAAGGAGCAGGACGCCGTGGAAGTGAAGCGAGAGATACTGGAGACGGCTCAAGTGCGCGACCAGGCGACGCTGCTGACGGCCGAGGAGCTGGCGCGCATGACGTACGAGGAGGCGGTGGCGCAGCAGACTCAGACTCAGGATCAGGTGCAGGTCATGGTCGCGGCGTGCGAGGAGCTGCGCCATCGCGCGCTCAACATTCCGGTGCGCGCCATCGCCGCGGACTTGGGCGACGAGCACCTGCGCATCCTCGAGGCGGTGGGCAACGCACGCGTGCTCGGAGTGACCGTGACGACGCTGACCAAGCTGCTGGGCGGCGGCACCGTCAAGCGGCTGCACAACTGCCTGGACACGCTCATCTCGTACGGACTCGTGGTCAAGCGCATGATGATCGTGGCCCGCCCAGCCATGCGCCGCCTCAACATCATCCACCTGCCGCGCTTTGCGGCCGAGTTCAAGCCGCAGATGTTCGACGAGTCGGCCGACTTCGAGTCGGACGACCAGAGCAAGAAGATCCTCTGCGCAGCGGCGGAGACGTATCTGAAGGGGCTGCCCACGCACTCGTCCGTGCTGTCGGACCTGGGGCGGGACCTGAACCTGCACAAGCGCCACCTCGAGGTGCTGCGCTCGCACATTATGCAGGAGTGCAAGGTGGACGAGAACTTCCCGCTGGAGCTCTTCCAGGCCGTGCTGCAGCCCTCGCGACGCGCCAGCCTCGAGCCGAAGATTTTAAATTGCGTGCGGTACAAGCCGCCAAACTCCCGGAGGAACTCGAATTATCGCCGCGGTATTGTGCTGGAGCTCGGGTTGCTCCGGCAGATCTATGGGATTATTGAAGACAGCGCGGAAAATGGCGCGACCATCATCGACTTGCGTAACGAAATTGTGCTCCCAGGAAGCAAGTTGCCCTATAAACTCGTGAGTGTGCTGGCGGGCATGTACAGATTGAAGGCGGAGTCGATTATCCTGGGAAAGAATAAGGCCTTCCGGCTGTATCTCGACTCGATGGCACCCAGCAGCAACACTGTCGACAAGGCGCTGCCATCGCCAGACGTAGCAGACGACACCTCGTCACTGGCAACTCATTCTACAGATAACGCTAGCGTGGAGGAAGCACCAGCGATGGAAGTGAAGCTGGAACGGCCCTACACGGTTCGAGCAAATAAGGCTTTGAAGGTGGCGCTTGGCGGGGCGGAGGTTGACGGCACAAGTGCTCGACGTCGCGAGCACATTCTGGAGCGCCTCGAGGACGAAAAGATCATCAGTCTGTCGTCGCTGCGCGCCAGTGTATTTAGTATGGAGACGGAGCGCGCGGAGATGAACGCGTCTTCGAACACAGGTGGAGAGGGTGCAGGCCACAGCAATGGGGGCAGTTTAGTGTCGCCGGCTGCAGTGGGGAAAGTGGACACACGGTCGATTTTTCGCATCGCAACGGAACTGGAACTGGCGAAAAAGTTGCGACTGCTGCAGCTTCCGTTGCCTGCCCGTAATGTTTCAACTAAATTCCGAGCGCTGCGTTGCGTAGTGGCGCCTGGATATGAACACAACGACGTTTTCATTCAAGGCTTCGTGAAGAATTACTGTCGCGATGAGCGTCTGAGGAGAATTCATCGCAATGCCGACAAAGGTGAGGTGGTTCGTTTTCATAAGATTGGAGGTGACAATAGTGAAGAAGTGGAGCAAGGGTCAGCCCGAAAGAGACGCCGGACTGACCCAAGGATACCTCTCGCAAGAACTGATGAGATCAAGGCGCTGGCTTCAGACTCGGACGAGGCCAGGGAGGCCGGGCTGCAAACCATTCGGCATGCTTCTGACATTGAGGCTGAGGTCAGTGACCCGGCTTCGCCAACGCGGAATGAAATCAGCTACAAGATCCGGCGTTTCGTCAGCCAGCAGAAGTCAGGCATTCACAACCAGCAGTTTAGGAAGCTCGGGTTTGCGTACGGTGTGATGTATCGATGTAAAGCTCTACACCGGTTTCTGTGGGACGCTTTGCATAAGCACGGGTCGAACCTTCAGCTCCCCGGTGATGGCAATGACGGATCGATTGAAGACTTGAACGACGGCGACGGCGACTGCGATGGGTCTGGAACTTCGTCGGGTGAGCCGGGATCTGCTTTGCAGGGGATTGTTTTCTCGCGCGAATCCGTTCTGCACTCGATGCCCGTGCACTTGTACATTCAGATTTTCTCGGGTGGCGGCATTTTGACAGATGCTGAGTTTGCTGTAGTGGAAGAAGCCATTGCGCACCAGCGCACGTTCGACGCTCTCCCGGAGGTACTGCGTGAGAAGATCTGGAGTCACGAGTCCCAGCGGACGGCGAAGGTATTGGGTACTCTAGCAGACCTGGGTCTGGTGCTTCCTCACAAGATTGGAATGAAACACCTTGTCAAGATCCTTCGAGCCGGGTACACGGATGGACGAGATGGTGTGCTGTCCCGGGCGTTGAAGGATAATGCCCTCGGCGGCCTCTTTCGCTTCAACAAGCAGGTCCGAATTGTACTGGATGACAACGACAAAAACGAAAGCTATTTATCTCCGGGTGAGCCAGGTGCACAGCGCCGCGGGGTGAACGAACTCGATTCAATTCGCATCGTCGGATTCACGGAGAAGACGTACAGCTTCGCGAACACGCTGCCATTGACTTTTTCGTTGGAGTCCGGGTGCGATGTCGATCGCTATTGGGAGGCTCTTGAGTGTCTGTGCCTCGAGCAGATGACTATGGAAGTGGAGAACCCACGGAAAAACGAGCCGGCCGTCTCCGAGGTCCCGAAGCCGATTAAAACGCGTGCTCGACGAATGCATCGCATTCTCGCTTGGATACCGAAGTCGCGCAAACCTCTGCCCAAACACAAGCGCGAGGATGGCGATGATGGACCCAATTTTACGAGCAGCGGTATTGTATCTTCTAATTTCCGACCCCGTAAGAAACGACGACTGGCTCAGTCTGGTGAGAATGGGACAGCAAGTAATGGTGCTGTCGAGGTGAGAAGAAAGCATAGGAAAAAGCACCCCGATGACGAAACGCAGTCAAAAGCGGAGGCTCTCACGTGGACAGATGAGCACGAGCAGCTTTTGGTCGAGTACTTTATTGACAGCTCCAAGAGTCGGTGGAAAGTGAGCATTCCTCAAGGTTTGCAGCGTGAGAAGGAGCAGGTCGCCTTCCGGAACCATACAATCTCGCGAACGGGCTTCGGTCTCGTGGCCATCGCACGGAAGCTGGGCAAACGGAAGATCGACGTGAAGAAGCGCCTCAAGGAGAAACTGATGGAGCCCGTGGTGAAGCTGTTGTTTGAGAACGCGAAGCGGGCAGCGGAGCTGTCTGACAACCCTGGGGGGTTGTTCGATGAGGAGATTGCGATTCAACGATCCACCAGGCTCACTGCGCTCTTTCGGCGGGCGATAATGATGATCGTGTCTCCACGAGAAGAGTATCATCCGCTCGTCGCTGAGGAGTTGATCTCGTTCTGGACCCCGCACGAGATCCGACTGGTTTGGCGGTACCTCTGGCTGAAGAATTGGATTGTTCGCGCTTCCGAGAAGGAGCGAGGTCGCGGCTATTCTACTAGCCAGCGCTTGCAAGACTCACTCAAGGTGACCACGTTGTCGTACCCGCTGCTGCTGTTTCAGCAGGCTGCAGAGCAGGAGAGTATGGTTAGCTCTACGCTGGAGGAAATCTCAGCGGGCAGGCCGGAGTCAAGTGAAAGGAGACCGCGTAGTGCCTCTGTCGGTGGACCTCACAACAGTGATCAACTCTTCGAGGATGACTTCCCGACGAACGCCACGCCTGGCCAGTGTGCTTTGGAACTGGGCTGCCAAGTGCTTGGTACGTGCTCGCTTACAGCAGTTCACACGACAATTTTCGATGCGGACGCGGACGGCGATGACGCGCTGGCAACGCAGCAAACGAACGGCAAGAGGCTTCCTAGCTCGACGAAGAGAGAAAGCCTCTTGACCTGCAAGAGCCTGAAAGACAGGTCTGGCTTTGCCGCGCACTTGGCCAATAAGGTGAACGTCACGAAGGCGTCGGCTCTAATTGACAGTTGGCGAGTGGAGACGAAGATGCACGCGGTGACTGTTGACGACTCGGAGCTGCTGAGCGCCTGCGAGGCGTTTTCAATGGAAGACAGCGACGATAGCGCAGTTGAATCCCGCCCGTCGGAGCAAGCGTTAGCGCAGGCAGTGGTTGCTCACGTGCGCGAGAGCGGCGAAGAAGGACTGACACTGCCAGCTCTGGTGGAGAATCTGCGCTCAACCACCGACGACGAAGCGCGCGATGCCCTGCAGATGCGTGTGGCCGCGTGTCTCGACTCGCTGGTTGACCAGGGGGTGCTGATCTGCGTGAATGCCTACTACGACCAGCGCTACATTGTCAAGGAGCACTGCGACGTGTGGATGCTGCGGCCGTTCTCGCTGGTTCCGAGCACCAGTTCACTGTCGACGCCCCAGGTTGTCTTTGAAGGCGAGAAGGACACGCTGTCGTTCCCGTGGCTCAAGATGGACGGCGGAACCAACTACAAGTTCCTGTTCGCGATCCAGCGCAAGTTGCTGTCGCTGATTCTCCAGACGCCAGGGATCACCGAGACGCGCGCCCACGCCAAGATGAACAAACTGCTGTCGCTGCAGGATACGCGCGAGGCCATGTCGTTGCTGGTGGAGGAAGGGCTGGTGTACGCTCGGGCGGTCACGCTTCCTCCTGCCAAGCCCACGAGTCTGTTCGCGATGCCGGCCCAACCTTCCGTCCCCAAGGTCGTGAAGCTTATCGGCAGCGTGCTGGCCTATGACCGCTCCATCTTCGAAGTGCGCTACTTCCCCCACATCGAATGCATCCAGCGCTTTGGAAGCATCGTGCAGGACTACCAGAACGAGGTGTTTCAGAACGACTGAGCCAAGGTAGCGGACCGACGAGCTCCGGCGAACGATTAGATGCAGAGCGCGCATTGCAAATGCGAAACGAGTAACCATGTGCGGGCTTCGCCAGCCACACCAACGCGTGGGGTGCGACTCCCGCCATTTTGTACAAGTACGAACCAGGATTTTGTTCCCTCTATGAAGGGACTAGGAGCACGAGGATAGTGGTGACCAATCTAATGCTAACGGAACTTGCCATGGCTTAAGGCAACACCCACACTTGAAACATTCCTCTCAACTGCAGTGCTCTTTAATAATGTTAGCACGACAACCTTACTTCCCAGGCATGCACTATGTCCTCAGTTGGATAACCAACCCAACCCGATAGACATGATCCACTCACTGCACTGCCTTGCGTCGCGCCTAGAGCTTGGAGGTCGAGCGCACCATCGTGGCCGAAATGATGCCGTGCGGCTCGTCGATGGGCAGGAAGACCTCGCCGTGCGGGTGGATGTTCTTGCAGCCGAAGCGCGAGAGGTCGATGGGGTTGTTGTGGATGTTGGGCATGGTGATCTTGATGTCCTTGACGTACGGGCACGCCTCCAGCACGGCCTCGCCCATCTTGTAGAGCGTGAACTGCACGGCGGGGCTCGGCACGCCCGCGTCCGCCGGGCCCGCGAACGTCTCGAGCAGCACGCGCTTGATCTCCGCCGCCCTGGAGGCGAAGTCTCCGGCGCCGGGCGTGTAGCTCCACGCGGCCGTGACGCACGTGCTGACGAGGCGGTCGGGCACGTCCGGCAGCGTCGTGTACTCGTCGCGGAAGAAGTCGACGAAGGAGCTCTGCGTGGTCTTGAGCACCTTGAGGCCGTCCACGCCGCCCTGCACGGTCACCTCGGGGGCTCCGCGCGACGACTTGCGAGCCACCACACTGGTCAAAGGCAAAGGAGGAGAGAGAGGCAGGCAGAGTGTTAGCAGGGGGGAGGGGGGGGGGATCCATTGACAAAGCTGACGGACGCATCGTGCCACGTACTAGGCGGTGGAGAAGCCCGCGCCGGCGCTCACGAAGGCGTGGTGGTGCGCGCGCGTCTGGCCCTTGGAGTCCGGCACCACGAGCCGCTCCCACGGCGTCTCGAAGAGCTTCACCTTGGCCACGCTGATCTGCTCGGGGCAAACACACAGAGAGATACAGGTAGAGACAGAGATAGAGAGACGCTGTTAGACCTCTGTAAGACGCGGCTCAGTGGGGAGGCCACAAGGGGCGTCGACGTACCATGTCCGGGTGCTTGGTGACAAAGTGCGTGGCCAGGATGACGCCAAAGTCCTCGAGCGACGCGAACTCGTGCTTCTTGGCCAGCACCCAGACCGTGTTCTTGACCGAGTCGGTGGGCAGCACGTGGCCGTTGTCGCCGTCGTAGTAGGCGCTGGCGGCGGGCGCGCCCTCCAGCAGCACCTGCGCCTCCAGCTGCACCACCGAGTGCTTCTCGGGCGTGCGCGTCACCTTGAGCAGGCGCACGCGGCCCTTGCCGTGCTCGTGCTGCAGGAGTTTGACGACCATGCTGAAGAAGGGGCTGGGTACTTCCTACTCGGTACGAGAGGGCGGGGGCTGGCTTCGGGCTTGGGCGTTGCCGGGCGAATCGCGGAATGGCGGCCGAGGCGACGTTGAACTGGAGGCCAGCTGATCTTAAGTGGACGCACGCATTCAACATGGCCTCGACTAAGTCAGTACGCTGAAGCGCGAATCCACCCTTAAATCCTTACACCGCGCTGCCGACGCGCTGGACGTCACGCTTGGCATGCTTGGGGTGTCATGTAGGCGTTGCCGACGAACAATGATTCTGCGGCTTCGGGGGGGTGGGTGGGTATGCTAATGGCGCGACCATCGCTGTACTCAGTGCAGTGCACTGCGCATTCTCGGCGATGAATAGTGTACGCACGCGTACGAGTTTCGAGTTGAAAAGGGAAACGAACGATGCGAACGAAACACGTACTCGCTGATTGATACTGCGCATTCGGGAGATCGAGAGTGACTCCATGCACACGCTTGGCCCATGATCCAGCTGCATACTTACCGAGAACCTGTTCGTCCTATCTCCTGGTTGATGGTCCTGGACGGAGTGTAGATCACACTTCAACTTCAACGTCATGCCCTCAGTGTTTTTCCCCCAGCGACTCGCACAAGATGAGTTGTGGCCACTCGGGTGCGTTTCAAGCCATGACCGGCCAGCCAGCAGCGACGACCACCCTCCAATGGGTCCTGCGGTACCTGGTCGGCAAGTTTTTTTTCTCGAGTGTGCTCGAGCCCCGTCATCTCAAAGGTATACGCTGCTGGTCGGGGTTGTTTAGCCGCTTCGATTGTACCAAACACAAGTCAATATGCGGTTTATACGTGTGTCCACAAAGCCTTTAACGCGGAAGACAGCGACTCCTAGGGACTCACACCCGGGATCGCCCTCACATTTGAGTACAGTTCACTGACTTCTGAGTAACAAGTAATGTGCCGACTTTTGAGTACATTATCTCCTCTAACCAGTGCGCTGTGTAAACTAGAAAACCTAGCACCATCGTAGGAGGTAGAGGCGCAGGCTGTCGCGCTGGCATCCACAAACGTGAATAATGAGCACTGTGAAGTTGTGTAGACCATGTTCGGCACGGCATCTTTCTGCTGCGTTGGTTCGCGAAGGTCGGCGAGTAACAGTATCCGTCTGTTGCGAAGCTTGCATGCGTCTGCTAGGACGTGGGTGCTCGACGGCATTCCAAGCACTCGTGTTCTCAACTGTGTTCTTTCGTGATGGGTCTTTTAAGAACGAGAACCGACCGATCGTGCGCAGCGGCACCTCATACTGTACGTCTGGGGCTTCGGCGTATGAAGCCGCTCATGCATGTAAGTAGTAGTACACGATGGGGCTTCGGATAGGAGTGGATAATTATTCCTATCTTCGCCGTTAATGCGCCCAAGAATACAATGCGTCTGCTCGACAACTTCTGGCACACCCAGAACAAACCAAACCAAACCAAATCTCGGCCAGTTCAAACCAAACCAAAATTACCGGCAAACCAGGTTTGAATCGGTTTCATGGTTTGAACACGTTTCATTTTGTAACTCTAAACCAAGCATGTCGTTTTTGCGAACCAGTGCGCTGGTTTGAACCGCGGCTGCACATTCGCAGGCAGTGCGGCTTTTACAGAATGGATCGCGGTTAGATGTTATCGTGCTCTTCGGCAAGGCCACGACAACAATTATCGCGATTGAGAAACCGCTTCGATCAGTGCGACCACGGGAACGCCCAAAGATAAGTAGTTGCAAGCAAGCTTACTGTTAGTTTGAGCCAGTCTCCGGCTCATGATTTATATGGGCATTTGCCCTCAAACTTTCTTTTGCGGTAAAAAAAATTTACACAGGCAGACACGACGTCAGAGAGTATATAAATCCAGATATTCAACAAGTTTACTCGATAAATCAAGGGGGATCTACACGCAAAATTTGCCCGAAAAATGCGCCCATTCATCGCGAAAGGGTTAAGATGCCACGGGCTCAATCAAACCTTCGAACGGTCCCCTTATTCCAACTTGGAGCTCCGGAATCCAGGACGAAGGAGCGAATGGAGGATTTAGTTAGGTCGTTCGAGCGCTGGACGGGAATATGTGTTTACAGGTAGGCAAGATCGCATCACAGCACTAGCCGTGACCAGTGGAAATGGCGAATTTGATGCGAAGTCTCTCAAGAAAGATCAAAAGAGGCTGATGTTCGTCTGCGTGAACAATTTGTGCGCACACCAACGGCTTGCTTCTGAAGTGGTTCCGTCTCTAAAGCTCCCGTAAGTTCCGCTGATACGTAGGTCGCGTTCACAATTTGGCTACTGCAAGCTCGGGATAGATAGGCTATCTACATAAGTAGTTTCCTTAACATACAGTGCATTATCTTATTGATCAGTAGAAAGTATCCTTGTTACAGGTTAGTGACTTCTCGATAAGCAAAAACCGTTCTGACTACGGAGCTAAGAGAGACGTAATGAATGGTGACGTCCAAGATTGAGATATCCGAAGCGCTGGGTGGTGCTTGAACAGCTCCCTCGGCGTTTGTTAAGAGAGCGCGCCTGCGTATAGCAAACACCCGAGGGTGGGCCACGACAAAACGGTGCAGGCGTGATAAAGCGGGGAATTCGTGCAGACACTCTTGAAGACGCTGGCAGGTAGCATAACTTATTGCTGTTCAGAGCTACGTTGAACTCGTTTGCTCTCGCACTCATCTTCCAGAAGCGTCATCATAGTTTCTAACTGTCTGCGGCATTTTAGTATAATTTTTACCCGTGAATCAAAAACCTTAGGATACGAGCACATGTACGCTTTGAGGTTGCTCGAGTAGCATTAAGGAAGGAGGAAGTTATGAATTGGGAGGAGGACGTTATGAATTCTCATTTGTTGGTAAGAAATTTGTTCGTAAATATTGTTTCATAGTACGTTCTGCTGTGTAGGGGTACGGAATTCAATGCTGAGTCACAAGAAGAGCTCGCATAATACTCACAATCAGTTAAGGCGTGTGCCAGTAGATATTTTGCCAGTGACGACGAAATGAACTGGCTAGTTTTTTTGTTGTTGGATGGCCCGCGTTTGTTTCATGAAAGCGGCATGGGGGCAACTGTCGTCCTTTTGCGTGGGCTGAGGATCAAAACTAGCAATAGCTGTTTATGATGCTGCCTCCCCTGGCGCTTGGCACGTGCAACAAGAATTTCCAGCTTCAATTTACACGAAAAATTTAGTTCACAGGAGTCACCAAGTTCTCTGCAATGCTGCTCGCGAGAAAAAAAAGAATGGTCAACATGATTTACTGTTAACTTGATGAGTCATCAAGTCATCAATGATGACCACAAGAAGTAAATGGATAATAATAAGATCCCTAAGTTAGGGATTGGGGACCCTAACAACAGTGCAGCTCCGCCAATTTTGAAATGTTCTGTAAATCTGAAAAAAAAAACTAGACGCGTTGTTTGCATACGCTTGGTCTGTTCAGTATCCAATTGTTGCTTAGCAGCGGTAATTCGCTACTTTAGAACAGTGTTAACAACGCTGAATGCCCGGAAAGTTGATCGTGTTTTAAAGATAATCTCTAGTCTCCCACGCCGTCTAATATTATGCGGGCTAGTCGTAGCTCACTTCGAGCAACTTCAAAATCTGTGCCAAACTCTTGTGCATCTTAAGGTGCTCATTAATTGTGGCTCGTACATCAATTCTTAACGACATACTTGGGTATTCTACAGCCCGAGAATTTATTTCAACAAATGCGGACCTTTACGAAAGTGTACGATATCTTTGTATAGCCTTTTGTAGCCAATGAGCGCCACAGTAACTCCAAACCTGTTACGCTACATAACTCCGAACCCGGTTTGAAAGCTGGAAGGATCTGACCACAAACCAGCGAAAGCGGTAATTTTGGTTCGGAAATCTGCGTAGTTTACGAGCAAACCAATTTCTTGCACGTTTCATGGTTTGGTTTGTTCAAGGTGTGACTTCTGGGTTCTGCCTACACCACTTCCACGAGAATAAATTCAAAATTGATGCATCACTGTTCACGTTTTAAAAACTTGCTTCTTACTTGCCCACGCACAGGCTCGTGTTCGAGTCCCACTTGCAGCTCAGGAACATGGCCTTGCAGAAGAACTTGCTCGAGAACTTGCTGCAGAACGAACTGCTCTGAGGAGTTGGTGTGGGCGTAGGCGTCACCGTCGTGGGCTCCGGAGTCGGTGCGACCGTGGCCTCAGCGGTGGGCTCCGGAGTCGGCGCGACCGTGCCCTCAGCGGTAGGAGCCGAAGTTTCCGGAAGCGAAGTGACCGGGCAAGGTGTCGTGGCTGCAGGCGTAGCCGCCGGAGCCGTGGTGTCCGGCAGCGAAGTCACGGGGCAAGGCGTAGTAGCGGCCGGGGCCGTGGTGTCCGGAAGCGAAGTTACCGGGCACGGCGTAGTGGCTGCCGGAGCGTCCGTGTCGGGCAACGATGTCACGGGGCAAGGCGTCGTCGATGCCGGAGTCGAGGTCACCGGAGCGTCCGTGTCGGGCAACGATGTCACGGGGCAAGGCGTCGTCGATGCCGGAGTCGAGGTCACCGGAGCGTCCGTGTCCGGCAGCGAAGTCACGGGGCAAGGCGTAGTAGCGGCCGGGGCCGTGGTGTCCGGAAGCGAAGTTACCGGGCACGGCGTAGTGGCTGCCGGAGCTTCCGTGTCCGGCAGCGAAGTCACGGGGCAAGGCGTAGTAGCGGCCGGGGCCGTGGTGTCCGGAAGCGAAGTTACCGGGCACGGCGTAGTGGCTGCCGGAGCGTCCGTGTCGGGCAACGATGTCACGGGGCAAGGCGTCGTCGATGCCGGAGTCGAGGTCACCGGAGCGTCCGTGTCGGGCAACGATGTCACGGGGCAAGGCGTCGTCGATGCCGGAGTCGAGGTCACCGGAGCGTCCGTGTCCGGCAGCGAAGTCACGGGGCAAGGCGTAGTAGCGGCCGGGGCCGTGGTGTCCGGAAGCGAAGTTACCGGGCACGGCGTAGTGGCTGCCGGAGCGTCCGTGTCCGGCAGCGAAGTCACGGGGCAAGGCGTAGTAGCGGCCGGGGCCGTGGTGTCCGGAAGCGAAGTTACCGGGCACGGCGTAGTGGCTGCCGGAGCGTTCGTGTCGGGCAACGATGTCACGGGGCAAGGCGTCGTCGATGCCGGAGTCGAGGTCACCGGAGCGTCCGTGTCCGGCAGCGAAGTCACGGGGCAAGGCGTCGTCGATGCCGGAGTCGAGGTCACCGGAGCGTCCGTGTCCGGCAGCGAAGTCACGGGGCAAGGCGTCGTCGATGCCGGAGTCGAGGTCACCGGAGCGTCCGTGTCCGGCAGCGAAGTCACGGGGCAAGGCGTAGTAGCGGCCGGGGCCGTGGTGTCCGGAAGCGAAGTTACCGGGCACGGCGTAGTGGCTGCCGGAGCGTCCGTGTCCGGCAGCGAAGTCACGGGGCAAGGCGTAGTAGCGGCCGGGGCCGTGGTGTCCGGAAGCGAAGTTACCGGGCACGGCGTAGTGGCTGCCGGAGCGTTCGTGTCGGGCAACGATGTCACGGGGCAAGGCGTCGTCGATGCCGGAGTCGAGGTCACCGGAGCGTCCGTGTCCGGCAGCGAAGTCACGGGGCAAGGCGTAGTAGCGGCCGGGGCCGTGGTGTCCGGAAGCGAAGTTACCGGGCACGGCGTAGTGGCTGCCGGAGCGTCCGTGTCGGGCAACGATGTCACGGGGCAAGGCGTCGTCGATGCCGGAGTCGAGGTCACCGGAGCGTCTGTGTCGGGCAACGATGTCACGGGGCAAGGCGTCGTCGATGCCGGAGTCGAGGTCACCGGAGCGTCCGTGTCCGGCAGCGAAGTCACGGGGCAAGGCGTAGTAGCGGCCGGGGCCGTGGTGTCCGGAAGCGAAGTTACCGGGCACGGCGTAGTGGCTGCCGGAGCGTCCGTGTCGGGCAACGATGTCACGGGGCAAGGCGTCGTCGATGCCGGAGTCGAGGTCACCGGAGCGTCCGTGTCCGGCAGCGAAGTCACGGGGCAAGGCGTAGTAGCGGCCGGGGCCGTGGTGTCCGGAAGCGAAGTTACCGGGCACGGCGTAGTGGCTGCCGGAGCGTCCGTGTCGGGCAACGATGTCACGGGGCAAGGCGTCGTCGATGCCGGAGTCGAGGTCACCGGAGCGTCCGTGTCGGGCAACGATGTCACGGGGCAAGGCGTCGTCGATGCCGGAGTCGAGGTCACCGGAGCGTCCGTGTCGGGCAACGATGTCACGGGGCAAGGCGTCGTCGATGCCGGAGTCGAGGTCACCGGAGCGTCCGTGTCCGGCAGCGAAGTCACGGGGCAAGGCGTAGTAGCGGCCGGGGCCGTGGTGTCCGGAAGCGAAGTTACCGGGCACGGCGTAGTGGCTGCCGGAGCGTCCGTGTCGGGCAACGATGTCACGGGGCAAGGCGTCGTCGATGCCGGAGTCGAGGTCACCGGAGCGTCCGTGTCGGGCAACGATGTCACGGGGCAAGGCGTCGTCGATGCCGGAGTCGAGGTCACCGGAGCGTCCGTGTCCGGCAGCGAAGTCACGGGGCAAGGCGTAATAGCGGCCGGGGCCGTGGTGTCCGGAAGCGAAGTTACCGGGCACGGCGTAGTGGCTGCCGGAGCGTCCGTGTCCGGCAGCGAAGTCACGGGGCAAGGCGTCGTCGATGCCGGAGTCGAGGTCACCGGAGCGTCCGTGTCGGGCAACGATGTCACGGGGCAAGGCGTCGTCGATGCCGGAGTCGAGGTCACCGGAGCGTCCGTGTCCGGCAGCGAAGTCACGGGGCAAGGCGTAGTAGCGGCCGGGGCCGTGGTGTCCGGAAGCGAAGTTACCGGGCACGGCGTAGTGGCTGCCGGAGCTTCCGTGTCGGGCAACGATGTCACGGGGCAAGGCGTCGTCGATGCCGGAGTCGAGGTCACCGGAGCGTCCGTGTCGGGCAACGAAATCACGGGGCAAGGCGTCGTCGATGCCGGAGTCGAGGTCACCGGAGCGTCCGTGTCCGGAAGTGATGTCACGGGGCAAGGCGTCGTCGATGCCGGAGTCGAGGTCATCGGAGCGTCCGTGTCGGGCAACGAAGTCACGGGGCAAGGAGTCGTTGTTGAAGAACCCGTTCTAGAGGCACTTGAGTCAGGTAGCGACGTAACCGGGCATGGCGTTGTCGTTGATCCAGTCTCGGAAGCACCCGTGTCTGGCAGTGAGGTCACGGGGCATGGGGTCGTTGTCGAGCTCGATGAGCCTGCTCCTGGAGACTCCGCGTCAGGAAGGGATGTCACGGGACACGGGGTCGTTGCTGACGCAGATGAACCTGCTGACGCCTCCGTGTCTGGCAACGAAGTGACGGGGCAAGGCGTCGTCGATTCGGTGTCCGGTAACGAGGTGACCGGGCAGGGGGTAGATGTCTCTGTATCTGGCAGCGACGTCACGGGGCACGGCGTAGCTGTGACCGGCAAACTTGTAACGGGGCACGGAGTCTCTGTATCAGGAAGAGAAGTCACTGGGCATGGGGTCGCTGTGTCGGGGAGGGAAGTCACGGGGCACGGGGTCGAGGTTTCGTTCGTGTCCGGCAAACTCGTCACGGGGCAGGGCGTCGAGCTGCTGCCACTGCAGCCCACGGAGGGGAAGACGCAGCCCCACGTGTCTCCGTTCACGATGGTGCACTCGGCGTTCTCCTTGGCTGTGCACTGCGATCCGTCGAACGACGGCAGGTACGAGTGGCAGTCGGCCGTGGCCACATCTCCGACCAAGGGGCAAGCCGTGCCGACGGGGGCGCTCCCGGACCCCGAGCAAATGGCGCCACGGGAGGCCACGATCGTGTAGGTGGCGTCCCGGCAGACCGACACATCGGTGTCGGCCGAGACGACGGCGGCGACGGCCAGCGCCGCGACCACGAGCGTCGTGCTGACCTTCATGTCGAGTCTCTCCGGCGGAGGAAAATGGCGAGTGAGTCCACGCGCTCAGCCATGCGGCAGCAGACGCAGACGCCGCATTGCCGAGCGCGGGTCGTGCCCGCTCCATGGTGGATACAAGCGGCACTGGGGATCCATCCCTGGTCCGCGGCTTCAGCAGTGCACAAAGCGCCTGCGAGCGAGGAGCAGACGCCCTCGTTAGCGCTGCTCCAGCTGTTTTCGTGGGTGGATTCCAGGGTGATAGGGAACAGAAACCCCGATTATTAGCTGGTATAAATACCTTAAGTTTATTTAGCACCGTTATCTGGTCTCTTATTTGTGGGTTCTGGGGTAGGAGACCGTCGTGGGTGGTGGGTGCAATGAAGATCAGTCTGCCTTGGCTGTGACAGGCGTGACAGACGGCTTCACGGGGCTACTCTTCTGACAGCGCTTGAAGCTCGCCGCGCAGCGAATCTGGGCGTTCAAACACTGCCTGACTTGGCCTGATACCGTGAGAACGCCCGGCGCACTACGCTGCGCAGTCTGCGCCGCAGAGGGTACGCGAGGGTACACTGCTCTCGTCCTCGTGTCCTAAGCAGCGCTTCAAATTGTCATCGTCTTCGAACAGAGAGATCGATGCACTCCCTCTGCATATCACGACAAGCGCCGCTGATGAATGCTGCAGTTCTTTTGGATGGCCGTCCAGAAGCTTGAGTACGCGGCGTCGTGAAATCCTCGCGTGCCGGCATAGCGAATCATCTCAGGACAAAGGTGAGAGCAGTGTCGCTCCATTCAGCAGCGAGGGTCTGCAGAGACGGAAACAAGAAGGACATGCACAAGCATCAAGAGTCTGCGCTTCGGCTGAAGCGGGAACGAAAGCTACAAGCGACTGCTGCTGCTGTTGTTAATGAATCTCGTCGCGGGGCGATGTCATGGGGCAAGGAGTCGCCGCAGCAAGCGTCGGCATGGACAAGGAGGAGTTGATGAAGACATCGACGGAGCTGTGGTTGTGCCCGTGGAAGTGAACTGACCAGGTACGGAGTGGTGATTAAAGCCTGAGAAGCACCAGATGCCGCGAGCAAAGTGCCCGGGTGGTCTTCGTGTCGTGCGGCGACGTCATGGGGCACCGGGTCGTCGTATTTGACAGCGAGCGGGGCACGGGGAGGCCGCGTTCGTGTCGGGTAAGCTCGGCGCTCCATGAAGGAGACCGCACTTCATCATGACGCGCGTCGTCTTCCGTGCCCATGACCCCCCTCCCCCCTAGATCATTAATGCTCAGTTTCCCACGGCCCAATGCGGAGGTAGCGCGGTGAACGTTGTCATCAATGACTTTGGCCGCAGCACCACCCGGCCTTCCTGAACCTCGTGGCGTGGCTGCCACCCACCGAGCAGCTGGGCAACTTCAAGGCCATCGAACGCGACATCGGCTGCACGCTGTCGCTGCGCTGGAGTTCGCGCCTCATCGACATGGACATCCTTCAGTGCGACGATTAGCATAGTTTACTGTGGGCACGGCTAATGGACCACTCATGTCCAGCACGAACGCAGCGGCGACTTTGTGCTGACCTCGCCGAAGCTGGGCGCTAGGCCTATCAGTACGCATTGCCCAGAAAATTCGTACCGGACACCACGGCTCTGGCTGACACTACATCGATACATGTACTATTCTCGTGGAAGTTGGCCATAGTAAGAACTCGTTGAGCAGGTGCATCGTAACCAGCAGGTTGGGCACATCAGTGGCGATGATAGGAATACATAATGTAATGAGCCAGTCCTACCCCAGCCTTCGCGAAGCCCTACCGCAGTGATCAAGCGGCTGCATAGGACCGTATATATATACATGTAGTACAAGCTGCCGATCGCTGTCGGTTCTCGTTCTTAAAAGACCCATCACGAAAGAACACAGTTGAGAACACGAGTGCTTGGAATGCCGTCGAGCACCCACGTCCTAGCAGACGCATGCAAGCTTCGCAACAGACGGATACTGTTACTCGCCGACCTTCGCGAACCAACGCAGCAGAAAGATGCCGTGCCGAACATGGTCTACACAACTTCACAGTGCTCATTATTCACGTTTGTGGATGCCAGCGCGACAGCCTGCGCCTCTACCTCCTACGATGGTGCTAGGTTTTCTAGTTTACACAGCGCACTGGTTAGAGGAGATAATGTACTCAAAAGTCGGCACATTACTTGTTACTCAGAAGTCAGTGAACTGTACTCAAATGTGAGGGCGATCCCGGGTGTGAGTCCCTAGGAGTCGCTGTCTTCCGCGTTAAAGGCTTTGTGGACACACGTATAAACCGCATATTGACTTGTGTTTGGTACAATCGAAGCGGCTAAACAACCCCGACCAGCAGCGTATACCTTTGAGATGACGGGGCTCGAGCACACTCGAGAAAAAAAACTTGCCGACCAGGTACCGCAGGACCCATTGGAGGGTGGTCGTCGCTGCTGGCTGGCCGGTCATGGCTTGAAACGCACCCGAGTGGCCACAACTCATCTTGTGCGAGTCGCTGGGGGAAAAACACTGAGGGCATGACGTTGAAGTTGAAGTGTGATCTACACTCCGTCCAGGACCATCAACCAGGAGATAGGACGAACAGGTTCTCGGTAAGTATGCAGCTGGATCATGGGCCAAGCGTGTGCATGGAGTCACTCTCGATCTCCCGAATGCGCAGTATCAATCAGCGAGTACGTGTTTCGTTCGCATCGTTCGTTTCCCTTTTCAACTCGAAACTCGTACGCGTGCGTACACTATTCATCGCCGAGAATGCGCAGTGCACTGCACTGAGTACAGCGATGGTCGCGCCATTAGCATACCCACCCACCCCCCCCGAAGCCGCAGAATCATTGTTCGTCGGCAACGCCTACATGACACCCCAAGCATGCCAAGCGTGACGTCCAGCGCGTCGGCAGCGCGGTGTAAGGATTTAAGGGTGGATTCGCGCTTCAGCGTACTGACTTAGTCGAGGCCATGTTGAATGCGTGCGTCCACTTAAGATCAGCTGGCCTCCAGTTCAACGTCGCCTCGGCCGCCATTCCGCGATTCGCCCGGCAACGCCCAAGCCCGAAGCCAGCCCCCGCCCTCTCGTACCGAGTAGGAAGTACCCAGCCCCTTCTTCAGCATGGTCGTCAAACTCCTGCAGCACGAGCACGGCAAGGGCCGCGTGCGCCTGCTCAAGGTGACGCGCACGCCCGAGAAGCACTCGGTGGTGCAGCTGGAGGCGCAGGTGCTGCTGGAGGGCGCGCCCGCCGCCAGCGCCTACTACGACGGCGACAACGGCCACGTGCTGCCCACCGACTCGGTCAAGAACACGGTCTGGGTGCTGGCCAAGAAGCACGAGTTCGCGTCGCTCGAGGACTTTGGCGTCATCCTGGCCACGCACTTTGTCACCAAGCACCCGGACATGGTACGTCGACGCCCCTTGTGGCCTCCCCACTGAGCCGCGTCTTACAGAGGTCTAACAGCGTCTCTCTATCTCTGTCTCTACCTGTATCTCTCTGTGTGTTTGCCCCGAGCAGATCAGCGTGGCCAAGGTGAAGCTCTTCGAGACGCCGTGGGAGCGGCTCGTGGTGCCGGACTCCAAGGGCCAGACGCGCGCGCACCACCACGCCTTCGTGAGCGCCGGCGCGGGCTTCTCCACCGCCTAGTACGTGGCACGATGCGTCCGTCAGCTTTGTCAATGGATCCCCCCCCCTCCCCCCTGCTAACACTCTGCCTGCCTCTCTCTCCTCCTTTGCCTTTGACCAGTGTGGTGGCTCGCAAGTCATCGCGCGGAGCCCCCGAGGTGACCGTGCAGGGCGGCGTGGACGGCCTCAAGGTGCTCAAGACCACGCAGAGCTCCTTCGTCGACTTCTTCCGCGACGAGTACACGACGCTGCCGGACGTGCCCGACCGCCTCGTCAGCACGTGCGTCACGGCCGCGTGGAGCTACACGCCCGGCGCCGGAGACTTCGCCTCCAGGGCGGCGGAGATCAAGCGCGTGCTGCTCGAGACGTTCGCGGGCCCGGCGGACGTGGGCGTGCCGAGCCCCGCCGTGCAGTTCACGCTCTACAAGATGGGCGAGGCCGTGCTGGAGGCGTGCCCGTACGTCAAGGACATCAAGATCACCATGCCCAACATCCACAACAACCCCATCGACCTCTCGCGCTTCGGCTGCAAGAACATCCACCCGCACGGCGAGGTCTTCCTGCCCATCGACGAGCCGCACGGCATCATTTCGGCCACGATGGTGCGCTCGACCTCCAAGCTCTAGGCGCGACGCAAGGCAGTGCAGTGAGTGGATCATGTCTATCGGGTTGGGTTGGTTACCCAACTGAGGACATAGTGCATGCCTGGGAAGTAAGGTTGTCGTGCTAACATTATTAAAGAGCACTGCAGTTGAGAGGAATGTTTCGATTCATGCGAGTTATACTAGTATTATCCGAGCGCAGTTTGTGAGCTTGAACGCACTCTGCGCTGATAGAATCGACGCAGACACGCTGCCTTATCGCCCGTAAAAGTCGCCAAGTGATCGGGCAAACACGTTGACCTTGTTCTGGAGCGAGGAGTAGTTGCAGATCTCAGCCAAGCGGTGCACGCGCTGCTGCATTTCTTGAAAATACGCGTCGCAAGCGTTGCACCGTTGAGCCCTGTCACGGACATCCCAGATTAAGGCAAATAGTACCATGTTAGTTTGGAGCAGGCCGACCAACACTAACTATCCCAACGTTACGAACCGTTCTTCGCCCGCTAGGTTGATGGCACGCGAGCGGTACTGCCGAGCATCTCGAGCGTCCTTTACAATGGGGGAAAACGCATCGAACAGCTTTTGCCCCGAGTCGATGCCAACGCTTAAATATCTGTCCATCGACAATGAACGAAACGGGCACCAGTCAGATAACATCGCAGATAACATGGAGACAGCACACTTCTCGAGGCACGCACAGTTCGAACTTGCTTTCCAGAACTTCCACGATTAGCGGAAGTAGCAGCACACACGCCTCCAAGTCCATACCGAGTGATTGCAAGTCCGTGATACGCAGCACGTCGACCACAACTGCTTCACGCTTCCCTCGCGGCAACTCGGCAATATACCGAAGACCGTCGTGCAAGCGCCCCTTTTCCCAATGGATCAGTAGTTGCTGCACGCACTTTTGTCGGGCTTTGAACGCCTTGACGCACGTATCCATTCCACAGCGAAGCTCCATTACGAAATCCGAGGTCGCGAACTCTTCTTCGGGCCGCTGCTGTGCAAGTGAAGGCGTTGGGGTCTCAACCGCTTCTGGCGGACTTTCCACTTGTTGGGGTTCTGTGTGAATAGGCGTAGCTTGTCTCGCGCTTACAGGGCGTGGTGCCTCGACTGCAGTTAGACGTGGTTAGTTTATTGTTCGACGCTTGCATGCACAATATCACAACATACCTGACTTTCGGGGGTCCTCAGCACGGCGTTCCGGGCGTGGCATCGGCTCTTCGTGAAGTGGAGGGACCAAGACCCCTGGGGTTGTAGGGCGACCGGTATCCCCCTCGTACGACTGAACATCACGAGCCTGCTGTCCTAATGCCGGGGTTCTTGCTCGGGCCAGATTGTCCGGGAAGTTGGCATTGCCATTACCAGACCCCCGAGATACATCCCGAGTACCAGCGACAACTAGTGCCTCGGTGGGAGTAGCGGTGGGAGGGCGAGTTACTGGAGCTGGAGCGGATGGAGTTACTGCTCGTGCGGACGGTGGTCGACTTCTGGCTTCTGCAGCTCTTTGGTCGCTGCTTTGACTGTTCTTGCGATTAAATGGTCGCATCTGCATCACATCGAGCACCCACACCGAGACAAACGCGTCCTGAATGCAGCCGCCCATGAGTTTCATATCCTGCGTCATGGTGGTGTCGGCATGCATCTCCACGTAGCCCAGATCCTTCTGGCGCGGCATCATCACACTATCGTGGCACTGACAAATCACAACGGTATTATAAGACTGCTGGCACACGGCGGACATTGTTCAATGGATCACACTAACCTCAATGGCAGTCTCGTATGACCACACTCGGATGGCTTCCTGGGAACAGCAAAATAAATACTTCCCGCTGTACGGCTCAGCCACCGTGTGGCACATCGATGTCGTCTGAGCAAAGGCACCAGCAAGCGGCCGTCAGTAAATTTTATCGTAGACAGCTCACCCGAGGTTAACTTACCGTAGCGTTATCAACGGGGGTGACACCGATCAGAGCAAACTCCTGCACGTCCCAGAATCGCACCGTGCGGTCGGCAGCAGAGGACACCAGGATGAACTCTTCAGGGTTAAATTCGAGGCTGGTGATAGCGCCGCCGTGGTCAGGAAACTCGCGAAGGAGGCGTCCAGCCGTGAGGTCCCATATTTTGATGACACCGTCCTGGTCACCGGACGTGAGCCATCGTCCATCGGGCGTGAAGCTCACCGCCGTCACCTCCGACGAGTGCCCCTTGAAGGTCTGCATGCAGCTCTTGGTGCGCAGGTCCCAGACCTTCACGATGGTGTCACGCGAGCCCGAGGCCACGTAGTCGCCGTACAAATGGTAGTCCACCGTCGTGGTCGAGGCCATGTGGCCCTTGAGCGTGCGGCTCACTTTGCCAGCCTCCAGGTCGAACACCTTGATGGATCCCGCCTGGGAGCCGGCCACCACTTTGCGCTCCGCCGGGTCGAACACGACGCTCTCGACGGCGCTCTGGTGGCCCGACAGGCTCTGATGGATTGGCACAACACCAGTCAGACTAGACTCAGTCCATTACTTGGCTCTTAGAGGGCCGACCCACCATGATGTTCTTGGTCTCCTTCTCGCGCATCCGCCAGAGGTTCACCATGTTGTCGTCTCCGCCAGTCGCCGCCACTTGGCCCTGTCATAGGCAGCAGTCGTAGCAGTAGTAAGAGAGATGGGTTCACTGCAGCAGGCGATTGAGAGATCGGACGACCCACCGACTTGCGGCCGAAGCGCAGGCAGTTGACATTGCTGGAGTGCGCCAGGAAGTGAGCTGTCTCGGTGCACACGCATACAAACATACATACAGTCATATTATGTGAGATGCATGCATCCACGCACAGCGCTGGTAGAGCATGAACGCACAGTGCCGGGCGAGCGCCATGGGCAGCGGCAGGAGGCGCGACGCTTACAGCAGTGCCGTCACTACCTATTTGTATGCAATCGGCAAACCCGCGGGACTAAACATCCGGGTTCGGGTTCGGGTCCGGGGTCAGTGGTACTTTTTTGACTTGGGTCCCAACTGGAGAAAAATATCCCTCGAGTCGAGTCGAGTCGCGCGTCATGCAGGTCCTCGTGGCGGTGCTGAGCTTCATCGACATCGTGGCGCTCACGTTCCTGAACGGCTACTGGGTGCGTCTGCTGTGGCTCTTGTGTCTCTGTGCTGCGGGGCTATGGCCCTCGCTTTCTCTCTCTCTCTGCTGACCGAAGTATCTTGCTGTGGCCAGCTGATCACCCTCGATGAGCTGGAGCTGGACCATCTGAACCCGGCCGACGTGGCCAAGCGCCTCAACAAGCTCGTGTGTGCGTAGGCGGCTGTGCATTGCAATGGGAGGGGGCTCATGGACTGACTGCTGTTGTGTGGCTCGCTGCAGACCCGGAGATGGTCCTGCACGGTATCCTCATGTTCCTGTGCTTGCTGGCGTGGGCGCCCTGGGTCTTCCTGCTCAACCTGCCGATCGCCGTGTGGCACGCTCGACGGTGAGTTTGCTGATGCATGCACATTTATTGTGGGGGAGCTAAGGGGCTGACGTTGTTGACGTGGTTGTCCCCAGTGTCATGCGGAGTGAGCACATGATGGACCCGACCGAGATCCTGCGCTTCAAGAACCTGCAGCAGGCTCGCCTGGAGTCGATCGCCAGGACGGTGTTCTACGGCCTGCAGATCGTCTACGGCATGTTCTGGTGCGTGTGGCTGGCTGGCATACTGCGAGCGCTTGTAGTCTGCTGCCTCCCTACTAACCCACTTTTATTTGTTGGCCGCACTACAGGATGGTGTCAGCTATCGTGAACTCGGCCAAGAGCCGGAAGGGCGGCAAGCGCGCATAGATAGCGAACGACCCAACGTCGCTGGCATTCCGCCAGCAGTCGAGTCGAGTACAGTAGTGTGGAGGCGATCGACGGACGTCTCCTGGAGAGGCAGTGAGCGGAGGTTTCCCATCCCATCCACTCTATTGTGGCAACGTTCAAGCTCCACCGTGCTTTCTCCCTAGATGTGTCTAGCATAGCAGTAGCATGTGGGAAAAGATGGCGAGCTGAAGAGGCTGCAGGGAGCGACCAACGTCAGTGACGCCGTAACTGTAGCCAAGCCAAGCCACCCCGGTTTACACTCTGTTTAAGCGCTCCACCCCTATTTGCACCCTTCTTTACCACCTTATTGTTCCATCCTAATCATCAAGCCATTACCAGGAGACATGCGTCGGCGCTACGAACGTCGGCGCGCGGCCAAGGCCAAGGCGGCCGCCGCTGCCGCCGCGGAGAAGGCCGCGCCCAATGCGTCCGACGGCTCTTTAGCGTCCGCAGACGCCCCCACTGCAGCGACCACCGCCACGCACACGCCCACGGCCAAGAAGCGGCAGACGACGGTGCACGCGGCGGCGCAGATCAAGCTGCACGTGCACGGCCACGAGTTCCAGAGCGGCGAGGAGATCGTGCTGAATCCCGACAGCTTCCCGCAGCTCAAGGAGCTCATCTGGAAGGACTACGCCGTGGAGGTCTTCCACCCGGAGCACGCCCAGGGCGACGCGGACTTGGCCGAGGGCTCGCCGCAGAACCACCTGCTGCTCGAGATCCCGGAGAGCAGCGCCGCGCCGCTCAAGGGCAAGATGCAGGTGAGCGTGCTGAAGGACACGGCCGCCATCTTCCAGCTCGCGCCCTTCAAGGACGTGACGGTGCGCTTCCTGCCCAAGACGCAGGTCGAGGTGGACTTCGTCGAGGTGTCGCTCAAGGACCAGTTCATGTCGAGGCGAGACCTCATGTACCTCAAGAAATCCATGGTGGGCACGGCTCTGTATGTGGGCAAGACCATCCGAGTGCAGGGCACGAGGTGGCAGGTGCTGGACGTCCGGTCCGGCGGCGAGAAGGTGCGCAGCGGCGTCATCTCGGACAACACCAAGTTCACGTTCCGCTCGCGCACGTCGCGCATCATGTGGCTGGTGCAGGTGAGCCCCGAGATGTGGGACATGGCCAACTCGGGCATGCTGTACCTCGAGATCTTCCTCACGGTGGTTCGGAATGTGCTCAAGAAGTGGATGAAGCACAAGGTCTCGCATAGTCTGACGATTTTATTCTACTCGCGCTGCTTCTACCCGGAAATGGACCAAGATCGGATCTCGACGGCATCGGGGGGATATTACTCTCATGGAAACTATACGTCGAACAGGAGGCCGGCACGTAGCGCTGCTGATGAGAGGGAGTCATCGTTTCCTTACGAACGCAGTGACTGCTTCTCGGTAGGTGTAGATGAAGACGGCAGGCACTACCAGGACTTTTACAAGTTGGTGGCGTTCGACAGCATTATAACCGACGTGCAGCCGCTGCTGGTGAAGCTCAAGGAAGAGATGAACGCGTTCCCTCGCGAATGTGGCTGGAGGTCGCCCGCAGACTTCTACGTTTCGTCCTTCTCGCCGGTTGAATCAGTCGACAATGAGTCGGGGCCGCGGCCAGGTGTCCCATCAAACGCGCGCGACGGCAACCTGCTGGAAGCGGTGAATCTCGTGCTGAATATCTTTGAAAAGCATCATATCGATCGCGATTTGTCCCGCAGCGGCCAAAGCGTCGTGCTGATCACGCCGGGGAATGGCATTTTCTCCGTCAATAAGCGGCTTTCGGAGATTACAGAGCAGCGCATGATGGACCACGGTATCGGCATTGATCTCATCTCCCTGGCATCGCGCCCACTTCATAAGTGCCCACTGTTTCTCTTCAAACAGTCCGATTTGTCTGAGCTAAAGGTGCCTGGAAAGAAAGAAGGCAACCCTGCAAATGAACTCTGCTTGTGCAACAACAACCCACACGGATCGAAGAATGGATATCAACGGCGGTCACACACAGGCTCCAATGATGCTGTAACAGATTCACAATCAGCAGTTGCAGACATCGGCGTGTCTTCAATGCGAACGGGTCAGCTTTGCAAGTATTGCTTACAGCGGATGAAGAACCGCAAAAACTACATCGTGCCGCTGTGGATTCCGCTCTGGTTCGTACAGGAGAACATGCTGATTCCTCACGATTGCCCGCTTGATGAAGACATTACCCAGTTTTGCGATGTCTGTGCGCCGAAGAACTCCAAGAACAAGGTATTCGAGCCGCTGCCGATGTGTCGGATGTTCAAGGACAACGATCTCACCCACTTTGGCTATTTGTCGCTCCCAAAGCCTTTGGAGTGTTTACTGAACGGCTTTCAAGTATCCGAGTCGTCTCTGAGCGATGACGATCGAGGCAACGACGTCTTCGGTACGACGCCTTCTGCCGGTGGTTCTACCTACGGCGACGTGATCCTCGCTGGGCTTAATAGTGATCTTGTACGCGCCCGCGCGTCCTCAATGTCGTGCTCGGATGACTCGCTGTCGTATGATGGCGAAGTGGTAACCAAAGTCCGCACCTTTTCCTTGACCGAGCAGAACAAGCTGTTGCAAGAGTACGAACGGTACGACGACGAAGTCTTCGGGTTTGCACCTGCACCCAAACTCGCGCAGAAGTCTTCCGATAGTGACATAAGCGTTCGCTTAGCGACAACACCACCAATGCGACCTGGTATGTCGTACCTGAACTCGATGGTTAAGAAGCGCACAGGAACGATCGGGTTCCAGTCTGGATCGGCCGGCAATGGGAACGAGAATGGTAGCAGCAATAGCGGCGGGGCTCGCTGGCGGCAATACGAGCAGCGAGAACCTTCACCTCTGAATGTCGACATGACCGAGTACCGGGGGAGCCTCGAGGCGAAAGTTGGGTCGCTGGATGACGATCGAGACAAGCCCCGGATAACTTCAGGCTCGTTCCCGAACACATTTCAAATGGGAGACGGAAGTGGTCCAAATCACACACCATTTACGACGAGTCCTGTGTTGCGCCCCGCGGATGCTGCAGTGAAAGAGGACATCTTCCACTCCCAGGCGTTCATGTTGAAGCAGCTCACCAGCAACCAGCGTCGATGGAGCCAGGTGCGACCATACGAAGACCAGCAATTTAAGATCGCGCAGAATGTCCTGAAGTGGCGAAGCCTTTGCTTCCCTGCGCTTTTGCCTCTCGCGAGTGACTTCATGCCGGCCGCGAAGGAGTTGCAAGCGCACTATACCGAGTCTTTCTACAGTGTCATGCTTCCAGAGCGCGATGAGCAGAATGGAGTAACGTTCCGTGATTACCGTGAGCTGGTGATGGAAATGGTGGCGCAGCGATTATCGCAAGACTTCCAGCTCGTCTCGGGAGAAGACTCGAGTGAGGTTGGAGATAAGGACGGCACCGTGTTCCGACTCAGCATGGGCCATCGCATCCACGAGATTGTGTACAACGAAGAGACCCAGACGATCGATGTGAAGCGCTACCTTCAGAAGGTGACGACACGCTCGGATGTAGATATCATGGAGTACCGCTACTCGCTCTGGTCGCCGGTAGTGGATCGATTTGTCACGGTGGCTCAGGAGTTCCGGAAGTACCCGCAGATTGAGTATCAGTGGAACCATCTCGACCAGTTGATCTGCGGATACATCGATGATATGAGTGAAGGAATCCGCTACAAGCGCAGTCTCTACTGCCTCCTCCCACCTCGGCTTGGAGGCTCCGACGTCGGTGACCAAGGTAAGGCCAGCGTATGCTCGCATCGTGCTGGTTCGAAGCTGTCGGACTAACGCGATTTTATTGTGTATGTGTGGGCCTTTGTCAACAGAAAACCTGCGCGATTACACGGAGGGCTGTCGGAAGTTCCTCGAGTTTTTGCGCGCCAAAGCGGACGCGAGCACTGGATTCCCGAACGTGAAGCTCTCGACCGACTGGAGGAAGGGGATCATGACGAGCGGCACCGATGCGTTCAAGCGCGTGGGCCAACGGAGTGTCAAGATGCTGCTGCAAACGAATGATGCTGTCACAAGTCAGAACTGGATCATCGCGAAGGTTGACACGGAAGTGCTGCCGACGCAGTGCTACCACGTGGAGATCCAGTGGCTGGTGTGCCGCAGTTCCCTAGTCGACGATCTCATCACTGCTATAAGCCGCCGCGCGAAGCAGCTCGGTCTGGAGCTGCAGAAGGTCACCGAGAACGGCATCTCCAGCAACCTGGACCTGCACCCGCTCAACTGCCCCATCTTCCTCAAGATCGACGACGCGTTCGAGCGGCGCATGGTGGAGAAGGCGCTGGTCGAGCGCTTTGACTTTTGCTGCGAGGCGCTGCACCCGATCCCGTTCACGCACCTGAACCACAACGCGGAGTACGCCATCGTGGCGCAGGAGCCTCGGCCGCCGCGCGCGCGGCGCATGATCTCGTACTACCGGCAGTACGTGCATCGGTCGCTCGCGTGCTTCGCGCGCATGACGCAGACCGGCTTGGTGTGGATCTCGAACCAGAAGGTGCACGACGACGAGATCCAGCCGATCTTCGACGAGCTGCGGCAGTACATCGAGTCGCTGCAGGTGGCGCGCTCGTCGTTGATGGGCGTGATCGATGACATGTTCGAGCCTACAGCCGCAGCAGCAGCGCCGCCGCCGACCACAGATGAGCAAAGGCCTGCGAGTCCGCTGCCGGAGGACCCCGCTGCTTCCAGCGATGATAAGAAATTTCTGCAGGCGGCCAGCCGAAGCACCAGCAGCTGCAGCGAGGAGGAGGAGAAGGAGAACAGCCCCGCGGCGATCAACGTGGTGGTGCGCAACGCCGCCGATCTGCGGTCCGATCCGAAGCGAGCCGCCGCCGCTGCTGCAGTCGCGGCAGAGTCGCTGGCGGATCCCTCGGCAGCTGGCGTAACGACAGCGACTGCAAACGGCCGTGCTTCGAGCTCGAGTTCGTGCAATAAGTCGGCAGCAACGGGCGATACACGTCCAGCGAGATGAGTCGGGAGTTGGCCAGTGCAGCCATTACGTAGCCATTTTGAACGAAGCGGCGCGTAACCGACGGGCCAAAGGGCAGTACGGTACCGCTGTATCCTTGAAGTGTTTGTCACATGCGAGTGCCGCATGCCGCACAGCACCGCTCTGGGAACTTTGGCTGTCTGCTTTTGGCCTGCCACCCAGCCAAAGACCGCGAGTCATACTTGTACAGCACTCCTTCCAGAGTACAGGAATAAAATAGTAATCGAGTTGTTTTCAGCGATGTCCGAGCGTCGGGCTGCGCGCTCTAAATTTTAGTCTAAAGTACATCGTCAAGAAACCCTGCGCCATGCTCATGAGCTTGAACGATGCAACTTGCAGGTGGCAATGCCGCTGCACTGCGGTGCCCAGCTCCAGCTCAGCTGCAGCGTTGCGAGAAGATTGCCATTCCAGACTACAAATGGACACTAAAAGTCGATAATACACTAAAAATCGGCATTATGCCCATTAGGAATTCGGATTTTTTCGTGTGTAACAAATGCCGTAATCGTCAGTCACTCGATGCCCCCCACATTGTTCCTCGCCGCATGCTTCGTGGCGCTTCTCCGCGTTAGTGCGCTCACTTGCGCTGCGTGCCCCCGCACTCGCGGCTACATGTAGCTCAGCTCCAGCCCTGCGACGCCGCCGCGGCGCACGACGCGGAGCTGGGACCAGGAAGCGATGTATCTGCGTGGCCGCATCTCTGCCCGTTACTTTTGGCAGTTAAACTCGCTGACCTTTTTTCGTCAAGGATCCAGAGTGCTCTCGCTGGCCCAGCTGGCTGCGGCCATACTCGGGCCCAGTCTGCAACTCCACGCCACGCGCATCTGCCGTCGTCGTCTGTTGCCACAGAGAGACCGAGAGAGTGAGAGTCTCACACACTCGCTCGCTCGCTCTCCCAAGCCGCTCGCTGTTCACTTTCCATCTCGGTCTGTCGCCCTCCCTTCCACCTCCGTCGCCTTTGCCTCTAGCTCCACGAACCGCCGCAGCGCGTCCTCCGCCGTGCCGACTGTCGTTGCATGATGGGGATCGCCGCGCCGGAACCCTCGTCGCCCTCGCTCCGCCACGCGCGCGTGGCGCCCGGCAACCTGTTCCGCCGCATGTCGGCGCAGGCCATGGGCATGGAGGCCGCGGCGCTGTGCCACCGCTCGCACTGGGTGCCCAAGTCGTCGCGCTCCAACTGCTCCAACTGCCGGCGCAGCTTCCGCCTCTGGGCCGGCAAGCACCACTGCCGCCTGTGCGGCGAGATCGTGTGCGGCGCGTGCTCCACCAAGCGCATTCTCTTCCAGAAGAAGAGCGTGCGCACGTGCGACGATTGCGTGGACGCCAACGTGCAGAACATCTCGGAGATCAACCGCCGCCGCTCCACGCCCGAGTTCCTGCGCGCCCACACGAGCCCCGCGGCCTTCGACGACGACGACGACGACAGGTACCAGCGGCTCAGTCTGCCGCTGCGCGCGGCCAGCAGCCGCGGACTGCACCGGCATCACTCGTCCCTCGCGACCTCGATGGCCACGCCTCTTGGGTCGCAGCGCGGGACCGGCAACACGGAGGCGGAGACCTCGTCGACGGAGCTGAGGATCATGAACTACCGCGTCACCTTCTCGTGGCAGACGCAGGTCATGTCGCTCGTGATCGCGGCGCTCGTCGTCTCCATCGCCTGCGCCTTGAAGCTCATGGCGCAGGTGTAGACAGACTGACGGCGGTAGATGTAAGAGACCCAGTGTACGAATACGATCATTATTTCGGCTGCAGTCGAGCCCGAAAACGTCCCCGGCACCGCATAACCAATACAAATGCATGCTCGAGTTTTGGTGGAGACACAACGATACACGTAGTACTGTAGTGGCGAGCGAAATGGTGCATGCAGCCCATGGCATGATGCCGACATTGGGCGGCGACTGCAGCACGCGAGCGCTTCCCGTTGCGACGGGCAATGAATCCGAGATCCAGCTGCGTCGAATGTGCCAGTCCATGACGTATTATACACCGTGTATAGCTAATAGATATTATCTATCCTCCCGTCCAGACGTGCACAACCTGCAATGGTGCTGCTACAGTGCACATGATGCGGGTTTCGGCAATGCAGTCCACTGGATAGTGTCCAGGAGTGGGAGGCAACTTCGATTTGACTTCAACGAAGCAGAGATGCAACTCAACTCGTTGTAGAAAAGTTAGTGAGTATACTTCGACATTGATTCCTATCAACTTGGTCCGTTCATGTAGGCCACACCACCAACTTCAGCCCACTTTTCCCCTCGCTCGGCCAAAAAGATCCGAGCCCAAGAGAGCGAGATGGAGGAGATCGGCCTGCCCCCCGTGGCCGCGGACGAGGAGCCGCTGGTGCCCGTGACGATCGAGAGCAAGACGGACCTGTACGCCAAGTACAAGTCCCTGGAGCGGCACCTCGAGTTCCTGGACATCCAGGAGGGCTACATCAAGGACGAGATGAAGAACCTCAAGCGCGAGCTCATCCGCGCCAAGGAGGAGGTCAAGCGCATCCAGTCGGTGCCGCTGGTCATCGGCCAGTTCCTCGAGATGGTGGACGCCAACTACGGCATCGTGGGCTCCACGGCGGGCTCCAACTACTACGTGCGCATCCTCAGCACGCTGGACCGCGAGAGGCTCAAGCCCAACTCGTCCGTGGCGCTGCACCGCCACTCGCACGCGGTCGTGGACGTACTGCCCCCCGAGTCGGACTCGAGCATCCAGATGATGCAGATGTCGGAGCGCCCCGACGTGTCGTACTCGGACATCGGCGGCATGGACATCCAGAAGCAGGAGGTGCGCGAGGCCGTGGAGCTGCCGCTCACGCACTTCGACCTGTACAAGCAGATCGGCGTGGACCCGCCGCGCGGCGTGCTCATGTACGGCCCGCCCGGCACAGGCAAGACCATGCTGGCCAAGGCCGTGGCCAACGCCACCACCGCCGCCTTCATCAGCGTCGTGGGCTCCGAGTTCGTGCAAAAGTACCTGGGCGAGGGCCCGCGCATGGTGCGCGACGTCTTCCGCCTGGCCAAGGAGAACTCGCCCGCCATCGTCTTCATCGACGAGGTGGACGCCATCGCCACCAAACGCTTCGACGCCCAGACGGGCGCCGACCGAGAGGTGCAGCGCATCCTGCTCGAGCTGCTCAACCAAATGGACGGCTTCGACCAGGCCACGAACGTCAAGGTCATCATGGCCACGAACCGTGCAGACACTCTGGACCCGGCCCTGCTGCGGCCCGGCCGCCTGGACCGCAAGATCGAGTTCCCGCTGCCCGACCGGCGACAGAAGCGCCTCATCTACCAGGCCTGCACGGCCAAGATGAACCTCGGCGACGAGGTGGACCTCGAGGACTACGTGAACCGCCCCGAGAAGATCAGCTCGGCCGACATCGCCTCCATCTGCCAGGAAGCCGGCCTGCAGGCCGTGCGCAAGAACCGCTACGTCGTGCTGCCCAAGGACTTCGACAAGGGCTACAAGAACGCCATCAAGCGGGCAGATACGACTTTCGAATTCTACCACTAGGCGAGGAGGCGCTGCACTACTTCGAAATGCTTGTGGACAGGTAATAACGCTTCCGCGTCAATGAATTCTAAGGTTGCAAACTCCGCCGACAAGTGAAACAATTGGCGGGAACCCGGGTACCCATCGGGACCCCGGTTCCCCCAAAACTACCGGTACACATGTATGAGCAAATGCATTGAAGTTTGGTCTATGACCTACATAGAACGCAGCTGAAGCTCAGTAGGGGAACGGAAGGTTAATTTACCTTCGCCCTCGTCCTGTGTCTCTCCACGAAAAGCCAGTCGCTTGCCTGGTGCAGCGGTACAGTGCTTCCCGGTCTCATCGCTATCCTCCTGCTCATGAAAGATAAACTTGGACATGGTAAGGTATGTTATTTGGGTCTATTCAGTACCTGTGGCATATTTTGAGGGTAGTCCTTCATCGACAGCACTTAGATATGAGGGTTTAACTTGCCCCGAGGGTACCAATATGGAGGCCAAAAATTAAATAATAATTCGCGATTTGGTCGGTATCATTTGCGGGAACCCGGGTTCCCGCCAATTGTTTCAAGTTGGCGTTGGGATGCTATTCTGTTCTTTGTCGCGGGGAGTAACCCCCACAATGCGACGTGCTTTGCCTATTGTTGTGCTGCGTTTCATACGCATGGAAATGGTTGGAAGGATGCCGGGTTCTTTTTTGGAGCAGACGTGAAGGTGGTGGAGGTGGCAGAACCAATTTGCGCTCGAGCAACAACAGGCAAGCGAAGAGGACGTGCGTAGAGTATGGCGTTGCTGACTGGTTGGACTGACACTTTTTGTCTCGTAAGTTTTAGCTCTTGCTGCTGCTCATGGCCATACCAGTCACTGCTCGACGAATGCTGCGTCTGCACGTGGAGAGGGTGACCAAGCTGGTTCGAACAGTACGAGTGCTGAATGTGCTCACAGCTTGCGTCCAGCTTGCGGCGGGTGTCAACAGTCTCGTCGGCATCTTCACGCTGGACGTCACGGGCCTCCTCATCGCGGCATACGCGATCATCTTCGCCTTGCTGCTCGCGTGCTTCGAGTGCCACTTGACCGTGACGGACAACATTCTTCGCCCCAACTTCGGATTCCTCTACGGCTATCGCGGAATGGCCACCTACCTCCTGTTCATCGGCCTGATGGACCTCGGCATGATCGGCCACGTCTTCGGCATCATCGCTGGAACCATGGCATGCATCAACGCCTGCATCGTCGTCTTCGTCGGAGCGTGTGCCCCACGCACCCCCACAGAGTACCCGGCAGCGATCAACAGCGCACCTGTCCAGTCCTACGGATCGCAGTTTGAGGGACCGATCGCCTTTGCACTCGCGTCTGGCGCCTTGAAAATGAGCTCTTCAGCCCCAGCTTCAGTGCACGCAATCGTGTGAGGTGGCTCCGCTGGTTAAGCAAGTAAGTAAGGAATGCATTCGAAGAATTGATGATGAAAGCAGTGTATATGGTGGTGTGTGCATTTCGCACAGGTTAATTCAGATCGTTGATATCTTCTGGGATATTTTAAACGCTGCATTAGTCTCGAAGCTGCTTGGGAGCTTCGCTGGTGCTCTACCTTCCACGGATCTCGTCCTGATACATGTGCAGTACCAACGCATTGGTCAGTAACAATGAAATCCTCGAAATCAAACAGCCACATCAGCCAAAGTAACGTACGCGAACTTGAGTCAGCTTCTCCTGCAGATCTCGCTCAAGCTCCAGGAGCTCTTCCTCCGAAGAAAGTTGAAGCGAACGAGCCAAAAGCTTTGAGTTGAACCAGTGGCCGTGTCTGGAAAGCAAGATGAAATGTTAAAACGCTGAAGCATGCGTGAAAGTGAACATTCAGCCCCACTAACTTCATGATCAGGGACTCGACAACGGGCAACACGTTCATGTCCAACTCGCGTTTCAAAGTCACCACCGCAGGCCGAATAAAACCCTCGAACAGTAGATGAGGAAACTGTGATCACTACAACGTCAGTTAGTCTGCCAATGGCCTCATCGTGAGGATCTTTCCTTACGTGTTTGCTTGGAGTCAGCAGTAGACCCAGCAGGATGCACTTGAAAAGGTAGTAGAACGGGAACCTGCAGAAGAAACATCCATCAGCCAAAGGTGTTTTCCCCCAATGGACCAACTGACTGCCGCAACATACCACGAAATGAAAAACTCGAGGTACTGCTGGAAGATCGCTGCAGCAGCTAATACGATCCTGAACAAGTATTGGAGAGCTTAGTTAGAGCTACAGTAGCAGTGCTGAAATGAGCAACCGACGTACCAGAACTCGAGAACGGAAGCAAGCGTGGCCGTATCGACCCCCTTTTCCACCCGAGAGAGCACTTTGAGCGACTCGTAGGCACCCGAACAGATCCCCACACACCTGGCAAACAGACAAATTGTGTGGTCAGTGGCCATGCACTTCCGCAGTCCTTCACGTTGAAGATCGACAAGCCGTCGTACGTGAGGCCCTCACTAAGCAGATAGAAGGTCATCTTCAGTGGTTCCTCTGGTTTCGTGCCTGCGCGAATGCGTTGTGGTGAACTCACCGGCTAAGTAAGTCGTCGAGGCAAGTTCAAAATAGACAGCGGTAGATCCTGTCTATAGTTGCTGGACACGCTGTCTTGTGTCTTGTTGCTTGGGCGTCGAGCAATCATTTCGGCATCAGTGAGCTGCAGTGTGTTGTAGCAATGGATGTGAAAGCTCGGTCCAAAACGGGCCTTCACCACCGACCTAGACCTCATAGTGCGCATGTCCACTACCAACCCACCATCTCAATCCAGACGCGATCTGCGAGTGGCCTGCGTGGAGTGGATCTCGTAGAACAAGTTGCTCAAAGTACCGTGCTTCAGCGGCGGCGATGGACCGAGTACGACATGAGCATATCAATTAGAAAACATAACATTCTAACTTCGTGTCAACAACTATTTGCTTCGGTTTGTAGGCTGTACCGTCGAATGTGGGAGCGCAAGTGAGCTACTTTCGCCGTATCCCTGCCTGGTGACTGAAGAAAATCGCTACTAACCTTACTGGTGTTTGCTTCACAGAACCAAGTTTGACATAGCAGACACGATCTTGTTCGTGAATGGCGTTCCAGCTGACTGGTACTTCACGTCGGCAGCCACGGGGGTGTGTCGTCTTCATAACATTTTCTACTACCAACCAAACCAACCAACAACAGACACTTACAGCCGTTGGGTTGTCTGCGTGTATACGATTTTCCTGCAGGAGGTGAAAAGGAAGACTAGCACAAAGCTGAACGCCGTGTCGATTGGGCAGCACTGTGCCAAGGCGGCCTTGTGTACAGACCAGTCTCGCCAGCGACTTCGAGCTCGACTTGTGCATGAGGAGTCTGGGCAACTTGTGTACACCCCACTACGTGATGGAGAGATTAGTTTCGTTCTCAGCCAGCCCCCGTCGGATCTGGCCCTGACTACGGTGCTTCTACAGCCACTGCTACCACTAAATCGGCAGCCTACCAATGCGCGAGGAACGTTTGCTGCCAAGTACAACATCGTCGCGACTTCTTCGTGTACGCGCGTCTTGCATCTCGATAGTGGTGGATTGTACGGACTGCTGCCATCTCAAACGGCAGCAGCAAGTTATGAGGTCGTCTGTGGGCCCCGTAATACACGACCAAGCAGTGCTCCTGCCACACCTCAAAGCCACCAACTGGAGGAGATAGTCAAGGGAGAACTCCGTAAGCTCGTGCATGAGATTGAGGCAGCGTTTCGCGACCGCGTGCGATTGTTGACTGCCGACTTCCAGATCACGGACATGCATCGACTTGTGTTGGTGCGTGTAAGCGGCGTCGTATTCTTCTCGGACCTGGTCCAGAAGAAGGACGCTCCCTCCACAGTGTTGCATAGTAGAACAAGTGAGAGCGAAGAGAGACGGAAGCCCCGCCGACGCACGGTACGCAAGCTTCACGCGTGAAGTCCTTACCGCTAAGACCGAGCTCATCAAAGTGTTTGCTTTGTATATCAGTCTTCCGTTGCAGTTGACGAGAGCAGCAAATGCGCAGGTCATGCCTTCTGCCACTGCATCGACGTAATTAGCGCTCCCAGCTTGAGCAGATTTCGGCCGCCGCGGAAGCACACGGAGCTACGTCAAATTACGCGCAAGGTACCAACCAGCCAACTGTTCCTATTCTATTATACGTCTCGGGTTCCATCACCCACCTAACGGGATTCGTGGTTAATTTGTAGTCGATTTCGCTGAGTGAGAATGAGTCGGCTTTCCTCGAACGCTTCGGAGCGGAGGCTGAAGCTACTCTGCGTACCATCGACATCTCGGACTTAACAGCTACTTCATCGTGGTCCAGACGAGGGAAAGATGGTAGAGGTGAAGCCCCCGCTGTCATGAAGCTGCTCGAGCGACGCATTTTCATGCTTCAGAATACGTTGTGGAATCCAAAGAGTGACGCATTCGACCCCAAAGCCCGTAAGTGGGCTATGTATGTCCGTAAACTCTGTAGCTCTCCTAACGTTTTGCTGCCCTCGTCCAGTCGACTTCGAAGATGCCCAGTGGCTGCCGCATGAATACGAAATGGTAACCGTATGCCGAGCGTGCTACCTCATCTACCAAGCAGTGGACGACGAACGGTCCAACCGATCTCGTGAGACAGCGACCGCAGCTGCCCGACGAGCGTCGGAGTTATTCAGATACAAGTTTCTGGAAAGTGAGCGAGCCGCTATGTCGAACTTACACCCAACGTCCAACAGGAACCCTGATCAGGTTCGGGAGGCGTGGGAAGTGAAGGAGGGAGACAAGGCGTAATTTTATTCTTCGATACGACCGCCCAAGACACACTGTAAAACCTGCGATTGGCCCCCTCCCTTCAATAGTACCCCACCCCCCAAAATATTAGAATCTGAGCGGAGACTAACGATAGTGCCCCACCCTCTATTAGTGCCCCACCCCCTAAACTTAATCCGAAAATTTGAGTTTCTAGGTACAATTTCAAATAGCATCCATAAAATCAAATAATTAACACTTGAAGTTTGTATTCTGTCGTGGAGTATTTAATATTTATAGTGGAAAATATTCACTAAAGCTGATGTTTTAGCGTTGTTTGTAGTTGGACATCCCTAGTGCCCCATTACCTTTATTAGTGCCCCCCTTTAATAGTGCCTCATGTTAGGAGGGGGTATTAATGGAGTACCCCATGGGGCACAATCACAGGTTTTAGTTAGTTTAGTTTTTGGTGAGGTACATTACAGTCATTTAGGAAATCTAACGACTAAGCCAATGTCCGTCTGTCAGAAGCCTGCACATCTTCTGTCAGCTTGCTAACTACCGTTGAAGGTGCTAGCACATGCATCCTCCTCAGAGTTGCCACGTGAGTTCGACCGTCGACCATCTTCATCCGGGTCTAGATGGGTTTCAATCCATTGTGATACATCGCTCGTGAGTAGTGCTGTCACGAACGACCAGGTCGGGGTAAGGTGCTCGGTGTCTGTGTCAAGTACCTGGATGCTGCGTTTGGTATCCATCGCGAGGTTCGCCAATTTGTCAGCCGTCTTATTGAAGTGGCGGAGGTGATGCGTCCAGTACGTGATCTGAAGCTGGTCCGCGATAGTTCTAAGTGAGCAGCCTTGGGAGGGCGTCGCCGCACCAGATGCGTGAGGATAAGTTTGCTGTCTCCAATCACATGAAGCCCCGTTAGCTTCATCGCCAGCGCTCGCCGAAGGCCCACTAGTAGCCCCCTGTATTCCGCCACGTTATTCGTCGTGGAGTGCGCTGCGTACGACACACTCGCCATCCACATCACAACCGGAGAGAGGTCACGGCCACCAATCCGTACCCCGAGCCACCCGGTCCGGGATTGCCTCTCGAGCCGCCGTCGAAGAAAAGTAAAAACCTCGACGTCTCCAGTGCTCCTGCAGCGTATTCGGGTGTGGTGCCGCCGCCGGCTGTGAGCACCGCATGAGCAAGCCGAGCTGCTTGATGGATATGAGGAGCAGCGGGGGAGCCAAGCGCCCGTTCTCTCAACGTGAGGTACCCTTGTGCTAGACGCCCCGATAACAACGCCATGGCTCGATGCGCCGACATATCCTCGACAGGGTCTCGGCAACGGCTCCTCCATTTCCAGATAGCGTGAAGAGTAAGGACGACGCCAAGCCGCCAACAGTCCTGCAATGAGTCCCGGAGTACCCTACGAACATTGTGTCTGGCAGCCTCCGACTCCAAGGCATATTTCGTGTCCAGCAGCGCCCATACACGATAGACAGGTCCAGCTCGAATATGTCGGCGAGGTGTGACTGTAAGTCCCCCATACCGATCGCTTGCCATGGCGCTAAAAAAAACCGTCCAAAGGCGGCTAGCCCCAGCGCACTCCCAGAAAATGTGAGCCGCACCAGTCGCCGATTGGAGGCAGACCGGAAGAGGACACCCGGGCCTCCCGTGAACCTCATCCCAATATGAAAAGGCCCGTAGCTTCAACCTATAGAGAACTTGTACACTCCAGACGGTGGCCCCTGTGATTCGGCGCAGGTCCAGCCAGTCCACCTTAGTCAGTGCCGCGCATATGGCTGGGTGATCCGCCTTCCAGTCAGACTTGCGCCCATCAATATCTTGAGCGCCGTGTCGACGCGAAGTCGCCAGTACGACACGTTTGAAAGTGTCTCTCGTGCAATTGACACTCGTCCACAGCATAACCACACGCGACAGCGCCGGGTCCGGAAGAACGGATAAAATATCGACGTCTGGGCCGGCAAAGCGACGCAACTCCTGCAGCGCTGCAGGCTGTGAGTGGACCAGCACTTCCGTATGCGGTCCTCGTGCAGCCGCGGTGATGGTCAGGAGGCAGCCAGGCTCTGGGCCGGAAACGTAGTTAGCGTGCGCGATGATTGGGTGGTCGGACGGCGTCGCTACTATCTGCATCTCCCCCATGTCGTGGCGGGAGTACAGCAAGTCTGGGTAATTTGCAATAAGCGCCACCAGCAGCATTCGAATAGTTGTAGAGCTGGCTCCACTTACATTCCGAACTTCGAGCACTCCCGCCCGTAAAATCGTCCAGTCAATCACGTGTCGAACCGACCTACCCGGTGCGGAGGCCTCACGAGGTAGCAGATCGTGTACATTTCGGTGCCCGCTCGCATCGAACAGCAATAAATGCCTCACCTCTGCATATGGGAGCCACTCGAAGTGAAGACGCCCGTAGTTGACTCACCAAAACTCCCGTAGTCGCGCTGTCGACTGGTCCAGAAGCCCCGATACATCGACCGTGCAAAATCCACCATGCCACTGCAGGTCGCTCTGGAAAGCCGCTTCCACGGCTGCATATTGTGCCGCTACGTGGCGCCCATGTCCTTCCGCCGGGTCCTGCAGCCCCACCAGCGTTAACATCTTCGTGCCTGCACGCCACATCGATTGCCCTTCTCGGAAGCCCCCCCACATACGGCCAGAGCTGCCAGGCGTGACGAAAACCCGAGGGGCGTGGAGTGTGGGTTCCCGTGGATGAAGGATATCGCCGACCAGGTGTTCCGCTAACGTCGCCTGTCGACCCCACTTCAGGACCGTCGTCGCCGCCATCGCAAGCAGTTCGGCTTGGAGATCAGGGAGCGCAAAGCCGCCGTCTTGCTTCGGTAATTTCGCGACATCTTCCACCAGCCACGTTGTGCATGGGTGCTCCAGCTGCCCAAAATAGCCATGCCAGACATAAGCCTTGATGTAAGCGTTGAAAGATCGCACCGTCGCCGTTGTAGGCCACGCATGGCGTCCGATGAAAAGGAGGTTTGGGATGACCACCGCGGCGACCACCTGTGCTCTCTGCTCTACGCTCAGAGTCTTGTGACTGGCAGGCGGAGTCGAGTGCGGAGATGTGTCTCGGCTAGGTTCCACGTAGCTGCTTTCTGGTCCTTGCTACCGATTTGCATACCGAGATAGCGAGTCGCTATTAGCGACACCGTGCACTCGGATCGCGCAGCTGAATTCCCCAGCGCCAATCCAGTGGTGGAGACAACCCGTCCTCGTGTAGTGCCATTGCCACCGTTTTGTCAATATTGAGCCGCAAACCCGATGCAGCCCCGAAGCCTTGTACGAACTCCAATGCTCGAGGAATTTCCTCTGGGCTTCGTAGATAGAGAGCTGTATCATCAGCGTATCCGGCTACCTTGAGGAGCGCTTGCGCCTCCGCCGTCTGCAGCGGGATTCCAAGCAGGCCGTCCGCAGAGTCCAGTTTCTGGTACAGAGGTTCCAAAGCCAAGATGAACAGAAGCGGAGCCAGCGGACAACCTTGACGGATGCCTCTGGTCACTACAACATGGCGGGAGCGTTTCCCATTGGCAAGGAAACGCACTGTTGTTCCCGCGTGTAAACTTTCAACCACACGAATGAAGTGAGATGGATACCCGTGCCACCGCAGAGTAGCGTAGAGAAAGCGCCGATCCAGTTTTTCGTACGCTTTTGCAAATCACAGGTTTTACAGTATTATATTAGTTATAAATATCTTACAAAGTTACGTACACAAGGTATAACTTATACCTAGTGTACGTAACTTTGTAAAATACTTATACCGTATAAGTATACTATTATGTAAAACTATATATGTTAATTTTGTTTTATTTTAACATGTTTCATGGATATACATTTTAAAATATATACATTAACATAATTCAATATAATTAATACTTAGGTAATACTGTAAAACTGTAATTATGCCCCCTCCCTCTAATAGTGCCCCACCCCAACCTTTTATCTGAAAAATTGGGTTTGATTCTGATTTTTTCCTCATAAATGCCAAATATTTTACAATATAATCTTAAGGTTTGTATGTCGACTTACCAATGTCGGTGAATTTATTCTGTAAATATACTTTTTAACGCTAGTTGTGTTTGGTGCCTCACTCCCTTTAATAGTGCACCATTTGTAATAATGCCCCAGGGTGGCAGGGGGGTACTGCTGGAATACCTCACGGGGCATAATTACAGTTTTTACAGTACATGGATTTGTAATATTGCAGTGCAATTGATGGTCCCAAATGAGCAGATTTATTAAGGGTTGTGAGACAATTTTTTGTCTTTAGACAGTACTGTGGCATTCTCACAATTTATTATACCTATACAAGTTTCGTGTAGTGATTGTATTTTTGACTACATGTTACTTTTTGGCAATTCGTGTACTGAGGGGGGGGGAGGGGGGTAATCCTAATGCTGTGATTTGTGTGTTATGTGTGTGTGTTGTTTGTGTGTGCCTTTTTTTCCTCCCTACTTTTTCCTACTCCTACTTGTTGGTTTTCCATTCGCTAGTGACAGGTCACAAATCTGCGTCCTTGGTCCTTCATTGGTGACGATGGCTGAGTGGGCTTGTCTTTGAACCCTGATGTCGTGTACAGCGGGTGGAAAAAGACAAGGCTTACCTCACGTTTTTGCACGTGGCCACTTAAACGTGAAGTCATGGAGTAGCTTTTGCTGTCTGAAAAAAAAAGCTTACGTTACACCATCGGTAGTAGCCTTCAGAACGCCCCAGCATTTAATTGGAAATATTATTTAGAATCCCGCCAATTAGGGAACAGTAATGACGCAATCAGATCTCTAAAAATCGGATGGACATCGGTGCTACATGTTGTACTGGACTCAGTCCGTCTCATTTTGCAATCTGCGTACAATGACCCCACGACAGCCTCGGACAACTCGGCGTGAGTACTCTAGCGACATCAGTATTCGGCGTACACTCCCGGACACAATATTACGGCCACCTAGATTTTTGCTTCTAACTTTTTTTTCTACTGCGAGTTGGCTGTTGCTGTTTAGATATGTGTTGTCTAAATCCTTAAGAAGCATAGTTACGATGAGAAGTTTGCGAAGTTCGCTCTGCGAGGGGAGGCTCCCATACAAAAACTGTATTGTGGGGCCGGACACAATATACGACCACTCTTACCCATACAAATTTCAAGTCAAATGATGTGAAATGATTGTATCATTATCTTCTCTCGCTACCAACCACCAGTAGACTGACTGGCGGCGGGCGTGCTTCGCGCGATCTACTCGCACACTTGCCGGCATTTCACTACTGGATGGGTCAATGACCATCACTGACAGAAGCAGAGCACGGGCGTATCCAAGGACTGAGTGAGGTTGGCTTCAGCATCAGAGCCATTGCCAGGAAGACGAAGCGCTCAAGGGACTGCGTGCAGCGAGCGCTGAAGGCAAGCTCGCACCGACAACACCGCGCAGGTAGACGGCCCTCGCTTTCAAAGCGAGAAGCGCGCCGCGCCGTCCGCAAGGCTGTCACCGGGGACTACAGCTCTACACGTCTGAAGGAGGAGCTTTCGCTGGCGTGCACTACGCGGACGATCCGCCGCCTCCTGGCCGGCATCGACTGGCTCGACTACGCCAAGATGGACAACACCCTTCCCCTTACCAAGCAGCACAAGATGGCTCGTCTCGAGGGGGCCAAGCGCATGATCATCCAGCCGGACATGTGGCCTCAGATTGTCTTCTCTGACGAGAAGAAGTTAAATCTTGATGTCTGCGCCATTACTGGCGTGACTGACCCACCACCATTCTGCCGACGCACAGTCTGTCTTGCCGGCCGCCGTATGTCACGCCGTATATCGGCGGACCTAGTTCGCGACCGCATCCATCCTGCAGGGCTTCATGGGCGCTCCGCCCACAAAAAGCCGTATCTCAGCCCAAACGACCACTGGCTCCGCGTTTTGCACGCTAAAAGGTTTGGCCGGATGACGGCGGGCTTCTGGAGTCGCGTGCTATTCTGCGACAAAGCCTGTGTTGGGCTACACGGCACTTCAGGTCTTGTATCAGTGTGGCGGCGGCCGCACGAGGCGTTCTCGCTTAAATGCGTGGTCCCTACCCCAGAGTGGCTGGATATTGCGCAACGTCTGTGCCCCGACAAGACGTAAGAGGAACTGTCCGAGGACATGGCGATCGACAAGCCTGACGGGATGCACTGGGCGTTGCTGGGACTGTACAAGCATGTAGATGTGTTGAAGTGATTTTGCGACGAAGGTGAGAGTCGCTTCTCCTCGATTGCTCTACTGGCATGCATTCATATTGGCAAGACCGTCTTGCGCCTTCCAGGAGCGGGTGTTCTCTACTGGGGGGGGGGGGGGTTCGTGATGGGGCTCCTTCGGACTCGCACGGACAGCAGACGCGCAGAGAAGCAACTACTGCTCAGGTACATCAGGGATGAGATCGCGATAATGAAGCAAGACGCACACAAGGCAAAACAGTCGTAAGTAGTAGTGAAGTAGTAGTACTAGTATCACTAACACTACTACCCCTTTCTGAAATCAGTACTAGTACGAGAATGACTCTTTCTCAGAGTCCCCGATAGTTCTGGTAATACTACTACCTACTTTTTGCCGCTACTATGAACCCCTGTCCGTGTAGTCACCCGTTGATGCTTGCTGAACAAGGCGGCGGACATCGCGCTCGGAAGCTGGGTGTCCCATCACCACGTCCCATAATTTTGTATGGCGTCGAGTCGTCTCCGCGTAGCACGCGCCGCACAGCATCTGTAGGCCGCTTCACCTGTCTGGAAGTTTCTCTAACACCAGCTTAGCTCAGCCCTTCAATCTTCCCCTGCTCTCCCTCCGTAAGTGATGGTCCTCGACCCATTGTCACGGGTCACGTCTGAGACCTCGACTGACAGCTTTCCTGACTATGCTCGAAGGCGCGTTAGAGCAGGAAGAGGCGCGACTTCAAGAGGAGCAAGGGCAGGACGGACAAGCGTATCAAGTGTGAGTGGTTATCCCACTCTTCAAGGCAAAGATGACGCGAGATGGCGGGCTGGGCGCGGAACGTTCGGTCGCCAGCCGCCAAGGACGGGTGTCATGGAGGCCAGGAAGCTCGTGCACGGGAGGTGTGGCGTCCCCAAGTGGTTGCAGTAGGAAAGGAAGCGAGGGGTAGCCGTCGGCCGCGCATGATGTGGTGAAGGATTCAGTCGTGAATTCTCCTCGTTGAAAGCAAGAAACCCTTTGCATTTTTACGAGATTGCCTTCCTTTCTTCTAGCGTCTTACCAGCAAGCTACGCGTCTACTCTTTGTTGGCCGAAGTACTCGACCCTAACGGAGGAGGAAGTTGGTGGAGAAGCAGGGTACTTCTCACTGACAAGAGAGGCGCCTGGATCAAGGCGTGCTGAAGGAAGAAGGCAGTGGGGAACTGGATGAGTTCTCCTAGGACACCCGGCGACGGGCAGGGTGGTGGCGTGACCGACGGGAGCGAGTCGAACTTCGACTTCGAGGGCGCCACGGACGTGTTCGGCAGCAGCGAGAGCGAGGCCAGCGCTGAGGAAGTGGCGGCTGGCAACATGCTAGGCCCGATCGCGGAGGAGCAAGCCGTCGGGCAAGACGACGAGGCTCCAGGTGCAGAGGCCTCGGCGGTGCCCGTGGGCGAGGCGCCCGAGCGGCCGGACCTGAGGATGGGCGCCGAGGCCCAGGGGCGTGCGAGCCTGCTGGAGACGTCGCGTGGGCGGCGTGCGCTGGACGCATCCCTCCGGGTGCTGGTGCTAAGAGCTCCTGCGGTGGCTGTCGGTGAGGCCCGGGACGTGCCTGCGACGACTGTGCCGACGACGGGCGTGGTGGCGACGGTAGTGGCGACGTCCTCGGGGCCAAGGTCGAGCGAGAGTGTGCCGGGCGAGGCGACGCCCGTGCCTGGAGATGCGAGCGCGGTGCCGACTTCCGCGTTTGCAACTCCGCCGGCCGCGTCAATGGCGGGAGCGAGCGGAGCCCCTGCTCCGGCCCCTGCCCCTACAAGAACGAGGACGACGAGGGCCCTGACGTGGGCCGACGTAGCGGCGATGGCGGCTGGTATGGGACCGCCTCCGCCGACAGCGGCGAGCACGGGGCCGCCTCCAACCACGGTGTCCGCGACTACAGTGGCTTCGGCGGCTCCCTCGACAATGAGTTCCGCGAGTACCACTGCGACGGCAGGTACCGGACCGGTACCGTCGGGTGGGACTCACGGGTCGAGCGGGAATCCGAACGTGGAATTGCTGGCGCGGGTATTGACGCGGGCTTTGAGCACGCCCCCACCGGCATCCCAGGGTCCTACGGTTCAACAGGGAGGAGGAACGAGTCTACCTCCGCCGACGGCAAGAGGTACGAGACAAGCTCCTCCGCCTGCGGGAGGCACGGGACAGGTGCCGCATACGTCAAGTGCGGCTGCCCAAGCGTATCAAGCTGCGAGCACGGCGTGGCCAGTGAGCCAGCCGGTGGTGTCTGCGCAGCCGACGGTGGCGGCCCGGTCGACTCAGAGTGCGCCCGCTCCGGGGAACGTGAACCCCTCGGCGGAGGCGTACCTCGACTCGCTGGTGCGGCAGGCACTGCAGCAATATCTTGGGGGAGCGGCTGGAACGGTGGCGGCCACGGGAGTGCCGACGCCGAACGCGGCTCCGATGCAGAGCGTGCCTGTGCTGACTACGACGGTCTTGTCTCGACCGGTGCCGTCCGTGCCGACGCCGACGCACATGATGGTTCCGGCGCCGGCTCCTAGCGCTTTGCCGATGGCGGCAATCCCCTTGTACGGAGGGTTGACGATCGCGCAGACGCCGATGGCGGAGGTGGGGCGACGCCCGCGAGCGCGTTCTACCCCTCGTTCCAGCCGGTGAGCGCGACGGCGCCGGTGGCGAGTATGCCGATGAGCCAGCCCGCAGGGGCTGCGCCTAGTGCTTATAGTGGGCAGAGGGCTGTGAGCGCAGCTGCAACGCTGATGGGGGCGACCGCGTCGACTCCGTTGAACATGAGCATGGGATCGTACGGGCAGCAGCCGGGCTACCAGCAGTTCGTACCCCCGGTGACGTCGAAGACGCCCGGGTACGGTCAAGGGTACGCCGGCTACACTGCCCCTCTTTCGGCTGGTCTCGCTCCCGCGTTTGGAGCTGGCCAAGGTAGAGGAGTAGGTGCGACCAATGAGGCAAGGAGTGTTGCGTATGGAGGCTCCCACGTGGGTGGCATCCCCACGGAGCTTCGCAATGCGGTGAAGGTGACCGTGCCGTTCTACTCGGAGGTTGCATCGAGCGAACGTGCTGCTGCGTTCTGGCGGTCGTTCGAGAAGTGCACCGAGGGCGTGGATGACGCTCTGCGACTGACAGCATTCGAGCAGTGCATGAAGGGCAAGGTTGGCCAACAGTGGTGGTACAACTCCAGGATCGAGAACTTCATGACGCTCAAGATACGCTTCCACAACCGGTTCGTCAGTCGTACGCCGGCTCAAATGTGGAGCCAGCTACGCACGGCGAGGCGGAACTACGGTGAGTCGGTCGAGGAGTGGGGCGACCGCGTCAACAGGATGTGCGAGGCGCTCCGCTACAACGAGCCGCGCATGCGGTACGAGTTCTTCGTAGAGGGCCTTTGCAACAAGCAGTTGCGTGCCAAGCTGAACGCGAGCGTGGTCTCGACGATCGAGGAGGCGGGTACGCTACTCTTGTTCAAGGGACTGCATCGACCAGTGGAGGAAGAGGACGAGTTCGCCGAGAGCGGGAAGGCGTCCGGCGGTGGCAAGACGGAGCAGTCCAAGCTGGCTGATCAGGTGCACGAGATGCACGGGATGATGAAGCAGCAGCAGAGGGCGCTCGCGTCTGCGCCTCAGGCTCCGCGTTCTCCTCGCCGACCCTCGATCAATGCCGCGGCGCCGGCACAGACGGCGGCTGCGAGTTCGGGTGAAACGGGTGGTGGTGGTTCGGAGCGTCAACTCCATATTCGCGTGGCGCCTGACACGCGCACCCAGGAAGGCGAGACGGTCTGCGGTCGCTGCGAGCGACGGAACTGCAGTCGCTTGACGTGCTCCCGAGGTAAGGGGACGTGCAACCGCTGTGGCGAGTTCGGTCACTTCTCCATGGAATGCTACTTGCCCAGAACGCCGACGAATGGCGGTTCTCGGGGCAACGGAGGAGGTGGTGCTCAAGGCCAAAGGACGAGGCAGTGCGGCCTGTGTGACGGCACGGACCACTTCTTGGCGAAGTGCCCGTACAAGGCGCAGTTGAAGGATCTGCTCAAGAGCTTGGCCGGGAAGGACCCCGCAGTGCTAGCGGAGGCCCTGAACCGAGCGTGAAGAGGGCAGGAGGAGGGGAAAGGAAGTGTCGCTCCTTCCTCTTGCCTGACGGGCGGCACAGCGGAGCATGTCGTGGCGGCGATGGCGGAAATCGGCGAACGGTTGGATGCTCTGCAGGACGAAGGCAGCGCGTCGCGTGACGAAGACGGTGGCATGCTGGCCGGGGAATCGACGGAAAATGTTAGTGATGAAACAGAAGAGAAGGTAGATGCTGCCCCGCGTGGCACACTTGCCGATGGAGGACTGGACGACGACACGAGCAAGAACGGCGAAGCCGAACTCGTCGTGCTGAATGTGACCGCGGACGGGCGCGTGAAGAGCTCCGTCACGGTGGAAGTGAACAAGGAGGCGGTGCGTGCGGGCTTCGTCTTGGCTGGAATGCGCGTCCCCGGAGCAACGAAGAGCTCGGGCGCGGACTGCGACAAGGGCCCCGACGGCGCGATGAAGAACGCCGTCGTGGGCAACATGAACGACAAGGGCGGTGCGAAGGAGGGCACTGGCCCGAATGATATGGCAAACGCGGGTGGTGCGACGGAAAGCACTATCCCGATCAAAACGGAAGAAGCAGCGTTGGGTCTGGACGCTGGAGGGTTACCCCGCGAGGTTACCTCTGGCACGGACACGCTGGAAGATTGCATTGAAGATGCTGAGGTCGCGCGGTTGGAGCGGTTCTCCACCGTGACCAAGGCAAACGACACGGCCGAGTCGGATACTCAGGGCCGTGCCGAGGAGGGCGGAACACCTTCGACTGAGAGTACCAAGGGTAGAGCGTCTCAGGCTCGCTATGGACGCCTGTTCACCGACCGAGAGCTGGAGCTGCTCGAACAGGGTGAGTATGGGCTGGCGAGCGACGAACCTGAGGAGTACGACAAGGAGTTGGAGGAACGGCTGTTCCCCCGTGACGAAGTGGAGATGAAGCGGCGGATGCAGGAGAACGCCGCGAGGTAGAATGCGATGAGCATCGAAGAGATGAGCAAGATGCTCGGAATTCCAGTCGAGAAGCTGGAGCGGACGAAGGAGGTGGCGCGGCGTGTCGGCTCCACGCCCGAGTACTGGCTGGAATGATACGATAAGACGCTGGCGGTGTCCAGCGAGGCGAAGCGCGCCAATCGTGATTTCAAGGGGCACGGGCCCTACGAGAAACCAGAAGCAAAGTCGACAGGCCCGTTGGTGGCCATCGCTGACAGTCCCAACCCACGCGAGGGAGTCGTCGAGGCCACGAAAGCCGCGGCTCATGTGAGCGGTGGTACGGAAAAGGGGATTATCGGGTCAGCGAGGGACCACGGGAAAGATGAGGCTGCGGTAGAGCAGGAAGTCGAGAGGAATGTGTGCTCGAGTCTCGCTACGAACGAGGCAGCGTCGGAGATCAAGACCAAGGACGAGATGGACCGTGAAGACAAGACGGTCCCATTTACCAGTCGGTCGGTGATACGGAAGGTCGTTCACCGACGGCTGAAGGGGTTGGTGAGGGACGGTAAGGATGGCGCCGACGGCAAGGTGCCCCCGTTCCGTGACAAGAACCCGGCCGGCCTGGCCGAGGACGAGAAGGAGTGGCTACGTGGGCAACTCCGAGTCTCGTTCAAGGGGGTCGACGAGAGGCGGCTGCGGGTATTGGCAGATTGGTCCGAACGATATTACGCCAGGGAGGCGGCGGCCATCTGCGAGAAGCTCAAGCTGCGCGCGAAACGAGGAGTCGCTGAGGCTCGCGTGGGCAAGGATAGTGCCCCGGGCAAGGCCGAGAAGCACGTGTCGTTCCAGGTGGGCGGCACGGTGTGCGTGGTGAAGGGGCGTCCTGAGCGAGACAAGGCTCTGGAAGAGGATAGCCCTCACTGCGTTCACGTGATCGGCGCCGTGGGGCGGCCGAGACGTCGGAAACCGGGGCTAAGGCCCGTGGGCGATGGGGACGAAGACGACAAACGAGTCGTCCCCGAAGGCAAGCGCGAGATTGGAAGTGTGGGTGGTGTTGAGGCCCTGGCGGGAGGTTTCATCGGCGACGTGCCGACGGAGATGCTCATCGACACGGGCGCGATCGCGAGTCTGGTGGACAAGAAGGTGCTCAAGTGGCTCGGGCGTTCTGCCGAGACGTTGAGACCGTACACGGGCGGACTGGACAGTGTCACGGGGCACGAGGTCCAGATCAAGGGCGAGATCGACCTGCCCGTGACACTTGGCTCCGTGGAGAAGTTGTTGCTGTTCGCGGTCGTGAACCGCCTGCACGTCGATTCGATCCTGGGCACGGACTCGCTGCAGTCGTTCCGTGCCGTGATCGACATGGAAGCGCAGACGATGACGCTCAAGGATACGGGCGAGGTGATCCCGTTGGGCGAAACTCGCGTGGAGGAGTCGTACTCCGCGAGTGTTGCGGCGACCGTGCGTCTCGAGCCCGGCTCGCAGGCGTTGGTACGATCGAGGGTGCGCGGCGGCGCCAGGCAGGGCTCCGTCGTGCTCGTCGAAGGACTCACTGGCGGTGAGGCGTCTCTGCGAGTGGCCAGGACGCTGTGCACGGTGCATCAAGGGCAAGTCCTGGTTGAGGTTTGCAACGCCTCGACCGAGGAGATGGTCATCTGTGAGGGCGCCGTGATAGCCGTCGCGTCCGCCGTGCCTGAGTCGGCCTTCTCGTTCGAGCGTGAAGAGCCGTCCGGGTCGGAGGACGTGAGCAAGGTCATTGGGTCGGTGTCGGCCGAGAAGGCTTCGTCGCAGGACGCCCGCGAGGCGAAGATGGAGTCGGAGCTGGCCAAGGTGGCTACGGAAGACCTCCAAGCCGACTTCAGCGACTCGGCCATAGACGCCGAGCAGCAGGAGCTATTCGCGAGCATGTTGGGCGACTTCAAAGACATGTTCGTCGAGACGTCGAAGCGTCCGGGGCGGACGGACTTTCTACAGTTCAGCATCGACACGGGGGAGCATGCTTCGATCAAGCAGCCCCGTACCGAGTGTCGAAGGCGGAGGGTGACGTGATGGAGGCGGAGATCGAGCAGTATCTGGAGCTCAACCTCATCCGGCCGTCTACGAGTCCGTGGGAAAGCCCAGTGTTGATGATACGCAAGCCGGATGGTGGAACTCGATTCTGTATTGATTACCGGAAGCTCAATGCAGTCACTGTGAAGGACAGCTACCCTATGTCTCTTATTGACGACTTCTTGGACGTCCTGGGGCGGGCGAAGCTCTTCTCAACGATGGACATCGCGTCAGGGTACTGGAACATGTCCATGAAGCCTGGAAGTGTCGAGACGACGGCCTTCACGAGCAAGCTCGGCCTGTACGAGTGGCTCGTCATGCCGTTCGGGCTGTGCAATGCGGTGCTGGCCTTCGAGCGCTTGATGGAGAACGTGCTGGTCGACTTGAAGTGGAGGACGTGTCTAGTGTACTTGGATGACTGCGTCGTGTTCAGCGACGACTTCGCGAGCCACTTGGTCCGCGTGCGGCAGGTGCTGGAGCGGTTCCGAGCGGCGGGCTACAAATTGATGATGAAGAAGTGCCATTGGGGTCGTGACCAGGTTGCGTTCCTGGGTCACATAGTGACGCCCTCGGGCATACTGCCCAACCCGGAGAAGGTGAAGGCGGTACTCAACATCGCGAAGCCGCACGACTTACACAGGCTGCGTGCGTTCCTCGGGCTGACGAGCTACTTCAGGAGATATATCCCTGGGTACGCTGCGACCAAGCTGCAGCGCAGCTTGGTACACCCGCCGATCCTGGTGTATCCGGACTTCACCAAGCGATTCAAGCTGTACGTGGACTCCTCGCACCTGGCGGTGGTGGCGTGCCTGATGCAAGAGGTGGACGGCCGAGACCGGGCCATCGCCTACGCGAGCAAGATGCTGGTGGGGTCGCAGCGGAACTGGATCCGCAAGACGGACGGTACAACGGAGATCGAGTGCTGGGGCGTGCTCTGGGCCACGCGGACGTTCTGGTGTTATCTCGACTACGCGGAGTTCAACCTGTATACGGACCACCAGGCCCTGACCTGGATCTTCGGTGAGAATACGCGGACGACGAATGCGAAGTTGGCGCGCTGGGCTATGGAGTTGTCCCAGCTACGCTTCAAGATTCATCATCGTGCAGGGTCGCTCATGAGTCACGCGGACGGCCTGTCGAGGCTTCGACAGCGGCCCGTTATTGGCGCGGTGACCATGAACGACCTGCTCAACCCGCCCGGACGTCACGAAGGTGACGGCCCGGGCTGGCTACGGCCTTTGCGGCTTGAAGACGTATGGATCCCTGCGGCGGCGCCCGAAGGGCGTGGCGCCGACGAAGTCGGGGAGCGTTCGGGCCGAGATGAGGGCAGCGGAGAAGTGCGACGACCGCTGCGTCTGGAGGACGTGTGGATGACTGGAGCGGCTGACGACGGGGGTACAACCGTCGAAGTCGAAGAGCAGCATGAAGGCGATGAGCGCCTGAGCGAGCGGGCCGAGCCGGGCCTGGCTTCGAGAGCGGACGAGCGAGATGCCGTCCAAGTCGGAGAGCGGGGCAACGCTAAGAGCGGAACGGAGGTCGCGCGTGACTCCGAAGAGGCCGCTCGAGGCGAGGGTCCGCGTCTCACGCAGGAGGAGCAGGAAGAGGACGAGGGTGGCAGGACGGAGGTGGACTCTCCATCCGCCGTGGACTCGTTCGGGCTCGACAGCGAGAAGTTCGTCGAGAAGCAAGGGCGGACTCCGTGGATGGTGGCGATGAAAGCGTTCCTCGAGAGCGGAGCTTTCTCGATGGACGTGCAGCTACGCGTACTAATTCTACGGATGTCACCGAACTTCGTGATGAAGAACGGCGTGCTGATGCGTCGCGTGTACCTGAAGGCACGGGCTGGACCGGCGAGCACGATCACAGTGCCGGTCATCCCGTTACCGTTCATCGAAACCGTGCTACACTTCTGTCATGCAGACATCTTTTCGACCCACTTGGGCAAGACGAAGACTATAGATCGGGTGCGGCGGCACGCGTACTGGCCTGGATGGAAGAAGGACGTGGCCGAGTACGTGCGCTGCTGCCCGATATGCAACGGCGGAAAGGGGTCATGCAGAGGATGTCGATCATGGACTTGTCGGGTCCGTTCTCGTTGGTGGTCGTGAACGCAATAGGCCCGCTGCCCGAGACGGAGCGCGGCAACAAGTACATCTTGGTCTTCGTGGACTACTTCACCAGGTGGGCGGAGGCGTTCGCGGTGGCGGCGCTGGACTCGACCACGTTCGTGGTCATCATGGTGGGCGGCGTGATCTGCAGACACGGGGTGCCCGAGAGGCTACTGAGCGACCGCGGCACGAACTTCACGTCCGAGCTAGCGCGCTCGCTCTACCAGACGCTTGGCAGCAAAAAGCTGTTCGGGTCGGTGTACCACCCGCAGACGCAAGGACTGGTCGAGCGGTTCAACGGCACGCTGCTGGGCATGCTGAGGATGTTTGTACACGAGTCTCAGGACGACTGGGACGTCTACTTGCCGCGCGTGTTGTTCGCGTATCGGTCCTCGTACCATGAAGCCCTCGGCGACTCGCCGTTCTTTAGCCTCTATGGACGAGACCCGAAGCTCACGCTGGATTTGGCCTTTATGAACACCGGTTCGGACTGGAAGTCGAGTGAGGTGGCCGCATACAGGCGTCAACTGTACCAGTCACTGCACGACTCGCGGCGAATGGTTGAGCGCCAGCTGATCAAGGCTCAGGACCGTCACGAGAGACGGATGAGTGGGCAGAAAGAGGTCGTGTTCGCAGTGGGAGATGTTGTGTGGGTGTAACAGCTCTTCCGCGCGCGAAGAGGGGAGCGGAAGACGAAGAAGCTCGCGTTCACTTGGCACGGACCCTACCGAGTGCTCGGCCAAGTCGGGGAGAACGCGTACAGGATCGACATCCCGAGCCATCCTGACAAGGTCGTGACCGTGAACGTGAATAGACTGAAAAGGTTCAAGGGGCGATGGAGCCGACCCTTTGTGGGCGACGTGCCCGAAGGTGTGGACGGCTCGCCCGAGGTCGAACAAGAAGGGCCTCTGGAAGAGAACGACTTGCCGGAGACGAGCTTCGTGAAACGCGTAACCATCGGCGGTGAGGAGACGGCGTTCACGAACGCGGGCTCCCCAGTGATCGACATTGTGGGGAAACGCGTCGAGAAAAAGGAGGTGCAGTATTTGGCGCTGACTGCAACGTACGAGACGTTCTGGCTGTCACGCGCTGCGCTCTCGCCCGAGTATGACGTGCTGATCACGGCGTATGAGAACGCCATGCGGAGACGGAAGGGTCTACCTGAACTACGGCGAAGCGTGCGGCTAATGGAAGCCAACGCCGTGGTCGACGAAGATGAGCTCCTCTTCTAGCGTTGGGGTCGTGCTCGACCCACGCTAGGAAGATGGAGGCGGTAATTGTGGATACCTTCAAGGGGAGGCAGTGTGCCTCGAAGCTCGTGAGGTTTGGATATTGTGTTGATTTTATTGCTTTACGGGGACTTGGCTTGGAGATGTGGGCGTCTTGAGGAATGCTGCGCTGCTGTGAACATGGAAACGGAGACGACAAGATGAAAGAAAACTCAAGTTGAATTAATTGGCATTACGGGAATTAGCGCAGCACATGCTGGTGTCTGGGGGCCGCAGGAACGAAGGACGCCTTACTCGTCGTCAGCAGCAGGGGCGAGCGCGGTCGGCTTGCCTTCATCGTCCTCGAAATCGGAGAAGTCGTCGGTCTTGATGTCGGAGGGCGAGAACGTCGTGATCGACGTAGGCTTGTACGAGCCGTCCTTGATCGCTGGGGCCAGGATGGCCTCGGTTTCTTGGACAATCTTACTGTCGATCAACGCGTGCCACGGGCCGACGTCCTCATCTCCCACCCAGTCGGCGTTCCTCGGCGCGTCGCTCTTGATGTCCATGCGGATGCGTGCGAGCGCGTCGAGGGAGAGCCGGTGCTCGGCCGGGGCCTTCGGGTCGAGAGCGCGCGTGGACTCGAGCAGGTGAAGTAGGCTGTGATAGCCGTCGATCAGCGCCGGGTTGAGAGCGTTGTCGATGACGAACTCGAAGCGCTCCGAGTCCGTGCGGTAGAGCGAGGTCAGGTCTTCGGCGCACACGCCGTTGTCGGTGCGCTTCTCGCCGGAGCCCTTGCCGTACCAGTACAGGTCGTCGTGGCCCTCGAGCAGCCGGTAAAGCCGAAGTAGCCCCAAGTCTCGATGCAGAGAGTGGTGAGGCGGAGGCGCGCGATGCCCGCTCGGAGCTTCGATTTGCGGCGGTTGTCCGTGTCCTTCTTGATCATCAAGGTCGCGTTGAACGCCCAGTGCCAGAAGAGCGCGCGGAACAGCATGTAGAAACGCCAGTGCTCGCGGTAGACCTGGGGGTACTTCACCGGGTCGTACCAGAGGCTGCGGTCGCACCACGGATAGGCGATCCGCCACGGCATCTTGTCCTCGGCGACGCACTTGGCCAGCACGGCAGCGATGGCGTCACGAACGGGCTTGGGCGCAGCTTGGCTGACGCGAAGAATCTCGTCGATGTCAATGGGCTGGACCTCGTCGTCGGTCTCGGCGCGAGCCTTTTTGCTTGACGGCGTGCTCGCGGGGCTGGGCGACGCCGCGCGTTTGTTGCTGCGGCGGGGCGCCTTGCCCTTGCCCTTGCCGGACTTGGGCGGTGGCGATGGAGAGCGCGACTTGGGCGGACGTGGCGACGACGGAGGATCAGCGAGAGCAGCGGAAGCGGTCGAGGGAGGAGCAGACGGCAGCGGTCGAGGGAGGAGCAGACGGCAGCGGCGGCAGCACGAAGATGGGACCACCGAGGATCAGGTCTTCCTGCTCCTCGAGCACGGCGTCGACGACTGCCTGCAGGTGCTCGAGTCTCTGGGACTGCGGGTTCACGGAGAGCACGCAGCGCACGCGCTCCCAGAACGCCGTCTTGATGGTGCGCTGGTCCGTCCCGAGAGAGTCATCCAGGAGCCCAATGATGAGCTCCTTGATTTCTTCAATCTCCTCCGCCGAGAATGCGCAGCGAAGCCTGGACATCGTGGCGAGTGGCGAGTAGTGAGTAGCGCGTGGCAGATTCTCAACTGAGAGATTCGCCGAAAGAGCGGCTGCGATCTCGCCCGGAGCGGTTCTACTGCGTTCTTGCAGAACGTTCTGAAAGGAGTGGACTGCGATAATGGTGTCGGCAACTTGCCGAAGAACGGTCCTGATGGCAGTTGACTGCGGCAACGGTTGGTTGCCTCAGTCCTGCATTTTGCGAAACTCGGTGGCAGCAGCTCATGGCCGATTGGCCGCTGGCCGTCACGATACTCGCGGACGTGCGTGATTACTTCGAGAAGGGCGTGCATCCGATGGTGTGGGCGGCGCTGGGCGTTGCCGCGTGGCACGTCATTACGCCCGAGTTGAACGTGTTGTGGGTGCTTGGAGCCTCGGTGCGCGAGACTGGGTTCGTACTCTACTTCTTCGGGTTCACCTGCGTCGACGGGTACATGTCGGCGATGCGGAACTCGCATGTCCAAGGGCTGGAAGCGTCAGAATACGCGTGGGCTGCGCTATCTCTACTGGTGGCGGTGCCGATTGCTGTGCTGCGGGAGCACGACTAGCTTTTCGGCATGGTCGGGGAAATGTGGCATGCTTGGTGTGTGGCGATACATCAAACGATGTTCTTGTTCCTGCCGGATGCAGGACAACTGATGCTACAGGCCGCGCAGCGTTACGCGTGTGCGCTCGGCGAAGCGGCCATGGCTATGGCTGGCCGTGTAAGTGATGGCGTTTATGGCGCCTACGCGCTGATTGCGCTGTGTGTGTCCGTCGTGGTTCACGCACCTCGCATTGTGTATGACGTCCTCGAAGGACTGCTGCACGGGTCTACGGGGGTCGCTGTGGTGCTCGGCGTATGAAACGCCTGGTGTGGATTCTCGCTGGTGACCACGAGGGTGAGCGGCGTGCTGCTGCTGTGTGGGCTTTACAGCCATCTCGTACGACGCTGCCTCGGGCGCATGCCGAAGAAGGTCGCAAGGTTGGGGTTGGACGCTCTGCGTGAGCGCAAGGACGCGGGGGAGCACGCAGAGAAGGCAAGTATCAACAAGCTGCGTGACGTACGTCGTCGGTCGACGGTGGCACCGTCGAAGGCGGTGCCGAACGGGCCGGAGGTGGCCGTGGTCGTCGACGAGGCGGACGGACAAGGTCCGACGTGCCCCGCGACTGCGACGAGTGAGGACAAGGGCGAGGCTGGCCGAGGACGGCAGCCTGAAGTCGGGGAGAGTTGTAACGGGTCACGTCTGAGACCTCGACTGACAGCTTTCCTGACTATGCTCGAAGGCGCGTTAGAGCAGGAAGAGGCGCGACTTCAAGAGGAGCAAGGGCAGGACGGACAAGCGTATCAAGTGTGAGTGGTTATCCCACTCTTCAAGGCAAAGATGACGCGAGATGGCGGGCTGGGCGCGGAACGTTCGGTCGCCAGCCGCCAAGGACGGGTGTCATGGAGGCCAGGAAGCTCGTGCACGGGAGGTGTGGCGTCCCCAAGTGGTTGCAGTAGGAAAGGAAGCGAGGGGTAGCCGTCGGCCGCGCATGATGTGGTGAAGGATTCAGTCGTGAATTCTCCTCGTTGAAAGCAAGAAACCCTTTGCATTTTTACGAGATTGCCTTCCTTTCTTCTAGCGTCTTACCAGCAAGCTACGCGTCTACTCTTTGTTGGCCGAAGTACTCGACCCTAACGGAGGAGGACCGCGACACCATCGTTTCAGAATGACCGGGAGCTAGTTGGTTTCTTTGACCATCATTTTTGTTGACTTTTCTTTTGTATACGGACCACGTGTGCATATGAGACGGCGGCTGGCACAATGATACTTATCCACCTTTTAGAGTAATCGAGATAATCGTGTTTAAAGTTGACCTATCATTTTCGGACATAACCGGACATCAAATTTTTGAAAGTGAAAATCACCCGTAGAATGTGTAAAAATACTTCAGCTCGATTACCTGTAACTCAAGCATTCCAAAAATGTAAAAAAGCTAAAATTGAAGAAAAATTGAGTTCACACGCCCCAAATAATATCAGGGATTCTGGGGGTCCGAAAATGGATTTATTTTTTTCGGACCGGCATTACTTGTCGAGTGCTCAATATTTGTAAGACGTTCGTAGCTTAAAAGAAGCACAAGGCATTGCTCTATCGATTTATGTGTTTAAATCGCGATTCGTACTTAGGTTGATTTGTGCCTGGGTGTTTGCCGCAGTCTCATATTAGAGAACTTTAGTTGTTGGAATATCTCCCGGTTTGGACAAGGAAAAAGCTGGATAACATCCATATAGATTACGGATAAATTACCAGCGGATGTTCCAATACTTAAGCTCAGTGGAACAACGCGACCCTTTGTTGTTTCACTGGAATATATTTTTGGACCAAGTCATTTTTGTTCCAAAACCTCGACTTTGTCCAGGAACTAAAGTTCTCTATTACTTGACACATGGACCAGAACTCCCGGTTGTGTATTAGCATTTCAAAGCCCAATACTCAACTACTAGTATTGACCGAGTTACGGCCTTCAACGTGGGTGTGCGAAAGTACTTGGTGAGCAGTGTAGCAGCTCTCAACTGAATACACGCTTTCTCACAAATTATTGAGCAAATTCGGGATTATAATCTTATAGTCTTACAATCGTATAACGCGTTTGATTTGCATTTTACTGAAGGTTTTTTGGGATCGCTGTAAAAGGTTTTAAAGCGATCTCCAAAACCTTGTAGCGAAATCAAGGAAAATCACATTATATGCGCTGATGCTATAACTACTTTTGTAGTACCACTTCCACATGTTGCATTTTTATGTGCGGGTTGAAATATACTGTATTGGGGGACTAAATATCTATACTGTTGCCGGAGTTACCCGTTCTATTTACTCTACAATTTTGGAAAGATGTAAATGGCTCGTTTTGGGATGATAAAATGGGTTATTCGAGACCTTGACCGGATAGCAAGCTTTGCATTGGTACGCTCGCAGAAGTGAGTAAAGCCGTTAGGTTGCTACCGCAGCTTCTCAGATGTACGCCAAGCTGCAAGAATAGCTTCGACACCACGCAGATATTTTGGACGCCCGGAGTTGGAGTACGGGTATTTTAGAAGCGTTTAGAGACCACAGTCACTAGTGTGGTACATTTATGGCAAATAGCCCCGGCTCTAAGCACACCCTCAAGTTGTTTCATGGTGGTAAAAATAAAATATTCATTCTGACTTCCTCCGACGTCTGAATTATCTCGCGGTAAGAGGATGAAGGGGTTTGTTCCAGTGTCTGTGGTCGTCGGTCACATGGACAACACAGTTCATCGCGGGTACCGCAGCAGGGGGGCCTTAGCACCCGAATATACACAGAATTGAAGGTTAAATTGGTATTGTCCGACGCAATATCTTGTATGCAGCTTAGTACTCTGAGCCCAACATTGGCCTCCACGGCTACATTCATATTGTGAAATTAAGGAGAGGGGCAACGCATCTCAAAGGGACAGCATTGTGCCACAGCTCTAGATGGACTATATTATGGTGAATATCTATAGCTGTTGCACAATGCTGCCCATATGGGTTGCGTAGCTCTTCCCCTTAATGTCTCTCGGGTTCCTGCGTCGTTATTGTGTGGTGTTGCATAATACACAGACAGTACCACTGATCGGATCCGATAGTAAAAGAACAAACGTGTTTCTACAATCACAGCCCTATGCTTATTTATCCAATGACGTACTAATCAGAATGACTGGCTTAGAACGCAAATCTTAGCTAGAGCAGCTTAATTTTGCGGACTCCCTTTTTCATCATGCGGCGCGTCGAGCGCTGCTACAGTATAAGGAAGAAGCACGAGGAGCTGGAGATGATACACCAGGTCGGGGTGACGGCTGCTTCTAACCAGCTCAACGTTACCCGTGCCACGCTCTACGACTAGCGCAAGCAAGCCGAGGACGTCTTTGCCTTCACAGGCAGCGCAGCGCCCAAGCCCATGAAGACCAAGGCGCAAGAATATCTTTTCGGGCGTCCTTGAGGTTGTCACCTATACGAAGGACGTCGAACGAGTAAGTACTATATTTGTTTTGACTGACAGAGTATCAGTTGTACGTGGTGTGACATGGTGACTTGTGAAAATCTCCGAAAGAAGGTCCACTTGAAGAATGAACATCAGATACGTACGCTCGACCACCACCGAGAGGCAACACTGCACAATCGACCCTAGCGATAGCGCCAAACGGCATGCATCCGTATGGGTTCCCACCACGTGTCAAAAGAAAAGAAAACAATGTAAAAATATACATTGGCCACCACAAAGCGTTCCCATCGAACTCGCCACTATGACCTCTCCACCCGAATAATTCACCCAATCGAGTTCGCATACACACGGCCAGTTGGTGCTAGACACATGTGCAATCACCGTTAGAAAGGCGCACCAATGCCATTATATACTTTTGAACATGTCCCTGCCGGTATCAACCATGTTTCATACAAATCATACATCACTGGCACGTTTGGCGACACGTCCAGGCGCGAGTCCCTGCTGCGCGGCCCTTGGCACACCTCGAAAATCTCGCGACCATTCGCAATCCAATCGTCCGCTCTGTCGGCTTCCGTCCGGAGAGTCTCCGCGCGGTGCTGGGATCAGATCTGAGTCTCCATCTGGTGGTCCCGGATGTCACAGTGTACTGATATTTCTGTAGGTATTGTCAACTGCAGGGATTATTGAATTCGTGCGGAAGATTCAACCTGAGTGGATGGACACCTAAACCAACGGGAAGGCTGATGGAGAAGTAGCACTCGAGCGTATGGTGATTCGCTAATCGGTAATATGTAGTACTTTATTTGGTATTCGATATTTCTTGTTTTAATCTTGATTTTTTTCTATGACTTCACCTTGCTGAAGCCACTAGAGGCTAAGCAGTCCTACGAAGAACACGAAGAGACTAGAGCGGAGTTTTGTCTAAACTTCTGATTTAAGTACCGCACATTTGTGGGCGGCGGTGTGTTAAATGTTGATGAAGCTGCCATATTGTTTGACATGCCGCCAAACAAGAGCTGGGCAGGCAGAGGGAGGGGGGGGGGGCAGCACGCGTTCTTGGTGCCAACAAGCACGCGGGACACCTGGCAGCAGTTTTAACTATCCGCGACGTCGGTACCCTCGCTTGCTTGGGTATATATGATATTTTTTTATTTTATTGTTTATTGCTTTATGCTAATGTTAGGGTACAAGATGCCAATTCTCTTCATTATCCGCGGTGTTCCCGGCGCCCGACTTGAGCAAAACGAGCTAAGGAAGTATAGAGACGGGCTCGCTTACGTAATCCAAGAAAACGCGTGGATTGACTTAACAGTTTGGAACATGTAGGTAGAGAATTTTTTTAAATTTAAATAGACAGACTCGCTCTCATTCGTGTTGACAATCGCGATTGTCACGTATCCGAAGTAGGACAACGGCTTCTTACGATGTCACGTCGATCTCATTGCCCCAATCAGCACTGCTGTGTGCCAACCTCTAGATGTGGGGTGATGGGACCGCTAAAAGAAAAATCCGAAACCACACAGGTAGATGCACCAGGGGTACAGCTAAAGAAAAGTGCATCCGTGCAATTCACGCAACAATTATTGCTTGGAACGCCTTAAATAAAAGGTGGTAAAAATACTGCTTCAAGAAGGCTATTGCGAAGCGCCACGATGTAACAATCTATAGGTCTATTCTTTTACGTTCACCGGCATGACCCCAAGGTGCACACAAATTTTGCGCGAAGTGCATGCGAAACCAGCATAGGAGTATCAGAGTAGATATTCAATCGTCATGCTTCTACTTTTTGCTGAATGTAGCCAGTGAGACACGCCGGTTCCCTAATCAAGAGATTTACAGGAGCGAACTAGCCGTTGTTAAGCAACATTGGAGAAATATTTGCAATGCTCTGGGAGAGGCTGTTCCAGGACGAGACCAGGACGAATTCAAGGTAGACCAAGGTCTCCAAAGCGACCCTACAGTCATAATTAAAAAAAAAATTCTACCAAATGACATATATTATTTTAAATATAAGCCTTGGGCTGTTTTGCTAGTCCCCTAACCTGGCCATAGCATCGACAGCTCGATATATATCATGATAAATATACCGGCAGAGGCACATTTATAGATCGAGTATTACATCATCAAGCGTACCATCGCAAAATATCGACCAGCTTTACCCCAGAAGTCCCAAGAAACCAAAATGCTACTGTACAGCGGCTGGAGAAACCGGCAAAATAACAGCGGTGCTTACCATTCACGGTGATGGTATGTAAAAAACAACTATCTGTTGCTGTTTTTAGACTACAGGTTTCCGATTCTCTTCATTATTCGCGGTAAACGGTCGGCGACATCCATTGAAATGAGCTATCAAGCTACCCACGTGGTCACTACTACACTGTACAAGGTAAAGCGCGGATAGACGGTGTAGGGTGGGGATTTTACGTAAGTAATTTGCTAAAACCATGGAGTAATGGTAAACAGAAACACGTCCAACCCGAGGGTTTGGACCCAGCTTCGAAGTTCGAGGACTTGGTCCTCCGGGACTTGGCTGTTCGCGGCGTCAAGACACCGCGATGCGGCTCACCGGAGACGTTGGTCCTGGCTAGCCTGGTTGGGCTGCGAGCTCATTTCTTCCGATGCGTGGGCTTGACGAGATAGTCGAGTACTATGACAGGTGGTAGAGTTAGATGCTAACCGTCTAGCCGACTAGAAATGTGGTTCACGACAACGTAAAGCCGTCGGGCCTTGTGTATATACTTCAAGTCACCCTACGGCTTGCGCTTTTACGAAATATCCGCTGTTGTGCAGGACGGCCAATAAACTCCCAATAGTGGTCACAGCGTCCATAGCACACTCAGCACGTATTGCATGCAATGCACTGTGCAACCTGTTCTCCATCTCTATCGGCCCTATGGCTCGTCTGCGGGCGTTCCCGCGAGTCATCGCCAGGGACTCGCCCCGCTCTATAGATGCCTTCATGGACTTTCCGACGCCTCCTTGGGTCATTCACCGACCCCAAGATCATTGGTATGTCCCTTGGTCATCTTGTCGATCGCTTGACCGATTTTGGTGCTCACATCTTCAAGTGTCGTGGTGTTGGAATGTTCACGAGAAATCACACACCCAACGCCGACAACGATGCATCGCAACCTGCGAGGCAGGATCTTTGTTGTTAGTCGGTACAACTCAAAGTCATCTGGTTCGGGGCGAAGAAGCCTCGGTCTCAGCGTGCGCACACACTATGTTGGGTGGGTCTTTAGCTGTGCAGCGTAAAGGAGTACCAAAAAAAGAACAGTGGACTAAGAAGGTGTCCAAGTATACCGGAAAAAAACAGTGGACCTAAGAAGGTGTCCAAGTATACTGATCCACAAGTGGACATGGTAGATTCCGTGTCATCGAACGCTTCGGGTCACAATCAATGAAGCGACTGAAACAGGGACTCATCACGGTCTGTTAAGAGTGTGATAGTTGCTTAGGCTACGAGACAAGCGTGAAATCGTTCCTGCACTTTTTTTGTCCAGAAGACACGATCAATCTCGAAGGCGTAACTGCCCATCCACCATAGTTTGGGTGGGGCTTCACTGGCAGTATTGCGTCTATTTACATTGCAAAACTAAAACAAAACGGATAGACTTGCCGCCATGTTAATACCGATACCAAACTACAACACTAACATAAAATACAATAAAGCAAATGCATACAACATAATTCAACGGTCCAAAAAAGAACTTTACAAACATTTGCAAAAAAAATGAACCGAACGAAACGGTTGTCCATGTGTTAGGAGTAACGTATCTTGTTTTCCAAGAGCAGCATGTAGCCGAAGTGTAGCTTGTAACCCATGAGCTTCACTTGGCGTGGCGGCGACTTAATCGTGGCGTCGGTCGGTTCCTTGGCCGCCGGGATAAGCACGCGTGTCCCTCGTCAATGCGCTGGCGGTGATAGCAACCTCTTCCTAGGCGCTATTAGGACCGTCCGAGCCCTCACATGGCGTCGCCGCCGCAATAAATGGTGGAGCTTGGGTGGAAGTCCGCCAGAGTGATGCTAGTGATGGAAGATGACGCACGGACGTTCTTCGCTTCGACGGGGACTTGCTTTCCTTGACCCTTGCCGGCCTTTGAGCCGCTACGGCCAGCCCTAGCTCTAAACGGGCCTTTGCCCCTACGACAGCGTGCCGCCGTCGAACGGTAGGGCGCCGACGGCGAGGACGCCGCGTGTGCGCCCGCTGAGTGTGTGTCCGATGAGTCCGAGCGATCGGGACTTGCAGGCGCAGCTTGCTTCTTCGTTGGAGGTGCAGGCGAATTGCCTGGGCGCACCGGTTGGTCGCGTCGTTTGCTTGCGCGCGGGGTGCATCGAGCTGGACCCTGGGTCGCGTTGAAGGCAGACGATTTGGCAGTCTGGCTTGACGTGCGCTGGGCTTCACCAGCAGGGCTCATGTTCAGGGGGAGGGGGTGGAGGAACGTTTCTGCTTGATGATCTGCGAGAGACTCTGTGAGTGATTCTCACTGGCTTCGGATTGTACCAACTTTCGACAATCTCCGACGTGCGACTCGTTTTTGCAATGTGTGATTGCCCGCTCATCTACCACATGATTAGTAAAACTTGATTTTTGTATGAACGCCCGCTCTGTATAGCGGGCCCCGCTGTCGATATCACTTCCCAAAATCATGCTACCACCTCACAACGACAAAGAAGGGGTAGCTGGCTCTCTCATGGTACGTCAATACGTGTATGCATTGAGCTGGAGGACGTTAGTTTGGGAACTAGGGAGGTGCTAGCTACTTGTAGAACCTGTCATCTGTCCGGGTTTGAGTGATTCAACATACACAAAAAAATTAGTGTTCATTGTAGCCCCTCATCATCTATATTCAGTATTCTGGATTCTAAAGGCGTCAAACCCGTGTATGTATACCCACCGTCGTAACATTCTCTGACTACGGGTTTCGACTGGCGTGATGGAACATACGCATAACGGCTTCAAAATCGCTCAAAGCTATACTGGTCTAGGCAACACCAGTCATTCATAGTACACCAAAAGAGTTACTGCATTTCGCACATTTCTCCCCCCCCCATTTTTTCTCACCACAGGCACAGGATGCCGACAACAATCGACTGGAGAGAGCTGGCAAACGCCTTGGGGTAAGATACGGCGAACGAGCTGCTTAATTTGTGACATAGTGACTTGTGAAAATCTCCGAGCGGAGACTCCACTTGAAGAATGACCATCAGATACATACGCTCGACCAGCACCGAGAGGCAACACTACACAACCGACCCTAGCGATAGCGCCAAACGGCATGCATCCGTATGGGTTCCCACCACGTGTCAAAAGAAAAGAAAACAATGTAAAAATATACATTGGCCACCACAAAGAGTTCCCACCGAATTCTCCGCTAGGACCTCTCCACCCGAACAATTCACCCAATTGAGTTCGCATACACACGTCCAGTTGGTGCTAGACACATGTACACTCACAGTTAGAAATGCACACCAATGCCACCATATACTTCGAGCACGTCGTCCCTGCCGGTATCAACCGTGTTCCATACAGACCATACACCACTGGCACGTTTGTCGACACGTGCAAACGCCCCCCCCTCATCCGCACAAGCCTAGACATCATCCCGTCAGAGGGAAGCGGCTAAAACTAACTTCTCGCCGCCACATCGCAGCCAATCAGAGGCGCTCGTAAAGCGTGTGATACTGCCGCATGCACACACAGCCCGCATTGGCGGATTTAAAACCTGCGCCAACCCACCGGTCTCTTGGGGCCATCATAGTGAGGAAGCAGGCTCCACATGCATGACTCCAAATGTTTCAACTAAAGTAAGATCAAAAATATTCCCTTCTCGGCACCATTCTTGCCCCTGAGAATCTTTAACGATAACAGCATGGATGGCTGCATCAGCTAACGCTCCCAGTGCATACTCCCCACTCTCATGCACATGGCCGAAGAACACCTCCGGGCGGACCATTCTAGACTAGCCCGACCGCAGACGCCCTCACGGTTCCATGCACACTCATCAAGTGAATCACACATGCAGATGGTAATATACATGATACAGACACGGGTAGCTCACCCATACAGTCAACGGAGTTCACCCTTCACCCTAACCCCCACACGACATAACCCGCTCAGGTTCACTATACCTTTGGCGAGCCTTGAGGTCCTTGTGCCAGGAAGACGCGAATGCTTGTTAGTTTGCTGCGGAAATGTAAACTGATATTGAATAGAGCTTAGAAAACAAAGGTTAGATCTGATCCCGGCTCGACACGGAGAAGCTCCGGGTGGAAGTCGACCTGGCGGACAATTGGATCTTTGTGAAGGATCGCGAAATCTTTCGAGATGTGCCAAGGGTCACGTAGCAGGGACACGCGCCCCGCCTCTTCAAACAGCCGGAAATCAAGTATCCAAGGTCGTGCAACACCGATCGGGCCAAGATGGTACAGACAGATCCCAAGATCTATTCGGTATCGCAGTGAATTCGAGTGGTTTCGCCGTGAGTGGTCGCGCTCCGAAAGGATAGCAAGCGCAAGAGACCCCAGGTGAGCCCCATAGGTTCATCTGGTGGTCCCGGATTTTTGTACGGCACTATGTCACATATTCAATGAAGCCGATGGCCGTTACAAGATGCAACCAGCCCCCGTGCACTATCGGTACCGATCCAGCCGAGCACACGATGAAGAACCAGTTGCTTAGGTGCACGTCAGCCTCGTGCAAGACGATGTGCCTCCAGCTTCGTTGTGGATGGCGCGGAAACGTGATGGCCTGCTCTCGATCGCGGAAGGTGACTGTGCTTAAAGCAGGCAATTAATTCACAGATGTTCGATCCCCTAAAAAAGCAGGGCTAACCCGCCAGCAGAAGGACTTTTGCCAGAAGCTTACTGCTCAACGAATCAAACCGATTCGTGTTCGAAATGCGTGGCGGGTCAAGTTCGGCTTGGAGGGTGACCGACTTCTCCGCCCGCGTGCGGTCCAGACTCATATTCCAAGACGCAGCAAGGCAGTAACGACGAACACGAAGACATATCCAAGACAGTGCCAGCGATGGCCTGCCAAGAGGGCAAGGACGAATCGACACCAATATCGTTCGCGAATGGCAAAACCTCCGATTGTAAACTCGTCGTTGGAGATGGGTCGGATGAGAAACGTTTCGTTGTGGGTATCACTGCCAAAGCACTACTGAAATACCTGGACCGTGATCCAAGCTGCTTCATCTTCCACATCGTTGCGATTATCTCAGGTCAATTATCCCGTTCTCATCATGGGAATTTCGAATTGAGCACGCAAATTCCATTTAGTGGCTTTCGGCATCGTATCACAGCGTATTGGAGCTATCTGCACAATGGTACTACTTGCCTTTCGCTCAATATACTCGGAGGTGACCGTAAATCGAGTTCGGTTGAAATTTGGGATGGGAGACGCGGAGTATGGACAGATGGATGCTCTGGAGTGAGTGGGTTCGCTTCGACTCGGATTTCATCTTGCGATGTGCTTGTTCCACGTCATAAAGAAGGTGCAGGAAAGGACGAAGTCTATCCCGGGCCGACTGGCGCATGGCGTTCTCGCGCACATATACGACATGCACTTCGGTTCTAGTGTTGACAAGCTGAACTACGTAACGGACTTCTGCTTGAAGGAGTGGAGTAAGTGGAATGAGCTTGCTGTGTTTGCAGCATATTTACTGTGCATTGAATGAATTACCGTTACTCAAGGTGGCAGTGCTGTTACACGGGACCTTGGATTCGCTACCACTAACAACCCAGTGTAACAATTCAACCGCGTTATCAAGCACGACTACACGTTGAGGGCGCGTCTAAAAATGGGCCCCTTGATCAGAGTTCTATCGGAGTGCTGTGGGGACGAATCTCACAGAGGCGCCCATTTCGTTTGAACCCCAGGCTAACCACGCCACTTCTGTGCAGGACCAAACACCATAAAAAGCCAAGTTGCTTCAGCTTCAACCGCTGCTTGTGAACCGCCCAATCCGAAGACAAGTTCGAGTGGTACCCCGTCCAGCACCTCGGTTTTACATTCCTTCAAAGAAGCGGACGGTGGAGTACCTTGCTGTTACGGCTTAGATGAGATCCAACTACGCGCGCATGGAGTACAACAGCCAACCTACCGAAGGATGGCTTGTCGACGTCTCTGATGGGAGGTGTCATTGCAAGTATTGGAGAAAGTTCGCATCCATTTGTTGCATGCGAGTCTTGCCTCTAACCGTGTGAGCGCCCAGGGGAAGCGCATTCTCGTCAACCGAAGCATTGTACACCAAAAAAGAAGAAGCCGTATCTCTATCTGATAGTGCGGCCGCTGTAGCTGGAACGACGTCTGGTGTAAGGCCGATGCTAAACAAAGAAGCTCTTTCGATGGAGTAGTTTTGCTTGAGCCCCTCACGATGGTTATTAATTTTGCATAACACCATGCGCCATGGCGTTTGTGTGCTGTTACTTTATTATGTCACTACGCGTTTGCTTTGGTGGCTTCGCGTCTGCATGCATGAGAGCAAGTTAACGTCAGTACGGTAAATGCAAGCAGGTGTTTTACCGGTTTAGATTGTTATACAGCTCATCATACTGTACGCGTAGTTAAACCATGGGAAAAAAGGAAGAAACTATCTCCGTACGTGATTAGCTATGTCATCGGACTACGGCTTTTTATCCACTTCACTTACAGCAGCTCTCATTGACTCTGGTTTGCCTCGTGAACCCTCATAGGGGGCGAATTATAGCGACAGAGTTGCGACAACTTGGCGTGAAATGTCTCTGCACGGGTGCGTTGTTTCTGCTGCTAGGTTTGCCGGTTGCGCTGGCGTTGAGCTGCTCATATACGCTTGACATGCCCGGCGTGAGTCCGCTTCAGGAACTCTGAGTCGGGGGCGCCATATATTTGTAACTATGGCTTGCGCAGGCACATCTTTAGTAAGTCGTCTTCACCCCAAGGGTCCTCGTCTTCTTCATCTTCGTTAATTACCGAATCGCGAGGGTACTGTTAGTACTTGCGCCGCAACTCCTTCCCCCGCTGACTACGTACAAATCATTCGCCCTTCGCGCGGCGCCATCGCGAGCGATGTCCTTCCGTGCCCAAGCGCAGTCTTGCGTCATGGTCATGGAGTATGCAAAACATCCAGAATCGACTGTCCATCTTAGCCGCACCCCCGACAATGAGCCTGACTTGTCACGATTCCATGTGTGAGGGCTGCTTACTGTACTCCATACACAGACACTATAAACCTATGTGCGGTACTTCGAGTAGCAAATTACCGTGATTGTGCGAACAAACCCTTTATGTATCATCAACAGCTTGGGTAGTACTGTACGTGTTGCGAAATACCGTCACAGTTTTCGGGCACCTTAATTGAGCTTGAGTACCATCAGCCGCCATGACGTAGCTCCTCGTGCTCAATATCACACAAGTCCATTCGTGTGGTACACCAAATCGGTTAGGCTTTTGTCTCCGCTTCAATGCTTACTACGGGTGTTTGGCGATTGTTAATTATGGCGGATGTAAGCGAGGGGTTCGTATTCTTTCACTTTTGTTAAGTGGGCGGGTACTAAACAAGTCCCATCGTTTTCAGATACAGTATGGTCGTTTTTGAATGCAATATCATCGTTTTTGGATGCGATATCATCGTTGCGATATTATGCCAAAAGTATTTTGATTCAAATGACCTACTTGAGTATCTTGCCGACAATTCGTGGTATAATTGCTTGAGTGGGTATCAATAGTTTCGTCCTGTTCTTCTGTATCCTACCTCACTACGGGATTACCTCATAAAGCCCTCCTACTCGCGATAAACGTTCCGGAGATCACGGCATCTGGTCGTGCGGCATGTGTGAACGAACCACGTCTTACCGTAGTCTATGGTGCTTGCTTCGCCCGCAAGAGATGGTAGTGTTGACTACGACTTGCACGTTGCGATCGTAGATGGGCTCCACGAACTCGGTGTTTGGGCCACAACTGTGGTTGATGAATCTCTCGACGGTTCCCCGCTTTTCGGCGTTGATATACAGCGGTCCATTGCCCTGGGTCGGCGACTGCACGGCTACAACGTAGTTCTAGTGCCGTTGATCCTCTCCACAGTTGGGATCCGTCAGTGCTAACCGGAAGGGTGTCCGTCGCATTAACGCTCAACCCTTAGTGCGGGACGCTAACATTTCCACATCGCATGTTTCGTAGATCCCGTTACAGCAGCGACCTTTGAAGATACAATTGTCCGACGAGCAGCAATAGTGGCTTCCCGGATTTGGGCACGTATCCGGGCGACCGTCGCCGACGCACGTGCAGCGTTCGCCAGGCCAGTTGTTCATCACCACGACACCTCATTTCACATTGTTGTGGAGCGAGTGCTTCACGATAGATAGCCACGTAATAGCATGTGAGGTGATCGGGCTCCTCGAAAAAGATTTTAGCCAAGATGACGCGGCTAGTTTGATTGAGCTGACAAGGTCTCTGACTAAGTTATCATGCAGGCCCTGGTGCGACTTAAGGACCCTGTTCGCGCGACTTAAGAGGGCAAGGAATGAGATCACCAGTAAGACTTGGAAGCTATTTAACCAAGACATGATGTCCGAGTCCTGGCTTTGCATCGAAGTTCTGTCGCAACTGCCAAGCGAGTACTGGGCGTCCTCCATCTTGATGACCAAGGCGGACATCACAACGGACAAGGTGGAAGGGACTTTGCGCCGAATCTTCGGCGACAAGTCAAAGACGGACGTGAGCCTTATGAGCAAAACTCAGGCCACGCACACCAACAACGTCCGAGCCAAGGTGGATGGACAGAAAAGAAAGCCCACTGGTACCGAGGGCCACATAACTTGCTTCTATCGCTTTGAAGCAGGACACTTTAAGTCGGACTGCGTCACGAAGGAGGTCGACGGGGACCCGAACCGCTAAGGAGGACCTCTTTTCCGGACGGACATAAAGACGGCCCCGGGCGCTAAGAAGACCAAGAAGGCAGTACCGATCAACACTCTCAAGGCTGCGGTGGCTGAAAGGAAAAGGAAGCTCAGCAAGGACGATAAGACGACGCTTGAGAAGGGTCACGAGGACCAATTGATTGACGACATCAACAGCCTGGACCCCGAGAAGCAGGACGAAGGCAAGTCGGCTGAGACGCCGCCACCAAAAGACATGGAAGAGTTCGAGGCCATGGTTCGTAAATTTCATCCGCCATATTTAAGTTATTTACGGAACCTAAAGCTAACGGATGATATGTGTGTCGTTGACACTAGTGCAGGCCGAGGAATAACATCAGGCCGAAGCTGGTTCACGAAAAGCCTTCAGCGCGACCAAAGTCACGTCTTCACTTACGGTAATGGTACCGTTTCGCCTATATTGTGCACTTAAGGGATCAATAAAGCTGAATGTTTTGAACTCTGAAGGATATTTGAGTGCGTTGAAGTTAGCGGAAATTTCATATGACCGGACATGCGACAGTAATTTACTAAGTGCATACTATTTGGCTAAGCAAGGTTACAGACCCATCCAGTAAAAATCTGGAGATTTATTCCTTTTCATAGGAAATAACTTGAGCTGCTGTTTGTGCAGTAGCTATAAGTGAAGATTATTGCTTACTGAACGTTAAACCCGAGCGGACAAGCGTTGTTAGTGTTCAAAGCCACCAATTTCGCAATATCCTGAAAGAATGGCACTTGCGGCTCGGGCACGTTGGTAAAGAACGATTAATCCGAACACTAAGTAACGAGAAAATTGCTGGGCTGTCAAAATACCATACTCTGAACTGCAGAAGTTTCATTTCTTTGTAAGACATGCGCCCAAATGAAAGACACAAGAATGTCCTATAAGAACATGGTGGGAGCCAAGGCCACTGAGCCACTCCATACACTCCATATGGACTCAACTGGAAAATTACGGGTGAATGCCTTGGATGGTTTTCTTGTTGCACAGCGCGTACCATTTTGGCACGTCTCCAAGCGATGGGCGAGAGGCTGCAGACGATGGAAGGACGGATGACGTCAATCGAAGCGATTTTGCGAGCTCGCCCCGCTAATGAAGACTGCCAGGAGCGGGCTAGCCGGGCGACTAAAGGATCGTCTTCGAGTGAGGAGGAAGAGCCGGAAGCGGTGGACGACGGCGCGGACGGAAACGCGGACGAGGATGCGGATGAGGCCGCCGGTGATGAGTGGGGACTCCCGCTGCAACGGTTGACGTGGGAGATGCTGAAGACGAACCTAAGAGTCCTGCGATTCAGCGCCATGTACATGGTGCGCTGCGCAATCTCTATTAGGTCACGAGTGAGCGTACGGCTGAGGCCACTCGACCTTGGTCAATTAACGAGATGGCTACATTTTGGCACATTGGCTATGCGACCTTGCGTGGTTTCATAGACGAAGACGAAGTAAAGCTGTTGCTGCGGGAAAATAACGAGCAGGGATGAGATGAATTGGCATCGGGGCATCAGAAATCCAGTCCGTCGTGTGGTTGAATTCTGACACGATGTGGAAACAGATTTTTGTCTGCACCCATGTCCGACCCCATGGATACGTGGACCCTTTGGTGAGCAGTGATTGGTCGCATGAGATGGAAATCCGGTGGACGAGTGTGACGTGTGGATTGTGGATGTGTGTGGAGATTTGGTGGGACCCGGCACTTGCAGCAAGCATGGGCTCACAGGATTGGAGATGCGCCCACCGGATGAGCGCTCATATTCGGTGTGGAGTCACGCATCCTGTCCGTCCGCCGACTTCCCTAACTGCAGGATAGGCCCAAGGCGCGAAAGTGTGGCCAGCGAACGTATTCTGGCCACTGCCTGCATTGGCTCAGTCAAGTTGTCGGGCTACCCCACTGAATCGTCCCCACCAGACACGATCATGCCCACGCAAGACCCTGCTGGATGAAGCCTCGTGTTGTCCGGACCGGATCGTGGTGCACCCGGTGATAGCGTACCAAATGAAGAAGTGCCACACCGGATGGGGACAGACCGGATCGTTCATTCGGCCCGGCCCCCCGTGCCCACACTGGATGTAGACGAACCAAGAACAAGTCCAGTGCGCGCCGCGTGTATTCGCACAGCGGCGTCGATCCAGACCAGACGAGACCAAGATCCCCCTAGATCCACGGGCGGCACCGAATGAGCCGCAGATCCAAGGGAGAGGTCCAGTTCCAAGACAATGAGACGATGTACCCAGATACCTCCGTCATCATCTGATGAGTGTATGTCGCCGTCAACAAGTCTCCGCATACCGAAACCAAGACAAGCATACTGAAGAACTGCCAAGAAGCACAAGCATACTCAAGACAAGCCAAGCATAGTGAAACCTACATTAAAGTCAGCGAAGTGATAGAAGATAGCTAGCCAACGTAAGATCTAAACAGAAACCAATTTGCCGAAGAACACGCGGACGACTCTGTGCTCGGGGCAGAAGTAGCACCCCGACTTTGACGTCTTCAAGAGCCCTCCAGGTGACTGCCTGCGCGCGGTCTAAGCCAGTTTAGGGACGCTTCCAAGGCCTCACTGGTGTAGCGAGCACTGGTGTACTGGGGACTCAAAGGTACCAAGGCAAAGTCGGCAGTGACTGGGGTTTCGCGCCCCGGAGTGACCTGTGAGAGCTTTATTTTCTATTTGCGTGCTCTAACCGGGCATCCATTTCATATTCCCTACTGTGTGTCTTTGGTGGTTGAGGTCACCCCCCAGACCGAATTGATTGACTACTGTGTGATAGGACTGAACTATATTTTGTATTGTTCCCTCAATCTGTGAGCGTGGTGCGCGTAAGTGAGTGTGCATCCAGGGCTGACCAGTGCCTTGGGTGACGGCTCCGAAGTTGACTGGTGTATAGACCCCCCACCCAAGGGTCTCAAAGAATAAGTGGTGGCTGTATATTTTGTGACGTTTAGCTCGGCATTGTAATGTGCCGTTGACCTCGGCGCTCCGCTGCACGTCGAGCTCTACGGTCGTGAATACGATCGGGCTCTATCATGTGCGGCGATAGCTCACGTGACGCTTGGTTACGATGGATCCACCAGTGCAAGTGGAAATCCGTCGGATCCAGCTGAAAACGCGAGATCATCTTTTGGTGGAAGGCGTGGGCGCATCGAAGTCCCAACGTCCGCTGGTATGAACCCGTACGTTTCCGTAGTAGGTCTGTACCCTGTTGTAGGGTTTCAAGATACCGATGTAACGCATTTCGATGAATAATTTTGACGACCGCAACAAAGAACGTCGCGCGAAGTCTCCTTGATACGTACACCTCCGCGTTGAAGACGTTAACCGAATGTTTGTCAATGGATTGGCGCCACCAGTGCTCCATCCTGGAATGAACAGTTAGAACGTCCCCCGTCGACGTACCAAGCCACTCTGTCATGGCGGCATGGTAGCCTTCCACCCGCGAAGAAGCGTGCATGCCAAAGTGCATGGCTCTATCCGTCCAGCATCGCACAATTCGGTATTTCCAGATATCCAGCCATGCATCCGATACGTGAGCTGCATCTACGGGAGCAAGAAGGTATAGCTCATGCAGCCCGGAATTGAAATCTTCTTCTGTCCGAGCGTTCACCACGCGCGACAAAGCTTGGCAAAAGCTTTCGGGAGGCAAAGAATCACACAGGCACCCAGTGTTTGGGTCAACTTGCTTGTGGAATGAGTGATGGCGGGCATAGGCTTGAACATCTTTAAAAATGTGCCAGATGCTCAATAGCCCCTGCAAGTAAGGAAATCAAATCTCCAGCGCGTTGAGCAGAGCTAACTCTCTGTCTACCTGCGGCGGCGGGATACCATGCCCTCTTGTAGGTTTCGAAGTCGCTGTAGAGCTTAATGGGAATCAGGCTTCGTCTCTCCGCAGATAAAAGCTTGTGCGATGTGGATTGTTGTGTTCATACCGGTTACGCCGACAATGTTGAGTTCGAAGTTGTTCGACAAGTACAGGATCAGGTAGTGCATAATTGTATTAATACACCACCAGTAGTATATGGTCTCGGGGGATCCCCGCGCGTCGCAATGTGGTCTCACACAAAGCAAGAATAATGCCATCCAAAGGCTTTGTAGATATAATGCCTGAGCGACTACAGCTAGGTTTGTAACCCTTTCGTGAGCAATATTATACTTGAATTTTGTATACTCAAGTCCCCATAGTAACATGCATAAATGCTTGGTTTTGCGCCGCACCCCGCAACATAATATATCATTTTGCAGGGGTTTACCAATAATTATTGCAATTATTGTTGTAAAACCTTGCAATATGCTTGGTTTTACGCAAGCGATATAATAGGTCAAAATCAATATAGGGGTGATTTAATTGGATTAAATTTGTAAACTAAGTCTATTGCAAGGTTTTAGGACCACCAACCACAATAGGGGTAATGGGACCACATGAGCCATTCCTAGCTCGATTAATTTGAACTAGGTTTTTTTTTCGGTTTCATACACGGTCGTCATTCTTTTCGCGCTAGCTTCTAGCCTTTTCTCAGGAGAAGACATACCATCAGGTACAGCTCTATTTGGTTCTCAGCTAGATAGAGTTTGCATTGGATACCAAATCGTTGCTATACCTCCCATCTAGGATCACACATCGTTAAAAACAATTGAAGTAGTTTTTGGCGAAGTCTTAGTGGAATATTCAATCTAATACACCTAGACGCGTGTCAATACGTGTGGGGATTCACACAATACCAGCCTGGCAACAATGTATGCCACGAAAATTGCATAATATTTTCAGTTTATCTCTCTGATTAACTATGCATACAGAAGAAAATTGATTGTAAGGTGAAGTCATCTTCTTGTGTGTCAAAAAGAGAAGGGTATGCTAAAAGTTATACTGGGATAGGAAGCAACGTAAGTGCTGTCGCAGACCAAATTGGATTATATCCGTGATACGTCAAGTCAGACAATGACCCCTCTTGACATCTAACTGGTACATTTTCTTGAAACCGGTACGATTCCGGTGCCGCACTGGGCTCTCCAAAAGGTTTATATGCGTGCACCGGTAGGATACTCATCACACTGGTATGACCCCGGTGGCGCACTGGGCCCTCCAAAAGGTTTATATGCATGGGCAGATCGAACCGGTTAGCTAGCGACAACCCTGCTATGAATCAGTATATACATTAAGCTGGGTACATATGAACGTAATGAAGTAAATCCTACAGGTAAGCGTTTGTATTTTCTACAAGGCCTAAGAGATCTCGACCAAGGTTCGCATTTTAAATTTTGTACTTAGTAAAGCATTGTTGGTAGACAGTTTGAACTGGCAAATTTCCGGGCAGATGCTGCGGCTGCGAAGCAGGCGCAGGAGATGACCATAGCTAATAAGAAAAATATAAGCGGAGACGAGATGCGTGATGTATCGACACTTCGAACGGCGGATAGATGTTTTGAACTTCGAAGATATAATCGCTGATTGAGCTGATGATGCGTTGTGGACCGCGCCAGTGTACAGCGAGCTTGTTAGCGTGCGCGGTGATTGAGCAACCAATTCGAAGTCCCCAATGAACAATTTGGGCATCTCCACGCCCGCCTTCTTGGCACGCCGAGCTCGGGCTTGGTCAAGTCGCTTTTTCGCAGTTTCACTCACCTCGATTCCAGCGCAGACTGCACAGCTACAACATGTTCTCGCTGGTTTTCGTACACGTTTGTCACATCCACGACCTCCGACGATCTCGGGTGCATACTTGTCAAGACCGGAGGCGAAGCCGGCAGAGCTGTAAAAGCAGTCACCGGAGCCACACCGCCCAGTCGATGTGCTGGTATTTGGTTTAGCGCTGCTTGGACCTTCGGACTCGGCCGGTCGGTCATGTGCAGTCGAAGCTCACTCAGTAGGGCGCACATGCAGCGTACTAACAGCCGGCACCGCACGGACAGTAGGCTGTAGTAAAGTGATGGTGAGTACCATAGCGAGCCCGAAGCAGATCAATCAGATGGTTCTTGAAATGAGTACCCCGATCGGATATCCACTGCAGCACAGGTTCAGGCACTTCAACCGGTCCATCAGACCAGTACAGGTTTCCTCAGCGGTCGCACTAGCACACGCTATCAGCTCCACGAATGTCGTCTTTGATTACCAGTGCGTACTGCTCACCGGTCGTGCTTTCAGGAAGAGACAAGTAGTCGAAGTGCAAAATCTCATTGGGTTTCGTCGCATGGAGAGTTGGCCCGTATGGACGAGGGACGACACGATCACCCACGATCAAACAGTGTAGACGATCTCGGACGAAGTGCTGTGCATCCCTGCGAAGGGAAGACCAGTTAAAGCTCTCCGACAGGGCTGTTGTTGTTGCCTCGATCCCAGGATGTCCGCTAAGTCCAGCATGGGCAACCCCGCAAAGGCGCTGTTGTAGTTCCACCGCATCATCCGGGGTCCAAGCCTTGCATCCAGGTGTCAGATACACTTCCATGTCGGGGTCCCAGCTGAGGTGACTTTCCAACTCCTTGTTACCAACATCTTCGGAAAGATCTGAACAGTTTGCCTGAGATAAGCAAGTCAAATGAACGGTGCAAAGATCGGTGCTCATATACCAAATTTAGGAAGTGTTCAGCTCTTTCCGACTATGACGCTAAATTTCATTTGTTAAAATTATTTGCCTACCAGCCAATCATTTCAGTGCATAGTTTTTGCCTCGCCATCATTTTCACAATGCCACCACAACGCATACCCCTCCACCACAAGAATCACTTCCGGCTGGAGATTGCTCAAGACTTCCTGGACAAACCATTATGGGTATCTGTGCGTGAGTTTGCGGCTGCTCGTGGCCTAAGCCCCTACTATCATCTGGGGGGGTTGGGCGGCATGGGCACGAGTGTGCACTTCGTTCCGCCGGGCTGCACTGGGATAGCGCAACCGCTTGACGTCGGAGTGATGTCCCTACTCAAGACGCATCAACGCCAGTCCTGTACCCAAGCCGCGGTACTACACGCGATGCCAGAAAACTCGGTCGAGCGCCGCCGCTACATGTTCGACCACGCCATGCAAGCTATGGGCAAGATTATGCAGGACACAGTGCAGCACTCTTTCGACAAGGCCGGCCCGTTCTTCGGCTGCACCACAACCGTAGACGTGCAAGGAATGCTGGACGAAGCTCGACTTCTCAACGTTGTGGATGCTCAAGAGAACAACGTTGGCAGTGTCCAAGGTGTGCTAGCAGGCGAGGTTGAAGTGATCGTGGGTGAAGGTATCAGCATTTAATATGATTGGCCAAATATATGCCGACTTTTTTAAAGTCAAATTCTGTAGAGATTATCCTGTGGAAATCTCGATATTTAGTAAGTGTTCAGATCTTTTTGCTGTTCACATCTTTCCGAAGATGTCGGTTGTCTCGAACGTACGCATCTGTTCTGCAACGATGGCCTCGGGAGTAGGCCACGCAAAGCCGGCAGCTTGTAGTGGTGATACGGGGCGAACTGTTACTACAGCACGGGCCCGGACAGCCGGTGTTGCTGTGGTTGCTCCAGCTCCCATCGCGTCAACAAATCCGCCCACACGTTGTCTTCTCCGAACCTGTTCAATCACATCACGAAAGGTTGTTAGGGTCATACCCCAACGTTGCAGTCGATCGATCTGGTGACGCGCCAAAGAGCTGTTCTCCGCCAGTGTGTCGAATATGTACTGTAGGTCCGGTGATCAGTGAAGATTCGGAAACCTACCGGGCGTAGCAGCAAATACATGAAGCGCTTGCACGCGGCCACGATGGCGAACGCTTTTTTATCGACGATTAACAACAACGCGACATAGACCCAGTGAATGATCCGCTGAAGAATGCTAGTGGCTGGTGGTGTTGCTCTTCCAGCGGGCGTCCCACGTCCTTCGGTGGAATTTGTGTCACCACGGCCCCGTAGTGTGTGATGCTCGCATCAGTAAACTAGCAGACAACCTAGTCCTGGTTTGGGTGGGTCAAAGTCACCAGATTCGTGATCATATCCTTCACCCGCATGAGAGTCTGAGTGTGCTCCTCCGTCCATCCGACCGAGTCCAGCTGAACTCGCTGGAGACGAGATTTCTTCCGGCTGTGAACTACCGCCACAGCAGCTTCGAGAACCGCATACAGGGAGTGAGACAAGCTGGCGTACTCAGGAATGTTGGAGCGCATCCAGTTGATTGCGCACGGAAATTGCTGGAGTTCTCCTGCATTGTGTGGAACCGACAACGCTACTAGGCCTTGAATTCTTGTCGGACTGTGGCGCACACTCGCAGCGGATATCAGCTTGCCACATCATTGGGCCTCCTTCGTGAAGAAACAGCACTTCGAAGGGTGAAGCTTCAAACCGTACTGCTCACCCAGCGCCAGCACATTCTTTAGAACTGCCATTAACTTTGTCGGCGAAGAAGCGTACCCCAAAATGTCATCCAGCCATACAAGTATCCGCTTTGCAAGGAGCGGACCAAAGTAGATATGTACGACGCCCTGGTAGTAAGCCACTGTATTGGCACTGCCCATCAGCACTCGAGTAGGGGTGAACATTCCCTCGTGGGTCATGATCGTGAAAAAATCCTGCGAGTCCTCGTGTAGGGGAAGTTGCCAGTAGCCGCGCCACCAATCAATCGTGGAGTACGAGTCCGACTCTTCGACTTGAGTCAAGTCTCCTTCCAGGTCGGGCATCGGCCATGGCATTGGCTCCGTGAGAGCGTTCGCAGCGCGCGTATCCACCGTCATCCGGTAGTCATCTGGCGGTCGCTTAGTCACGATCCGTGGTGCTGAAGCCCAGTGACTGCGGTGGTTCTTCTTAACCAGTCCGTGTTTTTCAAGCTCTCGGATATGTTGCTCAAGGTAGGGCTTGTGCGCCGGAGGATAACGCCGCGCCTTTGCTTTGACGGGCCGAGCTCCCTCCTTGAGTCGCACCTGCAGCGGCGGGACTCGCACCGGCGGGTTGTCATTAAATGAGAGACGGAAAACATCGATGTAGCGAAACAGTAGGTCGCGAAGTTCATCACATTCGGGTCCAGGCAACCCATTTTCACGAGCCTCTTGCAGCTTGAGAGCCAGTGCTTCTTGCACCGCGGTGGTGGTAGTGTCAACTAGTGTAGGCGTCGTGACCAGCTCATCCACATCGTCACATCCATCGAAATCACCGAGCAACCACAAGGGTTGCATCCGAATCAGTGGCGTGGACACAACCACTTCCTCACCAGGAAGAGGGTCGTCGGAGAGACAATACTCTTGCTGTCGTGCTCGAGCAACCGCTAGTAGCCCGTCCGTAGAACACCCCTCACTAGCCGACTGATTGTCAGTGCGACACTGGCATCTTCCTCGTGGACGAAGCAGTCGTGATTCCGCAGTACTAGCGGTCCATCTAAAGAGTCCGAAATGACTTCACCGAAACGAACCTTGCGATGTCATGGTATCCGACGGGGATTAGATGAGCATTGGCTGAGGCCATCACCAGACGAGCTCCGTTGCGCTGAAGTAGATCAAGGCAGCCCTTGCTCACGATAGATTCCTCGACTCCACTGTCCAACAAAGACGCTCGTACTTCCTGTTTCCTCATGCGTCCATCTCACCGGCGTAAGGGGGGCAAATGAATATATTTTGCCTCGACTTGAATTCAAGGGCGTGGCGAGGCGGGTTCAGCACCTCAAGGAAGAATTCAAAGTGAGATCTAGACTGCGGCATTCGCCCCCCACTAATAGCTACATCAGCCTTAGGTTCTTACCGCCTATCGGAAAACTAGTCATCCTCACGGACTGACCCTCATTTCCTCATGCGTCCATCTCACCGGCGTAAGGGGGGCAAATGAATATATTTTGCCTCGACTTGAATTTGAGGGCGTGGCGAGCGGCCCCAATGCCTTGATTTGCGAGTCCGCGCTGGAATGGTGGCGAGGCTAGATCATTCGCTTGGCGAGGTCCCTCGTTGATTTGACCGATTGCACTGGATACTCTTCGAAACACCGCGACATCCACCGGCCCAGTAGTTTGATCGCGAGGCCATCCGCTTTTCCAGCGAGCAGTGCGCTGGCACCTCCGCTTCTCAAGGAGAGTGTCGAGTAGTTGGACTCGGGTACTCCAGCCTTTCGTGCCGTTCGCTTGATCGCTGTTGCTACTGTTTTCGTGTCGATCTCCGCGCATAGATACTTGTGTTGGACAGCATTCAGGTCACGACGCGCTCGGAGAATGTGTTTTAAGGCTCGGACCGGGCATAGTGATCGATCGCCAGATGGTGCATGGTGCGCCATGATCCCCGCCCGTACTGGTCGTTCTTGGCTCCTCGTAGGCCGATTGTGATTGCGCTTGCGCTTGACGCGGTGACTTGGTTACCATTCGAGTCAGCGAAGAAAACATCTTTGGTCTGGAGACAATATAATGATCGCCGCTTGCCGATGGCGAGATATTCAGATCTCCTCAACAGAAAGAAATACCCGATAAGGACGCTGCCCACCAAAAGGCGATCCCTCGGCTGCGTGAAGTTGAGAGAGCGCCGCAGCAGACGGAGGAATGCGGGCGTAACGGGTTGTTTCTTGCGGACTGGGTCGGACATCCTCTTGATGCCTTGGAGCAGGATGGTCATTTGGGGCGACCGACGAAGCTGCAGGCCACAATAGCGACGGTGATACCAGATGACGCTGGACAACTTCGACTGGATCGTGTTGTGCTGGTTGCCGCGGCGTGCATTGTTTCCACCATATTTCCAGAGGTAAATTACGAAATAAATCAGCTTGTTGGAACTTGCCCGACCGGAGTCTGGTAGCCAGGTGTGCCAGCCCATCAGTTTACAAAAGCGGCGCCATTGCTTCCAGTTTGCGTTGTATTTCATGTTTGACGATCTTGCCAGGGCGTGACTGCACAGAATCGCTCCCACACGCTTGAGAGATTGTCGAAGGGAGGTACGACGTACACCTGCGTCCACGCACAAGAAAGATCAGACCACGTTGCCCATAATGGATGAGATTCAGTCCACGCCCGTGATCCCGCATCCGTCATTGTGTTAAGCTTGCCAGGAATGTGGATGGCAGTTAAGAATAGGCCATACTTGAGCTCAACCATAGCGATCAGTCGATTGTAGAGCTGCGCCGTAGGGTGGCGGCTGTACCGACGACTCGCCCACGAAACAGCGCTCATATTGTCGATGTGAAACTGGACGTGGGTGGGCTGTGTCGGAGATGCATTCTGCCAGTGCGGTCCCCACAAGAGTGCGGCGAGCACAGCACTCTGAATTTCGCGTACGTTGATCGAATTCTGGTACGACCCACTCTGGAGCTCTGCGCATTCTTCGTCACTGTATTGCAGTCGGATATACTCACGCCGGCTGGTGTCCAAAGCACACAGACCTGTGTTGGAAGCATCCATCTCCACGATTATGCACGGGGGCGTAGTTGCAGCAAACTGTGATACTGGAATCCCGTCGCCGGGGCAGCCGACGACCGAGATTGCCTTCATACACAGGCGCTTGTCACCTTGACGCGGTAGTGCAGATAGCACGGCAGCTGGGATCGATGACGTGCGGGGCTGTCTGTAGACACGGCGGATGTCATCCTGACCGTGGCGGGCCCGCGGATGGGCATGCTCGAGCTCGCGCTGAGCTCGTCGGAGCTCTTCCAGTTCCAATAGATCCTCGTCCTTTCGAGTAATCTCTTACTTACCGATACTCCGGGCCGCGTCAACATCGCGCGAGACAATCATACTCCGAAACTTGCTAAACTTGCTCGTGATCCAGAACGCCATAAGCTTCTAGCCGACACTGTCGGAGTCGAACAGGCCTTGGTAAGAGTCGATAAAGCTGATCGCATCGTCAACAAGGTTCACAACCGTCTGAGTGTAAAAATGCTCAGCAAATTTGCGAAGGGACCGCAATGATCTGCTGACATCGGTGCGCGACCTTGACGTTTGAGCTGGGCGCAGCGTGTTGCGTTTCGAGAAGTCGGTAAAGCTGACAGTCGAACCATGGGCATTTATGCGAGTCATCAAGTCTGCCGGATGGCAGTACATCAGTGAGAGTCCATGGACGCCAAATCCAAAGTCGAGAAGGCCACGGCACACGGGTGGCACGGCGAGGAAGGGGGGCGTGGACTCGTTGCTGCATACGTTCGAAAATGTAGTTGCACGACTTACCTCGAAATCGCAGTGTAAAATTGTCCGGCTTACGCGCTGCTGGGTCGCTGCTGGTCGAAACGCACCCCGACTGGGCTCATTGTCATCGTTGTTTGAGCTAGGCTCGTCGTCCTCGGTACCATAACCAACTCCATAGTCAAGACGATCGTCGTGTGCCGATGCACCATCCCGTTCCGGGGCTCTTGATCGCTTACCAAGCATACGATTCTGATTGCGCAACGCCTGGATATCATCATCCGTTGCCTTGCTTGTGATACTCAGTAGGTCATCAGGCATGTGAGATGACATGGGTCGCTGTGGTGCAGCTCCGGGGCCTGATCGATCGGTACGTGGCAATTGCGGGTCGTTGTAAATGGCTAGAGCGTTCTTTTTGCGCTGGCCCATGAGGCAATCGAGAACGTGCTGCCGTCGTACTTGCACCGTTGCGAGATCGTGGGGGCGGATGAGAGGCACGATTTCCTCGGGTATGAAGGGAGCTGTCAGCATGGACTGCACCGACGCTGGTAGCTCTCCTCGACGCCTGCGGCAGGCCATAATCACTGCATTCTGTTGCACGAGAAGCTCCTTGGCGTTGAGAACCATGTCTGTCACTGTCGCCCCAACTTGAAGGGCGTACGTTATCGGGTCGGCCTTGATGATGCGAAGGGGTTCACACAGTCGTACCGTAGTAACTTCCTGCCCGACTAGCACGCTGAGCGATGGGCCGGCCGCCAACATCTCGTAGCGGATCACGACTCCATATGCCCACTGGCCTGTTGAAGGACCGCTGGGTTGAACGAACGCGACGGGTTGTCCCACGTAATCTCCGGGCCAGAGTTCAGCCTCGGCGGCATCGACGACGCGGAGGTCTATCGCAGCGACTGGAAGCTGGAGTTCGTGGCCATCCTCCCCGGCATCAGGGCCCACAACGCGCACCGTCGCGCTATCTCCTTCAACGTGGAGCACCCGAACGTAGCAGAACTCGGTGAGCGTAGGAGCGTGAGCGGGGCCAATGAAGGCGAGCGAATTGGCGGAAACGGCATACGGGGACATGGTCGCTGGCGTAGATGCAACGGCTGGAGACTAAAGGCGCGGGATGCTCGAAGAGAAGTCGACTGAAGGGACACGTCGGAAACCGCTGAGAAGCTATTTCAGCACCTCAAGGAAGAATTCAAAGTGAGATCTAGACTGCGGCATTCGCCGGCTCCCCACTAATAGCTACATCAGCCTTAGGTTCTTACCGCCTATCGGAAAACTAGTCATCCTCACGGACTGGCCCTCAACCCTCAATCGTCGCCAGAGCAGTCCCATCATCAGTATGGCTGGTGTTGGGTAACAGCAACGGGCATCGGAGCTGCCTTATGCCTACGCCACGATTGGCCGCAGGCGTACTGGTGGCTGCTACAGTCGTCCTCTTGACTTGCGGCTTGGAGCCCGCATTCGCTGCCTTGTGTACTGCCAACAGAGACTCGGCCTTGCCTTGCTGAATACCTGGGCACTGTCGAACCAAATGCGCAGCCGGCCCGGATTTACGACACAAACGCCTCGAACTCCGTGCTGCAGGCGTCGAATGCGACTTCGCCTGCGCGCCACGGGCAGCAATCCTGGAATCTTGGCTCGGCTCGGGCTTGTTACCGTGGCCGCAGCCGTGTTGTTCCCTCCGTGTAGATGGACTCCCCTTGTTGGAAGGCTTGTTTTGCGCCTCAGCAGTGTGAGGCTGCCAAACAATATATGCCTTGAGTTGTTCCAGAATCCAGGCATAGCACTTAACGATGTCCGACTTGAGAGGCTTGTGTTGCGCGTACTCGAGGCGCTTCCGGATAGCATCGCGGAACTCCGGCGGCTCCAGGGCCGCGACCATGTATTTCATGAGCTTCTTCTGCTCATGGGCGACGAGAACACCCTCGGCGTTGTGCTCGTCAAGGATATTGTGCATATCAGCTCTCAACTGCCCCATTCGGGAGACGGTGTCCGGAAATGAAGTCTTCGTTTTTAGCTGCGCCATGGCCTTGTCCACCGCCGAGTAGTCCTCCAGCTCTGGCTCCAGGGCTTGGAGGAAATTGTGTACCCATTCCTACTCCGTGACCAGATTGGGGTCGTTGCGCAGCTCGTACATGCATATTAGTCTGCACGTCCGATCTTCGATGCATCCGCTCACTGGCATGACGAACGGCTTGCCATACGACGTGTCGAAAGCGCTGAGAGCGTGCACATACGTTTGGAACGCACGCATGAACGCTCGACGAACCTTCATCGTGCTACCGGAGTATCGGGGCGCTGCTGGCAGGGTCGACGCATTCGTCACGCGCAGCGATAGCCTCTCCTCGTGTACGTCGTCACGGCTTGGTGACGCCGTAGCCATAGTGACGTCGTCCGCGCCTGTGTACTCCATTCCACCGGTCGACGTCGGCGGAGGCATGACGAACGGTCACGTCCACATTAGGTCGCGCTGCCCATTGCCCCACCTCTGGTTACCGCCCCGTGTGGTGTCACGGGTGACGGCGGCACGGACGCCGGAAGTGCTGGCACGTCGATCTCGAGCTCCTCCCCGCCATCGTCCTTCAGATCTTGAGTTCGATTTAGCGCAAAATTAATTCTGTTCTCTGTCTCGGCTGAACCCGAGCGGCCTTGTGCACTTGAAGGTAAAAACCAAAGTGACATGTATTAAGAGAGGCTTAGCTTGTTGGGGCTGCTTCCTACTGTTCCATGGGGACCCTGGGGTTCACCATGGTTGTTCCTACTACATCCATTGAGCCTTGCTACACGATCTGCCTCCAGCTTCCAATCTGGCGCCTTGTGCGCCTTGCTGGCCTCCTTCCGGCCACCTTCAGCCCACTTCCTCCGTACACCTTGCACCCTTCGGGTGCAACTCAGCGACAGTTCAGATGCGGCCGGTTGAAGGCTGTGTCGGAGCCGCTGAGTCGCAGATCAGCTCGCCAAGCATACCGACACCGTCTGCCCATTTGACAAGACCCACCTCTGCTCTCATCACAAGTTGTCATGAGAGCAGAGGTGATTCACAACTATGCCGCTCTGTGCAAAAGCTGGTGGGTCACGGCACGCGACTCGCCGGACCAACCCCAATAGGTAGGAAAACCAACTCTGCATGAGCTAGCGGTTGCGTAAATTTTTCCTTTAAAAAATGGTTAATACCTTGCATCGAAAAATTTAATCAACAAGGAGCAATAGGCGGAGAAGTCATGAATAGTAGCCGACAGCATATTGTTCCGTGTGCAGAAGTTGATCTTAGAGAGTAATGCTCCAGGAAACTGACGTTTTGCTAAGTTCCAAGTCAATTTTGCAGATGCTGCGGCTGCGAAGCAGGCACAGGCGATGCGCTGTAGTGAGCAATTGGGCTTTACCTGCTACAAACATATATGTCTGTTTAAAATTTCAGAGCTTCTTCGTGTAACGCGCGACTTTGCTCTGACTACCGGGTGTTTTTTTTTCTTTACTGTTCCTATACTACTTTTTGATCAATTCTATGCCCAGCTTTGCCCGCAACTAGGTTCCCCACCGCATCTGCGTAGATTGTTTTCTCATCGACTCTCTCGACATCGATGGATATGAAGTATCCCCATCCCCACCGACGCACGCCTCGTCCCAATCCTAGCGCGCGTCTTTCAGCTTGGGCCAGTGCGTGTGAATCACCTGATCAGCGACAAGCTCGACAGGGATTCCATTTACGGTATCACTGGTGTGTATGAGCTCGTATGTGGTCACAGTGAGGTTAAAGAAGTTGAGTATCTGAATGGGTAGCGCACGGACAATAAAGAAGAGTGGTAGGTCTGGGTAACGAAAGAGGATCGTGGACGCCAAAACGAAACCACACGCTTCCAGTTGCGCACGAGTCGAGAGCAGCATTTGTCCGGGTGCTTGTACATTTAGCTCTGTGCTGCAATCGTACAAGGCAGTGTTGCGTGATCGATCGTCGAGAAACCTCGTGAATGAGTTAACTACAGCTGATGCCCACACGCGTGTTGAAACTCCGACACGATAAGAGGTCCCGGTGCTTGCTCTTACCTTGGATCCTGTGCGGATAGCGGCTTGCAGCATGGTGTGACATGTCAATCCTGTAAATGCCGCTGCAAGAATGACTATGACGAGGACAAGCGTATACATGCTCAATGATGCATTCGCAGCACAGACAGATGAACCAGGACACCCTGAGTACTTCGTCACATCACTCGCTGAGACTGAGTGCATGCCTTTTGCTAGTAACGCTCGAACAGACACAGCCACCGAATCCGTTCGTTCGACCAAAAACATGATGACCGATGAAAGAAATCCCACCACGTGCGCAATACTCGGCTCCATCTCCTGTATTTTCAGGTCGCCCGCTCGATCAAAGATAATATTGATCGCCAGAACGACCACCAGTGTACCGCATCCAAACGCACGAAGTACTGCCTGGTTCGTGTCTGCCCCCACTAGCAAGTCGATCGTCAACTGCTTGCGCATTTGCATCATACTCAAGACCATTTGAGCAACCAAGATGAAGTTGTAACTGCTGCGCACCACTTTTGCTATTGTACACGAAGTCGTGGTGTTCAGCTGCTTTGCCCACGGTGACACGAAGGCACACCGAATCCGGTACCACCCGCGCACACTTGTCAAGTACGCCGTCAACACCTTGGCCAAAAGCTGCATGCTGATTAGCAGTCGAAAGCTGACCGTGCTGTCCACCGTGACCTCGTTCACCTTGTGATTCACAAAGTTTTGCCGCAGCACCTCACCGGACGCTGTCTCCTGCGCCGTCCACTCTGATAGCCACAGTTGCGTGAACAAGACCGAGCTGCACTCCCCCGACTGGCTACACTGGATCATGCGCCATGGTGCCGGGAACGAGTACGTCCGGTGCGCTCCGTCCGAGCTGAGATCGGCCACAGCACCAGACGTACCGAGGGCCGAGTACGCACAGCCAAACGTATCTCGTTCACCACCGAAGAGTGTAAATTCTGCACAGGTCTGGGCCACCAGCAACTGCTTCGAGCACACAGTGACCAGGCGACGGTACTCTGACTGAGATTCAGTCGCCGCATACCTTGACTTCCGTGTTGCATCGTAGCACGAGCTCAAAACTGGGTCGAGATTTGGTCCAACGAGCGAGATTATTAGTACAGCCCCGGGTGTCCGAGAAGGATTGAGCTCCCCCATCGCGTCCGTGACATAAAACTCTGTCGGTTGGAGGCGGAGGCGCAGGTGCGACGCGGTCCCTTGCAACCACGAAGCATCTATGCCAAATGCAGAGGAATCCTGCGCACTGAGCAACGCTTCGACCTGAACGGCTCCTTCGTCGTCTACCCTGCCGAAGCACACGCTGCTTGCTGTTGAGAGACCGAAAATGCCCGAGTTCACCGGTAGCAGCGAAAACGTTCATAAAAAGTGTTCTAAAAGTGCTCTAATTGTCCTAACGTATATTAACCTAATTAAGTAGAAATACCGGTAATTTATTCGGACGAGGGCGAGCGGATGCGAGCGCGAGGCTCACTCGATGCATTCACCGATAGCCAACACCCGCCGATCAGGCGGGGGAGTGTCTGCGCGAGCGAGCGGACGCGAGCGCTGCAACCCGATATTTTTTTTCTAGACACCGCACCTGGCCGAGCCGAGGACTTATCGACGGCACTTCGGGGGGCCCGCCCCTCTCTCGCTTCGCTCGGGGAGCGCCGCTGCGCGGCCTGCCCCTCCCCCTCGTGCCTTACGCTAAGTCCGCAGGTGAGAGCCAACGGGCGAGTGTCCGCCCCCTTAGAGTTTTCGGCCATGTTGCTGAGACTGTTCTTCCAGGAAGACTGGTCCCGAGTACTGACTGTTAACTGGGAAATGTGCCTACTAAAGTCAAGTTAATATTTTTTGGAAAATTAGGACAGTTTAGTTCGGTTTTTGAAAGTTTTAACCAGCACCAGTTCACCGACAGCTTTGTGCAACTGACCCCAGTCGTCTGGTTCACCACGAACGAGCGAATGTTTTCAAAAGTTGTCTGGGGTATTGCGCGCAAAAGGTCCGTCGTCGGGGTGGGCGTCACGCCACCGAAGAGCACCGATTGGAGATCACTGCACGCCACTTTACGGGGTTCGAGGTCTTGATAGTGGTTGTTCTCGAAGGCGAAGTAAGAGGGCTGCTCGCAGCGGTCCCCGTGGCCGTCTCCGAAGACACTTTCGGGAACTAGAATGACTTGCAGGACCAGCGGCAAGAGTCCCATAGCGGCGATGGAGAATAGCGCGAGCTGCCGGAGTCGACCGCAGATGGAGAAAGCTGCAACGCAGCGTTTTGATCCCGTCTCGGTGTCCTTGGTGCGGAGGCTCAGCTGCTTCTCGGGCGTGCCCTGGTCGGCCACGTCTTCGTGTTGGCTGATCTCCCCCGTGGCAAGTGCAGGCGAAACCAATTGTGTCGTGTAAGTCTGGATAAGCTGGCTGACTCAGTTCCCGTGACTACCATTAATAGCCACCTGGGTGTGGACGCTTTCCGAGAATTGCAATGGGCAACCACGCGAAAACGTAGATAAAACGGAAATGCACTTGAGTTTAGTATAATGTACCACGAGTTGTGACCTTAGGGGAATCTGTCAAGCAAGGTGGTACATGGAAATCAAGTGTGTCGGAGTAGTATAATAAATAGATTCGCAACGTCGCGCGCATTTCTAAGCTGCCAGTGAGTGCACCTTGCTATTTGTTCCCAAAGTGTCATGGAAATGGGATGGATTGCTCAGTCCACTTTGTGGCGCTTAATCGCAAATTCGATGTATTCCAAGAAGCATTTTAATACGTATTAAAAATATTTTGAACACGTATTTTTTAAAATACGTGTTCAAAATATAAGCAGGTGTATTCCTCTCTGTGGTTGCCGCCAAGATTTATTCCTTTTGAGCTTTCTCGACTTTCTGAGATGTGGAATCTTAAGCCTTCGGGTATCGCACCACTTTGATTTTGACAATTTAGAGTTGGATGAAAACAATCAAACGAGGACTGTTGGTGTCTTACGGTACCGAAAATAAAATCATTTTCGCATTAACACCGGTCATCTATTGCGATCAGGCGAAAAATCGACGGTTTTCGGAGGTCAACCGAAATTCGAGGATCAACAAATTTGCTTATACAGACACGAGATTCGAAGAGGGGTTAGAGCACACAAATCTAAGCATAGTGAGGGGTGTCCGGGTCCCGGCACCCGCGTTGTTGCTGAGATATGGGTCGCCGAAGTTGGAATTCTTGTTCAGGGAACAGCATATTAAGTCCATGAAACTTGACAACAGTCCCTTCCACAAAGTTCTTTCGAACGATTTCGCTAAATTGCACTTCAGCATATGTTGACGATAACATTAGACTGACCTCAGCGTAACCCAAGGTTACTAACCCTCAGGTCTGCAATAGCGATAACTTCTCAACTAGCGACGGTGCTCGACGCTTAAACTCACTTCTCTGAGCGCACACATAACCACTGCCACTACTCACGAACGCGCGTAACGCAAAGGGGGAGTTTTTAATCCACTCGGGGGGTAACCCTGGCGTAACCCTCGCTGTCGAGTTTTTTTGTTACAACAGGACGATAACTCGACAAAGCCCGATTATGTACAGGTTTCCTTCAACAGGAACAACATCTAGTTGCCTTTGTGAACCAGCCTTCTGAGCGCTAGGACGTGTTTCAGCGTGCAACTAGCATTGTATCGCGAAAACCTTACCTTCTTCTACGTATATGAACGTTTCTGAAGTATTGTTTTGGCACGAGCACCTTGAAATTGAGCGGTGAATCAGGTGTATGTTTTTCATCTAGATGACAGTGGTCAAAACGGCACGAATCGATTCCAAGCTAGATGGCGATGTTACAGACTTATTCACTCCTACTCAGGGGTAGTAAGCATTCAAATGCACCTACCCATAAAACCAAATAGGCTGTGCATCGATACTCGACTCAGGGGAATCCTCCGAAATCTCGCCTGATCGCAAGAGATGACCCGTGTTAAAAAAAACGAAAAGTCGGTATTTTCGACGATTTTTCGGGACTAAAAAATAGGGAAAATCCCAAATTACGTCCGTAATTTTGAACTAATTCCAAAAAGCATCCACCAGGCGTATTTAACGTTAGGGTCCACTAATAAGGTTACTCAACTAGCACAACACTCACGCATTCTTTTCAGCTTAGGGGGCTCGAGGAGATGGTAGTCCTCAAGTAGCGAACCGCATTCACTACATTACCGTAGAGGCGTGTCGGGGTCGCGCCTGATATGCTCAGTAAGAATGTACACAGTAAGATGCATATTGTGTGCAAGATACATTTTGTATACATGATACAAAAGGTGTACTTGGTACAATTCAGTGTCAACGGGCAACACAGCAACAAGTAGTGGATTATGTAGCAGAGTCACCCACTCCGAATTGGAATTACGTTTACAGTTCCCCACGTGCTGCTCAGGCATACACAGTTGTTTAACGAGAGGCTTGCCTGGCGATACCATAGTCTGGTCTCCAGTGTGCTGTATGAGAAGCCACCACCGACATGTATGCGTGTGCTGAATATCATTTGATTGCTCAACATAATGCAAGGTGTTGGGTACCATGATAAGCATGGTCTCTTGCTAGGCAACTAATACATGCAAATGCGTCAGTGTATTACGTGCAATACTGGAGCAACCATTTTGGTTTTGCCTGCACAAGGAGCTCATCCTTTGTTTGAGTTGCACTAAGCTCGCATCTTGTTCATTTCTTTTATGCTTAGCGAAGGGAATACATCTCCTTTGCATTTGTTTTAAAAGCTACGCTGCGAGATGTCTACAAGGTACGTTTGGTATACCTGGACTTCTATTGTGGTGATTACTGTTCTCGATGGATGCTTTTTGGAATTAGTTCTAAATTCGAGATCCTTGAGTGTGTCACGCTTTTTAGACCATTTGATTGGATGATGTTTATATCACATATCAGTACAAAATTTCGAGCTGCTAGCCCTCCAAAAGGTACTCAACTATGTGACAACTGCAAGACAGTTGTAATATTTAGTCGAACTGCTAAGATTGAGTACGCGCCGCACCCGTACGTGCGGATGTGACGTGCGTGCTTCGACGACCTTGGCATAGTGAAGGAGGGGTCCGCTGTCTCGACCAGCTGCCTTCACAGAAGTTTAATCCATGTGCTGAACAACGCCGTGGCTGGCAAGCTGGCGCTCCAGCTCATCAAGTAGCTGCCGCATTTTTCGGATCGGTGCAGATACATTCAATTGCACCGACACACTAGCAATACGCGTGTCAGGCCTATAGGAGTTCCATTAGGCGCAGTTGATCACCTGCATGATGCAGTGCATCTGGCCAGTATCAACCAGATACGGCATCACCCGTCGTGGTATTTGTTAAAACGTACGTACCCCCGTACGAACACGAATGGAGGTATCCGCAACCATAATGATAGTCACCGCGTACGTACGGCAGTACGAACAGTAGTGAGTACATACCGTACGTACAGTAGCACAATTACAGGCATAATCATACTTTGTGTACAGACGTACGGGGCTTCGGCCGAAGGTATAGAAAGAGGTCGCGAGGCGAAAACCAACACCGTGGCGAACAACAAAGCTAAGCAAAATGCGTTTTATCAAAATAGAAGGTGCCACGTCAATATTCATGTACCGTTAATGACGATAGGTAATAAGACGAAAAACTCACTCGCGGCTGAAGCTTTACAACTGATAACGTAACGTGGTACAAATGCAAAAATGATAACGATTTTCTCATCGGATAAAAATTTCGCGTGAATCTTTTTCTTAAAGGTGCCATAAACATGTAAATTCACTACCAGCTACATTGTTGACTGTGATTGCAGCTTGGTCTCAACCATGTTTCCCATTTCCATTTCTGCTTTGAACATGGCAGTCCAGCTCCGCTCCGGGAAGACCTGCATGACTCCGACCGTCGCCCAGGAGGTTCACCGCGCTCAGCAGCGCACTAAAAAAATAACGGCCAAGGGCACCCACGACTCCGCCATAATTGTAGAGACTGCCCACTTCTACACGACGCACATTCAGGCGCTTCAACAGCAGCAGAGCGACCTCGCGTCAGAGTTGCAAGCTGCGGAGGACGCCTACGCGGATCTGAGCAAGAACTACGAGCAGTTGAATGCGATGTAGGACGAGCTACGCGAAATGTACGACGAACTCAAGCTTCATGCCGACCGTCTCGAGCAAGAAGTTGCGGCGGCATTTGAGGGCTAGTTTTATAATTAGATGTTCTATAACCTAATATCTAATAAAACGAGAATGGTTCGGCTCCTTTTGGGAAGCTCATATCTGAATTTGCGCAGTAGGTGACACATCAAATCTTTTTTAACAGGTGTTGGTTAAAATTCATATTATACTGTAATTTTTCGTTTAGGGTAGCTAATGTGATATTGTTTGATAAAATTTTGCTGACAATCATTTCATTTTAACACTTAGAGAATTTAAGGATGCCAAAAAGAACTTTTGCGAGTCTGAGTGGTATAGACGATGCATATTTGACGCCGAACGATGATGAAAGTCGCGAAGACCCCAAAAGACGCAAGGCTAATAAGCGCAAGGCCAAAAGTAGATGGAATATTCTTCATCGCGCTGCGATACGTTCCGAGCAACCCCTGACAGAGCGTATACTGAATGCAACGAGAATGGCTGTTCACCGCCAACAAATATCGCCTGAGGAACGGCGTGCATCGCGCTCGCGTCATACACTTCAGGTTGCAAATCAACATGCAGTACAGTCTGGACCAGCTCGCCAGCGCGCTCGCGCGACTAACAATGCACAACATAGAGCTCGAACATCTCAAGGAAGCGGGGCAAAGCTGTGTGCTTTAGCCACAATTGAGAACTACCAAGAACACCACCCTCGACACACGATTGGATCTATGACGACGGAGTGCATACACTGTCACGCTTTGACCTGGAAGAGCGAAAACGCTTCGACATGCTGTCTGGATGGCCGATTCGGCCTCGCCCCTCCAAATGATCCACCGGCTTTCCTCAAGAAGTTCGTGTCGACTCCTGCTTCTCTCCGCCATATTCGTGCGTACAACAACGTGTTCGCTTTCACCTCTATGGGCGCTTCGATTGGAGAAAACGTTGCCGTCGACAACAACTACGCAAACGGTCGGCAAGGCGTCTACACATTCCGAGTTCAAGGTACGATTTGTCATCGAATTGGCTCATTACTGCCTGAGGAAGGCAGCGAACCGAGCTTTGCACAAGTTTACGTCTACGACAGTGATTTGGAGTATCAAGTGGACAGACGAATGCACATTCTGGATGGTCTGGATCGTCTTACCGTGAAAGCGCTTCAACAAATGCTTTTGGCCTACAATCCGTATGTCAAGCAGTTCCTTACCGCCGGAGAGAAGGCAAGAAATGGTGTCGATCTACGCTTGGTGATACACAAGCAGCCAGGGACTGATTTAAGGACACACAACCGCCCTTCCGCAGACGAGGTTGCAGCAATTATCGTCGACGAGAATTCGGCAAAGGAGCGTGATATCGTCTTGAGTCGTCGTGGAGGTGGTCTTCAACGTATATCCGATTTGTATCCTGCTTATGACCCGCTGGAATTTCCGCTACAGTTTCCGTTTGGAGAGCAAGGGTGGTCAACCACAGTTGAGTACAAGCCAGGTGTTGTGCGCTACAAGAACAAGCGGATGAAAGTGCGCGATTTTTACGTCTACCAGCTCTTTACGCGGATCAACTAATTTTCTATTTTGCATCGCTCATCCCGGCTGTTCCAGCAGTGGTGTGTTGAAATGTACGTGAAGATAGAGCTCCAACGACTCCGTTACATCAAGCTACACCAAAGTACATTTCGGGCGGACCTTTATCGTGGCGTGATTGACGCAGTACTCCGTGACGCTAATTTGGGGGAAGTTGGCAGGTTTGTTCTTCTCCCTCCAAGTTTCATAGGTGGCGAAAGATACATGCGCAAGCAGTACTACGACTCCATGGCTATCGTGCGAGAAATAGGCAAGCCCGATCTATCTATCACCATCACGTGCAATCCGGATTGGCCAGAGATCAAGGCGGCGATGCTGCAGAATCAGCGGGGCGCTGAACGGCCGGACTTGGTTGCTCGAGCTTTCAAGCTTAAACTGGAGGCCATCAAGGACGACATAATCAGGAATGAAGTGTTTGGAAAGGTGCGGGCGCTGATTTACGTCATCGAGTTCCAAAAACGAGGTTTACCGCACGCACACATGCTGGTGAAACTTACGGAAGAGTCAAGCCCTAGACGCTCAGAGGACTACGATAAGTTTGTGTGCGCGGAGCTTCCAGATCCCAACACGCATCATGAGTTGTACCAAACTGTGACGAAATGCATGATCCATGGACCATGTGGTATACTCAACCCTAAAGCCCCATGTATGAAGGATGGTGTTTGTTCCAAGGGCTATCCAAAAGATTTTCATTCTGATACTACACGCGAGGAAAGTGGTTACCCCGAATACAGAAGGCGAGACCAAGGCCGATCCACGATGCGCAGGGATGTCGAGCTGGATAATCGTTGGGTAGTTCCTTACATTCCGTACCTGTGCGAGACGTATAACTGCCACATCAACGTTGAAATTTGTTCAACAATCAACGCTATCAAGTACATGTATAAGTACATCTACAAGGGACAAGATCGTGCAACTTTTACCGTTGAGGCACCCTTCACAGATGTTGGTGACAATACCAATCGGCGTATTGATATCGACGAGGTGGAGCAGTATCTCAGTGGTCGATACATTTGTCCTCCTGAGGCGTGTTGGCGTATGCTGAAGTATCCAATGCAGTGGAAGTCGCATGCTGCGATTCAGTTGCCTGTTCATCTACCAGAAATGAACTACACCATTTTTAATCCTGAGCACCCGGAGAGAATCCCAGAACAGCGCCACACCATGCTGACAAGGTTCTTTGAAATGTGCGCTGCGGATGTCGATGCATCAGAGCTCCTTTACTACGAATTTCCACGTCACTACACCTGGGTTAAGGAAGTCAAAAACTGGCAACCGAGGAAACAGGACGGCGAGAAGGCAATTGGTCGGATGGTTTCGGTTTCTCCTAACGATACTGAGCGTTTCTATCTTCGAATGCTGTTGTGTAATGTCCGTGGGCCGATGTCGTTCGAGTATCTCCGGACTGTTAATGGCACGATTCACGAGACGTATCAAGCTGCAGCGGAAGCAAGAGGGCTTCTGGAGAGCGATGGTGAATGGCACCGGTGTATGGAAGAAGCAAGCCATCATCAGATGCCAAACCAGCTTCAACACCTATTTGCTATCATTTTAGTGCATTGTCATCCCGGTACTCCAAAAACCCTTTGGGACGCATAAGTCCCAAAGTCGGGAGGTGATATATCAGACTGTTCGAGCGGTTGACCAGTGCTTGCGCAGCAACAACAAGACAATTGAAGATTTCCGCGGTCTGCCCAAGTTGGCTGACTTTAGTGATCTTCACCCTGCGGACGCGACAACAAACCGATTGATTGAGGCAGAGCTATCGTACGATCAAGCGGAAATGGAAGCTTTACGGGACCAAGCCGATCGCTTGAATGACGGTCAAAGAAACGTGTATGACAAGGTGGTCAGCGCTGTTCAGCTCGAAAATGGCGACGAGAAGCTTTTCTTTCTGGATGGCCCCGGTGGTACGGGGAAGTCCTTCTTGCTTCAGACGATCTTAGCGACTACACGGTTGAAAGGCAAAATCGTTTTGGCAGCTGCCTCAAGCGGAATTGCAGCCACACAGCTAATGGGCGGCAGGACGGCACACTATACATCCCAACTAGGGTTGGACCTCACATCTACGTCCACCTGTAACGTCACAGTCGGCTCCGATCGAGCCGACCTACTACGGCAAACATCTCTCATTGTATGGGATGAAGCTCCACTGATGATTAAGTACGGTTTTCAGGCCGTTGATATCACGCTACGGGATTTCATGAAGAACGACAAACCTTTTGGTGGTAAGGTTATGGTGTTGGCCGGTGATTTCCGTCAAATTCTTCCTGTAATTCCGCATGGAACACCTGGCCAAGTCGTCAACAGCTGCATTAAGCGGTCCTCATTGTGGACAAACTTTTTGATTCTTCATCTCAAGACCAACATGAGAGTTCAAGGTATGACGAATAAAACGACAGCGATGGAGACACAAACGTTTGCTGATTTTCTACTGCGTGTTGGAGAAGGCCGGAATCAAGGTTGTATCGAGGGAGGACGCGACTACACGCGAATGCAACAAGACATGGTACTGGCGGCTCCAGCTGACGTGGAAAAGGCAAAGACCCTTATTGACCATGTTTATGATGGTATGGAGGAGCGTTACCTCGAAAATGTAAATTTTGCACCGGTTAAACATCACGCGATGTTGTCTTTTGCCCGGAAGCGTTTGCGGAAGGTGCAGATTTCAAACTGCTAGAGTTAAATTATATCTTCCACGAGCACAAGATCTTGAAGGGTTGCACAAAGAGGGAGGTGTTGGAATATGCAATCAGACAGTGTCAAGTCCGCCTGTATGGTCTAACGGTCTAACGAACTATGTTCGACAGGTATGTTGTGAGCTCAATCCCACCTTTTCCAACAGGAGGTTGCAGCTACGTCGGTGCGTATGTGGTGCAGGCGCTCTCATTGAGCGCGTGTTGCTAGAGGGAGGATCGGAGAGCATGGGGGGGCAGGGCAGTGAATTCAGTCCGGATTTGGAGCTGGAGAACTACCGATAGCGAAGGGCTCCGCTATGGTGGTTGAATATACGTCATGCTTACATGTACTAACGAGTACTTGACCGGTATAGCTGGGGGTCGCTACAATGCTTCGTGAAGACGGAGCCGGGCACACTCGGGAGATCGATCCCCTGTTAAAGATGCTGCAGCTGCCGAGAGCGCCACCGCCAAGATGGAGACCGGCTGAACGCTACGAAGGACGCGCTCATACAGGCGCAGCAGGTATGTAGTTACGTCCTGGTTTGTTTGTCGTGTGCAATTCAACTTTCCTGGCTAACACTTTGTGTATTCGTTTTCTGTCTGTAGCGGCTAGCGGGGCGCGGGGAAAAGCTGAACTATCTGGGGCTCAAGACCGAGCAAATGAAGAAGACGTCTGAGGACTTTTACCAGACAATGAAAGCTTTCAACGAGAAGAACGCCAACAAGAAGTGGTATGAAATCTAAGCAAGGGGTGCAGCTAGGCAAGGGGGAAAATGTATGATCATGCGCCACAGTACGCTAAACACGTTGCATCCATCTTGAACGTTTAAAGCTGCAGCGAGTCAGTCAGTTATTCAGCCGTACTTGACCCAAACGAGCGTGAGTCCTTGAGGCGGTGCGCCCTGTCCTGCCTTGCCACGCTTCTTGGCCGCCAGGATCTGCGGAATGGTGTCGGGGCTCAGCCTGCCCAGTCCGACATCCACGATCGTGCCCACCAAGATCCGCACCATTTTGTATCTGAAGCGGTCGCCCTCGAACACGAGGCGTATCCTCGTGGCCACGTCCTCTTGGTACTGGCCTCGACCTTCCAACATCTTCGCGTAGAGCTCGATAGCTGAGACCGTGCAGACATTGCCTTTGTTGTCTCCGTCCGTAGACTTCTGAGGGGTGAAGGACGAGAAGTCCTTGGTCGTCGGCGGCGCCATCAGCTGGTCCACGGCCGCCTGCATCTTCGCCACGTCCAGCGGCTGGCGCACGTACCAGACGTTGCGGCGGTGCGCCACCGGCCGCAGGCCGCCAGCAACAATCTCGTACTCGTAGCGCTTGAGCGTGGCATCCCCGCATGGGTCAAAGTCGGCCTCGGCCTCCGTCATGGTCGTCATGCTGCGACACATCACGTCGTCGGGCAGACGCGTGTTGAGCGCGTCGCGGAAGACGCGGTCCGACTCGCAGCACTGACTCACAAAGACGATCACCTGGCCCACCGCGTGCACGCCCCCGTCCGTGCGCGAGGCGAAGCGCAGTCTCGGCAGCGCCATCTCGCCCGTCGTCCGACAGAGCGCGTCCTCGATGGTTTCTTGGACGGTTCGCATGGCCCCGCCGGGCTGGCACTGCGCCTGGAACCCGCAGAAGTCGGCCCCGTCGTACTCCACCACGCAGCGCCGACGCACCCACGGGCCGGCGGCTTCCACGCGCAGGAAGGCGCACGGCGGCATGTTGAGCCGCCGGCCGCCACTCGTGGTCACGCTCATGCTTGTCAATCAATCAAATGGCCAGCCGAAATGGCTACACTTGCGTCACACGCGACCAATCAGCGATCGTGTCTCTTCACCGCCGAAACGACGCGAGCTATTACGAGCGCCAGCTTCAACCAGCTTCAACCTCTTCGTCGAGCGCGTGGCGTGTGTGTGTTTAGCTGGCCATGCCGCCTCCAGTGCTGGCCATCAAGGCGGACGCTTCCTCGACGCGCGGCCGCTCCTTCCCGACGCCATTCAAATGCAGCGGGGACTTCTGCGGCTTCGCCTTGCAGCTGAGCCTGGCAGACGCCTCAGTGAACTCCCTCCATGCCCACGCAAGAGGGAGGCGGGTGGCGGCGGCACCACCGCAGGCTTCGGCCGCCTCCGCGTTGTCGCTGCTCTTCACCAAGGAGGAGCTGCGGGCGTTGGGCGACGCCAACCTCAGTCGGTTGTTGGCGGCCATGGAAGTTGCGCAGTCAGCAGGCAAGAGCATCGACGGGAGGCCTCTTGGGGAAGGAGAGCTGCGTGTCATCACCTACAAGTCCATTGCACTGGGCAGAGGCAACCGAGAACACCTGCAGAAGGCGATGCAAGCTGCAAGTCACGTGCGGCCCACCGCTGGTCCGTCAACCTCCCCGACTAAAGCTCGACGGCAGTCCCATCTACTTGACAGCACTCTGTCGCAGGAGCTGAGAGAGAACTCACGATCGCGCGTGTATGGAGAAATGGACGGAGTGTCCAATTACTACCGCCAGGTACGCGTTTGCGCCGACTGCTACGCTGTGTATGCACTGCTGGATCTTGCACGGCAGATGGCTGCCGGGGCGCTTCCCGAAGATGCGCATGCACTTGGCCAGCAGAAGCAGATCCAGTTGAAACGAAAGGAGCAACAACTGAGTCGCCAGAGAGCTTCCATTGAAGACAAGTGGGAGGGGCGAGTAGCGCAGGAAGTCCGGGAGAAAGAGGCCATTCTTCTACGCAAGCACCACGGCACCTCCAAGCAGAAGAAAACTTCGCTCGAAGCTGCGGAATCAACCATCACGGATGCCATCGATGAAGAAGGGGTCAATGCAACCTCTTCTTTACCTGTTTTACCCAGCAGCAACTCGAGTGCTCGAAGCTACAGCGACGCATCCAAAGGCGACAACAGCGATAATCACGCCGTCAGCATGCCCTCTCTTCAAGCCCCTGAGACGAACGCTAGCTCGTCGAAGATTCCAAAAGTGGCAGCAATGACAAACCAGCAACAAGCGCAACTACTCCGCAACAACGACACGTTTGTAGGAATGGATAACTATCTGCGTGGCGTGACCAAGCGCATCGAAGCACCACAACTGGAGGCAGGTCAACTCTTTAAAGGGGATGCGACACCAAAAGGCTCCGTGCGAGCTGGCAACGTATCAGGTCCAGCGACTGTTTTGCTAGTTTCACCGGACACGGCAGTGCTTGACGAGCTACACCAAATGCTCCGCAGTTTATCTTCGCCAACTTTTCAGCTCGAGACCGAGAGCATGACGGACGGTCGCCAGGCGCTTCGAGCGGCACAGGACTTCGACTACGACGTGATTTTAATCGAGCGCAAGCTGGCTGGGAGTGACATGACGGGGCTGGAGTTTGCTCGATTGCTGCGGCAGTCGCAGCTCAAGCGCAGACTCAAGAACAACTCCATGATCCTCACTACTATCCTCTGCGTCACCTCGCAAACAGCACCCGATGACTTGCAGCTTTACAAGGATAGCGGGATGGATGGCTGCATCGGAAAACCGGTCACCAGTGAGTCACTCCACCACACTTTGCAGGCAGCATTCCGCGCCAGGAAGTCCATGTCGTCTCGCGAGAGACCGTCGTCGTCCCCAAAGCAGCAACAAGGAGACGAAGCCATGATAGCACTCACGAAATCCAAGCACGAACAACAGGTGCGGCACCGCAGGCGTCGACGTCGACTTGAGGCGTCACACTCGCTGGCCATGCCAGGTCTTGGCGAAATGGATGCGCGCGACGACTACGTCCACGGGGTTTTCCAGATGGACGCCGAGACTGCCATTCCATTTTGCGTTATGGGCGGTGCTCGAACGAGTGCTGTGGATAATGCCACCGAGCACACAGACTCGAGCGAAGCGTTCTTCAACCTCGTCATTGTCCATGACCTCTTTGACACGTGGGAGCGCTTGCAGATTTTACTTCAGCCACTAGTAGCACGCTACCGCGGTCGTGTGCAGGTGTTGCTGTGGAATTACCCAGGCCAGGCTTACACTGCGTGGCGGAGAGGTACTCTACTCCATAATACTTTTCACGTAACATGCTTGGCGGCGCTGCTCGGTCACGTGACTGGAGCTTCGGGAGGCGAACGACTGTTGCGAGACAAACCCTACCATCTCGTCGGGATTGGCAACGGTGGGAACATCGCCATGAGTTTCTGCTGCTCGGCTCAGCCGCGAGACATCAACACCCGCTCACTTGTGCTCCTGAATAGCTTCGCTCACGTGGACGCCCAGCTAGCTCAGTTCTTGCACGACAGCGCCAAAGTGCTGGCCTGTACTCCTGAATCCCGGCCAGATCTCCCCGTGTACTTCCATGCTCGCTTCCTCTTCTCAGCGCCGTACCTTGCGAGGGTATCGACGCCACTGGCGCTCAATCTGTACACAGCAGTACTGAACCCCATCACTCTCGAAGGTCGACAGGCACTCACGCTTGGTGCGCTGGCGCACCACGACCTCCGAACGGACCTCAAGCGTCTACGAATTCCGTTGGTTTCCGTTTGTTCGGCGCAGAATGCGCTGGTAGACGCCGGAGGTCACGCAGAGACAATCCTGGCGCTGGCGAACCTGGAGCTTGTCGACTCAGTTGGCAAAGTGCTGCGATATCGACGGGTTAAGTCTGCGCAGCAGCGACACTCAGCAGGGCGGAGTAAACGCCCGAGCTGTGTCATTTGGCTCCCAGGGGGCCATGAGGCTCTGCAGGAGTGCAAGCAAGACGTTCTCGTGCTGCTTGAACAACTCGTCACCGGCTTCCATGAGCATAACGATGTACCCCACGGAACAAGTCGGAAGCTGCAAGAAGTGTCGCCCACGAAGTACAAATCGAGGTGTGAAGACGAACAACCGCAACGCGCACCTTCCGACAACCAGGGCAAGAAGATCAAAGCCAAACCGCAGCGAAACTTCGAGGACGCCTTCATTGACCGCGTGCTGACGACCGTCAAGGACGTTGTCCCCACTTATGCCAACGGCGGCGCGACCGCTAGACCGCAGTCGAGTCATCAGAAGCCGCTGGACGGCGCGCAATGGCGTCTTCATCAGCAGCAACTCGTTGAGCAGGCTGCAGGAGAGGCGTCTGGAGTTGGTAAAGCTCAAGCAGCGCCATCGGCCATCTCTGGGAACCCTCAGGCAGCCCCAAAGCAGTTCAAGCTCATCGCCCTCACGACTTGGGACCCCACCACTCCAGCGTTTGAGCGCATCAGCGCCAACGTCGTGTACCAGCCTGGTGCTGGTAGTAAAATTTATCCGCTGCTGCCTGAAGTCAAGGAGTACATGGGTTGGCGAGTGCGACGCAACCAGAAGCGGCTGCAGCGGATGGCCGCGATGGCGCGTGTCATCCAACGAGCCTTTCGAGCCTTTTACGCTCGCACGCTGACCCAACGTCTGTATCGTGAGCAGTGTGCGATCAACCTTCAGCGTCTCTGGCGGGCTCGAGTGGCTCGAAAGCGCTACAAAGGTATCAAGCGTGAAGATTGGGCTGTCCGGCTGCTCCAGCGTCACTGGCGCGGCAAGATGGGCCGGACCTCGTACAAACAACGCATGCTCGAGTACCTGTCGGCTCTGGACATCCAGCGAGTAGCGCGGGGTTGGCTCGCGAGACGCCAAGTAATGCGTAGACGGCAACAGATCCACCAAGCGGCCGTGCGCATCCAGCAGTTGATGCGGAGGTACGTGGCGTGCAGGAAGTTGTTCAGGCAGCGACTGCAGCGGAACGCAGCGATGAGCATCCAGCGCGTGTTTCGAGGACTGCTTGGGCGTCGCCGCTTTGACCGAGAGCGCGAAAAGTTCCTCTTCTCCAAGACGCAATCGCAAGGACTAACCTTTGGCAAGCAGCTGCTGCTCGAGTACAAGTTGTACGGCACCAAGCTGCAGAGCGACGTAGCGCTGCTCGCTCGAGAGAAGAGCGACGTCGAGGCCCAGGCCGAGAAGCTTGTCAAGGAGATCTGCGAGTTCGACGAGGGCATCCGGTTGCTTGAGGCCGAGCTGCTTGCTCTGGGGAAGGCTGAGACCGACAACAACGCGCCTGGGGGCGCCAACCGTACGCTTGATGAGACTGCCAAGTGGGCACTACGCGAGCAGAAAATGCGACTCGACCGCGAGTTCTCGCAGATGCTCGCGCAGATCGCCCAACGACGAGAGAAGCTTGGAACTCTGGAGGAGTCTCTCGCGCGCGTGGACCAGGAGAGACTGCGCAAGGAGGAAGAGCTCAAGGCGTTGGAGCGGAAGCTGGTGCTACTGCTCGAAGAACAACAGAAGGAGCTCGCTCGGATTCGCGACAAGCAGGAGACGCGGACTCAGCTCGCACTGGACTTGATTCCTCCCGGGTCTGTTCTTACCGGCTCGGGGGCAGGGATGCCAAGCGCCATGTCACCAGCACCCGGTAGCGTCTTCGCGAGTAGCCCCGTAGCCGGTGGCCCAACCACGCTGAGCCCTACATCGAGTGCCTTGGGCCCTGGAAGTGGATTCCCGTCGCGCTCAAGTGGGGCGACTGGAGGACGAGCCGCGGCCGCGGCCCAACAAGGCTTTTCACAGCAGCAGCGCCAAGAGGCCGCGTCGCTTATGGAGTCCACGGAGACCATGATGAAGTTCGGCTTCATGTCCATGTCCATGACCTACTTCAGCAGCATGAACATGGTCCGCGCCATGCGCAAGATCGGCGCGCACCACCTCACGCTTGATAGCGCTGCGGCTGTGTCCCAGCATCGCTGGCCCGAGAACTCGGCGGCCGAGACGCCGTCAAAAGCTGCTGCTTCAGTCGGTGCGCTTGCAGCTATGAGCCCCGCCGGCTTCCAGCCCAGTATCCCGCCCGGAGGATTCCCAGGACAGCAGCCGTTGCAGGTGGCAGCCTGGAGCGTGAGTGATGTCGGTCGGTGGCTTGACACTCTGGCGTTAGCGCAGTACAAACGCGCGTTCGCTGATGCCACCGTGGACGGAGCTTTGCTGCTGCATCTCACGGACGACGACCTTCGCAACACGCTGGGCATGGAGCACCGCCTGCACCGCAAAAAGGTGCTGACAACGGTGGAGGAGATGCGCGTCCGAGAGCGCAACCAAATGCGGCAGCTCTACGGCGACAGCATCGGCGGCATCACTTCGGGTCCACCAGCCTCTGATGCGGCTCCAATGCCCAGCAGCAGTCCCATGAGACCGTTGGCACCAGCAGCAAGCACAGTCAGTCCACTCAGCGCAGCCTCCAACCCGGTTCCAGCATCCTCCGTTGGCCCGCCTCAAAGCCTAAATGAAGCTCCAGTTGCAGGCGGCGGAGGGCGAGTCGTCGTCTCGTTCAGCGAGTTCTGCAGCTTGGTCCGGCACGGCAAGGTGAAGCAGATCCGCGAGGCTCTGCAGGACGTCCCCGAACGCAAATTCGACCCGCTGACGGTCAAAACGCAGTTCACACCGGGCACTGGCACCATCTACAACGACCAACTGGAGAAGAGCGTCTTCCACATCAACAAGGGCGATGACAACGGCAACTCACCACTGCTGCTCGCCACGCAGAACAACCACCTCAAAGTGGCGCAGCTGCTGCTGTCCAAGGGCGCCAACCCGGACCACCAGAACGTACGTCTGAGTGTGCTTGTCTCTCTCTTCTCCTGTTCGAGGTGTCCAAAAGTCCGCTAACTCTCTCCGTTGTGTTTCCTTCTCTTCTCGCAGAGCCACGGCCACACCGCGGGCCACTACGCCATGGCGTACAGCTTCTTCGACTTGGGCGCGTGGCTCCTGGACCCCGACAAGGGTGGCGCGCGCGACGATATCCTCAACGAGAACGGCCTCACAGCATACGACGGTCTCAATTGATCGGGGTACAGTCTACTCAAGTCCAAAAGTGCATTGCTGGTAATATCTTCTTCGTTCCCGTTTTGAGGCTTGAACGAAGCTGCGCGCTGGTTCTCTGTCGTGCTGGCAGGTATCGAAGAGCGTAAGAGTACAGAAGGTCTGGTTATGGCTCGCCGTGGCGGACGGTGGCGTCGTACTCGTCGATGGCTTCGTTGGCGAGTCGGTCCGCGGCCGCGTTGTCCTCCCGGGGCACGTGTGAGAACGTCACGTGCGGCAGCTCCGCGCTCAGCTCCTTGCACTGCTGGTGCAGCCTCCGCAGGTTGGCGGCCTTGACGCGGTACTGGCCCTGCATCTGCCGCACGATGAGCTGCGAGTCCATGAGCACGTGCACGTGGGCGGCCTCGTGCCGCTGCGCCAGCTCCAAGGCCAGCAGCAGGCCGTGGTACTCGGCCGCGTTGTTGGTCTCGCGGTCACCCACGTACTTGGCGCCTGTGGCCAGCACGCGGCCCGTCGACGGGTCCACCAGCAGCGCCCCGCAACCGCTGCGACCCGGATTCCCGCGGGATGCGCCGTCAGCGTAGGCGAGCACGCTGGGGATTGAGGAGGAGGAAGAGGAAGAAGACGATGTTGAGTCGCTCTGCTGCAACGCGCGCGCTCCAGTGAGGCGGCGGAGCTGCTGGCAACGTGTGCGCAGGCCGGCGACGGCGCAGACCCTCCGCATCATTTTAGTCCTTTGGTGGTCTGTGCAATTATGGCCGTGATTGGCTGAAACGACGGTCTCACTTGAAAGACGGTGGAGGACGTCAGGGGACACTTGTGGACAGCTGTCCTATTTGGTACACAGAACGGGGCTTGCAGGATGCTGGAGGCGTGGGCGTGGCTCTCCCCCGAGCCCAACGGCGTCCTGGCGGCCTTGACAGCGCTGGAGCCGGATGCCGCAGAGCCCGAGAAGACTCGGACGCCGGTCGAGCTGCCGCTCGCCATCCGCTGGGTCCTGCTGGTCATGGAGTTGGCGCTGGTCAGCGGCGTTGCGTTCCTGCTGCTGCTGACCAGCTCCGTCGCCGGGGCGCTGGTGCGCGGCCTCCTGCTGTCTGTAGTTGGCACGTATGAAGGCGTCCACGTCGTCGTCCAGCTTTGCGAGGCTGCGACGTTTGGCTGGGGCCTCGTGGCGTTCATGAGCTGGTTCTTCCACGTCCCCAAGCGCGACCTAGTGCGGAGACTCACAGGCTTTGGAGGCCGAGAAGGGAGGGCGTGCGCCGCGTCGGTACTGCTCCACTCTGCGGCGGCGGTGGCGGTGTTGAGCTGGCAGCCACCGAGTGAAGAAGGTCAAATGACGTGGTCCTGGGAGACTTTTACGGCGGCAATGCATCGAACTGGCAGGGCGGAGATGCTCACGAACCTGCTGCTCGCGCCCATGAAAGAGGAGTTGTTCTTCCGGGGGGTCTTCGCGCTCGTGGCTATCAATCGACTGCAGAGTGTCAAGTGGGGCGCCTCGATCTCCAGCATCTTGTTTGCTGTCATCCACTTGGCCAACGCGCGGCACCTCGGCGCGCAGCTCTCAGCGAGTTATTTGGTGTTTCAAGTGGCTTGGGCGTTGCTGGTGGGGCTCTTCCTGGCGCTGGAGCTTGCGGCGTCCGGATCCCTTGTCGAGTGTGTCGTGCTGCACATGATCAACAATTTGTTCGCACTGGGCGTGGCCAGGAATGCTACCGTTGATCTCACACAACCACAGGTGCTCACCTCGATGCTCGCCTCGTTCACTATTTACGCCGTGGCAATCGCTAAACAACTGCAAGCGCTTGGACACAAAACACCGCGTGATAAAGAGCTCTGAATGTCCAAGTCGCACTGAGCATAGGACAGCAAAATAAATGTTGGTTCTCTAGGCAGAAAAATGTTTCTTTGATTGAATAGATCATCTCATTGAACACTTCGTGTCATGCCGAGCTGCTGGTCTAGATACGCGCGATCCTCCTCGTCCTCCACTGTCTCGTCCAGTTGCTCAGCGATAATCCGGGCAATGAAGGCGGCCACGATGATGTTGTACGTCCGACGAAGGCGAAACATTACCCACTCCATCGCGGCCACATACACGAACGAGCCCGGCACTTGGTTCGTGAACAGTGTTCGCCAAATTGTGCACGTGAAGGTGAGCACGGAGCCTGGTACGAGCGGAGTTCCGATGGAACTCACAGTTGCAATGGCCACTAGGCCAATGACGCGGCCTGCGGTGACCATGTCTCCCTGGCCGCTGGTATACGCCATAAAGATCGGCGCCGTGACGAAGAAGACTGCCGTTCCGCAGAGACACAAGCACATACCGAGACAAATGGTGAACTGCGCCATCGTGCGCGAGACCTGTTGGGACTTCTCCAGGCTGCGGATGAGGACGGGGATCGTGGCCAAGTAGTCCCCCGTGGCCAGCATAAAAATGATACCCGGCATGAGAAACCACGTGAACTTGAGCGGGTTACGCCGGACAAGGACCACGTACAGCACGCAGGCCACTAAGAAGAAGTTGGCGAGTAGTGCCACCACCATTGTCAGGGTGAAGTAGAGCGAGTCGTTCAGCGCCTGGCGCGAGATATCGCCAGTCATGATCGAGTAGGTCATCATGGACATCGTCCCGAGAGGAATGTAGGGCACCAGCCAGTTGATGATCATCTCGAGCACAATGTGGACCTGGCGGATGAGCACCAGCACGTGGTTCAGCTCTCCGCTGGCAGGGTCGTACACCTTCATGATAGTCGCTCCGATCATCATGCTGAAAATTGTCACGCCCAGGAACTGCACCGACACAAAAGCCTCTGTAATATTCTCCGTGAAGAAATAGCTGAAGAAGAGCACAATCTGCGAGACCAAGCTCTGAGTATCGGGGAACACTCCACTCGCAGCAGCAAGGAACGTCTGGAGGTCGTCCGGGAGCCCCGTGACATTTGAGGCTGTGAGTACTTGGCCGTCGAGCATTGACTGGGCTCCACACTCTTCTATCCGAGAGAAAAACTTGCCGTTGGGGCACCGCAGGATGAACTGGAAGCTGGTCGTCGCTGTTGGCTGATCGGCCATCACTTGGAACGAACCGGAGAAGCAAAAGACGACTGCGACGGCGACGCAGCTCGAAATCAACGCTGCGAGGACGAAATAAATGGCCAGACGCATCATGACGGGGCGAGTCTTATCGGAGACCACCAAGTTGGAGAAGCAGATCGTGACGCTAGTGAAGATAAGCGGCAGTGTGAGGCACTGGAGCGCGCGGGTCAGCAGAGAGCCGAGAAATCCAATCCAGATCTGAGCATCTGCGCTGACTGGGTAGTGGTTGAGCATGGCGCCCACCGCGATTCCAATGGCCCCTGCCATGGCTGTCATCCAGAGACTCGGCGTCTTGTAGTACAGGTCCACGAGCATATCGTCCTGTTGGTTCGGCATTGTTTGTGCCTGTGTCGCTGCCCCAGGCCACGGAACGTCTTTAAGGTTGTGGAAAGTGGCCGTGGGGTCTCGAAACGGAGCAGCGGCCGCCGGACTCATGGTCATCGTCAACGGGTCACGGCCAGCGCTATCAAACGGGAAGCCTCCGACATCGTCCATTGAGCTGGTTGTCGCGGTCTCAATCGACTCGGCCGGAATTCCAGCTGCCGCCGCTCGAAGTGCCGCCGTCGTCGGACGCTCCTCGTGTTTTGACTCCAGGGACCCGTCGAACTGCCAATCCATCACTTGAGACGGCTGGACAACGTAGTCGCCAATGGTTGCAGCCTCGGACGGCAAAACCTCGTTGCTCGGAGCAGAAATGACACGGCAGTGTGTGGCTGTTTCCGGTTCACTAGAAATGCTCGAAACCCCTGCCGACTGCTATTTTCACGAGCTCCAAACACGCGCGGTGGACACCTTCACAATCTCACTTCAATATTCACTTTCAAGGCACGATCTAGACACCTGACAGCACGCACATACATACATACACTCTACTTCTATACCCAATTTTCGCTGTGGATCATCCCGAGTACTCGCTGCTGGCGCAGATCGGGCATCGGTGGCTGCTGCTGCGTATGAGCTCGATATTCATCATGCTCATCGACGCAATCGTCGATTTCTGGTACAGCCTCTGGTTCTGCTGTCGGTTGAGCCTCGAAGTAATGTGCTACTACCAGCGATATCAACGCGTTGTTCGTGACGTTCACACAGGACACGAACGGGTCTGTGAGCCATTCCATCGCCGCGAGGACGGCCAGCAATACGGCACGAGGGCCCGTCGGAACTCCGTAGACAGGTCCTAGCGCCGTTGCGAGCGCGGCGGTCTTGCTTCCCATCGGCATCGGAGACACGATGCTGGAGATCAAGGCGTTGGTGAACATCATGGCTGTAAATGTGCCTGCAGACTGTGACGCGGCCAGCTCGACGCTGTCCATGGCCGACGTAGAAGCGCTTAGCACAAACAGCGTACTCACCGATAGGTAGAGTGCAGTGCCGGTCTGATTGAGCACTGTGCCCACGGAGCACACGATGAAGGCCAGCGGAGGCGACACACGCTTGCTCGCTACGACGGAAGAGACGGTGGTTGGGAGCGCAACGAGCGGAGACGCCGAGCTTATTGCCAACAACTGCGCTGGTAAAAGGTGCTCGAGGAACGCGAACGGGTTGGAGCGGGTGAAGAGTGTGGCCAGAAGCAGCATCACCACGACGTCGATCACCAGCGCAAGCAGCAGCACAGCCATGAGCGCTAAGGCAGTCGCCATGGCAGACCCCACGTCCATGACACTCATCGAAGCAGAAGACACAGACGACGCCAACAGTACGCTGCTCATCATGAAGGGCGCAATCATGGGCAGGTACCTCAGCAGAACATTCAGCAGGCGACACAGCGCTGCTTCCGCGTGAGCAACCAGTTGCAGCAGCACGAATTCCTCCTTCTCCTGCTGCTCTCCTTGTTCATCGTAGCTGCCTCCATCTTGTCCGCGCTCTGATCCGGCGAAACATACCAGCGCCGCTCCGAGCGCAAGTCCTCCGGCCACGAGACCCACCACTTGTCCGTCAACGAAGGCGCCCGCTACATTCTGCGGGAGGACGCTCTCGGCCACCTTGATCACCTGCTCGCCCACAGTCGACGCCTGCGTCATGGGGTTCATCAAGAACGTCTTGGCCACGTCGTCGAGCTCGAACGCGGTCGCATTCTCCGAGCACGCGAGAGTCCCGTCACTTTGGAGTGCTACGGAGCCGTTGGCCACGGCGCGGGGACACACGAAAGCCACAGCCGCGCCCGCCGGCAGCCGCCAGACCTGCGCCAGCGTGGCGCTAGTTGGTACGATGCTCTGCAGTGCCAAGGCCAATAGTGCACCCAAGACGCTGGCCAGCAGCGTGGACAGCGCGAAGCCCGCGAGCGTCGCCCCTGCGAGCCGCAGCCATCGGGACTGCGACTGAAGCTTGAGAGCCTCGCGGGCCTCGCTTGCGCCCGTGCGCGTTGCATGCAGCATCACGACCGGCGGCGTGAGCCCCACGAAAGCGTCGAGCAGCACGTCCCCGGGAAGCCACAGCAACCAGCGCACGACCGCAGAGGAGCGCGCGCCCGCGAGCGCCACCCCCAGCGACGCAACGGTGCCACCCAGCACGCCCAGCAGCAGCGGCAGCAACCGCGGCGCGGTGACGCCGGAAAGCGACCCGCCGCCCGACGGCGGAGAGGGGCCCGCCATGGCGACAAGAATATATGCCGCGGAAGACGCGGCCAGCGGATGACCAGCTCACATGTAGAAGAGAGTGCGGCTGCCGAACCAGCAGTGGTCTTATGACCCCGACAGCCGGACGGATATCGTGGATGAAGTCGGACCGAAACTGAACAACTGACATCTCGGTGAGCCCCTGGAAACGTAAACTCGATATTTGTAAACAAGGCTCTCCAGTCCAGGGAATGTAGAGAACCAACTATTGCCGTTTGCAGATATTTTGGCCAACGCATGCTTATTATCTCGTTAATAATCTCGATTTTAATCCAGCCAGCTCTTAATTAAGACCTAGGTCTGATTTATATATCTCGCCAGTACGGTCTAAGATCCGAGCTTGGGGCTCTGTTTTCTCGACCAAGGCGCTTTTCTACGACTTGGAAACGCAGAAATGCCATTCTAGACGGGCCAAACCGAGTTTCTGGGCCTAAAAGCGGCCCCCAGCAAAGCATAAAGCTAAATCAGCCCTCGCCTATCTCGTGTCCACTCATATTAGAAACAGGCGTGGTCTATTTTAGAGGTCTATTTTAGAGGGCAAAGTATTTGCAAGCGGCAATAACGACATGTGAAGAACTTCAACGGTGCCGAGCTCCTTTGACGAACATGCCAACCGCTAACTTGAGCTTAATCTTCCCGAAGCCTTCAGCCCGGAAACATGTCGGACGTACTGGCAGCAGCAGTGCTGCAGCAAAATCTCAGGCTACGCGCTAACTCACTCGCCGCGCACTTCACAGGTCTTGTACTATCGGCGCTTTCGGATCGAACTCGAGGCCAGGGATAGTCTCTTTGTTGTGAAAGATGCACGACGACGCAAGCACGAAGCTTGTTCGAGTTGCCGGCGGTACATCTTGGCGAGGGCCTCCGTGGAAGCAGCTCTCAAGCAACCCCAGCTCTCGAGTCGAGGCTGTAAATGTCTCAAAGTATCCGCGAAAGTATCCGCCATCAACAGCTCATTTGCTCATTTGCCAATCAGCCAAAATGGCGGAACTCAAGACGCCAAAAGCTCGACCGCCGCCTCCGCAGCTCGTCGCTCGCAGCAAGCGCTTCCTGTATGGCACGATAGCCGCCGGTGCGTAGCTCTGCGTCTGCTCTCCCTTGACTAGGCGTCTTCTGACGCTCTTGGCAGCGTGTGGCTCTTTCCGAGCTCTGGCGGATGACCAAGTGCGCAACGAGTTCTGGAGGTGAGAGAGGTGACGAGATGTCGCGGTTTGTCTTATAGTTCCCCCAGTCTAATGGTTATGATGCTGCAGGAGCATGAAGGTGCTGCTGATCATGTCCGCCGTGCTCTCCGTCTTGCTGCACGTGCTGCTGTTCCCCGTCGAGATGATCAGCATGCTGTTCCTCAGCCAGGAGACGGTGGACACCAGTGTGGGCGCCTTCCGCTACGCCGCCGCCTCGACGGTGCCGCTTTTGCTGGTCGGCGTGTGCCGCTACTTCAGCGTCGACATGTTTGAGAACGCCTTCTTTGCGGGGCTTGCAACGCACGACGCGGCGCTCGCCCAGGCCATCCGACAGGTAACAGCAACATTGACGCTCTACCAGGTAGGGGAGGAGGCTGATCGATGCTGCAACTGTTGCTGCTGATAGAAAAAAGCGATCTACTGGGACTGGGAGTACGTCCGCCACTTGTGGCGCTTTGGGCTGCGCCAGCTTGGCTTCGGTCTGGTTGCGCTGGTGGCCAAGCCCCTGCTGGGTGTATTGATTCCGATCGCCCAGTTTGGCTACAGGTGCGTGCGTTGTTCCTGCAAGTTGGAAGAGCTGGTCTGCTAACTCACTAACTGCACTTCGATGCTGCTGACGATAGGATTCGGCACATGGAGGCGGCGTTCTTGGTGCCGATCTTCATCGCCTTTGTGCTGCCAGCAACGCGCGAAGTTGCGCTGCAGCTGGTGCATCTGTGGCTTGACTCGCGCGCCATGATCCGCGAGCTGTACGACCCCATTATCTCTCGCCTCAAGTCGGCGGCTAAGAACGGAGATCCCAACGTTAGCACTGACCTGTTGACAGACATGGAGATCGACAGCGAGGAGCACGACAGCCACACCGAACAGCGGGACTGGCACCAGAGCGGAAGTGACGCCGCGCGACTGGGCTTTGGGCTTGTTTTCTGCTACATGCAGCAGATTCCATTCCTTGGCCCGTTTGCCTGGTTCATGGGCTTCGCTTCGGCTGGCCTGTTCGCCCCTGAGCTCGTCGATCTGAGTGCATTCAGCGGACCAAGCAAGAAGAAGACGTAATACGCGGCACAATACCCGATGTTGAGCGCTGCCCTGCCACCCAAACAAGGACAACGAGCCTGTGCCTTGATCATTGCATTGCTGAGCGAGAAAGATTGCATTTATTTTGCCTTAAACCAAGAATCATCGACCTTGGCATCGACCTCCAGAGCCACAGACAGCGGCTTCTCGAACGGGTTCTCCATCAAGTGCACCACGAGCTTCATCGCTTCATCCACCGACTCCTCGGGGCCCTCGACAATAATTTCATCGTGAATCTGGGAGACCATCTCCCAGCCGAGCTCGCGTAACCTCGGGTTCTGGTGCACACGCAGCATGGCCTGCATCACGACGTCGGCGGCGGCGCCTTGGATTGGAGTGTTGATGGCGGCGCGTTCTGCGTGGCCCTTGGCCTTCTTGGACGCCATGCTGTCGTCCGTCAGCATGGCGTCGGGGAGCCTTCGATACCTTCCGAGCAGTGTCCGCGTATAGCCAAACCTCCGCGCAGTCTCGATAGCCTGCTTTTGCCAATGCCGCACCTCTCCTCGGTCCGCGTACCATTTCTCCAGCGTTTCTGCAGCCTCCTTACGCGAAACATTGAAATCCTTCGACAGACCAAAGGCGGTTTTGCCGTAGGCGATGGAGAAGTTGAGAACCTTGGCGTTCTTACGTTCGTTGCCGAACTTGTCCTTGAGCAGCGGCGCTGGCGGTTCCTCGCCGGTGGAATGGTCCCATTCGAGGAGCGCCTCACCCTTTTCCACTGCCTCCGCCACGTACGGGTACATACCCATAGCCGTTCGCGAGTGAAAATCACCGCCAGCCTTGAATGCATCGATCATCGCCTTACACTGTGTGATGTGCGCCATGAGGCGCAGCTCCAGCTGCGAGTAATCGGCCACGATGAGTTTCTTGCCTGGAGGAGCCGTGAACGCGTCGCGGATCTTGTATCGATCTTTGCCCATAGCAGGTTGATTCTGCAGGTTCGGCTTCCGTGATGACAGGCGACCCGTGTCTGTGTTGAGATTGAGCGAGCAGTGCACGCGACTGTTGCTGTCGGCGAGCTCTTGCAGAGGCAGGATAAAGTTGTTGAGCATGGTGTTGATACTGCTGATGTCGAACAGAGCCTTCAGCGCCACACAGGCGGCAGCACCCTCCTCCTTGTCCTTAAAATGGTCGTATGCTCGGCCGTACTTTGGTGGATCTGCTTCAGGCTGTGGATGGACAGTGGAAATCAAAGGTCAGTGTCAAATTCTACAGTCGGCAAACATAGCAAGATACTTACGTTGCCTGCGAGCTCCTTGAGCACTTCAGCGCTGGCGGCCGGGAGTCCACTAGCTGTGAAGTGTGTGGGCGGGATGCCCAGGCCACGGATCGTCATATTTCGCTTCTTCTTGGGTTTTTGCTTGCCCTCTTCGATGAAGCCCTCCGTGTTCTCCACTTCAAACGCGCGCTCCGCAGGAAGCACTTGCTTCTTCTTCTTCTCGTCGTAGTACGGCGCGAACAGCAGCTGCTGCTTCTGCGCCGCGCTGTATAAATTAATGCGCTCGCTCTCGTCGCAGTAGCGCGACGCCCACTTGAGCACGAGTCGCTCCAGACGAGCGCGGTCTTCCAGTGCCTGCTTCTCGACTCCCGCGAGATACTCGAGGTCCACGTGCATGCCCTTGCGCTCGATGTCCGTCAGACACTCGCCGAACAGGATGATGTATTGGCGATAGAAGTCGTACATGGATCCAGTCTGCGGCTCCTCGTCCACCGCAGCGGCAGCAGCAGCAGCGTTAACAGCAGCGTTCGTCTTGGGCGCGTTCTCGAACCAGAAGGTCTGGTCCAGCTTGTGCTGCAGCACGCGGTGCAGGAACCAGGTGCTCTCTGCATCGTAGACGCTGTACCTGATCCAGCGCTTCCTGAACTCGGGGAAGCGCTGCAGCTCCTCGACCGTGGGCATGATGCGCTCCTTGCCCTTGGAGCCGTCCTTGCGGAGCTTGGGGATGCCGAAGAGCTCCTTCATGGGCTTCTTGCGCTGCAGCAGCAGGTCGGCCGTCAGCGCCTCCAGCGAGTAGCCTCCGTGCTGGAACCTGGCCGTGTTCCAGAGTCTGGCCATGTGCATCGTGTCCCCGCCGAGGCCCTGCACGTTGATGCCGTGGTTGTACAGCACGTGCCGGTCGAAGCTGTAGTTGTGCCAGACCTTGAGGTACTCGCGGCTCTCCAGGAAGTCCTTGAACAGCTGCAGCGTGCCCTCGGCGCTGTCCAGGTTGTCCACCCACACGTACGGCCCGTTGCCGTAGTCCACGTCCGGCCCGCTGTAGAGCGACAGGCACGTCACGACGCCGTTGCCCACGGGCCCCACGGCCTTGACGTCGATCTGCGCCACCTCCGTGTCGCACGCGTGGAAGTGACCCGGGCCCAGCTCGCGGATCTTGGCCAGCACGCGGCGCGCGCCCTCCTCGTCCTGGATGAGGTTCACGGGCCGCTCGTCGTCGTCGGCTGCCGTCAGGCCGCGCAGCAGGCGGCGGTCGATCTTGTCCGACGTCACGAACTGCAGGCGCCGGCCGCACGGTTCAGTCGCAGGCGGAGGCGGAGGAGCAAGCGCCGCCGCAGTCGACAGACAGCGGCGCCGGGCCGCTGCGAGCCGCCAGGACGAGCGCAGCATCTTCGACCAAGGATGGAACTGCTGGCCAGTCGGCGTAAAGTCAGAGTATACTGAGGAGCTGTATTGATGTATCGAAATGATTACACCAACGTCTCGGTGTTCGACAATGAAATGAAGTGATGTCCGGCCACCTCATTCGCAGTTCAAGCCAGTCGCGCGCTCAACACGCACGTGTCCAAGAAGAAGAGAAGATGCTGCAGTTCCTGAGCAACGCCGACAGCAACCTGTTCGTGGGCGCAGGCGTGGCGGTGGCCGCCGTGATGGCCGTCAGGTACCTGAACGCGCGCGCCGACGCGGCCCAGCAGCGCGCGTACGAGGCGGCCAAGGCGCGGCAGGAGGCGCTCAAGGCCGAGCGCGAGAAGCCCATCAAGCGCCGCTTCTTCACGCCCGAGGAGCTGCTGCCCTTCAACGGGGAGGACGGCCAGCCCATCTACATCGCCGTGCTGGACAAGGTGTACGACGTGAGCCGCAAGCGCGACTTCTACGGCCCGGGCGAGGGCTACCACCTCTTCGCCGGCCGCGACGCGTCCCGCGCGCTGGCCAAGATGTCGTTCGAGAAGGAGGACCTGGACAGCGACGACCTGTCGGACTTGAGCTTCATGGACAAGGAGACGCTCAACGACTGGGTCACCAAGTTCTCCGTCTACAACAGCTACCCGAACGTGGGCCGCGTGCTGCGCCGCCGGGACCTGACGCTCGAGGAGCTCAAGCAGTTCAACGGCGTCGACAACCCGCGCAAGATCGTCTACGTGGCCCTGAACGGCAACATCTACGACGTGACGCTGGACGGCCTCAACCACTACGGCCCCGACGGAGGCTACAAGCAGTTCGCCGGCCGCGACTGCTCGCGCTCGCTCGCCTGCATGTCCTTCCTGGACGAGTACCTGGACAACCCGACGCTCGAGGGCCTCACGGAGCAGCAGCAGGAGACGCTCAAGAAGTGGGAGGACAAGTTCAAGGAGAAGTACCCGGTCGTGGGCAAGCTCATCAAGTAGAGAGAGAGAAGGCAGTAAACGTCAGTCCGTAAGGCGCCGGCGAGCGTCGCAAAATGCTTAAAGAGAGAGATGCTGAAGTTCCTGCTAACGTCACGGCTTGTTGTGCTCGACGCGAGCAATGCAGGAGGTTTCCTGGCCCCACGATCGCTCGCTCGCTATGTTTAGTGTTGCGCGTATCCAGCCGCGCATTCGCCCGCGAGCCGCAGAAACCAACAGCCCGATCGATCCACGCCAAGCAGCGCAGGCCATGGGCAACGCAGTGGGCACGCCGCCGACCGGGCCTAACTCGCTGGCGACTTCAGGTGGCAGGCGGGGCAGCGCCACGAAGGAGCCGTCGAGTCGCCAGCACTTCACTGTCGAGCAGCTCGCCACTTTCAACGGCGGTGCAGACAGCAAGCACCCCATGTACATCTCGGTCAAGAGCGAGGTGTACGACGTGAGCTCCAGTCGAGAGCTGTACGGGCCGTCGGGCAAATTCGCGGCGCTGGCGGGCAAAGACGTCACGCGGGCGCTTGCCTTGGGCAAATGGGACGACGCGAAGGAGTTGGCGCGTCTGGACCTGAGCGACTTGACTCCAGATCAGTTCCAGGCGCTGGACGCGTGGCTGGCCAAGTTCCAGAGCGACGAGCACAAGTACACGAACGTGGGGCGGCTCGTGGACGCCAACCTGTGGCTCACGCTCGCGGAGCTGCTGCCGTTCAACGGCGTGGACAATCCGCGCCAGACCATCCTGGTGGGCGTCGACGGCGTGCTGTACGACGTGACCATGAACGGCGCCGAGTTCTACGGCCCCGACGGCATGTACGGCCAGTTCGCCGGTCGAGACGCGTCCAAGGCGCTGGCCTGCATGTCGTTGGAGGACGAGGCTCTGGCCAACCCGTCGATCGCCGACATCACGCCCGAGCAGCGCAAGACGCTCGACGACTGGATCAAGCGCTTCGAGGGCAAGTACGCGGTCGTGGGCAAGATCGCTGGGCGGCAGTAAGATGTGAGTTGGATAGCGCCTAATGAATGAACAGCCTGAACCTGGCCAGCAGCTCTCGCTCCGCGGTTGACGTTGAACAGGGACCGAGTCATCGCCGCAGCAGTTTACGCCGAGGCATGCTCGGCGTAAACCGATTGTCACCATCGCTGCAGGAGTCTGCTGGTTGGTCTCACTTGCCGAATCGCCCGACACCCCACAGAGGACTCTATGAAGGTGCGGAGCAGTGCCCATACAGTTCAATTTCAACATTAGGCGGGCTATACAATTAGGTGCTTAGTGTGCGACTTGTGTCCATCTAGATGACGCTGCCGTAGCGCTGCGCCTCCAGCTTGAGCTTGTGGCGGCGCCAGAGGAGGACACCGCCGCCCACTTCGAGCAAGCCGACGATGATGAGCACGATGAGGCCCGGCAGGAACGTCTTGACCAGCGTGAGCGTGCTCTTGAAGGTGTCCAGCACACTGTCCTTGGCCTCGGCCGCCTCCTGCACCCAGTAGGTCGGCAGCACCACTTCCGTCGGCAGCGCCGGCCACACGAGGTCGCTCATCGAGGCGTTGGCCACAGTGGTCGAGGTGGACAGCGCGTACGAGACCTGCGACCGCTTGCGCGCGCTCATGGTCTGGCCCGTGCCCGACTCGATGTCCACGAACGTGCCGTACGCGTTGAAGTAGCTCTCGGCCAGGCTGCCGTCCGAGTCGTACATGGTGTCGGCCGTCACGACCGTGCCGTCGCTTTTGGTCATCTCCACGCCCTCCAGCAACGACGAGTCTCCGTAGACGAAGAACGGGCCGGACATGTACGACAGGAAGCCCGTGATGAAGCTCAGCTGGTGCAGGCCGTTCACGGGGATACCCGAGCCGATCGCGGCGTGCTCGTCCGAGTACGCGAAGACGTCGGTTGGGGTGCCGAAGCGGTGCAGCGACACACCGTCAAAGTCCACCTCCGTGTCCAGGCTCGAGATGGGGATGGAGATCTCGGCCGGGCCCAAGTACGAGTCGAAGCTGTCGACGGTAGTGTGCTTGGCCATGCCGTTGACGGTCACGCCGCCAGGCTTGAGCGCCGAGCCGTCCGTGCCCGACACATTGAAGCACGTGACGTTGGCCAGCGGTGCGTCGCAGTTGGCGTAGCTCTTGAAAGCGATGATCTCGGCCAGCGTCGGGTTGCGGCGCTCGCCCAGGTCCGCCCACAAGGGCGCGACAGTGAAGCCGTTGTACTCAACATACGTTCCGATCTTGCTGCGGTCGTCGCAGCCTGTGCGTTTGACGTAGGCGCTGAGTGACGACGCATCCGGGGCCGCCTTGGAGTAGTCCATGCCGGAGGTTTCAATGATACCTGGAATCGGGGCAGCACACAGGCCGTAGTCGGTGCAGAGGCCTCCGCAGGTGGTCTTGGCAAAGCTGGCCGCTTCCTCGGCGCCGTACTCGGCGGCGTAGATGGACTCAATGGTGGCGCACGTGATATTGTTGACCGCCATGACTGCCGCACCCTTAGTGCACGTAGCGCAGGACGACGCAATGGCCAGGCAGTCGTCGCCGCTGCAGGCTGCGCACTGCTCGTTCAGGCCGCCGTCCACAGCGCAGACCTTGATGTAGTTGGCACTCAGGATGAGGCCGGTCAGCAGACTCGGGTAGCCCAGCGCCCACTGGGACGCTGTGCGCTTGGCGAAGATGCCGTTGTACGCGAAGCCCGACAGATCCAAGTCGGCGATGGCCTCCGGGCCCGTGGCCAGGAAGGCGACCACGGCGCTGTTGTTGGTCACCGTCTTCATGGCCTCCGGGTCCAGCGAGTTGAGGCCGCTCATCCAGCGCATCATCTGCTCGCCGTTATCGTGAATGATCGAGTCGATGTCGGACGCGTTCTGCCCAAGGGCGAAGGACGCCTGGGCCACCTGCGCCAGCAGGTTGTACTCGCCACCGGTGCCGGCGATGACGCTGAAGTAGCCCGTGTCGAAGCTCACGATCTCGTCCGAGTCGGAGCAGCCGTCGCAGCTCTTGTCGGCCTCGAACGTGTGGTACGTGTACGTCTTGTACGTGACGGTGGAGGCGTCGTCCGACAGGGACACGTCCAGCTTGATCTCGCGGCGGCGATACACGTACGGCCCCATCTCCTGCACTTGCAGCTTGGCGTTGGAGGCGAGGTAGTCCTCGGCGTTGGTGGCGTTGAGCATGTAGAGGGACACGTAGTAGGGCGAGCAGTCGTCGCAGTCGCCGTACGGGTCGAGGTAGCTTTCCTTGGCCACGTCCGAGTCCGAGCAGTGCACTACCTCGTCGTTCACGGCCGAGTTGACGTAGGCGGGCATGGCGGTGCCGTACAGGACGCCGAGGATCGCGGTCAGGCTGCCCACGGCCATGAGCGTGATGGCCCAGACCTTCTGGCTGCAGCATCGGCGCCTGCGCTGCTCGGCCTCCTCGAGCTTGGGGAAGGTGGTGGGCGACGCCTTCTCGAACTGCTCGAAGGCCGTGTTTCTCGCCTTCGGGGTGTGCGTCGTCGCCATGGTTGTCGGAGGTGTTGACCGGGCCGGCGAGTGGTGGCAGAAGGCAGCGCGGAGTGGATAATCGTCTCGGAGGTAGCCGGCAAATTCGCAATTGAGAACGAGGCGGCCAAAGCGCCCGAGGTGGAGGTGGCGGCGCCGGTGGCATGTAGAAGTCAGCGCCGGGGGAGGAACAATGAGCCCGAGCGACACGACGGCGGTAGCCACGTCGGTCGCTGGAAGCGTTGCTGCGAGTGGGACTGCGGCGAGATAAGATGGCGATAGACTCAGGTGGGGATGCTGATCCTCCAAAAGCTCTCAACCTGCAGTAAACAATGGGGGCTCGTTCTAGTACCGACACTGCGTTTCGAGGGAGCCTGAGCCAGAACCTGCCCCACGAACACATGGGGATCTGCTGCCGTCGCGACTTGGATCTACCGCCTTGTACTGTACAGTGTGGGCAGTGCCGACTCGGCACAAGTCTACACTGCGCGACTTTATCGTTGAACCAAGTTCTACTTACACCAAGTGTAGAACGTTCGGGGGGGGTGGCGGGCTTCCAGATGCGAACAACTTCATCGTGTGCCCCGTCGAGCAGCCACGTCGTACGGACCTCGGCGTTCATGTGCTGCGCATAGAGACAAACACCTGCGAGGCGAGCAATTGCGACGCATGGCCGCTCGACGATCAAAGGCAAGACCAGCAGCGCGTGGGAGGAGGGCGCCCTACTCGATGAATGCCATCCCTGTCTGCTTTGTGATGGAAATCTGTCAAGCAAATGTGCAGCGCCGGTCCAGGCCAGAAACGGCCGGTCGATCTTGACAACCATTTGGCTGGTCAAACGAGCAGCTTATGGCGTTGCTGAGGTAGCAGCGGCGGTGGTGGATGAAGCGAGTCCTTCATCGCAGGAGCTCAAGTCGGCGTGCTCCGCTGACGCTGCTGAGCAACAGCGACTCGACGGATGGACTTGGGATGGTGTCGCTGCAGAGATCTCGGCGAGCCCACTGCGGCCGAATCTAGGGTCACCAACGAGAGCGAAGTGATCGTGCAGTCGACCTGCAAGTGGAGCTCTCTGCTCAAACCAGCGACGATGCGCCCGGAGCTCTTCGTGCCAACGAGCGTAGCAGAAACCACCTTGCAGTGGAAGAACGACAAGCACGTCAAGGTGAAAGGTCTGTTGGCGCTCGTTGTCGGTGGTACCTGCGTTCTGCACCTTTACGATTGCTGCTGAATGCTGAAGGTATGGACGGCACGCGGCATCGCGAGCCTTAGGCACCACTGTCATCTGTGTATGGCAAACGAGAGCTTTAACCTGGAAGAAGAGTGGCGCGACTCCGGGAGCCAATGTCTCCTCACAAGATGAGCAAGAGCACAGAGCGCACGATGCTTGCGTGCCGTCGTCGTGGCGTCGCGAATACTACATGTACTGAGCATGTTGAACGTTACGCGTGACTAAAGTGCCCAAAGCGGTCTGCAGCAAGCACTCGCAATGCGTCACCTCTACCTAATATCAATTTTACGCCTTGAAGGCCTGTTGGCGACGGCGCCGCAGGAAGAAGCCGCCGGCGGCGAGCGCCACGCCAACCACGATGCCCACGATGAGCACGGGCAGCAGGGTACTGAGGATCGTCACGAGCGAGTCGTAGTCGTCCACCTTCTTGTCCGAGATGGTGGAGCCCTCCTGGCCCCAGTAGACGGGGATAATAACCTCCGTCTGAAGCGCCGGGTACAGCACGTCGCTCATGGCGAACGAGCTGTTGGTGTTAGACGGAGAAAGCGCGTACGAGGCCATGAGGCGCTTGTAGGCGCGCATGGTCTTGCCCGTGCCGGCCTCCATGTCCACGTAGGTCGCGTACTTGTCCGAGTACGTCGACGTCAGCGCACCGGCGCTGTCGTAGAGCGTGTTCTTGCCAACCATGACGCCGTCGTTCATGGTGATCTGAACGTTGGTCGTGAGCGACTCGTTGCCGTACAGGTACATGGGGTACGACACGTAGGCCAGGAAGCCCGACGTGAAGGCCATCGACTGCACGCCATCCACCGGGTACGCCGTGCCCATGTCGGCGTTGGCGTCGGTGGCCGTGAGCAGGTCGACCGACGGGCGGAAGCGGTGCAGCGTGATGCCCTCGTACTCGACCTCCTCGTGCTGGTTGAACAGCGACAGGTTCTGGCGGCCCTGTGAGAGGTAGATGTCGTAGCTCTCGAGCGAGATGTCGTCCGCGAAGCCCGTGATGCTCACGCCGCCCGGGGCGATGCTGGTGGCGTCGTTGCCGCGCACGGGGCTGCACGTGAGGTTGGACGTGGGCGCCGCGCAGTTGCCGTAGGCCGAGAAGGCCGCGATCTCCGCCAGCGTCGGGTTACGGCGCTCGCCCAGGTCGGCCCACAGGGCCGTCTTCGTGTAGCCGTCGAACTGCTCGTACACGTTGATGTAGTTCTCGTCGTCGCAGCCCGTGCGCATGATGTACGTGCTCAGAGACGACGCGTTGGGGGCCGTCGCGGTGTAGTTGCGGCCGCTGGACTCGACGAGACCAGGCAGCGGCGCGGCGCACAGGCCCACGGAGCTGCAGAGCTGGCACGTGGTGCCGGCGAAGCTAGCGGCCTCCTCGGCGCCGTACACGGCAGCGTACGCAGCCTCGATGCGGCTGCACGTCTCCTCGTTGAGAGCCACGACCTTGGCGCCGCGGACGCACTGGTTGCACTGGCCCCAGATGGCCAGGCACTCGTCCGTCGTCTTGCCCACGCAGGCCGCGCACTGCTCGTTGAGGCCGCCGTCCGCAGCGCAGACCTTGATGTAGTTAGAGCCGAGACCCAGGCCGGCCAGCAGACTCGGGTAGCCCAGCGCCCACTGCGAGATGGTGCGCTTGGCGAACAGGCCGTTGTACGCGAAGCCCGACAAGTCCAGGTCGGCGATGGCCTCCGGGCCCGTGGCCAGGAAGGTGAGCACGGCGCTGTTGTTGGTCACCGTCTTCATGGCCTCGGGGTTCATCGAGTTGAGACCGTTGACCCAGCGCATCATCTGCGGGCCGTACTCGGTCACGATGCTGGCGGCCGCGGTCGTGTTGCTGGTCGAGGCGAAGGAGCCCAGGGCGAGACGCACCAGGAAGGCGAACTCACCGCCGGCCTGCGCGATGACGCTCATGTAGCCCATGTCGAGCGTCGTGACCTCGTCCTCGTCCGTGCAGCCGTCGCAGCTCATGTCCTCCACGAACGTGTGGTACGTGTACTGCTTGTAGCTCACGCGGTTGCCGTCGTCCAGGAGCTCGACGTCCAGCTTGATCTCGCGGCGTTGGTACACGTAGGGGCCCATTTCGCGCACCTGCAGGGTCTTGTCGTCTCCGGCCAGGTAGTCCTCGGCGTTGGTGGCGTTCATCATGTAGAGGCTGTAGTAGTACGGCGTGCAGTCGTCGCATCCGTACGGGTCGATGTACGAGTCCTCGGCGATGTCCGAGGCGTCACAAGACACCACGCCGTCCTTGACGGCGTTGTCGACCACGGCCGGCACCACCGTGCCGTAGACCAGGCCGATGACGGCGATCAGGGCGCCCGTGATGATGAGGCCCCATCCGAGCGAGCAGCAACCGCAGCGACGGTCGCGGTGGTGCGGTTCCTTCTCGAAGTATTCCGACTCCGGAGACTGGGCCACCATGGTTCCTGTTTGGTGGAGACGGCAAATCCGCGAATGGCTGGCGGGATCAACCCGGCGCTCGAAAGCTGGAGAACCGGGAGAACTGGCTGTTGTGCAGTGCCAGTCGCTCAGCTCAGCTTTCTAGGCCAAGATGACGAAAGCGGGAAGGCTGGGGAGCGTAAGAAATCTTCGGGATCGGCTTTGGAGTGATCCAGCTCAAGGTCCTTTCAAGCGCGCCGTGCACGAGACACGGGTTGCACTTGACCAGGGGCAAAACAGCCTGGAAATGCTGCCATTCATTCTGTCGAGCGACCGGCAGATGGCGCCGACGTCGCAGCAGCAAATCGCAAACTGCGCGGAGACCGCGTCGACTGGTTCTGGGCGTGTTTGGAGACGTCGATCGTGTTTCTCTCGACGCGAGGAAGCGACTGCGAGTCCATGCAACAACTGACTGAGTGGCATGTGAGACCGTGGTGGTGGTGCTGCTGCTGGCGGCGGTGCTGCTGGTGCTCGTGTTGTGAGGAGGCCAAGGAGGAGGTTGCCGTTCATCTTACACAGCACCGCAACAGGAGATTAAAGACCAGATGGTGACCGTGCCACTTCGATTCGCTTCAACGAGGTCAATTCTGACCGGATCTGCGTTACGGACCTGAGAGTGACTGCCTGAATCAGGCCCTGATGGAGTGACTGATGGACCGACACACACCTTCAAGCGTTTGAAGTTCGCATCCCTCCCGTCGAAATTGTTTGCGGGCGAGTGCACAGTAACGTGAGGCCTCAGTTTCGTCGACATGCAAAACTATGCATCGCGCACTTTCATCAAAGGTTTTCAGACGTTCACACAATGAACCGGTACAAAGGCCATTACAGTTACTTCGGTTAGCTAAGTATTTGGGGACAGTCACTCACTACTTCTTTGTCATAAGCTCGCCTAACGCTTCGTGTAATTGCTGTCGAAACGCTGCAGTAAATGCATCACCCGAGTCTTTGAGCGCGAAGTTGGAAAGCGCTTCCAAGCTCTTCTTGGTTTGTGCCTTTTCAACAACCCGCCCAGCAATTTTGATCGAGAGAAACTCCAAGCGGTGGAAAAAATTGAAGTACTTCTCCATGGGCACCATACCGAGGATGCGGTCGCTCATATTTACTGCATTCACAAACTTCCTGTTTGCCACGAGGTCGAGCAGTTCCAGGACATCGACGCAGTTAACGGCGGTCATCAAATCCCTCTCAAAGCCTCCCTGGCATGGAGCGAAGATCCTGCGCGGAACTCCGCCATACATGTCGTATCGCGCCTTCAGTTCATCTTCGGACAGTTTGGAGTTCCCCTTCAGCAATGCATTGCTTGTTTGGAGCTCTCTTAGCGTCCAAATCGGCATAATGAAAAGTCCCTCACGTGCGAATTTGCGCATGCCCCTCACTTCGAGAGAAGCGAAAAGTATTGAAACCCCATTCCAGCCACGCAATCGCGACGATTCCTCATCGACCAAGCGAATAACGTTGGGTACCGGTATTGCCTTAAACTTGTACTTCCGTCTCGCTCAATCCCAAGAACGCTTGTCTGCGGGGGCAATACTGGTGATACAGATCGTCATAGTTCAAAACCAGCGCATACTTGGACAGATCCACCACCCCCTCTGCTTGTCCGCGAATCAATCGAAACGCGCAATACAGGTAGAACCTGCTTTTGCCGACGCCTGGATTCCCAGTCACGACCAACTCGGCGCTGAACTGGCGTTCAAGCTTTTTCACCGCGATTCTCATCATTTCCTCGAAAATCACAACATCGCACGAGCGCTCGACAATTGTGGGATACTGGGTCATGGGCGTCACCATCGGGGGGAAGCGCAACATCTCGAGATATTGCACTTTGTCTACGGCGTCGTCAATAAATTCGAACATCTTCATTTCTCGCGGAAACCATCGGCCATCATCAATAGCTTCAGTCGAAGTTGTGTTTGGAGGCAGCACCAATACATGGATATCCTCATCACGTACACTCGTAAAGAGACTCGCGAGTCTCTCCCCAGGGTCCAGTTTCTTCTCTCGGAACTCTGAAATTGTCAACGAGTCTGCGTGGGCTAGTTCTTCCACCTGAGGCGCCTTGCTGTGGAGCCAGCCTCCGTCATCCGCCTTAGCTAGGATCAAGAGCAGTGTGGCTGCGTCGACCCCCTGGAAGGTGTTCTCTCTCTTCTTCTTGATCGGCTCTTGTAGCCCTCCAACGTCATCATCCAGCCACGGAAAACCGGACTCCTCGCTCTCCCAGTATGAGGCATCACAGCGTCTGCCCCACTTTCTGCCTCTTGAAGCAGCGACTGAAATCATCGGGGTGGGGACTCCAAAATTCCGGCGTCTGGGCAACAACCAACACGTTAACTTGGCGCTCTCCGATCGAACGAAAAGCAGACCCCACTCGCTCGGTTAGGTTCAGCTCTTCTCGAAGCAGACTTGGCACTTGAGAGAACTGCTTTGAGGCGAGCTCGTCGAGTGTGCTATCCGTGCTGGCCGCTGGACAGTTTAGCAGCGTATAAGCGGACGTCGGAGGCCTCCACTCCCAGGAAAATGTCCGTGCTTTTGCTGCATAATTATCTTCCGCAAGCCTTCCACTAGCTTGTCGCGTCCGTCTCCACCGAGAAGATATCTTCATGCGCTCCAACAACGAGGCAATACGGACGCAAGAGTTTCTCCATCCTGCTAACGAGGAAAATGCCTTTCCCAGACAAGAATATTTCGTAAAAAATTGAAAGATTTAAAAACGAACATCCCTACCCCCCAAGATTTCATTCACTTGTGTCGAGCATTCGTAAGACAGTTTGACGACAAATCAAATTTAGCCATGTGATTGGCTAATATTATGCGTGGTGTTGTCCGTGTATGCCCTTGGCCGGGCCGTCTGCGTCGCCGTCGTGGCATGCACCAGCAACGGATAGCCGTGCTGACGAGCAGAATCGGCAGCATGAACGTGTATTTGTTTCGTTTTCGATTTCGTAGTAATGTGAAGTGCATCACAGTTATTTGGCCTAACTAGCGACCTACTAAATGCCAGGTCCTTCAAATGAAAGTGCGTATTATACATATTTTATGAGGTCCGAGGAGCTCTTCCATGAAGCCGCGTAGTCGGCGTAAGTAGGGAGATGCCCTTCGGAGGACACGACGCGGTTGGTACACGGAGAACTAAATTGTGCTTGAGCGTACATTGAATAGCAAACGACTAGAATGTACACTCGAGCACTCTCTAGAAACTTGTCAACAAAGCCGAAACGGAAACACTACGTAGATTCAAGCTTAACAGACAGCAATAGACTGGCGCGGTTATAAGCGCTCTAGAATCGCTGCCTCTTATGCTACGCAACTAACCACGTTATTGAAGGAAGGCTTGCCCGCATCATGATACGTACATTGCAACCTGACAGTACGAAAACTCCAACAATATTTCTCTCGTGACCTATCCAGGCACTGAAAAGCTCTGGACGTGGCATTTTAAGAGCAACAGATCAGAACAGCCTTAGCGCTAAGGCTTCACGCAAGGCCTGGCGCGGCCGCCGTGGCTACAGCCAGAATATCATCCTGTTGTCGACGGACCTACGCGCCATGCAACTGCGTCGTCTTGGCGAACAAAGGTGCCACCAACACAGCCTGCATCCGCACCGCTGTCGTGGTTGAGTGGGCCCGAGCATGCACATGCAGCTCTGCACGTCAAGTAGAGCTTTTGACCAATAATATGGCGCAAACTGGTGTCCGACAAACTGTCTTACGTTTTGAGTGACAAAATACAATGTAGCCACTGGTATACTAAAATCAAGATGTAATCAAAATGCGTTGATTGCAAAACGTAAGACGCTTTGTCTTACGGTATGCTCTCTAGGGACCAGTATCGTCTTACGAAAAAGCATGAATCTTTCTTGCAATGGGGGTATTGCAGTTGCTGGAAGCGAGGTGAAATTTACATATTTCAAGTCGACATGCATTCTTCCAATAAATTGCTTGGTATCTCCAAAGCCTTTCTGCGTGGGCTATTTGGGTAAGAGTTGCTTTACCATGCACAATGGTACATGCAGGATCGCACTGACATCGACCAGCATGGGGTCAACACCATACTTTACCATGGGTCGACAAGACCTCTCCAGATTTAGTTTTTCCTGGTCTACCACAAACAACATGCTGATCATTGGACTACAGACTTACATCTATACATTTGACTTCCCTCAACGAAAGTCCGGTCACGTCGAGCAAGATCCGTCGGTTGAGTTCTCACCGCACCGAAACCAACGGAGTACCTACTGGTGAAGGCTCAATTCGTATCACGGGCAACGCATGACCGACCGACCGGAATTGGAGCTCACTTGGCTAGTGGCCTGGTCAGCAATAGATGACTGGACCGGCGCTGCAATATGCTTTGACAGATTTCCATCACCGAGCAGACCGGATGGCCATCAACCGCGGTTGCTGCTCTGGTCACGCTGCCGTCTGGGCCAACCTTGTCTTGACTGTGAATGATGCAGTTGCCCCTGCAGCACATGGCTCTAGGTGAAATAAGTTTCATTTGAGGCTGGCACGGCGTGACGGGCGGAACAGGTTGAAGCTCCCCCTCCATCCCGGATCTTGTTGTCTTCGTCGTCTTGAGCCAGTGCGGTCTTACCGCTGGAGGCGGCGTGGGGGTGTTTAAGCTCTCACGCCGAAAACCATGTTTTTGAATCAAGCATTTTGGGCCGCGGTGTTGAGTACAACTTGCATAATAACGTTACCTACTGTACGCTCCTTGCAATTCTTGGCGTGGAAATCGTCAGCAGGGAAGTGGCTTGCGCCTGCGGCAATGGCAGTTTCCACGCTACGATGCACAGAGTGGTACCCCGTGACAATATCAAGTTGCTGCTTGAAGTGTATCGGAGCTTATGGCTACACTTTAACGGGAATCCAATCACTTTTCACAGGGTTTTGGAATCCGTGTCAACAACAAAAAACTTTTTGAAGAGCTCACTCACTCCCCACTACTGTACAAGAAGGAGCAGATAGATAGATACTCTTTATACCCTTCGAGCGCCATGTCGTCCGAGGAGGAGGAGTATGACTTCGACTACAGCGACGAGGACGAGGACATGGAGGACGCCGAGGCCGCGGACCTGCACGTGCGCATCGAGAACGCCTACTACTCGGCCAAGCAGCTGCTGGAGGGCGAGCCCCCGGAGCGCGCGGGGGCCCTCGAGGCGCTGGAGCAGGTGCTGGCGCTGCAGAGCGAGCAGACGGACTGGGGCTTCAAGGCGCTCAAGCGCATCGTCAAGCTGCTGTTCGAGCTGCGGCGCCACGACGAGGCCATGCGCCGCTACGAGGAGCTGCTGGGCTACACCAAGACGGCGGTCACGCGCAACGTGGGGGAGAAGGGCATCAACAGCATCCTCGACTTCGTGTCCACCAGCAAGGCAAGTAGATATCAATTAGTTAATTGCTAGGAATTAGCTCACGTTTTGGCTGTGCTGCGCAGAGCTGGGAGATCCTCCAGCGGTTCTACGAGACGACGCTGGAGACGCTCAAGGAGGCGAGGAACGAGGTGCGACAGCTCGGCTGGAGCAGCGACTATACTAGTGGCAGACTGATGGTGGATTCGCTTGTGTGTCTTTTGGTGCAGAGGTTGTGGTTCAAGACGAGTGTGAAGCTCGGCAACTTGCTGTACGAGATTGGAGACTTCGCCAGGCTGAGCAAGGTGGGGGGATACTCTAACTGAGAAGAGGTGTGATACCTTTTTGTTTAATTGAGCGTTGCTTTTTGATTCTGGTAGATTATCAAAGAATTGCTGGCGTCGTGCGGTGACGAGGATGGAGACGACGGGGTGCGGAAAAACTCACAGGTAATAATGAATGGGATGAGTCACGATGGAATAAGGCTTTGTTTGCTGACTTGAGACTTGATGCTGCAGTTGCTGGAGGTTTACGCACTTCAGATTCAGATGTACACGGCGCAGAAGGACAACAAGAAGCTCGTGTCGATTTATGAGAAGGCGCTTCGCACCAAGTCGGGTGTCGCTCATCCGGTACTGAGGTCGCGTTGAATGAGGGCCGCTGAAGGAGAAGTCTAACATTTTTCTGCTGTTGCAGAAAATAATCGGTGTCATTCATGAGTGCGGCGGCAAGATGTACATGATGCAGCGCGAGTGGGACAAGGCACGGAGCGATTTCTTCTCCGGGTTCAAGAGCTATGATGAAGCGGGAGAACCGCGGCGACTTCAATGCCTCAAGTACCTGGTGCTGGCCAACATGCTGAGCGAGTCGCAGGTCAACGTGTTCGACTCGCAGGAGGCCAAGCCGTACGAGAACGACAAAGAGGTCGCGGCCATGACGAAGCTCACGGACGCGTTCCTGCACGACGAGATCAAGACTTTCGAGCAGGTGCTGAACCGGAACCAGGAGGCCATCATGGACGACCCCTTCATCAAGCACTACATCGACAGTCTGCTGCGGACAATCCGCAGCAAGGTGCTGCTCAAGATCGTCAAGCCATACAGGACCATGGACACGCAGTATATCGCGCGCGAGCTGAACGGCATCCCGCTGGAGGAGGTCGAATCCTTGCTGTCTTCGCTGGTGCTGGACAAGAAGATTGAAGCGCGTATTGACCAGGTTCATCACACGCTGGTGCTGCTGGATCGCAAGCCTGAAGAGAAGTTCCAAACGTCCATCCAGGGCTGGTGTGATGCGTTGGAGAAGTTCCACTCGCTCACTGTCGACCGCATTGGTACGGGCATGTAATGTGAGGACGGCAACCGAGTAAGTAAATAATGTTTTGAAAACGTCTTTTTACATAGTTTCTGCTTGTCATTCTTGCCGCTACTCTCGCTACTGGCTGTTAAATTGTAGTATGTGCATGCAAGCTCGCGCACTCCGTGCCCCGCCCAAGCTTGCCTCCTATCCTAAACGGCCTCGCTGCTTAGCACTCTGCTACCGCTGGACGCTGAGCAGCGTAAAATTGCTGGACTTGACGAGCCTCCTCCGCCTGCCGAGACGCGATGTGCCACGCCGAACCGATGCAGAGGACGGACCACACGGACCAGCAGAGACAGAAGCGGAAGCCGATCCGGTAGGCGCAGGCCTCGTCGCAGTACTGGAAGTAGCTGTTTGGCTGACCCTGCTGTGAGATGACCCACTCCATGATGAGACCCGTGAGGTAGGGCGACAGCGCATACCCGAAGAGGTTGAACACCATCACGGAGAACGACGAGGCGAGCGCGCGGTGCTCAGCTGGCACGACCGAGATGAAGATGCCCGTGCAAGCCGGCAGGATGGCGCCGCCGAAGAAGAGCAGCAGCCACAGGAACCCCGCAGTGATGTAAACGTCGTCGAAGAACGTCGTCACCGCCGAGATCGAAAACGCTGTCAGTCCCAGGATCATGCAGATTCCCAAAGCCTTGGCACGCTGCTCCACGCCGATGTATCCTCCATATCTGTCGATGATCCAGCCACCGAAGAACACGCCTAGAATCGGTCCTGTTCCAGATACGACGACGAACAGACCGTTGACCAGGTACTTGGACGCATACAGCGACTTTATCATGAAGATGGTGCTCCAGTACTGCACGCCCGTGACGACGAAGTACACGGTCGTGAGCCCAAACACGATCAAACAGAAGACAGGGATGTGCAGCAGCTCGTACACTCCCTCCGAGAACGCGCCCTGCTCGTAGACTTCCATGAACTCCTCCTCCAGAATAGAGGCCTCCAGCATACTCATGCGGGGCGACATTCTGGGGGATCTCATCGGAGTGATCGCTGTGTCCAAAGCGCCGTACGTGGACGAAAGGTGGGCGCCGTTCTTGGACAGCGGCGACGTCCGCTGCTGCGCTGTTGGGGCTACTCCAGCTTTGCTGTTGATGGGCGACGTCGAGATCGCCGGCGGAGCGCTGGCAGTGCTGTCTCCGTTCTCCAGCTCACTCGCAGCAGCGTCCAACAGAGTTCCCTGCATCCCTCCACGCAGGCTCGGGGGTCGGATCATGCTGCGCCGAAGCGATGCCGAACCCACGTCCTCCTCGTAGTGGCCGAAGTGATACTGCTGCTGGTTCTGGTGCAGCTGACGGAAGCTGCGCTGGTTGCTGACGCCGTACATGCTCGCGCTGGCGAGGAGCGCGTCTTCTTCGTCGTGGTACGTCGTGGACCTGGTGCTCATGGGCGTGCCGGCCACCGTGTCGTCCAAGAAGCTGTGCAACCCGAAGGCGGAGCGGCCGCGCGCGCTCAGGAAGCCGCCGCCGCGACTGCTGTTGAGCGGCTCCAGCTCGGTGTGGTGCTCGTAGTGCGGCACGGTGTCGGCGTCGCCGGTTTCGTCCTGCTCCAGCTCCTCTTTGTCCTCTTCCTCCTCCACCTTGGCTGTCGCTGCTTCCTCGGGCGCGTCCACGCACTGACTATCCGGGTCCACGCCGCCGCCGTCCGAGGAGGAGCTGGCGCTGGCGCTGTCGGTTCCGCCGCTGGCCACGGCGTCGCGGTCGCCGTCACTGCGGATAAGGAGGTGCTTCTTGGGCACGAAGAAGATGGCGACGTTGATGGGCAGCAGCGCCAGGAACTGCAGCAGGAAGGGCCAGCGCCACGTCTGGATGAGCGAGAAGCTCTCGGGCACGAGCCAGTTGCTGACCGTGCCGGCGAAGTAGCCGAGCATGACGCCCATGGGGACGCTGCCCTGCAGGTAGCTCATCCAGCCCGCCACCTTCTCGCGCGGCGCGTACTCGTCCACCCAGAGCGGCGTGTAGATGCAGGGGAAGGCCTGCGTGAAGCCCACGGCCGCGCGCGCCAGGATGAGCGAGTTTGCGCTCCACGCGTAGCCCGTGGGCGTGAGCGCGAGCACCAGCACGGCCGCGTTGTTGCACAGCAGGCTCAGACCGAGCACCAGCCGCGGGTTGAAGCGGTGCAGGAAGAAGGCGCACAGCGGCGACGCGGCGCTCAGCGCCAGGTACACGACGCCGCCCAGCGCGCCCTGCTGCGTGGCGTCCAGCGCCAGCGACACGCTCAGCTGGTCCAGCAGGCACGGGATCGAGCCGGCCTCGAGGTACACGATGATCTGCGTCAGGATGAGGTACTTGAACAGGTACGCGGCCTCGGCGCGTGTGCGCTGCATGTAGCGCTCGCGGCGCTCGGCCTTGGTCAGGACGGCCGGGCTGCCGGCGGTGCCTGTCCGCGTCGTAGTGGCCGTATCGGTACTGACCGGCGGCGGCGCGAAGCTCACCATTGCGTCAACTTTGTTGCCTGTTACTTTCTTCTCCCCCCTGTCGCTTTAACACCACTTAACCGACCGTTAGACACTTCGACGATGGCGGCGAGTTCCCTCGTCGTGTGCGGCGCGCGCTAGTGGCCTGGTCGCTGGCTGTGTCGGCGTGCTGCTGCTTCCCGTTCGGTCAATCGCTCTCTCGCTGGTGTTGCCGGCGCTTCTCGTCTCGATGGCGACTTGTGCCTCTGCCGCCCCAGCCGTTTTGCCTTGTGTGGGAAGAAAGGATACGTTGAGTGAATCAGTTTGGAAAAAAATAACAGCAGTTTCAGAGAAAATGGTGGTGAGGACCGTCACGAGTACTATACTGCATTACAAAAATATGTATGCTAAACGTTTTATTACTACATGTTAAAGTTTTATATCGATAATTTATTGGTAGGACCATCGATCGATTATCCAAGGATATTAGAATATCAAGGTATTTGCAAATTTTGGTCCCGACTGTGCCAGCAATCTCAAATTTTTATTTGCGATTCGGCAGTGCTAGACTGGAGTTGCGCCAGCGAGCACCAGCAGTGTTGGGCGGCGCCGAGCGCTGGACGGGGCCAGCGGAGCGAACTGCAACCACTGCTCGGCTTCAGTTGCCTCGCTCTCGCGGCTGGAGAGGGTCCTTGCCGTTGACAGACTTCATCGCTGCTTTGGTGAACGACCCCCCCATTTGCAACATGAAAATGCTAAACAATCCTGCACCGCGTTTGTGCCTGCGCTGCACTTTGTCGGTGACACGCGGGCGCTGGTGGACCACCGGTGGGACTTTACGACTCGCGAATCTTCAGTTTTCTCACAGTCTCAACATCTGCCAGTTTCATCTGATCCGGCCGAACGTACGGACCAAATTCACGACAAGAACGAAAAGTTACAGCAACAACAAGAAGGTCAAGGTCAAGTTGAAGTGGAATGGTCATGGTCCGACATAAATACGAGGAGCTTCAGGCTCAGGCCTGCGCCTCGTGCTCGAGCTCCGAGATGGTGGTCTCGTCGCACTGCGCCGCGATGATGCGGAGCAGGATCGTGTCGTTGGTGATGTTGACGACGGCGCGCAGGCGGTTGAGCAGCCAGTCGGCGCCCACGAGCAGCGAGAAGACCGGCGCCGGCACGTCCATGTTGAAGACCGTGTGCCAGACCGTGATGGCCATGACGAGCCCCGAGTGCGGCACGGGCGCCACACCGAAGGACGCGATGGCGCCCACGAGCCCCAGCAGCGCGTAGCGCAGCGGCGTGAGCAGCTCTCCGTAGCCGCTGACTCGGGCCATGAAGACGCAGGCCAGCGTCATGTAGCACGCGCTGCCGTTGAGGTTGCTGGTGGCGCCCAGGGGCAGCAGGAAGCGCGACAGCGCGTACGACACCTCGCGGGTCGAGTCCACGCAGCGCATGGTCATGGGCAGCGTCGCGATGGACGACGAGCAGCCGAAGATAAAGACTTGGGCCGGGATGATGTGGCGCAGGTACTTGAACACGTTCACGCGCGTGGTCACGAACAGCGCCGCGCCCATGACGCCGTACGTGAGCGTGGTCAGCGCCAGCGTCAGCGCCACGATGAGGAAGCCCACGCTCTCCACCAGGTCCATCGAGGACGTGTACTGCGCCATGGAGCCGGCGATCATGGACACGATGGCGAACGGGATGAGCGCCACCACCGCGTTGATCATGAGCTGGATCACGAGTCCGGCGTGGTTGATGAGCAGCAGCAGGTGGTTCACGTCGATGTCCGTCTTGGCTGTACCCGCTGGGCCGCCGCCCGCTGCGAGCTGCCCACGCGTGCGCTCGTGGCTGATGACCGACGCAACGCCGAAGAAGATGGCTAGCGTGATGACGCCCATGGTGGACGAACTCGAGAAGGTCGTCATCATGTTGGACGGGATGATCTCGTTCAGAATGGAGAATAGCTGCTGCGAGACGTCCATGTTGGTGTACGTCTCGGTGGTAGTAGCGAAGTTGGTGTTGGTATCATTGAGCGCCAAGAGACTCGTCAACGCGGTCGCGTTCGTGTCCTTCACACAGGCCAAGCCGCCAGCTTTTGTCATCGCGAGCACGTTGCCGTTCCAGCAGTGCAGCCGAAGCTCCGCCACCACATCGGTGTCGTCCCCTTTCATCTGCTGGATGAAGAAGGGCGAGAACAACACGCCAAACAGGACGCCCATGCCCGAGGACACCAACGAGCAGAGCGCAAAGTAGCTAATGATGCGCCCGCCGATAGACGCAGCCTTCCCCGCTTCCACGAGCTGCCCGATGCAGCCGACGATACTGCAGAACACCATGGGCCCGATCAAGCACTTCAGCGCGGCGACGAAGAGGTCTCCGGGCATTGAAATCCACTTGGCGTAGCTGTCGTCCAGCTTCAGATGTGCGAACAGGACACCCAGGCCGATGCCGATTCCCGCAGCCGCCAGCACGTACCCGATGGGGGTGCTCGAACGCTGGTTGTACAGCGAGATGAACATGGTGGACGGGTTGTTATTGTTGCCATCCCCCTTGAGGTCAGCGGACTGAATAAGGTCCACTGGATCGCCGCCGACCCTGTCGCTCTTCAGAGACGGCATGTGCGACTCATATTGCTTGAAAGCGTACCCGTGGTCACTTGGCTCTGTCGGTGTGCCAGGAGGCGTGCTCAAGTCGTCTAGCCGAATCTTGCTCTCCATTCTTCAGCTCGTAGCAACCGAGAACACGAAAAGCGAGTGAGCGTGAAGAAGAAGACTAGCACCAATTGCTCTCCCATGGGAACATGTGGGGCAAGTTGCGTGCGTATTTTCGAGCGCAAGTTCTTATGAGCGCTGAAGATAGACTCGCAGTGTTGATGAAAGCAGCTGAATAAATATCCATCAGCTGCAGTAACTCAGTGATACCAGCACGAACACCCTCGTCATCTCTTCGGCCGACGCCAAAGTGTACGCACAAGCGTCTAGCGATACCTGTTTACAAGTCTTCAAGCATAACTTCAGCTTGGCGCCGTAGTGCTATTGATTCTTCGAGTTGCAGCCGGGTTTCCACAGTCACGCGATGAAGCAGTCGACCACCCGGTTCCTTGCTGCAGGTGCAGTAGATCTCCCGTTGCCGTGCCACCATATTTTGAACGAACTCAAGAGTTTCCAAACAGAGCCCTCCAGACTCAGGAGCTGTCCACCGCTCAGTCGTCTGTGAAAGACGCAGCGTAGCAAGTTTTCCAAGTAGCTTCTCTCGCTTTACGGAGCAAAATCGTGCCGATGTTGGAAGAGCAGGACGTGGTGGCGCAGTTTCGTGATCGTTCGAGGTTTCACGGGCTGATGTCGCCAACCAGCGCTGCGTCTGGGCTCGTTGCATCAATGACGATGACACCTTGACTTTTTTGCAGGAATGTTGCCTCGAGTTGCTTTGCTGCGGCGGCCGCCGGTGGCCGTGTGACTGCGTCGCCCGTTGAATCAACTTGTCCACTGCGGCTGCTGGAATCTTGTCGGCTACGTTTGTAACTTCAGCTTTACACTCTTGACGTTGTCTCCTTTCGTTTGTTGGTGCAGAGCGGTCTTGGAGTTCCTTTATCATTTTCGAACACCAAGCGCCTACTTGCGGATGAAGATTCGCGTTTGCAACTGGGAACAACGCTCGATCCTCGACAGTGTGGGATTCACCCTCGATTAAGCCTAGCTTAGACTTCTGCTGCCGTTGCTGCTGCTCGCCAGTGTCTTGAGTGACTTCTTGTGTGACAGGAGTCGATACTTGATCTTGCTCATCGTCACCTGACACTTCCAGCTCGAAGGATTCGCCAGCATAATCTTCCTCCTCCGTGCTGATGTGGTTTTCACCGCCTTCTGCCTCGAGGGTCTCAGCGAATGCAGGAGGGTCATTGGCTTCATGGTCGTCTTCAAACTCGTCTGAGGCGTATTTGTCGCCGCTGCTGCTGCTGCTTGACTTGACAAGGACGGGATCAGCCGAGTCGTCAACGTGATCACTGTCCGACTCAAACTGCTCATCCGCGTAGTTTACAGAAGCGTTGTCGTTACCCGTGCTCTGCTTCTCCTCGTGGTCGCTGATCTCGAGCACCGATGGGATTGTGGACGCCGAGGACGACGACAGCGACTCGGATACCATTGTATTTTGCGTATGGTGGTGACCCCTCGAGTCGATCTGGGAAACCTTAGGACATGTATACAACTTTCACAAATCTCAGGGCTAAGTTATGGAGTTCAAGATGCAAGTACTACTTAAAAAACCTTTGACGTTGGTACTACCTTATTGTGTGCTCTTCATTTCGTATCGGTATTTCTCTAGCTTGATTTCTTTGGAGGTTGCTGGCGGAATATCGAGAAGACGCTGTCTTGCGGGTCTGAGTCCTGCTTCTGCTTTGCCATAAAGTCCTTCACAGTTGCCAGAGTCGACGACATCGAGGGCGTGACCATGCGCTTTGCCTTGGCACTGTCCTTCTTCCCCTTCTTCTCGTCCTCGTACTTGAGAACAAGTGGTGCGCGCTTCGACTTCCACTCCGAGGGGGCCGCTCCGGCAGTTTTCTCCGACGGAGGCGCCGGCACCGACTGCGGTAGCTCCATCCTGTTCCGCTGGAAGAAGTCGCCGAACATGGGCACGCACATCTGCCCGTGCTCGAACTCCTGGATGTACGGGCGCATCCACTTGGACAGCGACTTGGTGTGCTTGTTGAAGCGGTGTCTGGAATCCAGCAGCATGATGGCTCCATAGTCCTGGCGATGGCGAATGCAACGCCCCAGCGCTTGGTTGAGCGCACGGAACGCTTGGAGATGGTACCAAACGTGCCCGTTCACGAGCTTCATGTTCATGCGGCTCTTCTCGTCCTGGTACTTTCGCTTCAAAGACACCTGCAGCTCCTTGACACTGGGGAATGGGATGCCCACACAGAGCACCGCTCGCGCGTTGTCGTTGGAGAAATCGATACCTTCGCTCACTTTGCCGCGATAAACGGCCAGGAAGATAGCACCGCTCTTTTTGTCCTGTGCTTCATCGCCCTCTGCCGTGCACTTGGTGATGGTGTCCTTGTAATCTTCGAGTAGCGCATCAAAGTCTTTGCCAGCGTTGCGTGGTTCTGAGTACACGGTCTTGAACTGCTCGATCTCGCCCCATAACTTCGTCTTCTTCCAGCGTGTAGTGAGTTTATTCAGCAGAGAGTACGACGGGAAGAACATCAAAATGCCGCCTGGAATCGCTTGCGAGTATTGCAGTAACAACTGGCCCATGGAGTCCTGATACCTGGGGTCTTGCTGGTTGTTGTACGTGGACTGAAGGTCAACGTTGCCAGGGCCGTGCATCACGGCCCCGATGAACACCTGCTTGCGCATATTTACGACGTGGTTGGCCTCGAGGCGGATGGGGAAGTCCACGCCCAGCTCCCCGGCAAACGATTCCATGGGACTCAGTGTACCCGACGTGAGAATAACACTACGCGCTTGGCTCGCAATATCCGAGAAGGCCACCGCCGCATTCAGACACCAGATGCACATTTTCAACTCCCACTCGTCGCCACCGTTCCTCTTGGTAGGAGACCGGAAACTAGCGCTCTCCTTCCACGTGGACGTTGATTTGATCACCACCAGCTTGAAGTCGTCGATGAACTTGAGGTTGTCGCGAAACATGTAATCAGCCACGTTCATGATACTCTGCACCGTGGCCAAAGCCAACGCGCCGAGAAGAACAGAGGCGCCCGTAGGGTTCGCTGCCGCATCCTGTGACGCCTTGCTTTGGGTGGCCTGCTGACTCGACTCCGCGCTGTTGCCCAGCTCGTTCTCATACTCACGTACCTCTTGCACGTTAGCTTTCATCTCGGCCAGGTTGTCCTTGGTCAATCCGGAGTACTCGGCCAGCATCGCTAGCGCGTCAGCACCGTCCCAGACCTTGCTCTTCTCTTCGTAGCCCGAGGGCTGGAGGATGGCGTTTGCGTTAGAGTCGACGCTCTGCAGCCAGCGGTTGATGCCGTTCAGGAGCTTGAGCAGTGCGTTGTACGACTTGGGTCGGTTGCCGTGCTTGATCACGATCGAGAAGGCCTTGATCGACGCCGCCAGAACCTCTGTAGTCACCTCCACACTGGCACTCGACCGGCACGTGTCCTCCACGTTGTGCGCCTCATCCAGCACGATGATGGAGTCTTTGAGTGTAATCCCCACGGCCTCGCGGATCGACGGGTCCAGCAGGTAGTTGTAGGGGGCGAAGACGATGTTGGCGTGGTCCAGCGCTTCACGAGCGTGGAAGTAGGCGCACTCGCGGTGCTTCTGCGCCAGCTTGACGAGGTCTTCGATGTCCCAAACGGGCGGCACGTGGCGGCGCAGGTCGTTGGCTTTCTTGCGCTTCTTGAAGTACGAGCAGGACGCGCCCTCGAGCGCCAGTCGACACTTCTCGTCCACTTGCGACGGATCGCGGTTCACCTTGCGATTGACGCACATGTTGCGCTTGGAACCGAGCACGCAGGTCTGCAGCTGCTTGGTGTACGTGTTGGAGTCCTCGGGCGAGTCGAGGTACGACACGGGACAGTTCTTGAGCTCGTCCACGACCTGCGCCAGCTGCGAGTGCGTGCGCGAGCAGAAGTAGATGCGCGGCGGCACCACGCGCTTCTTCTTGGGCTTGCCGTCCGGCCCGACAGCAGTGGCGCCTACGTCAGCGCTGTCTGCCGGCTGCGATGCGGCATTGCCGGCGTCAGCCGCTGCGAAGGCGAAGGACTTGGGCAGCACGCGCTTCTTCTTGGTGGCCGTGCTGTCGGCGTCCAGCTCCCGCTTCCTAGTGCTCATCCAGCCGTCGGCGCTGAGCCGCGGGTTGCTCTCTCCGTTGGAGCCACTGGGCTGTGTGGCTGCCACATCGTCGTCATCGTCCTCTTCTTTGAGGCCGGCCACCTGCGTGGCCTGCGTGGCCTGCGTGGCCTGGGTCTCCTGAGTAGACTGGAAGGTAGATTGGGTAGAGCCGCCCTCCCTCTCCTGCCTCTGGCGCCGGGCCTGCTCTACCTGCTGCTGGGCCTCCATGAGCTGCATCTGCGCCTCGAGCGCGCGCAGTTGCGCCTCCTGCGCCTGCTTCTGGGCCTCCTGCGCGCGCACCTTGGGGTCCTCCTGCTCCTTCTTGAGCGCCGCCACCTTGTCGCGCACGAACTGCTTCTGGAATGTCAGCGACGAGCACAGCAGCGCCAGCGTCTTGCCGCTGCCCGTCGGCGACTCGAGCAGCGCGTGCTGCTCCGTCTTGAGCGCCGTCAGCACCTTGTTCATGACCGCGAACTGCGCTGGGAACGGCCGCTTGCCGCGCGGGAACTCGACGTTGTAGCCCATGATCATGAAGGCGTTCTCCTTGGGCGGCGCATCTTCCGGCCCAGCACCGGCACCGGCAGCACTGCTGCTCATTATTAGGGCCAAAGTTGTATTAGTGGCCCGATAAACTGCTGGCCGCGAACGAACACAAATGACTGTTTTACCCGCCAAAAAAAGGTTTTGTCGCGCGTAAAAATACAAAATCAGCGAACGGCAACGGCAACTTGTTGCAGTCTGTTGCTGGAAGCAATTGATCTGGTTACGAATAAGGGATAGCGTATTAAAAGAGAGTTTGTGCGGCATTCAGACGCGGCCGTCGGTGCCGGCTGCCTGCTTGCCGTAGCCGTTGTTGTACTCTTCCGGGTAGATCTTGAGCCACGCCTTGTGCAGCGTCTCGTAGTGCTGCGGCCGCGTGAGTTGCCAGCCGTGCGGGTCCTCGGCCCACAGCACGAAGATGGTGGTCACGGCGCTGGCCACGACCGACATGAAGAGGTTGTTGATGCCGTAGCCCACGAAGAAGCAGAAGAAGGCCACGAACACGTCCGGGTGCGGGAACATGGCCAGCCGCGCGCTGTCGGCGTCGTCGGTGATCTGCACGCCGATGTACGCGGTGACGGCGCCGATGATGAGGCTGCCCAGCCAGAAGACGTTGCCCGTGAGGTCGTCGTTCACGATGGCGCTCCAGCCCTTGGCCGCGAACAGCTTGAACACGTGTCGGCTGGCCGTGACGAAGCTGTAGCCGTAGCAGCCCACGTACGCGAACGCGAAGCGGTTGAAGAACTCGATCCAGCTCTCGATGCACGCGATGATGCATGACAGGCACGAGAGCAGACACGACAGACAGCAGTTGCCGCTGCGGCCGGCCAGCCACGCCAGGATGTTCAAGATCCAGACAACCGTCTCCAGGATGGCCACGACGAGCGAGCCCAAGCAAATGCTGCCCAGGTTGAGCGTCACCGCGCGCAGCCACGCGCCCATCGTGATGAAAGGCGTGTTGGCGGCGTTTTTCCAGGCCGCGACCGTGCCCGCCGTCGTGACGCCGATGACGTTGCGCAGCACGAAGGTGACCCAGAAGTAGATGAGCAGCATGCCGCACAGCACGCCGACGATGGCTCCGGTCTTGTACTTGAGGTCGCAGCTCTCGGTCGTGCACGAGTCCTCCTTGAGCTTGATGTAGTCCTGGTGGAACATGATGCCCAGACTGCCGAGCACCCACAGCACGGCCCAGCCGATCTGCACGCCGACCATCACGAGCGCCGCCAGCAGCGTCATGGGCAGGCGGAAGATGGCCTTGCCCGCCACTTTCAGGTGCGCCGCCGCGAACTTGATGCGCTTCCGGATGCAGACCACGTACAGGATCGTGAGCAGCGCGAAGAGCCCGAACACCACGGCCGGCCACCAGTACCAGTCGGAGCCGCTGTCGTACGCCTTCTTGGTGAGCAGGATGGCGGCCGCGATGTTGAGCGCGATGATGGTGAGCAGGGCCACCCAGATGAGCGCCTCGGCCAGCAGCACCATGACGGCGATCCAGACGACCGACATGCCGGCGGCCGCGAGCGCCGACAGACCGACAATGCGCATCATGAGCTTCACGCCCGAGGACTCGGACAGGCCCTGCACCTGCGTGGCGTCGATGAAGTCGTCGCCGTACTTGGCGGCGAACACGGCGGTGACCACCACGACGGCCACGAACGGGATCAGGAAGAAAAAGTCGTTGCACTCGCGCTTAACGGGCGGCGCGTTGTTCTCGGCCGGCGGGGCCGACGGCTGCACGACCGGGGAAAGCGCATCGGCCGGGCCCGACGTCTGGTGCCGATACGGACTCGCCCCGTAGATCGGAGACGACATGGAGCTTGGTACGAGGGTCTTAGACACGAGCGTGGAGAAATATGAAGTGGTCCCGAAAGGTATCGACCCACCTATTGCGGCTTGATTTGAAACGGATACCGTGTGCGGGGGCGGTTGGACACAAATGCTCAAGAAACATGATTTTGCGCGAGGAAGTGTCTCCATCCGGCCAGGCAATCACCTTCGCGGCCAGGTGGCGGTAAACATGGCCAGACTGATAAAATCCGGTCATGGTTCAACTCGATTCAGGCTTATCATCTACAAAACTCAACGCAATGTATGTCGATCCGTTCAACAGCACCTCACTGCAGCGCCGGGTAGACGAATTCGTCCCAGATCGGCTGCCACTCGCACAACTTGTTGGGCGCGTCGAAGCGCATGCCGTCGGCCAGCCAGCAGTTGTGCGAGACGCCGGGCACGGTGATTCTGTGCAGCCCCCCCCCTCTCGTCGAGCGACCGCAGGCCGTAGGTGTCTTGCTGGTACTCGACGGTGCTCTCCATGTCCACGACCGCCAGCTCCTCGAACGTGGTCTCGATCTCCTCGAGCGAGTCCACTTCGCTGTAGTGGCCCAGCAGCGAGTGCTGCCACGGCCCCACGACGCCGTCATGGGGGGACGCGAAGAAGTAGGCGGCCTGGAGGCGCAGGAAGTTGCGTTTGTGGCGGAACTTGGTGTAGTGGCAGCCCACGTCGTACCAGGCGCACTGGTTGATGTTGTTCAAGGACGGCAGGTACTGGTTCTTCTCCACGAAGTAGTTCTTCACGGGCGGGCGGGCCATATTCATGAGCGAGTACTTGGCTTGCAGCGTTTGATCGGCGCCCAGCGCGGAGAGGTCTCGCTGCAGCTTGCCGCGCCAGTCGGCCTTCGAGTAGCTGGAGAAGTCCATGATGTCCTTGGTCAACAGGCTGGGGCCAAGCACGTTGATCATTACCTGCAGAGGCACCAAGTCTTCGGGTTGCGGACCGTAGAACATGCCATTCTGCACGCCGGCCAGGCTCACGAGCGAGTGCACCTTGTGGTCGTTCATGTTCTCCACCACGGCGCGAGCGAGCCCTCCGCCCTGCGAGTGGCCCACGAAGTGGTAGCCGTTGTCGAAGCGCGAGTCCTTCTGCACGATGCTGCGGATCTGGGCGATGGCCATCGGGATCTGGGCAGTCACCGACTGGGTCGAGCACTCGGCTTCGCAGAAGTTCAGCCCCACGAAGACGCGGCCTTCAGCGGTGAGGTTGGCCTTGATGTTGCGGCCGTTGGTGGCGTTGCCCGTGACGCCATGGAAGAAGAACACGGGCAGCTCCGAGGCGGGGACAGCGATGCCGTGTGGCGGGTGGAAGCTGGAAGGGCTCGAGTGTACACGTAGGCAGACAAGGCGACGATGGCCGCGGCGACTAAAGAGTTGAAGATCGCCATGGGCCAGCTTGGTTTCGGGGAGGCAGATCGATGTGTGCCGAAGTCAGCATCAGGGACCATCGAAGCAGGAGGTGCAGGAGCACCGCGTTTCTCGCGCAGTGTCGCGCGGAGCCGGGGCTATGGGCAGCAATTCCCGGTGCTCCGTCCCCAGGTTGTCCAGGCGAACGCTGCTCATGTCAATCTGCCCATTGGGAAGCACAACTAAAGCACAACTAGGCTACCTGAGCACTCCTCCTTAGAGCCGACTCTCGCTGTCCCCGTGCCAAATGGGCTGGAGAGGAGTTGCCGCAGCCCGGCACAGTGCTGCTGTCGTCGTTGAAATGCATAGGCACACCCAACTTGAAGTCGTCAAACGTGCAGGTTGGATCTTGTCAGCTCGACCGATCTCTAGCGATAAGCAGTGTGAGTCACGGATGGTATCGTCCAGGACAACTTGCGCCGAAGCAGCCCATTCACTCCAGGAGTCCAGCACGGAAATGTTGTTCAGCTTCCCCTAAAGAGTTTCCGGTCGTACCAACGACCCCAACACATTCGTGTAAGCATGGCGTCTGTTCGCCGAAGTTGGAGCAGAAACATATTCCAAAGGTTTGCAAACTCTCACATCACTATTCTCACAACTTCTATCATCGATTATTCGAGCCAACCTCACGGCACAACACAAACTGAGGTAGGTGTCTGCTCTTGATATACACAGTTTGCAGTCACCAAGGTATCAAAGACCGAGAAGCGAGGTCATCTTCAAGCCTTGAATTTCAAGGTGGTCGACCCAAGCGATTCAGGTTTGCAAAAGCGACTTGTTTGGATGCACCGACCAATGGCACATTGGATTTGGTGTTGGAGGCCCCTCGCCGAGGCTCGGGCGGGAGCTGTACATTGCGTCTGCTGGCGATGACACTGCGTCAAGCTATTCGTCGCTTTCGCTGCATGTGCACGGAGCGCGCGTGGCGAAATGGTCCATCTAAACGCCAGTGGTCTCCATCAAATCTGATTGTCACGTTGGGAAAGAGTGATCGCGGGCATCAAGCGCGTCCAGCTGTGGTTGCAGTGCGCCATAGACACTGGTGATGTCAGCACCAAGATGCGTCCAGGTCCATGACTCGTGGACCTTACGATCCGGCGGTGTTAGCCAACGGCGTTGAGCGAGACCTTATCTGCCTGACACCAGTCGACATCCGATCGGACGAGCCATGGTCTCCGCTACAGCTGCGGTCGGGCCGCGATCACCACCCCCGCCCCCGCTACGAGCCGCGAGCGCACAAGGCTCACAATCCATTTCGCCTGGAAACGATCAAGCCCTCCTTCGTCATGGCCGTCCGATCCTTCCTGTTGGCGCTGGTCGCCACTGCCGCTTCCTTCGTGGCCGCGTGCGCAGATGAGGTGCCCGCCTCGGAGCTGCCCGTGTTCTTCTTCCATGGCGTCACGGGCAACGCCACCAACGGCCGCAACATCAAGGCCAACCTCACCGCTGAAGGCCGCGTCTTCGTGGGGCTGAACTTCTGCGAGGCCGAATGCTCGACCCAGTCGGTGACGGCCCAGATCCCGATGGCCATCGCCCAGATCCGCAGCATCGTGCAGAAGGACTCGCGCTTCGACAACGGCTACCACTTCGTGGGCCACTCGCAGGGCGGAGGGCTCGCTCGCGCCGTGGTGGAGAACATGAACGACCACAAGGTGCACTCGCTCGTGAGCCTGGCCGGCGTGCAGAATGGCATGTTCTACGGCCCGCAGGCGGAGGACGTCGTGCCACTCTACATCATGGTCAACACCCTCGGCCCGCAGCTGCTGACCACCGACATCTTTGACTTCTCCAAGTACACGACGGCCGACTGGCGCGGCAAGATCCAGCACGACCTCGCTGTCCTGGACGCCAACCAGACGCTGCAGGCCAAGTACTCGCTCATGAACATGAACCGCGAGCCGACCGACGCCTACTTCATCGAGAACAACAAGTACCTCCCGTACCTGAACAACCTGAACAAGTGCAACGCCACCGACGCTGCGTGCGAGAACGACAAGCTCCGTCGCAAGGCCAACTTCCTGCGGCTCAAGGCGGCCCACTTCTTCGCCAGCCCGAACGACGGCGTGGTGGCTCCGTGGCAGCACTCGCTGCTTCAGCGCTACACGCCCGTGGACTCGATCGACGAGATCGAGACCAAGTTCGAAGAGTTCACGGTCATGAAAATGGAGGACACCGTCGAGTACAAGGAGGACACCTACGGCCTGCGTTCACTGGACGAGCGCGGTGGCCTGCACCGGACGACGGTAGCCAACGTCTCGCACAACTGCTGGATCGTGGACGGCGTGCGCTTCGACGCCAATGTCGAGTGCTACTGGGAGCCCATTTGGGACGAGTACATCTACCCGGCCCTGCAGTGAGTGAGTGAGTGGGGCTTCTCGAGAGTAAGGAGGCAAGTTTTGGTATAAACTGCATGAAGAATACAAGATGACAATTCTTTTCGTGTTGTTCAGACTACTGAGTGAGTTGATCCGAGCCCGGGCGCTCTAGGCATTGCAGGAGGAGCTCCCCAGGGGCTGCACATGTAGCGTCTCGCACATTTTGGTGTAGTACTCGATGCGGTGCTGCTCGCTCGCCTTGTTGGGGGCACTTGGTCCACATTCAAGAGCGCCGTTGATGATCTTGGTAGCTTGGGCAAAGCCATTCGTGTCCGCCACGACGTCGTGGATCGAATGACTGCCCTGCGGGGTCATCCAGTACCAAAGTGCCGTCATCCAGGCTACATCGGTGTTGCTTGCGACGATATCTGGGTTGTTGAGGAGGTCAAGGCCCAGAGCTTTGCCTGCTTGGTCGTAATTGTAGTTCCAAGAGAGCTGGATGGGGCCACGGCCGTGGTAGCGACTCCCTGGCGCGCACGTAATGACGCTGCTGTCGCAGTACTGCCAGACGCTGTACGTGTTCCAGGCGTACTCCTCCGCCGCCTTGAAGCTATCGCTCTCATGAGCCGTCTGGGCAAGGAACGCTGCCAACTCGCGCTTATCGTTGTCGTCGTTGCCCGTATTGGCGAACGCTGTGTACTTGCTCGCGGCATTGACGAGACCGCCAAAGTTGTAGAGCGACACAGCATCCGGGAACATGGATCGGAACCTCTCCTGATCGAAGAAGCGCGCGAAGCCTGATAGGCTTGATGACCCCGATGTGGAGGATGGAGCGGCTGTCGAATTTGTCCCCGACGATGAAGACGACGTAGAGGCTGAAATCGAGCTACCTGAGGCCGATGAAGATCCTGACTCGCTTGCGGAGAACGACTCGCTTCCCGAAGATGAATCGCTCCCGGGGATCTTGGCCGAGGTGCCCGACGACGACGAAGAGAGCGAGTCGGCTTCCGACGGAGCGGGACGCATCGACGGCGGGGAAGTGAACCGAGAGTGCTTGCACGTACCAGCAGCAGCTACGGCCATCAGACCCACAGAAGCGATGACTCCAGCAAACTTCATGGGCGCGATTCGGTGGACTGAAGGACTTGAAAGCTTGGAGACGAATTCCGAAATGCCGAAATGGTAGCATGGTCCCGATGTGATGTAAAGCAACCCGGTAACTAGCTGGGGGTGCTCGCTTTTCGGCAGGAAGCGCTGAAGGACAGCCAGCAATAACCCATGCGACCGCCGACAGTCGCATGCAACGGTTAACAGTTAAGAGTCTCACTTGAGACCACAAGTCTGTGGGTTGCTCCGCGCTGACCATCGGCATCCTTGACTTTCTCCAACAACAAAACTTAATACTGTGGTATGATCTGTATTTCTCTGGCCCACATTTAAGAAACAACACTTCGGTTTTCTGGACATAACTATTTGCTCCGTTTCACGCTATGATTTAAAGAAATCTAGCAGCAGAAAGAAAAGAGAAACAGCCTTTTATCTGAAGTCCGTTTTAGGCAACATTAGGTTTTTTAGCGAGGTGCCGTCAAAAATTAGCGATATTAGAAAATAAAATATAACCGTAATCGCGAGTGACTGCTTTACCCTTATGTTCGGTTGTCGATGTTGTAGCGCCTGTTGGAGACGAGTTAGAAGGGCTACAGTTTTGAGGTTTTTCTACGCGATTATCTCGACATGCGCGGACCCATTTATTTTGGCTAATAGTAAGCTGCAACATTTGATTATACCCAATCATATGTGACATGTGGTCCACATCAAATTGAGGTTTAATGCCGAATGTTGTTTCTTAAGTGGGCCAGAGAAGTATCAGTCGATACTTGGACGATGCGTGTAGATCCGAAAACTTCGTCACGAAGCTCATGGAAAACTTCAGTTGTATTTACTAGCCGAGCGCCGCCGCTACGCGGCGGGGATTTTTAGTTAGTTGGCGCTTCACTCGCTATGCTCGCTCCGCTATTGGAGCAGACTGCCTACGCTTCGCTACGGCAGGGCGGACCCGTTCCGCTCGCCTCGTCGGCTCGCTGCATACTCTCAATGTTAGGTTAGTACTACAGAGGCCGAGGCGGGTCCTGCGGCCCCGCAATATCGTATGAGGGGGTCGCCTTCGGCGGAGCCGCCTTCGCTGCGCTCGGCAGCTAATCGGAATTAGTAGGAATCGCACTTAGTGAATAAGCGTGACGATTTTGTGACGGACGGACAGCGCGTCTTTCTGATTGATTCTTAGGATTCATGAAGTTTATATGCATGCAAGCACGAGTACCTAACAGTATCTACGCGTTGCACGATGAGTTTCCGAGGGGCTGCACGTCCAGCGCCTCGCACATCTTGGCGTAGTACTTGATACGCTGCTGCTCGTTGGCCGTGTTCGGAGCACTGGGTCCACACTCAAGAGCGCCGTTGATGATGTCGGTGGATTGAGCAAAGCCGTTCTCGCCCGCCACGACGTCGTGGATCACGCGACCGCCTTGCGGGGTCATCCAGTACCAAAGTGCCGTCATCCACGTGACTGCCGTGTCGTTCGCGACGATGTCCGGGTTGTTAAGCAGGTCAATACCCAGCGCATTTCCGGCGTTGTAGTAGTTGTAGTTCCACGAGAGCTGAATGGGGCCGCGACCGTGGTAGCGACGCCCAGGAGCGCAGGCGATAGTGCTGTTGTCGCAGTACTGCCACACCGTGTACGTGTTGCGCGCGTACTCCTCGGCCGCCTTGAAGTTGTCGCTCTCGTGCGCGGTCTGAGCCAAGAACGCCGCCAACTCGCGCTTGTCATTGGTGTCGTTGCCCGTGTTGGCAAACGTCGTGTACTTGTTGGCGGCGTTCACGAGGCCGTCGAAGTTGTAGAGCGGCACGGCGTCCGGGAACATGGCGTGGAATCGGTCCTGGTCGAAGAAGCGAGCGAAGCTCGAGTTACTCGACGGCGACGAGGTGGGGGACGGAGCGACAGTCGTCGCGGCCGGGGTCACGGCCGGGATCGACTGCTGCGTGGAGGACTGATCCGCTTCACTGGAGCCCGCAGCAGCCACGCCCAGCAGGCCCATTGATGCGATGACGCCAGCGAACTTCATGGTCGGCTTAAAATTGGTTGGACGGTCGGTAGTGTTGCTTTGGATGCTTGGAGGCGAATTCGGAAGTGGCGATCTCAATCCAGAGCTTTTGCGTTGCGAGCTGGAGGGTGGGAAGCGCCAAAGCCTTTCACTTCACTCGTGCAGTCGGGATAGAGCAAAGAGGTTCAAATAAAGTGGAGGCCACAAGCTGCTTGCCTGTTCCCCATCCGGGCGCGAGTTCTCGGTCAGATGGCACTTCTTGTGGCGCTGTCACATTGCAAATGGGTCCTACAAATCGCTTTCGCCTGAATTCGTCGACCCACGAGAGCTGTGGAGCCTTGTGACGTTATGTCTCACCTCGCATTGCAATCTGCTAGCACCCGCTGTGGCAGAAGCAACCACGTGCTGTATCCCGCAGCTATAACTGCTGTACTTCTAGCTCGCCCCCTGTTTCGTACTCTTGCCCCACGCCAGCGCTATCGCTTCAAGCGCTTCGAACGGATGCGACCTTCTCCCGAGTCCAGTCGTACAACCCGAGCAAGTCGGCGTCGATGCGCGTGAGGTGCGAACCATGCTCTTCTCTGAGACTGTTCACCTCCTTTCGCAGGTGTTTGACCCCTTCCAGAAGCTTTTGCTGCTCCACATTCATATGCGAGCCGCGAGGGCTGCTGGAAGCTGCAGCAGTCTCCTTCCGCTTCTGTACGTTGTAGAACGCCTCGAGCGTAAGCACTGATGCCTTAAGCGTCTTCAGCTCGTCATCCCACGCAGTGTGTGCCTTCTGCAGGCGCTTCGACAACTCGCTGGGAATTTTGGTTATCATCTTCAGAGCGCAGGGGAAGTACAGGTAAGGGTATCAGCAGTGTTCGACAGCACTAAAATTGACCACCCCCGTACCTGGTCGTAGCAAGCTCGCACGTCTTGCAGCCGGACCTCCACCTCCTTCTTGAGCGCGCGGTGGCTCTTTGCTGCCTCTCGCATTCGGTTCGTCAGTGCGTCAAACTGCTTTCTGTCCGCCGACCGGTACGCCAACGAGTCTGCCTTCCTGGAAAACGACCACAACTGGGTGAGTTTCGGCTTGCAACGCATGACAACAGGGTGTCGGCTTACATCGCCTCGATATCGGTCGCGAGCTCTTGGAGCTTTAAGGCGACGCCCAAGTCTCCGCCCTGTGTCGTCTCCACCATATTCACACTCGCTATTGACCTAGAGCCAGATCGCTGGTCTGTGAACAAAGTGGGGAGCTGCGCCTTCATTGACGCTGGCAGCGCCAACTTCAGTTTGAGCAGCTCCTTGTCCAGCGCAAACAGCTTGTCGTCCATCTCGTCGATTTTGTCGGCGTGACTCTGAATCGTATTGTGTTGCTGCTCAGTGCCGCGAGCGATCTCACTCCGAACGCTTGCCACGGCGTCCTCGATGGCGTTCAGCCTCTGGGTCATGAACTCTTTCGACGCCACGATCTGTGTCATGTACAACAGATCGTTGGTTACGTCACCGGATCGTAAAGTAACGATCAGCAACTTCTGCTCGCCCACCTCTTGGTGCAGCAGTCGGATCTCCACTGCATGCTCATCCTGCACTTCTTGCAACTTGCTAATCAGCATCCGCAGCTCCTGTCGCTCATGTGATCGGTTACTATTAGAAAGCCCTCTCAATCGATGGCTTTGCATCAGCTCGTACATATCGATCTGCTGTCGCCTGCTCGTCGACCTGCTTGACCGCGTTTTCAATCCTACAGTCCACGACGCAGCACTGCTGCTGCCTGGCCTCCACGTCGTTGATCTGGTCCTGCAGCCCCTCCAGCAGCTCCTGCGACGCCTCGTCCAGCTGCAGTCGGTGGCGCTTCTCAACCTGCAGAGTCTGTAAAAGCCGCGCCTCAGTGTAACCAGGCAGCACACTACTCACACAGACAGAGCTTCCGAACGCACCTCCACCGCCTGCGTGAGCTTGTGCACCTGCGGCATCAAGTCCTGCGCCAGCGTGCGCAGGTTCTGCCTCGCCGTCTGCAGCGCCGCCTCCGCCTTCTCGCGGCGACTGCGCTCGCTCACGAGGTTGTTGCTTCCTCCCAGCATGTGCGGCTTGGGCCGCGCAGCAGCAGCAGCAGCAGCCTTGGCCACCATACTCCCTCTCTGCAGCCTCTTCAACTTCAACAAGTGTCGTTTCGGTTTTTGCTCCCCTCCCGAACTCGATACCAATCCCCGATTGATTGATGTATTCCACCCGATTTCGTGTGTGTCCACACCACCCATCAAGATCCGCTTGGGGTTTGGCCACTTCACTTCGAACGTCCCGCAGCTCCGTCGCGCTCGGAGCTTCCCTGCCTTCGCCCTCGCCTCCGCCTTCGCCTGCCCGCTTCCCCCCTCGGGAGCGACGTTTATGGCCTCGCCGTCCGCGACTTCTCCGACCCTCGCGCACAAGAAGCCCAAGCTGAGCCACGCTGCGCCGTCGCCCGCCGTCCCCATGACGCTGCACTCGGTGCGCGGCGAGCAGCGCCACTGGGACCTGCTGCGCGTGCTGGGCCGCCGCACGGCCTTCCCCAGCGAGACGTCGGCCGTGGCGCTGGGCGAGTTCGACCTGGAGGCCGCGGCAGACACGCTCGAGTTCCTGCAGAGCGAGTGCCGCGTGCTCATCATCGGCGCCGGAGGGCTCGGGTGCGAGCTGCTGAAGGACGCCGTGCTCTCGGGCTTCACCAAGGTGGACATCCTGGACATGGACACGATCGACGTGTCCAACTTGAACCGGCAGTTTTTATTTCGCGGGGCCGACGTGGGCAAGTCCAAGGCCGAGTGCGCCGCCGCCTTCGTGCGCGCGCGCATGGGGGACGCCCACGTGGACATCACGCCGCACTTCAAGAAGGTGCAGGACATGGACGCCGACTTCTACCGCCAGTTCCACGTCATCCTCTCGGGGCTCGACAACATCGAGGCCCGCCGCTACCTCAACTCGCTCGTGGTGTCGCTGGCCGAGGTGGGCGACGACGGCGAAGTGGACCCTTCCACCATCATCCCGCTCATCGACGGCGGCACCGAGGGCCTGCGCGGCCAGGCGCGCGTCATCATCCCACGGATCACGAGCTGCTTCGAGTGCTCGCTCGAGACGTTTCCGCCGCAGAAGAGCTTCCCCATGTGCACGATCGCCGAGACCCCGCGGCAGCCGGCGCACTGTGTCGCCTATGCGTTCATCGTGCTGTGGCCGCGCGAGTTCCCCGACAAGAAGCTGGACAAGGACTCGCCCGAGCACATGCAGTGGGTCTACCAGGCCGCCAAGGACCGGGCCGAGCAGTTCGGCATTGCCGGGGTCACGTACAGTCTCACGCTTGGAGTGGTGAAGAATATCATCCCGGCCGTGGCCTCGACCAACGCTGTCGTGTCGGCCATGTGCGTGAGCGAGGCGCTCAAGGCCATGACGTACTGCAGTCGGCTAATGAACAACTACCACATGCACATGGGCGCCACGGGCTGCTACTCGCACACGTTCCAGTACGACCGCAAGACCGACTGCGTCGTGTGCTCCTCGCAGCAGAAGACGCTGCATGTGGATCCAGACGCGACGACGCTGCAAAAGTTGATCGACCAGCTCTGCGGCGACGATTTCCGGCTGCTGAAGCCCTCCATCAGCTCAGGCAATGCGAACCTGTTCATGCAGGGCCCGCCAGCACTGCGCGCGGCCACCAGCGCCAACCTGGCGAAGCCGCTGCGCGAGCTCGTGAAGGACGGAGAGAGTCTCACCATTACAGACGCAGTCTTCGTCGGTGATATGGCGCTGTCTTTGAATATTATCTTCAAGCCCAACAAGATAAAGAACGGCGTGGAGCAGCCGACGCCAATGGAGGACTAAGTACTCCACGAATCAATCAATATAAAGGGTCTTGCCTTCTTCTTACTTAAGTTTCTGCTTGTGTCAAAGCTTGCTGTTTGATACGCGTACGACGCGTGCAAACTACACGAACATGCAGGGGTGCAAACACTTAAACTCCACCCTCACGTACCCACCACAGCGTCCACATCAAGTGCATCCTAACTACACTGGCACGGATCGACTGCTGGGGCTCGTCTGGTGGATCAGCAACTTCTCAAGCAGCCGCATGAGGTACGTGATGTCCTCCTCGTCCGAACGCACGAACATCTTGACAAACCGAGGCGGGACCGATGGGCCGCCGAAGCCAGTCGGCACTAACAGCGTGTAGATCTCCAGGACCGTCGCGGGGTTCTCTTGCGTGTGGGCGTCTGAGGGCCGAACGACGACCCACACAGTTTCATCCATGGCCAAGCCGTCGAACTCGCCCTGGCCTTCACTTCGAGCGCGCCACACAAACACCACGCGGTCCGCCTCGACGTATCTCCTGATGGCACAGTAGACGACGAAAGTGACGCTGTCGCCCGACTCCCACGAGTAGTTGAGGCGATACGTCGAAGCCGTCGTGTTCTCCGGGTCCTCGATCCCCTCGCTGTGCGGATTCTCTCTGGGATCCGACAGCATGGCGAAAGAGACGGCATGCCGCGCCTGCTCGAAGCCGAACGGGATGACGGTGGCGTCCGCGCTCTCGAGGAACGTCATGCCCTGGTTCCACTTCCACGTGCGCTTGTACATGAGCGAGCACGAGAACTTAACGTCCAAAGTCTCGATCACCTCGTTTGTCTGCGCGTAGATGGCGTCCAGCTCGTGCACGAACGTCTTAAAGAGCGCCGTGCCCTTCTTCTCCCAGCCCGAGGACGGGCCCTCGAGCGACAACAAGCTCTCGAGCTGGCTGCTGGCCATGCGGTGCTGCAGCAGCGAGTGCATCTGGTGAATGAGCTGGGCGCGACTGATGACCGCGGCCTTGAGCCGCCGCTGCTGCCCCTCGGACTCGAGTCGCCGCTCCTTCTGGCGGACGCACGTGGCCCGCCACACACTGAGCGTCAGCGCGTCGGCCCTTTCGGCCTCCTGCTTGGCCCGCTGCTGGGCGACCTTCCTGCGCTCCAACTCGTCCGAGAGCTCGCGCACCTGGCGCTTCAACGTCTCGCGCTTGTCCTTGACGCGCCGGAGGTACTTGACGCGGCGCTTGGCCGCCTGCGCGTTGGTGATCTTGCGTCTCCTCTCGGCCTTCGACTGCTGCTGCGCCGCCGCGCTGCGGTCGCTGTCCTCCGACGCGTTCTCGTCGGTCGGCGGCGCTTCGGCCTCGTGCAGGTCGACGGAGGCCTGAGCCAGGGACGCCTCGGTCTCCGTTACGAGCAGTTGGCTCGCGAGCAGCAGCTCGTCCACGGCGGGGATCGGCGCCGCGTCCGCCACAGCGACGGCGGGCGCCTCGTACTCGCTCAGGAACTGCGTCACGGCCGCCAGCGTCTCGTCCATCTGCTGCTTGTCTTCCATCTTCTTCCTCTGCTTCGTTCTAGTTTATGTTCGGTCTGAAGGGATCGATGTTGAGTCGCCTGGGGTAAATGATGCTGGCAAAGCATTTGGAGGTTGATGGCGTCCGCCGGTATGATATCTCGCGACGTCAACTACGTAAAAGGAATGCATGGCCATTGATCTAACTAAAGCTTTTATCTACAGTTTCAACTCGAGCACGTCGGCCTCATCGTTGGTCTCACTGTCCAGGAGCATCCGCCGCATCGCTTGGCGGAGCTCCTTCATGTCTTCCGAGTCGGCGTGCGCCAGCAACTCGACGAATCGGTCTCCGCGCGCGCCCCCGCCCTCCACTGGCCCGTTGAACCCGAGGATATGCACCTGCGCGCAGCTCTCCGAGATCGTCGTCGGACGGCCAGCCTCGTCCGTCGACGGCCGCAGCGCGAGCCACGCGTGCTCGTTCGCGTATAGGTCCTCGAACTCCCCCTGTCCTTCGATAAGGTCGCGCCACACAAACACCACGCGCTCGACCTCGACGAAGCGCCGAAGGGCGTTGTAGATGGTTAAACTCGCGCTGTCCCCGGATGGCAACGTGTACTGCAGGTTGTACGATAGCGCTGCCGTGTTGTCCGGGCCGTCGATCTCCCCCGTGTAGTGGTTTCCGGTCTCGCCCGATAACAACAACACTGACATGGTTCGCGTGATCTGCTCGACGGTAAACGGCATCACGGTCGCGTTCGCCCCCTCGAGCGCGGTCTTGGTCTCGTTCCACGACAGCGCCCACCTGAACCGCTCCGGCGGCCACTGCTTGAATTTCACGCCGGTCATGACGTCGTTGGTCCTCGCGTACAGCGAGTCGAGCTCACCCACGAACGTCCGGAACAGTGTGTGGCTTTTGGGCCCTGCTTCTAGGCTCTTGAACGGCTTGTCCACCGCCAGGGGTTGCAGCAAGAGCGCGTTCATCTGCCGGATCAGCTCGGCTTGATGAGCCACAGCAGCCTTGAGGTGTCGCTGCTGGTTCTCCGCTTCCAGTCGCTTTTCCTTCTGACGCGCTGCGGTCGCCCGCCACGCGCTCAACGCCAGAGTATTGGCCTTCTTCTCCTCCTCTTTGGCCTTGGCCGTGGCCTCCTGCAGCGCTTTGAGCTCGGTCGAGAGCTCTCGCTCCTGCCGCTTCAGCGTCTCCCGCTCGTTCTGGAGCTTCTTGCGATAACGATCGCGTCGGTCAGCGGCCTTGAGCCTGCTCCTCTCCAGACATGCCCCCGAAGTGCCCTGCTTTGTTCGAAGCCTTACCAACGGGCCGTGTTGCTGAGCCTCCTCTGGCGCGAGACGCACCGACGCCTCGTACTCGAGTTGGAACGCGCGACGACTCGTCGCCTGCCATTTCGCGAGTGCGGTATTTTGCGACTTGGCCTATGCACAGATGGAGACGACCGCGCCAATGAAAAGGATGCTCACGAACCAAAGGACGAATTGCGATTTAGCCGCATACACTACAGTGTTATTTTGGTCTTCAAAAACGCGGTTAGTCTCCAAAACTTCAAATGGTTCGTAAGCAGTCGCACTGGATATCGTTGCGTCCAAGAAACGAGTTTGCCCCGGATTTTGCAAGCATGGATGCATGACACCGAAATCTGTATTGGAGATAACGTGTACAGCGAAATTGACGACTTGGACGACGATCACTTGACGCTCACTTTGACAAGCGCACCCTGCAGCCATATACATGTATCGTCATTCTGCATGAGCGTTTGAGCAACAGCACCAATCGGTTGCTGTACGTTGTATTACTTTAGCAGGACCTAATGACTCATTTTGAACAGTAATCCCCATTCATAGCAACGACTCTGTCAAGTCATTAAGACGTCCACGTTAGCGGACTTCACATCACTGTCTACAGAATCAGGTATCGATGGCTATCTTTCTTTAAACCTCTCTCGTACGCTCTTCTTGCGTATTCTTGCTTCTTGCAGCATTACGTGTACATGAACGTAAACTGCATTGCGAATTTCAGTCTATAATAGCTTGCAAACTTCCTTTACATACAACCCGATCGTAGAGTACTGTATTACTTCTTGCAAAATGTGGATCGTCAACCGAGCTACTTGCATCAAGCGGGCGATATACCAAAGGCCACGCAAGAGCTCCATGCTACACGCATGGAAGGCCTCACGATTCTTGAGTCAAGATTCTCGACTCAAGTATCCCGCAGCGCTTGCTTCCGATTTTAAGGCTAATGATGAGTATCGCGTATGTTTAGTCGGCGGATCTCACAGTTCGCACATGTTCAACTCCTGCAACATCCCGAGATGTGCAAATGAACTCGCTCGAAGCGCAGCGGCGGCGAATCGGCCGGATGTCGACCACCAATGTATGAAGATTGGTGGTCGTCTTCCGCGGACTTCTCAATACTGTAGCATTCTTCGCAAGAATCAAGACTTTCATGAATGAAAAAGGGTGCTCCGCAGAGTACGATCCGTTGAGCTCGCGCTCCTCATTTGAACACAACACTGCTAAATCTTTATTACCCAGCCTCAAAGCCCACCGGTGGGCTCGGTCCAAATCCCACGCGTGGGCTCAAAAACAATAGTTGTAGATAAGACGTTTTCGCTTTCCAAAGCAATGCAATTGATTCTAAAGAGCTCTAAATGGCACAATGAAATACAAGTGACTAGCCACGGACCCCCAGAAGCAACAGCACAGCAAGCTAAATGAATTCACGTGATGCATGCACTGTTGGGACATAACTGGTTGTAGCCTTCAACAGCCATAAGGCGTCACCTTGTTGTACCCATGACGAAATTGTAGGGATTCCGACTTTGGGGGAAAATCAGTGACCCAGTAACGCTCTATCGAGTTGGTAGTGCTTACAATAAAGTCTACACAGTATTTGAAGTGTTCATGTGGTCGGCTCTTGCAAAGTTTCACCGCCTACCACCATTAGAACGGCTAAGAAACAAAATGTCGAACAGCTATAATAGGTCATTTTTTGGCCCAATCTCAGCCGCTGTTGCTACTACTGCAGTACTTGCTTAACGCTGTGCGGCTTGCATTCCTTCCCTTATACGTAGAGGTACACCTCGAGTATACCAGCACCGATTCTAAAAACATACTTAGCAAAAAGTTGCGATCAGGTCACTATTTTCTCGACCAAAATCTTTGTCCGGACATTTTTTCGTGAAGACGACTCCGTTTGAAGCCGGCCAAAAGGCGCTGAACAGATCTCTATCTCGTTTATTTATATGCGGAAGGGTATCTCTAAATAGGCCAGACAACAATAGTATCGGCGTTTTGAAGTGAGCCCACGCGTGGGCTCAATGGGTAAAGACTCAGTTGTTGGAGAGTACCCGACTCAGAGCAACTCTTATCATGATGCCCCTCCTCCTCCTAGGGCCACAGGATCACCAACCAGCAGCCGTTGCAACGCTTGAGTGACGTCGTTTAGATCTTCCTCGTCCATCATCACCAGAAGCTTGATAAATCGCTTCCCACGCGGGTCACTCGAGACTGGCTGTCCGTTGAGATGGACGGGTTTCAAACGCGTGAACAGGACTCGCAAGCGAGTTTTCCCCTTTGGTGGATGGACGAATCACTAGCCACGCGCGCTCATCCGCGTACAAGCCGTCAAACTCTCCCTGTCCTTCACTGAGGACTCGCCAGATGAACACTACGCGATCCGCTTCGACATATCTCCGCACCACTGTGTAGACGACTAACGTTGCGCTGTCTCCAGACTCCAGCGTGAAGATTGGCGATACGTTATAGCCGCCGTATTCTCTGGGTTCTCGATCTCTCCACGGTAGTGACTTCCGTCGGGGTCAGAGAGGAAAGTCAGCGTTATGGCCAAAGAGATCTGCTCTACGTCGAAGGGGAGTTCGGTCTCATCCGCCCGTGTCAGGAGATCTCCGTCTTGAGTCCAGCCCCGCTTGGCTGCGTACGACTCTGGCTGCAACACCTTGACTTCTGCGTTTGAAAGCACAGCGTCAGTCTGAGCGTGCAACGAGTCTAGTTCGTCCACGAACGTCTTGAACAGCAAGCCAGTGTTCATTCCTGAGGATACAGTCCCCACCAAACTACTGCCCAGACGCTGCTGTGATAGCAGTGCATTCATCCCGCGAATGAGTTCTTGTTGACGGAGCACCGCCGATTTGAGGCGTTGCTGCTGCTCTTCCGCTTGCGACCGGAGCTCTTGCTGGCGCAAGGCCGACACTCAACGCCATCGTGTACGACTCTTTCTCCTGCTGCTTCTCCCTGGAGCGGGCATCCTGTAGTCGTTTCAGCATCCTCGACAGTTCACGCTCTTGTCGCTGCAGCATCTGCCTTTCGTTTTCCACCTTCCTGCGATACTGATCTCTGCGTTCAAAACCTCTGGCCTTCCCATTCTCCGCTGCGGGGGACCATGAAGGACTGCTGTCGTCTTGAGTAAGACAGTCGATGGACAGCTCGCAGTCGCGCAGGAACGCCGTCACTGCTGCCAAGGTGGCTGCGTCGGGTGTTGCTTGATCCACCATCTTGCGTGCAGAGGTTAGATTCGGAAGTGCGGTGGCAGGTGGTTCTTGCGGCGGTGAGGATTTCTAGCCTAGCGCTGCGGACAGAACTTTGCGTGGTGTCTGGATCTTGAGACAATGCGCACAAAGTTGGGGGCAACTTTAGCAGGTGTGAGGAGTGAGTGCATCATGCGTGAGTGATCGTATGTCTTGCACTAACTCTATACATGTGGAATCACACACTATGGCCACCACGAAGCCGCCAAGTGATGTAAGAATTTCTTCATTGTCGCGTTCACTCTGACCCAAAACTGCACCATAATCTTCCTAGTGGGTTTGCCCGAGCTTCATCGAGTAGCAGTTTGCCCAGCATTTGCTTCATGTCGTTGACGTCTGCTTCGTCCGCCTTGGCGAGAATTTTAATGAACTTGTTGGCGCGGGCGTCGTCATCGGACGGCCTACCAAACCCAACCGGCACCAAGCGGGTGTAGCTCTCCAAAATCATGGCACTACTGCCCTTGGTGTGGCGTGCTTCAGTCTCTCCAGCTTTAGCTTCAGCCTCAGCTGCGGTGAGCGGACGGACCACAAACCACGCAGTCTCGACTGTGTGCAGCCCGTCGAACTCGCCCTGACCTTCTGCCAGTGCACGCCACACAAACACCGCGCGGTCCTTTTCCACGTACCTCTTGACCGCATTGTAGACTACTAGAGTCGCACTGTTCCCCAGCTCGCGCGAGAAGTTGAGGCGATACGTTCTGATGGCCGTGTTGTCCGGGTCATCGAGCTCATCGTTGTAGCTGGGGGCGAGTATCATCAACGACACGGCGCGACACGTTTGCTCGAAGCTGAAGGGGATCACTGTGGCGTCCGCGCTCTCGAGGAAGCTCTTGTCCTTGCTCCACTTCCGTGTCAGCTCGTAGGTCAGGGGCGGTGACATGCCGAAGTCCACCTTCCCGATCACATCGTCGGTCTTGGCATACAGCGCGTCCATCTCGCGCACGAAGGTCTGTAGCAGCACCTTGCCCTTGCGATCCCTGCTTGCCGCCTGGTGCTCGCTGCTGTTGAGCAGACGCTGCTGCTGCACCAAGTGGTTCATGCGGTGGATCAGAGCGGACTGGTTGACGACGGCCATCTTGAGTTGCCGCTGCTTCTCCTCGGCCTCCATCCGCCTCTCCTTCTGGCGCGTGGCAGTCGCTCTCCACGCGCTGAGCGTCAGCGTCTTCTTGTTCCTGGCCGTCCTCTCCTTCGCGTGGGCCTGCTGGAGCTCTTTGAGCTGCGCCGACAGCTCCACCTCCTGCTTCTTGAGCGTCTTGCGCTCTACCTTGAGCTTCTTGAGGTACCGCAGTCGCCGCTTGGCGGCCTGCGCGTTCTTGAGCTTGCGTCGTCTCTCGGCTGGGCTCGGGCTCGGGCTCAGGCTCGAGACCGTTGTCTCGCTGGCTTCATCTGCGTCGACGGTCTCCGCTATAATGGGGTGATGCTCAGTAAACTGGAGACCAGGAGGACCGACTGTGGCATCAGCTTGGAGCTGCGCGTCCACGGGCGTTTCGCACTCGCGCAGAAACTCCGTCAGCGCCGCCAGCGCCGCCGCATCCACCGGCTCCTCGTCCGCACGCATCCAGGTCAAGCGCGGTCTCTGATAAATGACCTTGTGTACAGCACATAGGAAAGGCCGGCGGCATTGGATTGCAGGAAAGCGAGCAATGCATTCGATACAGTCTCCTTCCTACTGGATACAGTACTATGCCTGGTCTAGAAGCATGCCTTCTAGCGTCCGAGTCATGGCGTTGACGTCGTCCTCGTCCGCCTGCGCCAAGATCTCTATGAACCGGTTGCTGCGCCTGACAGCTCGAAGCCAACGGGTACGAGTCGGGTGAAGACCTCCACGACCATCGCCTCGTCCTTAGCTGCTGACGGGCGCAGCACATACCACGCGGTTTCATCGGTGTACAGACCCTCAAAGTCGCCCTGGCCTTCGGTGAGCGCGCGCCACACGAACACGACTCGATCAGCCTCGATGTATCTCCTCACCACGGAGTGGCTCGTCACGGTCGCGCTCTCCCCCAACTCGCGCGAATAGTCGAAGTGGTGCTTCATGGCCCTGGTGTTCTCCGATCCGTCGACTTCGATGCGGTCCCCTCTTGGGTCGTGCAGCATCAGCGATGTCATCGCGCTGCTGCTGGGATGATCGTCGAGTCCGCGCTCTCCAGAAATGTCATGGCTTGGTTCCATTCGCGTGTCAAGCCGAACTTGAGCGGCGACGGAGAAGGCTTGAAGTTGGCTCCACTACAGACCTGGTCGGTCATGCCATGAAGCGCGTTGAGCTCACGCGCAAACGCCCTGAATAATGCGAACGAGTGCCCATCAGAGGGAGTAATTGGGCAGTGCGGCACGCGCGTGACCTTGAGCAGCAAGTCTTTCATCTCACGGATTACCTTCGACTGGTGTTCCACGATGAGCCGGAGCTTTCGGCGCCGTTCCTCGGCTTCGAGTCGACTCTCTCTTTGGCGAATTGTGACGGCTTTCCAGGCGCCAAGTGCCACATTTTCAACCACGTTCGCCTTTGCTACGGTTTGAGCTTGCTGGAGGTCGCGTAACTGGGCGGATAGTGCTTGTTCTTGCTGCTTTAGCGCCACTCTTTCAGCCTTGACCTTGTTGATGTATCGCAGTCGCCGCTGGGAGGCCATCGCGTTCTGGATCTCACCTGGTCAATATTGTCACGAAACGAGGGGCTGCCACCGCTCGAGCTGCCATCACCGCTTGTTCCGCTGTCGCCGAGGGCGCAAAACGAAGTGTCTTGGTCGACTTCTGCAGCCGCTTCGTATTCCCGGAGGAATGTCTCCATGGCTGCCAGGGAAGCTGCGTCCATCGGTACGCCGTTAATCATGGTTTGCTTCTCATGTACCGCTCGTAATGGAAAGTGAGGAAACGAGGAAGGTGCGTTCTCTTGTGTCGACGCAACTGGATATTTGATAAGCTACGTGGTTGTATGTACAGTACTCTGTCCGCGTTAGTAGAGACTTGCAAATCCCTTTTGACCGCCAGCTTAATTTCAGAATCGCCGGGCTGGCTCACCTCATCCAAACTTCATTCAATGAATCGTACATGATAACGAACTTCTTAGTTCGTGACAAATACAGTAGTATCGGTGCATGTAGCTTCACCGTGAAGGCTTCACGTTGGTTCCCTTTTACTAAACGATTCACTTCTTGTGACCTCGCTAGCCTGCAAAACTCCGAGTTATTAGCACCTTGTGAAAATATTACAGCTCCGACCTCAAGGGTCCGCGAAGAATGCCACCCCTCTTGGTGTCAAGTGTTGCCAAGGCGCAAAGCTGATACATTACACATTACGACAGTGCATGAAAAACGTGTGGCGGAGGCAGGGTCCTGTGAGGCTACTGTTCTACTACGACCGGTTCGTTCGATCCTGCAAAGGCGTGCTCGTAGCCGATCCGTTCTGCTGCGGGACAGGGGATGTCACGGACTGGTGGCTAGACCGCCGTGCCTTCTTGGCGGAGCGGCGGCCGCTCTTGGGACTAGTCATGCTAGGAGTTTTCGGCGTCGCAGTAGCATTTGCGGGCTTGCTGGTGCCCTGCTCGTAGATCTTCGGGTTGATGGTCACACTCTTGGTGGCGTCGTTTGTCTTGTAGATGCCCACAAGACGATCTGCAAGCTCGAACATGTTGTTGCGCAACGATATAATGATGAACTGTGCGTTGCGCGTACGCTGCTTGATGTAGTTGCCCACAATCGAGACATTCTTGAAGTCGAGCGCAGCATCGATCTCGTCCATTACATACAAGGGGGTCGGCTTGTAGTGGTGCAGCGCAAACACCAGCGCCAGCGACGCGAGGGTCTTCTCACCACCAGACAAGTTCGAGATGTTTTTCCAGCTCTTCTTCGAGGGCCGCACGCTGAACACGACACCCTCCGAGAACGGGTCCAGCGAATCCACCAGCTCCAGCTCAGCATCACCACCAAGCGTAATCATCTGATACATCTCCTTAAGCTTTAGCGTGATGGTGCGGAAGCCCGTCATGAACTCCTCCAGTCGCTTTCGACGAAGCTCGTCGTACTCGTGCCGCTTTGCATCACGGAGCTTCGTCGATTCTTCCAACTCCAGGACACGGGCCTTGTACTCCTCCTCCTTCTGCTTGTACTCTGTCAGCGCACCCATGTTAACGTTTGCCTTCAGCTCATCGCGCTGCTGCTCTAGCACGGAAATCTCGTACTTCATTTCTTCCTTGCTGTAACGAGACAACGCAACGGTGTCCAACATAGGGAGCTTCTCCAGCGTCACGTCCAGGTTAGCGTCTTCTCCCTCTTCGCTGTTCTCGTCCTCGTCGTCATCCTTGTGCTCCTCTCCCATATCCTCGTCTTCGTCAGCGCTCTTGCTCTTCTTCTGGCGCTTACGGGCGGGCAACTCCCGTTCATCTTCGAACACGCCAGCATTCTGTTCCTGCTCGGTGACGAACGCAGCATGCAGCGAAGAAAGCTTGGTCTTCCAGTACGTCTCCTTCTTTCCGTTTTCTTCCAGCATCTTTTCGCAGTCTTCCAGACTGTTCGCCAGATCCACTTCCGCACTCGCCATTTCGTCATACTCCTTCTTCAGCTTTCTGTACTTCGCCTCGTCCTTGCGAAGCTCCTTTTCTTTCGCAGTAACCTGTTCTTGAACCGACTCGCATTTCTGGAGAACCGCCAGGGCCTTCTCCTCCATCGCAGTAATCTGTTCGCGGGTGTCTTCGATCTTCTTCTTCGCTCCTTCGATATCCTCCTCAATTTTCTTCAGAGCCTGCTCATTCTTTTCGGTGTTCTTTTGGCTGCTCTTGAAGTCGACTCGAATCTTAGTCATCTGCTTTGTCTTCTCAGCAATTTGCTTCGTGATCTTTTTAGCCACATCCTGCTCCTTGCGCAGCTTTTCACCACCCACATCGAGAATTTGCTCTTTCATTTTGGCGAGCTTTGCTGCCATTTTGTCCACTTTCAACTTTGTGCTTTTGTACTCGGCCTCCTTTGCACTCTTCGTTTCGTTGAGCTTCGCAATTTGCTTCTTGGCTTCCGGAGATAGTGTCGTTTGCTTTTCCAGGACGCTCGTATTCTTCTTGAAATCTTTCAGACGTGTCTTCGTGGCGCTGACGTCCAACTCGATCTTCGGCAACTCGTTCTCGTACTGGTCAATTTTGCGGGTGATGTGGGACAGTTCTTTTTCAAGCGACGCCTTCTCGTCACGAATTTGCCCCAGCTCTTCTCGCAAGGACGATGCCTCATCTTGCAGAGCCCGAATCTCGTCTTCGCTTAAGCCGCTGGCGAGCGTACTGGACATACCTCCACTGCGAGCTCGTTTACCACCACCGGACATAGCACCAGACATCTCCACTAGTTGTCCATCCAGCGTGACAACACGGTACTTGCACTGGCGTCCTTGATAAGCGATCGCAGAAGCTTCGTCCAGGTCCTTAGCCACCAGTGTGTCGCGCAGAGCGTAGTAAAATGCCGGCAAATATTTTTCATCGTTCACTTTCACTAGGTCGAATAACCGTGGCGCCACATGTCCGGAAGGAGCAGTCACATCATGAAAGGTCTGGGAGTACTTCGACTTCAGGTAGCCCAGCTGCTCCAAGATCAGGAACGTCGTGCGTCCCAAGTTGTGTTTGCGTAGATAAGCAACGCACGCTTGTGCCCCCGACGTCGTCTCCACCACGAGATTGTTTAGAGCACCGCACGCAGTTGAAATAGCAACATCATACTTGCCATCAATCGCACCGAGGTCGCCCAGACGGCCGAATAGCCCAGCATTTTCCAGCGGCTTACCCGGTTTGGACGCGTCAAGAAGTTCCCGCAGCATGCGGTTTCGAGTTGCATGCGACTGGACCGCGCCAGAAGCCTCTTCAGCTTTCGTGCGTGCTTCGCGGTACTTTTCAGCGACACTGCCCTCCCTGCTCTTGACGTCGTCCAACTCTTGCTGGGCAGCACCGATGCGGTCCTTCATCTTCTCTAGCTTCTCGCGCTTTTCACTCTGGTCTTCTTCGAGCCCACGCAAATTCGCTTCCGCTTCAATGATGCCGCACGCATTGGCTTCAAGGGCCTTCTTGGCGTTTGTCACAGGTTCTTCTACTAGCTGGATCTCCGTCTCCGTGGTATCAATTACCGACCGCAAAGCATTCATCTCGGTTTGAAAGGGCTCCATATCCTGCTGGATGCTTTCCATCGTACTCCGCAGCTTGGCAGTTTCTGCCTTGTGGCTCTCGAGAATACCTTCTAGCACCTGCTCCTGCTTCTTGAGCTTGGCCTGCAGCTTTTCCACCTCCTTCTCCAGCTGCGGCACTAGCTCCTCGTTCTCTTGCACCTTTTGCTCGATGTTCTTCTGCTTCTTCAGCTCCTTCTTCTGCGATGCCTGTAGCTCCTTTTGGCGTTCCTTGGCGTACTTGAGCTCTTCGCGCAACTTCACATCCTGCTTCTCAAAGTCAGCGTACTCGGCCTTGGTCTCGTCAAGCTGTTTGGCTACTTCATCGTGCTCACTCTTCACGCGGTGGTAGACGGCTTCAACGGCCTGCAGCTCCTCGCGATTTTTCTCCATGCGAGCGAGCTCGGCCTTGTACTTGGCCTGCAGCTCGTCGCGCTTCGTCTCACACAACTCACGATTTTTGGACGCCTCCTGGATCCACAACTGGTACAGAATATTCGTCTTCATGTACACTTCCTTTTCCTTGCGCAGATACTCGAGTGCCTCAGCGCGCGGTCCCTCGAGATGCGCTTTCTCCTTCTCCACAAGTTTGACGCGGTTCACCTTGTCTCCGCGGACCTCGTTGCACTGCTCCACTTCCTCCCAGACCCGCTCCGTGGGTTCCACGTAGACGTTGGAGCCGATGATGTCTTCGAGGTACTCGAGCAGGCCGTCCTCGTTGGTTCCCTCGGCACCCTTGCTCTTCATCATAGCAATCTGTTCTACTTCTCCCTGCAGGATGAGAAAGCGGTTGTTGTCCAGGTCGATGCCCTTGTCTTGCAGCAGCTCCGTGACGCGCGTGAAGTTGCTGGGTCTGTCGTTGACGTAGTACTTGCTGACATTGCTCTTGGTGGCCGTGCGCGTGACGCTGAACTGCGAGTTAGGCACGACCGTGTAGTTCGCCTCATTGTCGTCCACTGCAGCGGCCTCGGGGCCGTCCGTGTCGATGATCTCCTGGAAGAAGACGGAGACCGTGGCCATGTCCAGGTCCGGGAAGCCCGCGGAGCGGTGCACGAGCTCCGAGACCTTCTTGAGTCGCAGCTTGGACGCGCGCTTGCCGAAGACGAAGAGCAGCGCGTCGATGACGTTCGACTTGCCGCTGCCGTTGGGGCCCACCACGGCGCTGAAGCACTTGTGGAAGGGCCCGATCTCCACCTTCCCGGCGTACGACTTGAAGTTCTCCAGCTGCATCTTGGTGATCATCAGCCGCTTCATGGGCGGAGAAGGAGCCGCCCCGGGCGTGGCGGGCGTCACTGGGGCGGAGACAGCAGCGGCCGCGCTTCGGGGCGCGGGAGACGCCGGCGTTGGCGTCTGCGACTCGGTCGGCTCAGTTGGCTCATTCACCTCGCTTGTTTTCGCCTCAGGTGTCGTGTCCATGCCCGGCGGCGGCGGCGGCGCCGCGGCACCTTCCACTGCGTCTGCTGCGTCGTCACCGGCCATCGCCACGCTCGTCCTGGGTTTTGGCGCGGAATGCGGACTCGGTTGGCGCACTCTAAATTTGTGAAAATCGTTTACACTGGATGTTTGTATCCAAGGGTACACATGGGTACATGTAGACTTTCGTTTTCAAAAAAATCGCGCAGGAGTGTTGGTCACTTGCAACTTCGAGTGATCATGGCAAGGCAGCCCAAGGCGGAGGCGGAGCTGCGCGCCTTGGCGGCGGCCAGGCTGCCGCTGGACGCGCTGGGACGAGTCTTCTCCTTCACCTGGACGCTGCGCGAGGCGCTGGCCGACGAGCTGGCCGATGTGGTGACGGTGCTGCTGGCCACGCGTGACGGCCCGTGCGCCGCGGGGCTGGTCGACGCCGTCGCCGTTGAGGGCCAGCTGCGCATGCTGCAGCTGCTGCACCGCTTCGACGCTGAGGGCTTCTCCACCGACGCCATGGACGGCGCCGCTCGTCGCGGGCGGCTGGACGTGGTGCGCTTCCTGCACGAGCACCGACGCGAGGGCTGCACCAGCAGGGCGCTGGACGGCGCGCTGGACGCTCAGCACGAGGACGTGGTGCGCTTCCTGGTGCAGCACCGGTCGGAGAAGTGGTCGGGTCGCGCCGCGAGCTGGGCGGCGGAGAATAACGACCTGCAGGCCGTGAGGGACATCCTCCGTCGCAACCAAGACTCCCCCACGGCGGAGGCAAAGGTCGTGGCCTACCAGCGCCGGCAGACGGAGATGCTCCGCTTTCTATATGAAGAAGGCACGGATAAGCGACCGTCCTACACGCTGGTGCACGCCTGTGCGGCCGGAGACATGGATTCGGTAAGGTACTTGACCGCCAAGGGCGAAGGCTTCGTCAAGAGCGCCATGTCCGAGGCCATCGCTGCGGGGGCCTTGGACATTGTCCAGCATCTGCACGAGCATGCGCCGCAGAGATACACCGAAGCTAGTCGTGCCGTACCCATGCAGGAGGCGGCGCTTAAGGGACAGCTTGATGTGGTAGTGTACCTAAATACGCACGCCCCTGAGCTGTCGTGCACGACCAAGGCGATGGACAACGCGGCGGCAGGTGGGTTCTTGGACATTGTAAAGTACCTGCATGGAAACCGGGAGGAAGGCTGCACCACACAAGCTATGGATCGAGCTGCCGCGAAGGGGCATCTCGATGTGGTGAAGTTTCTTCATGAGCACAGACAAGAAGGCTGCACGACAGACGCAATGGACTACGCGGCGCTGTGGGGCCACGTGGATGTCGTGCGCTTTCTACACGAGAACCGCGCAGAAGGGTGCACTGCGAGAGCCTTCAACGAAGCCTCTCTGCGTGGGCATGTGCAGGTGGTCGATTTCCTCATCCACAACCGACCGCAAAGCTGCAACGTTGCCCACGGAGTCAAGCTCGCGCGACAACGGAAATGCCAAGCTGTGCTCGAACTGCTGGAGTCCCATCGTCCATAACCCTCTCGCGCGAGTGTGCGTACTGTATTGAATCATTCCTTATATTGGGTAAATGCTTAATGATTAGGCGTCTTGAGAAGTGCGTCCCAGTCGAACTTAAAAGTAGGGTCTATTCCCTGGTGGATGGTGGTCGAGTTCATAATAATAACAAAGGTAGCGACGAGCTTGCCCTGCAGTGTCATAGTGTAGGACTCGAGCAAAAACGCGAGCTGGTACAGCGCCGAGATGCCGTACCGCTTCATCAGGAAAAAGTACACGAGCACAAAGGACACGACTTCCAGCAAACCGTACCCGAGCGACGTCACCACTTCACGAACCATGGCATCGTACGACATGTTCATCAGAATCACGTTGTACTTGGCGTTGGGTAGATTCCAGAGTCCGCCGATCAAGGCGGAATATAAGACCGGCACGAACATTTCGACGTACTCAACGAAGAGCAGCACCTCGGCTCCGAAGAGCAACTGCAGCGTTTGCTCAAGGATTCGAGCTTGATCTCTTTGAGGGATGAGAATGCCATCGATCGAAACGCCCGTTGTGCCATGCATTTCGACTCCACGGTGCTTGAACAACCGTTCGTCGTCTGAATCGCCCCCTTTCTTCTCGCGGCTTTTGTTGGCAGGAAGTAAGCTCACTGGTTGTACAGCTCGACTGAAGGCCTTCTTGAACAGTGTCGTATTCGTAGTCAGGCTGCAGCCACGAATGAAAGGTCCAACTGGAGAGGCTTCCCTTCTATCGGACACGGTATGACCAGCATTTGTCAGCGGCTGAATCTTTGCTGAGTCTTTGTTTCTCGAGCTGTCCAAGGGGGTCTCCGGGGTTCGTTGTTCGTCTAGTGTGCGTTAGTAGTGGGTCATGGAACATTACGCCGGCAGTTTTTTTCCTTACCGTAATTTACCACCGAGAACATTCCTGAAACCTTCTTTCGGGACAGCACGAGGACACGTCTTTTCGATATGAGGGTAGTTTTAGAACCTGAACCGGTCAGGTCTAATAGACGTTGATTTGACGACGCCCACTTTATAGCGAGAGCCACGTCTTTTGGATCTTAGGGCGTTTCGGGACCGCTCGTTCAAACTATATTGATAAAACCAATAGAACATTACGCCGGCAGATTTTACTAGTAGTTCGGACCAGCGCGACGTGGCGTCTCATCATTGGTTGAAAATCTATGTCACACACCTTCATGTTCGCTTAAGTACGCCAGAAATTCTCGGCTCGAGGAAAGATGGTGAAGCTCTTCTGTGCGATCGTTGGTGCGGCGGGCAGTGCGTTTCCTGTGGACATTGACGCGGGTCAGTCGGTGGGAGACTTGAAGGACGCGATCAAGGCGAAGAAGATGTACCAGTTCCCTGCTGACGAGCTGCAGCTCTTCCTGGCGAAGAAAGACGAGGGCCGCGGCGCGTGGCTGCCAGACGACGACCAAGCTGCGCTGGATCTGGAGGACGGAAAGATTCATGAGGACATTCAAGCGTTGATCGATGGAGAGAAGATGAAGGCGACGAAGACTTTGCAGCACTGGTTGTTCGAGAAGAACGAGATGCCTCCACCCTCTACCGGTCAGATCCACGTGCTGGTGGTGGTTCCGGAGCAAGAACACGCACAAACTGGATTGTGGCTTGTCACTGGATCCGTTGAAAACGCGTTGATCACGAAAGGAATTCGCTGCAAACTGTACTGGATGGCGACGTTACGCATTGGATACTACGATCCTACGCGCTGCATCGGCAACAAGAATGTCGCGTTTTGGTATGAAGACAAGAAATTGTGTTTTCATGTTTTATTCGAGACAAGTACGTGCTTCTATATGCTGTCGCTGCATCGTAATACTGCTTCATTGAGGGCTAACTCTGTTTCTTTTATAGAAGATGCTGCTTTGCTGTTCGAAACTGACTTAAGGACTGGGCCACAAACGCTGGGCTCTCCGTTAACTAACCAGGTTGTTGAGACGCGTGTTGCACCAGCTAACGCTGTGTCTACTGATCTCCAGCGCGTCTTCTACTGCGACTACGTTCCAGACGATTCGGAATCTCCTCAAAACAGTTTCATCGATATCGTTGACTACAAGCGTTTCGAATCTGGACTCATCGACTGACGAGTTTCGTTTTCAGCGGATTGAGCACGAGAAGTTCTTCCTACCGTACGGCAAGGCAGAAAGCTGCCATTTGGTGTCGAGAAAGCAAAGCAGAGACCACAAACGGGAATTCGCCAAGTACGATCGCGACTCAAACAACAGGCTTGCGCTTTCTCGCGATATGCATGGTTGGTTCGACGGTATGAGCATTGAGGTTCCCATCGTCAACATGCTACCCGGATCTGTTGAAGAGAATCAATCCATTGGCAACAGACGCAAGGTACTGTGTGAGCGCGTAGTTCTGGTGTGTGTAAGTTTACTGACATTTGCGTGTAGGTCGAGGTCTTCGTGAAGGTTCTGGATGCTCAGTGCACAGATCGCGTTTTCAGTCGTTTGAAAGCAGGATCAACCACGACGAACGATCCGCTCATGATGACGTTTGTTCACGTGGAGGATCCAGAAACATTTTGTTTGTGCATGAGGTGGAAGCACGACGATAATGCGGAGCGTTGGAGAAGCTTTTGGGATATGACTCCTGCGGTCGATTGAATGGAATAATGTGGCTCCCGAGTTAAATACTTCGAAGTAGTATTTGATTTCTTGTCATACTTTGATCCTGATAAATATAAAGTTAGTAATATACAAAGATGGCGTACTCTCCTGAGCAATACCAAGCTAGCAAGGAACGAATCAAAGCAGCGCAGAAGCGCTACTACCAGCGCACACGCGAAGCCCGTTTATCTTATCAAAAAGACAACGATGACAAGAACAGAGACCAGATTCGAGCTCGCAAGCGTAAACCCAAAACCGAACGTATTGATGGTGAAGTCGAACTTAATTAATTAATTTTTTTTCCTCGGATAAAATGTCGCCTATGATATAAAGTCAATCCTGATACAAGACCCAATATTATAAAGTCGTTTTTTCGGAGAATAATATAGCCACCGATATATAGCAATGTTCGCATACGAGCTTGAAGGTCTTAAGAGATTAAATATTAACCCAATCCGATGGGGTAGCAGCTACCGTATTAAGGTACGTGGCAAGACGGGGCGCATGGTATACATTAGCAACATTTCCCACCCCATCAACCAAAAATTGGTAGCGAAGCAGTACAAGATCAGTCTAGGCAAGCTCCAAAAGAATTTGGCTGCTGATTTCAAGGAAGACAGTAAGTACCGCTTCTACCAAGGCAAACACATGGAGTCGCACCTATATGAGGGAATCCAGCCTGCTGACTTCTACGACAAGCTTGAGAACGTGCTTGCAACCCAGAAGTCTGCCTTCAAGGTCAACATCGCTCTTGGATACAAGCTTGTCAGCAGAACCGATGACAGCGAGACTCGCTACTTCCACCCGAATATTAGCAACACATCTGTATTTAGCACTCCTGTGGCTATCAACAGCAAGGCTGATATTCGTAAGAAGGTGATCTCGGAGATTCGCTCCATGGAGTTGGCTGACAAGCTCAACTACCCCAGATCCGGGTACATGGTGAAGGGTATTACTGGCTTCAAAATCTATATCTACCAGCGCGACCATGCGCTGGGCGATAGTGAGGCTGTCATTCCTAAGGTGATCCGCGATAACAAGCACGTCATCAACTTCCCCAAGACGAATAACAAGTGTGTCTTCCACTGCATTGCTTATCACAAGCAGGAGGGGGCGAAGAAGGATCCACGCAGAATCCAGGCTCTGGTGAAACAAGCCTTCAAGCAGTACTGTTCGTACAAGGAGATCACCTACACTCTGGGTCTGTTCCGCAATCTCAAACCTATCGATATTCTCCAATTCGATGAGCTTGAGGAGTGCTTCAAGCTGAACATCAACGTCTTCACCATGGATGTTGAGACGGGCAAGGTTGAATGCATTCGCCACTCGGACAAGGACTATGATTCGATCAACATCCTGTCGCACGAGAATCACGCTCTCTACATCACGAACATTGATATGCTCCAGCAGAAGTACCAATGCTCTAAGTGTGAGATGGTGTTTGTCAGCTCTGATAAGCTACGCAACCACACCAAGAACCTGTGTGAACTCGTGAACATCGAATCGTTCCCAGCTCAGCCAACCATCTACCAACCCGCTCCGAATAGCATTCGTTCCATACTGACTAAGTACTCCATCGAGGATGCTGACCATTACATCGATCACCTCATTGTATATGATTTTGAGGCTATCCTCAAGCCTACGGGTGTCAAACACGGAGAGAATACTATCTTCACAAACGAACACATCCCTGTGTCTGTTTCCGTAGCCAACAGCTTGACTGAGGAGGTGCGATGCTTTGTCAGCGATGATCCAAAGGAGTTGCTCAAGGATATGTTCCAGTACATCGAGGAAGTTGCGGCTAAGATTCAGCGGTACAACGTCTCGAAGTATGAGACTTTGCTACACAAGATCATCAACGTCCATGGTTTGACTGACGCTGAGGTTCCTGGCCTAGACTTGGGTAAGACGTACAAGATGGAAGATGTCAAAGCTTGGATTCAGAACGGAGATTTTGCTAGTTTCTTCGATCTCCACAGCAAGCTCACATTCGGTAAGAAGCGCTCTGACTATGGAAACCTGAAGCAGTGCATTGATCAGGTACCAGTACTCGGATTCAACTCTGGACGATACGACATCAATCTTATCAAGGCGGACCTGTTTGCAGTCATCGGTACTGACAACATCACATCAGTCATCAAGAACCCTGGCTATATGTGCATCGCCACATCAGACATGAAAATGCTTGACATTAGCAACTATGTTCCGGCAGGCACCAGCTATGCAAAGTACTTGTCGACATATCTCGGTGAGTGCAAGTGTGATGACAAGATTCGATGCGTCTGTGGCCTAGGAAAAGGCATCTTCCCGTACGAGTACATTACTTCATTTGACGTACTCAGTCAGCCGGAAGTCCCTCCTAAGTCGGCGTTCGACAGTGCTCTTTGTAGCACTAGCATCAGCGATGAGGACTATGTGCGAGTACAGTACGTCTGGGAACACTATGGCATGAAGTCAATCAAGGATCTACTCATTTGGTACAACAACCTCGATGTAGTACCCTTCATCAAGGCCATCAAAGCCCAGCGAGAACTATTCAAACGTTTCGAACTTGATATGTTCACTGATGGTGTGTCGCTACCTGGTCTCTCTGAGAAAGTCATGTATCAGACGTGCTTCAACAACCTCCAGCAACCAAGTAAGGAGCCTGCTGAAGCGTTTGACTTTCCCTCTAGTCGCTTAAGTGGATATAAGACCCAGGATGCTGATGCCGATCGTGAATTCAATATGACGCTAGAACACCTCAACGACTTGCTAGAGCGACAAAAGTACCTGTGTGGGCTATGCTACAAGCAACTCACAGCTGATACTGCCTCGGCTGACCGAATCAATAATCAATAAGAAGCTCGGACACATCGATGGTAATATCTTGATCAGCTGTGTGGGATGCAACGTTGCTCGCAAGAACATGTCGCTAAAGGGCCTCCGCCACAAGAAGCTACTTGAATTCAACTCAGACAGGTTGGTGTACAGTATCGATAGAGAGGAGAAGGACATCTACACCAAGATGAAGGCGAACATTGCTGGTGGTCCTTCTATCATCTTCAACAGATACGCGAAACGCAACGAGACCAAGATTCGAGGGGGTAGGATCTGCAAAAAGATCATCGGCTACGATGCTAATGCTCTGTATTTGTGGGCTCTTGGTAATGAGATGCCATGTGGACGGTTGACTACCATCGAAGCATACACAGGGATCGTCGATGATATTGTATATGACAAGATCTTTGGCTTCCTCGAGTGTGATATCCGTACACCAGAGCACCTCAAACCCTACTTCAGTGAAATGACCCCAATTTTCAAGAACACCCTTATCGACTGCAGCGATCAGAGTGTCATCGGTCAGCACATGTTCGAGTACAACGAGGAGCGCAAGCAAAGCCGAGCAAAGCCGGCTCGCAAGCTCATCGGGAGCTACTTTGGTGAGAAGATCCTCATTTATGCACCGCTACTCAAATGGTACATTTCTCATGGTATGGAGATCACCAAGACTTACAGCTTCATCAAGGCTAGCTCTCACAAGGCATTTGCACCATTCATGGAAGCCGTATCGAGCGCGCGACGAGAGGGTGATGAAAATGTTAAATCCATCTGTAAGATCATTATTGAGAAGGTATCTGACTCTGATATGGGTATTTAGTCCAAGAGTTGAAAATAATCATTACGAACCCTAAATCATTTGATGCGCTCATTATCGATAGATTCATGAATGAATCGACAACCAATCCTAAGATTCATTTGGTTCTAGACTTGTTGACTAAGCTGAAAACGCTTAGTGAGGGTAGCAATAATAAGGCTATGATTGCTGAGATGATGAAACTGGTTGGTAATAGTGCGTTTGGTCGATCTGGCATGGACATGAGCAAGCACAAGGAGGTCAGGTATGAGTCGGACGATAAGGCAATCAAGGCCAAGATTGAGCACTTCACCTTCCATGGAATGGAAGAGCTGAATGATTCATGTGAATTCACTATGAAGAAGCGAAAGCTCATTAATAAGAACCCAATTCATCTATCGATTGCAATCTATCAGCTCGCTAAGCTCCGTATGTTGCAATTCTACTATGATTGCATTGACTTCTACTTCGACCGTTCGGAATTCCAGTACCAAGAAATGGACACAGACTCAGCTTATATTGCGTTCAGCTGTGAGAAGCCATTCGTTGAGTGTATCAAGCCCGAGCTTCGTGAGCATTTTCAGCAGCATAAGTACGAGTGGTTCCCACGTGATTATAGCGAAGAGATGGCTCAGTTTGATCGCCGAACGCCAGGTTTGTTCAAGGATGAGTGGTCTGGTGATGCTATGGTATCATTGTCCTCTAAGAACTACATTTGCTACCTACCAGACGAATCTTACAAGGTCAAGGTTTCAGCGAAGGGAGTCCAGCAGAGTGGTGGCCGCAATGGTGACGTCCTCAACCCAGATGGCTTTGAATCAGTTGTTCGCGATCGCATCACCCTACAGGGCACCAACAAGGGGTTAGACTCAGTAAGGAGAGTAAGTCAATCATTACGTACACCCAGACTAAAACAGCTCTAAACTACTATTATGATAAGCGTCGTGTACTTGCGGATGGTATCACCACCGAACCGCTCGACATATAAGCAACTACCTGGCAGGGGATTTTTTTGTTTTATAACCATATAGAGCGATGGATCAGCTGTTGTCCAAATTATACTATGACCCCAAAACGGGCTATGTGGGTGCCCAAGCCTTATACCAGAAGGCTAAAGAACTGGAGCCGAAGATTACGATGAAAATCGTCAAGGAACGGTACTCAAACCAGAGCGATATTCAGCGATTTCAGGAGCAGAAGAAGCGATAGGATGGGTTCAAAATCACATCGACTAACCCCAATTCGTGGCAGATGGACTTGGCGTTTTGGGAGAAAAGACCAATCTTGACTGCGATCAACATCAACTCTCGCCTAGGCCACGCAAAACTACTAACCAACAAAACTGGCCCGACCGTACTAGCAGCAATTAGGGGTTTTGTCCGCCTCCATAAGGTTGACATTCTCACAACCGATAATGGTTCAGAATTCATGAACCAACAGGCTCAGAAATTATTCAAAACTAAGAAAATTGACCATTTCAACAATGAGCCTGGAGATCACGCCAAAAAGGGTATAATTGAACGCTTCAATAGAACTCTGAAGCAGCGCCTTGTCAAAATCGAACCAAAGCGACTAACCCAGAAGCTCATAGCTGCTGTTATTGAGAACTACAATAGCACGACCCATCGGACGATTGGTATGACCCCCAACGAAGCTAAATGTAAGGTAATTGAATCTGAACTAGTCCACAACCAGGCTGAAGCCGAGAGGATTGAAAACGAGTTCGAGGTCGGTGAAAAGGTTTTGTATCGACTAAAACAGAAAACATTTGATAAAGAAGCAGCAAGATGGTATTCGGTGGTAGGTATTGATGGCTACCGCATCCAAATCAAGTCGAAAAACGGACACACTCTTTACAAGGGGCCAAACGATCTAAAAATTGGCAAAGCAGAAACATCTGAAGCTACTATCAACAGAGGTGATATTTTAGAGGTGGAGAAGATCTTAGACCACAAAAAGATGCGATCCGGCAAGTACAAGTATCTCGTTCAGTGGGTCGGTAATGAACTTGACTCCTGGGAGCCACAAGATAATCTTGGAAGTCGATAAAAAATGAGTCGAACTAGCTTCGAAATAAGTTTAATAGAGCAATCCTCTGTAAGCGTTGACTCATCTATATCTATCAATCTATTTTCCAAAAATAATGCTAAAAAAATATGACTTCATATATAAAATGTGTTGCAACTGCGTAGAGAATCAACGTGAGCTTGTACAGCTCCGAAGAAAGCTGTGGATAATTCAAGAGGTTAGTCGAATCAAAAATGAACTCAGAGATTTAGACCCAGTAGGCAATTTCCGGAAAACCGTCTGCAATCTACAGTACCGCGACCAGTTAGAAACGATATTTGGTGTGCCGTTTCATTGCATCAAGGATCGATACATCAATCTCCTCAATGAGCGAAACCGTATCTGTCATACGTATCAACCATTTAGGCATGACTCCGTTATGCCAAGCTATTGGTGAGTATGTATTTAATCGATGCTAATATTTTTTTATGACTACCATGATATAGTTAGACGATGTTTCCCAACTTTACATCCCTCGCTCAACGAGAGCAAAAGCGGCAGGATCTACTCGAACGAGCTGAGCGCCGAGTTCGTCAAGCCAAGTCCAAGCGCCTTATGTACGAAGGTGCATCATGGGCTAGCGATATCGCGAATGGTATCACTACTGTTTCAAAGAAATCAACACAATCCGCTCAGTCTGATATTTCGGTTGGCCCTGACGAGGCTACGCCGGTAGAGTTAAAAAAAAGTCTAAATATTGAAAACTCCCAAAAAAACCCTGAGTTCTCAACAATGGTAGATGCTGAAGTTAATGCAACACCTGAAATGAACGATGCATCGACTACTGCAAAGCTTCAGTCCGTTGATGCTTCCAGTACTGCTAAGCCCAAAACCAGTGATGGTTGGGTCCACGTGAGCCCCGATATGACTGATGTTGGAGTTGATAATAGTGCAAGAATGACAGATGCTGGTGTTGGCCCTGATAGGCTACTGCCGCAAAAGCCCGTCGAAGAAGATTTGTTCGACGAAGGCAATGCTGAGATGAAAAATCAAACAAAGTCAAAGGATTCGGTCGCTAAAATCTTCGTGGTTTACCCCATCCTTGCAGAACTAAATATTCACCCTATTGCTTCCAACGGCCGGCAGCTTACTAAGTATTATATTGGGATGGATGCTAAGGTGTACAATATTAAACTGAGAAAATATGTACTAGTTCCGAGCATTGATTGGTCTGAGACGTATGACCATATTGGTGAGGTATTAGTTAATGATGTCAGATTCCTCGCATACGTCAATGAGAAGGAGCGACGTAATGAGATGGGTAAAGAGGACAAAAATAGCCCATACCAGGTTTGGCAAAATATTGGCTCAAAAAGAATCAATACCTCAGAAGGAGATTATTCAAACCGCTCTAAGCAGAGACTTGACGACAGTTTTGTGTTCGATACTGGAACATCCACAAGATCCGATCAAATGGACAGCAAGCTCAAATTATTTTGGACAATTAGCAACTATAGGGAAGTCCTTGAATCTAACGGATTGATAAAGAAGAATGTACCAATTTTTAATGGTTCCGCAAAATCTTCTCCTATTGACAAAGATGGCTATGTTTGGATCAATGGCAATAGCATTAGCGTTTACGGGAAAGATTGCGATCGTGTGAAGCAAGCAATCACTCAGAAAGTGAACTGGATAATGACATTCCAATCTTTCATTAATATGACTAAAGCCAGGGACCTCGAGTTAGAACTAGTTGGTAGCAATGAAACCAAACACATAAATGATTTTACCCCAGCTAATGGTGAAGCTCAGCATGGGTTAATGAGTGATATTGATGAAGACATGGACCCAAGCCTATCAAACGCTGATAACGACGCCAAGAATATCTTAACTGATTACTACAGCCAGTTGCACGCTAATAGTATTGATATTCCATTTCGGCTGCAACCAATCGTGAAAATCAACGGTGTTGTTAAGTCCCATCCATCATACTACTTTGGGCAGCCATCGGGGTCTAGACCCCTAAATATTTTAAATCGTGAAAACAAAGCACACAATCAGGTGAGTGGTGTAGCTTGGAAGGGGCTAATGAAGAATATCACGTGGATGGATACCTTTTCGTCCCTACTCAACGGGGTTGAGGACTTGGACCGCTATCTTAATGAGGTTGAATACCCCTTCCCATCGAGCGATGAAGAAGCAGCTAAGATACTTGAAGAAAAGGAGCTTGATAAGAAAAGACGTAAAAACCTGGATGCTAATCTTGAAATATTGAATGAGGCAATTCTAAAGTCTGTACACGATATTAGACAGCAAAGCGTTGAAGAATATGAATACGATGACAGCTTGCAAAAGCTTCATGATGAGTCAGAAGCAGCTTGTCAGACATACGGTGAGGCTCAGAAACGCTATGAAGAAGCAAAAGAGGCTGTTAGAGGGAATAACTCAAAAGCAGCGAGATCGGTGTTGAAGGCAGCTACATCAGCTATGAAGGCGACAAAATCGATATATCAAACGAAGGCTAAGCGATACGCCGAGGCAAGCGAGGTATCCGGCAGTGGCGTTAAACGAAAGCTTCAAGGTCGAGGATTGCGCGGTGCAGGTGTTGCCCCGCTGGAAGGTGTAGTTCGCCGAGGCCGTACCTACAATCTCAATGAGAGCAACGCCGTCAGCCTACACATACAAGCAGATCGGAAGCAAGTATATTCGTATCCCCGACCTTGATGCTAAAAAGCTCGTGATCGTTCAGCCGAATCGGCGTAAATGTGGTCCTAAGTGGGAAATCAGTGATAGCCTCCAAGCCATGATCAAGGCACTTGTCTATAAGAACCGTATCGATCAATCCGCTTACGATAAGCTCAGCGTTGAAGATAAGAAACTGTTCAAGGAGGTTCTATCGATTACTCATCTCCAATACAGCTTCCACGATAAGTTAGAGGATCCTCTAGATACGCTTAGGGCTGAATACGATAAGCTAAAAGGAGAGCTACAACTCGGAAGTGACAACCCCAGTATCATCAAGCAGCTCAAGTCTCTCACAGTGGATATGTACAGCACTCGACTGATTGATGATAAAGAGTTCAAAGATATTATCACCCGTTTATTATATAACCATGTTCTTCTTCAACTCGCGCATTATATCCAGTTCCGGAGGCAGCTATGGTGACAATAGCGACCTCAACGTCGCTGAGTTGAAAGCTATCATGAAGAACCTCATCATTCATGATCGTCCCCAGAAGACCCAAGCCGCTATGTGGGCAACTGACCTCGACAAGTCGACCAATAAGGTGGAGGCATCTACCCAAACGGAAGGCGGCCGAGTCTGGGCTTATCAGCCAAAAAAAGTCAAAGTCTGTGAAGACATTTGCTCTATAGAGCAGAGCGGATATACTTAGATGTCTACGTCTGTTTTCTTCTCGCGATAGAGTCTGATTTTTTTATCTCCGATATCGATAGCCATGACAGCATTCTTGCCACGATGTACGTTGTACATTGGGATATAAGCATTATTCCCTATCGAAACCACTCCAGCGTACATCGTTATTGAACCGATGACTTGGCCAGTTTCAGGGTTAGTCAGGTTCTTTTTGATCGTTTTACTTGGTCCGCAGCCCATGATACTCTATTACAACGAAGTACTCAAGATCTGCTCTATATTTATCGGTGCGAAATTATCCCTGAGCCAATACCATATATAACCCTCTCGTGGAATTCGACAATTCGATCACATTGTAGTTGATCAGTATCAACGACATTAGCGTTAGTAGTCTGAGGGCAAGCGGTCTTCGCCACGAACTGAGTTTGACAGATACCATTCTATATTTACTCAGACATAACCGCTCTCAACTCATTGAGTTCAGCTTTGAGATTATTGATTTGGCCTTGCTGTTCTTGGATAGATTTACACAGTACCGAGGTTAAACTGGCGAGATCGATTCCCCATGGATTCACTGGAAACCCATCCGGATTAAGCTCATCGTTTGCTCCGATATCTACTGCTTCTGGTATGACCTTATACAGCTCCTGCGCGATATAGCCAACATGGACAGTCTGCTCTTGAACCATCCTGAATTTTCTAGGTCCCATTCTCATAAGGCTTGCCAAACCATAGGGACAGTCTACAATGTCCGCCTTCAACCTCTCATCGCTTGCATTGGTATAGCTTCCTCCACGCACCGGGACATAGGCTGTCCACGCGTAATTAGCATCGCATTTTCCCAACCTGATAGCTCCTACGGTTGAATCAGTACCAATCGCTGGATAGTCAGTCTGAGACCAATTGAATCGATACCTAGCAAATCCATCGCCGCCTCCCTTTACGTGCATGAAATTATTCGCCCATACCTCTCCGCCTGAGTGAATGGTTGCTTCAGGTGACCACGTACTCATACCAACTCCCAGTCTTCCTGAGCTGTTTAGATAAGCTTGAGTTGTGTTTCCAACCATGAACCTTAGCGGGTCGCTCGTAGTGGTGCCTAGAGCTACACCACTACTTCCTCCCGCGACATCGTTGTATACCTGAATTTCAAATTCGATTGGAGTAGTAGCATCGTTGGCTATACGCATTGCGCGTTGCCAAGACCCGCTTTGTAAATTCGCGCTCGAAACTATATCTATTTTTGCAGTACTGGTAGCTGATCCAAAGCGAATGTATCCTGCTTGAGTGATTCTCATACGTTCAGTCATTGGTGATAATGGATTAGCTCCTGACCGTGTACTGATTGCAAAATCAGCCATTGAATATTGCGTAGCGGTTCTAGTACAATATAGATTAACGCTAGGGGTGTACGTTGTCATATCACTAGTACCTTCAATCGTGAACGATAATCCGGCCTGAGCGCCAACCGTATTGCTTTGATTACGAATCATGAGATTAAAATCAGAGGCATGCGTTGTTGATGTAAATGATGTCCCGGCCGCAATCTGACATCGGGTAGAAGTAGTGGATATCATTGGTTGACGTTAGAGATGAGATACCTGATGAGATGCTACTATTAGAGTCTAGTACAAGAGCCTTTGATGCTTCTGCAGTTCCTGCTCCGGTGGTAAGATCTATATAGTTCAGCTGAACGGTAGATGCTGTGCATCCAGCAAGCTTGTTCAGCTCCGCACCTGTAGCATTGAGAGTATCTCCCCTGAGTTAAAGCGTAGTAGGATTGATATTCAAGGTCGGTGCATTCATAGTTTGAGTACCTGACTTACTAATCGTATCACATGTGATCGTAGGCGATGATATTGAAGTCGAAGCTATAAAGTTTCGTGATATGGTTAGATCGCGAATGCCTCAGTAATCTTTCGTACTATTGAGAACCACAACGCTACTGGCTGAAGCGCCCCCTTCGATAACATTGAGAAAGTAAGCATGATTGAAATTTATCCAAGAACTGACTCCATCCCAAAATTTCAGATTCGGAATGAATAAACCGGTTCCACCGGCGCTAAGGGTTAGATTGCTAAGCGTACCTAGACTAGTAATATTAGGCTGAGCAGCGGTTTGTAGCGTTCCTGTTATCGACGTCGCTGTGAGAGAGCTCAGGGTTCCTAGGCTGGTAATGTTGGGCTGGGCAGTTGTTGTTAGCGTACCCGATACATTGCCCGAGCAATTTACAGCGGTTAGAGTACCTAACGATGTTATATTAGGCTGATCAGCAGTCTGTAGCGTACCAGTAATGTTAGTTGCAGTTAGCGAGCTAAGACCTGTAATGGATCGACTTGCACCAGTAAAGGTTAAACTGCCTCCTATAGTCAATCCAGTAAGCGTACCTAAGCTGGTGATATTTGGTTGAGCAGCCGTCGCTAGCGTTCCATTGATGTTTCCACTCACGGTGAGCGACGAGAGTGTCCCTACACTAGTTACGTTGGTCTGAGCAGCAGTTGCCAATGTATCAGATATGTTTCCACTCACGGTGAGGGACGATAGCGTGCCTAAGCTAGTAATATTAGGCTGAGCTGCTGTCTGCAGCGCCAGTAATCGACGTTGCCGTCAAACTACTAATAGTAGCAATTTCACCTGATGCACCAAGCACCAGAGCTTTGTTGATAGCGGCAGTACCTGGAGTAATATCAGCTACATACGTTGGTACGCCTGAAACGGAAGCACCATTAACAGTTAGGCTACTACAGCTTAGTGCTCCAAGACCGCTGATGTTCCCACCACTTCCAGGGACAAGAGCTACACCAGGTGATGCTACGCCTTGAGAGACACCGGTAATGTACGTCAAGCGATAGTCATACTTGTTCAGATAAAGAGTCTGAGCATAGTCATACGTTAGAAACCCGCTGGCATCCAATTGGAGAAATATGCCGGATTATAAATCGGCGATGTGAATATCGGGCTAGGATAAGAAATACCTGAACTCATCTTTGTTTGATCCTATATAGTTTAGACGATAATCATGAGCGGTATTCCAGATTTCGGAGCTTCAATCCCTAAAAAATTCAAAGGCGCCTCTATGGGTGATATTCCAGCACGTGACATCAAAGCGTTGTTTAGAATGGTGGTTCTGGGTCCATCGTTCTCAGGGAAGAACAACTTATGTATGTTCACCCTCAAGCATTCTCCTCACGTATTTGCTCATCTAACGATCATTGCTCGTAATCCTCACCAGGAGTTATATGAGTATCTTCGTGATAAGCTTGATGGCTTTATCACATTCGCCGACCCTGACTCGCCTCCGAGTGTTGAACGGGTACGTCATACACCAATTAATTCCAATAAGCCTGAGCTCGTCATCATCGATGACTACAGCAACGATAAGCTTCTTCAGAAGAATTTGTTCTCACATTACTTCACTAGAGGGCGTCACTTCAGGCTATCAACCATCTTCTTGAGCCACAGCTACTTCGCAACGGACAAGATGATCAGATTGAACTCAGAGTACGTAGCGATCCTGAAAGCTAATTCTAAGCGAGACCTCCAGATGGTTGTGAAAGATTTTAATATCAAGGGAGTAGATGAGCGTTCAATCGTCTATTATTACAACAAAGCCACGGAGCGAAAGGGCCAAATGCTCTTCATTGATTCGGTCAAGGGTCAGATAAGGTATAACTTCGATAGACCGATTCGTATCGAGGACTAATTCCAATTTATCAAACAAAAATATGCCTACAAACATATAATCAATATGTCCAGCTTTATCAAACTCGACAGCTCCAATCTGGTACAAGATGGAACCAATTCAACCTGGAAATACTCCTTTCCCGGATCGGCGGCTGACTTCCGCGATGTAGTATGTGCCATTCAATCAATTTCGATGTATAACAGCGAGTATAACATTGATTCAATGCAATTTCAGAACACAACGTTCAAAATCGAAGTACCTACCGCTGCAACTACATCCACAATCAGTGTATCCCTCCCTGATGGTATTTATTCGTATGACGATATCAACCGAAGCATTCAGACTGCTCTTGTCAATGCTGGGGCGTATCTAATCGATCCGTCGGGGAATAACGTATTTTATATCAAAATGAGTGCTAACAGTGTCTATTACGCTTGTCAGCTTGATTTCTCTCCTACGCCTACAACTCTACCAACTACCGGTGGAACATGGACCAGACCTACCTCCGGTTTATACTCCTCTGGTGGTACTGGATTGCCGACTACTACTCGCGTTCTCGACTGATCATCGATAATGCTGAATTCGGTAAAGTAGTTGGTCTCACAGCGGGTACATACCCCTCCACATCAGCTACTGTTGCAAGTGCTCAGCTATCGAACATCATTCCTCAGATTTACCCGACCAGTTCCTACATCGTTCGTTGCGATCTGATCAAAAACGAATACGTGGCTTCTGGTGATATTGTCAGTGCTTTTGATAGAGGTGATGCCGCTATTGGAAAGGTCATTTCATACAAACCGAGCCAGTATGCGTGGATGAACTGTCATAATGGCGCTCGAGCTAGTATTACATTCAGTATCTATAACCAAAATGATAAAAGTGATTTTTAGAGATACGTCGGTATCCATCATGCTTCTGATTCGTCCAAAAAAATAAGACATCCAGAGTATTGTTTTTAGGGCGGCTACAACGTAAACGAACCACCAGTCTTACGACGTGCCCTGAGCGCAGCCATCTTAGCCTTCATCTCTGGCGAACCCTTCGCTGGACGTTTCTTTGCTACGCCTACACCATAGCGGCGACGAACCTCCTTTCGCACAAATCTGATTAGATCCTCATGTTCCGGCTTGGTAGCTTTTGATAGTAGGAACTTCTCTCCAGCATCGACCGCGTCGGTGATGACCCCCTTGCGCTTCCTGTATGCAAGAGCATTCTTTGCAGCCTTCTTTACGTCATTCATTGATACGCGACCTCCTTCCTTGTCGCTATCGGAATCACAAATACCAATGCCGGTTAGGGACTTGATTTCAGCTCTGGCTGGAACAGCAGCCGTTGGCTGACCAGCATAAGTAGATAAAGCAGGAACCGCCCCATCAACGGCTCTGGATAGTAGACCTGACTCCTTAGCAAATTTGTATGCAGACTTGATCCCTCCCCATACTTTGGACCAGATAGAGCCTCCTTGAGCCTTTTTGTAGCCCTTCTTCACTTCGTGCTTGGTAATGTCGAGTCTGACACCGCGTCCAGCTTTACGAGCCTTGAGCGCCTTTTCAAACGAAGCAGGGTGTAGATGGATGACTGAACCACTACCCTTTAGTTCGCTTGAGGTGAGGCTGAGCTTACCAGTCTTGAAAGCTTTGGTAAGCTTCCGCGCAGGAATATCACTGGAGATTGTTAATTCGCGATACATGATAACTATATACGTTGAATTAAATTTATTCCAGAATTGTCAAATTTAGATCTTTCATTGTTTTGAATACATCTGGCTTACGGTATTGCTTCGAATATAGCCATAGGACACAGAATGGTCCACAGTAGTCTCCATAGGTTCCTTGGTATTGCTTGGTGTTGTATCGATCGATACCATACTTCTTTGGTGGTCCTTCCCCCATACTATCGAAGAGTTCACCATTATGAACCGCCGTCCAGTGTCCTACCTCAAGATTAGGAGGGCGAAGTAGAAGCAGAAATGACCCTTTCTTGGGGAGATGGGACTTTATCTCATTTGATTCGAATATATTATCGAGTTGAACGTTCATTTTCTCAGCGAGCTCGATGAGATCATGATCTGAGGTGATTGGCTTGATGAGGTGCGACATAATATTTAATTTTATCAAACTATATTAGGATCCATATAGATTCAACGATGAGCGAAACTCAACTATCCGATCAGTACTTGTACCAGAGCTCGCTTAAGAGCGACCCGGAGATCAAGGTATCTTCGAGCAAGCGTGTACCGCACGTTATTGACCTAAATCAGGGTTCGTACCAGAATGGTGTCATCACTATCGATGCTACGGCTCAGCTTAACGGTTCCGAGGGCTTCGCAAGCCTTCGTGATGCCTACATTATGCTTCCCTACAAGGTCTCAATGAATAATGGTGGCACTGCTCAAACTGCCGCTGCCAATCGTCTATGTGCTACTCTAAAATGCGGAAATTGGAACGTTATTGATAGTCTGAGTCTGGAACTAAACGGAAAGACTATCGTCTCTATGGCTGACTACAAGCTCTTTTGGAACAACGTTCGTGCTCAGACTGGCTACAGCCCTCAGTACGTTGAAAAGCACGGAGCTGAATCGTTCGTGTACCCTGACGCTGCTCAGTCGGTATCATACAGTTCTGGATCCGCATCTACCAGTGGTGATGGATATTCAAACACCATGGCATTCTCGTCTTCCTTTGCTGTCTCGGCTCCTCCTGGTGGTGCAACTATTCCTAATGATGGTTTCGTTAAGCGCCTTCTATCGAATCCTCCTACGGCTGGCGCTGACGTCTCCAGCTCGTGGCCGTCGGTAGATGGTGCTGCTGCATCGACTACCATTTCTAACCAGACCTCGCGTGGAGCTTTCGTAGCTGGTGGTACTGCTGCTAACGCAATCATGGGAACGTGGAACTACATGCTTAAGATTAAGCTCACCGATCTGCATCCTATCTTCCGTGAGCTTGACTTAATGGCTAACCCTCAAATTCGCCTGCGTTTCCGTGTGAATCAGGGAACGTCTGTAGTCGCGGTAGATGCTTCAAAGGGTATGCCGCTAACATCTACTACTCTATCGTCTGGTAATAGTTGTCCGGTCATGATTGCCGCTTCTGCTACCGGTAATCCGATGAATGGTGTGCTTACCGCATCTGCGGGCTTTAGTGTTGCTTGGGGAGCGGTTGTAAATGCTCTTGAACCTACCATCGATGGTACATACATGCCTTTTACTACTGCTCGTTTGTATGTCCCTTTCGTTCATCTTGAGAACCCTCAAGCTATTATCTCTAAGCCGGTTAAGAAGGTTCGCTACAATGATTGCTGCACAGTGGTTTTACCAGCGTGCTGGTATTGGTAAGTCCTCGACTCAACTAAATGCTTCTTTCGATTTACAGCTATCGGCAAGTGTTAAAAACGCGAAATATGTTATGCTTTTACCATTCGCGGAACAGACAAACAACTTTGCTTCTGCTACGGTTCAGCAGTTCCAGAGCTCCTTCGACAGCTCTCCATACACGCTTCAGCCCGGGTCGTCGATTCGCAACTTTAACGTTCGTATTGGCTCGACTCAGGTGTTCGATATCAGTCATGACTATGATTTCCACCACTTTACCAACGAAATTGCTAAGATTTCAGCGATTAACGGAGATCTAACCCCTGAGCTCGTAAATGGTCTACTTGACTATCAGACGTGGTCGCTCACAAACCGCATGCTTATTGCCGATGTCAGTCGCCTGACTGAGCGCGATGTACCTCAGGCTATTCAGATCCAAGGTACGAACGCCGGATGCCAAGGTGTGAATATGCTGACCCTCGTAATTAGCGAACAGGAACTAACGTTCGATAGACTAACCGGAGAGGTTCTAGACTTCACTACACCGTAAGTAAAAAATAGATATTTTTAGTTCAGTTCCTTGAGTAGCTTTGGACACTTGTCAATCACGAATTGACTTTTTCTTAGCCAATCGAGATAGCCTGGATCCAATTTACTGATCTGTTGTAAAGATTTGCCTCGATACTTACCCCACGTCATCATATAGGAGTTATCATTATTTAGGAATCTTGAGTGAAGAAAGATTTTCATTTCCTCGCTAATGTTGAGACTGGGTTGGTTGTGAATCCAACGACAGTATCCAGGATCATTCTTGAATACATCCTCAATGGATTGACCTTTGTATTTTCCGAAAGATAGTTCGATCGTCATGTTCTAAATGTGGGTATCTATATACATAGCCTCTTAATTTTTTTGAAAAAAAATTAATTCTGAAAATGACGTCGTAATGTGCCAGTAATTATTGGGAGTTTCATCTTACCCTCTCCTGCACGACTACAGGGTCGCGCTGGCTAACGGACGCCTCCTCGAGCTCTGAGGTGGTTGAGAGGTCGTGTTGGTAAAACGGACGACTATCCACAAAGATCGTTCTAGCACCGTTCTCGGAGGTAAATTACGGTAAGAAATTATGAAAATAAAAAACTGCCGGCGTAATGTTCTATTGGTTTTATCAATATAGTTTGAACGAGCGGTCCCGAAACGCCCTAAGATCCAAAAGACGTGGCTCTCGCTATAAAGTGGGCGTCGTCAAATCAACGTCTATTAGATCTGACCGGTTTAGAGGTTCTAAAACTACCCTCATATCGAAAAGACGTGGCTCTCGCTCTCAAGTGGTCGAGAGGGGTCGTCGTTGAAATCGCTGCTGTCCCGAAAGAAGGTTTCAGGAATGTTCTCGGTGGTAAATTACGGTAAGGAAAAAACTGCCGGCGTAATGTTCCATGACCCACTACTTGCGTTCTCGTCGATAGGGAGAGCAACGAGAGAGGCGTCCGCTGTCAGCTTCTTCTCGATAGCATCGGAGGACCGCGCGTTTTCGACAATGCTCATAGCGGTCTGGGGAGTAGACTTGGAATCCATGATATAGTCGTGACGGATGTACAAATGGGCCTCGTGCGCGACTTGCACGAAGTCAAGAACCAGCAAGAGTATCACCATTGACTTACTTTCCACGTAGTTCATGCACACAGTTTGATACAGCGACCCAGAGATTTCCACCATGCAGATCGTCACGTCCGCGCTAAGGTCGTGCAGGTTTCGTGCGTATTTCCAGAGTGCACGTTTGATCAAGAGTTTGACGACGGGAAAGAGGAAGATCATGGTAATTTGCGCCCACCACGGCAATGCGATGAACCCCACCGACAGGAACAGCAGGAAGTAATACAGCACGACTTGGGTACCGACAACAGGAATGTATCGCTGCAGTCGGTCCCAGACGCTACTGAAATCGGCTTTCGCAAAGATGTAGTTGAATAACACGGTGAGGCTCATCCATGGTATCAAGGTGAACAACTCGCGGCACGGGGTTGGAAAACGCATTCAAACGCCCAGATGAGCCACCACGCCTCGAGAACCACAGCAGCACAAATGGAGATGAAAATTGCTTTCTTGTGTGTGTACTTGGTACCTGGGGCGTTGAGACCAACCGCCTGCTTGCCGCAGTTGAGCACCATGAAGGTCATGACCGTGTGGGATAGAATCGATCGCAGGAAAGTGACGGTGTTCCCTTTTGCACCGCCGCGAGGATCCGGCAGCGGGATGCAGTCGGGCCCCCACAACACGAGAACTGTCGGTAGCGGTGTCAGCACGATGACCGCGATCACGCGGTAGATGCTCGTCTTCTCTTGGTATTAGTGGAAAGCGTAGAGTTTCTCGACAGAGTAGCGGCCGATGTATCGCTGCTCTTTCTTGAAGTCTTGGAGCCAGCCCAGACACGCAGTAGCCTTGGAGTGGTGCGTGGCCGAGCTCATTTTTGAGTGAAGTGTTTTGTTGGCGACGGAAAGCAACATGTTCAGCATGCCGGCCGGCCGACGTCGGGGTGCTAGCGAAAATTGGGTCGGGTTCACCATTGGTACTTATGACGATTCCAATTCGAACAAAGTGTTCTTGTCGGACAGACTAAGAACGGTGCTCTGTTCATTGGGTGATCTATTCACAACCACGGCTTTGGAGCGGATCACGGCGGAGAACACTGTACCTGTGCTAAATCGACCCTCCCATCACCGGTGCGCACTTGAGTTCATCAACATCTTGATCGCATTTCTAAGACGAATCTGGCCTACGACGTGGTATTTAGGTCTTGACAAGAACATGTAACTTACATATTCGCTAGGATCGCTAGTGGTGTGATCAAAGATCTCTTCTCGCGCATGTAGTCCCTGGGGTTTCGTGAATCTGCTGGCGTGCCGTAGCGGACTGTACTTTCCAATTCCCAGTCGGGTTTTGATCAAGAAACTCATCAATGATGAGTCATCATAGACCGCTCCTTAAAAATCGTCTGGCAAGCTGGCTGGCAGGCCTGGTGTGAGCGCACTCAAAGGAATACCGATGAGGCTTATTGTGTGTCTGTCACCCTCTCATGACGAAATTGTGGACTGTCAGTTAGTCTCACAATGGTACAGCGATTTTTTTGCAAGCAGTCCGTCACCAAGGACGTGATCTGGATGTGGTTGTGCAATCCATGGAGCTGGAACTGGAGTCGAATCGAATTCCTTTCATGCAAGCTAGAGAAGTCTACAATTCGTGACGATGGCGCCAACACATCTCGTGCAGTTTTCGTTGTGATCGCTTGGTGGTTGACTTAACTAGCGGGAAAATAAACGCGCTCCCCTAAAGAGTGCAATCTCCCTATAGATATGGACGTGACGGCTTCATCTCCGGTTACCGTGGTATCATGCGATGCGCAGAGTAATAACGGTGTTCTCGACTGCATATGCACGAACTTGTATGGCAGCGCTATTGTAATTGTTCTTCAACAACAACCACGGTATCTGGTCGTCTTCACCTGCCCGAGGTTTACTGCAGGACGTCCTCTTCGGCTGCAATATCATCCCTATGAAATCGTCTATGATTCACCAACAGCTCACACGTCAGCGAGGCTCGGGCCGGTCCACACTGTGGACTCCACAGCACAACACCGTCCTGATGGGTTTACTGCCGAAAGTCTCCACTTCAAGTTGACTGTTGTACGTCGCTCTGATCGACGGGGGATGGCCGTACCACGCTGTCTCCTGGGGTGATTAGTCGGGAGCTGCACTGCAAGGCGAGCGGAGACCAATCCGATCCAAAAGCCTTCAAGTCGGTCAGTGAACTCACTTCCACTTTCGCTTTTGCCTCATCGAGAGGAGCCTGCAGCAAATCTCCAAACGTCGACAGAGCTCCATTCTTCGCAATGAACGAGTCCCCAACCAACGACTACGAGAAGAGGTAGGAGGCTACACATCCAGCCATTTCCATGCCTTTCCTGTTCAATTCGGCGACTAACGGAACTCGAACCGAGGTCAGCATCGCCACTCCGACGGAGACGGGCACGAATGCGTCGCACCCGAAGCCGAGATGTGCTGGCTGCTGTGGCCTGCGCCGCCTCGGACTCATCCTGATCATCTCGGGGGCTTTCCTGACCGTGATCGCCATCGTCTACGCATCGGCACTGCCCCCTCTCATCAACAGCAAGGTCAAGGACGGCGTCGTCGTGTGCGACGCCTCGGGTGCTGCAGAGCAGTCGTACTACGACGCGTACGGCGACTGCGACGACTGCAACCCGTACTACTACTCGATGCACCTGTTCAACGCCTCGAACGCCGAGGCGTATCTGGCTGGCGAGGCCTCCAAGCTGCAGCTGGACGAGGTGGGGCCCTACGTCTTCCGTCGCCGAGAGTTCAAGATCGACATCAACTTCCTGGACGATGGCGCGCGCGTGAGCTATAAGTCGTACACGTACCACACGTTCGAGGCCTCGCTGAGCTGCGACGGGTGCTCAGACGCGGACAAGTTCACGAGCTTCGACGTCGGGTACTTGAACGTCATCGCCCAGGCGGGCGGGGAGGAGGCCTTCCTCCGGCAGCTCGCGGCCGGCTCCTTCTCCACGAACGAGACGGTGATCAACGACGCCATAACCAACTACGGGCCGCAGATGATGCGCTGGATCAACGGTCTCAACTCGCTCGACCCTGTGGCGATGAACACCGTCGTGAGTGGGGGCACCGTGCTGACCTTCTTGGCCACTGGCCCGGAAGCGATCGCTGACCTGGATCTGTCGGGCTTTGTCTACAACGGGCTCTTCGTGACGCGAACGGTGTCGCAGTGGGCGCTCGGGTACCCGAGTCTGCTGGCTGGACTGGGTCTTGGCAGCGAGTACGTCACGAGCTGCAATGTGACGGACGGCTGGAACGACAAGTGCGCGAGCTGTGAGGGCGACGCGTGCCTCGACATTTGGTACGAGTGCAAGCAGTGCGCGTTGGGCGCGAGCGTCGTCGCTATCAACAACGTGACGTGCGGGATCATAGAGGAAATCTACGCGCAGGAGTACGGAGAGGAAGAAGCGGCGACGTTCAGGGATAACACGTGCGGCCTGTGCGAGGCCTTCGGGCTCTGCGCCGCGCCACTCCCGGGTATCGCTGAAGACTCGGGGCTGGACTACTCGAAGACGCCGCCGTCCGCTGACGATCTGGAAACGTACATTCAGATCACGGGGTGTGCCGACGACGCGGAGATCCTCGACTACGTCGAGTTCAACGGCTACACGTCCACGGCGTTGTGGGTCACGACCCTGGTCGAGCAGCGGCGCAACCCGACACTGTCGGAGATCATTGCGTTCAACGACTACGGCAACTGCGCCAACCCGACGGCCAACCTCACGTGCAGTGCTGTCCAGGGCAACGACGCGACGAGCATCAGGCCGGGTGGGGCTGGAATCACAGGCTTCGACGACACACTCACGCAGAAAGCGTCCGACATGTACTTGGACGAAGGCAAGCAGAACGTGACGCTCTACTCGACCGAGACGGAGGTCAACTACGAAGGTATCACGTTGCACCGCTTCAGTCCGCCTAACGATCTGCTGACCAACTCGGAAGACAACGACGACAAGGGAACCGGTTGGCCCGTGGATGGAGTGCAGCCGCTGGCCTTCTCTGCGGGCTTCTTGGCCTACGTGTCCTACCCGCTTTACATCTACGGCAACACGTCGCTGCTTGACGCAGTTGAGGTCACGATGATGGACGGCGTGGGGGCATCAGGCGACACCATGTACGATGCCGACTCGGGCGAGCTCAAGCAGGAGTACGTGGACAAGTACGTGACGTACATTGACGTGGAGGCCGGCACGGGCAAGACCATGGTGGCGCACAAGAGGCTCATGGCGTCGTACGCGCTGTCGTACTCGACTCTGAACCAGTCAGCGGCGATGTCGGACGTGCTGTGGCCTGAACTGGAGGCCGAAGTCATCTTCCCCGCGTATTGGGGCGAGGAGAGCGCCACGGTCGGCAGCTCGTCGGTCGACTACTACCACTTGATCCAGCACCTGCTCAAGTCGGTGATCCCAGTGCTGGTCGTCGGGCTCGTGGTGGGGCTGGCGCTCGTCGGAGGAGGCTTCTTCCACCGCCGCAAGACAGCCAAGCAGCTGCACACCCAGCGGAAGGACCCAGCGGGGGACGTCTAACTTGTTGACGTTCGCTCGTGCCGTTCAATTCAATGTTGTTGATAAGTAAGACTTTGTCGAAGTGTGCTTTGATCCAGTTGATGATGCGCCTTGTGCGTCGGACGCATATCGCCAAAGGTAAAGTAGGCTGGTGCAGCATGCAACGACCCAAATTCGATTCTATCCTATCTCGGCCTGGATCAACTGGTAGGGGCTGGCTGTTGACATCCGGGAATAGCAGGCAAGGATGCCAACGTCCACTGCGCAGTACAATGATCCTTATTCATCCCAGACATCCAGGACGGAAGCAACTGCCACACCACCGAGAATTCATACTCGTCGGCACAGCCAGCCTTTTGACACACTTACACCCCGCGACTCGTCAACATGCCGCTGCACAACATCAAGCGCAAGGTGGCCAAGTGGCTCCACTGGCTGCAAGACCTCAAGACGGAACACCAGTACCTCGGTCGCTACTCAGTTGAAAAACTCTGCGCGTTCCATGCCTACCAAGAGAAGACAAGCATCTACCGAGTCGTCGCAGTCATCGCGCTTACCCCTCTACCCACCGCCCTCACGCTATGGGGACTCGACTGCCTTCCTCTGCGCGACCCGCGCGGTGGGGCTAAACGACACACCACCACCTTCCTGCTGTCGATTCTGTCCCACGCCATCATGACATACATGTTCCTGCTGGCTGGCAAGCAGGCGGTAGGACTCAACCATCGCGGCACACGGTACACGCACAAGAAGGTTGCCCTCATCTCGATCTGTGTGGCGGTGTGTCTCGAGTTGTGGTGGATCATCTGGGCCTTCGAGTGGCGCTTCCCAATCCCGTATCGTGAGTTCCTCGGCGTGCCGTCATGGGGAATGCTCACCGTCCTCTTCAACTACGTCTTGGCCAAGGACGAGCTCACGCGCGCGTGGGAGCGACTACGGCACTACGTCCCCGTTGTAGGCACTCAGATGCTGCTCTTCTACTTCCTGCTCTTCCTGTCGGTGGGGTTCGCCGCCGTTCCCTGGTGGGCGCAAGTCACCATGATCTTCCTCATTCCCGTCGTCAAGCTGTCCATCAAGCGAGCGCTTTGGAAGTACGCGCGCAATCTCAACGACATCAGCGCGGACGTGACGATCTGCATGGTAGAGATCTCGGGCTCGCTCTACCAGACCGTCTGCATGAACTACGTGCAGAGCAATCTGATGGCGCTGCTGCTGATGGCGCTTGACTTCGTGCAAGCCGCGCACGAGGCTCAAGTCTACGTCCGCCACGACTACATCAGCGACTCCAAGTCCACGCTGCACGCTGCCGTGAGGATCGTCGAAAGTGCACTGTACTCGGGTACTGTCGAGAAATCGACTGCGGATAATCCGGTTGGTCTCGAGGAATACACGGAAAACATACAAGAAACGAAGCAGCTTCATGACCACCTTCACCCTGAACAATTACCAAGAGTTCGGCCCGTGATTAAGCCGCAATCCTCTTTCCGCGACCTTCAATTTGAGCCAGAGCCGAGTAAGGAATCGGTCTCGGACGTGATGGTGTGTCTGCTGAGGAAGGGGGTCTCATGGCGCCGAAGAAGGAAGCATCGTACTAGTCGTCGCCAGCAAATGTATTCTACCGACGATCAAGGCAGCCCGAAGAAGGCTAAAGGGAAGTCTAAACGCAAGACGCTATCGAAAGTGAAGTTTCACAGAAGCTCTGCTGCTTCGACACCTCGTTATAGCAACGGGGAGATCGGTTCTGGCAGTGCTAGCTCCCACAGCGTCGGGGTCGGCGGTATCAACATCAGTCGTGAGGCGGCAACCTCAATTTTCATCAACTCCAATGTGATCTGACGCGGTAACATGCGCCGCATCCTGGACTTCGGTCAGGTGTCTGCCAACCAGAATCCGCAGTCCGACCCGATCAACGCGCAGATTGAGCATGAGCTTCCGACGGCCCCTGCAACGGCGTTCGTTCCATCTGCCGCCAAGCTGCGAGATGACTCGCAAGTGACGAAGGGATCACCCGATCGAAGAGGCTCGACATCTCGGACTACGCGAGGGTCGATAACGGATACTAATACGTCTCTAGTCGATGGAAGCGAGGCGTCCGCAGTTCGGCCGATGATCCGTCGGAAGAGCTCATTGACAAGCATTAAAATGCCCAAGAAAGGGTCCGGTCGAGCAATTTTACCTGGAGCCACTGTCAGACGCATGAGCAGCAGTAACGTCATGACTGACGCAACGATGCCGCGCACCAACAAAGTGGAAGATCCCGACGATGAGCGGCTGTTTGGCCACCGCGGCATTGAAATTCACGACAACATCGGCGTCTCGATTGATGACATTTTGATTCGCCGGAAGGATCAAGCGCGCATCCTTGAGCAAACGCTGCAGCTGCTGTTTGCTGCGGAGGTGCTGCTGTTCGTGGAGTATATGGAGGTGTTCATGCCGCTACTGTACGCTGCGTGCATCGGTGGCCTGTGGAACCTGCCCAACGCTAGGTACAACGTCATGCTGATGAACATGAGCTACGATGCCGTGGTGCTTGAAGTTCTGACTTCGATGGGCTACGCCATGTTGGAGGTCGTGTCGTTCTTGTCCGTGTACTATTTCATCAAGAAGAAGTACGGCATCTCGGCGCTCTACCAGCTCGCGTTCCTGCTCGAGTCGTACACCATGACGCTACACGGCAAACTCATCGGCTGCTTCATCACCATCCTCAACTCGTCGACAATGCACCAAGGCATCGACATTACCTTCAAGTTCGACTGGGACGCACTCCTCAAGACCCCAAATCCGTACACAGACGATCGGTAGGACTCGAACGCTACGGAGAGAGAGCTTTGGACAGGTACACAAAAATTCACACACGATTTCTGCTGACACTCGTCACAAAGCGTGGTGTTTCTCGATGCTCGAGGTGCCATCGTTGATGTACGCTAGCGGACAACGGTATCCTTTAAGAGAGTGTGTGGTAAGTCGGACGAGGTCCGACACCCGAGGTTCTATGTTGGACGACCATGAAGTGCAAGAGGATTCACCTCTACTGCGATGGGGACTACACCATCGCCTGTGGTGTGGGGAGCACACCACAGGCGATTGTGCCCTGATCGCTGAGAGAATTGCTTTGCAAGCCAGCAATGGGGTTCTCGACTAGTGATGTTCGTTGAACGCTGAAGAGTCTTCACATTATGAATCACAGGGACCAGTGGTACTGCTGGAAGGAAGACAAAGACACCGCGGTACAAATCTTCCACAAAGGTGAATGCTTCCTTGTCAACTGCAAATTCGTCGACCTTTGAAACCGCCCGCGGAGCGTGAGACGCCTTGCCTTGGGGTCTGGACTGCTGGACTGCGCATAGTGCAATGCGACTACACTCGTTCGTGCGCTGTCCCCTAGTCGAGAGGCGACCAACGAGTGGGCTTGCAGTGGCTCAGTGTGAGCAAAACAATCCTAGCTCGTGGAATTCCGGAGTGTGGTGGTGGTGAACCGAGTTGTCTCGACATTTCATAGCTCTGGCGGTGGCATCCAGCTCCTGGCAGTGCATAGCGAGCCACACTTCGGGTAGCACTGCGCGGGGCTGGCAGCACATGACGAAACCAGCCTGCAGTAAGGCATCAAACTTCAAGAGCATCCATGCCTCCTACCCCCTACCTGCCGGATCCTCCAGAAACTGACCTTAGGATCTCGTGCGCAGGGAGATTTTTCCTGGCGGCTCCGACACTGAGCCAGACGCGCCACTCTTCGAACCACCCGCAAGAGCAAGAGCCGTTCGTCAGCCGAGGCCCATGTCAAGCACACCTGATCGGCTCCATTCGCAGCCTTCCGCGTGCTCGTGCACCGCGTCACCTCAAATCCAGACCACTCGATGCTCCTCGTGCAGCGATCTGCAGCCGAAGCCTGAGCGCTACATTCAGACTGCGACTGGCATCGCCTTCGTCTCCGGCGACACCGGCGAGCCAAGATCCAGCAGCTCATCGAGGAAATGGACGCCTCACCAGCGCCAACAACGCGCTGATCGCTGAGAAGGTTCTAAAGTACCGCAAACTGAACAGGAGCTCGAGCGATCTGTGCGGCTTTGATCGGTCCTGACATGTTCGAACAGCTTTGGCATGTGCTGTTTATATGAGTAGTGATGCAGTAGTGGAGGATCGACGAGCTGTACGTAGTATAATGACGAACTAATGTACATAGATTTCCGTGTAGCACGCAGGTAGAATGGAGCTGCTCGAGATGTCGCCAGCATTTAAGTGGTCGTGTTGCGATGCCGTCGTTGTGATACAGTGTACACATGCTGTGTCGGGTTTTGGCGCCATAATTCTATTGACAACAACAAAGCTGTAACATCGACGTCTCGCGCGTAGTATCTGGCTTGTCCGCCCGCTATTTGCCCCTCATCTTGACTCGCGAGACTGTTGGCAGGGACGGAGGTGGGGGCATCGCCTTGCTCATGGACTCGCGACGGGTAATTCCGTTCATACGTCCAAGTGGCGATACTTGAGCGCCTTCTGGGCTAGTAGGGCGTTGGAGGTCGAGCTCATGGGCGAGTTGGCAGTGCGGATGAGTTGGGCGATTCTTGCCTCGGTCTGGAGGCGGAAGGCCTCGCTCTCGAAGGAAATACTCGAGGAGGACTGGGCGAAGCGTTCGGGGCAGGACGCGCTGCGCTCACCCTTGAACGCCCTTGGCATTCCTTCCAGACTCGTGAGCCGACGGCTAACCGTCAAGGCCTTGGATGGTGCGGGGTCTGACGGGCTGCGTGTCGTAGCTGCCTGTTCAGGAGCGCCCATAGCTAGCGAGCCGAGCGGTGAGCCTCACCTGAGGGCGAGCAGAGAAAACGGGAAGTGGCTGAGCTCGTCTCTTCAAATACGCTCAAAAACGCTAGCAACTGTCCAGCCAAACGCGCAGTCGGATCCTTCCACAAATGAGCGCGCTACTATGGAGCGCCGGTCGCGCTAGCGCAGGTGTTTCCCGCTCTAGACTGCAGCTCATACGCAGTCGGGCGAATGAAGGCTTCTCTCCGGACATCAACTCACAGCACACGTCGAGCCTTGGATGTAGCAACCATGACCTCAACAATTGTAGCGGTGTACTGCTCTGAAAAGCAGACACTAACGCGGTGCTTCTGCTAGAGGAGGGCGCAAGGCAGAAGCGCAGGAACCTGTCTATCCCCGGAACGCGCGTAAGCCATGGGTATCGCACTACGATGAGCCTATTGCTGGCATGTCCGAGAACGAACCGCAAAAACAAATGCGCGGATGAAGCAGACGCGCTTCCAGGGCAGTGCTTCCTCATCTGAGTGGTTGTCATGGTGAGCTACCTTTGTGCAGCTGCGCTGCACAACGACCGCCGCGTACAGGTGAAAACTGACTCGTTCGTTATCCGCATCGACATTTCACAATATCACTATGTACTACTACTATGATAGTACTATCAATATAGCATTTTGAATACATAGTAATGGACACGAGTAGCACAAAAAGCCACCAGCTATTTTTAATATCATACCAACGATTATACTATTTACACAACTTGTGGTAATCAGCACGTTTTCGGTGAAGTTCTGAGTAGGGCTCCGCGAAGGCTGGAATGGTATGAACCCCTTCTTTTTTATTTTATTAATTAACGTTACTTCTTATTAGCTACGGTCATCTCCTGCGCCTGCTTCAAAGCCGCAGCATCTGCCCGGAACTTTGCATTAATTAAACAATATATCAACCGGCAAGGCTTTAGAAAATTAAAAATGCGAACCTTGGTTGATGTTTGCAGCTTTTAGTAAATGCACATGCTTACCTCTGCAGTCCGCCTCAATCGTTTTCTTTACTTCACTTAGTCCATCCCAATATACATGTATGTACTGGTTCATACGAGTGTCGTCGGTAGCACACCGGCTCGATCTGCCTATGCATATAAACCTTTTGGAGGGCCCAGTGCGGCACCGCAGCCGTATTGGTTTCAAGAAAATGCACCAGTTAGATGTCAAGAGGGTCATCGTTTGACTTGATGAACCACGGATATAATCCGATTTGGTCTGCGATAGCAGCACTAACATTGCTTTCTATCCCAGTAATAAAAGTACTATCCTGTTCCAAGTGGACCGAAAGTGTACGACCCTAACGTTACATCAATGTTTTGTATAGCTACAGGGGTATCCGCATGGACACCGGGAGAATAAGCGTCTCGAGATACGGTGCGTCTAGAGCTGGTTCATGGCAATATATTAAATGTACAAAAAATAATAGCGAGCAGGATGTTTGAAAACCATATTCTGTCAATGATAACTGACTTGGCCGGGATCGTAGACTACGGTTCATAGTTCATAAAAGTCAGTACTGGGGATCTTTCCGTATCTGTACAGCGCATAATGATGCTGGACTTCTTGAACATATTTCTAACAGATCGGTGTTCAATCGCATAAATGAGAAGTGTAGTTCAGCGCCAGACATTCTTTAGTACCGGTATCACGAAAGTACTATTGATAGTTGAAAAGTAACAGTACATTTAGTACTGTCCTATTCCCACTACATATTACTTTTACTCATAAATCGGAAAGTCATTTTTCGTGTTGTCCATATTGCTACTAGAACATCAATAGCTCGTCCGTTGACATTCAGAAAATAAGCTCGCATCCTTTATCGGTCGCAGCGAGCGAGTGCCGCATGAGAGCAGCACGTGGGCACACATGCTGGTCTGAAAGCCCCGATGTGCCGATACTGTGCACTATAATGGACTGGGCGAATGCTGATACATAGTCGCTCTTGCTGCTGGCATTGAGCGACACCGCCCATTTTGGAAGATTCACCACCGTCTCAGTAGCGCCAAAACTTGTGGTCGTCTTCCCCTTCGCTGCCCTTCCCGATTTAGTGGCGATACAGGGCGATACATCGCAGTTGAGGCGAGCTAAGAAGCCCAGGGCGGGCCCAACGGCAGCTTGGGCTCAGTTGGCAGGCCAGCGTGCACGCCTATTCCCGTCAACTCATCAAAGATGTGTGGGCGTCTTGCCACTTGACGCTGAGTGAACTCGACTTCAACCTGCTCTTGCTCCAAGCGGAGAAAACGTGATTTTCACAGACGAAAAACGCAGAATCACAGAGCGTGCAGCAATTTCACAGAGCAACGTTTATGACACAACAGCTGTCTGAGGAGCCTCGACTCCCAGTGTAACCTCCAGGGTTACACTTTTGGTAGTCACTATTCTGGATGTATGACATCTCATAAAGGACAGAATTGCTATGCTGGCCTGCAGTCATCACCTAAAGCTGTGGACGGCGTCAGATCCATCAGCAGAAATAGAGCACTAGCACTGTCACTACCGGCTGAGTGCCAGCAGAAATACACAGTGCTCCTTGCCACATGCAATTCTGCCAGCAGAAATTCATAGTGGTCTTTGCCAACTGCAATTCTGCCGGCAGAAATACATCGTGGGCCTTGCCACATGCAATTCTGCAGGCAGAAATACACATTGGTCCTCCTTAAATGCAATTCTGCTAGCAGAAGTACATAAGGGCAATACCTGCAGCAGCAAATGCAATTCTGCTGGCAGAAATACCGGCACTTGCGAACTGTACGAGCAAGGACCCAGCCGAATCTGCTGTGTGCTGTGTGTGTTTTATCTCCTATGTGCTATTATGCCGTGATCGAGTAGATAGATGGTATTTTGTGATGTGCGCTTGCTGCATGAATACCTGCCGCCTCGTTGCACTAAAACTGTGCTCCTCGCAACCAGACAATGCTAGGAGCAGAAGTTTCATGCTACACTGCAAGATAAAAGCTGTCGATCATGATCGTGCTACAGCCTTAAAGAGGCAGAGGAGGCTGTAGTTTATGCATTGAGGTGTAGGAAGTATTTTATAATATATAATAGCGCATCCTACTCCCTGCGTCGTAAACCTCGTCGATGGCGCCAAAGTGCTGAACGTGGTCTCCACCGGACGCAACGCCAGTCGGTCTGCCGCATGAGTCACCACTGTTTGATCCTATATCGACCTGCCTTAAGAGCTATATCGACCTGCCATAAGAGCGGCAAAACGCATGGGGACTCGAGTGTTTCATTGCCGCGCTTCCAGCTCGGGAAGCAGTCTCAAGCATACCTGACTGAGAGATGTGTGTGCTACCGCCGCTATCGACGCGCTCAATGGCCACGGCCAGCTGTGAACGGCCACGTCGACATGGTTGAGAGACTTGTAGCGCACGGCGCAAGTGTCTTTTTGACAAGTACCGAGCAACGCTCCGCCCTCCATCGGGCTGCTACTCGAGGCATGGCAACCGCAGCCTGTGCTACTGCACGCTGTAGCAGCTAGCTAGTATTTCACTTCACTCTATGCCATTCTAGATTTATGCGGGTGATGGACACGTAGCCCTGTTTCATCCGCTTCGCGTTACCGACCCCGTGACGATCGCGTAGCTGCACGACCTCCCCCACTGCTTAAATACCTCGCTTTTCAGTCGAGCTACATGCGTTAATAGCGCGCCTAGTTCGAAAGTAGGAGGCAGCGGGGGACCCCACGCTCTGTGAAATGACCATCTTCCTCTGTGATTAGAACGCTCTCTCATCCCTTGGAGGACCTCGCTGCAGCGACGCGCAATGTTCACACTCGTTTTGTATGACACTGGCGCTGCTTGGACTCCCGCGCAGATGACGGCCCAGCGGAAAAGCCCGACCCGTAAGGCGTCGCCCGTCACATTGCTGCAGAAACACGAAGACCAAGTTGAAGCGGCCACGAGGCTCTCGCCTCAACGGACGCACAATGAGGCTGTCCCTTCACCAAAACCCCATATCGAAGCTGCCAGCCGTACGAAACCAGCCCTCGCACGAGGCTCCTTTGAGGCGACCCGCCCGCTGTTCGAGAACGTTGAAGTGGCAAAGCCGCGCAGCGCACCGCGCGTGCTTGCCGCTTGGGTAACGGCTATTTATGACCGACGGGTTCCGGCCCGCGCCACCCACTGCGTCGATCACTTCCAATTACACCGCGCACTGCCCACGCACCCCACCCTCCACCACAGTAAAAATGTGCAATATGATGATGGTGCAGCACGCCCTGCCTTCGTTCGTCGAGGACCCCGCCTCCGAACGCGCCTCCACCAAGCCAGTCTCGCTACCGATGCTCAACGTCGCCCTCCGACGGCAGCTAACTGCGACGATCTCTGGCCCGGAGCGCTATTCGCGCCGCGCAGATGGCGTCTCGTTCCAGAGCGAAGCCTTCCGACTGCGCACTCAGGCCAAGATCTCGGAGCTAGTGCGCACGGCCACCGCGGCCTCAACCGACGACTGCAGCACTAATGCGTTGCTTGCCAAGAAGGCGCTCAAGTACCGACGCGTGTTGGAGCGACGTCCGCTCGCAACCGCCACTGCCGTGCAGTGCTGATCCTGTCAACTAGCCCCCCTTCTATTTATTATCCTGCTGCCAGAGGAAAACAGCGCCTATATACATGTGTTCCCCAAAAAATAACATCACGTATTTGATCAATTCCATTCGACCGTTTATAGACCCTAGCCTACCCCGCCCAAAGCCGCAGTTTACACACGATTGACGCCTAAATGAGCGAAAGAGTTGATAGCTCTTTCAGGGATCAGTCATGCACAAAGTGGGCCTGCTAATAGAGCAAGTTCTTTCAGTACCGTGATTTAACTCTTTATACCAGGATAGAATTCCCAGTATGCAACGTTAGTGCTGCCAAACCGGATTATATCCGTGGTATCAAGTCAAAAGATGAAGTGGGGATTATTTTCGTGTATGATTCAGACGAATCTCGTGTAAAAGGATTGTTGGGGGGGGGGCTGTCCTAAGTGTACGACGTCACTATTGGACTCGCCCCCATGCCCCGCTAAGTTAGTTCAAAGGAAATTGGTATTGGCAGCTGTAGAAGAGAACACGAAGCGAAGCGAGAACAAAACAACATTTGAAACAATTGGCGGGAACCCGGGGGGTACCCATCGGGACCCCTGTTCCCCCAAAACTACCGGTACCCATATATGATCGAATGTATTGAAGAGTTGGTCTACGACCTGCGTTGAACGTAGCTTAAGCTCGGAAGAGAAACGGAAGGTTAATTTACCTTCGCCCTCGTCCTGTGTCTCTCCACGAAAATCCAGTCACTTGCCTGGTGCAGCGGTACAGTGCTTCCCGGTCTCATCGCTATCCTCCTGCTCATGAAAGATAAACGTGGACATGGTAAGGTATGTTATTTGGGTCTATTCAGTCCCGGTGGCATATTTCGAGAGTACTCCTTCATCGACAGCACTTAGGTATGAGGGTTTAACTTGCCCCGAGGGTACCAATTTGGAGGCCAAAAATTAAATAAATAATTCGCGATTTGGTCGGTATCATTTGCGGGAACCCGGGTTCCCGCCAATTGTTTCATTTCGTAGTAATAGTTTAATGTATAGTATTGTGGAAACCGCTTCATTTGCCTATTTTGCTCATAAATCGATTGATTAGCACCCTGATTTAGCTCGATCGATTTACAAAACGATCGCGTCCTGCGATGCATATGTTAGTGGATGTGCAGATTAGGCGGTCGTTTTATGGAAGCCAAGTCAATATAGCCGCGTTTGGAGCAGAATGCCCACCTTTTACTGGGCAATCGCGCAGCCATGCGATGCATCTAGATCGCGATAAATTTCACCCCTGATTTGACCTCTGATTAACTAAGTGATTGAGATCTAATAAGGGGTTGCTACAGATCGGTTTTCACAATAATAATACTTGCACGATAATATAATTCTTGTTATCCCGCGATGAGCATACTGCACAGCTCCATCTTTCTGCCCGCGCTTCTGTCGCTTCGTGTTGGAGTCTTGGAGTGCATGCAAAGAATCATAGTGGAAGCTAGTGCAATACTTCTCTGGCCCACATAAGAAACAACACTTCGGTTTTCTGGACATAACTTTTTACAAAAAAATCGTTTGGTGACTCGCAATACCTCAACCGAAAGCTGCGCATTTGCTCCGTTTCACGCTATGATTTAAAAAAATCTAGCAGCAGAAAGAAAAGAGAAACAGCCTTTTATCTGAAGTCCGTTTTAGGCAACATTAGGTTTTTTAGCGAGGTGCCGTCAAAAATTAGCGATATTAGAAAATAAAATATCACCGTAATCGCGAGTGACTGCTTTGCCCTTATGTTCGGTTGTCGATGTTGTAGCGCCTGTTGGAGACGAGTTAGAAGGACTACAGTTTTGAGGTTTTTCAACGCGATTATCTCGACATGCGCAGACCCATTTATTTTGGTTAATAGTAAGATGAAACAGTTGATTATACCCAATCATATGTGACATGTGGTTCACATCAAATTGAGGTTTAATGCCGAATGTTGTTTCTTAAGTGGGCCAGAGAAGTATACATTGCCTTGATCACCTTAATCCGACCAATCAACGCTCGTGGGTTTTCACCTGGTGTAAAACTTCTTCAGCAGCGTAATGCCTTCCTCGTTGAGGACGCCCGACATGCACAGGAAACCAAGGTGCACTTTGCTGTTTGGAATTACGCTAGTCGAGCGGCACAATTACATGAAAAAACAGAGTCAAGTTAGCTATACCAACTTAGCACGCATACAAGAAAAAAACACTAAGAATCTCACCTGCGCTTGCGCAGGTTCAGCCCGGAGCTGCGCACGCACACATTATACATTTTTTTCTTGCAATCGATAAATTCGTTTTTCGCAATACAAGGCCAAGGAACATGATATTTGACACACGGTTATATGTGAATAATAAATAGGTAAAAGGCAAGTTTCAACATCATATGGATGAATATCATCAAACTGCCGACAGCATACACTAAAAACTTGATTTTTGTATGGTCCTGTGAGCCAATAGAAACACAGCTGAAGCCTTTTAACGAATCATACAGTGTTCAAGAGAAATTTTAGCCAATTAAAACACGACAGGGGTAGGGTAACGGCTATCGACACGTGGCCGACGCACAATGTCGGCAGCGACAGCCATACAAAAGGCAAGTCATTCACATATTTGCTGGATATCAAGAAGCCAACCGACACTAGACTCGAAAACAATGAGCCTGCAAGACCTCGCTCCAGAGAACACGAAGCGCGCGCAAGCAACAGCAGTCAACGCCTTCACGGCTTTCCTCGCCTCCGAGAATGTCACTCTCGAATTTATCCGCGCTACCCTCCTGGCAGATGCCAGTGGTTCGGTGCTCGTGAAGTTGCTCGACCGCTTCGCGATGAACCTCGCGTTTGCTCGAGGCCGAAGCGGGGATCTGCGCAAGCGGAACACCGTGATGAGCTACTACCGGAATGTCAAGAAGTGGTTGCTGGAGGATTTCCTCCAGCACCGCCACATTATGGAGCAGCGGCTACTCAAGATGGGTCGCATTTTGGAGCGGCACAGCCTCAAACGGCAGCAAGGTGGTATGGTGACGAAGGCGCCAGCATGCACCAAGGCCGACTTGCGTTCTCTGATCGACGGACTGTACTTTGATGCGAGTTCTGCCAAGGAGTATTAGGATGCTGCGCTCCTATCCATCATGTGGTACGCGCTTGGACGCGCGTCCGATCTCGCGTTTATCCAGAAGCGCAACTTGTCGGTCGGCTCGGGCAACGTGCTATTCCTTCGCCGGATCCGAGCGAAAACGTCGGAGGAGCAAGGCCTCTCTCTCTTCCCAGACAAGAGCTCCTTCATCACGTGTCCGCTCCACGCCATCGCCATGGCACTGGCGATGCAAACATTCCCGGTATCGTCTGTACTCGACCTCGAGCACCTTTCGGGGCTGAACATTGGAGATGAAGCGCCAGCAACGGAGGATACGCTACTTACCGATACGCTCGTCCACGGTAGTGATGATGATGATCCTGCTAATGCATCACCGGAAGCCACCTCTCCGAGACGTAAGTCTGTCCCGCTGAAAATGCAAGGGTACGTCAATCGAGTGCTCAAGACCGCAAGCGCACGTCAAGCTAATGCTGGTGTTTCAAGTGGCCTCTCGTCGCATTCTTTCCGGCGGGGCGGTGCGCAGCATGCCAACGCGGATGCTTCGCTAAGTCCTCAACGGATCTTCGATCGTGGCAGTTGGAATAAGGCGGCGACGAACAAGGCATTCGCCTACGTTTTCAACACCACGGATGAGGACACGAAAGTATCGAAAGTGCTCAGCGACTGGAAGTCGAACGGCAACCCGACCATACGTTCGGCTGCTGCATTCGACTCTGCAACGACGACGAAGATTCGCAGGCTTGGTCGCATGTTGTTTGGGCCTAGCTTGGAGCTTGGGGACGCCTCATTGATCGTCGATGATCACGTCGCAGACCTGCTAGTGGCATCGTTGGTTCAGCACTTTCCTGAGGTCAACGAGAGGTACCCGATGAGCCCATACACTTCGCGGATGCGCATGTGTCTTTTCCCTCTTCAAGTGTCGATGCCGGAGCTGCTAGGCTGGAGTGTGGAGCTGAAACGGCAAGCAAGTGAAGTTCAAAAACCCTTCACACGTTAGCTTCAGTTGATCAACCATCTCAATGCAGGCATAGCCCAACTCGTGGAAGCGAACAAGGCGCAGTCGGAGCGCATTGCAGAGTTGGAAAAACGGGTGCCGGTTGGTGGTGCAGTTGCTTACCAGGACGGCTCAACTCCAGACACGATCACTGACCGTATCGACCGGTCATCGGCCTTGGACACCCCGATGAAGCCAACCAAGCCCAAGGTCGGCGCAGCCTCGAAAACCGCAGCCGCAACTTGGTTTGAGTGGTACACGAAAACCCCTCGCATCTGGGAAGTCTGTGACGATCGCCAGTACAAGTCTTAGTTAGCCCCAGAATGCCTATCATAAGACAAAGCGTCTTACGTTTTCCGATCAACGCGTTTTGACTACATCTTGGTTTTTGTATACCAGTGGCTACATTGCATATTGTCTGTCAAAACATAAGACAGTTTGACGGACAGTAGTTTGCGCCATACAATTGGCCAAAAGTGTTCAGGTCACAGCGGCATCGTTGCCGCGGACGCGGTGGCAACGTTGAGCGCCGAAACGATGCAGTTGCATGGTGCGGTAGGGTAAGTAGCCTCTTGTTTGCACACGAAGCGATGTGCCTGTAGTTGGCCGCTGGCAGCAAGCTTAAATATCGGCATAATGACTGCACGAACGCGTGCATGCAGTCCGTGGAGCTGTTCCACTCAGAGGTGCAGCCGTTGTAGGGCACCGAGTTACGATGAAGTTGGCAGACGTAAACTAAGAGGGACAAATAGCTCGTGACGGTACTACATGTACATTTTAATGTAGTAAATTTTATGCTTGGGCGTACATCATAGTAGTTGTGAAGGCGTGGCAACCAGGGAACGGTGTTGCCAGTGGGCTTCTCGAGATCCTCCAACCCCCTCTTACCTAATCATTACAGTCCAGCAACAAAATGCAACCACGTACTCTGCGACGGCGATAATACCTAGATCTTATACCTACGACGCTGAGGTGCGGAGGAGCTCCACACTGCTGCGCGGGCGCTCGGCGCGCGCCATATCGCTGCTGGGCTCGACCTTCGGCATCGGCGATTTACTCGGTATCTCCTGCAACTAAGCCACTGCCTGCAGCCATGCTTTTTGTCGATGCTACAGCGTAGACTGGTTTGCGTATGCGCGCTCTATCCGAATCTCCATCTTCTATAGTGTTAGTACTTTACTGTAGAAAGGAGAGTTGACGTGGTGGGGTGAACGACTGTTGTCGTTCACCCCAGTAAAGCGAAGAAACATTGCTCCACTACGGGAACAAACGGTCGCATGATAACTGTGCTATGATGTCCTTACATTCCATTCCTGGCAAGTATATTTTAATCTTCTAGCAGGAGATTAGTGCATGGCGTCAGGATCAAAGGCCCGGACATTTCAAGGGGCATTTTTCAAGTGCGCTGCCTCTAGTAAAGGGGGCAAAATGCGCACACAGATAAATCAGTCCAATTTACGAGCCGAGATGCAGCAACACTCGAGACTACATAATACAATATTAACCAATGAAATTGCTACATTTGATTTGTCGTCAAACTGTCTTACGAATGATCGACACAAGTGATTGTCGCCTTCATGAAGCTGTTCCTACATCTGGGATTCAGCCTTGACACTACCACTGGAGAGTACGCAGACCGTGTCATGCAAGCTGGCAACACAGCTCAGAAGAATATGCACGAGTTTCTTCAAGCGCGAGGTATCAAGTGCAAGTTCAGCTCGGGCCTACTGAAACGACTTCGCGCACTTCATCGAGATGGAGCTCTAGACGAGCCCATTACCCGGTACCGGGCAAGTTTGGCTCTTGGCCAGATCGCCGACCCTGCTCCTGAAACGACAAAGGAGTGTTCTTAGAAGCACTTTGGGATTTTGGGGAAATCATGCGACTTTACAGTTTGATGGAGGTTTTTTAACCTATTAAAGGCATGAACTTAAATAAGAGCAAATACACTACCCATGGTTCGTTACACATTCAAACCACTGTGGCATGCCTTCACCATTTTGCAATTGCCAACCCGAAGTCGATGGTTCACCTCAGCCAGAACAAATTCAAGCGCGCTGTTAGAGCATTTATTAGGCGTGAGTTCCCCTTCGCGTATGTTACAGATGAAGCTTTACGCTACCTTCGCCACGAGCTGCGTGACCAGGTTATCGAGGCTCCAAGCCCAAGGAGACGGTTGTTTGACGTCCTCTCGCTGTTGCAACAGCAGACTGGTCGTAGAATCGAAGGCTACCATGTTCTGGTATGGCGCTCTTCGCGGCGCCGCAGCCTCCGACAGCTTCCCAGTACCGGCGCGGATGCATCTCATGCAGCTGCCCACGAGTCGACGGAGGCGCGCGAGGCTGACGGCAACCTCGCGCCAGTCAACACTCCGCTAAGAACTGAGGAGAATGGGGACACCGTTACCACTATTGGCGCCGCCGCCGCTTGGACCAGCACCGTCGAGAACCCCGCCAGCACTGCCGCTGAAGCCATACCCACCAGCACTGCTGTTGAAGCCACACCCGCCCTGACTACTGCTGCGAAGCTTGCCGCCGATGCTGCTGCTGAAGCGAAGCACGCTGCCGCTGCTCCTGCTGCCGAAGAAAAGCTCTCCGTCACCGCCGCCGCCGTCGCCGTCGCCGAGGAAAAGGTGACCACCGCCGCCATCGCCGTCGCCGAGGAAAATGTGACTACCGCTGCTTCCAGAGCTGACGCTGCACAACCGCTCGCTGATTCTGGTGACGACTTCAGCGACGACGACGTGGTCTGTATCCGGTCTACCTGCCACAACTGGCGCTCGATGCCGACGATGGGCGCGACGACAGGGAGGCGAGCGAGACGGGATGGGTCCCGACGGAAAACCTGGCCGCTCCTCCTTCCACAGCCCCGCAGCTCTGCAACATCCACGCAATCCCAAACTCATACACGAGAAACGGTAAGAGAGTTTACGTTGTTGAGTGGGAGCAAACCGAAGCGCCTGCCACGAATCTGCCTCGGAACATGGTTGCCGCATACAACCGACGCCGCAGAGTCCTTGTCCGTCGAGCCTTCATAGAAGACCAAGCTGGCCACGGCCGTGGACGACTTCGAAACTCGGAACTTGCACCAGAGCGCCGCCGTCGCCGATCACTTCGACGACTTCGCAGAGCTCTTCACTTCTAGAAAACACAGGCACAAGACAATAGTTCGAAGGGTTCAAGCGCATATATTACCATTGAGGAACGACTACCCAAGTACAACGAGGTTAAGCTGCTTTCGGGGCACACCAAGTTTTGGGTAGTCTTCACCTCGCAGAACAGGAAGGCTACGCCATAGGATAGTGTGGTATCGGAAAATGGAGATTACCGGAGTGCTTGCCCGTCGCCCAAGAATCAAGGTACACTGATCAAGGAGCAGTCAAGCGCGAGCTGGAAGTGGCTGCTTTGGTTAAGCTGGCGACATTATCCTCGTTGGAGTGACAGGTAGTGGCCGGAGCCTCGTCGGGTCCTAATACAACCCCGAACGAGGCTTCATGGTACCCACTTTTAGGTACAGATGCATTTAGATACGTACTTCGGCCGCACTTATTAGTGTAGCCGCGGTCGTCATTTGATGTGTCCGGAATCGCCTTATTGCGATCGTTCACACTAGATATTTGTATAGGGACATAGGACTCATCATAGGATGGCCAGAACGAGGCCCCCAGGGCCTCAGAAAACTCAGTAATAAAACGACAGTCTTCCCCCAAAGCCAACAAGGGTCAAGTCCGAGATCGGTAAGTGTAGCTAGCTTATTGTAGTGCCTGGACACGCTCGGCTGCGTGTGGATGCCTGTCGGGGAGCTTATCGTGCATTGACCGAGAGTTCACTTGGCAGCGCCAAGAGTTGGCGTGGCCGGAACGGTATTAGAGTATCGCTCAGTATATATTTGTGGGATTAGAGTGTCCCTGAGTGTATTAGTCTACCTACCGAGGTTTTACCTTGGTCCCCCTGTATAAGGCCTAACACGCCGGTACCCTTCCTTCCTGAGGGACTGCAGTGGGGTTGCGCGAAAGCGCTACATAGTATCCTAGCCTTAGCTCATGGCTAGTGGTACATGTTTTGGGTTGACCGAAGATAACCTAAGGTGCACAGAGGCGCTTGCAACCGACCCGGTGTAAGGGATCGTTCCTGGTCTTCAGGTTCTGATCCAATAAGCGCTTACCTTTGCGGGTTAGCGTGTTGTTGGTGTCTCTAATACCTTTTGGTAGAGGAGGATTTTAGTGGAATTACCACACCACAACTGGTACCGCGACCCGGGATTGGTGCGACCTTCTGTGTGTCTGGATTGTTGTAGGTCTTACCCCAACGAGCAAAGAGGAGAAGAAGAAGAGAAGAAGAGAAGAAGAGGAGAAGAGAAGCGAAGGAGAAGTGAAAAGATGGTGAAGGGAGTCAAGTCAGCGGTACCAGCAACGCCGGTCAAGTCGAGTGGAACGCGCAACGAGGCTTCGGTGCGCTCCGGAAGCTCGTTCTCGACCCCAGCGATGGATCGGATGGAGTCGATCGACGAGCGTTCGGCGAGCTGCGACACGGCGATTGATTCCTCGGACGCCAACGAAGATGACGAAGATGATGACTGGGATGTCAGGACTGTGGTGTCCGAGACTTCGGAAGCCGCGGTTGTGTCGGCCGGCCGCAGTGGAGGATCGAAGTCGATCACCCGCGACCTCTCCGAAACGTTCAACGATATGCCGGACCCCGAGCCCGCCTGCGACGCGGATGACGGTGCGACCGAGGGTTTCAAAGCCTCGGTGACGGTAGAAGGGGCAACCTCCAAGCCGGTTGGCACTCGTGCTCCCCCCAACGGCGATACTCCGGCGGCCAACAAGGTTCTAGGCCGATGTCTGGAGCTGATGAAGACCAAATGTGAGTGGATGCAGTTGTTCTCCCCGAAGCAGGTCCGCCAAGCCATCTGGATGGACCTCGGAGGGGCTTTGGCAGCGCCGATCAACTCAACGCGCACTCGGCAGCTCGCTCAGAACGCTGTGGACCTCCTGCGTGCAATGGGGTGCGAGCCCCAGATTCTCCCGACGGAGGCTGCACTCGCGAGCTGGACGCCAACCACCGCCGCCATGGCGCTTACCAAGTGGAGGAAGAAGTTACGTGAGGCCTTTGGGGTGGCAGACCGAGGCTCAACGAAGCTTCGTTCGGCCCCGGAAGCGGTTGACCCTTCCAAGGTCCCACTACCAGAGACCCCTCGGAAGGCAGCCACGGATGACGGAGTCTTCGCAGTCAAGGGCGAGGCTTCGCCTTACATGCAAGACTCGCACATGGTAACCCCACGATCTACGGACCGTACTGAACGTCTGGCTAGGGAGACCGAGGTTTCGTACGCAACGCCTGGCACGCGCGGGGCAACCGGTCGCCGGTCCAGCCGCCGTTACGACCTCCGAGATGGCTCGTCGGACAGTGACGATGATCTCGGGTCCGACTGTTACGAGGGCGACCTGCCAAGCGAATGGGCTCGTCAGGTGCGCGAACGGAGCGCGACTGACAATCATAGCTCAACCCCTAAGCTCGAGATTACCACGTATCTACCTCTCTGCAACATCAAGTCGTTCTACGGTTTGCGCGACAAGAGCGAACACTCCATGCAGTGGCTTCGTACGTTCATCTACGAGATGAGGGGGACACATGCACCGCCCAACGAGTGGTGCACGCCGTTCGAACTCAAGCTCAGAGATGGTGCTTTGTATTGGTGCCGCCAGCTTCCACGCAAGACGAGACGCACGTGGAAACGGCTGTGCGAGGCATTCATTAAGTACTACTGCTCAAAGTTCTCCCAGTCTGCAAAGGCTCGGTACTACTCGGCCAAACGAGAGAACAAAAAGCATGTATGTGACTACCTCAACCGGCTCAACGGCTACGCTCGCAACGCCGGGGTGCAGTTTGAGCACGGGGATCGTGACGCGAAGGACCACGTCGAACACTTCTTGGTTACGTGTGACGACCGAGATTTAGAAGAGCGTCTGTGTCATGTCACGGTTAAGGGCATTCATGACCTCGAAGCCATGATTAATGACATTCTGCGTCACCGCGACCGCAAGTCAACTCGCGAATCGTCGTTACACCGTTCTCGGAGTCAAGATGCCACTCGCCGTCGCGACGCAAGGTCGAACGATGATTATCGTAGTGGCTACCACCGCAAACGACGTTACCGTGACGACGACCGCCGCCGTGACCGACGTGACGGGTCGCCGCACCGGTCGAGGGTGACTTTGGTCGACGCCCTTGCCGATGTAATGGCGGAATGGAACGTCGGAGGCTCGGTCGGTGCACGCAACGAGGCTTCGTACGCCCCCCGACGTGATGCTGAGGCGAACGAGGATTACTTCGAGGACGAGCGCCAGTACTCGGATGACCAACGCTCGGACGAGGATTCAGACGCCGATTACGAGTCGGACGAGTCTACTCGACACGTCGCTGCCGCTAACGACGCTGAGCGCAGGGCCGCAGCCGATGGAACGTTCGCCCGGTCTGACAACCTACGCTTCAGGAACGGAGGAGGCCCGTCCAACCGCGAACGAGATGGCCGTCGCCAGTATGGGCCGTGTGCCGCGTGCGGAAGCTCGTCCCACTCCGTGCACTTCTGCTACCGGCGGTGCAAACTGTGCAAACAGGTGCACGACGCTGGGAAGTGCGAAGCACTCCTCGAGCTCACCAAGCTCCTGAAGTCCAAGGTCGACAAGAAGGATCTGTCGCCAGAGCTGCAAAGCCTGGTGTATGGAAGCCATTTAAACTAGGCAGCCCGCCACCTGAAACTGGGTTGGTCCCAATCGGGCTGCCACAGTTAGCTGAGCCTGCTGTTGATGCGGACAATCTGTTCGCGTTCAAAGGCGAAAGCAAACGGCCTGACGACCTGAAGAACAATGATCGTGTGAAACCGACGGGAAATGGAGAGAACCGAGACGCAAGTCTCGTTGAGACCGGTATTGATGAAGATGATGATGACGAACGTGATGGACACCCGACCGTGGCTTTGATTACAAGTCTAGCCCAGGCCAGGGGACCACCTCGGAGCCTCGTTCGGGCGGTGCAATTACTGCCCGGTGAGAGACTGGGGTGGTGGTCGTCCCAGCGATACGACAAGAGGAAGCGAATGAGAGCTTTGGTCAATGGCGCCGTGGACGACGCGCGAACGAGGCTACTCCTTGATACTGGAGCGAATGTTAGCGTGATTTCTGCCAGCTTCGCCAAGCGGCTACGTGTACAGGAAGTCCGGGACAACGGACAAAGTCTCGAAGTCCGCGGCATCAACCCAGAGGTGATGGAGACCTGGCGACGGACGCTCGTCAAGATCACCCTCGGGTGGGAGCAGGCTTACGAGTTCGAAATGTGGATAATAGACCACAGTGCCGGAGTGGATGTGGTCCTTGGGATGGACTTTATGATCCCGGCTGGAATCCGGCTCGATCTGTTCCATGGCACCGCACGCCTTCCAGACGACGTCATGGTACCACTGCTGAAGTCGCAGAGTGTTGGGGATGACGAACCTTACGGCACGCAGCCTTCGTGTGGGCCGATCGAGGATTTATACGTACCCGGTCGCGAGTGGCGAGAGTTTCGACTGCCGCGCCAGCGGCTACCTCGTTCGGCGTACGATGTGTGGGTACGACGCACGGGCAAGCTCGTGCCGACCGTAACGAGGTTTCGACGGGGGCAGCCGATGTGGACACGGCTCACCAATATTACGACCACAGCGGCACAGTGCGCCAAGCATGACTCCGTGGTGCTGTGGGTACCGCATGGTGAACTACCGCGAGAGACCGGCTACGCGAGGTTGGACTCTAACATATACAAGGAGTGGCAGGTGCTGGCATACTCAACGAGCCGTGACGAGACTCTGTATGGAAGGGAGCGATGTCTCTATGACCAATGGCTGGCCAAACAGCCACCCGCGGTTGAGCGCAGGACTTACTCGACGCCGCAGAAGATCTTACGGAGACCGCTCGACGCTACAATATGGCCGAGAGGTCATCTTCAAGGTCGTCCAAACGACGATTATTCTTCGCTCGGTATATCGGATCATGCCAACGACCCCAGGGTTTCCCAAGGCTCGGTCAAGGTTACTGAGCCTGGTGCAGACGACACAGAACGTGATGGTATATCCAACGACGGTTCGGACGACGAGGCGAGCGCACGGACCGACTCCGACGCACTGGAAGGGTCGTCGCTTCACCGAGCGGCCTATGCATCCAAGCGCACCGATCATAACGCCTATAGCATCGAACATGGGGCACAGGAAGCCCCGGCCGAGGTGTCAGGAGCCGGAGACAAGCGTGATGATGGTGTTGGAGAGCTGAGCGACGATTCGGGAGAAGATCATGACGCGCCAGAGGTAACGGCAGCGGTGGAATCAGCCCCGCGGATGGCCGGAACAGCGACTGATACGCAAGCACGCCCTGAACCAGATCAAACGTCGGTCGCGTGGGGCAACGCCACTATCGACTGAGGTGAACATGATCCTGGACCAAACGACATTTTAACTGAAGCAAGAACCGCCACGACCGAGGTTAGTACCGATGGAGAAAATTGTGTCGATGGCCCGGACAAAGAGGACCCTGAAGGACTATTGGAGGCGAATTACACCTCGGTCGTACATGCGATGGTTGCGGAAGGGCTCCCGGAGGTTGATGACACCGCGAACGAGATTAATCTCAGCGACTACACGCAGGAGTCTCTACCGACATCTCGACTGAAGCCTACCACTCAGATTTGGCCCTACATGGAACGAGGTAAACCAAGACACGAGTGCTGATTCTCAGTGGTGAGCTGGCAAAGGTTTGGAAGTGGAACGGACCTGAGATGACGTGCCTAAGCGCAGAAGAACACCGTTCGATTGTTCGTTTGGGTGATGACCTGCACTCGTGGCGAACGCAGCACGATGTTTGCACGTGGCCCAAGTCGTTGACAAGTTGCATACGCTAACGACGCTTGAACTACCCGCGAGGGTTACCCAGCTCGCGATGGCAGACGAATGAAGCTACTGAAAACGATGATTGAACTGCCTGCGAGGGCTATCCAGCTCGCAGCGACAGACGAAGGAAATGACTGGAATTTGCATATTGCATGTGATGTGAATGAGTCACGATGGAGTGGCATGTCGGAATGCCTCCGTCAACACACCAGCAGATGAAACGAACAAGGATGAGGCTTAAGGAAGGGTGACCGAGGCTTCGAGTGCCGATACTAACGTGGAAGAAGGTCGCGCCTGTGCGCCGGACCTCGACTTGCGACGATGTATGGATTTGATGATGAAGTGGAGATACGAGTGGATCTGGGACCGCTACGCCCGACAACTACGTTTCGTTCAAGGCGGTGGTGCCTGATGTAGCAAGCGCGGAAACTGTGGGAACCCTGAACGAGAATTGGTGCGGCTCGAAAAGATGTGATTGCAACACAGCGGGTCGCTTGATGGAGGCTGGGGTACCCAGACCTTACGTTACGACCACCGAGTATTTGCTGTAAGTGGATCACGAACCACGGTCAACACTGGTACAGTTTCTGACGCCAAAGAGGAAGAAGCTGAAGGCTCGACCGATGTTTCTGGTGCGGTGGTTGCCGAGCCACAGACTGAGGCAACTAAACCCGAATTGGTTACGACCACCGGAAAATCCGGATGGAACTGTGGAACGAAGGCAACGAAACCACGGTCGACACAGCCACACTATCTCTGAGTGATAACGAAGCAAGTGATGATGTGACCGACGTTGGCTGTCCAGCGATTCGCGAGCTTCAAGCTGGGGCAACTATACCTACCTCCTTTACGACTACCGAAGTTCCGACGTAGTAATGGTGCGAGGCTGGACGAGTCATCGCACGTTCCCTGACTACTGCAGTTGACGTTGAACCATCGAACGACGCAGAACTAGCTACAGAAGATGTCAGCGACGCTGAGAAGTATGCGGACGATGTGTGACGAGCGGCGGTCAGCAGCATGTCGATGGAACGTCGGACCATACGACCACCGGAACTCCGGTAGATTGGTATTGCGGCCAGAAGAGTGGCAGGGCATGCTGCTCAGTTTGACCCTCAGGTGATGCAGCACTTTCTAAAGCAGACACCAATGTCATCGAGGAAACGGAGCCAAGGTGTAACCCAGGGGCAGTGCGCGGGGCATCGACCGAACAACCAACGTCGGACCATACGACCACCGGAATTCCGGTGGTGTAGCAATGGATGGACGACGATTGAAGCATGACCGGCTACCGTACGTCGTTCCGATTGAGTTTGACACGCTCCAGAAGATGCCACTGAAGGTGAAGTAAACGGGACCAAGACGCAAACACTGGCAGTCCGCATGGTATCGGTGGAACGACCAACGTCGGACCAGACGACCACCGGAATGCACGTAACGTGGCGGCTCCAAGCATCCTCAAATCCTCGGTGGCCCTAGCAGAAGATGAAATATCACTGGAGGAACCTTGTGGTGTGTCGACCGACACTTCAGCAGCGAAGGAAGTCACTGGAGGCTCGGTCACAGTTGCAGCTTGCACCGGAACCGTATTATCAGCGCCAACAGAACCACCGGTGGGTAATGAAAGATCTTGCGACCCTAGCCAACGTTGCAAAGTGTCGGTGGCTACATCGACAGCACCCTGGGATGCCGGAGAACAAGCTGGCGTCATTAACGAGGATCCAACTGATGGCGAAGAGCAGCAAGAACGCCCAGCGTACCGGACCAGAACACTGAAGGTCCAGGAGAGCGGCGGTCTCAGCGGTCAAGCGCAAGGGCAATGAATGAACCATGAAGGTGACAGACGGAAGGCGCCTAGACGCTCACCTGTTGCTGAGGCTCGTGTCCAGGCAGGGGCAGTTGTGGTATCGGAAAATGGAGATTACCGGAGTGCTTGCCCGTCGCCCAAGAATCAAGGTACACTGATCAAGGAGCAGTCAAGCGCGAGCTGGAAGTGGCTGCTTTGGTTAAGCTGGCGACATTATCTTCGTTGGAGTGACAGGTAGTGGCCGGAGCCTCGTCGGGTCCTAATACAACCCCGAACGAGGCTTCATGGTACCCACTTTTAGGTACAGATGCATTTAGATACGTACTTCGGCCGCACTTATTAGTGTAGCCGCGGTCGTCATTTGATGTGTCCGGAATCGCCTTATTGCGATCGTTCACACTAGATATTTGTATAGGGACATAGGACTCATCATAGGATGGCCAGAACGAGGCCCCCAGGGCCTCAGAAAACTCAGTAATAAAACGACAGTCTTCCCCCAAAGCCAACAAGGGTCAAGTCCGAGATCGGTAAGTGTAGCTAGCTTATTGTAGTGCCTGGACACGCTCGGCTGCGTGTGGATGCCTGTCGGGGAGCTTATCGTGCATTGACCGAGAGTTTCCTTGGCAGCGCCAAGAGTTGGCGTGGCCGGAGAGGCAGGAACGGTATTAGAGTATCGTTCAGTATATATTTGTGGGATTAGAGTGTCCCTGAGTGTATTAGTCTACCTACCGAGGTTTTACCTTGGTCCCCCGGTATAAGGCCTAACACGCCGGTACCCTTCCTTTCTGAGGGACTGCAGGGGGGTTGCGCGAAAGCGCTACATAGTATCCTAGCCTTAGCTCGTGGCTAGTGGTACAGGTTTTTTGGTTGACCGAAGATAACCTAAGGTGCACAGAGGCGCTTGCAACCGACCCGGTGTAAGGGATCGTTCCTGGTCTTCAGGTTCTGATCCAATAAGCGCTTACCTTTGCGGGTTAGCGTGTTGTTGGTGTCTCTAATACCTTTTGGTAGAAGAGAATTTAAGTGGTATTACCACACCACAGTTCCCTCACTCTGTGAGGGTGGTGCGCGTAAGTGAGTGTGCATCCACGGTTGACCAGTGCCTTGGGTGACGGCTCGTAAGTTGACTGGCGTATAGACCCCCCCCACCAAAGGGTCTTGAAGAATAAGTGGTGGCTGTATATTCTGTGACGTTTAGCTCGGCATTGTATTTCTGTGTGTTGGCTATACTGAATTGTGGATCTGACTGTGGTCCCTTCGATTCGGTCTGACCTTCTGTTCATTCGGTGTAGTTTGTTTCAGGAACACACCCAGCAGACTCGATTCTGTATTTACAACAACTCACTCGGTGAAGTCCGGTCCGCCAAAGGTAAACGATACCTATAGGGGTTGACACAAGGGCACACGCCAAGTCCAAGCGATCCTCCCGGCCCCCGGTTCACATCCTGTGTTCCGAGGACTACCGGATTGCAGCGGATATCTCTGGTACTCCGAACCGATTCGGTCCGGCATAGTGCGCTATACACCTGGACGATCAAGGCGTTCACCCGCCTCGCCTCAGCTGGTGCGCGTGCCCGGATTTGGTTGCCTAGGATTTCACCGCGAGTTGTTTGTTTGTATATTGATTTGGTCTTAAATGGTGTTTCTACTGGCTGCCTGGACTAACAGTGTGGTTATGGCTGGAAGGAAGGAAGCACGTGAAGGTGGACGCGGAGGCGGACGCGGTGAGGCGTCTCGTCAGTCGCGTCGAGGACAAGGGCTGCCGCCGGAGGAGCTCAAGGCCCTGGACGACGTTGTCCGGGAGGCTCGGAAGGCTGGCGCGGAGAAGCGCAAGGCGGCCCTGGAAGAGAAGAAGAAGGCGTCGGCGGCCGATCAAGATCAAGCGGCCCCGGAGTCCTCCGTTCTGGATGCGCACCAAGCAAATCAGGATGAGGCTCCGGAGGCGGACTCGACCGAGTCTGTGCCGGCCGGCACCGAATGTGTCCCAGACCCGGTGACGGGACTGGATGAGGGTGAGTCCGCACAGGGTGGTGAACCCGCCTAGGCGTCTGTGGGAGGTGCCGATGAGGTTGAGCCCCCGGCTGAGGATCGAGTTTCGGACTCTCCCCAGCCGGATGATGAAGTCGAGATTCTGGACGAAGCGCCGACGATCAAGCACGAAGGCCCGCTGTCGACCGTGGAGGAAGACGGCGTACTGAATGACGAAGCCGACACCCGGTCTGCGCCAGCACAATCCAGTCTGGCCGTGACCGCCCAAGCTCCCGCGCTCAAGATGGAAGCCCAATCCAGTCTGGCGCCCTCGGATTTTTGAGGACCCAGTGAGACCAAGGCCCAAGTGAGCGAGGCTCAGGCGAAGGCGTACGCCGAACAAGTGCGTCGCTGGGAGCAGCATCGTGAACGCGCTGCCGTCCAGCTCAAGGTGGAGTATGCCTGGCCCGAGCCGGCACCCGACTTCACCGAATGGTGGACTGCCGCGCTGCTAGCTACACTTACCGAGGTCGAAATTGATCCTTGTTGGCTCTGGGGAAGACTGGCGTTTTATTTTATTACTGAGTTTTCTGTGGCTCTAGGAGCCTTTTCGCGTCATCTTAGGATTAGACATCTCTCTATACAAATATCCTTCACATCAACAAGAGCAAGGCGCCGTCCGTCCGAGAGTAGATCACACTTATTCACTAAGTAAGAATTCGTATAATTCCGATTAGCTGCCAAGCGAAGCGAAGGCGACCCCACCATAGGATATTGCGGGGCCGCAGGACGCGCCCCGGCCTCTGTAATACTAACCTGACATTGAGAGTTGTGCAGCGAGCCAACGAGGCGAGCGGAACGGATCTATTACTGCCGTAGCGAAGCGTAGGCAGCCTGCTCTTATTGTGCAGCGAGCGAAGCGCCAGCTAACAATAAATTCACCGCCGCGTAGCGGCGGCGCACGGCTAGTCAAGTGTGGACGATTGCAATGAGGTGATTCCGGACACATCAAATGACGACCGCGGTCACACTAATAAGCGCGATCAAAGCTCGCAACTAAATGATTCTGTGCCTAAAAGAGCGGATCGTTTTAGAGCCCGATGAGGCTTCAACCACTATCTATCACTCCAACGAGGATAGTATAACCGAGCTATCAAACTGAGCCATCGACGTCTTTCTCTTGACTGCATATTTACTGCGCCTTGATGCCTTGGTTTGCGAAGATATAGTTTTTCTGGGAAACCCCGATACAACATATTCTGAATTATTTTTTGTCGTGAAGTTGAATTTGGCATTTGGGTCCCTCGATCACTCAGACGCGATTGCTATCGCGTATTGGGCTGAATGATCATATATTCAGTCCTTAAAATGCTGACCACCGTTGCTTCGCAACACCAATGACGTCAGCAAGCGCATGTTGAACGGTGAAATGCGATGGGTAAAAACTGTACTGTCATACCTGCGTTGGCACACATAACTGAGGCGAGGCCGATGAAGCCTTTATCGCCCGGGGGGGGGGGGGGGTTCGTATAGCGCAGCCCAAGACTGTTCCCCAGGACGTAGACCCAGAGAATCGACTTGAGAGTCAACAGCAAGAAGATAGACCCAGATATTCGCAGCCGCAAAGCTTTAAACCCTGAAAATCACACTCCTTGGTTGGCGTGGGTACCTTGTGTAATCCCTGTCGGCTCGTTTGTCTTCGACGGAATGGTACTCCACCGGTAGTAAATGTAGCCTTGAAAAAATGGGGGAATGCACGTCTGATCCAGAACGCTCCTCCACACCAAAGGCAAAACCCAGAGAATCAGATCGCCTGTACCCCGGCGTATCACGAACTCAGGGTCCAAGCTTTCACTCAACTCTGGGACTTGGAACTCAGACAACCTTACCCAAATGCCCTACTAGCTAGATAAAACCAACAAATACAGAGTATACAAACACTACAACTAGCCGTCGCTTAATCTTTTGGACCCTTGGACGGTGGGTCACACACACACTAGGCTCACTCGAGTCTGAAATTCAGGGGCCTAGCTCCCCTGAGACTCACACAAACGCGTACCACCTCCAGTAAAGGAGGAAAATACAATCACTATCAGTTACCTTCCCTTCACACAAGCAGTCAATACAAAATCCTGGAGGTGACTGCCTAGCACCTCAGAATACCCTCTGGAATAATATGAAATGGGCTACCACGAGCACAGCAAGTGACCCAACTAGGATATGGAATAGATGGATCACCCCAGGAAGCTCAAGGCTGTCGCTGGTAACTGAGCTTGAGTTGATGGAGTCCACACAGAAGGCTGTCCTTCGCCGTTGATGTGCCCTTGGCGTCCCGCGGTCTTAGTCTCGGGTCCTCCGGATTTCCGTCGGCAGGATTGGCCGAAGTCACTTGCGTAGTACAGGGAAAATTGAAATCTGTTTGTCTTTTATCAGCTACTTCTCTCTCTCTCTTACTTCTTTCTCTTCTGCATTCTTCTTCGGGCAAATATTTTCTGTTTACTATGCTTGGGGTCAAATGTCTTATCTAGAGTATACATTGGGTTCAGCGGTCCAAACTTGCGATCGGCTTGCGATTCCATTGTCGCACGGCGTCGAAAGTGCCAATTGTGGGTCCTTGGGCGTGGTTTAGTATGGTGCAGGACTTCCTCTCTGGGAAACACTTAAGTTCAGTATGGAGAGTCTGGATCCACACCCAGACAAACGTACAAACGTACAGGGAGGTCTCTACCCTCAAATACTCGGCCACCACTCCCTCTTGGCATTTCCAGGGATGAACACTCCGTCAATGCATCATATGCTCATCGGCAGACATACCCCGTGTCGGCCGTGCGTAGCTAGACTCTACAGCTAAGTGAAGACTTACCGTAGATGGACTTGACCATTGTGTGGCTTCGGGGCGAAATTCTGCTCTAATTTTGTGATTAGAGGCTGTGGGGTTTCCCTAGAGCTAATCCCTATTGTCTATACAAATATCAAGTATCAGCTGAATCCTCGAGCGGATCCTATGACTGGACGACACATCGGCTTAGGTCCGAATTCCTAATGAGAGGCAAATATTGTACCCACTATTACTATTGGGAGGGCAAGGCGGGGATTTATTATGACCCGCCGTGTCTGGTCACTAAATGGTTGTCGATCTGTCTGTGGTGTAGTAGCACGCACAAAATCGTCAGATGTGGCACCCTAGCTACAAACACAACAACAGCCGAGCTAGTCGGCCCTTGTTGGCCTGCGCTGAGATGTCCCCCAGCGGTTCGGCCCTTCCAGGACAGTGATGTCTCGTCCTCGCCGAGACCAAGTACCCCAAGCCAGTCAATCACGGAAGCCAGCTGAGTTACCTGACTCCGGAATTAGAAATCCCGTGCCCTCCGCCAAAGGACGGACGACGGCCCTCGCGGGCTTTTACGGGTCGCCGAGAGCAAAGGCTTCTCGACTCAGCAATCAGTGCCCGGGACGCACGGGAACACCGGCTCGCAGCGGTGGCGAGACTTTCCTTCGTGCTTGGTGAGACACGCACCCAACCCGGGCCGACCTTAATATCTTGGCGCTACCAGTCAGCACCCTACAAGCTATGCCTCTTGGGTGCTGACAGCAGACATAATCCGGCCCGTGCAGGGGCTTATTGGAAGCGCGTGCACGTGTTGTGGACCTAGAAAATTCTGCTCTGTTGTTTGTTATCTCTGTCGGGGCGCCCTGAAGGGGCGCCTCCACTATTCCTAAGCTCCTCTACAAATACCAAATGAAAGTGGGCGGTTTTGGATCTCGGCCGACTCTTCACCGAGCTCGGCGACGCTTGAACTCGGCTAAGCCGGATAACCTGTCCGGATAACCCCTTGAACTCGGCTGAGCCGGATACGGCGTGTCCGGATAACCTTGCGAACTCGGCTAAGCCGGATATAGTGCCGGATAACCCAGTGAACTACCCGCGAACTCGGCGGAGCGACTCGTGAACTCGGTAGAGCGAACCGTGAACTCGACTGCGCAACTCCCGGACTCAATTGGACCCGGTTACCGTATGTGGATGGCACGTGGTGCCGTTTAGCCGAGCTCGGCGGCTTGAACTCCCCATGATCTCGGCTGAGCGTGTCCAGTGCCTTCCTGAACTCGGCTGGGTCTTCATCACTGGGTCTGCCACGTGTCACCAGGTCGGGGCCGGTGTGCCTTGAGTTTTTGACACCATCAGCCGAGTTCAGCGGTCCATCAGCGCATTCTTGCCCACTGAGCTCGGCGGACGGTCATCCCGCCGAGTAGAACTTGGCTCCTGGTACGTTGTTCCACTGCGGCCTTGGAGTGTGACACAAAACTTGATGTTCCCCATACCACATGTCACTCTAATGCGGGGAATGTGAGTAGCCAATCATATGGCTTGCCATCACTCACATGTTTCAGTCCGTTGGGACTCGGCACGGGGCCGACACCACATTCGATACTCTCGCCGCTCAAGTGAACGTCGAAGGTACGGCTATTTTACCGCGTCCGTAGTGCAGCTTGTATTGTCCCGGCCAGCAAGACTGTGAGGCAAGCTTAGAGTGCCTGCATTTACCTATATCGACGTTTAGATATAAGGGGTAAAGCGGGCATAGAGTCCGAATTTGAGGTCTTTTTTTGCGTAACTTGAGTCCTTCCCCTTCGTTTCGGCTGTTAAAAAGAACCTCTATTTATTGCAACTTTGTTTGCAGTTGCGACAGCGCCACGTTGGTGTAATGCAGCTACGCGATTGAATGAATCCACTAAACATACGGCTTCTCACAATCAATTCCCATAGATTACTCCCATCCCGTCATGTATCTTAGATGTTAAAATAAAACAACAGATGTTATACAACCTGTATTATTATTATGAAAACCGCTTCTTTGGCCTATTTTGGTCGTAAATCGATCGATTAGCACACTGATTTAGCTCGATCGATTTGTAAATCGATCGCGTCCTGCGATGCATACGTGAGTGGATGTGCAGATTAGGCGATCGTTTTATGGAAGCCAAATCGATATAGCCGCGTTTGAAGCAGAATGCCACCTTTTACTGGGCAATCGCGCAGCCAAGCGATGCATCTAGACTACGATCGATTTTGGCCCTGTTTTGTACTCTGATTAATTTAGTGATTGAGATCTAATAAAGGGTTGCTACAGATAGGCGTTTTAGCCGGTTCTCACAATACATGCAATTCCCGTGATCAGCCCCCATCTACCCTCACACCATACATAAGGTACGGTCAAACATAATATATCGTCAGCACGACTGATGAAAGGTTGATAGTGATATGTAACAGCAACGACCTCAAAGGTGATGAAGGCTACCGTCTGAGGAACCTTGTTATCCACCGATAGCTCGGTTCAGGTTGTAGTCGGGCTTAAAATGATGCTAAAGATGTGCTTAATGCGGCCCTGTATTTTGAGAAACTGAAGTAGAGGTAAAGAAAAAGTATGCCAAATTGAATTTTGGACCTCTCGATGGAGTCCCGTGTTCCCGATGGGGATAATATATTACCGGCCTTGTCTAAAACAGGCTTTTGGTTTTTGTACGCATGAGGTTAGTTGTTGCAGCTCAAAAAGGCGTAGATCTATATAATGAAGGCAGCCGCAGACAAAACGACTTAGTGGTTGACCAGTTAAGGGCCATGGAACATGACACTATCGATTTGCCGATTTTTCGTCCGAACCTTTTTGGGCGGGACAATAAGTCCCATCAACAGCAGCCAGCACCCTGAATTGCGTAGACGGTTGGGGGGGGGCAACAACACCGATTGAAACGTCGTCGTTGCCATAGGTAAAACAGCGGGCAACACGAACAACTCCCTTTTGAAAGTATTGGGCTTTTAAGAGAAGGTGACCCAATCCGTGTCACCATCATACGGTACGTGATCTCCAAAAACACTTCACGCGTGACACACTCTAGCGTCTCTTAAACGGCGTAGTTTGTGATGGCATTATCTAAATCGTAGATATAGAGTTACCGTTAGCCAGAATGTGTAACTTACACCATTCGGATTATGCACGTGCGAACAAGAGCCATCGAGAGGAGTAAGCTTTATCGGAGTTACCTGGACCGAGGCAGCTGGTGTGTGGCCGACGCGAGTCCAGGGCACAGGAAGTACAAAGACGAGGGATTGCAAGAGTGAGCAGCGCACACCTCACATGATCTGGCAATGGGGGGGAGGGGGGGGGGGCAGAGTCTAGATTAGACCGAGAGGTGATGTCACCGATCCAAAACAGTTACTGTCAGAATGCATGCTTAAGGCAATGGTACCGATGGCCCTCCAACTCAAAAACGGCAGCTCGCTGCCAACTACTATCGTATTAGAGTGTGTTTGGGCGGGTGAACAGCGCGTCACCAGCATGGAGCGCTAAGATGAGTGTGATGGTAATATCCTGATAAGACATGGGCGGCTTGCAACACGAATGTATAATCCGTGGAATTTGCGGAACGAATGGCGGAGACTGTGACTGCGCGGAATTGCCGAGGGAAGGATTGCAGCGAGTAGGGGACTCCTGGCGGTGGCCGACACTATAACGAATGCAGTTATATCAATAGTTAGGCTAGCATGAGTGAAATCTCTGGGAAGGCGGTCGTGCACCTACGTTTTAGTTGCAGGCTGGTCAGTCAAAAAGGCAACTTATTGCGTTTGCGACTGTGACCCCGTCCCAATACCGTGGCAGAAGCTATGGGGGCCGTGGGCTCCAGCGTTTCGATGCTCCCTCCGGTGGGGTGACACGATGTGTAGTGGGCCTACCTTGGCTCACTACTACGGCTTACACGTATGCGCACGTGTATGTGGAAGCGTAGGTTTCTTTTACTTGAGTTAAGTATACTCGAGATCCACGAGTATACTTTAAACAAGATAAAGACTCCAAGTAGCGGGTTTTGGTAAAAGATGAAAACGGCTATTTTTGTTTTATGTTTCTGACTTCCTCTAAATGTAATATTCTAAGATAGGAATCTGCCAACGGCTGGTTGGCAGAATTTCAATGCTATGCATGTCGCTCATTGGCTAAAAGATGCTGCTCTGAGCCAATAGGAATCCTAAGTTTCTATGGACCACCCGTCGTGGTGGTCGAAAATGTATGTAGCCATTGGTGTAGGTCGAGGAAGTGTTCAAACCTCTAACAGACATCGCATCTGTTAGAGTAACAAGTGACTGTAACCACTTGTGCGTGTAACCCCGTTACACGATGGAATTGGAGGTTTTCGAGGATTCCCCGAGCCGCGCCTGTGATTTGTTGGCTCAGAGGCTCACTATGGGAGAGGGAGGCAGCGACACGTGGCGTATGGGAAAAGCGGATCCCGGCCGGACTCGCATTGGCAGTGTACAAGGTTTGGTGACCCCGGATGGAGATGTCCCCAAGAGCCGACCCCGGCAGGAACCAAGTACCGAACGAGAGGCAATGCCCAAGGGAGCGTAGAAGTGCCTCCGACTGGAAGCCGCCTGCTCTTGGTGCACTGTACAACGCAAGAGGAGCCCGACCGGATCGAGTGAAGACCCAGAAACCGTGAAGCTGTCCAAGACATCCGGGATGTGAAGCCCAAGTGGAGTGTGATCCCGTTTGGAGATAATCATGAATCCCGGATGGAGATACCAAGATACCATCCCAGATGTGAAGATCCAGTATACAAAGTCCAAGATGTTTCCGACCGACCAAGCCGACCAGCCAAGATCTGTTCGGATTCCGTGGAACATTGAACTTCGCTTGCGTACCCAGTGATGATTATACTTGCTGGAAGTATGCTACGAGGGACCGCGGACGATTACGACGACAAGACCATAGTGAAGACAAGTCAAGATCGAGTGCATGTAAAGATCGACAGAAGATAGCCAGACAGACAGAGAGAGAGACCACAGATAACAGATAAACAGAGTTCGTTTTGCCAAGGATCGCGCAAGTTGGAGCAGCCTACCGGACGTGCATTCCCGGAGGACCGACTAAGTCTACATGTGAGGGCCCAGCAACTGTGACATCTGGGTCGAGCTCCCGCAACAAAGTCCAGTCCAAGTTGGGGTGAGTACCGGACGACAACCCGAGGTTGATCCATCCCATTTCATTTCCTAGTTGCGGTTGAGCTCGTCCAGACCAGGAAGGCCCCGCATTTCATATTACCGATTACCTTGTCACTCCGGTTGGAGTAGCCCCGGGTGGGAAGTATTGATTTAAGAGCTATTGTGTGATAGGAGGTATTCGATTGTGTTAGTTTCCCTCAGTACTTGAGGGTGGTGCGCGTGAGCCAAAGCCGACCGGGATTGACCATTATCCCGGAGTCCGGCTGGAGTTGACTGGAGTAGTGACCGACCTTTTCACGGTCCAAAAGAATAAGGAAGGGCTACGTGTTTGTATATAACTCTGTATCTGTTTGTATTGTTTGGTTGTCTGAGGGCTGCCAGAGGCGACGTCCAGGAAGGTTACGTTCTGCCCTGCTACCTAGCGACCTACAAGTATCAAGACAACTCATCCGCGGTTGAAGACCCCTAGTTACGAGGCCAAACGAACCCACAGGGATTGTTCACAAGGACACACGCCACCCCGGTTGGAGTGTACATCTAGGTGTACTATCTCCGGCTAGGGTTTGTTCTGGGTGCACCCCATTCGGGAGTCTACACCACCTGGGAGGTCAGGCATTCACCCGCCTCGCCTCAGGGGGCTGACACTTTTCCTGACTAATCGCGACGTACCCAACAAATGGCGCCACCACCGCGAAATCGTTACAGTTAGCCAGCGCTACGACAAGCTAACCTATGTTCATTAACTTTCTTCTTCTTCTTTGCAGCAATGCAGTGTAATCGCTGAGTATGACAACATGGTATTGATTTTATTGTAACATTGTAAGCAACTTCGTCGGATGCAAGTCCAAACTTTAACACGCGTCGCCTCGATGGAGGAGCCTAAAATGGCACTTTCCCGTGCAACCCGAAAATTTGGTACCTTGAACGGCGCCTTCCAAGCTTGAATTTGGTATCAATCGATAGCTATCGGTCTTGTGTATGTAACAGCAGTCATCGCAGCTTCCAACACGTAGTAGTTACGATGAGGATGAGATCGCTTCGTGAAAACTCACATTTCAGCACCAAATCATGGTAACTTTCCGCAATTTATTTTTGTATTACAAGTAAATTATCGTGTTACATTAGTTCATATATGTTGGTGAAGTGTCGCCTCGCAACTATTCTAAATCGTCAGCAACGGCTCAACTTGTCAATAGGGCTTTGGCTGGGGTCAAAAAATTGCTCGCGGATTGCAAGCGAGTAGCAGGCCGTACCGTGCAGGTTCGGACGGCTCGGACATTCGGACAGCCTTTGAAACTCAATGATATTAAATGCTCCATGAAGTGTGGACCACATAGAATCTTTTAAACACTCTGTCATACAGCGGCTGTTTGGTGGACAACGGCGTGGGGACTGCGGCCAGGACGTGCGGGATGTCGGCGCCATGCGGGACGGCGGAGCGTACTGCGGTTGGTCCTCGGGCGTAGTGGCGGCCGTCGAGGCAAGCAGCAGGAGCTGCAGCAAGACGTGCGGGATGTCGGCGCCGTGCTGGACGACTGTAGGTCGCTGTGGGGATGGCTTGGCGGTGGTTACAGTCAGCGGCAGGGTCAACGACAAGAGACGGATGCCTGCAGCGGACGTCTACTGTGACACTCACTTCATGTAAGTAGATAACGAGATGATTGAATTAATCTATGCATGATGTAACTATGTGTTGGGACCTAACACTGGTTCGCGACTACAACTACGTTGTGCTGTGATTGTTGTAGGGTCAAGAGCATGCACCGGTGCGACGTCAAGCGCCTTGCCTTCCTGCTGAAGTTGCTGATAATTCCTGATGCGATCGTCTAACTTGCCTTGAGCATACATCCGCTTCAGAAACTTAACAATTGTGTCATGCGATTTTACTTTGACGTTCTTAGCCTCCACGAAAGCAAGAACTTTTGCCTCGGCCTCCCGTCCTGAGCTCAGGATACATCCCTTTGCTGTGTCCTCATCTCCGGTCACGTTGTACTCGGCTGGGAGAAATAAAAACGCATGAAGGCCACGGCCACCTTGCAGTCGTGATAGCGCCGCTGGTTTGAACGCGCAATTGGCATTGGGGGCAGAAACCACGCGTACCACACATTCGGGAGTAGCTTTGGACGCAAATGCGCACGAGTTGCCGCGCCGCTTGCAGTGTTCGATAAAGCACTGGACGAGTTCGAAAGGCTATCAGCTGAGCTGAGTCCCTCCGTGAACCCCTTCGCAGCCGCGTAAAGCCTGTCTTGAAGTAGGCGAATACGATGCAGAACCAGAGGATCGACGTCGTCCAGTGTAGGTAGCCGCGGACTAGCTTTTAAATCCCATCCAGCTAACGACTTGCCGACGGTTTGATCTTCCTGCGTCGTGCCAACAATATGATTAAACGCTTTGCTCACAGCACCCATCCTCCAGCCTTCACGGTCTAGAATCCAAGGCGTGCTGATTGCTGTCACTATTCGCGTTTTGAGCAGCTCCACGCCGAAATGAACGCGATGATAGCCCTGGCGTCAGCTTAGTACCTTCGCTTTGGCAGACACCACTCCACTTCTACTTCTGAATTCCGGGGACTGTCGCCTTTTTCGCAGGTGCTTTTGGGGTCGGCGGCTCTGGGTTTGAGGTTGCTGGGAACCTGGTACACGCATCAAGTAGTTCGCGGAGCGGCGTTTCGCCAATTTCAGTCGGCAGGAATTGTTGTGTATCCCGAGGAGGTTGATCCATGAGAAACTTGCTTGGATAAACAGCGACCTGGTTTTACACGAGACACAGTGGTTGAAGACCGACCCAACAAATACCAAAGAATGTTGAGAAGGGCTACATCCTGGTAGTCCTGCACGGATACAGCTCCCTTTAAACTCGCCAAGCTGAGCGAGCGCAGGTCGCTCTTCGTGCACGGTGGGGCCTGGTGCATAAAGTGTGTGGATCCGCTGGAATTAGCAGGGATCCCACACTCACACACTGCGCCCAGACATCGACTAACGGAGGGGGTACTCCGATAAGCGTAGGTTGCTGAGTGACTCACCTTGCGTCGGCGGGCCGGATCTGCTCTCTCGTTGACACGAGACACGCAGGGAGTGACCTTGAACGTCCTTGGTAGGTCGATCCTTGGTCTTGGCCGTAGATCTTGTGGATCCGATAGGTAACATACCAGATCCGGAGTTGTTGCCTTATTGGGGGTGCTGTATTCTTTTTTCCTTTGCATTGCATGCCGCCTCCTATTAGCGGGGAAGTGGGGGGGCGAGGGCCGAAGGGCGCGAGCTGCTGCGGGGGGCAAATCACTTGATTAAAGTATGGACCAATACTAATCCCAATACTAAGGACGAAGTGTGTGGTTCCCAAGCAAATTGGACTCTGATTTATGTTAGCCTGTACCCAGCCTTCCCATCCGGCTTGAATCCCATCTACTACTGGTTCTCCTTCCTGCCTAATTATCCCAACATAGTCACTGTAACAATAAGTGGGTACGGATCCGGACCTAAACTCTATCCAGCCAATAAAATAAATCGAAAATATTTACAATAATGTTGCATCGTTTTAATATTAACAGTCTGCTAAACCATTTGAATAATGAAACGGCTAATTCCTTCCAGTTTTCAAAACTTTAGTTATTTTTATGTGCGATACGATGCAGGGGATCCTAATGTAGACAACCGGATCCGTGTGTGCCACACCACTTGCACCTGATTCAACGTCAACTGCCCTGATCCGGCAACTGTACCCCCATCCTGCAACCATGGTGTCATCTACGGGACCAAGCATCGCCACCAACTGCCGGATCCCATTATCTGGTCAACTGGCGGATTCGGTTCCATCAAGACCATTCTCGAGCGGATTTCCTCACCACGTTCGCCCCTCGGACGAGGTCGCTGCTGCACAACGGCATCACCTCGTGCCACCTCTGATCCGCATCATTTGAAGATTTCCTGCGGCACTGGCGCAACCCCTCTTCACCGCCCTTCTTCTTCATGGCTCGGTCTCGCCACCGCCATCCCGCGCAGGGACGTCCTGACGCGTCGGAGGCCCCGTACGAGGCAGACGCCCCTGCGCCGAGGACGCGCGTGGCTGTCACCGTAGGATACGGTCGCTCTTCGGACCCCCTCCCCGTGTGCTATCTGCGACTCCGCGCCTTCCAACCCTGACGAAGCTGTTATGCCTCTCGCGCTGTCGCTCGACCTGGATGAGGTCACCGCGGCTGCGTTGCGGGTTGTAGTTAACCACTACTACGTAGTGTTGGCGGACTTCAACGAGTTGGGTCGGGCGTACACCCTCGCACGTCAACACAACGAGCAACTTCACGTAGCGGCTGCTGCGATGAGGTAGATCGCGGATCCTTTCGTGAACTTTGTGCAGCGCAAGTACGACGCCAGTCAGGCCCGACTGGAAGACGCTAACCTTCGTGCTGCCAACCCCATAGCCGCCGTGGATCGCATGAAGGACGATCTTCGCCAATTTGAGACTCTCGGGATTCAGTACGATCGGTTCCGCTAGACGTCGACGGATGCCTATGACCAATGTTAGGACAGCCCGCCTTAACCGCCTTTTCAAAAGGCGCCTACACTAGTTTAGGCGGTAGGTAAAGGCGATACGGCCGCCGAATGAGGCAGATTCGCCTAATTATTATGACGCCCCTTGAAATATACTTCGGCTATGTATACCATACATAATTTAAATCAGCATTTACTGAGCAGCAAGCCATAAAAATATCACCCACCAGAAAGCGAATCCAAAGGTCTTCTCTCTGCGCTATCGTTCCACCCTCGCTCCGGTGCTGGAGAGCGTGTGCTATAGCTGTTGCGGTTCTCGTTCGCGTTCGAGTTATTGGCGGAGTAGCAGACGCTGTACGCTTCCATCTCGCTCGTGTTGCCCGTGCTGCTGCTGTCGTCGGCGGAGAGCTTCGTCTGGCTGTCCCCCGTAGCTGAAGATGGTCCGACCTCATTTGCCTGAGCGAGAACACTTCACGTTGATGGAAGCTGTCCCGAAGAGCAAAAGAGGATATGATTTCTACACGTGCAAGCACTGTAGGCGTGCGTATAATCTAAACTCAGATCTGGACGCGCCTGTTCTAGTTCTAGGCCGGGCGTCCAACTACCGGAAACACTTCAGAACTTGCTACGTTTACCGGGCTACACTCGGTTCATCACGTGTGCAAAGTGATGGTAGCTCTTCAAGCACAGGATCGGCCCTTGCCGCAAGACCGGCGCTCGGTTCGTGTTTACAAACGGATCCCCGCGTCTGAGTACGATGAAGTGGTCTCCTAAAAAGACGAAGAACCACCGAAGGTTTACCAAACTACAAAAGGCAGAGGTTGAGCGGGTTTTGATTGAGTTTCAGGCCGGAAACTTTCTGCCCGACTTGTTCGTCGAGCGCTCCTGCACACTAGCTCTACTAGAGTTTTGTGCCCTGGCATTACTGCGTATCTTCCATCGAGGAGGGTGTTAGGAGACCGTATCGCAAAAGACCATGCTGCTCATTGCCGTGATATTTAAACGAAAAAAATGAAACGAGCGCAAAGTACATCGGGAGGGCTGGTGAACGTTTTATCAGACGTGTGGCGAAACATTTCTCGCAAGCATTTGCTAGGGTGTCAGCGCCTACTGTTGGGACGCTACCTTACATACGCATTGCCAAAGGCGGGTGCTCGGCACGTTGGTGTAGCCATGACACAAGAGATGGAGACAATTGTGAAGCAAGCCTTGAGTGAAGGGTGGTGCATTGGAGCGGTGATTACTGACAATGCTGGCCAGTGCGGTAGAGCTCGCCGCATCTTAGCGCTCATGTGGCCCAAGATCACGTTCCTTTTCTGCTTTACCCACTGCATCAATAACATTGTCAAGGCAGTCCTCAAGTCATCATTTTCTGATGTTGCGAGGCAGGCGACGGCGGCAGTTAAATCCATCAATGCGTCGTCATCTAAGTGGCTTGGGCACGCACGAGCTCTGACGAAGGAATGCTACGGCAAATCCCTAGCTCTGTTTACTTTGTGTGAGACTCGGTGGAATAGTATGGAGAGCTGCTTTGTATCCCTATTGAGAGTTCGGACGTCACTGGTGATGCTTGCTAGTAGGTACCAACGCCGTGCCGACTTCCCAAAATCACTAAAGGTGTTCAGCTATAATATATTCTGGGCAGATTTATCCAACACCGAGCATGCAATTGTACCTCTATCTAAGGCATCCTATAGCCTACAGCGCGACGAGAATACACTGGCGGACGTGGTTGTGTTTTTTCGGGACATGTTTCTGGATTTTGGCCGCTTAAGTTTGGATTGCCGGTCGGAGTTGCAACAATGTGTTGAAGTGCGCTGAAACAATGCGAGCAATCTCTATTCATGCTGACATTGTTGCTTAACTCAGGAACGGCGGATTCAAGCCGAAAGTTTATTGAGGAAATTGACGAACGTAAGAGGATTGCTGCAGTGGATGAACGGGTTATCGATGAAGTGCTGGGCGAGTACAAAACACAACAGAAGCTACAAGATATACAAGCTAGCAAAGATGCCGCAAAGATTGCTTCCTCAACACAACTCGCAAAGTTTGCAGTATACTACTACCGTCGCCTAATTGACTCCGACTTTGACTGTATACGTAGCGATTGGATCGGGTGGATTAAAGGCAGGCTAACATTAACTCACCCACAATAATTTCGCTTTCGCAAAGTTGAATTTTGGCAGCACATGAAAAAGGAAAACCCAACAAGTCTATTGCCAGATCTGGCTATTCGACTTACTGCTTTCGATCGCAGTTAATACGGCCACGACAGAGAGATTGTTCAGTGAGTTGGGAATGCTCCATACGCCACATCGAAACAAGATGACATCGATGAAAGCTCAGAATACACAGTGAAAGTGCACAAAACTCGACGGAAAGTGCACGTACACTGCTAAGCGTTCTAAAACCATCAGAGCGGCAGCTCATCGACACGATTACCGAGACGGATGGAATTGGTGAGGTTGTCGACGAAAGCCCAGCGACACCGTTCGCTGGGGTTACAGGAGAAAGGAACCCTCGAACTCCTCGAACTCCTAATGTGCAACCAACGCGGCGTTCTCCTCGCTGCAGAACCCCGATGTCGCAAAACTCGTCGCGCCAAAACACCACAGCAACACCAGCCCTACCACCGGAGCCCAATGTTGAGCAGGCGATAGATGAAGATGAACTGGACGACATTGGAGATGGAGTTGATGCGGAGGAGACGTTTCCACACTGGGTAGAGTATCTAGATGGCGTTTTTGAGGATGATGAAATTGGAAGTGCGTTCGCAGAATCTCTCGAGGACAACTCGTATCTAAACTGGGAGCTCGAGGAGATTGTTGCCGCCGATGACACTGTCTTCCCGGATACTGACGACGGCGGTTTTCCTCAGGAAAACAAGATTGTGGGCATTCATGCTCTAAAGGCTTCGCTCTCCGCTCTTTATTCGGCATCTAACTCATCGCTGTAGGCAAGTACAAAGTTGTTCGCTCAAAAATAAAACTGCATTCTTGAAACGAGGATATTAGCACAATCAATTCGTCAACGAGTTATGCGCGCTGCTGGCTAGCACCATAGTCTCCTACAATTCGGTACTGCTTCAGCAACTTAGCACTGAACTAGCAGGACCACTTGCAAACCCTTCTGTGCCAGCTACTCTACCACAATCTCGAATGTCAGTAAGAAGGGGTGCAGCCCCAGGCTCACGCTCTCCACCGACAACAACAGCACTACAGGCAATGCAAGCGAGAACGGAGTTGAACGGGCGGCGTCTGGTACACCACCACCAGCACGGGTGTGAACGAGAGCGAAAACAGGGCCGGCCACACGATGCTCCTCACTGAGACAGCAGCAGCGCGGGTAACACGAGTGAGCGCGGGCAAGACGAGTGAGCGCGGGCGGCGTCTGCTACTCCGCACCCCATACGAACGAGATGGGAGCGTACGGCGTCTGCTACTCCGCCACCAGCACCAGCACTAGAGAACGTGGTCAGCCACCCTCGATACGAGCAGCCGCTTCCAAAATGTCAATGGATCAGAAATTGTACTTAGTGGAAAACAGATCACCCGTTTTGGGCGAAAAGGCCAAACGGCGAGGGGTTTAGGAGAATCGGTGGCGCCTAAACTTTTCAAAGGGCGAAAAGGCCCGCTTTTACCACCACTGCTATGACCGCCTTCAGGATTACGCCGCGCGGCTGGAGCGACGGATCGAGGGTCGCGTGATTAATGGCGAGCTGGGCGGATCTGTGCCCCAGATCGCTCAAGACTTGAGTGAGGTGCGCCGTGAAAACGCGGATCTCGCGCGCCATGCTGCCGATCACCACGACCAAATTCGCTCAGCCCAGGCCGACCATCCATGGATGGCCGAATTCCCACCAGACATTGCGCGTAGGTCCTCCCGAAGTTGTTGGTTGGGCTCCTCCACTTTCGGAGCGTGTGTCAACAGGTCTCTGAGACGGGACTTGAGCGCGTCGCACTGTGCACGGGACTCTGGCAGCGGTCGAAGCTTCGGCTTGGGCTTCACGTCCGTCGTCAGCGGATCCGCGAGCTGGAGGGTCTGCTTGACCGAATCTTCGCCCACCGTGACCGGCTACAGCAGGACTTCGACGACGCCAACCGCCGTGCCGAGCGTGGCAAAGGAGCCGTGGAACGGGCCAACGCCGCGGCGGACCGCCAGCAAACTGTGGCTCAGGAGTCGCATCGCCAGAACGTTGCAACTCTGGAGTGGGTTCGTGACCTGGAGGAGCAGCTGTACCAGCTTCGGTGTGAGCGGGACCAGCACGTGCGTGAGTACCAGACCGTCGCCACCAACTTCTGTCAGACCCAGGAGCGGCTTACGCAGACCAACGCGCGGATCGGCGCCTTCGCACATCTCCGCAGTGAGAGGGATGCTCTCCGTGAGGGGTTGCGTATAGTCATAGCCGCCCGGGATAGCCTTCAAGTCGAGAAAGAGGCTCTCCAGGACGAGCAGAAATCGGCGCGTGAGGTCTTTACCCCTGCGCGACCCGCTGCTTCGACTTCTACGCCTGTCATGCCCCTGCTGCCATACCCCAGACTCGGCCGATCCTGCTCACGCTTCCTGTGTGCGTGGCTACAAGGAGCTACTCGTGCAGATCGCAGACAACCAGCAGGCGTACGGCTACTTGCGCCGCGATTTCGACGGCTTGGAGGTGAGTTTCAGCTCTCTGGAGACTGAGCACGATGATCTTGGAGAGGTTTACCAAACTTTGTCGGAGGATCACACCTTCACGCTGGAACGCATCCCCGCAGATCGCGGCCTTGACCGTCGTAGTTCCACCTCGCGTCGCTGGGGTCCAAGTCCCGTGTGTTCCGTCGCCGACCGCGTACACGCCTTGTTCCTCCAAGCGAGACCGTCTGCCCGCTATCGCCCCTGATCTCATGGTCTCAGTCGCTAAGCGCGCTCGTCGTTCGTCGTCGTTGGCGGGTCAGTCTCCCGCCGCCCTTGCTACCCCAGGCGCTGCGGTCGAGGTGACATCCGCGGTGACCACTTCGTATAACATTGATTCAATCGTGGATCCGGCGGGCGATGAGGTGGACCATGACTATGCCTGTTCCAACGCGGGTACCGAACCCAGCGACTCCGACTCTGAGGAGTCTGACGACGAGCAGGCCGTTCCCGATCCGACCTCCGCCACCGCGATTCCGAGAGTGTGGTGAGATCCGGTGTCTCCCCGGGCTCTGATGGTTCTGCGGCCGCTCCGATCGTCGTGGGGGGCATGGATGCCGCAGAGCCTTTAGACGGTATTTACGAAGATCCAAGCACTTTGGATCTCAATGACTCACCGACAAGATCGTCTGTGTCCGCTGCCCCGCGCGATGAGGGTCCCGGGACTGGGGGCCAACTCGCGATCGGATCCGCTGCAACTGGTAGGAGCCCGCCAGCGGGGGTCGCGGATGACGTGCTTGCTCCATTCGGGCCTCTCGGATCTTTCGTGCCTGGTCTCCGGCAGCAACGTGCTGTATCTGCAGAGGATGTCGCCCCCTGGGAACCGTCTCGGATCGCCGTGCTAACAATGGACACCGGCACGCCTCGCGTGGTGATCGATTACCGAATGATGAGCGCGTGCTGGATGTTCCCTGGGCGCGTCTAGCATGGTGGTACTCTGGATATTGCACTGTACGCACCTGAGTAGATTACGCGCGCCAATGTCGAAGTCCTGTACGCCGAAGAGTCCTGCCAGGCGTTGTCCACTCGGCCGGCCCCTCACACCTTCGACTTGGATGTGTCCCCCCGGCTGCTGAGTATCGTGGATGGTTACATGGAGTTCGAGAGCTACTTCTAGCAGGCGATCTGGGAGTCCACTCACCCCTTCCATATCCCGAAGGTGCTGATGGGATCCTATCCCTGGTTTGTTTTGTTTTACACGAGCCGCAAGAACCGCAGCTCGCACGCCCGAGAGCAGTACCGGAACTGGCAGGAGTAGGGCTTCGCGAAGGCTCGGCGCACAGGGTGTTGGGATGTGGATCTTTGGCTGGATCCCATGTCCGCCCGCTTCCTCCGGCAAAGTGAAGACACCACGTGGTTTCCTGGTCGAGAGGCCATTACGACGGGGGTGTGGCACCCGCGGATTTGGTGGCTGCCCTGACCGCGCTGACCCATGGCGTAACCACTTCCGCACCTCTGCTGGCGCTCACCCTGCGCTCCGCATTGACCGCCTCCGCCTGAAGTTTTTTGCGCCTAATGGTGTAGCAGCGGTTCCGCTGGGTTTTTCCTCCCGGCGTCTTGTTCAAGCGTACTTGGTAGCGGTGCAGGGTAGCAGTCGTCTTGGTTGCATGTCTTAATCTCAACTTCAGCTTCACCACTCGCAGTCCTCATCATCTTTCCGTCTACAATCTTCAGATTCATGCTTGGCTAACTCCATCTCACTCGTCATATCATTGCCTGTTCGTCACATATGCATATATCCCAATCCTCTACAGAAGGGTGGCTTCCCTGCCCCTCTCTTTACCGATCTTCTCCACGACGGCCGCCGTCTGCGGACCCCCTTCCTCCTCGATGCTGCAGCTGCCCTGCAGATCTTCCACTCTGATCCTCATGTCAGCAGCCAACCTACCGGCATACCCACTGCCGCCACTTTGGCTCGTGCGGCCGCATGGCCTGGAACCGATTTCGTTTCGCGCGGTCGGTCAGGAAGTCGTGGATCAATGCCCCGCCGTTCAGATCCACTTCATCCACCCACGAGGGTTCTTCGTACCCTTTTTATCTGATCTTCAACTCGTGTAGCGCGCGTCCATACCGCGTCTTCCGTCCGGTCCTCACGTCCAGGATCTGCTCCACTTCGAACTCATCTTCTTCCTACTCTCGATCCCAGCTGTCCTCCGGCAGCAGAGCTTCGTCGAAGTCCACTCGATCTGCCTCATCTACGGTCAACTGGATCCGTGGACGCTCGAGAAACTCTCTCACCGGCTTCAGTTTGGATATATGCACCATCGGAAAAAGGTGATATTCGGTCCTTGACGTCTCCAACCGCACAGTATACTCGTTCACCATCTCCAGTACCCGAAAAGGCCCGTGCCGCGTGCGCGCAAGCTTCTTGGCGTAGCCTTCCTTCACTCGAGCCAAGTAGAGCCACACGAGTGATCCAGCCTCAATACGATGGGGTGTAGCTTGCTCGTTTCGCACCTCTGCCCTTCAGCCATCGCCTTCCTCAACTTTCACGTCTTTTTTGGCGAGTTGGTAAAACCTCTGGATCCTGTACCGCCAACAGCGGGGATTCGAGTCGCACTGCCCACGGGCAACGTTGCCTCCTGAGTGGTCCTAGACTCCCAGCCATGAGGTAGATAGAAGGGCGTGTCGCCCCTGATCCGGTCGTGAGCGGTGTTCATTGCGAACGTTAGCCGTCCCGCATACTCGTCCCAGTCACGCTGATCCTCATCCTGTACATACATCTTGATGGCCCTTGTAATAGTTTGCACCATCCGCTGCGCGGTTCCATTGGCCTGCGGTCGGTAGGCCATAGTAGCTCGCTCGCGCTGACCTAAGATTCGGTTGAAGGCGCGAAAGAAATTCGGCATAAACCCAGACTCACGATCGTGGCGGATCACCTCGCTCGCGCCGAAGCGGCGGAAAACACACTCCACGTAAGACTCCGCAATCGTCTGCGCAGTGCGCCTTTCGCCACCATGTAATCCGTAAACAGATTCACCCAGATGAGCAGTTCGGTGTTGCCCTTCTTCGACTTCGGGAGCGACGGGATAAGATCCATGGCAATCACCTGGAACGGGTACATCGCTTGAATGTTCCCCGGGGATCTTCCTCGGATCGTCGGTCGCCCCTTGCCTGTTTCGCAGTCGACGCATTCACCGACGAACTGTTGCACAGATCTGAACATACCCCTCCAGAAGAAGTGGGGTTTGATCCGCTGGTAGGTCCGACTAATCCATTGGTGCCCTCCTTCTAGGCTGGTGGAGCAGGTCTGTTTGCAGAGACTCCGGCACGACCAGTCGGAGTAACCCATCTCGGTCCGCCTCCGCCCTTGCCGATGGTGCACAGGAATACAGCAGCCCCTGAGTATCTATTTCGAAATCTGCCGCTAGCAGGCTGCAGGCCATTGCCCCTGCCTGCGACATCGTCTCCACATCTCCTTGTAAATACTGCTTCAGCTGCTGGATCCACGCCTCTTCTTCTTGAGTATGGCGGATCCGCTCTATGCTTAGCCATTGTACCACCTCCTCTTCTAGTACCTTCGACTTCGCACTCCTTCAAGCGCCTGATCCAATCCTTGTAGCAATTCAAAACAGAGCAGCAGGCCATTGTACTCAGCTTCATTCACGGTCATGTCTGCCACATATCTTGATGCTGCGGCGACCACGTTCCACTCGGACAATTTCCATATAATCGCACTGAAGGCTCCTTCGCCCCTTTTCACTCTGGCGGATCCGTCGAAACTCGCCATCCACAACTCTTCTTCTAGTTCCACTGTGGGGACTGGCATGGATATCACCTTCCGCGGTTCCTTCATGGGAGCGATTGCGACGAGTGCGTCATCCACCTTCTCTCTGGGGGTGATGCATGCGGCTAGCGTCCCTAGGATCTCATCTTCGCCTTTTACACATCGCTCGATCTCAATTGTCCAGGGTGACAGCAACGTAGCCCATTGGCTCAGGCGTCCTTGCCGCCCAGTCGACCTGAACAACCAAGCCAGCGTGGAGTGGCGAGTACACCGTCTTCCCACCAGCATCGAATAGCCGAGACCAACATCCTTAGTATCGCCAAAACTTCCTTCTCCGCGATGCCATAGTTCAGCTCGTTCTGCTTCAGCGTCCGGCTGACGAACATCACCGGCATGTACACGCCATCATATTCCTGCGTAAGCGACGCAGCAATCGCCCACTCGCTCGCATAGACGATCACCACCGGCTCCTTTTCGGCATCGAAATGGCGTAGAATCGGTGTAGTCGCTATCTTGTCCTTCAACATGACGAAGACTGCACTTCATACAGCGATCATCCTGTGTGGACTTACTCTCGTCAGACTGCTTCTCGATTGACTGCTGTCTCAGCTCCGCGAAATCAACCTCCCGTAGTTCATACAGCACCGCCGCATATACCGCTAGGTTCTCGCTGAAGCGGCCATAGTAATTTAGACTTCCGGGGAACGCCTGCATCGCTCGGAGGGATCTTGGGAACGGCAGATCGGTCAGGAATTGCAGATCCTTCGGGTATGCTTCCAGGCCTCCAGCGGACACTCGGTGGCCGAGGTAATCTACCTTCTTGAGGCCCCAGAAACGCTTGGCCATGTTGATTGACAGGTTCCACTTGTTGCATGCTTCCAGCAGCTTCCGCACTCGCTTACACAGGTGATCCCATGACGTAGCAATCACCAGGATGTCGTCAATGTACTAACGTTGGCCCAACACCGACGGCTCTCCCTCATCATTAGATTCGCCTTCGCTGAAGAGATCGACGTGATCGCCTCCCTTCGTGGTCGGTGGGGTCTGGAGGAAACCATGCAATGCGTTGTCGATCAATCTTTGATAGATCTGGGGCGCGTTTTTCAAACCAAATGACATTCTGTTCCACTCGTAGAGGCCAGACGGGGTGATAAACGCTGAGATCGCTCGTGCGCGCTCGGTCATCGACACCACCCAAAATCCACTTGCCATATCAAGCGAGCAGTACTACAGCGTTGCGTCGAGATCCTCAAATAGGTCATTGATCAGAGGCATAGGATAGCTCATCAACTTCATCAAGCTGTTCACCAACCGGTAGTCGATGCAGAGGCGAATATCCACTCCGTTCTTCTTAATGATGGCCACAATAGGAGACGCCCACGGGGACGTGGAAGTGCTGATGATCTTGGCCGAGAGCAGCCCCTTGAGGAGATCCGCGAGCTTCTCTCGGTACTGTGGAGCGACCTTGCGCACGCGTTGCGTGACTGGCTTCGCGTCTCCGACATCGATATCGCATACTGCGCCTACGGCGGGCGGGGGTAAAGCGATTCCTTTTCCAATGAGGAGATGCTTGAACGCCCAGATCCCATCGATCAGTTGGTGGATCTCTTCCGGGGAGTTCTCCTCCACGTCGCCCACATCTAGATCCTCTACTTTGACTTCAGCTGTAGTAGCCGTCACCTCGGGTAGTACCGCTAACTCTCCTTCGTAATCTTCTGCATACAGGGCGCTCGCTTCACGCGCATATGTCTCCTCCGCTGTGGTTGCACCTTCGATCTCTGCACCTGTCGGCTCCGCCCTCGTGGTGTCGCTTGGTCCTTGGATTGCCTCCTGCAGATCTGCCGACGCTTCAGCTGGGGTGTCACCTTCGGCGTGGGCCTCCAGGTCCTCCGCTGCGTCGTCTTGCGTACCCACGGTCTCTTTGGCTACTGGCTCCGATTGGTAGCGAGACGGCAGCAGGGATCCACTGACCGGGATAGAAACTGTCCGTCATTTTGCGCTTCTAGCTACCGTGGGGATGGGCTCCGCATCTTCCAGGTGAGTCACGGTCGATCCGTCTTTCGGAGCCACGCCAGCGGGCGCGTCTGCTGGTCCCAAGGGCGAAACTTCCGGTCCCTGTTCCGCTGACCATAGGACCTCTTGACCTTGGGTGCACAGCGTATCCTTTCCCTCGGCTACCTCTGGGGTTTTCTCTTCCTGTCTGTCTCCAGCTCCGACTACCTCTGTCCCCACCTCCGCGCCTTGCGCTTGATCCGAGTGGGCCAGGGCCTGTCTCTCCCACTACAACATAGACACATGCGCGACGATCCATCGAGTTTTAGAAGCTTCTTCCTGTCGGCTCATTATCGCTTTGGGCATCGGGTACACAGGTCTAGGAACCGCAGGCTCTGGAGACTCAGGAGTTGGATCGGGCCGCCTATCGGTCGTGGCGCTGTGCACCAAGTTCTGCCACTCGGTATACCTCCACGACCCGACGGACACGAAACCCGATTTGCGAGGCACGTGATCCCCGACTAACCACATGCCCACTTGATCGTGATGTTGCAGACAGATCGGCGTATCTCCAACATTGGTGATCTGCAGGTAGCGCGTCGCTTCTAGTCCCGCGGCCAACGTAGGTACCCACTGTTTACGAGAGCCATAGCTGTTCGGAATCTGAGAGGTGCATGTGTGGAGAAGTGCTGAATAAGAATTGTTCTCCGAGGAAGGCGGCAGGGCCGATCGACTGGAGGCGTGGGAGATCAGCGATCGAGAGACAGGCCGCAAGGATCTACGGATCAGAAGGAGTTCTTCGGGAGATCTCAGGTGGTCGGCGCGTGAGGCAGGACATGTGGCAAGCCGGATTGTGGGTGATCGTGCTCGAACCGCGGCGTGATTCGGAGCCGACCCAAGTCCAGATCGACGACAGAACTCGCGGATCTGGGATGGCCGAGGACAGAAGGTGATGGATCGGCGGCGCATGTCAACCGGCATAAGTCATCGATTGGGAGTTGATCGCCGATCGCAGATCGAGGTCGATCGCCGATCGGGGCCGATCGTGGGTAGACCAGGATGGGACGCACATGGAGGACGAAGTCGGGACAAGAATCCAGTAATCGTGTGGCTGTAGGAGGGTAAGCAAGATGGTAGCATTAGGGAGAGACCAGCTAAACATAAATCAGAGCAGAAATTGCACCGAAGACCACAAGTCCCATCAAATCACCAAGTCGCAGGAACTACATTGGCCTCGGCAGCGTCGACACTTTGGGTACTGAACTAGCGATACGGTTAAGACTGGATTAATACATTGGCCAGCTTGACCTACTCTAGTGATCTATCTCTTATGTGCAAGTCCTCGATCGACCAGGTATTAGTGCTTGGCCGGCGATCGTTTCTCCTCTCGATCAACCTCGATCCCGCTATAGGAAGCGGCAAGCAACTCAGGAAAGGAAGGAACACACCCGGAAAGGCAACCACAGGCCTTGGATCAACTCCAGACCGACCGATCGCAGCGAACAACCCTCGATCGGAGTGTATGCTCGGACGCAGAGCGAAGACTTCCCCGCTGCTCCACCAACTATCCCCGCGTCACGCCAAGACACTCGATCTTCACCAAGTGCTGCATCTTCGGAGCCCCGAGAGAGCAGATCCAGCCCGCGGACGGGTACACAAGGTGAGAACAAGTTCAGCCGATCACGGATCGTTGGGGGACCCCCTCCGTTAGTCGGTGTCTGGGCGCTGGTGGGAAGCTCGATTAGGCCTTAACCAGATTTTGGCCGATCCCGCTACACCACACATGTGCTGCGGTAGCTCGGCCGTCTCGCCTGCCGCCAGCGATATACACTGGCCGATCGTCACCGTCCGAGCTCGGTCGCTAAAGATCTGCCTCCGTCCATGCAACTGGATTCGGATCTCATTAGGTAGACACATCGATCCGTCTCCGAGATCATAGCGAATGCCGGCCAGTACCATGAAGTCCATGCCCAGGATCGCCTGGTAGTCCGGTGGCAGGTCATCGCCCACCCACACGTCATAATAATACGCCAGGTGTCCCGCCAGCGTGAGCTTGATCTTCGTTCTCCCAGTCGCCACGTACAGCTTTTCGCCTATGCCGAGACACTCTTGACTCTGACTTGTATCAACATAGCATCCTACCTCACGAACAAAGGTGGTGTCGATAATCGACACCTCGGATCCCGAGTCAAGCATGACTACGGCGTTGGCGTTGTTGACCTTGCCGTTGACCTTGGCCTCCTTGAAGCGCTTCCCAGGTACATAGTACTTCCAGTACCCTCTCGACTCTCCAGGCATCCGATCCAGGGGCACAGACACTTCGGTCCTCATGTATTCATCGGGTGCACGCAGACTTGCAACAGAAGCAACACGTTTCCCTTCATGATCACGTGTATTATCAGAGAGCCCCGATAGAGAGCCCCGATCTTACGATCGTGCCTAAACGTCTCAACTGCTTGTCCACAAATGCATAGATGCAAAACGTAGAACGCTCGTCTCGTACCGGATTCAAACCCGGCGAGCGTTCTAGTTTAACATCTTCTCCGTCGCTTCAGGCAGGAGTCCCGGATGTTTGCTAGGATCGAACAACTGTCGGATCAGGCTGTAGAACTCCTCCATCTGACACTTGCCGTGGTCGTGGAGCTCGCCGCACCCACGCCACACGAAGAATCATCGATCAGATGGCCTTTCTTACCGCACTTTTGGCAGGTGAGGCGCTTCCACCACCCCAGGTCCGAATGCTTCCTCGATCCGCAATGCGAGCAGCACTGCCCGTCGTTCGGAAAACGCGGTCGGCGATCTTGCACTCCGAGGTCTATAGGTGGCTGCGCAAGGGCTCGTGACATCGAGCTTTCGCCGCACGCGGGCGCGGTCTCCACCGTTGTCCATCTGCTTGCCGCGGCCACGTACGCCCAGTGCAACTCTCCTTCCGATCCTGACTCATCTGTGCCTGACTCACTGTCCGACGCTGGAAGATGCATCGCGCGCACCGCTCGTGTGCGGCGTCGCTGCTGGCTTCGGTCGGAGCTTGCTGCCTCCTGTCGGCTTCTTGTGTGGAGACTTGGATCGCGCTCGCGCTCGTAATACTTCTTCGAGCTCCTCCGCGTCGCTCAACCGTAACAGCGTCAGGTGATCCTCAAACTCGGAGTCTCCTAAGGTTTCGATGAAGTGCTTCACGTGCTCACGGTGGGTCTTGGCGCCCCCGTCTTTGGTCTTGACGCGAGCGCGCATGTCCGCCACGTTCAGCCGGTGCAGATACTCCAGCGGAGGCTCGTCCCCACGCTTACGCGCATGTTAATACTGCCACGCTACAGACACTCCCAGCCCACAGTACTGTGACTGGAATTCTTTCACCAAGTCTGTCCATTTCGTCCGCGTCGACCGGCTCAGCTGTCGATACCAGTTCCTGGCCGGGCCTGTGAGGAGAACCGCAAAGGTGAGGCACTTCTCCTCGACCGAAGCTTGATCTCTAGTGAAGGTTGACTTGACTTTGCTTGTCCAAGCTCGGGTGCGCTCTTCGTCGTGGTCTTTTCCGGTGAATTCCCTCAGGTCTGAGATAGCCGAGATCCTAACCCGTTGGATCGTGGCTGTCCCAGCTAGAGGTGTCGCTGCTGCAGCTGTAGTGGCTGCTGCTAGCCTCCGGGTGTCTACTGCCCCAAAGTCGTCCGGGTCATACTCCCAGTTCTCTGGACGAACGTGAGATCCTACCGACTCCATGTCCACGTCTTGCGTTCCTAGGTAGGCTGTGATCGGCCTGCTCCGCCTCGCGGCGGCTGGGTCCGTCCTGGGGACTGATGTGAGACTCCGTTCCTGTAGGAATTGATCCATAGCTGACTTGAAGTATCTTTCCAATGCGCTCGTTGACTCGTGCGGAGGGTCTACCTCGGGCGACCGAGCTGTCGGGCGTGTCGGGGCCTGAGCCGGCCATGTAGTTTCCGCCCGCGGTGGTCCGGCTGCTGATCGGTTCAGTAGCTGCTCAGTGAGTGCCTGCTGGGCCCAGCGGCATGCGCTTCGGTTCGGTCGAGCTGTCCGATCCCACCTCCGGTGTGGCTGACTCATAGGTGGAAGATCCCGTATGATACGCAGGCGTCGGAGGTTGGCTCTCCTTCGCGTAATTAGGCTGGGTTGGTTCTGTCCCTACGATTGGTTTCAGCTTGTTGAACAGTGCGGCCGCCAAGAGTCGGATCGTATCCAGCTCCAAACCGAAGAGGTCATTCGCCTCGAAGGCACCGACAGCCAGGCCCACCTCCTGCTCCAGGCGCAGCAGGTCTGTGACGGCTTCCAGCTTGTTCATCGTTAAGGACGGGGCTTGCACTGGTCCCGTGAGTCCTTCGGGTAACTGTAGCTGAAGGATCCGCATCAGGGGGTGGTCCCGTAGGAAGTCCTGCAGCCCGATCCGCCGATAGGCCACCTCCAGCTTGGACTGCGTTTATGTTGCCTTGGTCACGCTTCGATCTTCCGGCTCCGCGTCCAGAGCCCTTAGTTTCTTCCGCGCTGCTCGCGTCTTCTTCTTGGACGTGGCTCCTTGGTTCTGCGCGGGGGTTTTGGTCGAGGATCCGACCGCTCTCGCTGCTGGGTGCTCGTCCGGCGAGTCCTGCTTCACAGCACAACTCGCGGGGTCCTCGGGATGACCTGTGGAGGGGGTAGAGGCTTCTCCTCGAGATCAGAGTCGTCTTGATCCGCCTCCGATCCACCGGTAGATTTCCTCCTGGCACTCTGTCCGTTCGAGGATCCATTCTTCAGCGACGCCGCCGGTGATCCTAGCTCCGTCGGCGCTTCATCTCCTGATTCGTTGCTCACATGCGCATCATCTTGGGACTCACGGTGAAATCCCGCGTCGCCAAGAGATCCGGGCACGCGCGCCATTGTGGTGGATTGGATCCGCTGGAATTAGCAAGGATCCCACACTCACAAACTGCGCCCAGACACCGACTAACGGAGGGGGTACTCCGATAACCGTAGGTTGCTGAGTGGCTCACCTTGTGTACCTGTCGGCGGGCTGGATCTGCTCTCTCGTTGACACAAGACACGCAGGGAGTGACCTTGAACGTCCTTGGCGGGGATGTTGGGGTTGATCCGCAGTGGGGGTTCCTTCACGCAGATCTGGGTAGGTCGATCCTTGGTCTTGGCCGTAGATCTTGTGGATCCGATAGGTAATATACCAGATCCGGAGTTGCTGCCTTGTTGGGGGTGCTGTATTCTTTTTTCCTTTGCGTTGCATGCCGCCTCCTATTAGCGGGGAAGTGGGGGGGCGAGGGCCGAAGGGCGCGAGCTGCTGGCCAAGCTATCCAGCAGTCTGCCACGTGTGCGGGGGGGGCAAATCACTTGATTAAAGTATGGACCAATACTAATCCCAATACTAAGGACGAAGTGTGTGGTTCCCAAGCAAATTGGACTCTGATTTATGTTAGCCTGTACCCAGCCTTCCAATCCGGCTTGAATCTCATCCACTACTGGCTCTCCTTCCTGCCTAATTATCCCAACATAGTCACTGTAACAATAAGTGGGTACGGATCCGGACCTAAACTCTATCCAGCCAATAAAATAAATCGAAAATATTTACAATAATGTTACATCGTTTTAATATTAACAGTCTGCTAAACCATTTGAATAATGAAACGGCTAATTCCTTCCAGTTTTCAAAACTTTAGTTGCGCTGCCAAAGCCCCTCCGAGGTCCATCCAGATGGCTTGGCGGACCTGCTTCGGGGAGAACAACTGCATCCACTCACATTTGGTCTTCATCAGCTCCAGACATCGGCCTAGAACCTTGTTGGCCGCCGGAGTATCGCCGTTGGGGGGAGCACGAGTGCCAACCGGCTTGGAGGTTGCCCCTCCTACCGTCACCGAGGCTTTGAAACCCTCGGTCGCACCGTCATCCGCGTCGCAGGCGGGCTCGGGGTCCGGCATATCGTTGAACGTTTCGGAGAGGTCGCGGGTGATCGACTTCGATCCTCCACTGCGGCCGGCCGACACAACCGCGGCTTCCGAAGTCTCGGACACCACAGTCCTGACATCCCAGTCATCATCTTCGTCATCTTCGTTGGCGTCCGAGGAATCAATCGCCGTGTCGCAGCTCGCCGAACGCTCGTCGATCGACTCCATCCGATCCATCGCTGGGGTCGAGAACGAGCTTCCGGAGCGCACCGAAGCCTCGTTGCGCGTTCCACTCGACTTGACCGGCGTTGCTGGTACCGCTGACTTGACTCCCTTCACCATCTTTTCACTTCTCCTTCGCTTCTCTTCTCCTCTTCTTCTCTTCTTCTCTTCTTCTTCTCCTCTTTGCTCGTTGGGGTAAGACCTACAACAATCCAGACACACAGAAGGTCGCACCAATCCCGGGTCGCGGTACCAGTTGTGGTGTGGTAATTCCACTAAAATCCTCCTCTACCAAAAGGTATTAGAGACACCAACAACACGCTAACCCGCAAAGGTAAGCGCTTATTGGATCAGAACCTGAAGACCAGGAACGATCCCTTACACCGGGTCGGTTGCAAGCGCCTCTGTGCACCTTAGGTTATCTTCGGTCAACCCAAAACATGTACCACTAGCCATGAGCTAAGGCTAGGATACTATGTAGCGCTTTCGCGCAACCCCACTGCAGTCCCTCAGGAAGGAAGGGTACCGGCGTGTTAGGCCTTATACAGGGGGACCAAGGTAAAACCTCGGTAGGTAGACTAATACACTCAGGGACACTCTAATCCCACAAATATATACTGAACGATACTCTAATACCGTTCCGGCCACGCCAACTCTTGGCGCTGCCAAGGGAACTCTCGGTCAATGCACGATAAGGTCCCCGACAGGCATCCACACGCAGCCGAGCGTGTCCAGGCACTACAATAAGCTAGCTACACTTACCGAAGTCGGACTTGACCCTTGTTGGCTTTGGGGGAAGACTGTCTTTTTATTACTGAGTTTTCTGAGGCCCTGGGGGCCTCGTTCTGGCCATCCTATGATGAGTCCTATGTCCCTATACAAATATCTAGTGTGAACGATCGCAATAAGGCGATTCCGGACACATCAAATGACGACCGCGGCTACACTAATAAGTGCGGCCGTCTGGCCATCCTATGATGAGTCCTATGTCCCTATACAAATATCTAGTGTGAACGATCGCAATAAGGCGATTCCGGACACATCAAATGACGACCGCGGCTACACTAATAAGTGCGGCCGAAGTACGTAACTAAATGCATCTGTACCTAAAAGTGGGTACCATGAAGCCTCGTTCGGGGTTGTATTAGGACCCGACGAGGCTCCGGCCACTACCTGTCACTCCAACGAGGATAATGCCGCCAGCTTAACCAAAGCAGCCACTTCCATCTCGCGCTTGACTGCTCCTTGATCATTGTACCTTGATTCTTGGGCGACGGGCAATCGCTCCGGTAATCTCCATTTTCCGATACCACAGAACAATACAAAATATAAGTCAATCCTATCACACAGTAGTCAATCAATTCAGTCTCGGGGGTGACTACCTCTACCGCCTAAGACACACAGGATGGAATATGAAATGGATGCCCGGATAGAGCACGCAAATTGGAAATAAAGCTCTCACAGATCACTCCAGGGCGCGATACCCCAGTCCCTGCCGACTTTGCCTTGGTACCTTTGAGTCCCCACTACACCAGTGCTCGCTACACCGGTGAGGCCTTGAAGCGTCCTCCGTTTTAAGATCGCACGAAGGCGGATCCCACGTATAAGCTCTTGAAGACGTCAATGTCAGGGGGAATTCCCAGCCCGAAGAAAGACGCCCGCGTGTTCTCGGCAAATTGGTTTCTGTGTGATCTTACGTTTGGCTAGCTAGCTGCTTCACTTCACTGACTTCTAATAAAGGTTTCACTATGCTTGACTTGTCTTGGATATGCTTCGACCTTGTGCACGGGACTTCGATCTTCTTGCACTGAGCATGGTTATCGGGCAACTTGTCGACGTCAACGTTCCTTCGGCAACACTCATCATCTGGCGACAGAGGTACGTGGGTACGGCGTCTCATCAAATCCGCACTGGACCTCTGCGTCTAATCACGTGAGCCATCCTGTGTCGCTTGGTGTTCTTGGTCGATCCGGTCCTAGATTGTTGCCACAGTGCATTCACGCACAGCAGTATTGGACTTGTTGTTGGTGCGGTCACGACCCAGTATGGGCACCAGGGGTCAGACCGAATTGATCATCCGGTCTGGCCTCATTCGGTACGGCACCTTGGCATCCGGTGCGTCGCTACCGGGTGCACCACAATCCAGTCCGGCAAACAGTGTTCTTCGTCCAGCGAGGTCTTGGGCGCACGGGAGCATGGTAGGCATGGTGAACTTGAGGGTTGGTCCGATGTCTTGACGGAGCCAATGCAGGCAGCAGCCAGGATACGTTCACTGGCTGCACTTGCGCGCCTTAGGCTAATCCTGTGGTCAGGGAAGTCGCGGACGGACAGGATGTGTTACTCCACACCGAATATGCGCTCATCCGGTGGGCACATCTCCGATACTGTGAGCCCATGCTTACCGCAAGCACCGGGTCCCGCCAAATCCTCCATGCGCATCCACTATCCACATGTCACACTCCACGTCACTGGATTCATGTCCACTGCGACCAGTCACAGTCAGGCGAAAGGCCGTCCCATCCCAGCGGTCAGACATGGGTGTAGATAAAAATCATTTCCCACATCGTGTCATGGGGGTTAGGGTGAAGGGTGAACTCCGTTGACTGTATGGGTGAGCTACGCGTGTCTGTATCATCTATATTACCATCTGCATGTGTGATTCACTTGATGAGTGTGCGTGGAATCGTGAGGGCGTCTGCGGTCGGGATAGTCTAGAATGGTCCGCCCGGAGATGTTCTCCGGCCATGTGCATGAGAGTGGGGAGTATGCACTGGGAGCGCTAGCTGATGCAGCCATCCATGCTGTTATCGTTAAAGGTTCTCAGGGGCAAGAATGGTGCCGAGAAGAGAATATTTTTTATCTTACTTTAGTTGAAACATTTGGAGTCATGCATGTGGGGCCTGCTTCCTCGCTATGATGGTCCCAAGAGATCGGTGGGTTGGCGCAGGTTTTAGGTCCGCCAATGCGGGCTGCGTGTGCATGCAGCAGTATCACGCGCTTTACGAGCGCCTCTGATTGGCTGCGACGTGGCGGCGAGAAGTTAGTCTTAGCCGCTTCCCTCTGACCGGACGGTGTCTAGGCTTGTGCGGATGGGGGGGGGGGGGTGTTTGCACGTGTCGACAAACGTGCCAGTGGTGTATGGTCTGTATGGAACACGGTTGATACCGGCAGGGACGACGTGTTCGAAGTATATGGTGGCATTGGTGTGCCTTTCTAACTGTGAGTGAACACATGTGTCTAGCACCAACTGGACGTGTGTATGCAAACTCAATTGGGTGAATTCTTCGGGTGGAGAGGTCCTAGCGGAGAGTTCAGTGGGAACTCTTTGTGGTGGGCAATGTATATTTTTATATTGTTTCTTTTCTTTTAACACGTGGTGGGAACTCATACGGATGCATGCCATTTGACGCCATCACCAGGGTCGACTATTTAGTGTTGGTTCTCGGTGGTGGCCGAGCGTACGTAACCGATGTTCATTCTTCAAGTGGAGTCTCCGCTCGGAGATTTCCACAAGTGACTATGTCACATACCCATCAATACGATAGTATAAACCTGGAGATCCTATTGGACAACAAGGTTTTCGGCTTGGGCTTAAACACCTAATGGAGCGCTTTAAACGCTTCGTCCAATCATCCGGCCGAATCTCAAGTTTGTTACACGTGAGGCTCAACAGCGCGAATAGCGTAGTTGTTTCGCGCAACTCGCCGTCGCTGAAGGATGAAATCAGGGCGGGCTCTGTCGGCCAACTCGATCAAGCGCGGATGGATTAACGATATCGTATGGATTGGGTTAAGAGTACTGTGCATAAAACAAGTAGAGGGACTTCTGCGAATATGCCATCATCGTGTCCGTGGCTTCTTGCGCGGCTTTCATCGTATTCTCCAGCTTCAAGAAAAACTGAGTCAGGTCTAAGCCCTACCCGTGAAGTGGGGGTCGCCGTGGAATACAGCAACCTCATCCTTCTCGCAAATGGACTAAAAGATCTCGTAGAATGTCGTGCGATTCTTCACCAGTCTGACATGAGTGTTGTCCATGCCTTTCATCAAGGGCGCTTTGGTATTGGCTTCTTGCCGACGTCGTTCGAGATTTCTCATTGGCACCGCGCTTGCGTTGCTGGTTCGCTTGGCTGCGGTTGAATGGTCAAATTCCAGGTTGCTTCTTGGAGGAGGTTCGAGTTGTCGCCGCAGGCTTCATCATTGTCATGCCGTTGCTTGTCCTCCTTGCTCTCCTCGTCGTAATCCTCTGCATCCGAGTCGACCTCGACACTCTCCGACGGCTTGGTCTTTGTCGTATCGTCGGGGTCGGTATGCCGCTATCGCTCTCGTCGCTTTCTTCCTCGGACATGTCATCGTCGTCGGGCTTCGTCACGTAGCCGAGTAGATTATTGCCGTCGAGGGCCGCGATTTTACATCTGTTGTTATGACATGCGTCGATAGATCTGGAAACCGAGCGTAAATGGATGCAAGCTGCTGCTCCTAGAGAGCTTAAAAGCCCACAAGAAGGCCACCGTGAGGTCATGCTGGAGGAAGACTGCTGCACCCAAGTAGAGTTTGTCCCACCTGAAATTACTGGGATTGCCTAGCCTATGGACGTCGCAGTGATGAAGTCGTTCAAGGATAACGTCAGGTATGGGTGGCATCACTGACATACTATTGTCGTCGTGTTATTATTGCCGCGAAACTCTACCTTGTCTACTACGTGGCCGCTGGCTCCCGCTAGGCATGAACCACTCATTACAAAAACAACTACTACTGCTCAAACGCCACGCCAACACGAAATTATGGCGGACGCGAATACGTACCTCTTCGTCGCGGACATGATCGCGTGCTCCTCCGAGGAGGGGGCGACTGCGTGGGATATGAAGGTTGGTCTACTAGCGTCCACAGCTACATGTGGCAAGTGCGTTGGTACTGCAACCAAGGCACCTGCCGCGTCAAGCGAACGGTCCGCACTCGGAGTTTCTTCAGCGCACAGCTGTCAAAGCTTATCAAGATCCTCTTCTCATGGACCTCCGGGACCCCCGTACAGCTTGGCCGCAAAACGACGGGCCAGTGGTACCAGTACGCACACGATATCTGCAGCGCAGGAATGCTTCGTTGTGAAATGAAGGGTTTTTAATTAACCCTTCATTTCCAGTGCTCATCTCCAAGGAAACAAGATTGTTTGCTTGTCGGAGGCTTGTATATAGATATTTGTATAACGCATGAAACAAATAATTCTATCAAATCTCAAGTCATACCTCTCCGACACAGCGGGCATACTGGCAAGAGAAGCACCAAAGCCTTCACACAACATGTCGCAAGCAATTATATCACGAGTTTTCTATGTTGTTCATCTGACTGATTGTAAAGTCTAGGGCTAGGTGACAAGGCGTGCCCCCCCCCCCCCGCCCCCCACTCCCCGCGTGATCGTTTCAAACAATGGGGTCATCCAAAACGAGCGCCCGCAATGGAGATCGTGACGCCGATGTTGGTATATTACGAGAGAGGGTTGATGACCTAGAGCGCGAGAGCCTGATACATTCGACGATGAAGGGTGAGAACATGGCCGAAAAGGCTTACTATCTCACTCAGCAGTATTTCGGCATGAAAAGCAAAGAGGACATGACCGAGAAGCAAGACACTGAGGTAGTCCATCTGCGCAGAGAGGCAAATACAAAGGTTGAGAAAGCGGAGGAGAATGCGAACGCGCAAGTCAAAAACCTACAAACCAAACTGGATGAGATGACCAAGCGTGCGCTAAAGGCAGAAGACGCTCTCAAGGACAAAACCATCAGCGACATACCGACAAGATTCGCTACACAGGACCCAGCGAGCGTATCAGGAAAACAAGATTCGGGGAGAGAAGCTCCAGTGAGCTCTAGATGTGGTCACAGCTCTAAAAAAACGAATTCGAGCGATCGCGTGCGGGGATGCATGCTTCGGACGAGGATGAACGTAGTCTGGCGAGCGCTGCAAGCCACGAACGCGCTGGTGGAGGCATCATCACGAACCCGCATGCAACGAGCGATCGACTGACAAATTCTGCAGCAATCTTGGCGAGTTGTTGGACAGTGTTGGCAAAGCAAATATTGCGGTATCGAACGCGTGAGTCGCTTCCCAACCAGGGGTGCGATTCGTGATTTCAGACCTGGGAGAGTCGGCGTAATTGAGACTTCTACCAGGTACTGCGAAGATACACTGGGTCGATGAGGGAGGAAGGGTTACCGTGGCCCGGCTCAGTTTCTTCCTGGGGCTACTCTGGACGGGGTACGGGATCATGTGAAAGAGTCTGGAAAGCTCATGGTGAAAAGGAGGCTCGAAGATCAGGTAAGATTCGGAGCTGTTATTACATGGAATATTTAGTCATGACAATATTATAAATTGATGTTGATGTTTTTAATAGGAACAAGAAGCGAATGAGAGAGTTCCATGAGATGACTTCACCCGTCGCTACGTTCTGCGACCAACATGGCACTATCCCGATACCCAGATCGTCATGAAGGCTGAGTGCATCTTCTGTGCTGACGCTGGGCGCGAGGACCACGGCGACAGATCGCGCGGCCCGACGACCTCAACGGCGGAGTGGTGTTATCCATGGCGACCCGAAAATCTCCAGTGGCACCACGCCAACAGCCACCCTGCCGCGTACGCGAAATTGAAAGAGCTTCATGGAGTAGCAGAGGCAGCCAAGGGGACAGCTGCGACAAAGAAGGCTAAGCAGAAGATCGACGCTTTCCTAGAGCAACCTCGGAACTGGCTGCAACACGACTATGACGTACAAGTTGCTGCTGGTAACACGTCGGCGGTCCCCCCCTCCAAACTACCCTCGCGAGGATGGATATGCGGTTCGTGTTGCTGAGTTGAACAAGCAAATCGCTGCCTTGTCGGACAAGCATCAAGCTATCAAGGAGAGAGAGAAACGCCTGGACGTTCGGACTGAGGCGGCTAAGACCATGAAGTTGCACAATCTAATGGAGACCAACCGACTCAGGGATCAACTCCAACGATTGTGCGCCAGAGAGCTGGACTTGAATAAGAGAGAAGATGCCATCGCCAGGGGCTGCAACGCCCCCACATACGTGTTGCAGTCGAAAGTGGTGTCGCTAGAAGCCCAAGTCGTCCAGCTTTTCCGAGAAAACGAGGAGCTGGGAGACGAACTCGCGCTCAAAAACAGAGAGTTCGAGCAGCTTCGCGGTAGCACAACCCTCCATGATTTTGTCAGTGATTCACAGCAGCAAGGGAACATCGAATCGCAGGAAGTACTCGGAGAGTCACAGCTCGGGGGTTTCCAGGAGCAATGCATCTTGGCGCGCCGCTTCTTGCCCTTCCCGAGCGTACAAAGAAAAAAAAATACCCAGCCTCTCGATGACGCGAGCTGTTTGACGAGGTGATAGCCATGGTTTAGTGTAGCACTTGCATACAAAATGCTCCCTCGCCAGCACGGTTGATGCCTGTCACGTGTGGTTGAGGCCACTTGTTGTTTTGCTGGTAAAATGTCAACTGAGTTTGATTCAGCAAGGTTAAGTTGTTCTCGGCGGACTTGTCCTTCTAGTTGCCCTTCATGCACTCCTAGTAGTCCTCACCCTGCTTGCACTTTGCTGGTTGAGCTTACCAACTTGAATCTCTCTTCACATGCAGTTGGCTCTCGTTCCAATGCGAGAACCGATCTAGTGCTCGATCTCGTCTGCTTCTTGGTCGTGTTCGTGCCTTCTTGTCATCACCTGAAGAAACTCCGCTCATCACGCTTGTCCGCCGCCCTTACAATGCCGGCCACAACAGGCCTGTGGTCTTACTCTACCAATTCATAGGGCTCTCTGGTTTTTGCCGATGTTTTATACCGGCCACAAGGACCTGCAGGGTAGACTGAGGCTGCGTGTAGAGTTATACATCGTAAGCACGAGTTTGTATCAGGGTTTGCCTAGCTAGCAGTCATTTAGCCCAAGTGTTGTTATTCCGTTTTGCCGAAACGAATGCAAAACACAATACTACTTACAAACATGTTATTGTTAATACTCCCTGAACATTAGAAATGATTACATGACCAAGACGATAGATACGGTATTTGCAAAGACAAGGAAGTGAAGAAAGCGAGAAATTTGCCTTACCCCTCATTAACTCTCAACACCTGTAACTACGCAAATCTCGTCGTATGTAGTTGCATCATGATGTCGTCTCTCTCAGCGATGAAAAAGTCGAGTTCTTCACGGAGACGGTTCGTTCTGTAGAAGAAGAGCCCTGAGTTGGCGTGCTCCGACAGCACATTCCCGATGTCGAATATCTGCTGGCGAACATGACCCAGCAGATCGAAGAGACCGCGCCTCGCTGCAGTCGACATCGCCGGCGCGACAGACGGAGATCATGAGAGGGTCTGCTGAATGACCGGCTCCGGAGATTGGGAAGGAAGCCGAACGCCGGCTCGCAATCGGGCTGACGGGGCGCAACACCGGACGGGCGGGGGGAGCGCAGGAGCGGGGAAGCGGGGCACCACAGAGCTTCACTCCGTCAAGCGTTCCCACATGACCTTCGTTAGGTTGTGAAGCTTCGGCTCCCCAAGGCGAGATAGCACCTTTTGCAACTGCATCAAAGTCATCTCACTGAAGCCCTTACCCATTACAGAACTCGCCCAAGGCTCCATCACGGCTGCCCCGTCACGGACAACTTCCCGCTCTCCCATCTCGATGTCGCCTACGCGGACGATATCCGGGACATTCCAAGGCGGCATTGCGCAGGAAAAGGCAAAGTGCCGCTCGCAAGTGCCGCTCGCAAGTGCCGCTCGCAAGTGCGGTCCGGTACAAACGTAAATAGCACACTTATCAATCAGATGACAGTGTCCACAGAGATGGAGCCAAAAACCCAGTACGCTCCGTTCTCGATATACGATTCGGGACTCAATTGTGTCCGCTCTTCGTTGATGCCGGCAAAACCACGAATGGCCACCTGGAATAATTAGGTCGGCATCATCGATGGGATCTCGTCCATCAGTTGGTCTGTATTTGAATCCAGCAATAACCTCGGATCACCTATAGCGGACAACTTCATAGCATTCACGAGTGGCACTCCTTACCTACATGCAGTATGTACAGTCAGCCTCCTAGAGGCGCGTCGCTGCTAAAATCCACCACCTTCAGCGCTTTAGGACCACGACCAACGTAGCAGCGCGATTCAACTCCGGCAGAAAAGAAGGGTTATCATTGCGCAACGCAGGGAACTCATGTTTTACGAACTTCTTGCTAAGCAACTCTAAGCGAGCAAAATATGCAAACTCTGGAGCGTAGTATACAGGCAACGACGTACAAAACCAATCAGGCAGAAGCTTTCCAAACACATCTAGGAGATCAAACTTTCTACTATCAAAACTCGTCTCATACAAAGGGTTCATTAAATGACTCGAAATTTTCGAGTCCGTGATAAATTTGTGTGTACCAACCCAATATAATGTGCAAAATTATGTGTCACATGCTGTCCAATCCCAGCCTCTCAAACTGACTCCCTACATTCCGCCATTTTCCCCCTCTTCGTCATCCCCAGCCATGCTCAAGCGCCCTGCGTCAGCGGCGCTCGCATCGTCGGCGCCGGCGCCCGTTGCGGGCTCGTCCGCCTCTGCGGCAGGCGCGGCCCTGACCCCGACGCCGACGCCGACGCCGCCGTCGCCCTCAGCAGCCAAGAAGAAGCGGCGCTCGCAGCCCATGGGCAACCTGACGAACCTGCAGAAGCGGCAGCTGTGCATCAAGTTCTCGCAGGTCAAGATGACGCAGCAGGAGCTGTGCCAGTGGGCCAAGCGCGAGTTCCAGCTCGCGCACCTGCCGCACCAGTCCACGATCTCCAAGATCCTGGCGCGCTCCGAGGAGCTGACGCAGATGGCGCCGCGCGACCTGTCGGCGCGCCGCAAGGGGCTCGTGACGCACCCGGAGCTGGACACGGCGCTGTGCAACTGGGTGCTCTGCGCGCGCCACAACGGGCTCAAGATCTCGGGCGACATCATCAAGAGCCAAGCGCGCTCGCTGGCCGCCCAGCTCGGCATCACCTCTACTATGAGCTTCTCCAACGGCTGGCTCGGCGGCTTCAAGAAGCGCTACAACATCCGCCTGGGCAGCGCCGCCGCCGCTATGGACGGCGTCAACGGGGCCGCCATGCCCAGCAGCATCAGCTCGCTCGAGCAGCTGCAGGAGACGGCGCGCCTCTACGACCCGCGCGACGTCTACTGCATGCAGGAGACCGGACTCTACTACCAGTTGTCGCCCGAGAAACCTGCGGGCAGAGGCCGCGCCGCGCGGAAGGAGAACTGCGGCGAGAGACTCACGGTGGTCTTCGCAGTGAACGCGGACGCGAGCGACAAGACGGAGCCCATGTTCATCGGCCCGGGCAAGCTGCCCCAGCCGGCGGAGGAGCTGGACGCCGACTCGCGCCACTTCTACTACCAGAACAACAAGCGCGCGTGGATGACGCCCGTCATGTTCCAGGACTACGTGTCGGCGCTCGATACGAGGATGCGTGACGAGGGCCGCATCGTGCTGCTGCTCGCTTCGCCCGCGCCGTCGCACGTCACGCTCGGTCTGGAGCTGACCAACGTCCGGCTGGAGATTCTGCCGCCGTCGTTGGAACCGCTGCCGATGTCCATGCAAGTGCCAGTGTCCGTCAGCGCAGAAGAAAGCGCCAATCTGGCGGCAGCCTCGGAATCCATTGCGGCTGCCGGCGTGGGCGACACGCCGATGCCTGACGCTGACCAGTCCCTCTCGGACTCGGTAGCTCCTCAGCCAGAATCTACGACGAAGCTACAGGCCGATACTGAGGCCCAGACGCCGTCGTTAGCTGACCTGAGCCATTCAGCAGCGATGGCGAACATGGCGGCGACCATGGCGGCCGCGACAACGCTGCAGCCGCTGGACGCAGGACTTGTCACGGCGTTCAAGCGTCGGTATCGCCGTTACCACATGCTGTACGCGCTGGACCGCTATGAAGCAGGACGGCAGGATGTATTCCACGTGGACCAGCTGCAAGCTATGCGCTGGGCTCGCCACTGCTGGAAGCAGGAGCTGCCGGAGGAGATCGTACGCAAGTGCTGGAGTGGCCTCGAGATCTTCTCGCCTAAGCTGGCCCCCGAGACGCTGGCGGCGTTCGATTCGATCGAGGAGGAAATTGACAAGGAAATCTGTGACACTGTGTCGGCGCTCGACATTCTCCGGCCGCTCCCTATCGACGAGTTTGTGAGTCCTCGTGATGAGAACACCGGCATTCACTGCGCCGGTCTCGAGGAGACGGACTTTATGTTTACCGTGCCGGACAATTCGGGCGCGGACCCGAAGCACAGCGGCAAAAAGGGGTCGTCCAGTGAAGCGGATGCGGCCAAGCAGCAGCCATTGGTCTCAAATGAGTTGACGCCGCGCTTACAGGAGCTGCACGCTCGCATTGAAGCGTCTGCGTCCTCTGCGGCGGCAGTAGCGGCCGCGTCGGCGCTGTCTCTGACTACAAGCGTGAACAGTGTTACTACGGACGGCACCGTCGGCCTGCCGTCGTCTGTCGGATCAGCGGAGGAGGCGCTCGGCTTGTCGGCGACTGGCTCAAGTGCCGCGAAGCTCGCAGACGGCCCCGCGTCCAACGAACAGCTCATCGAGTGCTTCAAGGTGCTGCTGCCGGAGCTGGACCGACTGCGGTTCGACGACCACACGAAGAAGAGCATCCGCGCCACCTTCCGCAAGCTGAAGGAGGCGGCGGAGCAGCAAGCACTGGACCGCAAGCGCGGCGCTCTGAAGAAGCCGCAGCCTTTGCCCCCGGCGCAGTCGCAGTTCCAGCAGGCTATGGCCCAGCAGCAGCACTCGCTTCAAGAGCTCCAGCAACTCCAGCAGCAACAGATCCAGCAGATGCAACAGCAGCTCATGATGCAGTCCGAGCAGCAGGCCATGGCCATGGCCGCGCAGGCGTCCCAGATAGGAGAGAACACGGTCTTGTAGATGACGTTAGTGAACGAGCGACTGTAAACGACCCAGATATGGTTTCGTGCGTTGCATTCGGCAGTGCATATCGGATCCCCTAGCTGACAAACACGCACCAGTGCGTTACCTTTTACTCGCTGTTGAAGGCGCTTCAGTCATCGTTTCGCGACTCACCTCGTTTCGATCAAGAAGGGCGCGTGGCGGCCGAACCCACTTGAGTCCTACAGATGCGATGCAGCTTGAGCCTTCAAGCTCCTCCCGCAGCATCCCAGTAGTAATGGAGACGTTCGTGCGGGCCAGTGCAACAATCGCCGCCCAGTTTAGTCGAGCGCTCCCAAAGCCCACAGCAATCGATGCAGGTGTCCTTGTCCAGCGTGGCACTCGCAGCCGCACGCCCCGCAGCGCGCTCTGGACGCCACGCTTGACCAGAACTCGCCACGCCACGCAGCGACTTATTGCGGACAGGCCAGCGAAGTGGTCGGTTGCATTGAGGTTAGTGCTCCTGGGCCAGGCAAATTTGTCGTTTCGAGCCGAGCCTCTGCCTGTGGGGCTTCGTCCCACGTGCGGCTGGCTTTCTCTGGTGCCAGCGCCGTTCTGGGGCTCCGCCGCGAAGGGCGGAGCTCCGCCTGACTTTTTCGTAGGCGTCGAGGCGCCCGGGTGGGTTGCGCGGCCGTCGCCGCGCAACGCAGTCCGTTTTTCCGCTGCCTGAGCGCTCGTCGCCGCTCAGTGCGAAACGAGCTGGCAAACGCGCAAAGCTCGCGTAGACTGTATCCAAATAAGACATGGCTCGACTTGCGCGATGGCGTCTGGTCCTGGCGGCAGCAATGGCACTGGCAGTGATCTCGTCGCCTCATTCCGGAGTGCGGGCGCAGGACATTGGCACCGTGACGGCAAACCCGGAGGCGACAACTGCCGCCGCCGCGGAACCCGTGGCAACCGATGCAGCGCCAGCCCCCGAAGTCACCACTGCCACCCCCGTGGCAACAACAGAAGTCCCCCCTGCTGCCACTGAGGCAGCAGCCCCGGCAGCGACGGAAGCTCCTGCAACGACGTCTACGCCGACATCGGTCCCTACTGAAACGCCAACGGCGACTGAAGCAGCCACAGCGACGCCTTCCACATCGACAGCGGTGAGTGCCGAGAGCAGCTCCAGCACTGAAAGCAGCACCGAAGAGAGGGGTAATACCTCCACCAGTACGCCGGCAACAGCTACGTCAGCGCCATCGACGGCGGAGGTGGCCTCGGATTCGAGTTCGACAATGCTTCTGGCAGCGACTTCATCGCAGAGCGGCAGCAGTCTGCGCAGCGGTGAGTCGGGAAGCAGCGCGTCGTCGTTGTCGTCGGCGTCGAAGAGCGCCGGTGAAATCAACACCGGAACGCTCAACGGGTCGTCCTCCACCAAGACCCTCGTGATCGTTGTGCTTGGCGGCGTCGGGCTCACGATCATCATGAGTCTCCTCTTCGTTGTCTGGAGAAGCCAGAAGCGCGAACATCCCGATCTGGGCACGCCGACCGAGCCGAACACTGCCACGATCACGTTCCCTCCCCCTGCGATGCCTTCGATCGTCGCACCTACGGCCCAGGATATGTCAGCCTGGAAAGCTAGCGGCTCGAGCTCCGCGTCACGAGACCTGCCACTCACCGAGAGCACCCGGGCCAAGCTGAACGCCACCACTCGATCGTCCACCGAGTACGACCTAGCCGACCGACCGTCGCAGATTGTCAGCATTTCCGCACATGGCACCACGACGCACACGTCCCAGCACATCCGGGGCACGAACGCGTCCTCGGAACAAAGCTTCAGCATTCGTGGATACTCGGAACTGTCGGTACTACGCGCTGGTGACTCGGAAACCTCAGCCATAACGAACGACAGATACTCCACGACCGACGGCTACTCAACAAGCGACCGGTACTCAACGAACGGGAGATACTCGACTTCATCGCGGCTTTCGAGCGAGCCCGGACGGAGCAACTCCGGGTGGTTCCAGGTGCCTAAGAACCTCGACATGCACCGCTTCTCGTCGACGTCGTCCACAGCTTCGTCCGTTGTGGCGAGGAAGCACAACCCGGTGTCGTTCATCAACCACGACCTCACCCAGACTCCGACTGCAGATGCGCCCGTCACCACGGACAGCACCACGTCACGAACTGATGTCCCTGACTGGTATAGCGTCATTGAATCCCCTACGGACAACGATCGATACACTACCTCATCACTCGATAGCGACAACATTAGCGACGAGCGGGCATCATTCGAACTGTAAAAGAGCATCAGCAGCACCACCAGAGCCAGACGGTTGTATGACTGGCATATTTAGAGCAGCCCACCCGGAAGCAGGGTACACGAGTCCTCAGCGAGCAAGTAGCTGGGGTACAGAACAATGCTCTCGAAGTTCGAGAAGAATCAGTGTAGACAATAGAGAGACGTGGGTTCCAATCCTAGTGAGTAGGCCGTTGCTGTATCACTCCACCTTTTATCACCGTCAGGATCCTACCGCTTCTTGTCGCCCTCCCGCTTCCTGTACTGCTTCTTCTCGAGAGGCTTCGCGCGCACCTCTAGCACGGCGCCGGACGGGAGGTCAGCAAGACGGTACGGTCCATACTGCACGCGGATTAACCGCTTCACCACAAGCCGCACGTGAGCAAGCGCCTTTCGGACCTCACGGTTCTGTCCGAGCCAAAGTAGCGAGCAAGATTTAGAACAAATGACCACCACACACGCCTGACCCAGAAGCACGCACCTTGCCCTCCGTGACTTTCACCTGCAGCCATGAGTCCTCCTTGTCCGTGGACTGCACCGTCACCTTGATCGGCCGGTACTTGATCCCGTCCACCAGCGGTCCACGCTGGAGCTCTTGCAGCTTGGACTCGGCCACGTTGCCGCGCACAAGAGCGCGGTAGACGCGCGTCACTTCCGTCTTGGGGTGCTCCAGCTCCCTTGCGTAGTCGCCGTCGTTGGTGAACAGCAGCAGACCCTCCGTGTTGAAGTCGAGTCGGCCCTACGATAGACACAATGGTATCAATCAACACCGACGCACGCCATCACCTCCATCTAAAGTGCGTCACAGAGCGACCTACCACCGGCATCATGTGCTGCGTGAGTCCCATGACTCGCAGGCGGTCGAAGATCGTGGCACGGCCTTGCGGATCGTTACTGGTTACCAGCTCCTGTCCATTTAGTACGTTAGTCAAGGCGTCAGTACTGTAGCCCACCAGGCCATCAACCGCTTCGCCTGCTCCTAGCGCTGTGCGTACCCCCTTCATCTTGTGAGCCATCCACACTTTGACCTTCTGCGCCTTTGTGAGCACGCGGCCGTCCACAGCCACGACGTCCTTGTCCAGATCCACGACCGTGGCCACATCGATCACGACATGGCCGTTGACCGTCACGTCGAAGCTCTGGATGCGCTTCTCGGCCTCTCGCCGCGAGCACAGACCCGACATGGCGATGCGCTTGGCCAGGCGAACGGTGGGCGTTGCGGTCACGCCTGGAACAGCGGTGGAGTCCGCATCCTTCGCAGCATCAGCAGCTGCACCCGACGCCGCCTTGTGCGGGGCGGCCTTGGGCGCGCGAGAGACCTCGGGCCGCGTAAACTTCTTGATGGTGAGCACTCCGCGGCGCTGGCCCGCGTGGCCGTGCAGGAACGTCGGCGCCAGCGCCTCGCCGCGGGCCAGCACGCGCCGCGCCAGCAGCTCCATCCGCAGCATGCCAGTCAAGTCGCAATCAGTACACACAGTACACTGGAGTGCCACAACCCAACCAAATGACATGATTGGTTAGAATGTATTTTAAATCAGTTAAACTGTGAGCTAAGTCATTAGGTAAATGAGTACTGATCTTTAGGGACCAATCACGAGTCCTTGCTGCTGCATCATTGAGCTTCCTTGCTCACACTACGTGGCATTCGATCCGCCGTATAGGACGCAAGATGAGCGCGATGATGCAGCAGCAGGTGGACGAGGTCAAGCGGCTCTGGGCCAACAAGCGGCAGCTGGCCCACCAGGGCCTGAACCTGGCCATGGTGGTGCTCACGGCGCTCATGATCTGGAAGGGGCTCATGGTCTACACGCAGAGCGAGTCGCCCGTCGTCGTGGTGCTCAGCGGCAGCATGGAGCCGGCCTTCCAGCGCGGCGATATCCTGTACCTGGACAACACGGTGCGTGGCTCTGCTAGTGACGGCTGTATATACACACATTTATTGCTAAGCTCTCGGTGCTGCGTCTGGGTGGAGTGCAGAAGCCACAGCTCGAGATCGGAGACATCGTCGTGTACAAGGTCAAGGGCCGAGACATCCCCATCGTGCATCGAGTGCTGGAGCTGCACGAGCGGTCAGTGCCGCGGATCTATTCGAGCTCAGAGAAGATAGAGAGGGAGAGGGTCGTACCTTATCTGACGGGGTATTGTGCTGTGGTGTGTTACGTCTGCAGGGCCACGGACGGGAACCAAGTGTACCTCACCAAGGGCGACAACAACAACGTGGACGACCGGTGCGACACAGCTGTAGTGAGCATTGAGCTGCACAGAGTTCAGGACTGATAGTGCGATACGATGCGTGTGTGATTTATTTGCAGTGGCCTCTACGCGTACGGCCAGTCGTGGCTCGAGCGCGAGGACATCGTGGGCGTCGCCAGGGCGTGCGTCGCTGCTGCACTTTGCTGTCCGTGCATCAGAAGAAGACTCTAACCGTTCTTGTTGTTCCTCGCTTGCTGTCTAGATCCGTCCCTTACGCTGGCATGCTGACTATTTTGCTGAACGACTACCCGATGCTCAAGTACCTGCTGGTAGGCGGAATGGCCGTGCTGGTCTTCACGCAGAGAGAATAGTCTCGAGAGCTGGTGCAAGCTTTAGGGGTCCTTCGAAGAGGACGCTTTACTCAGTACTTCTCACATAACAAACACTGCTAGTCGAGTCGTGGAAACATCAAATACTCATTCGTCGCTGCAACAGCGCTTCATTTCGAAAAAGGGGGTGGGTGGGGTGGGCTCGAGGTTACTACACTCCTTAAACTCATTGCTGCTCGAAGGCGGGGGTTGGTCTCGTGGCGGCCGGCATGCCACCGGATAGCAACGCACTCATCGGCAGCGCACTACTGCCGACAGGGCCGTTGCTGATGTGCTCGTGGGTGTTGATCGTCGCCGCGTGCCCTGCGGAGGACTGCGGCTGGCTGCCAATGGCCTTGTGTTTCATTGACTTCAGCTGCTCGAGGTCATAAATATCCGGCACGTCGATGTTGTCGGGTGCGAGGCCGTTCTCGTGGCGCTCCCAGGCCATGACCAAGCCCGTCTCTAGGTTGCGCACCCAGCGCTCGGTGTCGAACAGCGGGCAGCGAAGCCGCTCGTCCTCAAGCCGCCGACGCAGCTCCCACAGTCGATCCATGTCGCTCGCCAGCGCCACCGCGAGCTCCTCGTATTCCTCTAGAGAATTCGTGATCAGCTCGCTCATGTTGGCGGCGCGCAGCAGACTTGAGGCCACGCGGGTGGCCATTCTGTCCTTGGGCATCGTCACCATCGGGGTGCCGCCCCACAGAATGTCGCACCCGGTCGTGTGTGCATTGCACTCCGGCGTGTCCAGGAAAAGATCCGCCAGGTATCCGCGCTTCAGGTGCTCGTTCTTGGGTGCGACATCCGTGAAGATCAGCCGCGTCTGGTCCTTGACTCCGCGAGCGCGAGCCTCGGCACGGATGTTAGCCTCCGCGATGGGCGGGAAGCGAAGCAGCCACAGCACCGAGTTGGGCACGCGCTTGAGGATGTTCATCCATGTCGTGAACGTGACGGGGTCGATCTTGTACACTTGGTTGAAATTGCAGAACACGAACTTGTCATCGGGCACTCCGTAGTCGGCACGCGTTGGGCACTTCTCCGTGTCCAGCACGTCGCGAGCTGACTGCTTGTGGTCGTTCACGAAGTACGAGTGCGGCATGTTGATCTGCTTCTCCGTGAAGTACCGCCTGTACTCCGGGGGCACGACTGTGGCATCGCCAACCATGTACTGGATGTAATCCGCTCCGAGCGTGCCGCAGAAGCCCATGTAGCTCACTTGGACGGGCGCGGGCTGCAACGCAAAGATCTCGTTGCGCGCGCCCTTCGTGTAGCCGTTCAGGTTCACAAGGATGTGAATTCCGTCCGCGTGGATGGTGCGTGCCGCATCGCCGTTCGAGAGAGCGCAGATGTCAACAAAATGCTCGACGCTGCCGGAAATCTGTTTGCGCCAAATTGATCCATCATCAGGCGAGGTGGCGTAGCAGAACACCTCGTACTTAAACTTGTCGTGCATGCCGAACACGTTCTGCATGAGGTGCGCCAGCGGGTGGTTTCCCAGGTCCGAGGACACGTAACCGATACGCAGTCGCTCCGAGGCGCGCTTGCTCCTGAAGCGCATGGGCGGCAGGTCCACCAGGCTCACATTGAGCTTCGCGCGTTCAGCATACCGCCGGGAAATGTCCTGAAAGCGCTGCATCGACAGAGGATACACCAGCGCGTGGAACGGTTGCACAGAAGGCAAAACGCCGTCCATGCTCAGCTGCTCGTCCACGAAGCGCTGCAGCGTCTCCGTGTCGTGCTTGCGCGACTGCCAGTCGCAAATGAACACCATCGAGTGGAAGTAGTTGGCAAACGCGTCCGGGAAGTGCGGGCGCAGCGCCAGAGCCTTGCGGTAGCAGGTGATGGCGTCGTCCAGACGGCCGCCGTCCTTGTAGGCGCTGGCCAGATTGCTGTACGCATCGGGAAACTGCGGCTTAAGGCGAATCGCTGTCGAGTAGCACTGGATTGCCTCTTCCAGACGGCACAGATCCTTGAACACGTTGCCCATGTTGCTGTACGCATCGGCGAAGTTGGGGTCGATAGTGATTGCTTGCTGGTAGTGTGCTAGGGCCTGGTCCAGCTTGCCCTGCTCCTTCAGCACGCTGCCGATGTTACTGTGCGCGGCTGCGAACTGCGGCAACAGACGCGCAGCGGTCGTGTAGCAGTGCAGCGCCTCCTTCACGAGTCCCTTGTCCTTTAGGGCGTTGCCCAGGTTGTTGTACGCGTGCGGGTGGTCCGGCTTGAGCTGCAGCGCCGTGCGGTAGCAAGTAACAGCCTGCTCCAGCTGGCCGCATTCGCGCAGCGCGTTGCCGAGGTTGTTGTACGCGTCCGGGAAGTTGGGCTCGAGCTGAATCGCGTGGCGGAAGGTGTGGATAGCCAGCTCCATCTGACCCGCGTCATAGTAGCAGCTAGCCAGGTTGCCGTGAGCGATCGCGAAGTTCGGTCGGATCTGTAGCGCCGATTTGTACGCCTGGATAGCTTCTTCCACGCGGCCGGCCTCCTTCAGGGCGTTGCCCAGGTTGCTGTACGCGTCGGCAAAGTCCGGGGCCAGTCGGATGGCTTCTCTGTAGTGGTCAATCGCGGCCTCCAGCTGGCCGTCCTCCTTTAGGAGCCCGGCCAAATTGCTCCAGGCGATGGCGAAGCTGGGCTTGGCGCGGATGGCCTGTTCGTAGCATAGCTTGGCGTCCTCAACGCGGCCCTGCACCTTGTAGAGGTTGCCCAGGTTGCTGTGCGCGTCCACGAGCTGCGGGTCCAGCATAATGGCCATCTTGTACGTCTCTACGGCCTCGTTGTTCTGGCCCAGCAGCATGTAGCAGTTGGCCAGGTTGTTGTAGGCGTCGCCGAAGCGCGGGTTAAGCTTGATGGCGCGCACGTAGAACTGCACGGCGCCGGCCAGGTCGCCGAGCTCCTTAAGCGCGTTGCCCAAGTTGCCGTACGCTTCGGCAAAGTTGGGCGCCACGCGGATGCACTGCTGGTTGTAGAAGATGCTCTCGGAGAGGTTGCCCAGCTGGAAGTGCAGCGCGCCGAGCAGCAGCAAGTTGTCGGTGCGGTACGCGTCCGACTCGTAGAGCTGCTCGCAGAGGCGCAGCGCCTCCTGGTAGTAGCCGCCCATGTACTGCTGGTGCGCGAGGTTGAACAGGTCTGCAATACGCCAGCGCCAAGTGGATGCAGCCAAGTGAGCATCATCATCTCTGCTTGCAACTCAAAGAAGGCGACAACAGTAGCTAGAGCGTTGGAGACTTACAGGTGAAGCGCTGCGCGCTGGCGTCGCCGAGCGGGTCCGACGCGAAGGCGCTGGGCCCCTGCAGCGGCGCGGCGGCCGCCGTCTGCGACTGGTACTGGTACGGATACGCCATGCTGGCCGCGGCGACGACGGGACGAGTGCACAACGGGGCACTTGGCTGCTGCGGCGTGGTGGGGTGGTGCAGCGGCTGGATGGGTAGCGGTCACTTGCTCACCGACGCTGCTGCCTCGGTCGCCGCTGGGATTGGAAGTGAGGGACCGGGCGCATCCACCGTCGTCCTGGTGCCTGTGCCTGCGGTTCGGTTGCTGGCTGCTGCTGCGCCTGCCTGTACCGTGGGGGTGTTGAAGCGTGCGTTTGGGTCCCCGTTTCTTTTTTTCGACCGGGTGGGGTGGGGTTGGCGAACGCGCTCGCAGACGGCTGCGAGATAGTCGTTGCCGGTCGCCCCGCTCTCTAGCGCAGCTTCCCACGCAGCAGCGCTCCGGTAAAATCAGCGCGGCCGGCATGCACAGGCAGCAGCGCGCGTTGAACACTTTGCTGTCGTCAGTTTTCTCGCCGGCCACGAGCTCGCATTCTTAGGCAAAGCCTGGCAAAGGGCAGATGGGAGCGCGGCGAATAGGGGAGCCGCCCATGTCAACGACAGGGCCCCTTTGGTCGTCGTTGGCCGCTGCCACTAGCGCGCGGTATGAGCTCGCTGCTACGGAGCTCCAACGCCCGAAACGTGCGACAGACACCGCAGAACCTTCCCGAACGGCGCGGCCTGCATGTCCTGCGTGGCAGCCATGGCACACATTGCAGCCTGTGCAGAGGCGCTGCTGTATGTAGCACTCAGCCAGCGCCGTCGAGTCCTGTCCATTATGCGGCCGAAGCTCCGGCGCCTTCTCTCGGGAGTTGCGACGAAAAGTTTCCAGCAGCAAAGCAGGTGATGCGCCCTACCCCTAAATACTAGCGGACCAGCACGAGACCTCTTGCGGAGACTATGCTGAAAGTATCACCAAACTTTGCGTCTGTTTGAGTGGAGGCGGTCGCGCGCCGCTCGTGCTGGTCCGGCAGCGGCCCCGTCAGCACCTCGAGCTTGGCCGGATCTGGCTGCGCCGCGACCTCATAGATGCGCTGGAGCAAGCAACTCCCGCATCCCGCCTGGTCTTCCTGCCTGGATCCTGCCTGCTTCCCTCTGCTCCGGCGCAACGCGCCCAGCCAGCCAGCCACACTGACTCCTTTCGCGCCGACGTCATCGCGCGACATGCCCCCGCACTTCGCTTCGGCGGCGCGCCAGGCATGTCGTCGCCCGCTGTCTTGCTTTCACTATGCTACGAACCATGACGGTATCCGCAGGAACATGCGTACCAGAAACCCGGTACAGCACCATGTCGGACGAGTCGGATACTCCGAACCCATATCGAGTTTGCCGAGGGTAGCCATCTCGCCGCGCGAGCACATCTACACTGGTGCTCCGCAAACTGTCCAAGGCGACCAACGCAAAGCCTGGTGCTAATGCTAGCGACCACGGCCGCAACGGATTCATTGGCAACGGCGCTGAGCTAAACTCGAGAGACAAGGCCCGCCCCGAACCTGTGAGTCCGCAACCAGTTTGGTCCTGTTTTGCATTGAATCTTTTTGATGTACATTCAATAATACGGCCACCCCAACAAAATACCATAACTCTGTCAGTTTTGCTTATTATGCGGTGCGGTTTTGACACAAGTAGCAAAACACGGTGCAAAAGGCCTGGCATGTGTTAACGCTCGCGTTTTTGCAATCTTACGGGTGGCTCACATACAAAAAACTGTTTTGGCAAGGTGGTCACAACTTACGGCCACCCCATCCCAATGCAAAATCCTATACTAATTGAATGTTTGTACAGAGTGAAGGTCGGGCAAATGACTTGAGATTTGTATGGGTCATGTTAGTGAACCCGCTAGTTGGACTAAATCGCGTCCAAGAGAAGAATGAAGGCATTGGTCATCTTAGCATAAGTGTAAACTACAGCTCCAGTAAATTGCGCGGGACCTCGGGTGATTTTGAGGGAGATATAGATGCCAACGTAAATCTAAAGTAGCGTCGTGACGACGTCCATATGATTTGTATGGGAAGATTTGATCTGGTAGTGACGAGTCGAATCGTACTCGTGTGTGCGGACTGAAGCCTCGATACATGTTCCAACTTCGGTTACAATATTATCTACCTTACTTGTTGCTGCTGCAGTCATCCATTGTCATTTACCACTGCAGGAAGAAGGGTTTTTCAGGTGCACTAACATGACCCATACAAATCTCAAGTCATTTGCCCGACCTTCACTCTGTACAAACATTCCATTAGTATAGGATTTTGCATTGGGATGGGGTGGCCGTAAGTTGTGACCACCTTGCCAAAACAGTTTTTTGTATGTGAGCCACCCGTAAGATTGCAAAAACGCGAGCGTTAACACATGCCAGGCCTTTTGCACCGTGTTTTGCTACTTATGTCAAAACCGCACCGCATAATAAGCAAAACTGACAGAGTTATGGTATTTTGTTGGGGTGGCCGTATTAAGCTTAGCGGATCCACTATGGCAAATCGGCAGATCCAGCATTTTACATGTCTACGGTACTGGGCAACCACGGTACGGCTATCATTTTGATATCGTACCCATGACACGAATCGGCAAGCCTTTGAGTTGTTGCGGATTAATCGGCTACCTACTCCCGGAGATGCACACTGCTGCATCTACACCTGCGGTCATCCCTCAATTAGCTTAATATAGCTTAATATAGTGAATCGAAGATTTCCCCTCAATTAGGGAGGCCTGCGAATGGTGTACCGTCGACACCGCATGAATTTGCATATCGCGACGTAAATAAATGCATCAGCCGACAACAATGATGCAAAGCGCCAGCGACGCAAATAAATGGATGAACCCACCGCATGTTTATAACCAAAGCGATTTGTGGCTCGGAGAGGGTTACCCTCTCGCACCTCACAACACAAACCGCCACCAGCAGCAGATCCGCCTAAACTCCCCTCCTAAACCAAACATGAGCACGAGGGGCCGCCCGCGTGAGCTTCCTTCTCAGCTACCGCGACTGAACCCAAGTATCGCGCTTGATCCTGCTCTAGAAGGTATCAATCTCCGCTCCCGTGGCGCTATCTTGGAGGACTCGCGGCGTCAGCGACGGCAAGCCAAACAGACCGACCGGGCGCGAAGACTTGTACGTCAGCGAGGCAGACGTCAGATTGAGAAGCTTGCTTTGGCGTACCAGTGTGCGAAGATATCGCCCGCGAAAGAACAAGAACGCTACGAGCGGCTAGCAGCAGCAAAAGCAAGTGAAGTTCGGCGACTAGACCAGTTGAGAGTGCGTGCAGAAGCTAGAGAGGAGATAGCGATCTCCGATGCAGATGCCCGAAAGCTACGTCGAGTGGCTGGCTACGGGAAGAAGAAGCCGCGCCTGTCTGAGGCGGACCACCGCCTCATTCTCGAGCTGACAGGGTCCGAGACCCAGCGCAAAACTGCGTTGCGGCTTGGTACAACCCAAAGTACCGTTAGCCGCCACCTCCGAAAGCGATTGACCATGCAAGCTATAGAGGCTCTCGTGAGCGGTGGGCAACCATCGAACGTAGAGCAGTCTGTAGCTCTAGGAGTTAACGTCAATGAAGTCGTTTCCTTGCTGTGCAAACTTTGCTTTTTGACCTTCGCTAACAACACCACGAGTTCTCTGGTTGTCTGTTTGTGTCAGCTTGTCTCAGCCACGCCCGAATTGATGCATTGACTCGTCCAAATAACTTGCATCATTGTTGTCGGCTGATGCATTTATTTACGTCGCGATATGCAAATTCATGCGGTGTCGACGGTAGCAGAAAGTTTACTCTGTAGTGTTACCGGCGGTCTTGTTCACAGGACAGCATATTCCGATACCACGAGCAGTTTTGAGTTGCGCAGCTGAAGAACAAGGTATTTAAAGCAGCAAAACATTGCGCAGCACTCAACGTCCACAAGACGGGTATCAAGTTGCCTGGCACTCATTAGCGCACCCCAAACAATATTTGTGCAGAGATTGTTGTGCATTTATGCCAACGTTCATGGCTCAAGCGTCCCTGACGGAAAAGGAACAAAATAGGTCACTCTTTAGAGCCTGTTTGCTACTTAGATGGAGATGGCTAAAATATAAATCACCTCGGTCATCTCCAGGTTTCTTCACCTCAGTGACTCCACTGGAGTCCATCTCGATACGGCAAGATCGTTCGAGATTACTAGAGACAATAAAATGCTGCTGATATTTACCAATCAGCATCCACAATTCGATCATCTCCATCTAGCGAAAACATGCACGCTCTTACAGCTAGCTGGGGCCAAATTCGACCTTGCAATACATAAAGTGAAAATAGGTTTTAGCTTTTGGTTAAACTTTACCGGTGCGGATTCTTGTCTTGTCCGCTCCAGGTTGAAGTGCAATTTGGTGTAGCACACATTTTTCCTAACTAGCGGAGCATCACGGTCGCTGCGCTCATGTTGCTTTAGGGGTCGACCCCCAAAACTATGCCGACCAAGGAGTTTTGGACGACGTCCCCACTTGTGGAATTTGAGTACAAAGCCGCTTGCAAATTCTAGCGCTTTATTTCCCCTTTCACGCTCCCCGATTTGCTGGCTATTTTGCAAGCAACATAAGTACCATTCATACGTTGTTATTAACGGTAGCCTGATACACCTGACCTGTGGTTCGAATGCCAGAACACTTGTATTTTACTTACTTAGGTAAGTGTAATAGCAGAATGTGCACACTGGCACAACGAAAAGTGAATAAGGGGTTAACTTTCGATGCTTCAATTTCGTGGTGTGTTCATTTTCAGAGTGAAAATACGAGCGAATTATTCCAGTAACCTATCGCGATCCATGTTGAAATTCTTCCTCCAGATGTCATCTGCACGCAGCCGCAATGGCCAATGTTGCTGCCGCGACTATGGCATGCACGGCTGTTCAAAACTGTCAGTCTGCACGCGTAGGTAGATAACCTCATGCACGTTGAGCGCAATAAGGAAACATATATAATGAACGATAACTAGCTCAAAATAATGTAGTTGAGCCCGATATCGTACCATCACACATGCATGTAGGGTATCAAAGCAGAGCTGTGACGCCCGAGATCGACCCAACAGAACTGTAATTGAGTGGGCTAATGCATTTGCTTAGTCGAACATCTTTTCATGAGCAACGCAATGAATGAATTAACGCAGACTAGAAAGGAGCAAATAATCGGCGCCTTTAGCGTGCAGGAAGGACTTGGAGCTGTCTGATTTCTTTAAAGCGAAGTAGCAGGCGAGCTCGAACGGGCCAAAAGAGAGCCATTGTTGCTACCAAGAAACACCGACATGGACTCCGGCTCGTACACCCCAGCTCATCGTCCAGCTCGTCATCCGCGCATAGCCTTCAATGTATTTAGAGAAGTTGCTGCTCGACAGTACCCGGTCCTCAGCATGCAAAGCTGCTTGCTACTTGGCGTAGCGTTGGCGCTTCCTTGAGGCTCTGCTTGTCGATGCTTGGACTCTCTGTTGTGCGCTGGTCAAGCGATCGCAGACTTCTTACCAACGGCCGCAGAGCGACCCTTCTTACGACAGCATAAGGTTTAAAAGGCAAATAGGCTTAATAAAGGGTCCTAAGCGGGTCCAAATAATGGTAAAATGTCACGTTTAAGTCTATTTCTGATGTCCTCCATACTAACGGTCGAATTTGCTGTTTTATAACTTCGACCCTCTGGTTTTATGGCATCTAAAGATAGTGACGTCGGTTCAGCTCATATAAATCCATGCCGACACCACCTTCCGATAAGCATCCAAATGTTGTTTAACCGAGGTATTTTTTCATTTTTTGGTCCCTATGTGAGCGATTCTAAATTGTGACCCTAACCCATTCGCAGAATTAATGTAAAAAGTAAAGCGGAGTGTATATAAGAGGCGTAAAATTCCATAAAACGGAGTCTCATGATTATAGGGGGGACTTCGTCCCCAAAAATACCTCTCACTCCACATACATCCCTCTGAAATCGCATACCCAGGTAAAGCCAGAAAGCCAAAGCGACTCTCAACAGCAGCAGCGTTGAACGTAGCTGCCGGTACAGCTCTCCGCGTGCGAGACCCCGCTCGAGAGACCCCGCCCACCTAGCCAACAGACGTACGCGAGCATGGCGCTGCACGACGGGCTGGTGAACTGGCCGCTGTTCTTCGGCAGCATCCTCGTGGGCTTCGGCCCGCTGGCCGCGCTCTTCTTCGTGGTGGTGGCCAAGCGCGCGCAGCTGGTGATCCTGGCGCTCAGCGGCGCCTTCGTGTGGCTCGTGGCCATCCTCGTGACGGCCACGCTGTGGCAGATCATCCCGCCGCTCAAGACGTCGCTGTCGGCCACCGTGCCCGTGGGCGTCGTGGTGCAGGAGGCCTTCCGCCTGCTCTTCTTCTACCTCTACACACGCACGGAGCTGGCCGTCAAGCGCGTGACCACGTCCTCGCACCAGCTGCCGCTCAACGACATCACGTCCTCGCTCGCGGGCGGCGTCGGCTTCTCCGTCATGCACGCGCTGCTCATGTTCGGCAGCCTCGTGGGCTCGTCCACGGGCTCGCGCGGCGCCGCCTTCTCGGCCTCGTGCGAGAGCATCCCGCTCGTCTTCTCGGCCGCCATCTCCACGCTGGCGCTCACGGCGCTGGACGTCGCGCTCATGGTCGTTGCCTTCGACGGCTACCGCAAGCGGTCCGCGCTGGCCGTGGGCGCCGTCTTCGTCATCCACATGGGCGTGGCCCTGTCGGTACGGTGGCAGTCTTCTTGCCCGCTGTGGATATTGGTAGCTTGCTCCTCTCTGACTCTTTGTGTGCTGATCTGCTGCGTTCCAGGCGCTGGCCAACATGAACACCAACGGCTGCTACATCTCCATCCCCGTGCACTACGCCGGAGCTGCCTTGGCCTGCGCGGGCGCCACGATGATCGTCTCGCGATCCAAGAGGCATGCGCTGGACGCCAAGTAAACGGCCGACTAAAGGAAGGAAGCAAGAGACCAAAAGCAACTATTCGTCCTCGCACGGAAACGGGGGCTGCTTGGCTTCCGGGACAGCGGTCTGCGTCGAGATGGAAAGCTGCCCGAATGTAATGCGCGCACCTTGATATTTTTGTATCTTACCAAGTTTTTTTTTCTTGCTGGTCCGGGGATGCAAGGACCTTGTCTAACCTTGAACGAAGCAGCAGCTTAGCTTGGGTTGTCCACAGGCACTTGTTTAGGCGCTGGAGAGCCGCTGGTCAGCGGGCACGTGCTGGCGGCACGCCTCCTTGATCGCCTCCTCGTTCACGTTCCACACCTGGGTGGCCTTGTGCCAGCGGTAGAACTGCTCGATGCCCTGCTCGTACAGCATCTCGTAGCCCTGAATGCACACGGCGCCGCCCGCAGCGTGCGCATGCGCCAGCATCGGCGTGATAGGCGGCATGTAGGCTGCATCCAGCACCACTACTTTGCCCCCGTCGGCGCGCGGAGCCACGAGGTAGTCGGGCAGCTGGAATCCTGCCTGCGCCGGGATCGTCCCCACCACCACATCGACCTGGGCCAGCGTGTCGGGAGTAAGCTCCGACAAAGCCTCCGCGTCGAAGCGAGCAGCCACGGCCTGGGCCTTTTCGAGAGTGCGGTTGAAGATGAACAGCTTGCCGACGCCCAACTGACGCATCGCGTAGGACGCAGCCATGGAAGTGCCGCCAGCGCCAACAACGAGTGCCGTCAGCTCCGCAGCAGGCTTCCTCACGCTGAGAGTGGCCAAACGCTTGCTGATGGGACGCAGGATGCCAAGCCAGTCCGTGTTGTCACCCTTCCAGTACGGTGACCCGTTGCGGTCCTCGCGCATGATAGTGTTCACTGCGCCGATAGCTTTTGCGGCCGGCGACAGTTCGTCCAGGTGCTCCATGATGTCCACCTTCAGCGGAATCGTGACGGAGCCACCACCAAAGGTAGTACCGGGAGCTTGCATGCGCTGCACGATCTCCACAACGTCCGCGGTGTCATGCAGGCCGTAGGTGAAGAGCGAAGCGAGAGACGTGGACTCGAAACCCGCGTTGTGCATCGCAGGCGACGGCGACTTCTGGATCGGGGACCCGAACAAGAAGAACTCGCGCGCTGATAAACAGCAAACAACAGGCGCATGGAAGCATGGACAAAGTGAGATAATGCGCGTTTACGGAGCACACACATCAAGCGCAGGCGTGTGCTATCACAAGTCTACAGATTAGATACCTGGGAGAAGTCCAAGCTGCTTGCGCAGGGTCATGATCTCCTCGACGGAAAGCTGTCCGGGTGCCGCGGCGGCAGGCAGCAGCGGGTGCGTCACCGGCGTGAGCGTGCGGTTCAGCATACGAGTCAGCTTGCCTGCCTCCGTCGTGCAGAGAGAAATAATCGGCATCTGCTGCTGCCACGCCTTCGCGAAGTCCTTAGCCACGCGGTCAACCATAAGCGCATCCTGGGGAGAATAGGCCTTCACGACCACCTTCACGATCTGCACGTTGCCCCGCGAGTAGCACTCATTGAAAATAGCCGTCGTCTCCGCCTCGGACGTCGGCTTCTGCACGGCGTGGAAGGACGAGATGATGGCCGACCGGTGGCGGTGAGCGAGCAAGTGCTCGCGCGCCTTACGCGACCAGCACGTCTCCACGTCCACGAACTCACAGCCCAGGCGGACACCGAGCTGAAGCAGCTCGAACATCTTCTGCTCGTGCTCCTCGCCATCAGGGAAAGCACCTCCCTGGCCCTTCGAGCGCACGGTGAAGATGATCGGGAGCGTCGAAAGTGACCGAAGAAGTGCGACCTGAGAAGCCACAAACTTCGTGTCTTGGGGGTACTTCAGCAGATCGACACGCAGCTCCAGTGCATCGGCGCCCTTGGTAATGTCGCTGATAATCGGGCGCGCGTCGTTCACATCGGGGAACGTCAGTGAGAGGAAGAACGTATCCGCGCGGCAGGCAGAGCGGTAGTCGAAGCTCGTAGGCAGACCGGGAAGAATAACGGAGAGGAAGCGGACAAAGTCGCGATCGATACGCGGGTAGTCCGTGTCGCCAGCAGTCACCACGAATTCAAACGTAGCGCTGCGCTGGTAAAGCGGCTCACGTCGCGCCCAAACATTCGCGTGGGTGTCTCCCAGCGACGGGCGGTGCGATTCCTCGGCAGTGTCCAAGTACGCCAGAACATCCTTAATGTCACGGTGCACGTTCACCACGTACGGGTACTTGGCGAGCGCGTCCACGATCTCAGGAGTCTCCACGACACCGCCTCCGCAAGAAATGACCGTGGCAGGCGGCGGGCTAGCGATAAGGCGCAGCAGCAGCTCCTTCTGCTTTTCGCGGAAAGCTTCCCACGTGTGGTTGTGGCGGGCAACAAAGTCGGCAATGCTCTCACCAAGCTCCTTTTCCAACACCTTGTCCGTGTCCAGAAGATTCAGCTTCAGAGCTGCGGACGCGGCCTTCGCTAGCGAGCTCTTACCCGCACCACGCATGCCAATCAGGAAAATTCCAGGCACAGTGGTGTCATCCGAGTTGCTGTTCTTCGAGTGCTCCTCGACAACAGGGGCTACCTGGAGTCCAAGGTGCATCTGCACGTGGTCCCAGAACTCCGGGTAAGTCTTGTCCGTGCACTCCTTGTCGGTGACGATGACGTTGTCCACCACGGAGCCCAAGACAGCAAAACTCATGGCGATACGGTGGTCGTTGTGGCATGCAATCAGCGCCTTCTTCAAGTGGTCGGTCTTGCCGGCAGTGCCCGTGATCCAGATGCCGTCAGGCAGGTCACCGCACTCCACGCCGATCTTGCGCAGCTCGGTCACCATAACCTCAATGCGGTTGCACTCCTTCACGCGCTGGTTCGCGATACCGGTGATTCTTGTCGTGCCGTCCGCCACTGCGGCGAGAGCGACGGCCGTCATGAACGCGTCCGTCATCGTTTCCATGTCAATGTCCATGGCCTTCAGAGGGGTACCGTCCTGCGGGCCAGTCACCGTCGTTGAAGTAGCATCCTGAGAAGTAGTGCACCCCATGGAGCGAAGCAGGGTGTGGAAAGCGGCATCTCCCTGCAGACTCGTGTTGCCCAGAGCCTCCACCGTCACCTGTCCGCCCGTAATGGCGGCAAATGCCAACGGGTACGTGGCCGACGAGGCATCCACCTCAACAGACACTTCCTTCGGGTTCTCGTACACACCGCAAGGCACCCGGTAGCGGTTGGGGGCGAGAGTTTCCACCGGGATGCCGAACTGCTGCATGAGCTGCGTGGTCATGAGAATGTACGGCAGCGAGGTCGGTTCCTCCTCCTCAAGCTCCAGCACAAGCGGCTCCTTAGCGTACGGCGCGCTAATGAGCACAGACGACACGTACTGGCTGCTGACCTTGGCGGCCAAACGCATGGTGGCACCGCGCAGCCCAGTGCCACGGACGGCAATTGGCGGGCAGCCTTCGGTTTCAAGGTAGGAGATTTCGCAACCATTGCTGCGCAGCGCGTCCACCAGAGGCGCAATCGGGCGCTCCTTCATACGGTAGTTGCCCGTGACAACCACCGTGCCGTCGTTTTCGCTGGGCACCAGCGTCATAGCGCTCGTAAGGAAGCGCGCAGCTGTGCCGGCGTTGCTAAGGTAAATCTCCTCTCCGTCGGCCACTGTGGCAAACTTTCCGGCGGTGCCCTCCACGACCAGCACAGCGCCGTTGTCTTCCCACGAGAACTTGGCACCGACCTTCTGCAGCGCGTTCATCATGACCTGCGTGTCGTCGGAGTGCAGGAGGCCCGTAATGCGGCACGAGCCCTTGCCGAGGGCCGCCATGAGCAGCACGCGGTTCGAGATGGACTTGGAGCCGGGGACGCGGATGGTACCGTTGGCCTTCGAGCCAGGCACCATGCGCACTTGCTTCTCGAGCACGAGCTCGATCTGATGGTCCTTGACAGCGCGCGCGTACGGATTGGACAGCACCTTGCCGATCTCCTCGAGCAGCACAATCTTCTTGACGCCCTGGCTGTTTTTCTTGTCCACCTCCATCTTGACCAGCACATCGCGCGTCGCCACGTGGTCGGGCACGCGCACGGGGAGACCGTAAGCAGCGAGGCAGCGGCGCAGGCGTCCCACCGTGGCCGACGTGCAGACGCCCATGCCACGCGCGATCTCGGCCTCCTTGATGCAGCCCATGGAGACGCACTCGCCGTGCAGGTACTCGGGCTGCACCAGCGCCTCGATGCCGTGGCCGATGCTGTGGCCGAAGTTGAGGATGGCGCGCAGACCCATCTCCTTGGTGTCCTCCGTGACGACCGTGGCCTTGACCTGCACCGTGAGCGCCACGACGCGCTGCACGACGTCCATGTCGGAGAGGGAGAGGATGGTCTCGGCCGACGTCTCGAGCAGCTCGAAGAGCTCGGCGTCGAAGATGGCGCCGGACTTGATGACCTCGCCCATGCCGTTGATGAGCTCGCGCTTGGGCAGCGTGTGCAGCACGCTGAGGTCGATGTAGACGCGCTGCGGCATGTGGAAGGCGCCCAGCAGGTTCTTGCCGGCCTCGACGTCGATGCCGGTCTTGCCGCCGATGCTCGAGTCCACGCAGGCCAGCAGCGACGTGGGCACCTGCACGAACGGCACGCCGCGCATGTAGGTGGAGGCCACGTAGCCGGCCAGGTCGCCCACGACGCCGCCGCCCACGGCCACGACGCACGTGTCGCGGTGGCAGCGGTTGGGGAAGAGCACCTCGTCCTCGATCTTGGCCTTCATCGCGCGGCACTTGGACGCCTCGCCTGCGGGCACGGCGTGTAGCAGCACGCGGCGCGCGGCGTTGCCCTGGGCCGCAAGCAGATCGGCCAGCTGCGCGCGCAGCGGCTCGGCGTACAGCGGGCCGACGTTGGCGTCTGTGAGGATCACGAAGGTGGCCGTGCCGGGCATGCGCTGCAGCAGGTCCTCGGCCACGAAGCGGGACTGCAGCAGGGCCGAGCCCAGCACGATGTCGTACGAGCCGCACGGGACGACCTGCGGCGCGGACATGGCGGCGGGGAAGATCTGGGGCGTGGAGGCGTTAATGCGCAAATGCGTCGTGTTTGGTGGTGCCTGGGCTTAATTGGAGAGCAGGGGGCACTGTTAGAAAGCGGGGGTCCTATTGCCCCTTTTCTGAAAAAGTTAAACATTGCGTTGACCCATAAGAATCTTCCTCTGCAAGGAGCTGGGCGAAGTGAAGGCGTCCAGCAATGCAATGCCTTACAGGGAACTGCATGCATGCATGCCGATATTTGGTGCTCTCGGGGCTTAGGATAAGTACGACTTTTCCGGACAATCATCGGAGTGACACCTCCCTCCTTTCGAAGGCACCGCTGTGCCGAGCAGGGCCTCCGAATATGGCATTTTTATTTAGTAGGTTGTGCGTTGCTGAATAAATTATCCCCTGACATTATGGCATTGCCCCCAACGTACCACAATACATAATGCCATTATGAAAAGCATGAAGTCTATTAACAAGACACCAGTTAGCTTATCATCTAGCTCAAATTGTCCACAGTCGTTGCATCCCAGTACGACCGATTCTGGCGGAGAAACAAAATCGTCTCAAGCGTGCGTGGCAGCAGGCCGTGTCGTTGATGACCAAACGTCACCCGAGCAATGCTGAAGAAGCGTTCCACTACGTTCGACGTGGGTGGGATGCTCTTCAGCTGCTCATACTTGACACGGTCCTGTGCAAGCCGCCGGTGCTTCCGAAGACGCTCCACGAACGACGCGGCTGGATCCTCCTCCTCCTCACTCGCGGCCGCGTCGTCCGGTCTGGCAGCTTCGAAGGGCTGCAAAACGGCCTTTTCAGCACGCGTCAGCCGCTGCGCCTTCCCGCGGAGAACGCGTACACACCCAGCCTCAAAATCTGGGCTGTGCACAATGTTGGCCCGAGGCCCTGCAAAATAAAAACCATTATACAATTGTTAGTGAAAATATTAAACACAAATTCAACAGTTATAAACTTACCAATGTAGCGCCCATATTGTGGCTTGACAGCGATCAGCTCGTCGAACCACTCGCGAACATTCAGCAGGTCGACGTCGTGGCCTTGAAGGACCTTCGAGACCGACTCGATGTCGCACAGCTCCTGGTACAATGCCCGCAGTCGCTTGTTCATCGCCGGCGGCGGCAGCAGGTCCATGAGGTCGTCGTCTTCGGCGTCAAGGAACTCGAGGAGCTGGAGGTAGCGCCGTACCATCTTGAACGTAGAGCTCCAGCGCGTGTCCTGGCGAATGACAGGCCGAAGTGGTGTTTTCAACCTATTTTGTAAAAAATTACAAAAGTACACAAATTGTGTTAGGGACATATTGACACACCACACATACACATTGGCGCTTACCGTAGTTTGGCAGATTGGGTGAGAGTACGCAATTTTACCATGAGCGCCTGCACAGCAGCCAGGGCCTCCTCATGCGACGCCATGTCCGCCTGAACAGCAAGGTTCAGGCGGTGGCTTGCGCAACCAACAAGCGGCAGACTCATAAGAGTTGCCAGCCGCCGGTTTACGGCGCAGTTGTCAGCTACGAGGAAGCGACACTGCGCCAGCTGTACGCCGTAATCGCGCGGCAGCATGGTCGCTAGAAACTCGAGATGGCCCTGCGCGGAGAGATCGTCGTCCAGCGCGTCCAGCAGCGGGGCCATGCTGAGTAGCGTTGTCTTGGGACAGCCGTTCACCTCATAGCTCGCGAACACGGCGATGTAGTGCTCAGATGCGTGTGTCCAGCCGTCGAGCATGATGCCGAAGCGTGCTGGGAGCTCCGACGCAATCGAACGCTCGACGGCGACGACGACCCCGTCCATGCCAGCCCGCAGCGTTTCCTCCGAGATGGGGTCCAGGCTGGAGTAGCTGAATAACATCCATAAAGTAAAGTTGTTAGTTTCCGTAGTAATGTAAACACAATGACCTTATGCATACACGTACCGCCGAGCTTCTCGGCTCTCACAAAAAGAGAGTGGCAGGTTGCACATGACAATCCAAACCATTCAGCCGTGGAGGTTGAGCGCCGAGTGGCGGACGAAGTTCACGATGGAGCCTGTCTCCGCCGTCGTAGCGTCGAGCATGACGGTCTCGTAGTCAGGGTGCTCCCGCCTGATATGCTGCATCAGGTTGGAGTACCCGTTCCTATGGGTTTGCTTCCGAACCGTGCCGCAACGGCAACAGAAATACTCGAGAATCACCTCGTCGTTCTCGTCGCGACACGGGCGGAAGTAAAACCCCGAGACTTGGGAGTTCGTGTAGGTAGGGCGAGGGGGGCGGATAGCGCGAACCATGCTGGATGAGGTCTTGGAGGCTTGAGAAGTGAAAATTGAAAAGTGAGCGCTGCCAAATGAGCTGCAACTAGCAACGCAGACAACCAGTGATTCCAGCTCTTCTGAACGACTGGAAGCGAGTAGATGGCTGGTAAAACGCTAACATTATTCTCTGGATTTTAATCCAGAGTTGTTGGGTGAATCCCGAAACCCCTACCAATTTTGAAATGATAGCACCATAATAGATTTATGTTTGCGTTAAACCGATGCAATCATTTCACGACAAAACTGAATGTTGCTTGTGCCTCAATACACATCGAACATAATGATGGTCATGAAACTCACTCACTCGAGCAACAACCATATGTACCTGTAATATCACATACCAGAGTATTAAATACTAGAGGTATACTTACCAAAGAAAACGAAGCTACCGTATTCGGAAACCGTAGCAGGATCTTTGCTAAACTGTGGAAGCAAATAGCAGAACGTGATATAAGTGAGATGAATGCCTCATCAGCACACCAATATATACTTTGCTAGCGTGCCCTCATTTAAATATTTGAGCGGCAAGGACGCCGGAAACACTGCAAGTAAGATCGCCGTCATGGGGCTTTCGCCCAATGACTAGTGTTCGAGGATCTCAATCGCGTTGCTCTGATGAGTTGTATTGTAAATGAACACGCTGCAGTGGAGCCTTCATTACAACCTGTACTATACAGGCCGACGCCCCCCCCCACCCTTCCAATAGACCTTAAAACGAGTTTGTACAGCGCTCTATCAGACTCTTAGCACTACACGATTTTGCTATGATACACTTGTCGAAGACTGAGGTCGTTCCAACCGAGATTAGCTACTCGCTATTGAAGGTGATCTTCGTTAAATGCTTTAGCAAGTCCGAATAGCTTAGCTCGGGGCGTAGGACTGATCTAATCGGAGTTTGGCGCTATATCGGAAATTTCACAATAGACCTGGAAAAATGCTCAATGACTTCGCAACCACCCAGCACGCTGTACTTGTCGGTCAAACTGGACACTTCTGGCCTTACTTGGCGCTGGTCTCGACATCACCGGCAGTGGCGCCGAGTCCACTTGTGTACTTAAGTAGCCTGGTTAACTAACAAACGACATGCCTGCATACAGTGGAGCTCGAGGGCCCGCGGAGAAGCAGTCGACAGTTGCCTGGTTAATTCAGCTCAATGAAGCCCAGCCTGCGCGGCGTGCGTCTGCTGCTAGCCTGCCGCGAGCTTCGATGCGAAGACGCGTGACCGCAAGCGTTGCGGTCCTCATCCGCAGCATGTTCCGCATCCGTCGCGACATCGAAGGAGTAGGTGCAGGAGGGATGATAATGACGCGACAGTGTTTAGCATCTTAAATAAGTGAGCCTAAGTAGTCTACCCGAAGAGATTAAGCGGCTTTGTGTGTGCCATGCACTCGATTAGAACCGAGTATGGTCGTAAAATACTGAGTGACTTCGGAAATATCAAATCTCCGTTGCTTTGTTGCTTTCACCACCATTTCACTTTGCAACGAACCATACCGTCAAAATTCCAACTGTCCGACCGAGGAGTCCAACCAGTACCGGTACTCGGCCAAATCACTTTAATGACATCTATTACATATTTAGTGACAACACACACTATCCAGTAATATTTCCCTCTCATTCAGCCTTTCCAGCCAGACAACGCGCGGACGACGACGGCAGCGGAGACGCGGACGGTGCTCGGCCTCGGGCGGGGTGATGGCCCTCGAGGTCAGTGGCACCAGAAGCAGGCGGGCGGTGGCGGCAACGCGGACGGCGGCTTGGCCTCGGGCGGGGTATGACCCCCCGAGGCCAGCAGCCCCAGGAGCAGGTCAGCGGCAGCGGCGACGTGCACTGCGGCATTGCGTTGCGCGGGGTGACGATCGCCGAGACCAGCGGCAGCACGACGAGGCAGCAGCAGCAGCGGCGGCGACGCGGACGGCACTCCCTAAGATCAGCCCCCACTACGCTTTTTGACAAAACTTTAGTACGACACAAATTACATATTAAGTGCACCCATGTATCAGTTTGCGTTGCGCGCGTACTCGTGTGAACCCGAGGAGCACCCCCACTTTTCGCGCCCACGGCGATGCCGCCACAACACAAACACTATCACTTTCGAAAAGAGCCCCCGCCCCAAGACACGCAACGCACCATGGCCCCAGCCAAGAAATCAACCTCGAAGACGACTCCGCGCTCTGCACGCGCGCCACGCAAGCGCGCATCCAGAGCGCCGCCCAACACCGCGCCCAAGGAGCCCGTCGTGTACAACTCGCCGTACGCGTACGCGGTGGCGGATCCGGCGGTGTTCCCGTTCACGTTCGACAACATAATGGCGGCGACCACGAGCGAGGACACTGCCGTGAGCTTCCTAATGCGTCACGGCCTCCTCGCCTCCTCTAAGACATGCGAGTACTGCGACTATCCCATGAACCTGTGCGTCTACAAACGCGGCACGGAGGACGAGGACCGCCGCTGGCGATGCCGCCGTAGCGGCCACCCGGACAAGGAGCTCAGCCTGAAGAAAGGCTCCTTCTTCGACGGCACCAAGCTAGCGTACAGCACTGTGCTGCGCCTGATGTTCTTCTGGGCGTCGGACATCCCCGTCGGAACCACGGAGCAGTTCCTGGGCATCTCCGACGTCACGGCGATCGACTGGTACGGCTTCTGCCGCGACATCTGCTGCGCCGAGATGCTGCAGTGCAGCATGATGGTATGCACACCTAATAGTCGACTACAATATGTGGCATATGTGCTAACTATGTTTATACAGATCGGCGGCGTGGGCCACACCGTCGAAATCGACGAGACGAGCCTAAAGAAGAAGTCCAAGTTCGGGCGCGGCAAGCAGCACGAGGACTACTGGCTCTTCGGCGGTGTCGATCGGGCCATGGGGCGGTGGTTCGGCATCGTCACTGGCCCCGACCGCAAAAAGAGACGCTGTCTCCTCTCATCGGCAAGCATATCATGGCCGGGTTGACCATCATCTCCGACCAGTTCTCCTCGTATGTTTCTGTCAACGGGAAGCATACGTTGGAGAACAACAAGTGGCTAAAGGGCAAGAACTACACCCACAAGTGGGTCAACCACGACAAATTCTTCATGGACCCCAAGACGGGGGCCCATACGAACCGCATTGAAGGAACGTGGGAAGTGCGCGTGAAGCGCTACATCAAGGCTATGCGCGGCGTCCCTAAGGAGCGCCTGGACCAGTACCTGGACATGTACCTGTGGAAGTCCTGGTACTTCAACGGCACAGTCCCGAAGTGCCAGTACCTTGACGGCTTCGTGCAGGGCATCCGCAAACACTACCCAGTTTAGGTCAAGATTGTAATTCTCAAATGTAAATTTGTGTCGGACTAAAGTTTTGTCAAAAAGCGTAGTGGGGGCTGATCTTAGGGAGTGCCACGCGGACTGCGGCTCGGTCTTCGAGCCAACAAGACGCAAGGTAAACTGTTATGCGCTTTTGTTGATGAATGCCCACTTCTGACGTTATGTTTCGTGCAGTGTTGTTTGTATTATAGTGGCAGTCAAATGCAAGTAAATATACGAAGAGGTTTATCCCAATTATGCTGTTGTCATCTATGTATTTAATGGCGTTGACCCTTGCTTGATCAGTGCTGCGAGGTCACCTTAACTTTGGTTTTATTAGTGCGTGTTTTGTGCTATGTATTACAGCGGCAGATTAATCTTGCTTAGGTTTCAGGCGAATGAAGGACGGCAATGCTGAAGGTGGAGTTGGATCGACAACGGAGCCACGGTCGACAAGTTCATGAAACTGTGTGATGAGCTGGTCAAGTTTTCCAAGTTTCTGAAGTTGACGAAGCGCCTTCAATGCTGTACCTGCTGCGACTGCGGAGGAGCCGTGCGACTTCAAGAAGGTGAGTGCGTTCAGTTGTGCTTTATCGCCAAGCTCGAGCACCTCGCTTTTGTATGCAGGCGACGATATGTCCAGCGCAAACCCTTCAGGTAAGAAGAGCATGAGATACCCTGTGATGTGCCTGTACTCGTACAACGCTGTGTTCTTTACAGAACGCGACGCATACACGCGAGGATCCGCTGTAAACCACTCGAACCAGATCGCCGACAACGACTGGGCTCCCTTCTTCTTCGGGCGTGTCGTCTTAGACCCAACTGGCGGTGGTTGCTCGGAGGCAGGAAGCGTGGCGTCGGTGTTTGCTGGTTGAGTTGCGGCTGTGCTGGTAAGTGTCTTGAGGTGTGCTTCAACAGCTAATATGCGCTCATCGAGTCGTTTGTTCTGTAGGATTAAAACATCGATCTGCTCGGAGTGGCGCTTGATGAGATCAATCAACGCAGGCGACGGCTCCTCACCAGCACTAGCAGAAGGCTCAGATGCTTGAGGTGTCACGAATGCCTTGCTAATTGTCACGCTCCATGCCAGCAGCTCGGACTCGCCGATGGCTCGTTCTGCTAGGAGCTCACGTATCTTCGTGATGAGCGGGCTGCTTGGGCAGAGCACTAACATGTCCGGGTAATGCATGAACAGGGTAGCCGTAAGGACATCTGCGACGTCGTCGTCGAGGTTCAAGGCGGCGTCAGCGAACGCCATCGTGCTGGAAAAGAGAAGCTGCTGCAACTTGCGAGCGCGGGCCAAGATTGGCGTATCCAAAGCGGCTAGCGTTGGTAGCCGCGCACCGTCCTTGGGCTTCCAGCCACTCAGGACGCCGGACACCTTTTGGTCGGCTTGGGTTGTACCAAGCATGTACCCGAAGGCCTTATTGACGCGGTCCAGCTGCCAGCCCCCGCGCTCGATAATCCAGTTTTCCGCCAAGGTACCGTCGTTGGCATGCATGGCTCCACCACGTCGAAACGAATGAGAGGTAAGATCTGGCGTCATACGAATGCTTCGCAAATCAGCGAGTTTTTTTAACTCTAACCAGCAATCTGTTGACGCATGCTTGTGCACCAGGAACGGCCCGCTTTGTCGATGAAGCTTCGGATTCCTCCATAGAAGGCTGGTTGTCATCAACTTCTAACAGCTCAGTGTAAGCTCCTGTGCATCGTCAATATCATCCGTGCTGCGCCTTTTGGCGATGAATTGAGGGAACATGCGGTGACTTGGTGCCTTCTGCATAACCAGCGCCACAGACAGAGCTTGCAGAGGACATGTCAAGAAATTCGTGGGGTCCTTGAATAAGGAGATGCCTTGTAGTAAAGCTGTTTTAACCCTCTTAAATCGAAGAAATAAGACTCCGCCTAGCATAAATGCAATTACGGTTAGATTAATTCTGTTAAGACCATGATCATTAATTACTTACCAGGCAAGATGAATAGCTGACTCTTCTCGACTGTTTCTGCGTCCGAGCTACGGCCATAAAGGTACCACATCATCACGACGAGGGTCGCGTCGAGGTATTCACTCTCCGTTGCAGCCGTTGAGTACAGTAGAGACACCATAGCTTCTAAGTCTTGTTTAGAGCACGGAGGTGCTTTCTTCTCGTCGCCGACCTCCTCTCGGTTGCTACAATACTTACCCAGCCCAGATAGAATTTTTTGGAGCTGAGATTTAACTAAAGCTCCTTGCAGTGGGTACTTATCTACTAGCCAATTCTTGACGTTGCCATAGTATGCTAGACACGTATTGGTCGCTCTTACCTTTTCAGCTGATGTGGCTAACGAATATGCATACTTGTCTAGTATAATACGCAATGTGGTGTAGGAAACACCAGATTTTGCGCGACCAACTCGGCTGGAGTGGTACACTGTACCGGTAGCCGAGCTCAGCCGAGTTCACCAGCTTATCCGGACACCTTATCCGGCTCAGCCGAGTTCGAAGAATTGTCCGGATAGCTCATCCAGACCAGCCGAGCTCAGGCGTCGCCGAGCTCAGCGAAGAGTCGGCCGAGATCCAAAACCGCCCACTTTCATTTGGTATTTGTATAGGAGCTTAGGAATAGTGGAGGTGCCCCTTCAGGGCGCCCGACAGAGATAACAAACAACAGAGCAGAATTTTCTTGGCCTAAAGCACGTGTACACGTTCCGGTAAGTCCCTGCACGGGGCCGGATTATGTCTACTGCCGGTACCCGAGAGGCATAGCTTGTAGGGTACTCGGCTGGCAGCGCCAAGAGATTAAGGTCGACCCGGGTTGGGCGCGAGTCTCGCCAAGCGCGAGGGAAAGTCTCACCACCGCTGCGAGCCGGTGTTCCCGTACGTCCCGGGCACTGATCGCTGAGTCGAGAAGCCTTTGCTCTCGGCGACCTGTAAAAAGCGCTCCGTGCGCCGTCGTCCATCCTTTGGTGGAGGGCACAGGGTTTAGTGAACGGAGGCCGTCGAACTCGGCGGTTCTCCGGAGGAGTGATCTTGGTTGGCAGGTCTCGGCGAGAGGCGAGACACCCGCTGTCCCGGTTGGGCCGAACCGCTCGGGGGCAACCCGGCGCAGGCCAACAAAGCCGACCAGCTCGGCTATTGTTGTGTTTGTAGCCAAGTTACCACAACTGACGATTTTGTGTGTACTGCTATACCACACCTTACCTGTCTTATCCCCGTCGATGAGCTGGTGGGTGGCTTCGAGTGTCATGCTCTCCGCGGCCAGGAACGTCGTGAACGAATTGATCGCCGTCGTCCTGGCCTTCTTGCTGTTGGCAGGAGCAAGCGATGCGATCGACATGCTAGCCTGCCTGCTCTTTTCACTCTAAGCGAAAAATTATGTACCGACCACTCGGGTTGGAAACTGAAGGATATTTTGGGGATATGCATTTATATAGACATTTGTATGGCATTAAAAATATTCTGACAAAATTCCAACCAAATATAGTCGGAACGGTTGGAAAAATGCCCTACTTCAGCGAGGCTTCCGATTGGCAAAAATGCATCGGACTTAACGCATTCATTGGGTGAAACTCATCGAGTACTACTGATTAGGGACTGCAAAAAAGAGTAGCATTGGAACAGAGTGAATATTACTCCAAATCACTGAGTGGGCACAAATACAACAACGAATTTCGCAATAGATCACCTACTCGGTTTGAGTTCTAATAGATTAAAAATAATCATGATCATGTTTTATATCATTGTGTTAAACAAATCAAAGTCTCGCGTTAACCCTTTGAATATTAAGATCGACAAGTCGAAACTCAGCGGAACACCATGTCAACTCAATACCATGTTTAATGATACCTTGCTTGGCGTGCTCTCCGGTTTCCTATTGGTAGTGAGTGGCTTACACCTCAAACACCACGTGATAATCAGTTTGCGCGGAAAGAGGATCACCTACGAGCAATCTAAACGATCGACAAGGCACAACCGGCGAAACTGGGTGGCTTCATTGAGCAAAGAGTCTTTGCCAAAGACGTCGATCAAGAAAGCCGCCACCTACTACAAACGCCAACTGTACGTGCGCTTGATGATACCTACAATCCCTTTTACTTTATTAAATATATTGAAGACGAAGTTTAGTGAATAACACAAGTGGGGCAATACTGTATCTGTAAACGTTCATCAAAACATCACGACCCATATCAAGCGAGCGGCCCTGTAGACAGCCCAAGTATTGTGCTTTGCATCCAGTATGTAGTGCAATACTAGTGTTCGCACTTAGCGGTAAATCATAGTGACCTTGAATGCGAGCTGCTAAGTCGAGTCTCGAACCCGGTTTGGTTCGGAAATGGCACTTTCTAAAATTGCCAAAAGGTGCTGGATGTGCTAAATCATGCAGGAGATGGTGTATGCGCACTACTTAGTGCTGCCATCCACGACTTCAGCAATTCGTACTCGAGTACGATTTATCAATAAGTCGTGCTCGATAAGTCGTTCAAGTTACAGTCCGAAGTACCAAAAGTCTGCAAAGCACAATACATGTAAATAAAAAATTGGAAAACAGACTCGAAAATCCAGAGCTTCCCCGTGCAAAGCACGGCTTTGTTATATAAAAGTTCGCTCGTCTAAGACGCTGTTTCAGTTAAAGAATTGAGCAGATAAAGAAATGGCTACACATCTGATGGCTACATTTTCATATGTTAGGTGCACAAGGGCTTTCTTTACCTGGTACCCCTCCAGCATTTTCGTACTCTTGTTTTGTTTCTCTTCACACAATCAGAACTAAACCAATAACGGTGGGCGCGGTATTGTCTGTTCCTACTCTTCTTCTCATTGGTATTAGCAGAATCGCATCCCCTCAGGTTGTACGTGAGTTTCAATACAGTGAGGTTATAGGAATATTTGTTGTCCCGATATCCTGCCACCATGCCTGCAGTTTTATCTTTTACTTGGTATCTACTGCATAGCCCCTAGTTGTCTCGACATCATAATATTTTATTTGTTCGTAAAATATATATGTACGCTGCGCTGATTGTAAAACACTGTGGCTACCTTATTTATCACAAACTTGCAGTTACTGCAAACTCTTTGTTCCAACTTAGCATCCCAAATACAATTTCTCTCCTCGCTCGATTTGTTGTGGCGGGAGTAGTGGTAGCAATGGCATACGTGGGAGGAGGGCCTCCTCCTCAGGAGGCAGGCAAGTGATTGAGAAAAACATATGAGTTTGTGTAGTAGGCGAGGATTTACAGACAGAACACCAACGTGGGCCCAAAGCCACCAACATATACTATGATAGTGAAGCTTATGCTCTTCTGTGTGAATCTAAGACTGAGCTCCCCCGAGCCTTGCCTGCCCTGTATAGGGCACTCCAGGAAGACTGGGGAGCCAGTGAAGCTTGAGGAGCTAGGGTAAGGGCCATAGGACTACAGTAATGTGCGTGAATACCGGACGCCTGATATATATAAGGTCTCCAAGAGTATAAGTTGAATCCGATTGGTTAAGAAAAAGGAATGTATTGATATTATTTAGTTCGTCAAGAAATTGATGGCGGCCTTGCTAATAAGGCCCGAGTGATACCAGCAATGCTGTATGGTATCAGCAGTAACCTTCGACCAGGTGTCCTCACACCACATCAAAGCGGTAAGAATGTCAATCTTATAAGGCTCATCTACTCCTTCTCCTATTTGGTCGAGCGCATACAACATTTTCTCTGATAGTACATACCTCTTGATACAATGGATGATACCTTGGTTGGTAGTTTGAGGCTTTGATCGCAAATGAGGAAGTGAACGCTTTTAAAGGAAATCAAAGTGGCGAAAGCGCGCCTATATTCAAATTACCGCTGAATACGACATCAACCTTTGCTTATCACCATCTCGTCACATCGTAAGCCCAGAATTATAAATTATACAAGGGTATTAGCTGTAGACCCGTCCGATATTCACGCACATTACTGTACAGTTTGGATTTATTACTACGGCGTCCATTTAGAGGGTTGAGGCGCCAACAATGGCGACAATTTAGAGAATAAAGAGGTTTTTGATCAGTTATAGAACACCTCTAGTGAAATCCATATCAACGTCCTGCATTCTGGTGTTTCTCATTCCTACCGGTACACTCATTCGGAATGAGTCATTCCATCTTAGCGTATAATAGCACCTTGTACATGTAGCTTCCCGAAATTTTCAGAGTTTCCTCAACATCACTTTTGAAGCAAGTTTTTTACCATCTGGTGTCGTAGTATACGTGTAGTATACGTCCTCCTCGAGTCGCAGCTCCAGAGGATCGCGAGCGCAGGCGCCGAATCGCTGGAAGCTGGACGGGCTGCAGCGCAGGGCGCCATGGTCGGGTGAATGGCCGACGGGCTGGCTGGCTGCCTGCCGTAAAAGTTCTTGGACTCCTGGCGGGCCCCTCAAGCGACGCCGATCCGGGCCCAAGAGTCATTCGCCAAAGTGCCTGTCCAAGAAGATCGATCCGAGCGACGCACGCCATGCGCCCGAGCAGCAGCCAGCAGCTGGGCGTGGGCGACTGCGTGGCCGTCAAGCCCAAGCCCAGCGACAGCGGCGGCGCCAAGAGACTCGGCCGCGTGCAGCGCCTGCGCTCCAGCGGCGCCGTCGACGTGTTTTACGCCGACGGCCGCGTCGAGGAGCGCGTGGGGCGCGACCGCCTCGTGCCGCCCAAGTCGCCCGACAGCAAGACGCCCAGAAGCAGCAGCAGCAGCAGCAAGACCGCGAGGGCCAGCGGCGCCAAGTCCAAGCGGCCCGCAGTGGACACGACCAGACGCGACGGCGCGAGGCCCCGGACGACGAGCCTCGACGACGAGCTGGAGGAGAAGGCCCCCGCTCCAGGTGCACAAGCTGAGGCCACGCAGCGCAGAGCGTGCACTGCAGCGACTGCCGCTGCCCCCACCAAAAGACGACAGCCCACCGAGGCGTCTCCTCACTCGCAGCAGAAGCAGCCGGCGTCTTCGCGACGACAACGAGACTTGAGCGACTCGGTCGCCCACACGCAGAAGCAGGTGACCGAGATCTTGGAGGCGATCGCTGCGACAGATGCCGACGCAGTAGCTGTGGTGGGTTGAGTATTCCGTGCTTGGTCTGGCTGGGCTTGTGCTGTCTGCTGACGCTCTTGATGTTGTTGGTGGTGTTGATGATGATGCCAGAAAAACTCGCTGTCGCTGCTGCTGCGCGTGATCCGGTCGGCCCCGCAGATCACGGCCGAGTGCATCCACGAACAGAAGGGCGAGCTGCTTCTGCTCGACACGATCCAGACGCACGCCTCGCACGCAGTTCTGCTGTGTTACGGCTGCGTGCTCATGCGCAAGCTGTGCCACCTCAGTGTCGAGTCCGTCGAGCTCTTCTTGCAGCACGGCATCGTCCCCACGGTCGCCCAGGCGCTGCTGAGCTTCCCGGAAGACGCCATCTTGCAGGCGTCCGCGTGTGGATGCCTTGCCGTGTTGACCCAGACCAGCGACGTCAGCAAGAACGAAATGCTGTCGATGAGCGATCCGAGCATCCTCGGACTGGTGCTCGCGTCTCTGGATATCCATCGCGAGTACTCGAATCTCACGCGCCAAGTCCAGATTTATGCATGTGAAGGTAAGGCGTCGTGTACTGTATCCGCTAGAGCGCGTACGGCTACCTGACTGACTGACTGACTGACTGTGTGTCCTTGCGCAGTTTTGACTGAGTTATGTGACTACGGTGGGCCATCAACCGTTGCGTCCTTGATCGCCCATGATCCTCGGCGGAAGGCAGAACCCACCATTGAGCTGGCTGTCGCCCTCACCCGACAGAGCATGGCTCGTGAAGATAAGAAAGTGACGTGTTCGTTTTGCAGTCTGTTGTTGTGGTACGTTGACAAGCGGTTGGAGGCGAAGCTGTTCTCGAAAACTCACTGGTTTTGCTGCTTTCCTGCGATGCAATGCCTAGTCTTGCCTCAAATAGCTCAGCCGCGGCCGAGAGCTTGCGCGAGGTTGGTGCCATCGCGGATATCTCCGTTGTTATGGCAAAGTATCCTGTCGACGAAGGTGACGTGCGTTCCTCTTTCGTCTTCGGTAGGCGTCGCACTGTTTTCTTACATACGCGTGCGCTATGTATGATACAGGTATTATACGATTCTCCGCTGCAGCACTGCGGGAGATCGCGGAGACGAGCCTGAGCCATTCGCCATCGAAAACTGTTCATGAAAAGGCTCGAGTCATTTTGGACGAGGACGTGTCTTCCCAGCGAACTAGTTCAACGGCAGCCTTTCCAACCAAACGAGAGCGTTCGCTCACTCCAGGAGCGTCGAGTAGCCGCAGCCGCGATACTTCTCCACGAGCGACCGCAAGAAAAGGAGAGTCCGGCCTCAAGTCCACCACTGGTCGACGCCGACCCAAGTCGCCTACAAACCGGCCCAACACATCCTCGGGGATACCAGCTCCAGGGAATGCGCGTTCGTTCGGACAGTTGTCAAATGCTCTCGGCGACGCCCCAGGTGCCTCGTTCTTCACTTCCCCTGTAAAGCTGGCGGATGAGCCCCGAATCGCAACACCAAAGGCATCAAGGCTTCCTCCCCCACGCAGCAGAGATGAACATATGCGGAGGGTGGGCGAAATGAAGCGGCGGGGTAACGGAAACGGGCAACGCGATCGTCTCTTGATGAAGACGTACGGCAACGCACCTCTAGGATCGAAGACCCATCGAACAGGTGCTTCATCCGATGCATTCGGCTCGCAGAGTGACAGAGGCTTCACTCGGGAGAATTCGTTTAGTCCTCTGAAAAACAACTATTTGGGAACTGAAGGTGTGACGTTCGTCATCCCCCCGCCGTTGTCGAGCAGTCAATCGCTGGAGCAGCCAATCGTATCACGAGGTACCAAGACACCAACGCGACCGCACTCAGCGCGCCTAACACCGCTGGTCAACGAACGGGTAAAGATTTCCACTGCTAGGTTTCCGAGTTCTGCAGCGGAGTGGGGGAGCGGAGATGATGCGTGGCCAATGGATACCAGCATGAGTACCGGCCATTTACGCCCCCAGACTGCCGTCGTAGTCACAAAGCTGTCTGATCCTGCCAGTCGATGGGACAGGCCGAGCGATCAAGTATCCGACCACAGGAAGAAAGACCGTGGAGACTCCAGAGAAAGGAAGCGAGAACGCGAGTCACCTGGAACGTCAAAGGCCGCTGGAGCGACTGACAAGCGGCATTCTGCTGGAGAGAGACCCAGGTCACCGTCCAGCAGAAGGAAAGGTCCCTCTTTGGCTCGCTCGAGTTCTATTGACACTGATGAAAGTGCGGTTAACCACGGACTACATGGTGAAGCTGCGAGTAGGCCGCCTCCTAGTGCCGTGACGGACATGGATCAGTCCATGGCTGAGCTCCGTGAATTTGGGCAGCAGCTGCTCAAAGAGGAAGCGAGAATTTCCTCACTGCTCGCGCAAGCAGGCTCCAAGTCTCCAGGTCTTAACCGCATGAGTTTCTCGGATAAGCTCCACAAAATGATTGAAATCGCGGAGTCGTCCATGTATGAGCGAAGTCTCGCAATGAGCGGCACTCAAAATTGGGGGGATTCTGCATCACGAACACCGCCCAAAGCTGCACACGCTGCGCCTGGTGAAGAACGAATAAGTAAGGCGAGGGATGTGGCTAAACCGGCCATGGAAGGAACAAGCTCGCGAAGAGCCCCGGTGGCTGCGGACGCAAAGATCCCAGCGTCCGAGGCCACGACCCCAAAAGTATCGTCATCAGGATACAAGAAGTCGCGCGCATCGACAGTGGGGCAAAAGAAACAGCATAAATCCGCTGCTAAAGTGGGCGCGATGTCGCCGAGGGCAGATCGAAAAGTTGTCTCGAAGCTGGACACGAAGGGTCGAACGCCTTCAATACCGTTCTTGGAGCCACTTCAGATTGGCCCCGAGAAAGCACCTGCGAAGCAAGACACGGATCTGAGCTTACAGGAAGAGAGAACAAGCTTCGCTGTGGCTGCAGATAGTCTCTCAATCGCAGGGGCCTCTCCGCAAAAGAAAGAGGGTGAAAGGGATATGGTCTTTGAAGAATCGATTCAGGAAGAAATTCCAGCCACGATATCCCCACTGGAAGTGTCTAGCAGGCTGGAGGAGAAGGAGGATGAACCAGTGCCTGAGCACATCGATGCAAAGCATGAAGAAGAGGGCTACCACGACGTTGATGCAATCGCGCCGGTGCCTTCTCTGCACGACGCCGTGGAGGAATCCCCGATCGCCGAAGAGATTGGCTTTGCTTCGCCGGCAAAGGAGGAAGCTGACTCTGACAGAGCCGTAGTCTATGATTCCCATGCTCTCACCAACGCCCAAGATGACAGCTATGAAAATGATCAGCACAGCTTTGAGCCTGAAGCGAGTTTCGTGGAGCTTGTGGCACCACTGGCAACGCCGGCGGACGAACCCATTCTCGAATCCGAGCTCGGTGACAAGGCAGCTGAGGATGAATTTGAAGTTGCGAGGGCGACTGTTGTGGAGGGTGAAGGGGTTGCGATATCGCCTCCTGGTGATGAGGAGAAGATGACAATTTCTGAGCTGCTAGATGCGAAAGGCCCGGTCTCGAAGGAAACAACTCCTGAAGACCTTGTCACATCTGAGGCAGCTCACGAAACTCACGCGTATGAAGACACGTGGGGGCGGAAGAGTGAAGAGGATGAGGGTGATGTACCGCTAGCGCCGAGCGAAGTCGAACCAAGTTCCTTTCCTATCAGCGAGCAAAAGCCAGAGGATGCTGAAATTGATGAGTACGAGTTTGTTGAGCTGCCTGTTCCAAACCAAGATGACTTGACGATTTTGCTGGACTGGTCTGCGGCTCGCGACACCTGTCATGAGTTTACCGGTCGGGGAATCACGGATGCATTGGTGGAAGTCGAAGCGATGGGGGGCGTGCATATTTTGTTACCACGCGAGGAGATCGTATCTATCGATGTTGTCCGCGGCGAGAGTGCTGATGATTCAGATGTATCCTCTGCTGCGAAGACCCCGGTTGACAACAATAACGACATCGTTGGCATTGAAGCACGTACCGTCGGTTCCGAGGAAAACAGCGCCGGCAGCTCCACAGTTGCAGCTTCGGACTCAGCTTTGCTGAGCGCTCTTCAAAATGTGGTTAGCTCCCTGACTCCATCCACCGTACTAGCCCAGGAGATACTTACCAGTACTATGGAGCAGCTGAGCGAGAGGGACTGCAGCCGCGGGGCTCAAGATGACGATTTTAGCATACAACAAGCGCCTACAGACGATGTGGCCGGCGAGATTGGTCGCATTGTAGCCTCTAGAATCGCTGGATCTCTTAGTAGCGCAGTGGAGCAACTCCGAGCACTCCCTCTCGATGCGGAAGGAGGAGTTGAGTTTTCCCAGAGCTTGAACGAACTCGTTGCTGTTGCTGTCGAAGCAGTTGCTCAGAGGATCCAAGCGAACGATGAACTCGTCGTAGTTTCACCTGTTGAACGCCACCAGCCCGCTACAACAGCCCCCGTTCCTTCTCTTGAGTTTTCGCTACCGAGTAACAACGATCCGGAGCTGAGTCACCGTTCCGACACATCGCGAATCGATGAAGACCAATACGCAAGCCATCGCTCTGACACATCGAGGACCGACGAAGGTCATGTGTCTGTGCAGATGGCGAAAGCAATTCAAGATAGCGTCAATGGGATTATTGCGATGTCTTTGGTTAGCATGATGCGGCAGTTTGAGCTCTCGAAACTGGACCAAGCTGGCATGGACCCAGAATCGGAGGGAGGTGATGAAGCGGTTTCAGCGAAGCAGCTGGAGAAGGAGCCGTCCCAAGGCGGTATTAATGAACTTGAGCTTGGAGAAGACAATGACGCAATCTTGCCGGCAAAAACGGCAATCGCTGTAGGCAGCTACGTGAATGGTCTCATTGCGCTTTCAGTGCAGAGCTCGGTTGAGCGTGCGCTGGAGAATGGAAGCCCCTCTGGTCGTCTGAGTGAACTGACAGTGATGGCAGTAAACCTGCACAACGTATACCAGGAGGAGAACATTCTGCTGGACGCCGGGATGCTTAAATCAGACACGAGTCGATCGAAGACGCAAAAACCGATCACTGGAACGGTTGAAGCCATCTCCCAGGAAAACAATGCCCAGGAAGAGTTGCCGGTGCAGACTGTCATTGCGATCAGTCGAAACGTTGATGGTATCATCGCCCTTTCCCTAGAAAAAATGGTGAAGCAACTCTGCTCGGTCGAGAGTAGTAGAACCGACCCCCAAATTGATGAAAGCTTCGAAGAACTCGCACCCCTGCCTGATCCTACTCACGCTGATGACACTCATGCCGAACTGACGTTTCCGAGCAATTTCGACCAGGATCTCGATGCTGTCGTTTCGGATGACGTATCCGTTGCAGTTCGACGAAACATTTCGGCTGTTGTTGCTGTTACGCTGGAATCGGTGCTTCAGCACTTACAGAATGCCGATGATCAGTTGGAACAGTCGGCAAAAGAACAAGCATCCGCTAGAAGCGCAGCGACTCAAGAACCGCAGCTACCAGTAGCTGAGGGTAGCTTGGTGAGCCCCCGCGAAGGAGATACAGGGAGGGCGGAACAAGCTCCTCCACAGAACTTGTGGGACGAAGACGATAACTCGGCTGGACTTCAGGACTTGCCTGTTGCAATGTCCATTTCGATCCAACGTAGCGTCAATGCAATTTTGGTGCAGGCGCTGCAAAATGTAATAATGGACCTTACGCGTGAGTCAGTTGTGGAGGAGTCCAAGGAACACTATGACGAAGAAGAAGAATTCCGTCCCAGGCTGAGCTTATCAGACGAAACTGACGATGCACGTGATGCCGAGGCAGTGCCCTACGACCATGCTGCGGTTATGACTGCTATCGACACCTTCGACCCGCTGCGTCTGCCGGACGATGACGATAATCAAGCCTCTGACAGGGACACTAAGGGGGTCTCGATTCAAATGGCGATTGCTGTGCGTTGGACTGTCAGTGGTATGATTGCTTTGGCAGTCGAGAATGCGATTGCGGATAGTGTGCTTCACAGCACTGCAGGAGACACGCCGGCAGAGGAATTCTGTGCGCTGGGTAGTGACAACGATACTATTACTAAAGGGATCTCGAGTGACATGGCAGTCGCTATTCGGCAGACGGTGGCTGGGATCATTGAGCGAACGACCGAAAATGTGCTGTCTCAAATAAGTGCTCACACCGTGAAGGAGCTGGTTTCTCAGCTAGTAGAGGCCACAGCGTCACAGGACGAACTATCAGGGGGAGAGAGTGTCGGGGATCTCGTCTTGAGTGCTCGGGAATTTGATGCACTTGACCAAGTGTCCGAGGAGGAGGAACCCGCACTCCCCGTCCTAATGTCACTGGCTATTCGGCAAGCCGTTAATGGTTTGATCGGAGTATCTCTCCAGGCTGCACTAGAAGACACACTTGGGGAATCCCCTGCGAGAATTTCACTGGAGCCTGAGAGCGGCGGAAGTGCCAATTCTGTGGACAGTAATTTGATGGGGGAACCACGTAGGGCTGTGCCGAGCGGTCCTGCCTGCATTCCGCCTTTAAATTTCCCGATTGCTAGTGTGCACGAGCAGCGAAACGACGAAGTGACTGAATCCGGTGAAGAAGACGCAGAGGAACAGGTATCTGTAATGGCTGCAATCGCTGTCAGCCGGACGGTCACTGCAGTCATCGCAGCAAGTGTGGAAAAAATGCTCGATTCTATGGCTAGTATGGGTGCTTCGCTCGTCGCAGGGCAGGACGCGCCTCTCGTCCCTCCTCCACAGAGTTTGAGCCACGATGAACACGAGCACGTCGCAGTCGATGACAGGTTTGAGGCTTCTGCATCTTCAGAGGCGGCCAAGGATAAACCAGATGACGTTCAATCTGGACCCAGTGGGCCCCTGCTTTCTTCACGAACTCCTGAATGGAGTGAGCACCCCGAAGGCGATGATTATCGTGATGGTGCCTACGAGGAAAGTTTGACACCAGCGATGTCTGTTGCTGTAGCTCTCTCCGTTAGAGCGATACTGATGGAGGCAGTGGGTAAGGTCTCACAACGAGTTACCCTTCCTCACGCATACAAGGATGACATTGAGTTCGTGAAGGAAGAGGTACTTGAAGCAACCCACCAAGAGAATGCTACAGATAACCTGGATGGTTATCACTTACTTGCCCACGAACGTGACGCGGTGTCAACTGCACTTACCAGCGTTGTCAATACAATGACTGCAGCTACGCTAGCGTCGATCAGCAGTGCATCAGAGGCGCACCAAGTTGGCGGGTCGATTGAAACTGACGCCGATGCTCAACATGTAGTGAATCCGCAGGTGCAACAATTAATGGATCAAGTCCTACATATTGTGTCAGACCCTACCGAACCGCAGAGCCAATCTACCACTGCGGTAGACGAGGTAACTACAGCGGTGGGCGATCTCCTCAATACTCTGCAAGCAACGCCCGAGGCCGAGGTGGCCGCAGCCGCCGAAGACCTGGTGCGTGCCGTGGAGTCTGCTGCGCATGCCGCCGCCGAGCACGAGGCCGTTGTTGAGACGTCTGTGGAGGTCGAGCAGGTGTCCGAGGCCCCGGAGGCGTCGATGGAGCAGCAGCAGCAGCAGCAGCAGCAGGAGCCGACCGCTAGCGCGAGCGAGGACGTCGCTGCGACCGCGGCAGCCGCAGCCAGCGTCGCTGTCGTGGCCGCTCTGTCGGCGACCGTGGACGCCGTGGAGGCCGAGTCGGAGTACGCGGACGAGGACTTCGGCGACGAGCAGGTCACGGAGTCCGTTCCGGAGGTGACCGTCGACGCGGCGGACGAAGTAGCGGCGACCGAGCCAGCCGAGGTGGCTGCCGCGGCCGAACCGAGCGAGGTGGCAGCGGCCGTGGCGCAGGCGGTGGATGCCGTGTCGGATGCGGCGTCCGAGGCCGAGGTGGCCGCAGCCGCCGAAGACCTGGTGCGTGCCGTGGAGTCTGCTGCGCATGCCGCCACCGAGCACGAGGCCGTTGTTGAGACGTCTGTGGAGGTCGAGCAGGTGTCCGAGGCCCCGGAGGCGTCGATGGAGCAGCAGCAGCAGCAGCAGCAGCAGCAGCAGCAGCAGGAGCCGACCGCTAGCGCGAGCGAGGACGTCGCTGCGACCGCGGCAGCCGCAGCCAGCGTCGCTGTCGTGGCCGCTCTGTCGGCGACCGTGGACGCCGTGGAGGCCGAGTCGGAGTACGCGGACGAGGACTTCGGCGACGAGCAGGTCACGGAGTCCGTTCCGGAGGTGACCGTCGACGCGGCGGACGAAGTAGCGGCGACCGAGCCAGCCGAGGTGGCTGCCGCGGCCGAACCGAGCGAGGTGGCAGCGGCCGTGGCGCAGGCGGTGGATGCCGTGTCGGATGCGGCGTCCGAGGCCGAGGTGGCCGCAGCCGCCGAAGACCTGGTGCGTGCCGTGGAGTCTGCTGCGCATGCCGCCGCCGAGCACGAGGCCGTTGTTGAGACGTCTGTGGAGGTCGAGCAGGTGTCCGAGGCCCCGGAGGCGTCGATGGAGCAGCAGCAGCAGCAGCAGCAGCAGCAGCAGGAGCCGACCGCTAGCGCGAGCGAGGACGTCGCTGCGACCGCGGCAGCCGCAGCCAGCGTCGCTGTCGTGGCCGCTCTGTCGGCGACCGTGGACGCCGTGGAGGCCGAGTCGGAGTACGCGGACGAGGACTTCGGCGACGAGCAGGTCACGGAGTCCGTTCCGGAGGTGACCGTCGACGCGGCGGACGAAGTAGCGGCGACCGAGCCAGCCGAGGTGGCTGCCGCGGCCGAACCGAGCGAGGTGGCAGCGGCCGTGGCGCAGGCGGTGGATGCCGTGTCGGATGCGGCGTCCGAGGCCGAGGTGGCCGCAGCCGCCGAAGACCTGGTGCGTGCCGTGGAGTCTGCTGCGCATGCCGCCACCGAGCACGAGGCCGTTGTTGAGACGTCTGTGGAGGTCGAGCAGGTGTCCGAGGCCCCGGAGGCGTCGATGGAGCAGCAGCAGCAGCAGCAGCAGCAGCAGGAGCCGACCGCTAGCGCGAGCGAGGACGTCGCTGCGACCGCGGCAGCCGCAGCCAGCGTCGCTGTCGTGGCCGCTCTGTCGGCGACCGTGGACGCCGTGGAGGCCGAGTCGGAGTACGCGGACGAGGACTTCGGCGACGAGCAGGTCACGGAGTCCGTTCCGGAGGTGACCGTCGACGCGGCGGACGAAGTAGCGGCGACCGAGCCAGCCGAGGTGGCTGCCGCGGCCGAACCGAGCGAGGTGGCAGCGGCCGTGGCGCAGGCGGTGGATGCCGTGTCGGATGCGGCGTCCGAGGCCGAGGTGGCCGCAGCCGCCGAAGACCTGGTGCGTGCCGTGGAGTCTGCTGCGCATGCCGCCACCGAGCACGAGGCCGTTGTTGAGACGTCTGTGGAGGTCGAGCAGGTGTCCGAGGCCCCGGAGGCGTCGATGGAGCAGCAGCAGCAGCAGCAGCAGCAGCAGCAGCAGGAGCCGACCGCTAGCGCGAGCGAGGACGTCGCTGCGACCGCGGCAGCCGCAGCCAGCGTCGCTGTCGTGGCCGCTCTGTCGGCGACCGTGGACGCCGTGGAGGCCGAGTCGGAGTACGCGGACGAGGACTTCGGCGACGAGCAGGTCACGGAGTCCGTTCCGGAGGTGACCGTCGACGCGGCGGACGAAGTAGCGGCGACCGAGCCAGCCGAGGTGGCTGCCGCGGCCGAACTGAGCGAGGTGGCAGCGGCCGTGGCGCAGGCGGTGGATGCCGTGTCGGATGCGGCGTCCGAGGCCGAGGTGGCCGCAGCCGCCGAAGACCTGGTGCGTGCCGTGGAGTCTGCTGCGCATGCCGCCGCCGAGCACGAGGCCGTTGTTGAGACGTCTGTGGAGGTCGAGCAGGTGTCCGAGGCCCCGGAGGCGTCGATGGAGCAGCAGCAGCAGCAGCAGCAGCAGCAGGAGCCGACCGCTAGCGCGAGCGAGGACGTCGCTGCGACCGCGGCAGCCGCAGCCAGCGTCGCTGTCGTGGCCGCTCTGTCGGCGACCGTGGACGCCGTGGAGGCCGAGTCGGAGTACGCGGACGAGGACTTCGGCGACGAGCAGGTCACGGAGTCCGTTCCGGAGGTGACCGTCGACGCGGCGGACGAAGTAGCGGCGACCGAGCCAGCCGAGGTGGCTGCCGCGGCCGAACCGAGCGAGGTGGCAGCGGCCGTGGCGCAGGCGGTGGATGCCGTGTCGGATGCGGCGTCCGAGGCCGAGGTGGCCGCAGCCGCCGAAGACCTGGTGCGTGCCGTGGAGTCTGCTGCGCATGCCGCCGCCGAGCACGAGGCCGTTGTTGAGACGTCTGTGGAGGTCGAGCAGGTGTCCGAGGCCCCGGAGGCGTCGATGGAGCAGCAGCAGCAGCAGCAGCAGCAGCAGCAGCAGGAGCCGACCGCTAGCGCGAGCGAGGACGTCGCTGCGACCGCGGCAGCCGCAGCCAGCGTCGCTGTCGTGGCCGCTCTGTCGGCGACCGTGGACGCCGTGGAGGCCGAGTCGGAGTACGCGGACGAGGACTTCGGCGACGAGCAGGTCACGGAGTCCGTTCCGGAGGTGACCGTCGACGCGGCGGACGAAGTAGCGGCGACCGAGCCAGCCGAGGTGGCTGCCGCGGCCGAACCGAGCGAGGTGGCAGCGGCCGTGGCGCAGGCGGTGGATGCCGTGTCGGATGCGGCGTCCGAGGCCGAGGTGGCCGCAGCCGCCGAAGACCTGGTGCGTGCCGTGGAGTCTGCTGCGCATGCCGCCGCCGAGCACGAGGCCGTTGTTGAGACGTCTGTGGAGGTCGAGCAGGTGTCCGAGGCCCCGGAGGCGTCGATGGAGCAGCAGCAGCAGCAGCAGCAGCAGCAGGAGCCGACCGCTAGCGCGAGCGAGGACGTCGCTGCGACCGCGGCAGCCGCAGCCAGCGTCGCTGTCGTGGCCGCTCTGTCGGCGACCGTGGACGCCGTGGAGGCCGAGTCGGAGTACGCGGACGAGGACTTCGGCGACGAGCAGGTCACGGAGTCCGTTCCGGAGGTGACCGTCGACGCGGCGGACGAAGTAGCGGCGACCGAGCCAGCCGAGGTGGCTGCCGCGGCCGAACCGAGCGAGGTGGCAGCGGCCGTGGCGCAGGCGGTGGATGCCGTGTCGGATGCGGCGTCCGAGGCCGAGGTGGCCGCAGCCGCCGAAGACCTGGTGCGTGCCGTGGAGTCTGCTGCGCATGCCGCCGCCGAGCACGAGGCCGTTGTTGAGACGTCTGTGGAGGTCGAGCAGGTGTCCGAGGCCCCGGAGGCGTCGATGGAGCAGCAGCAGCAGCAGGAGCCGACCGCTAGCGCGAGCGAGGACGTCGCTGCGACCGCGGCAGCCGCAGCCAGCGTCGCTGTCGTGGCCGCTCTGTCGGCGACCGTGGACGCCGTGGAGGCCGAGTCGGAGTACGCGGACGAGGACTTCGGCGACGAGCAGGTCACGGAGTCCGTTCCGGAGGTGACCGTCGACGCGGCGGACGAAGTAGCGGCGACCGAGCCAGCCGAGGTGGCTGCCGCGGCCGAACCGAGCGAGGTGGCAGCGGCCGTGGCGCAGGCGGTGGATGCCGTGTCGGATGCGGCGTCCGAGGCCGAGGTGGCCGCAGCCGCCGAAGACCTGGTGCGTGCCGTGGAGTCTGCTGCGCATGCCGCCGCCGAGCACGAGGCCGTTGTTGAGACGTCTGTGGAGGTCGAGCAGGTGTCCGAGGCCCCGGAGGCGTCGATGGAGCAGCAGCAGCAGCAGCAGCAGCAGGAGCCGACCGCTAGCGCGAGCGAGGACGTCGCTGCGACCGCGGCAGCCGCAGCCAGCGTCGCTGTCGTGGCCGCTCTGTCGGCGACCGTGGACGCCGTGGAGGCCGAGTCGGAGTACGCGGACGAGGACTTCGGCGACGAGCAGGTCACGGAGTCCGTTCCGGAGGTGACCGTCGACGCGGCGGACGAAGTAGCGGCGACCGAGCCAGCCGAGGTGGCTGCCGCGGCCGAACCGAGCGAGGTGGCAGCGGCCGTGGCGCAGGCGGTGGATGCCGTGTCGGATGCGGCGTCCGAGGCCGAGGTGGCCGCAGCCGCCGAAGACCTGGTGCGTGCCGTGGAGTCTGCTGCGCATGCCGCCGCCGAGCACGAGGCCGTTGTTGAGACGTCTGTGGAGGTCGAGCAGGTGTCCGAGGCCCCGGAGGCGTCGATGGAGCAGCAGCAGCAGCAGCAGCAGCAGCAGCAGCAGCAGCAGGAGCCGACCGCTAGCGCGAGCGAGGACGTCGCTGCGACCGCGGCAGCCGCAGCCAGCGTCGCTGTCGTGGCCGCTCTGTCGGCGACCGTGGACGTCGTGGAGGCCGAGTCGGAGTACGCGGACGAGGACTTCGGCGACGAGCAGGTCACGGAGTCCGTTCCGGAGGTGACCGTCGACGCGGCGGACGAAGTAGCGGCGACCGAGCCAGCCGAGGTGGCTGCCGCGGCCGAACCGAGCGAGGTGGCAGCGGCCGTGGCGCAGGCGGTGGATGCCGTGTCGGATGCGGCGTCCGAGGCCGAGGTGGCCGCAGCCGCCGAAGATTTGGTGCGTGCCGTGGAGTCTGCTGCGCATGCCGCCGCCGAGCACGAGGCCGTTGTTGAGACGTCTGTGGAGGTCGAGCAGGTGTCCGAGGCCCCGGAGGCGTCGATGGAGCAGCAGCAGCAGCAGCAGCAGCAGCAGCAGCAGGAGCCGACCGCTAGCGCGAGCGAGGACGTCGCTGCGACCGCGGCAGCCGCAGCCAGCGTCGCTGTCGTGGCCGCTCTGTCGGCGACCGTGGACGTCGTGGAGGCCGAGTCGGAGTACGCGGACGAGGACTTCGGCGACGAGCAGGTCACGGAGTCCGTTCCGGAGGTGACCGTCGACGCGGCGGACGAAGTAGCGGCGACCGAGCCAGCCGAGGTGGCTGCCGCGGCCGAACCGAGCGAGGTGGCAGCGGCCGTGGCGCAGGCGGTGGATGCCGTGTCGGATGCGGCGTCCGAGGCCGAGGTGGCCGCAGCCGCCGAAGATTTGGTGCGTGCCGTGGAGTCTGCTGCGCATGCCGCCGCCGAGCACGAGGCCGTTGTTGAGACGTCTGTGGAGGTCGAGCAGGTGTCCGAGGCCCCGGAGGCGTCGATGGAGCAGCAGCAGCAGCAGCAGCAGCAGCAGCAGCAGCAGCAGGAGCCGACCGCTAGCGCGAGCGAGGACGTCGCTGCGACCGCGGCAGCCGCAGCCAGCGTCGCTGTCGTGGCCGCTCTGTCGGCGACCGTGGACGCCGTGGAGGCCGAGTCGGAGTACGCGGACGAGGACTTCGGCGACGAGCAGGTCACGGAGTCCGTTCCGGAGGTGACCGTCGACGCGGCGGACGAAGTAGCGGCGACCGAGCCAGCCGAGGTGGCTGCCGCGGCCGAACCGAGCGAGGTGGCAGCGGCCGTGGCGCAGGCGGTGGATGCCGTGTCGGATGCGGCGTCCGAGGCCGAGGTGGCCGCAGCCGCCGAAGACCTGGTGCGTGCCGTGGAGTCTGCTGCGCATGCCGCCGCCGAGCACGAGGCCGTTGTTGAGACGTCTGTGGAGGTCGAGCAGGTGTCCGAGGCCCCGGAGGCGTCGATGGAGCAGCAGCAGCAGCAGCAGCAGCAGCAGGAGCCGACCGCTAGCGCGAGCGAGGACGTCGCTGCGACCGCGGCAGCCGCAGCCAGCGTCGCTGTCGTGGCCGCTCTGTCGGCGACCGTGGACGCCGTGGAGGCCGAGTCGGAGTACGCGGACGAGGACTTCGGCGACGAGCAGGTCACGGAGTCCGTTCCGGAGGTGACCGTCGACGCGGCGGACGAAGTAGCGGCGACCGAGCCAGCCGAGGTGGCTGCCGCGGCCGAACCGAGCGAGGTGGCAGCGGCCGTGGCGCAGGCGGTGGATGCCGTGTCGGATGCGGCGTCCGAGGCCGAGGTGGCCGCAGCCGCCGAAGACCTGGTGCGTGCCGTGGAGTCTGCTGCGCATGCCGCCGCCGAGCACGAGGCCGTTGTTGAGACGTCTGTGGAGGTCGAGCAGGTGTCCGAGGCCCCGGAGGCGTCGATGGAGCAGCAGCAGCAGCAGCAGCAGCAGCAGGAGCCGACCGCTAGCGCGAGCGAGGACGTCGCTGCGACCGCGGCAGCCGCAGCCAGCGTCGCTGTCGTGGCCGCTCTGTCGGCGACCGTGGACGCCGTGGAGGCCGAGTCGGAGTACGCGGACGAGGACTTCGGCGACGAGCAGGTCGCGGAGTCCGTTCCGGAGATGACCGTCGACGCGGCGGACGAAGTAGCGGCGACCGAGATGGCCGAGGTGGCTGCAACGACCGAGGCCCTGGTGAGTGCGGTGGAGTCCGCGGTGCAACCCGAAGCGGAGGAGCCCGACGACGTCGCAGTTGCCGAGGTGGGCGCGGAGGAGGAGAAGGTGGCGGAGGCAGCAGCCGAGCAGGAGGTGGCCGAGCCCGCCGAAGCCGAGCAGGCGGTGGAGCCGGAGGTGCAGCAGGCGGTGGAGCAAGCGCTTCAAACCGTGACGGAAGCGGCACCGGAGCCTGTGGCGGAAGCTGCGTCGGCCGCCGAGACGGCTGATGCGACCGAGATGGCCGAGGTGGCTGCAACGACCGAGGCCCTGGTGAGTGCGGTGGAGTCCGCGGTGCAACCCGAAGCGGAGGAGCCCGACGACGTCGCAGTTGCCGAGGTGGGCGCGGAGGAGGAGAAGGTGGCGGAGGCAGCAGCCGAGCAGGAGGTGGCCGAGCCCGCCGAAGCCGAGCAGGCGGTGGAGCCGGAGGTGCAGCAGGCGGTGGAGCAAGCGCTTCAAACCGTGACGGAAGCGGCACCGGAGCCTGTGGCGGAAGCTGCGTCGGCCGCCGAGACGGCTGATGCGACCGAGATGGCCGAGGTGGCTGCAACGACCGAGGCCCTGGTGAGTGCGGTGGAGTCCGCGGTGCAACCCGAAGCGGAGGAGCCCGACGACGTCGCAGTTGCCGAGGTGGGCGCGGAGGAGGAGAAGGTGGCGGAGGCAGCAGCCGAGCAGGAGGTGGCCGAGCCCGCCGAAGCCGAGCAGGCGGTGGAGCCGGAGGTGCAGCAGGCGGTGGAGCAAGCGCTTCAAACCGTGACGGAAGCGGCACCGGAGCCTGTGGCGGAAGCTGCGTCGGCCGCCGAGACGGCTGATGCGACCGAGATGGCCGAGGTGGCTGCAACGACCGAGGCCCTGGTGAGTGCGGTGGAGTCCGCGGTGCAACCCGAAGCGGAGGAGCCCGACGACGTCGCAGTTGCCGAGGTGGGCGCGGAGGAGGAGAAGGTGGCGGAGGCAGCAGCCGAGCAGGAGGTGGCCGAGCCCGCCGAAGCCGAGCAGGCGGTGGAGCCGGAGGTGCAGCAGGCGGTGGAGCAAGCGCTTCAAACCGTGACGGAAGCGGCACCGGAGCCTGTGGCGGAAGCTGCGTCGGCCGCCGAGACGGCTGATGCGACCGAGATGGCCGAGGTGGCTGCAACGACCGAGGCCCTGGTGAGTGCGGTGGAGTCCGCGGTGCAACCCGAAGCGGAGGAGCCCGACGACGTCGCAGTTGCCGAGGTGGGCGCGGAGGAGGAGAAGGTGGCGGAGGCAGCAGCCGAGCAGGAGGTGGCCGAGCCTGACGCGGATCCAACGTTCAATGAGGAACGTGGGGATTGTTATGAAAGTGCTTCGGCAGATGTTGTTCCTGAAATGGAGCCGAAGGTTGATGTCGTGCATGCAGTTGATGTAGCGGAGCTTGTGGGTCCTGATGATGCCGAAGTGGAGGGCGAAGTTGCTGCCATTGCGCAGGAAATCGTGGATGCAGTGGAAGTGAATGCTACACCCCCACACATAGTTTCTGCCGCCGCTGTGTCCAGCGCCGTGGTTGGCACGCTCCTCAGCCTAATCGACACTGTCGAGCTTGAACTGGAAGATTGTTGGAAAGCCGAGGAAGATATCGACCCTGCCATGGAAGGCGTGGACAAGCAATTACACGACCTGATACCGAACGTCGCGCCACTCACGCCCGGCAGGTCAGACGTATCGCCCCGCGCGGAGCAAACCGATCAGCGAGTAGAGTCTGAGGTGGTGAGAAGCGATCTAGATGTTGCTCCGCTTAAGCCCAACATTGAGGTGCAGCCCTCGACCGGAAAGAAAGCTGTGCCGCCCGAAGCAAGCGAGGACAACGTTGACTCAGTTCGAGACGCAGATTTCGTCGAACTTGCCCAGTTACCTGAACCCAGCCCAGCAGAGCTCTCGGCGGCAGCCGTCAGCGTGGCGGTCGTGGGGGCCCTCTTAGACGTCGTTGACGCCATCGACACTGATGCATGAGGAGTTGTTGTGTGCTCAAAGTTTTGCGGTGGACACTCTGGGTCTTTCATGTTAGTTCTTGATGTTGTGTGTACAATAGCCAATAGATTAATCAAGTTTTGTTACGATGCATATCCGTCGGAGGTATGGCGATCCCTGCATTCTGCAGCAGCTTACTGTGTTGCCGTAGTTTTACTCATCAGCCCTGGGCCCCACATGCTGCGCGGCGCACCTTCAGGCGGTAGAATTTATATCGAGCAGAGCCACCTTTCATTGTTCAGCTCGCTCTGGTGTCTGTAGTTTCTTCTCGTAGCTTATGTTGTCCGGACAGCACAGCCTACTCGTGAGTCTAAGCCGCCTTCTTATCGACGTGTTTGCGTACTTGAGCTCTGCACAAGTATCCTAGTTGTCGCTGCAATGCCACCCTCGTGCTCAAAAGATCTGGGTCGCCACTTTGCCACACCACGACGGAAGGCGAGCCACGTACTGTAGTGTATCAACGGGCTTGCAGCGCGCAGGAGCTACCCCCCTCCCCTCCGCACAGCTTGCTGTCACCTATGGTCTTGGGAACCGTTGGGTGTAGGTCCTTCCGATTACTGTATCGCCTATCTTCGCCTTAACTTCGGCCCCTGCACAACATCAAAACTCGGCCGAAGATAGTGGTTACATTTGGCGGCTCGTGTACACTTGGATAAACTATAGTTGGATATTCGTACCCCCAGTAACTTCGTCCCGAAGCTGGGATTGGCTGAAAAAGAAAATAGGAAGGGACTGACCACAGCAAGGAAGAGGAGGCGGCTCACACAGTGGGGACACTCGCGGGCTCGGTGGTGTTCGCAGACTCGGTGGCGCTTGAGGAGATGGTGGGTGGCTTTATAGTTGGTGTGCTCGTGGACTCGTGGCGCTCATGTTCTTGTTGGTGCTCGCAGACTCGCTGGTGGTGCTCATATAGCTGGTGATGCGTTCGGAGCTGGAGTTTTCGCGGGGCTCGCGGACGTGGTGGTGCTCGTGCAGTTAGTGACGCTCTTGGACTCGGTGGCGCTCGCGGACGTTACTCAGTGGTGCTCGTGGTGATCTTGAAGCTCGCTCGTGGTGTACACAGAGCTGGAGGGGCTCATGTAGATGTGATCTCGGTGGTGCTCGTGGACTCGTTGGTGCTCGTGGACTCTGTGGTGCTCGCGAACTCGTCGGTGCTCTCGGACTCTTGGAGATCGAGGTACACTCGGAGCTGGTGGGCTCATGTAGCTGGTGGTGGCCGTGGGCTCGGTCGTGCTCGCGGACTTGTTGGTGCTCACGGGGCGTGCGATGTTCTTGGAGCTTGTGGTGCTGTGGCCTCAGTGGTGCTCGTGTAGCTCATGTCGCACTCGGAGCTCGTGCTGCCCTCCCAGCTCATGGCGCACTTGGAGCTCGTACTGCTCCTGGAGATCGGGCTGCTGTCAGACCTCGTGGGGCACTCCGAGCTCGTGCTGCTCTCGGAATTAGTCTGTGGTGCTCGCGGATGCAGCGTTGTTTTCGGAGCTCGTGGTGCACTCCGATCTGGCGGTGCTCATGTCGTTGAAGCTGGTGGTGCTCTGGTGCATCGAAGGTGGCATGACGTGTATTCAAGTTACATATGCATTGTGTAATCCCAACTTGACCAAGAGGCCTCCAACTATCTCACTCATGCTGCTAAGAACCGGATACGCGGTAGTGAGCGAAACGCCGCCCGCTGCTGATCAGTTAGCTCACCCCAGGCTTTGACTATACCGGTAAGTTTTCCAGAGCGACGGCGCTTGCGCTGTGTTCCTTCTTTTGCATCAGCAGCTTTGGTAAAGCCATTGACTAACACTGTTTCGCACTGACTTGCCATGTTTTTCATTGCAGATACCCATTGAACCCTGTCCACCTCTCGCGATAATGCAGGAACTGGTGGGATGCTGGCTAAGTCGGCAACGTAGGCAACGATTTTAACAGCTCGAAGGCAATCCTTCTGCCCGCGATTTCCTCGTTCCTTTGGAATAGAACCCAGGCCTTCTGTGTAGAACTGGACGAGAACATCGGAGAGATGCCTACCCTTCAGCTTCGTCAAGCTAGTGGGCCACGCCTAACCAAGATGAGGGGATCGTAACGAGAGCCCGCCAGAAACTTCAGCATCTGGACTACCTTCCGTCGCATTGGTGGAGGAAGCGTTGCCTTCGGGTTGACGATCAAGCCGTCGAAGCTCAAGATGTAGCATGCTCCTGAGCTCCTCATTGGAGGTCACCAGCTGCTGGTGTCCTATGAGTAGCCGTTCCAGCGTTTCGGCAAAGGTATGGAATCCAACAAACTGCTCTGCTTGCTCCTGGATTGTAAGGCTGTCTCCAACATGTTGTATCGGAAGTGAAAGGATGTTGTCGGTGACAAAGCGTTTGCGAATCTTGCTTCCCCAGTCAAGCAGCTCGTCCTGACATTCAAGCTGCGAGTGCAGAGTGGAATGTACCCGCTCCAGTTCTTGGTGGACGATGTGTTGCGGTGCGACAGCAAGCGTGTCGCGGTAGTATATCAGCAGAGTCGCGGTAAGACAGTCCGCGAAACCTTTCGGTGCGATCTTGGAGAAGTGAAGCAACCGTAGTGCTTGAGCAAATGTACTGACCCTTGTGAATGTCTGATGTGATTCTTTTTCGAAACAGGCAAGCGTAGGCGGGTGACCAGCCTGCTTTGTGTCCACCCACCCTCCGAGCACCTTTGCAACGTTCTGGTCGCTCGCCGTCGTCGGCGATATGTATTCGAGTAAGGTAGCAAATCCATCCATGGACCAGAACCCCCGGTGGAATCAGCCAGGTTGACGCTAGCGTTGGAGCTTGCATGCGCAGCGCCACCTCGACGCGCTGAGTGTGACTGTAGACTTTGCGTCAGCTCTCGCTTTGTGTCGTACTGATACACCGATTCTAACACTCGATTAATGTATGCAGCCACACGCTCGTCTGTTGTAGCTTCAGTCACTTGCGAGAACACATATTGTATGGGTCAGCAACCAGCTGAGAAGCCAACGTGTGAAAGGGATCGATGCTCCAGCAAATCGGAGAGCAAAAAATTGAGATAGTCTCTTGCTGCTGCACCTTGGTGCTATTGAAGCAGCACACAGGTCAATTACTTATTACAATGCTAAAGCCAAAGTATATGCACGTACCGTGTCAGATCAATGAGAAGAAAATTACCATGCCAGTGCAAGTCCGTAAAGTGTAGCATTCCTACGTCGGAGCTACGACCAACTGCAAGCCACTGGTTGTTAAGAAGAGTGCGGTCGAGTAGCGCCTTCTTATCGTCTTTGAGAAATAGTATGGTTGATATTCAGCGAAGATCATCAATTGTTATGGGTGGAGCTTGGTTCTTCAGCTTTTTGCCTTCCGAGATGGCAAGCATGAGATATTGCTTTTGCAAATGGCGTCGGCAACGCCGATACCCTGCGGAACAGGTCCGTTCCCGTTTTCTCCTCCAGTTGTCTCTTGATAGAGCTCAGATAGTTCATCGATGTTTGCCAGTGGATGTCAGGATCATTGAACAGAAAGGTAAGGAGCTTACCAAGCATTTCCTTAGTGACCTGTGCTACCCTCAGCGTCTCCATAGTCAGGTTGGTGTCTACGTGTTTTTTCAAGAAGGTGTTGAATTTCGCACGGGCTGAAGAATCTTGTTTTCTAGAAGAAGGCCCCAACTCGCTCTCCATCAAGTCCACGATGGCTTCGACATCTGCCCCACGCTCCATTGTCGGCGTGGTGCTGCGAGCAGTTTTATCAAACGCCCTTTCACATGTTACTAGAATGGTGCTCTAATGTTGCTCGAACTTTACACTTATCTTCGGCGACGACGTTAACCAAATACACTACTGTAATGCTCACCGCGGCGCCGAGCGCTTTCGAGGACGCTAAGCACGCAGTTTCTCTCTCCACCCTCTCCTCTGACACCACGCAAAGGGTGCCGGCGCACGCAGCAGCCTTAACATGTAGTACGATCCTCATACGCTTTAGACTGCAAGCTTCCAGCGCCGCTGCTGCCGGATACGCGCTCTCCTCCGTGAGCGTGCGCTGCGCCGACGTAAGCACGAGGCCGCTCTCATCCACCATCGTAGCTCTGACGCCCAGCAGTCCCCGACGTTGAGCTCAGTACAAGCGCAGCGAGCCGCTAACATTGACGGGTGTGGTGCGTCCGGACTGTAGGCGAAGGCTACCCAACCTCACGCGGCAAGCAAGAGGCTGGTCACGGCGACAGGGATTGCATGCGCCGCTGCAGCGGCAACCACGCATCGGCGAGCGCAAGCAGCGAAAGTGGTCTCGCCATGACGGTATCCCTCGCAAACGCAAGGGTGGATCTCCCGTGGAGACAGAGCAGTCCAGCACCGCCGGGAAGGCGGGCGGGCCCGCTGCAAAGAATGACAAGGCTCGGCAGCCATCCAGCTCAGACTCCACTCGGTCGTCGCGCGGGGTGATCGATTCCTCACCAGCGTGTCCCAAGCAGGCAGGACAAGAGCGAGCCAAGCGTGGTGCGGCGCGGTGCATCGGCGCGCGAGGCTGACGCACGCGTGAGTGGCTGGTGCGGTCGGGTGGGGTGGTTGGTCTCAGCAGAAACGCACGGAGGTGTGGGCGGCAGGCGCGCGTTCGCGCCACGTTGCAGGCAGGCGGACAAGCAAGCAAGCAAGCAGGCGCGATGGAAAGCGCGTGCCCTGCTCACTCGGGGCCGGCGCCGAGCTGGCCATCGGCCATCGGGGCCAGTCCGCCGGTCCAGGCAGCAGCGCAGCGCGAGCTCCTCGGCTCGAGCCGCGCTGGGCTCGGATCGCTGACGCGCCCGGCTCTCGTCGCCCGTGGCGCTGCAATTGGCCGATGCCCTCCCGCTCTATATTCGTTCTGGCAGGCCGCCACCGGCGGTACCACTCGGAGCGGCCCGAGCGCGGCGCCGTTGCTTGCGGGCGCCACATGGAAAACCCCGCGTCGCGCATTGCGCGCAAAATAGGGGTGTATCGGGTCTCGCAGGCTGCGGCCCGGCTGCACGCGTTTCGAATGTTCGATCCCGACGACGCCACGACGGCGGGCTCACTTGGCTCGTCACGCGCCCGGGCGCTCAAGAGCTTTGCCAAAGCCCGGCCGCGCTCCCTGGCGGCTCTGTGTGTGCTGCACAGCGAGCGCCCCGATTCCGGCCGGTCGTCGGCGGTGGGCGGGCGGGCCGCTTGCAATTGCCGGCGTCGGTCGTGTCTTTCCCTGGGCCCGCGACCGGCCGGCGTTTGCGCTCGCCGGCGTCCATCGCGCTTGCAGCAAATCGGATCCCATGGGGGGCAATTGCCCTGCAACCCTGTCGTTGCCGGCTCGCTCCGGCTTGCGGCTCGGCTCGCCTCGTCCCGTTTAACTCGTATACGCACCGTACGTGTGTACTCCGGGCTCAACTTCGAGTTGCCGTTGCGGTCGGCACCTACAAACTCGGCTCGCCGCGCGCCTTACGACCGCTGGAACCAGCAAACACGCCCTGCCACCGCTGCCTCCGTCGTCCCCGGACAGATCGTCAGCAGTGCCGCAGAGGTTTGCCCGAGCGCTCGAGGCGTCGCAGAGCAGGGTCGAACAGCTTTGCAAGTCGCTGCGGCCGCCCGCCTCACATCGATGATCAGGATCGCCTTCAACACGTACCTTACGCTTTTCCCCAGCGATGCGGTGCGGCCGCGGCGGTCCCAGCGCGAAGCAGCAACGCGAAGCAGCAGCAGCAACCGCGCGTCGCATGGATCTCGAGTCGCAGACGAGAGTCGCTTGCTGGCCGCCGCTGCAGCTTGAAGCTCGCACGAACGTTAAACCTTACAGTACATGCAGTCGGCCCAACATGCTGCGGCGGCTAGCGAGAGATCGATCGCCTCTGCTGGCCGATGTTAGCCAACGCGAACACACGGCGGCAAAAACTGAGGCGAACCAGGCAAAGTCGCCCGGACACCTACCTACACACACCGGCAGCAGCATGCTTTCCGTTTCGACACCTAGCGCTCGTTTCACCTCCAGCACGTGTTTCCTGTGATGTGTAGGTGTTCGGCCAAAATGTTGTGGTAGCGCGGCGAGACTATGATAAATATAAAATAACTCGCTACTGTAGCTGAGCAAACGCAGGAGAGACGGTCCTGTCAAACCAGCGCGGCAACGACGACAACAATACCAACGCTGAGAGCATCCCAGCACCGGCAGCGCGGTTTTTCGTGGGGTTCGTCTCGAGGCTACAGTCTTACAATACCCACCGCTGCAACAATACATATTAATGCATGCATACATCCACCTTGGACTTGATAGATCGTTGGCAATCAGCACAACCAGCCGCCGCCGGCGGCAGCAGCAGCATGCCGCAACAAGTTGTTGTTGCCAACAACCGCGCTTGCTCGAATCGGGCTCGGCTCAGGACCGATTTTCACTATAATACCCGCCGGCTGCCTGCCAGCCGGCCAGCCGACGACACCGATGCCGCCGCCGCCGCCGCTCCAGCGGTGGACGGCACGCACCCGCAGAAGCCACCTATGCACGAACCCAGGTCGCCGGAGCCGAGCTGCGGCCCGGCGCCGGGGCGGCGGCAGCGTCGGCAGCGGCGCCCATGCCTGCCCTCGCCTGCCGGGGCCTCTACGCTCCGCAGCGAGCCCGGCGACGTACTTGCTCGCACCCGACAACCAATCACTTCCGATAAAAAAGATACGGATGGTGTCGCATACGGTGTGGTGCACACCAGCAGCGAAAAACCTCGGCGACTCGCTCACTTGTCGAAAGAGACCTCGTGCTGCGCTTTGTATGCGGCAGACGAGCCGGCGCGCGAGTAACGAGTCGGTTCGGGGCGAAAAACCTCGAGCCAGCGGCTCCGATTGATCCGGGCGCTGATTGGCTGGGCGGGAACCACGCATCCAATCAGCGCGCCGCGCGAGACAGAGAGCGCGGCTTGAACAGAAGGGGGCGCAGGGCGGCAACGAGCGCAGGGAGGACAGCGGCGGGCGGTGCGGCCACGGCGCTGGGCGCTTTCATTCTGCAATTCCCCGACTGTCACCGACGCCCGCAAGTGTTCCGCTCGCTGTCGTCCGTTTTCCGTCGAGAGACCAGCCAGAGCCTTCGACCGATCGACTGACCTCTTTTCGTTCGAAGCTTCGGGCTCCGCACCAGACAGACCCAAAATGACTGGTGCCGCAGGGAACTCGTACATGTCCATGGCGACGCCCAACGACGTCAAGAACTACACGAACGACGTTGGCCAGATCCAGTGGGCGCAGGTGCCGCTGAACGCCGCGCTGGACAAGCTCAAGACGTCCCGCGAGGGTCTGACGTCGGATGAGGCCGAGAAGCGTCTGGCCGAGTACGGCCCGAACAAGCTGCCGGAGGAGAAGGTGAACAAGCTGACGCTGTTCCTGGGCTTCATGTGGAACCCGCTGTCGTGGGCCATGGAGGTGGCCGCCATCCTGTCGATCGTGCTGCTGGACTACGCCGACTTCGCGCTGATCCTGTTCCTGCTGCTGCTGAACGCGTGCATCGGCTACTTCGAGGAGGTGCAGGCCGGCGACGCCGTGTCGGCGCTGATGGGCCAGCTGGCCCCGGAGGCGAAGGTGTTCCGTGACGGGGAGATTAAGAATATTCCGGCGGACCTGCTGGTCCCCGGCGATGTGCTGCGTGTGCGTCTGGGTGACGTGATCCCGGCCGACCTCAAGTTCCTGGAGGGCGACGCGGTCAAGGTGGACCAGTCGTCGCTGACGGGCGAGTCGCTGCCGGTGACCAAGAACGAGGGCGACGAGGGCTACTCGGGCTCGGTGGTGAAGCAGGGCGAGATCGAGGCCGTCGTGACGAGCACGGGCATCAACACGTTCCTGGGCCGCGCCGCCGAGAAGATCGCTACGGCGGACTCGCACGGCCGTCTGCAGATGGTGCTGACGACGGTGGGCAACTTCTGCATGGTGTCGATCCTGTTCTGGTGCGTGGTGGAGCTGCTGGTGCAGATGGCCGGCCGCACGTC